AGAGGTGAGAGGTGAGAGGTGAGAGGTGAGAGGTGAGAGGTGAGAGGTGAGAGGTGAGAGGTGAGAGGTGAGAGGTGAGAGGTGAGAGGTGAGAGAAGTAAAAGCGGACGCGGACGCGGCGGAGCTGGCGAAGTGAGGTAAACACAGGATTACTGTCACTTGGGAGTTCCGCCGGACCATTGACACGTCCTTCACGTCCACAACGGAGCCAAGACTACCGTCACATGTCACGATTTACGATAGCATGTTGTTTAATCGACCTATGTGGACGAACTGTGAGGGGAAAAAGAAAGGCACAGTTGGATAGACGTAGATATATACTACTTTGCGCATTGATCATAGCTAATCTACCCGCTTTCTAGCAGGAATAAAAGGCCCTAGTCTGTAAATAGTGCACCACTGAACCAGGTCTTATCTCACATGTCTCTATCTCACATGTCTCTATCTCACATGTCTCTATCTCACATGTCTCTGTCTCACATGTCTCTATCTCGTTGATTCTTTCGTAATTCTTCTTGCTGAAGCAGCAAAACTGTCCAACCCTCGAAAAACACTCTTCAAGTGTTTTTTCTTGGCGTATGACCATGTCCTTGACCCAATTACGAGCTATGTACGTGTGATCTATAAACACTCGGTCTCCCTGTTGCTTTCATAGTAGAAAGGCACGATTATATTCCAAACAATGACACCTATGCTGGGAGACAGAAATTCACGGGTTCTCCTTGCCAGCTATCATATTTTGGAATTAATGTGCCTTTTTACAGCCGGTTTACTGCACTATCTAACCACCGGAGATGGAGTTGTCGACTCTCTAGCCTACCATATACGTGTCTGAAGTTGCTGGGAGAAGTCACGGTAATATTTGCAAAAACACGTATCGTCCGCCGAGAGACTGTAGCAATGTCTTTTACCACTTATTCTATCTCATGGGAAAGACTGTGCGGTATCAACGGTAGATCGTAGTTGTAACGGAACCAGTCCTTGTTCCACATTCCAATATCATGAACACTTCGTGATTAACTTCCTAAGGCAGCGCCAACGTACTGCCTCCTCGGAAAAACACTCTGTAAGTGTTTTTCTCGTCCTATGACTATGTCATCTAATCAAGCACACGCTAGGTGATATTTCAAGGCACGGTAAGATATAGTAAGAATGAACCAGCCATCATTGCTGATCCAGAATGCTAGATCAGCTAAACAGAAAAGAAAAGAGTGTTCCACCAGAGATATCAGAAAATTGCAACTTACCTGTGTGCTCATGATTTATTGTATCTAGGAAAGAACCCCAGACAGTAGCCACTTCCCGTGTGAACACCGAAAATGACTAGAACAAGTCAAGGAAAAGAGGAGTTTTAGGGTTAGCAAAGACGGCTCAATCGCAAGTTAGCTGTTTGGATCTGCCATTGAGGGGCTCACCGGACCTTTCGGCCCCGCGGTTATGCTGTGAGGTTGGAAAGGGGGGGGGGACCGAAGGTGTAATCAGTGGATTAGGCTTGCGATGGGTCGAAATTCAGATCTCTGGTAGCGGCCTACTGGTTGGGCTAGGGGGATTGTTGAAACTCATCGTGATGATGACTGTTCACGATCGCTCAGGGCTAGACACAGACATGGGTAGATCGTCTTTGTTGAACGTAGGCACTGCGATGGTGCGAGGCCTGCACTCTGGTGAGCAACTTCCTACGCGGACTTTGACCTGAGCTGCTTCCGCTTTCGACTGCGTCTCGTCGGCTGCCTGGATTGCTCAAGCACCGACACCGGTCGCTGCTGTCAAAAGAAGTTTGCGCCTAACATTCAACATTCAACATTCGCACGCGGTCCGAGCATTTCGAACGAGGAAACATTGATTTGTCTCGAGGGACCATTCATTCCACATCCACTAACCCTATCGTACAATCCATACTCATGAACGTGAGGTAACGTAAAAACACGCAAAAGGAAAAGAAAAAAGACCAAGCAAAAAGAGAAAGGACCGACCCCCTGTAGCACCTACGCTTACATCCGATCCAAAAGAAGAAGAAAAAGTAAACAACAAAAAAACAAGATGCATAGATAGTAGCTTGTCCCAACGACGACAAGCATCATGCAAGATCAAGCAGAACCCGGCTCTTTAGGAGCACAAAAGGCATATCCCAACAACTCATCAGCCGACGGTCTCTTTTCATGCTCAATCTCGAATGTGCGTTCGAGGAAAATCTTGGCGCTCTCGCTAGCCTGCTCAGGCATATCAGGACGGGCTTGAGCAGCACTGCTACCGATCTTGAAGATTGCTTGCAACTGTGTGCAGTTGGGATGAGGATGCACGCCAGTAAACATCTCAACGATGAGACAGCCAAGAGACCAGATATCTGCTTTGCGAGTGTAGGCAGTTTGCTTGACGACCTCGGGTGCCATCCAGAAGACGGAGCCTTGAAGGGAGACACGAGGGCCTGCGCGTTTGCCTGTCGGCGGGACGAGAAGGCTTGATGCTTCGACACGTTTACTGATGCCAAAATCACTGATCTTGACGCTACCGTGATTGTCGACAAGGATATTCGCGCCCTTGATGTCGCGATGGATAATGTCCTTGGAATGGAGATATGCCAGGCCAGATAATATCTGTCTGACAAAGTTCGCAATCAGGGGTTCGCCAAGGGAGCCATAGTTAACGAGCATAGTAGCGACCGAACCACCAGCAACATATTCGAGGAAAATGTTGAGGTGAGAGTCGTCCGAGTTAGATCCGAGATACTGCACGATATTCGGATGTTTGAGTTCGCGCAAAAGTCCTATCTCTCGCTTGAGAGCCTCCACCATGTTGTTCTTCTTGGCGTCAAGGTGTGTACCAGAAGAGGAAGGCATTTCGACTTGCTTGCAAGCCATGAGCTCACCGGTAATGGCATGGAGAGCGAGGTAAACAGTACCAAAGGAGCCCTGTCCAATCATGGCACCTTTCATGTACTTGAGATTCTCCCAACTGTCGTTCTCGAGATGTTCCATCAGCTCATCATCAGACTCTTCACCATCCTCAGCGATGACCTGACTAAGACGGGAATTGAGGGATCCACCGTTCTCGGTATTCGCTGGACTGGTACTGCCGGTGTCATCAAAGTAGCTTTGCATAATGGTGTTGCCTTCCGGATCAGTCACAGCAACATTGCGATCAGTCGAATCAGATCCGCTGTCGGCACCGAAGGAGACGTATGATTTGCGATTCGGTTCCAAAGGTGACTCTTCATCCAAAGGCTCAAGTACTGATGAAGTGATGGAGTCGCGGTAGTTGGACACTGGACGACCGAGACGAACGACTGAGAGAGGGCGAAGTGGCTTGGGTTGATTAGCCGAGCTGAGCCAACTGTCAGCGATTGTAGGAAGTGGTGGAGCGTCTTTTAAGCTCGATGCAACGCTGAAGCTACTGATAGTACTCAGACGATTGGCAGCTCTACTGAGTCTGCGTGAACGTCGAATCGACATGCGAACAGTCTTGTCCATTTCTTCCTTTTCAATATCCGGAAAGTATGAAGTAAGATCTTGTGTAATGAGTTCTGTCGGAGGACGAGCGCCGTAAAACTCCTTGAGCTTACGAGCTCTAGCACCAGCAGTACTGATGGCGGGCTGAGCGGCGAAATACGAATTCCTTTCACGTTCCAGCAGTGATGCAGGAGACATTGGGTAGCTGACGGCAGCCAAGGGTTCACCAATGAGTTGCTCAATTTTGAGGTGACTCTTCGACTTGTTGACTGGCTGCTGGACTTCAATCGCAGGAGGTGAAGGAGCCTCTTTCTCTGCAATCTTCGCGGCAATACGCAATTGTTCTCCTTCAGGCTCTCCAGCATGGATCTTCCTGAGCATGAGACGACCTCTCTCACCACGCACGCGATCGTTGCAGATGCGAAGCAATTCGGTGTCACCCAGACGACGGCAGTACTTGGGATCAGGGTTGAAACCGTCGAGCAGGTAGAAGCAGAAGTTCTTGACGTGATTCTCGTTCAGGGCCCCCTTCTTCAGAGTCTTCAGAACGATGTCATCAGCAGTCTCGCAACCTTCAATGTTGATCATGGAAGAACGACCGCTGTCGAAGATGACTCTGATCAAGGCCTTGTCGGCAGGCAGAGCACTGCTATAGGTGGCAAGGTTGTCGATACTGGGACTCGAGCGGATGTGACCAGCGACAGGACCACCAAAGCGTGGAGGCGTCTCGCCAGGGGTGAGCCTTTGGGATGGCTTGGGTAGGTATGGTGTACTGCTACTCTTCTGCATGGGCATACGAGAGCGATTCTCTTGGTCGATCAAGGGCGATGAAGGACGAGAGTTTACTTTTGCAAGGTCTTGGCCTTCGATGCGACGGGACAGACGCTTGTCGCGGAGGGAGGTAGGAGGAGGCTGTGTTCGTGTGGTGGAGAGCACGGCACGCTCACGCGGTGATGAGGCTGGTAGGGCGTTTGCTTGGGCGTTGCCGTCGAGTGTGGCTAGGGATAGCTGTAGATTGTGGTTAGCGAAGTGACAAATGCGCAGCCGCATGTTGGAGTCCTACCCTGTTCATGTTTCGTTTACTGGTCGTGCGATAGACGGTGGTCCTGAACAGTTTGGCCTGGGAGCCGATGCGGACGCGGTCGCCGATCTTGTTGACACCCATTTCCTTCAAAGTAGCCGGGTCCATGTCCATCAGGTTCTCTCCAGTGATGTTGTTTCCTACATGGCCGTTAGCCTGGCCAACACCAACAGCATGCCCAGCATTGGAGGGTGCCTACTCTTGAAGATGTCGACATATTGGCCGCAGTTGATACTGACCAGCCATTCACCGACGCGTTGTTCATCCCAGTTCCTGTGCAAGCTAGTCAGCGCCTGTCCACAGGGATGCATGGCGACGAACAACATACTTCACTGTGTCGGACATCCTGGAGGAGTCGGAGAACTCTGATTCGGTCGGACTACCATACACTCCGTTGTTGGTAGAGCGAAAGGCTGACGAGTTGTTTTGATACTGAGCGCCTCCCATAGCGGTGGAAAACGAGGGTTTGGAAGCCAGCATGGCCATTGTTGCACGACAAAGCGAGCCTCTTAGAGAAAAATGCGCAAGAGGCGTCCAGGGGCTATTGCTTCATTGTCTGCCGACACAAAGCACTATCGACGATGATGTACTTGTTCTTTCTGTCGCTCGCTATATTGACTGTCGCAGTGTCGTGATTCGGTCGGCCGCTTGGTGTAGAAGCGGCGTGACAGCGGGCGCGGACGTGCGGATTGATGACTAGGACCTCTGCTTTTGTCAAACGTCCAGGTCGCCGTCGTGATGAGTCGCCTCTCTGCTTATGTAGATGATAGCTGAGACACTACCAGCCGACCAGTCGCAGCTCCGGATGATGTGCAGAGGATGAAACGTCAGAGCGACAATCACTCGGTTACGTCGGATTCTGATGCCCCTCAGGCCCTTGAACAGTGACACGGTAATGCGAGCCTCACCGAGATGCTGACCTGCCCGTCGCTTTGTTATCAATAACCACAAGGTCACAACAAGGAAAGACACGACAGACTCTTGGTTGGGTCAATGCAAAATTAGGACGACGCACTCCGAAAAATAGCTGACTCCTCGTCGTCGCGTGCGCTCCGTGCCAAAGCCTCTCATACCTAATCGACTCCATCCAATTGTCGCACTAACTGAACATGAAACGCGCCGCCATTTTTGGAAAGACGCCTCCCAAAAGGGCGTCTCTCATCCCCGACCGCCTAACGGGCAGCTGCTTTTGTACAACTTTGCCGTCATATTATATTGACCAAAGACAAAATAGACCACTGACCGCTCCCCAGCCTCCTCACCCTCATACTCGCATCTAGTGATGAGCTTTAATGAAGAGCGTGCGCGATCTTCCAGAGCCTCGAGCTCGATGCACCACTTTGGTTGTGGCCAGCCCTAGACATGATGCTCAGGCGCGGCTGGGTAGTTTGCATGTCTTCACATGCCATCCATCCATGTAGCTTATGCCTCGTATCGTGCTTGACATGGACCAGCTATTCGATATTGTTCATCAACGTTATGCAGCTTTGTAGGTCATCATCAAGTCGGTCCTTGGCCGGGGCCCAGGGCAGAATACATCTCCACCTGATCTGTCCCGTGCAACACCCGCTGATTTGGGCGTTCCATTTGCCATGGTGTAGCCTCATCGTTCTGCACAGTATCTCACCTCCACTCAAACTTCTAATGACCATCACCCGAATATCCGCGCCAGTGTGGACCTCACTTAGCTGGGCGTCTAGGCGCAGGTGTCAAAACAGGTCGTCGGCCCGTCCTGCAGTCAACAACATATCGGTAACATTCATGGGATCTGCTGGGCGGCCGGTAACGCGGCCGGCATAGTTTTTGCGGTATTCCCTATCATGCTGAACAACCAGCCGGCGACTGTCGAACATTCCGAGTCTTGACCCAAGAACTCGTCTTTCCAAGTGGAGGCACGAGAAAAATCGTAGCGGTTTCTAGCGGGGCAGAGGGTTATCGGTGTCTGGTAGGTTTGACCGGCCCGGCAGCCGTTTGTTGATCTCGGGGCATGTTTGGTAGACACCAGGCTGTTACATGAAACGATGACGCAAGAATCCAACCCTCCATGGTGCCCTTGTTGCATCGTTGCATTGTTGCGTTGTTATGTTGTAGTGAACTCCACGAGCACTTTGACGCAAATAGAAGGCGCAATGCCCTGTCAATCCGTCGTCCAGAGCATAGGGATGTGCGATCGAGGTTGATGCAAGCAGTTGGCGTTCCAAGATGATGTAGCAGGAGCGAACAGATTGGCTTGTGAGATCAACATTTGAAGCGTGTTCGTCTGACTGGGCGCTTCGGTTCGTCTGCCTTGGTATTATCATCATGGTGATTATTGATTGGCGTGGCGTTTTGGTTTCTACCACCCTGCCTACAAACCTGCTACATGTCCTTGTCAATGACGACGTGTGGCTCGTCCAGAGCGCTCTTGAGAAGGAGCTCGTCTCGTGCACCACAAGCAAAAGGGTCAAGGCCTCCACCAACGAGACTCGAGGATTGGGACACAAAGACAAGGCCGACTTTCTCTGATTTGAACAGTGGTCGGGACTGGCTCCCCGTACTTCTGCAGCCCCGCAGCATCGCATCAGCACTCGCATCGCATCGCATTTCATCGCCTGGGCTAAGACTGGCCCACCCTTCCATTATAACCACCCCACGACACGTCAGATCACTTCCATTCGCATATCTGGCCTTCGGAAGCCTGTGAGCGATCCGTGTCAGATTGATAGTGACGATCGAGTGACGCCGTCTAAGATGGCATCTGGAGATGGCTATCGCTCTCCGACAGCGCAGTCTGCTGCAGACAGTTTCGAGCTGCACCAGGACGACGCAGCGCCAAAACTCGACTCTGATAACTATCGCCGACCCAGACCAAGAGGTAATTCGAACGCTGTGAGACCAAGCAGCAACTGCCAACAACCTCCCCCAGTCGACAATGCTGTCAATCATGCTTTCGAGCGCTCTGACGCAGCAGGTCAGCTTGATCCCGCCATTGTTGCTCAGATCACCCAGCAGGTCATCGACAGTCTACAAGCCAACGGCATCGGTCAACAACAACAACAACAGCCGTACTTTCCCCCACATGTCAGATCGACCCGGTCGAGGTCACCTGCCGAGTCGGTTGCTTCTTTGACACGCCCCTACACTCCACCTTCTCCCACTAGGGATACTGGGAGCTACGGGTCGTCATCATCCGAAACTCCCATGTTTGCGGCGGACCCGTACAATAACAGTCACGACTTCTCGAGGCCAGACAAGAGCAGCAGCGATGCATCGCCTGTTCGTACTGAGGCTATCCGATCTCGACCCCAGCAAACTCGTATGCCCTCGACTTTCGAAGAAACCGTCTTGGAAAAAGCGTGGCAGCCTTTGTTCGTGTCGGGCCAGCCCACCTTGAGATTGGGCCAATTTCTTCGAGGACTCGCTCTACATATCATTGAGGACTATGAGCCAAAGCGTAGTCTGGTCATTCCTCCTTCCAAGATGGTACAGTTTTTCAACGATGTCCGACTCTCCTCTGAGATCTACCCATGGCGAGATATCTTTGGCGGTCGTATCACTTGCGAGTCCATCTCAAGGATATACCGCGACTTGCGCTGCCAACATCACTTTGTCCAGTTTGGGAACCACTCGACACCGGACATACCTGCTTTGACTCCTGATGGCTTTAATCAGTTCATGACTGTTCTGATCCAAGCACATCCGGCTATGGAGTATGAGAGGCTCGCAAAGGCCGTTGTAGATATGCCCATCAGTAACGCAGACAACCCAAAGGAACGATTCCCGAAACAGTTGAGCCGTCGCCTCATCCCTCACGTAGAGGACATAACTCAACAGCAACGATTGCATGCCGCCATGGCATCTGATCGTAACATCCAATTGCGCTCGAGTAATCCTATGCCTCCGCCGCCTCCTCCGACATCAATACCGACTCAACAACCTCCTACTTCGCATCCATTTTCAACATCTTTCCCCGAGAGAGAGCGTGCTCCCTACTCCAACTACGCGTCTACAGTGGACGAGGATGACTTGCGTACGGTCCCTGGTCCGATCGAGCGGGAACGCCAACCGTACTCGGCGAAGGAAGGTACTGGAAAGATGTACGAGGACGACCGCAAAAACATCGGTCGCTCGGACGATACAAATCGTCCGTCTCGCGCCAACTCGGCTGCCCCTCATCCGCAATTCGGTCAGAGCAGACCAACAGACATACCTACTCCCGGGCAGAGACATCATAGGCTCTCCGTAAATGGGCAACGACCTAACCTTGGTACTCCCCCGAGTCTTGGATACGCATCCAATCCATACACACGATCTGAGGGTACAAATATTGGCGATGTGCCTACTGCTCAGTATGGCTCGAATATGCACGCGGATGATCGCAGTAGGTATTCTCGACGCGAACAAGAGTCCAAGCGTGCTTCATGGTATCCCTCTCGTGGATATGATTACGACGGTGCAGCTTACGACGACAAGAGAAGACCCCCAGGCGCCTCTGATGGATATGGTATTTACAACGGCCGTCCCGCGGATTCGAATTACTAAGCCTGACGATGGCGACTTCCTCAGGCGTGGTTTCTTCGCGGAGCTACATCACTGTCAGACCGACAAATACTGGATCGACAAGTCAGAGCCGATGTTGGAACTCCGAGCTCTCGGGAGCGTGGTCCCTTCTACTCACCCTCAATCCTAGCATCGCCATCTTGTTCTTTCAAGACTTTCTTTTTGTACTTTCACGTCTCGTGCTTTGACACTGCTTTATCTTCACGCTGTATACCCCTCCAATTATGCTCTCGATCGTTTTTATTTGATTGGTGAACAGCAGGCTCAGGTCAGTCTTGCTGCTTCAGTTTTGCTTGCACATACAATCGTTGTAGTCAATGGGCGTTACATGAATGCAAAGAATCTTTTGACTCACAATGGAATTCTCCCTCCGAGTATGATTGCTGAGCCATTGTGACATGCTTCATCCAAGACAATGCTGCATCTCTTGCACACAGTAGGTATAATTTCCGACCCAATCGACCTTGAACAGGAAACTGCAACCGAGCAACATTGGACACGCGATCCGGGGAAACCACTGACGTCACCGGCAAGCAAGTACCTTGCCTTGGAAGCACTCTCAAGCAAGAACTTGCAGGGGTGGTACAGAATGCATGATCTGCAAAAGTAAGCACTGTTCTCTTTCTTTCAAGACCTACTCTTTGTCCTTGCCTACCTTTTAGTACATCATCCTTCGATCACAAGAAATCAAAGCAAAATGTCGAACAACCAAGAACCCAGCCACGATGAGAGTTTGAGCAACCTGCCTGCGGGCATGACAGACGTTGAACTCGGTGGTCAAAAAGGTGAGACATGATTCTGCACTTTGCCATCTCACATCCTCTTTTCCATACTTCCAATACATCAATACTGATATTACTCCAACACAGGCCTCCTCTCCCCCCTCGGCGACCCTCTAGGCAACGCCCTCAACAAAGGTCTTTCTCCCGTTGGCACAGCAGTTGGTGGACTTACGAATGGAGGATACACGAAGAGCAAGGAGATGGATAAGCCAAAGGAGGAGGAGAAGAGTATTGGTGGGAAAGAACAGACTGGACAGAACCCTTTGGGCCTGTGAAGGGCATTGGTACTGGAGCTATGATGCTTTTATGAGTGTCGGTGTTGAGCGCTATGGAGAGGGAGAAGAAGGGACGCGGTGTCGAGGAAAGTTTCTTGATGATCGTAACGGCAATGAATGACTGTTTTTATGTCACACTTCCCTCTTATACTGTCGCATGTTCGAGGCTCCTCGATGACAGTAGAACCCAAGGTCTAAGACTCCCCTGGACTCGCTAAACGACCTGCAGAGATCACCAAACCACTTTTCTCTCGTCATGGCACTTTCCTCTGGATGCTATGGCATAGAGGCCGGAAAAGCGCTCCTGCTTCGCGAAGTCGCCCCAGTCAATTAACCTCGGACTTCAGGAAGAGCCACAGATCTCAGCGACCTTCTCATAGCTTCAGAAACCTGCCATCAACATTTCAAGCCTATCAGAGCAGGCAGCTTGCACTGCTCACACCCACACCTATCCAACTCCTGCATCAACATAGCATGAACATGCTTCGCAAACATTTCCCCCGATCTAAAGCGACCTCTAGCATGTCCATAGACGTAGTAATCACCGTTAGGGCTCGGAGCAGACTTTTCAGGTACTTGAGGACGAGCTTTCCAATACAGTGCGTATCCTCTAGGTAAGTCAAGAAATACAATGTCGTGTAGAGCGAATTTCTGCCCTGTGTGAGGGTCGGTGAAGAAGTCTGGTTTTGCTGTTGAAGGTATTAGTGGGAGGTGAAGAAAAGGGGAAGCAGTCATCTTGTACCATATGCAGTTGATATACGAGAGAGGAAAGGAGTGGGGTTGTGGATGCGCTGCATGGAGGCATCGTTGATAGGCCATTGACTAGGACTACCATCGCTGTCGCAGCGGCTGAGGGTGAAGGTGTTGCCATTTGGGTTGAAAGGGGCGACATAAGAGGAGAGCCCTTGCTGACCAGTATTGCTATCATGATTGATGGGAAGCGGAGAAGGCTGATAGTGAGAAAAGCCCGTAATCTGCTGGCTCAGGTTGTTGCCCTGCTGGTATTCAGAGGGTACTTGAATTGCGATGTAGTTCTGGAAGTCGAGGGGCATTTGGCCACTGTTCGGTTGAATGATTGGCTGCTGTCCCTGGTCGTAGTTGTTTGGTCGATCAGGAAGAAGGTGTTGATCGCGATAGTGCGTATTGGGTGGACCAGGGAATTGTTGCCCCTGACAGTATGGGTTTGGCTGGTTGAGAGGGTTTTGCTCCGGATAGGCAACATCGAGCTGAGCGGGGAGTTGTCCCTCCGAGTTGTAACCATTATAAGGGCGGTCAGGAGGTTGAGCCATGACTGCTCTTTCGAAGGCTTGCCCTGACTGGACTCTGGGTGGGCAGCAGCCTCACTTATAACCAGAGTGTGCTTGCTGCATGTGATGTTGCAAGTGACTCGTTGATGGTCAATTTGCAGCGACATAAGAAGTTGTAGGATAATCAACATGTCGAGCGAAGACAATGGCAGCCATGATGATGGCACAACGAGATTGGCCCACAGATTGATACTGCCACTATCCTGTAAGCAAGGTGCACTTTGCGGAAAGAAAGGTAACGGACAAAGAGATGTTCACATACTATCGGATTGACCTATACCACTTGATTCGTCAATCAGAGGGTGAACAAGGCCTGGTCTTTACTTTTTTGTACCTCCCAACGGAGCTTGACTGAAAGACAGCACTTCGCTGTCCGTAAAACATTTTCTCTGCAGAAATTGCCGGAGTCTCATTCGTCCTTGTGATCTCTCTCTCTTACTCGCATAAATCCAAAGGGGTATACATCCGCATCCTAGACCATCTCACATGACTAACAACGCCTTGCCTAAACACCGGAACACCTGTTGTCCTCCCATTACCATATCACCGTCAATCTTATTCCCAATGTCTCTCAAAAACCCAAGCTCTTAAATCCTCTTCTGTGCCGGCAAGTTGTTGCGATAAGAACGATGTTCTCCTCCTTGTGTAAAGGCGCGCTTGATGGCGATGCCAAAGATGATGAATGGGAAGGCGAGCACATAGACAAGGGCGTCGGACATGCGTTCCATGAAGGTGCGGTTATCGCGGTTGGGACTCGTCGTCGGCATTGTGGATTGTGTGTGTGATAGTGTGGTCGGCTCTCAGGGACGTGTGATGCAGGGTTTTGTTTGCAATCAATTGTGTCGTGGGAAAATTGACGCGATAGAATGTGCGATTTGATCCTGTTCGTGTTTGTGTTTATAGTTGTAGAGGTGTGAATTGTGCTGTACTGTTTGGCCGGCTGAACTTGTTGCAAGGTACTAAGTAGATATTTGGGGCTGTGGTTACCAGAGTGAAAAAAAGGAGCCGCGCGATTGCTGCCTTTGTTATTCTATTCGATAGCGGCAAGGGCTATTGATTTCATGATACACCCTCGTGGCAATGACATCACCAGCCTCTCAATTCACAGCCTCATTGCCGGATGTCGCGGACTTCGGATACGTGTAGCACCGTGTGCACCAAGGGCACAAGACACAAATCCGATCATCTACTTCTTTGCAGGTAGCATCGCCGCTGCATCTTTGTGCAGCGCAACGGAGGGTGCAATGAAGGTTGATCGAAACAAGAGCACATTGCCGAAGTCTGAATAGCTTGGCTTTGGAGTTTGTCCCTTCTGCTCAGTCGCCACAGGGTTGCCCTATTTTATCGAGTAATCACTTTCAAAATCTAACCGAAGGTAATAGTTGTAACGAGGTGTTTTTCTCTCAAATCTCTTCTTGAAGCTCCTTCTATATCAAAAGACTATCTCTCACATCCCCAACACGAGCCAGCGAAACAATCTCCGACGGGGTGTAGAATCCCATCCAGACAATACCTTCAACGTCGTTGTGTGGACACAAGACTTGCATCTGCTCAAATCTTGGTCCCTTAACCTCGCGTGTAGGTGCACGTAGAACGACGCTGATTGGTTCGTCCTGGAGTCCAGAGAGCTTGTACGAAGCTGTTGCATGTACAGCTTGCCAGTGCCCCAGGAAGTAGTTGTGCTTGGTCGCGTGCGTACGGGAGCATCTGGTATCCACGTGCTTAGAACACAGAGGAGCTCCAGCCCCTATGTCAAGAGCAAGAGGTGGCAGATTCTGACATGTCCCGGAAGCTTCATGACGCTAGCGTGGGGCTTCGTCGACAAATCCTTTCGGGCAACCATAGTGACACGGGTAAGAGTACTTCTACTCGTAGAGCCAAGCAGTGTGGTGCGGTACTTCCATATGTACGTAGAAAAGCCCTAGTGTGGCGTCTGCAGGTAGGATGTGTTGACACCAGGGAATGGGACATTAAAACCGACAGTTGGCGAGGAAATCGTCGTCTTTGTCGGCTGCCTCGAACGCAAATCGCTGTACGAACTCTGGGTTGGCCCCCTGTGCTGTGCAACGGTCTCCATGTACAGTTCGTGTTCTCCAAGATGAGAAGAAGGAGGATATACGGATGAATCAGTAGAGAGGCCAGCAGCAGAGCTTTGGTGTATCTCCTGCTACCCGACTGTCGAAGCCAAGTTCATACTGGAAGATACCAAGGAAAGTAAGGTCCTCAAAGCGTGTACGGCGTGAGGTAAGAACAACCAGGTCGAAGTCAACGATAAAGTCGTTGGAGTAACACTAGCCGCACAGAAGAGCGCGAAGGGCCTGAAATGAACGTGCGAGAAGTGGTTGCCGGACGAACATGAGTCTCCGTCTACCGTCTGAGTAAACGTTGCGTACGAGATCAAACAGAACGCCTGACTGCGGACATGAGTTTGGCTCGCATTGCTCAAATACCATCTGGCCAAAGCTTCAAAATCAACTGGGGTAGAGCCTCTCCTCTTCCTCGGACTTTGCACTGCCAGATATCCAAATGTCTTTCCATCCTCGCGACCGGAACCTTGATCCGGCCTTTTGCTGTCCTGTTTGTATCAACGCTCTCAGTCCCTTCTGGTTGGCAAACCCTGTCACGAAACAGACAATCCAGAACATGAGCGCGACGACTGCATACTTCCACTTTCTGGATGCAGCAGGCACACTGATTTTGTTCGCCGCCACGGTCTTCGAGCTGGCTAATACATTTCCAGCTTTATCCACCGCGATAATGCGCAAAAAGCCGTAGTCACCATCTGGCATTTCAATCTTTGTCTCGAACCCGTCTTTGTTTGTGTTGACAGCATCGGTGAAAACGATTTTATCACCAGAAGTCGCGTTGGCTGTTTGCAGCTTCCAGCCTGTAACTTCTGTCGCGCCGTTCCAGCTCACAAAGGCATATCCATCTTCGTGATCGAGATAGATGTCTGGTTGTGTATTTGGGCGGCCAATCCAGGTGGCGGCTCTGAACGCGCGGTAAGAGTGGACAAATCCAAAGGGGAAGAACATAGCCGGGTTGATGTGAATATCACAAAGCACTGCACCATCAGAACTGTACTCGGTGAAACCTGCATGATAGCCCCATCCCAGTAACACATTGCCAGAGTTCAGGACTTGCATGGAGCCTTGTTGAGGTGATCCTCTCGCTCCAGGATTCATGTACTCTTGGACAAGCTCGACAGTCATGTTGTCGGTATCCAGCTGTACCAGTAGTCCGCGGCTTATCTCGCCGTTACTTTCCAGCAGCTCTTCATGCCATTTCCTATACCTCGTGTTGTCGAATATGCTCAGCCGATTGTCGTCTTGTACGGAAACGTGGTGTTGCCAAGCAAAGTCTGTAGCATAGCCATCGGATAGATCCTCGAAATCATTGTTGCGACCTCCCAATGTCCAGAGAAGCTTTCCAGTCCTGGCCGAGATGCACGCAATACTGTGCATGAAGCGAGACGAGACAATGTAGTCGCCGTTAATATCCTTGTCAACACTGTTGATATGAAAGAAGTCGAACGGAGCTTCGGGACTTCTGCCTGCGGCATCTATAGGATAATAGGTGTCGTTGACGGCGAAATGGTCTGAAGCACGCCATTCAAAGATGATCTCACCAGTCTCGATGTCAACCTCACGAAAAAGACTATCGTAGATCCAGCCTTGGCCTTCAACTCCTAGGGTCGACAGATCTCTTGCAACAGTGTCGTAACTGGTAAGTAGGGCTGTGTTGTCGGTTGTGATGGCGTACTCATGGAAGTCATTCTCCAGCGTGCTCGCTGCAGAAAATTGTTTAAACACCTGGTAATGAGAGTCGAGCTGCGGATCATACATCAGCATGATTAGCAAGTCAGCGTGAGTGAACCAATACTGACCATGTAATACGTGCCGAGCCCGAAACCAAGACTGATGTCTCCGGACCAGAAAGTTAGGTATTGCTCGCCCTTATACTTCTGCACCTTGAGGTTCATCACGTAGGGACCGAAACTCTCGTCCATCCAAACCAGTTCTCCGTGTCCACCTAGCATGATCGCAGCTGGTTCAGAAACTGCAGTGCCGCGTAAACTCAGCAAAGTGTACCCTTGGGCACATTGTTCATCCCATTGGACAGTGTTGGTGAGCGGCGGGTGCAGAGGCGCTGATTTGAAAGACTGCTGAGGATATCGTCCTAGAAGACCCCATTCGTATGCTGTCGATCCCCAAGACGCACCGGAAAGATTTCGAGTGCCTTCGACGAGAGCTGACAAGAGTGTGAATGCTACCAAGACTAGCATCTGGCAGGAGGATGGACATGCGAACGACCAGGGCATAGTTGAGCAAATGTGTAGTGAAGGCAAAGAATGAAGATGGTCCTGATATTGGCAGGCGGGGACCAAGCCATGAAGAAGTTTCCTGAACGAAAACACCCCCCCATTACGCCCTCAAATCATCTCGCCCTACGTACGGTGCTGTCGTCGCCCTCGGGAATAGGGCAGTCACAGTTATCGATCGCCATCTCTGCCATTTAGGAAGACTCCGGAGACCTTGACGCTTGGCCCGCGGGGGCTATTTGGGTGATATCGATCCTGATCCTACCTGTGTGGGGAGAATTCTCCGATATGGCACAAGGCTGCACTGTACCTGGGAAGGCTGAGGCCATTTCATATGTATCGACTCGGGCGCGTTCACTCGTGAGGAACGCGATATCGATCTGAGCTCACAAACAATATCATAAGCCACATGAGGATGCGTGTGGAGTCTGTCAAGCGTGATGAACATTTGTGGTGGCCGCCGCGGTGGTCGATTTTTTTTGAGTAGCTGTCGCGTGCCCATGACGACAAAGACTTGGCTGCCAAGTTGGAATCAACGCGGCTCTCGAGACTGCCTTCTGTCATGAATCGTGTTGACGAGGGATCCTTCTTGATATCTTCTGGTTTTCCACACCGACCCAGCATAGGTTATATGTCTGCAGCGTACATGATCTTTCAAACTAAAAAGTGCTAGAGCTGTTACTCAAGTAAATTGCATGGTTGTTTTTGGGAGAGAATTGGAAGGAACAGACGAAGATCATGATGGTCTGCTTGTTGTCAACGGTCAGCTTCCGCGGCCTGCTAGTAGCCGAAAACGGCGAGCGCTTAAATTCTGTCATTCTCGGACACTCACCTCCAGCCACCAAAGAAGAGCGGCGACACGCTGTAGCAAGGCACAGGGATTTCTTGTATCAACAAGACCGGCGCTGGGACCTGAGCAAATGACATTCCTCAGCAATATCGGTACAAGTTGAGAAAGCATTGTGCTTCGGAACAAGTACAAGAGAGACAGTGTTCAGCGCAAGAGGAAATTATACCAATTGTTGATAGTGAAGCTCCGCGCGCTCCAAGACACATACCGGAAGGCAATCGAGTCAACGAATACGCTTGAGATACAGGCTATGATCTAAGCTAATTCTCAGCGAAACCGTGCGAGACATTGTATAGGAAGTATTGACATCAGGTATGCTTCATCCTGGTGTTATTGGCGAACGAGCAAGCTCTTGCGATGATCTAAGCACGTCAACTCGGACTCCATAGCAGAATAAATCTATCCTCATACCCACCTCTAGAGTAGACGAGTCACCAGAAGCGCTTCACTCATCACTTGATGTATCCACCTCCCATAGCTGTCTGCGCTACCTTGCCCCAAAAGCCTTTGCCCTCTGATTGGCTTTTGTGCCAGTCCATTTCTGCCTTCAATGCCGGGTTGACTCCCTTGGCTCTCAACTCTTTCTTCGTTTCCTCGTCGTAGTAATTTTCCCAATCGACTGGTTTACCGGTGCTAGGATCGATCGGTTTCGCGGAAGTGTTGGTGTTGGGTGTGATCCCCCATTTTGACGCCACATCAGCATCTGCCGCGTTTTGATTTGTTGTCGAAGTTTGCTGAGGCATCGTGTTCTCTTTGACGAGTTGTGGTGTTGTGGACTCTGGGCCCAATTGTGTTGGAGTGTGGAGGACCCCACGGGGCCTTCGTACTATTTAGGGATGTCTACAACATGTTTGACGTCATGTAGTTCCGAAGGATTTTGGACTGTGCCTTCTTTCCTGTGATGATCATCCTTATTCCTACCGAACCATCCATCTTGGTATGTCAGAACTTCTGTTATTTGTCTCTGCTGCGGTCGCTCTTGCTAGATGACGGTGGCAGACTGAGGCGTCTTCGAGACTGCGTTGGTTTACGACGCGTGCCGGAAGCGCGGAAGATTTCCGTTGTAGAGCCAGGCTGAATTGGCAAATACATGAGTGCACGTACGGCACCGCACCGCAATTGCTTCCATCTGAAAATCCCTGTCCGAGACATGATACTGAGGTCATTCACAGATTTTTGCGACCGACTATATTGTTTAAATACAATAGAAGGTCTAATTGAAGCCTACAGCTAGCGGACATCAACGCATACCCACCACCAGTGCCCCCACAATCGTCATGCTCAACATTGCCATCTCCCGTGGTCCATGGAAGACCACACGAGATCTGCCAATGCGCCAATCCGCATATCTCCTTTGAGAAGTTTCATGAACGGTAAGTCTGCTGCAAGCTCCCTCCAAGCCCAGCTACGAAGTTCGGCAGTTATCATGCTATCCATGCCAAAGTCTGCCATCGGGCGCTCCAGCGACGTGGTAAGCTTATCCAGTGAGACCAACGTGAGTTTAGAAAATTGTTGGAGCACGAGATCCTTGACTGCGAGTTGAACTGCGTTCTCGTTGTTTGACGCCGCTGCTGCTCTGAGCCTTGTCACTGTATCTAGTGTTTCGTCACTTTGAGACACAGCGCTCCCTTCGCTAATCTGCGCAATAGCAGTGGCTATATTGCAGAAACGAGGATCTGCGAGCCATGATGACTGCATAGCCGATCCGGCGAGCATGCCTGGTTCCAGGCCCGTAATGATTTGTGCAACACTGAGCGGGTCGTGTTTGGACATGGATGAAATGGCACCTCGAGGTCTGCAAGCAGTCTCCATCATTCTCAAGAACTCATCTTCGGGGATACCATAGATGTTCCGCTGCTCGAAAGCTTGCTTGACTTCAGGATGATCCTCCACATGTCCGACTCCAACAATCATTCCAAGTGCAATAGAACACGCTTCCATACCCAAACTCCAACGGTGTCGGGCCATGGAGTCCAAGAAAGCATTTGCAGCAGCGTAGTTGCTCTGTGTCGATGCACCAGCGATACCAAGAGTCGAGCTAGTCATGACGAAAAAGTCTAATGGTTCGTGATATAGTGCCTGGTGTAGGTTGATTGTTCCCTGTATCTTTGGAGACAGAACACCCTGCCAATTTTCGATGGACATGTCGTCGAAGAATCTGCTATGTAACGCCATGGCTAGCTGCATGACTCCTCTGACGGGCGTCTTGGCTAATGAGACGATGCGATGCACATCTTCAAGACGACTAACGTCACCCTTGACGACTATACTTTCGGCGCCCATTTTTGCTAGCTCTGAGATGAAGCTTGCCACTACAGGTTTTTCGGCACCTGATCTTGATAGGAACAAAAATCGTCTCGCACCTTGTGAGAACATCCATCTCACCAGACTTCGGCCTAACCCACCAAGGCACCCAACTAGGACGTATGAGAACTCCGAGCTGAACTCAACTTGTTGATAAGGAAGATGAATGGGTACTAAATCTCCACGATCAAACGTGAGGACGATATCAGATGTCGCGTTTGGCTTCGCCACTGCAGCAACTGCACGCGGTAGCTCCGAAAGACTGAAGGTCGCGCTTGGGGAAATACCCTGGATTGTACCATGCCGCAAAAGATCCAAGACTTCACCCACAAGAGTCGTCGCCTTTTGAGATTGTGCCGCAATCATGTCGTTCATGTCAAAAGAAGACAGCGAGGCACCTCGCACAAAGACTGAAGGATTAAGCAAGCTGATATTGGGGAGCTCCGAGCCTTCCAGCGTATAGATGAGACGGCCGTCCTTCGCTAGGGTTTGCCAGATTGTAGGGGAGTTCGTGCTCTTTGGACATGTCAACGCTACATCGATTCCCTTGCCTTCTGTCAAGATGTTCGTCTGCTGCGTCAGCATCAAGCTCAGGATGCAGGATGCATACGATACGACATCTGGGTGTTCATCTTGGAAGGAGATCTTGCCTTCCTCTGAGTCAAACGCTAGAATAACGCTGCATTCAGAAGCTTGCGCATATCGTGCTATTGCGATGGCTATTGCGTCCGGTAGACCTTCGGCCAGTATTATTTGTCCTTTGCGTATGTGAGCTATATTACGCATGGTGTGAATTGCCACGCAGTATGGTAACAATGAGGTGATGATGTCTCCTGCATCTTCCTCAGAGAATAACGCCTCACAAGCACTTTCGCTCACGACGAAAGAGCTATCGAACCTGCCTGGATAGCAACAAATGACTCTGTCACCTGGTTGAAGTCTTGTAACTTGGGCCCCGCTACACTGTACTGATGCAACGCATACATTGCTGAAGTAGTCTGAAACTTGGTTTCCTTTGAGGATAGCTGCTTCACGAGGTCCAAGGGCGTATGCCAGTGGTGTCAACTGAATCTCATCCGGTTCGATGTGAAGGGAAGACACGGGCTTCCTCTCAAAGTAGAAGCTTTCCACACGGCCGACTTGCCGGAAAGTCAGCTCTAGATTGTCTTCCATCTGGCACATCATTGGTTCAGGCTTCAATTGGTGTTCAGCATCGCGGTTCAGGTCGCTATCCAGAACGTATCGACCCGCATACACGAAACCGCTAGCAACAATAAGTTGGTCATCGAGGACACAATCGACATCTTCGCATAAACGGTGCTCATGGTGGACAATGGCTGTTGCCAGAAATACGTCGTCGGCATCATCGGGATCCACATCGATACTCGACAGCCGAAGGGAAGGCTGTGCCTTTGTAATGGACTTTGCCATACCAGAGATGATCGAGAATTCTGGGACCTTGCCTTTCAGAAGCCCACCTCGTGTAACCCACATGAGAGACGAGGCCATTCTGAGTAGTGCCTTCACCGCGCATAGTTCTTGACTGGTCATGTCAACGAGCAGCGGACCTTCGAGCTCAGCCATCACAAGAACTCGAGAGCCCTTGGTGATACTGAATTCTGAATCTGCTAAAGCAACGCGCCGAGTCTCGATGCCCTGATCCTTGGCGCGAGCTTCGACAGCTTTGGCTAGTGGACAGAAAAATGTTTTGTATACGAGCAAGAGTTCGGCGTCATTTGAGACGGACATGAGGCCGGAACTAGTGTTTGTTGGCAGGAGATCTCCATCAATCTGGTCTTTGTCGATGATAGGTTGCCAAACAAGCCGCGTAAATGGCTCGCGCGCTCGTTGAGACTCCTGGTCAGCGAAACCACCTTCGAGGGACATCAACGAGATCGTCATCTGCGCTATCAGGACATGGTCCGAACTAAAGAGTTGCGAGGATCCATGTACAGATCGCATGCCACGTTGCGCACCATGGCTAGAAAGCAGACACCAATCTGACAGTTGGGATGAATCTGATGTCCGCCATATTGCCAAATTGTCGACTGTGGTAGGAAGATACGCCTTCGAAATGCCTCTAATGTCACCTTTACACGCTGCGATGACAGCGAGCTGTATACAGCCATCCAGTGTCGTGGGATGGATTGCGTAATGAGATTCCTGGGTCATCAAACCTTTGGTTGTCTGCATGTTGATCTGCGCAGTCGCGCTGTTGTCCTTCGCATTGGTACTAATCTGTCTCAGGGGACGAAAACTTGGGCCATAATGCAATCCGATCTTGGCGAGCGCCTTGTACCAGTCTCCATGACTTGCATCTTCAGGGTCGGCCTTATAGACATGGTCGTCAAGAGTGCTTGGTACTGTACTTTGCTCGTGAAACACAATTCTTCCAGCAGCATGTTCAGTCCACCCGTCGTCTGCGCTGGCCGAGCTCAGATTGAAATCGAACGTATTATGACTCCCCTGTGACGTAGAACCACCCGCTAGATGAAGATCGAATAGAATTTCAACCTCACCTTCCGACGGAATTACCAGCGGCGTCTTGATCGATAGGTGCTGAATTATGTAGCCGCTAACCACTGCTCCGGCGAATTCAGCAGACTGCGTCACTGCTTCTATTGCCATGGCACAGTATCCAGCTGCAGGAAAGATCACATCATCACCGATGCGGTGATCCGATAGCCATGGGACGTTTCTAATCTTCAACTTGTTACGCCACGTCGGATTGAGAGCAGAGGAGACCACGACAAGAGAACCCAACAGATCATGCCGGGCGTGCTCCCGAAATCGCAAACCTTGACTCAATCTACTTTCGTTCCAAAGATGGCCGCTCTCATAGTTCCATTGATAAGTGGGTAGGTCTGGCAAGTGTCTATGCCTCTCTCCAGCCAAGCCGTTCACAGCTGCCATATTTATTGGGTAACCTGCACTCCAGAGGTTGCCAGCCAAAGAGATGAGGTTCTCAACATTATCGCCATTGCGGATGATGCTAGGCATGTAACAAAGCCTTTCTGGCGTTATTCCAATTGCATTTCGGATCTGTTTTATTGGACCGGATAGTGCAGAGTGCATTCCAATCTCAATCAGACAATTAACAGTAGGCTGTGATGCAATTAGGGACGACAAGGCGTGTGTGAAGTTGACTGGACTCTCCAAATTTTCCCTCCAGTATCCAATCCGAACTTGATCTGAACAGCTCAAGACCCTTCCATTGATGCATGAGTACATCGGGACCTCGGATGGTGTTTCAGGAGAAGTTTTCGCGAACGAGGACTTGAAGAAGTCTTCGTAGTATTGGCCAGCATCCTTGACAAGGTGCGAGTGATATGCATTGCCAGAGGTATCGAGTATTCGTGAAAAAATACCTTCCTTGTTGAGGCGAGCATGTATCCTACTAATGATGTCCACATCACCACTGAGAGTAACACTCTCGGGCGAATTCTGGCAGGCAATCACTACATCCGACTGATTTACCAGATAGAGCATAACTTTGTCGGCACCTAGACCTACAGCCATCATTGCTCCAGGTCTACCATGCTCGCTCACTGCAATACCACGATAGTAAGCTATCGCGATGGCCTCAGTTTCTGTCAACAGTCCTGCTGTAAATGCTGCGGCGACTTCGCCAGAGCTATGCCCAACAACAGCTCTTGGGTGTATACCCCAGGATCGGAGGAGGACGACTAAAGCGATCTGAAGTGCAGTGCTCAGTGGTTGAGCAAGAGCCGTTTCGTGCATACGACTTTGCTTTGCTGGCTTCGATAATTCCTCGACCAGACGCCAGTCCGGGACGATCGACTGTGCGTCAAGTGCAGACTGTAAAACAGCCATTGTTTGACGGACGATAGGATACTGCTGGATCAACTTGGAGCCCATGGTCGGCCATTGCGCACCTTGACCTGTGAAGACGAATGCCACAACCAAAGCCTCCAGCGGTGCCTCGACTCCGTACTGCACTCTATCTAGAAGAGACTGCGACTCGACTTCCGTACCAGCGATCGTTGCAAAAGCCGTACATGAAAGTCTGGTTCTTCTATTAGCCAGAATATATGCAACACTCGCTGCAGGATGTTTATGAATCATGGTTGCTAGTGCAGCAATATTCTTCTCAAGGGTAAGCCGATCATGAGCTGAGAATACCAACAGGTACCTCTTGAGCGTCTGTTCCATATTCGTGATAGTGTCAGCTTTCAAACGGGTAATTACGGTATCATAGGACTCTTTCAAGACTGAGGGTGTGCTTTCATAGCCTTGAGCAGGCCGGATAAGGATCTCAGATGACTCGATAATGCAGTGCGCATTCGCACCTCCGTATCCAAAAGAGTTGATGCTCACTCGTTTGGGGAGCTTTGCTGACCAGGGTATAGTTTTTCGAACAACAGCAAGTCGGCCATCTCTGAAGTCGATAGCCGTGTTGAGAGTCTCGACCCCGACTGTGGCTGGGATCAGAGAATTCTCAATACTCAATACTGCCTTTATAACGCTTGCAAGCCCGCTTGCACCTTCGGTGTGGCCTATGTTTGTCTTGACTGAACTCAGAAATAGGGGTTCGTCTGGCGTCCGACCATCGGCAAAAACATCCGCAACGGCCATCGCCTCTATTGGATCACCCACCTGCGTTCCAGTTCCATGACACTCGAAATAACCAGTCTGTCTAGGATCCAGGTTTGCATTAGCATATGCTTCTCTGATGACATTCGCTTGACCTTCCCAACTGGGATGATTGATGCCTTGGCTCTTCCCATTACTGTTCACTGCGGTGGATCTGATGACCGCACGGATGTGATCTCCGTCAGCCACAGCGGTTGAGAGCTTCTTCAAGTATACTGCACAGATGCCTTCGCCTCTACCAAACCCATCCGCACGCTCGTCGAAAGTGTGACATGTCGATGATGGAGACAAAACTCCAAGTCGCACACTGGCGATGTGCTGCTCGATGTCGTTTATGATGTTCGTGCCCCCTACCACAGCGGCTTCAGAATCGCCGACGATCAAACTTTGACATGCAAGGTGCAAGGCGTAGAGAGAAGATGAGCAGGCTGTGTCGACTGTCATGCTTGGTCCTTTGAGGTTGAAGACGTAGTTGATCCGGTTGCTCAAGATTGTCATGTCGCTGCCGGTCATCTCATAAGGTAATCCATATTCCAAGTCTCTTGAAACCATGCGTCGCATGTCATTGGTGAAGCATCCAACGAAGCACGATGTTTTTGAACCGGAGAGCTCCTCGAGAGTGGCTCCAGCATCTTCGAAACTTTCATACACCACCTCGAGCAGTTTGCGTTGCTGGGGGTCCATCGAAGAGGCCTCGAGAGGGCTTATTCCGAAGAACGAAGGATCGAACTGGCGCAGGTGATCATCGTGGCTAAGAAAGTATCCTCCAAGTGTATGTATGCTTCCGGGTCTAGTGCCATCAGGATGGTACCACGCATCAAGATTGAACCGGTTTTTGGGCACTTCTGACCATGCGGATTTGCCAGGTCTTAACAAGTTCTCCCAAAGTTTGGACGGTGTGTAAGATTCTCCGGGCAATCGACAAGCTTGGTTATTGTTACTTGCTAGGCTTTGAATAACTGCTCAAAAGTCTTACCAACTCCCACAATAGCGATAGGCTGGTAGTCACTGTCTGGCAGCCCGAAGAGATTGTTATCATTCGTCATTGTGTTTGACTTTCAACTGGGCAAGTCGTCTCTATCTGTCATGAAAGCAGGAATAGTGGGCTTCGCAGCTGCTCAGGCAAGTGCGAGACGATGTGTGGGCCATCTTCGACCTTTGTGCCGAGATTATCTCGCCACGTTCGCTTGTGTGTGCTATCATGACCATGTCTGCATATCAGGCAGCCAACAAGCGCAGCGCAAGGATATAGTTTGTAGAAGGATGGACGCTGCAGGTGGTGGGTGTCCCGGCGCGAAATTTACAACAGGTCTGTGCGCAGACACCTGCATGCCCTCCCATCGCGTCGCAGTTTATCTTGAACCTTGGAATCACGTCTGCTGTTTTCAAAGAAAACATTTCTTGACATCTACAGAAGACTCGCATAGCATGACATACGATCGAGTCACCATTAGCAGGATCAGAAACTCCTGACTTTGGGGGTTTTCGTGATGACCTGGTCACCGGTACGGAAAGACTGAGTTATATTGTGGCTTGGTGCCAACCGACGCCGACATCATCCTTCGATTGTGTGTACGAATGCAAGGTGATATTCACTGTGCAAGCAGTCCAAAGTGGAGGACGGAGTACCTGAGTCTACACTTCTGCATCTTTTGAATTGGCAACAACCTCGATCGTCGCTCTTTCCACCAAGGACTGTCGCAAGATTTTCCCGCTGGAGTTTCTTGGAATCCTTTCCACAAACACCACGCCACCACGCAAAGTTTTGAAGCTGGCCAGCTTGTTTGCGACAAATTTAATCAACTTCCGCTCGTCGGTCCCAGAAGGATTATTGTCGATGGATACGACGTATGCTCTAGGATATTCATCTTCAGACTGCCTTCCACCAATGTGAACACCAACCACGGCCGCATCGGCAATCATCGGGTGCGTGAGCAGTACATCCTCAATTTCATCTGGTGAGACTTGCCATCCACGCACTTTGATCAGCTCCTGAAAACGGTTAGCCACCATCTGTGTCTTATCGAAGAAGGACTAGATCAAGCAACACCTTCAGACGCCCACTGATGTAGACGTTCCCTTGCTTTATATAACCTAGGTCTCCTGTCCTCAGCCAATCCCCATCAAACGCCTTGGCAGTATCGGCAGCGCGATTGAAGTAACCATTCATCAATGAAGGTCCTCGGACCTGTAACTCGCCATGGACGCCTTGGTCACTAATCTCGGAGCCTTGTTCGTCCACGACTCTGCCGAGATGTCAGTATAGGTATGCCAGGCCTTCAGAACACGATAATCACCTCGCTTCAACGTTTGACAATAATGAGCCTACGCTTCCACTGCGATCTTTTGTATCCCACCCGGACGAAGTGATGCGACCAAACTCTGTCAATCCCCAGACTTGAGATATGATGGCTTCCTCATGCAGCAGACCATACATGGCATCCCTCAGAGCCGATGATAAGGGTGCTCCGGCACACCAAACTCGGCGTAGACTCCCAATCACAAGTGGTGAAATCTTCTGTTTAACAATATTTGCTAGGAGAGCAGGCACGGCGGCAATATCAGTAATGTTGTAACGATCGACCATACTTGTGAAAACTTCGCTATCGAACCTTCGCATGATGTACGTACGTGTGCCATGACGAAAGGCAGAAATCTGGACGAACGAAGCTCCAAAAGCATGAAACAGTGGGAGACAGATAAGCTGTGATACCTGGAAATATTCACTGTTCGAATGTTGCATGGAGACACCTGCTGCGACGAGAGCATAATGGGAGGTCGCTGCTACTTTTGGCAGTCCGGTGGTGCCGCTCGTCGACAGATACGTGGCGATGGTCGACTTCGCCCTCCTTGCATCCTCGAATCTGATCCAGTCTTGTTCTCCATGACAAAGCAGGCTACTCCACCATCTGTAGCCTTCAACGACAATGGGCTCAGCATCGACACTGAAAATGAACGTGCAGCTTGGAGATATTACTCCCTGCAGACTAGGTAGGATGTCCGCTAGAAGATTGTCCTCAACGACAATGAATGTAGGCCTCGTGATCGTTAACAAATGACTCATTTCTGAGGCTTTGTAGGCAGGATTCGATCCGACAAAGATGCCACCAGCACCGATTATGGCAAAGTAGATGATCGGATAGAGGACCTGACAATAGTTCAGCCACATTTGCAAATAGTTCTCTCTTACACTGACATGATTGAAGACATGTACGCATACAGCATCTCCTGGTCTCAGTCCAGCCGCTCTCAAGCCAGCAATAATTCTGCGTACCAAAGAGACAGCTTGTCGAGTATTCAGCCGATTTTGATCGTCAACGGCATCAATCAGAATCTACTAAAAGGATTAGTCGCTTGCCATCTCTTGTGAGTAGCTGCATACATCTTTCTCCAGATCTACAACACCGTCAAACAACCAGGAAAGAAAGTCTGTGGGTGGTATCGCACGATATTCGCTCGGTTCAAACACCATTGCTTGTTAACGGTGAAGTGTTTTCAGATGTCAGAAAGGGACCACCTTGAGATTGATGCATGTAATATAGCCAGTAGCAATGCTGACTGCCAAGTACGCTACAAGCGCCACCCTATAAAGATTCATCCAATAAGCGCTCCGCGTTCTAATCTTGCGCAGTGGTCATATAGATTCTCGTTAGAGTGTGCGTCTCGTAGGGGGCCTGAAGACGATGGGTCCTTGAGGAATAGTATGTTGTATTGTTGTGCCTCTTTCTCCCCGCCATACTCCCACTTCGAGTTCAAGTTGTGTGCGAAGCAAAACCTGTCACGCTCATCAACATGAGCTGGGGTAAGCACCACGACCAAGATAAGCAGAATCATAACATGCATGCGCCTGATGCTGAACGTCTTATCGATCATTCGCATAGAAGTCACTCGAGGAGCATAATTTCCAGTATACGAAACACGCTTTCTAAGCTGCAGCTTTCGAACTTACATATATCCAGACTGTTCGATTAGGAGGCTAGACCGGAAAACCTGCGTAACAGGAAAACACAGTTCGCAGATAGATAACACTCGATTTATCTTCGCAGCTCTGAGTATAATACTGCTGCTCGCTTGTCATGCGGACCAAACCGACATTTGCACAACAAAACTACTATAGTAAAGTCACAGCCAAAACATGGGCACCACAAAGCTCTGCCGAAGCTTTTTTACAAGACAAGTGGAGGATGCCATTGCGAGGACACCGCATCGGTAAAAATGTCAGACTGCTGTAAAAGCGTTACGATGGTGTTGACAAAGCTCCTCGTGTAGAGTAAATCTTTTGCACAAGTTCGCGGTGCTTATCAAGAAACCTCCTTGCGAGAACTTAGCCAGGAAGTGGCTGTCAGGAGGCATAGTGCCTTCAAGACAGACAGGAATGTTCTCTGGAAGCGATTGGCTCCGCATTCTTTGTTCGCCTATGGCCCTGCCTGTGGGCAGTATGCTCGTTTTGATGGCCACTGAATAGCTGAGACTTATGTGAGACCAGAGCTCATCATAGCTCTATAGCGAGTCGTCGTAAGCACATCAGCTTGAGGGCGGGAGATACGAGTCTGCGCATTGCAAGGCGATCCAGGAAGGCATCAAGGTGGAAGCTTAGAAAGCTTCACGTTATAAGGAGCTGCTTGAAGACCATCCTTTGCGAGTAGGCGGCAGGTTGGCGGCTTGGATGGGAAGTTCAGCATAACGTCCTCTCCTGCGTTCAGGTCTTGCTTCTGACATCGCGACCGGCGCTGCCGGAACTGCTTGCTAGTCACACGAGATTCTTTTCCCTTCTGTGGCGATTATGCTGAAGCCGGGCTGTGCAGAGACTTTTGACGAGGAGGTGTGGCCAGAAGCAGTTCGTTGGTTGTGGGTGACTGAGTTATGACCGACAACAAGGTCGCGAACGACTGGATTATCCAAGTTGCAATTGCCGGCGGTGCGTCACCTCAAGGCGGTGAGTGACTAAATTGTGTCGTCGGTGCTACCGGATTCTGTTGGGGACCTCGTATTAGTGATAGATTGCTGCTGCTGCGGTCCAGAGACCCGCCAGTCTTGTGTGTGGTCGATGGTGATCGCGTGCCCGCGGTGAACCTTTTCGAAGGATGCGATGGAGGGGAAAGTTCAAGCTGCAAGCTGTTCCGTGCATCTCTTTCACGTGGCTGCGTAGTCGTCATGGATGACGAATGCGTGGGTAAAGCGCAAGCGAGGCCGAGAGACCTTCGCACACTGCCAACTTGAACATGGAATGGTTCCTGCTGATCATGTTGTAGATCACAGTTGTTTGTTTACGTCTTGGAATTATTGAGCGACAAACGCAAAGACGACAAGTAATTATTGCTAAGATGCTGTGCGTGAGAAAAACTGCACAATCGATGGTCCATACATAATAGATGCAGCATCACAGAGGTAAGCAAGGCAAAGGTCAATGAATGGATGAGATCGATTGTCTCTATCTTGATGTTGTATGTAAAGAAATGTCGTGAATCCTAAAAGATCCCAAGTGGCATCTTTTGGTCGTCGAAGAAGTTACGTGAGAAGGAAATTCGTTCTTGCCGAGGCTGGCAGCTTGTCTCTGCTGAACATCACTCATACAGTGTACCGTGTTGTCCATGCAAAGGTCCCAACCTTTTTTATCCCAACGACCATCAGCGCCATGAACAACTTGATGCCCTCTTGAAGAGAAGCACAGAAAAGAAAAAAAACCCGACCAGCCGATGATTCTCGAAAGAACCCAGCGCGTAAAAAGAAGAAAGATCGCCAAGCCGTGAGAGCATCGCGATGCAACTCACACCACCAAGAATGTTCATTCAGAAGATGAAAGAAAGAGGGCGGAGGCCATGATCGGATGAGGCAAGCTCAAACAGCTCACGGGGCCGAAAGAAGAAGATTGTCATAAATCAGATCCGAGTCAAACATCGTGGCATTCAAACACCCGAATGTCAACATCCAGGGTGCTCGTCTAGAGAAATATTGCTCTAGTTGCCGTGGGGGTGACGGCGGTGTTGATGCTCGCGCTTGCCCCATGAGTGGGTCCACTGAGTGGTGGTGACCACGTAAGTGGCAGTCACGATAACATCAGCACTGTCGGCGCTAGGGGCCTGGGTGATGACAGAGGTCTGGAGAGTGGTGGCAGGAGCCTGGACGGAAGCGGTGACCCAGAAGATCTGGTGGGTGCTGGTAGGAGCCTGGCTGGTAGCGGGAGCGGAAGCGGTAGCCGAGTAGACAGAGTGAGACTCAGTGGACTCTGCGGCAACCGAGGTGGAAGCGGAAGAAGCGGCGCTGTCGTTCTGGTCCTCGCCGGAGCAAAGAGTGACGGTGATGATGGCATCGGCAGCGCAGGACTGCATGCCATAGGCATCATCGGTAGCGTAGCGGTAAGCCTGCTGCTTGGGAGTGCAGGCGCCAGAGTTGGCGGTAATCTCCCAGTTACCGTTCCATGGGTTGCCATTGATCTCGCTCAAGTCATACCAAATGGTTCCGTCGTTCTGGTAAGTGTACTCGTACTGCAGGATGTTGTCGAGCGAAGTGCTGTTGGAGAGCTTGATAGACCAGCCGTTTCCGTTGCTAAGCGAGGTCCACTTCTGGGTGTAGGTGTCGGAAGGAGACAGAGTCTTGTCGACCTCAGAGTAACCACCGTTGGCGGAAGGAACGTTGACGAGGGTCACGTCGTAGTTGCACTTGTTGACGACGATGGCGCTTCCGACAGAGTCGGCAGCGGCAGCGGCCACCAGGGCGGCAGTAGCGTACACAGAGTTCTTCATTTTGATGACTGGGGTGTTCAAGGACTGTCGTGAGATCGAGGTAAAGTGAAGACTTTAGTGGTAGAGACTGATGTGGCGAGCAGTGAAAGAGTGAACTGCACAGCAGCGTTGCTAACCAGAGCAATTTAGAGAGAGATAGACGGTGGTGATCCAGAGAGAAGCGAAAATACGAGCAGGAATCTGCTGTTCTTATGCGTGCTTTCGGTCCAGCCAGAAGCTCCCCACCAGACAGAGAATTGAAAAATATTGAGCCGCCCTAGGTGGAGCTTGGAGGTTGGACTTACCATGTGCTTTTTCACACGCGAAACCCTATCGAGGGATAGTGGCCGATGGATTGATCAATCACAGCAGGCAGCGAGTTGACAAAGACGGACATTGTTCTTTTGGGGGGTGTGGTAAGTTGATGCTACGGCCCACTCGGTCCAGGTACCCGGTCTTCCTGGCGCTGTCATTCGTGCGCCGTTTCAGGTACTCCCGGGACTTGTTCCTCCACCATTCGCTGGTACAGCGGCTGGTGAACGGTGCCATGCTGCAAGGTCTCGATCGAAGCCCAAGTCTGACTTAGTCGTCAGTTCCAGGTTACGTGCGGCATTCCCTGCGTGCATGGTTGGATTGGTCGGCTTGACATGGCTCCAGACATGCACGAAGTTATGCGCCGGGTGATACTGTTGACCATAGGAGCATTGGTTGTTGATGTATGAAGCACTCGCACATTCGCGTCCCAAGGGACGGCACACGAACATCAAGCATCTGCAAGACATGTACCGTAGGGCTCGAGGAAGGTTGTAGAAAACCCAATGTTCGCGCGCTAACGCCAAATCGAAAATCTGACGAAAACTCTTTATTGCCAGCATGCTGATTGGCTCGGAACTCTCGAAGAAATTTTCTTACCACTTTGAAATTTGCTCAGCGAACTTGCCGTCAATCTCCCGGCGCAATGGGTGTGGCCCGTTGGCGATTAATAGTGCTTGCGTCTTCGTGGGTGAAACCGTGAAGGCACTGACGGGTTTGCACCGTGGAGAGTCACTCGCCGAAAACTCCGAAGTCTCTTTGTGGGCCGTGGCTCATGGGTCCACTCACATCCACTTTGTCTCTTGGCGCTTGTGATCGAGGTGTGGTTCCACATCATCCGCGGGCTGTCTGCAGGTGCGGCAGAAGCGAGGAAGGAATTCCGTCCACAAAGCAGCGCGAGAGTTGTGAGTTTACCGTACTGCTCTCTACTCATCCGCGCTTCAGCACCACAAATTCGTCAAACCAGCATGCCCAGCCTCGTTCATCGGTTCGCTTGTCGTCCGCTCTGCGCCTCTGTGACTCGTGGCATTGCAGCCTTGTCGAGTTGTCATCGCGGAAATATGCAGAACGACATCTGCCGTGAGAAGATGACTGCCATCGTGGAGCGAGGCGCAGTTTACCGGACGAGTGCGGTTCACTGCAAGTGCGGATGAAGGCTGATGAAGTTGAGAGGTTGTTACAAATTCCAATTGGCTTCATGCCTCAACCATCGAAAGGTCTAGAGACTGGCAGTGCATTGAACCGAAATTCTGTACAGGCAATAGAGACGATAGACCAGTCTTGTGCGGTGTCTCAGGTACCATGGACCAGAGCGTTCATGTACAACGAGTCCATCAGTCCTTGCCTTACCCGGTCAACGCCTGCGAGAAAGTCGGGAAAGCGCATCTGTCGCTGCACACAACCGAATCTGACAGACTCAAGGCGGGGCTCCCAACCTCTTCACAGAATGTTAATCGACAGCCACCTGACAAGCATTCTACTATTCGTCCAAACGTTGCTTTCCTGGCGTCGCTGCATCGAATGCTTTAGCCTCGGGTGAGCGAATACCCCCCCACCACACCTTCTAACCTCTCTGCGCAGATTCGTGATTAAAAATTCCTTGACGCGCGAGTGGAAGCAGAGTGTGACACGTCAACGAATTCAACTCGCAAGTACAATCGACTTTGTACCTTTGTAGGGACTTTATCCACCCAACGTAACGTGCTGTCAAACTGGGTCCTGTCGAAAAACCTGCATCCTCCTGCAGCAACGTCCGCCGCAGGTCCGAGGGTGACTCGGTACGTCGCTGCAGTCTTTGTCTAACATCGCCAACGGACGAGTCATTCGAGTCAGCATAACTCAACAGTGTCTTTGTTCGAGAAACCAGCCATCCTTCGGGCAGATCAATCCCGCACAGCGTAGGACGGGATCTTATCGACCACCATCGTGCCCAAATCTTGGCTGATCCCGACAGCCGTCACAAATGTTGGGTCACCCTGCCACGCCAAAAGCAACCTCCAGCCTTCCCATTGACATGCGTGTTTGTACCTCGCGAGACGCATCAATACCGATGCTGATGACGACGGCCCCTTTCTGTTGCAGCTTTTTTTGTCAGACGTCATCAAGTAATGGTGCTGAAGCTTTCCATATTAGTGAGCTATTGCTCAAGTATCAAACCTGGGTATGAACATGCATCGTGTAGACTGACCGGGCAATTGTTGAAACACATCCGGAAGCTTGGCGTGCTTCAGAAACACCAAGACGTTGTCATACATATGAAAATTGGAGGCAGTTAGCAGCTACACTTCCTCATCGCGACCCTGCACACATGGGCGAAGAAAGAAGGGATCGACACACGAAAACCTCGCAACCGCCAGTACAAAGTATATACATGAGTGTACCACACTCTTGTCTTGCCCTCCCGAGCACAAACCGAACCAGGGTCTACCACGCCATTTTTGCAAGGATTGTCCTGGGAAACCTTCTGACAAGGAATTTCCTTGTCTCATCAAGTAGCAACAAGCCCATTCCGAAGGCGAAAGGCAAGAACCAATATTCGACTGGCACGATTGCAGTGCCAAGGACGCTGTGGAACTTGGGCACATACAAGAAGAAGATTGCGATAAGCATGGAGAAGATAATGGCCGGTAGCAGGTAGGGGTTTTTCCAGGGCGCGTGATTGAGGAGCGAGAGTCGACGGGTGCGGACACTCAAGAGGTTGAACCATTGCCTTGAACGACTGTTAGCTTGCTGTTCTGTTCCAGGCACAAACGCTGACTTACATTACGACCAAGTTGACAAAATAGATTGACGACGCGATGTTGAGAATGAGGTTCTTGGTGTCGTCTGACATTCCCGCAGGAGTTGCACCAAATCCGAACCACAGCTCTCCAAAAGACAGGCCACGACGTTGTGCGAACCAGTAACTGACTGTGAAAGAGAGCGCTGTTTCGAACAGACCAACGAAGCCGTACGCATGTAAGATCAGCTTCCAGTCAACAAGTCTGTCTTTCTTCGAGCGAGGCGGGCGGTTTAACACGTCCGCTTCAGGAGCCTCATACGCAAGAGCTACTCCGGCAGCGCAATCTGTGAAGCAGCAGATGATGATCATGAGGAAGGACGAAAGAATTTGTGGTAAACCAAAGACCACATTCGTCAGCACTGGCCAGAATTCGGAGAAACTACCGGCTGGCAACAAGTAGCAGATAGTCTTGCGAAGGTTGTCGTAAGCCACACGGCCGTATTTGACAGCCTCGACGATTGCCGCGAAGGAGTCTAGCAGTACCAAGTCAGCTGCTTCGATGGCAATGGTCGAGCCTGAGCCCATGGCAATGCCAACGTCTGCCGCTTTTAGGGATGGTGCGTCGTTGACACCATCACCTGTCATGGCGGTGACAAGCCCTCTTTGTTGCAAGTTCTTGACAATAACCAACTTGTCCTCGGGAATACAGCGAGCAAAGACAGCTTCTTGGTACTGACACAGTCTGTCCCATTGATCCTCTTCTAGATTTCTGATCTCCGATCCGCTGAGCACGATTGACCTTGCAGGTTCACTAAAATTGGCGTGTCCTTCTTTCGAGCCATGTGAATCATGAATACTATGATCATAATCAAGTGCATGAACGTCGTCGGTCTCTTGACTGATGATGCCGCACTCGGATGCGATAGCTTTAGCGGTGAGCTTGAAGTCACCAGTAACCATAAAGATGCGGATACCAGCGCCTTTCAGAGTCCTGACCACCTCTGGCATCTCTGGTCTCGGAGGGTCAACGATAGCAACTAAGCCCACAAGCGTCATACCAGAAGCGGCATGGGCCATCACGTATTCTTCGTAGACTTGTGGTTGCTCTTGCGGATTGAGCTTGACTTGGGTCAATGGCTTCTGGGCAAGCAGGAGAACACGTTTGCCTTGAGACGACCACTTGTTCTTGATGGCCTCGATTACCGAGCGACCTTCATTTCCGAGCTCTTGGAGTTTGCCATTCTGGTCCATGTATGTCGAACATTTGCCAATAAGAACGTCCGGAGCACCTTTGGTGGTCAAGAGGATGCCTTGTTGAGGGTCGTTGTCGTTCTGACAGACGCTGATCATGAACTTGTTCTTCGAGTTGAAGTCAATGCGGTATACCGTACGCCACAAACTGCGAAGTCGTGCCGTAGGCATAATGCTCTCGGCAAACATCAACACTGCTCTGTCCGTGGCATCACCATGAACTTTGCGCTCGGCGATTGGCTTGTCTCTGGTACTAGCATCGAATTCGCCAGCATTGCAGACACCACTCACCATTGCCAAGCGAGCCACGGTCGGCGTCTGATCGGCCATCTCGACTGCCTTGGATGCTGGGTGAGGATGATAACCGATACAGAAATCTGAGACAGACATCAAATTCTTAGTTATCGTGCCCGTCTTGTCTGAGCAGATGACGTTAACAGCACCAAGCGTCTCAACTGTCTTCAACGATTTTGCCAGGATCTTGTTCTTCTTCATGATACCAGCTGTGATCGTGAGACTGGCTGTAACAGCGATAGGTAGACCTTCAGGGATGAAAGCAACCGCAATCGAGACGCAATCGACGATCAGGGTGGGAACATTTATCCAATCTGGATAGTCTTTGCGCAGCCAGGCGGCCCAGACGATGATAACAAGAAGGATCATCGAAACCATCAAAGCGGTGATGATGCCGACAAAGATGAAAATCTCTCTTTGCAAAGGGGACATCTTCTCCTTGGAGTGACTAGTGAGCCTTGCAGTCTACGACGAGTTAGTGTCAGTGTTCGACCCCGGAACTTGAAGCAAACAATACCTTTCCGAAGACAGTGTGATCACCTGTGCTGATGACAACTCCGTGCAAGGTGCCCGTGGTGCAGTTGGTTCCAGCAAGACCGATGTTGGCAGTCTCGAGGAAGTTTGTGTCAGTAGACTTGATAGTCGCAACTAGAGGTTTAACCTCGCCAGTCAAGATGGATCGGTCAAGACGAGCGTCTGAAGAAACATCGAAGAATCTGACATCTGCAGGTACCTTGTTGCCCATGGCGATCTTTATGACATCGCCGGGCACGAGCTTAGTACCCTCGACACTTGACCAGTTTCCTTCTCTTAGTACCATTGCTTGATCGGGGAGCATGGTATTTATCGAAGCCATGACACGACCACTCGAGAAGTCTTGCCAAAAGCTAAACGCTGCTTGGATGAGCCAAACGAGGACCAGGACGATAGCAAGCGCTAAGTTTGCAAGTGCTGGTGGATCACCGAGAGGCTTCCATGCAACAAACACCATTATAGCTGCAACGAATAAGATAGAGCCGAAGCCTCCGAAGAGGTAGGCGATGGTCTTCTTCAGCCAGTTGGATGGTGGTGCAGTGAGCTTGTTGAGGCCGATATTCCTTAGCAGGACCATGGCCTGATCCACGCCTAGGCCAGTGGTCGGCGAGGACGAGAAACGTTCGAAGACTTCTTCAATGGGGATCGTGTGCAAGTCGTAGCTACTGAAGTCTGTTTCGATGTATCAGCCATCTGGAACGTGACACTAGATCGTCTCGCTTGTTCGTACCGCTCGAGCTCTTTGCTGTTCCATCTAGCGCACCCTTCGCCGGCGCATCATTTCTTGCTTTACTCTGCTCGACATCGAAGGACCTTTGGGTTCTGTGTTAGCATATCGCACTGCATTGGGTTTGATTCAGGGTGCTCACAAAGTCCTGAACTGTGGCGGTAAGACCAAGGAAGGGTCAACAGATCGCTGACGCGACAGCGAATGTATCGACATCGAGTCCGTCGACATACGACTAGACACTCTCATAGTACGAGGGCGATTCTCGACATCATTGGCGTACGTGATGCGAGGAACCTTCTGCTCAGATACTTCCTCCTGAACTTGGGAAGACATGACTACGACCTCGATCTTGAGACGTGTATTGACAGGAGAAGCAGCAGTACGGTCGAGGGACTTGTAGATTGAAGAGTAAAGGATACAAGAGAGGACTGCATGAACAATGAGGTGATGGTAGATATACAATGCAGCAGAGCCTCGATAGTAGCTCTGCCCACCCTAGAGAACCAAATGATAAATCCTTCTGCATCCTTTGACCAAAATCATATGGTTGACAATATTCTTCACACCTACCAAATCTGTGACAAACTAGGCCTCGAAAGGATTGTTGCCCGACGGGTTGGTCATAAGAGGTATGCGCGATTATTTTACTCGCTGCAAGAACGGTGGAGGGGAACAAAATTCGCGCACCACAACAAAGGAGCTGTCAAAGTCGCAGCTTCCTTCTTTGTCCTGCCCCGTGGTGACTATGCAAGGAGGAGGCCAAAAATCTCGCAGCGCATCATCTCGTTTTCTGCGAACCACTGTTTGCGATGTGGGAGCTCTGTGGTTAGATGAGTGTAGGACCGCGTTGGGCAACTGACGCTCTTATGCCAGCATACCCTGTACGTCTTGCCATGTATCTCAGCAACCTCATGAACAAATATCCCGCGGATTTGCTTTGCCAGGATCAGAGTATCTCTTGACGATATTGATGTCTCCAAACTCCAGAAGGCGAACATTCGTGGCAGTTCTCCATCGGATAAAAAGTCTCCAGGCCAACTCTCCAGTTTATCCAGCTCCCCCAAACCGCTGATCACTGACCGCTTGGAGAAACCGTACGCGCGCGATATATTTTCTCTTCGCGAGAGAACCACCGAACGATTACATGATGCATGTGGCCGAGGAGCTGCGCGACATAATCACATGCTGCGCATGACGGGTTCAATTGTTGATCGATTGTGCATGCTTAACCGTTGAACGAGCGTGTCCTGCGTCTCCCCGTCTCCTCGTCCATTTTCCGAATACACACGCGTGACGAGCCTCACCATCGCCAGAGTCGAGTTTTCTTAACTTCCTTGAAGAGTGCGAACGGCCTGTCGTAGATTGGCAATCACTTTGGTTTTGCAAATGAACAGGAGGAGATCATCTCAATTGTTCCAGAGCCATGCAAAAGAACGTCCGCCCACATGATTTATTGGTGAGTCCTCCTGGAATTCGACTCAAATAGCACACAACGCTGTGCTGACCTAAAACGTCCATGTGAAGCTGTTGCCACGACATGAGCCTGCACATTATCCTAAGCACATCGATCATTAGTGAAACAAGTCTAACGAGACTAGATGTATTCGCCAGTTGAGCATTGGAAAAGTGAAGCCAGGGTCATGCCGTTCCCAAAGAGTCTTGGCGATGTCATTTGTAACGTACATCAACTGCACAGTGATCGAAATGCGCGGCATCTCGTTACACGACCCTTTTGTCGAACTTTGCGAGTTGGCGCAGTTAGTGCAATAACAGCGACCTGCTTAGGCAATCTCAACATCCCTCGAACGTACAGAAAGACTAAGAAATCGTGGAACAGAATTGAGCTCATTGCAACACTGATGATTGGTATTATTGAACCTCGTTAACGAGGTGGGTGCGGGCGCTATCTACTCGATTTTCTCCTCTGCCGTGTTTTACCACATCTTAGTTTTGACCGACGCACCGTCTCTTCTCGATCCTGTAATCACACCGCGAATGTCTGTCGTGGGGCCCAGGAAAGAGATCGCCGTGTTTTGCTTCGGAATACTCCAATGTTCCTCCTTTCCCCCCTCATCTTTCATAACCTGTTCAGAGATCGACGTTGCCTACTGATGATGATATAGAACCAACGTCAGCGACAGTGTAATAAACAGTGAGATTATACCGATGTGTAAACAGACGAGATGGTTGACGCCTAGTTCACCAACAGCAGTGCAGCTTCAACTGATTCTACATGTCGATAGTCGTTCAGTTTGTGATTCAAACTCTCTGGTAGTTCAACGAGCGCCACCGGCCTGCTGAGCTTCCAGAGCGCGGCTCTGAGCGCGAGTGACAGGTCTGCTCGATGCGGTGGCGGTCGAGCTTCGAAGACCAGTCCTGGTGCCGCGACGGGCAGCTGTGCCAGCTGCCATCTTGGTAGCGCTGCCTCTCGCCTTGGGGACGCTTCTCAGCACAGCAGCCTTCTTTGCGTTGTGTGCCTTTTTCTTGGTACCAGTGAGCTTAACCTTCTGCTTCTTTTTGCTGCCTCCTTCTTCGTGCTCATCGTCTGAGAGCTCGGCCTGTGCAGCGTTGCGCTTCTCGAGAGTCACTTCATCTTCGTCGGTGTCTTTGTTGACAGTTCTGGGAAAGGCGTTGGACTCTCTGGACCTTTCGACACTCTCCTTGTTTCCTTCGGGACCAGACTTGGAGGGTTCAACGCGACTTCTGGAATGAGCAGGATGGTAGACGCAATCGACTGCGTGGGCGCGGTTGTCGGACCTCAGAATGAGGGCGTAGTCGGTAGAGCACAACCAGCAGAACTGGTAGTGGCAGCTGGCGCAGGTCATGTGGTCGCAGCCGCCATTCTTCTCGATAGGCACCTTGCATTTAGGGCAGGGCTTTGTGATTGTGCCAAGCAAGACCACTGACGACTCGTCCTCTTCGCTGTGAGCGTGCTTGCGAGCTTGACGCTCTGCCCGACGAGCTTTGATGGCGGCAGCTGAGGGGTTGTACGGTTCGGGTTGAGCCATTGTCTGCGAGGGACACATGCCCTCAGTGGCGGCATGGTTGTAGTCGCCGAGGCAAAGGAAACAAAACTCGTGACCGCACTTGGTGCCTATAGTTACCCTGTCAGCATCCACATCTGAGTGAGTGAGATTGCGGGACCACTCACATAGCATGTGGGGGCAACCTCCGTCTCTCTCAATTCTGGCGCCACATCCTCCAGGGCAAGCTCTGGACATTGCAAAGACGGCAGCCTCTGATTGCAAAGTCTCTTCATCGTGGCGAGCCTGGTAATCGTCGCAAGACTCGCCCTCGTGCAAGGGAACCTTGCAGTCCACACAATGCTTACGCTTGCACACCTTACAGTTGAAGAGGGGAGAATCAAGTCCACCGATATGGATTTGTCCCGACTTGCACTTGGCCGACATCTATACGTGGTTAAAGTCAGTACTGTTTTCTCAATACGCATGCTTGATCGGATCATCAAGTATGTTCAACTTACACAGTAGTGGAAGTCGTCGTCCTCTTCAACGCAACGCTTCAGCAGGACCTTGTCGTACATGCCCAGAGACGTCTTAGAAACAATCTGCCTGACGATCTCATAGCTCAAATGTTCCTGGCACTCGGCGCACTTGATGCGATCTTGACCCGAGCCGATTTGACCGACAATGTAGCGGTTGAAACATTTGCGGCAGGTGTTTGGTTCATGGTTGTGCTGTCCAGAATGGTTGATGTCAGGGAAGACATTGGGGGGCTGGTCCTTGTAGCACACAGCACAGGTCTTCACCGCGGGACGTGGGACGGCGGGCGTGGTAGTGTTTGGATTAGCTTGGGCGATATGCAGCTTGCCTGTTTGCTTCCTGCCATTGAAGACACGATCTCTGACTCCTGAATGCATGATAGCCATGACTCTTGCGCCGGTGTATCTTGGAAAGTCGGGGGAGGTCAATGGTACTAACAATGCGCGGACGCAGCTTTGAAAGCCAGAAGCCGAGGCAAAATGAATATCAGCAGGTTGGTGCGAAGTCCACCCAAATACGTGCCAAGGCGGCAGTATAGCAGCGACCACCAGCCTGGAAATTCGTGTTGTGCTTCTGAGGAAAGGACGCTAGTGGGGGGTTGGTCTGAGCGGCCATCTGGAGTTGTTAACCGACTCACTTGCTTCAGCCTTCTGTGGTCTGAAAGAAAGATGCTTTCGGACCCGCATATATTGCAGTGCAACGACGATGATCTGGAACCATGACTTCCGACCAGTCTGAGATATAGCTTGCAGCCTTCGACCCAAGACCTAGTTGACCATTGCGATTGTCGCCAGCAGCGAAGACTCGTCCATCCTGCACGAGCAGGAGGACGTGTCCGTCGCCTACCGCAACATCCAGAAAGTCGAGGGACTCTCCTGTCCCTTCGATCTCGACCAGTGCTGCTTGTGTCGACTCCAGCTCGCGAAGACAGGATATCGAGTGCTCAGTGCCAGGGGTTCCTGTGCCAAAAAGATACACTGCGCCGTCTTCTGACAAGGCTGCCGTCATCCACCCATCGGAGGCGATCTTCTTGATGTGGACACCCCCGAGCGAACCGACAAGTCCTGGATATCTCGCTTCTGTCTCAGCGACGCTACGACCTAGTGAGCTATGTCTTGCGTCACCCCAGCTATAGACATTGCCGTCCTGCGTAAGACATACGAATCCAGTGACATTGGCGACTAGTTGAGCAACACGACCAGGAACAGTATGGCTGGCGCTAGGACCATGCAGGTCATTCACCTCGTCGTCGAACCATTCGCGAAATTTGGCGAAAGACGTGAACTCCAAGATGCTGTTTCGAGGAGAACTGGCAGCCGCAAGTACGACAGCAACATGACCATTACCGGCTACAGCCAAATATGCAATGCCTGGCGTTTCTTCGTCTGAGAGTGCGTCTGCTGTTGCAGTATGTGCTTCAATTTGATTGTCCTCGGTAAAGGCAACACCTCCTTTGCGACTGAGGACGCCTAGAAGGCCATTGTGATCGCCAAATCCTGAAGTCAGATCGAATAGTGGTGCTTCTTGAACGATCTTGGTGCTACCATGCCTCTTGATGCAACCGTTTGCCTTACCCCTGCCATGCTGATAGAATGCAGTCTCGCTCCAGCCAGAAAACAAGACCTTGGTGTCCTTGATGTCGCTGTCCTGAGAGACTACGAGCACCTCAGGCTGTGTGATGTCTTGAGTTGAGTCGGGAGAGAGCTGACCAAAGGCATTAAAGCCACTGGCATACAGGAACGTGATTGACATTTGTTGGGATTTTCGGCGGAAGAGATGCCGCTAATGCGTTCTGGGCGACGTCTTGTACAAGGAGCAGTGCAGCATGCGCTTACTGAGGAGGACTATGACATTGAACCAAACCCACACACAGCGCAATGATGCCTACATATGTGTGTTGGGAAAGCAATGATCACGCAGCGACACAGCAAACAAGAGCTGTGGTACAGTTGCCAAGGCGGTATGGTTCAGGCAAAAGCTCGGTCCAAATTTTACAGCCTCGATTAAAGTTCCCCATCAGCTCATCAAGGTCGCTAAACGCTCTTTGCTGAGCAGACGAGTGGAGAACATTTATATGGAGTGGTTATTCATAAGTCGATCATTGGAAGGAGCGATCCCTCAAATAATGCAAGCACATACATGCCACATCCCTATGACTCTTCCAAGTCTACACTCGTCCTTTGCAATTCGTCCGGTACGAGCGCAGATCTGTACAGACACCAATACGAAAACAAGGACCTGAACAAGCTAGCTAACTTGCTAGCCATTGAGCTGCTAGGTCATGGCCAGACCAGAGCGAAGACCGAGAATTCCACCTACTGGGCTAGCGTTGTCATGAATCTGCAAGTCCTGGACACTCTGGATATCAAGGGCAAGGTATTTGTCCTAGGTACTAGCCAAGGTACACCATCGTTCAAACCAGCAAACGAATTTTACCACTTTATGAACTTCACGGGCTTTGGCAAAGACATCCCAACCGAAGACGGAAAGTTCTGGGTCAAAGCTACCCAGAAGAACTGGGATGGAGACGATGGCCGCAGACGAGCGAGAATGTGTGCCATCAATTTGCGTAACAGAGATGGTCTACATAGCAGACTGTTTGACGTGGGGATCCCTGTGTTGTGGCTGCATGGAGATCAGGACGTTGTGTACAGTGTTGCCAATGCTCAGGAGGAGATCAAGCTCTTCGTCAACAGCCCAGACGCAACGCTTCAGGTCATTGAGGGTGGGCCACATTATCTGAAATACACCAAGGCCAAAGAAGTCGACGCTGCACTGACCAAGTTCTTTAGCAAATACATCAAGCAAGCCAAGTTGTAGAAGTGTGTGCGCAATATGCTAAGAGGCGCTGTATTACGTGGGAAAGGATTAAGTTAGACTTGGTACGAAGAAAAAGAACTTATCCGCCTCTCAGAAACTGATGCCCGCCATCCGAACTCCATCCGCGCCGAAAATGAGTAAAAAAACAGAAGAGACAAGAAAACAAGGCAAAGATGGTGTTCAGGAACTTGTTGTCTATCTGAACTTGCTGATAATGACAGCGAGAATCAGAAGAACCAGCACAGTAATAATGGCGATAGTGATTATCTTATTCGTAGCCATTCTGAGCAAAGTTAGTCAGAGGTCGACGATGTAGTTGTTGGAACGTGGAGTCAGCATTACCTACGAGCCATCTGCTTCAGCGTCTTATTGCTTCTGTCGGTGTAGCCTTCACCCTCGATGAGGACATCGCGAGAGTGCTCAATGACTTCTCTTTGTCTGGCCAAGTCCGCAAGAGTATTGCTTCCAATGTTTTCAGTTTCCAGAGCGATTCTCTGACTCTCACGTAGGCGGCCACTTGAGCGTTCGAGTCTATCGGTACCGGACAGAAGTTGCTGTCTTTGCTCAAGCTGATCGTCACCGGTGGGATTATCGGTGTAGCGTCTTCCGAAAAGGGCAGACTTGTCGCTCGACAGGCCCTTCAGTTTCTGTTTGGCCATATCGATGTCGTGGGTGTAGTTGCGGAAGCGTTGGTTCGTCTTTGTCTTTTGGTTTGAGGGCAAGTTCTCTTTCTCCAGCCGCATCGAATCCAACTGGAAGCGATGAGTTAGTAGGAAGCACAAGGCGCCAGACGCAAAGGGCGACTCACGATCTCGGTGGCCTCTTCAAGTGAGTGTTGTGCGCGACTGATGGCAGCCTTGCGCTCTTCTCCGGATAGTTCGGCGAGCTGTTCCAGTTTCTGGTTCAGATCGGCTTGGACGAGCTTGAGTTCGGCCTCGTAGTTGCTGAACAGCTCAGATCCAGCATCGGTATCCATTGGGTTGGCCATGCTTGCTACTGTGTTGTGCTGTAGGCGACAAGAGAGAGGAAGCGTCCGGTATACGCGTATGTAGTCGTTTGGAGGTGGAGTGATGCGATTGTATTGTCTAACCCTCCGGGCTTGAGGTCTTGTGTTTAGTCTTTGTGTTTTTGTGCTTGCTTGATTGCTCTACCATGTGTGTCGAGTCGGGGATAGGGACGATGATGTTGGAGGCGGCCGCATTACACCTAAGCTCGGACCACCCACTTCCTGGGCAAGATCGATCAGGCCGGCGCCCTCAGGCTCCCCTTCTTACGATATTGTATTGCTAGACAATCATCATGTCTGACATCCATTCCGTGCGCGTCGCACAGCGTCATCCAGACGATACTCAAAAGACCAATGGTATACACGCTTGATCTTGACATAACCTTGTCGCCGGAAGGACTGGGTCTCCGGCGGCCAGTGCTTCCTCGATGACGCTTGCCGCATTGAGCTTCAACGCCTCACGTCCTCCAACAGACGCGTTCTTCACAATGTACAATTAGCCCGGCGCTTCCGAGTTTCTCCTCAATACTGACACTGTGTTCACTGCTTGACAGTGTGTGCCATAAGTTGTTTCCTCCCAAGACTAAACATTCGCACTACATTGTATCTCCTTGACAATGCATTCGGAACGAAAGCGTGTTGCCATCGTTGGTAGTGGATGTGCCGGCTTAGGTGCGGCATGGGCATTGCAGAATACTGATCATGAAGTTCATGTCTTTGAGAAGTCTGATCGTCTGGGAGGCCATACAAATACACAGACCTTCACACATGGCGAGCATTCCACTCCTGTTGATACTGGCTTCATTGTCATGAACTCTGCCACATATCGTATGCTTTGGCCACCATGTCCGGTTTCCACTTTACCACGTTGCTGACCGAATCTTAGCAAATCTGATCAGATTTCTAGACTATGTCAAGGTAGACATTGTGCCTACCGAGATGACTTTCAGTGTGTCTCGTAACCATGGCGAGTTTGAATGGTCCGGCTCTGGGGAGGGCATCTTTGCTCAAAGGGAGAACATTTTCAAACCTAAGATGTGGCGTATGATCTTCGACATCATTCGCTTCAATCAGTTCGCCTTGGATCTTCTCACCGAGGATGACTCTTCGCGCACAGATCAGACGGTTGGTGATTATTTGGAGGAGGAAGGTTATTCCCAAGCATTCAAGGACGACTACCTTATTCCTATGACTGCCGCGGTGTGGAGCACATCTCCAGACAAAACAAGTTTGGAGTTTCCAGTACTGACGCTGGTCCGTTTCATGTGGAATCACCACCTGCTGTCTACCATTGCAGCACGACCCACTTGGCTGACCATCAAGGGTGGCTCCCAAAAGTACATTGATGCTATTGTCCGCAGCTCTGACTCGAGAAGGTTTCACTTTCACACATCAACCCCTATCACGGGTGTGACGAGGATGAACCAGAATGGTAAATCCGTCGTGGAAGTCAGCTACAAGAGCCCATTGAGTGGTACTCAAGAGTCGTCGACCTTCGATCATGTAATCATGGCTTGCCACGGAGATGACATTCTACCTCTTCTGGCTGCCAAATCGCGAGTACCGCCGTCAGAGAAGGAAGAAGAGATCTTGGGTGCATTCCAGACTTCTGAGAATATCGCATATCTGCACTCCGACCTCTCCTTGATGCCTCTGAGAAGGCCGGTCTTCACAGCATGGAATTACTTGACAACTTCCGCATCATCAAAGCTCGAGCATCCTGCTGGTGTGAGTTTGACATACTGGATGAACTTGTTGCAACACATCCCAGAGTCTAAGTTTGGGCCAGTGCTGGTCACGATGAATCCGCCTCACGAGCCTGCGCCAGGGTGTACTCAGGGTAAATTCGTTTATCGACACCCACTTTACACTCCAGCAGCTGTCAAATCGCAAAATAGACTGAACGAGATTCAGAATACCTCGGGCATCAGCTATTGCGGCGCCTGGACAAAGTACGGCTTCCACGAAGATGGCTTTAGCAGTGGTCTAAAGGTCGCGATCGATCATCTGGGAGCGACTTTGCCGTTTGAATTCAAAGACTCGACGTTCTCGCGAGGAAAGGCACCTCAGCTGAACTTGAAGGATCATGCAGTGCGCACTGTGGTTGTCTGGATTATGAGATTTGCAAGTCTGTTCGGAGTGTTTTTATCTCTACCACCGGTCGCTTTCGCATTGTCAGTTTTCCTTGGTCTTCTTGACAGAGTGTTGGGCATCAAGATCAAATTTGATTAGAGCATAGGATATAGCGTGGTATCGTGGAGGGGAGAAAGGAGTCCATAAAAATGTTTCGCGAGAGCAGATAGAATGCGCGTGGCCGCTACAGTTGTTGGAACCGATTCTACAACCACACGAATATCATATATCTCAATGACTACCGCTGTGCCACCAATACCTAATTGACTAGGTACTCCAATTTTTTGAGTGGAATTAACGCGGAGGTCCGTGCGCCAACACGCTCTCTCTCCTTCCTGGTGAATCCCAAGACCACTCTCATCAAACAACTCACGACCAACCTCAGAACTCAATCCTGGTCTACATTGTATCCACCACGGTTCTCTCTCGGTGGAATTATCTCAATCATCTTCAATCTTCAACATGGCACCAGCTGCACCGGGACCGATGTATGGCAAAGACGAAAAGGCGCTTTGCTTCCATCACGAATTGCTATACGAGGCCAAGGTGCTCGATTCGCGACACACTGACCAAAGCGACAAGAAATCGCCCTACGAGTACAAGGTTCACTACAAGGGATGGAAAAACACGTGAGTTTGCAACGTTTCGCGATACTCGTTATCCCTCTGCGAGTCGAAGTCTCTCCTGTCGTGGCCATCTCAGCCTCTGACTTCGGCAATATCATCACGGCTGTCGAAACAACCATCTTAGTTCCATCGAGGAACTCATATGAGTAATTCCAGAGTTGGTGTCATTACCACTTGCGTCTTATACATGATTTGACTCGAAATTTGTTCTGCTTCACACACTTGCTGGCCTGAATTTGTGCTAATCAAAACTCGTAGTTGGGATGACTGGGTACCTCAGGACCGTCTTCGCAAGTACAACGACGAGAATCTTGAGCTTTCGAAGAATCTGAGACAGGAGATGAACGCACAGCGCAGAGCTGCAGCAAAGCCCATGACAGCGACCGTCACCAGAAAGCGCGATCTCAATACTGGATCTGCTAGAGGCAGCGAGGAAAGGACTGCACCTGCAGCACCATCTCGCGGAACCAAGCGTGGTAGAGAGTATGAGGGCATCGACAAGGTCAGTAATTGTCTTTCGCAAGTTCGTGACTTTTTGTGATTTTGTGTGGTTGTCTGATTGTCTGGGCTGCCCCTCGCCGCAAATACTCGAACACATCCGCACCACAGCGCGACTACTAGACAATGATCACTATGCCGACGTGTTTCTATGTGTCGGCCTATCGTTGTCGCTCTGACAGAATTGTTACGGTATCCATGCTAACCACGGAAGCAGGAGGATGAATTTCTTCGTCGGCCTTCGATCAAGATTTTCATGCCTGACAGTCTGAAGGCTATTTTGGTAGACGACTGGGAGAAGGTGACCAGAGAGAATAGACTGGTACCACTTCCTTCGAAAACTCCAGTAGCGCAATTCCTTGCAGACTACGCAGCTTCCGAAGGCTCAAAGCGTAGAGAGGGAAGCGCTGAGGCAGACATTCTTGAGGAAGTGATCGCTGGCGTCAAGGAGTATTTTAACAAAAGCATTGGACGTATCTTACTGTACCGCTTCGAGCGTCCACAGTGGTCTGACATCCATGCTCAACTTAACAAGGGCACTGGAGACTTGACGGGCAAGCTGCCTACTGACATCTATGGAGTGGAACATCTATGTCGTCTGTTTGGTAAGTATGCTTGTCGTTTGTTCGTGAATCATGTTCTCTGACAAACCTCCAGTGTCAATGCCCGATTTGATTGCTCACACAAACATGGACTCTCAGGCCGTGAGCCGTCTCCGTGAGGAGCTGCACAAGATGACGCAGTGGCTCAGCAAGAACGCCGGCAATTACTTGTCTCAGGAATATGAGCAACCTACCCAAGATTACATAGATCGTGTCAAGTAAACCTGGAGAATGGAGAAGGGGCATTTTTGCATCAAGCGATGGCGCGGTATGGGGACTTGGGAATCATCAGTCGGTACAAGGTGCACGGCGTCCGGAGGTCGGGGCTTGCACAGGCGTTATCATCATTCGTTATCATTTCTTACTTCCGGGTATGGTTTCAGGGAGTACTGTCGGTCATCGATCTTGAACCAGGTCACGGCTTCCAATCGTTCTAGGTTCTTCCGTTCAGCGGCGGTCTCGTGGAAGCCGTTTACAATAGTTCTCGAAATGAGCACCAATCATTACCGGCGGTATAACCCTATCTTTGACTTTGTGGAAGGAATCTCATAGATAGCGGTTTGAATATCGATTCCATCTCTTACAAGTGAAGCGAACGCCTCCGCCAGACGAGTCAATCAGCTTGTGCGCTTTCCTCATTTGACGCTGGTAACACCTCAGCCGTGCTGACTGACTCTGACAGATGAGGCCGCGAGCCGAGTATCAAGGCTGAAGACACGACATCGGCACACAACAATACTAACGTTCTCAATCTGGGGGCTTTCTATCTAGATGGCGGGTTCATTCGTTATGACATTAGAGTTCATATCATGGAGACGGCGCTCTGGTCTGGGGCGCGCTTGGCATCATGGCCGCTCTCGGATCTTGTCGCGCTCCTATCGGCCGCGGACCTGGAGTGACCCGTTTGTCCTTGCCCTGTACCAAGTGTCGGTCCCTGATTCTCCACCTCAACGCCCAAGGAAGCGCGATCGCAATGACCGGACTGTAGCTGCAATGTAGATCAATGTCGCGGCTTATGCATGATGAGTTTTCTCTCTGCTGCCGGCACATCTTCCAACACAGGTGCAGGCAGAGTCTTGCTTGTCAGCGTGTTGTTCGAGGATTGCCGACAGAGGGAAGCTGTCATCATATGCAAAAGCAACAAGCCAGATGTGCTTGGCAGACGCCAGTGATGTTCTTATCGCCCATTTGGTGGCGAGATTCTCTCGTCAAGGTCCCCGTTCGCAGGATGTACATCTCTACTGGGCGGCCGCTGGGTACGCGTGACGCTAGAGTCCTTCTCGAATTAGGACACAGGTAGGGAATAAGCTCTGCAGTAGGGTCCGGGCATTTGATAATCCTTTCAGCTCCCACACCTACGTTTAAACAATCTCACGTCTCGCTCTTTTTCTGACACCTCGTCGTCGTTGTTTCGAGTGACTGTTCTGACGCCGCTCCTTGGATACTGGCATCGCGTTGGCCACGACATGACCACGAAGCAAACGGCTGGGATCACACTTTCGCCTCAGGAATATTGCTGAAGCCGCACTCTCCCGCCCTACCAAACGCCCGTCAAATCATAATCAACATGGTCCCATTAAAAGTCGAAACCTGGATCTGGTGGTCATTCGTGGTGTTGTGTGTTATATGTCGAATGTGATTGAGCCCTTGCGACCTTGACCCATCCCCAATGCAGTTTCTGACTCCAGTTTAGGATCTCGAGGTACCAGAGCCTCGGCACGATCAAGCGCTTCCAGGCCGATGACTACATTACCGTTGTTGCAATGTGCTTCTATACCACATTGATCGTCACCATCAACATTGTCGCCAAGTCTGATTCCAACCTATTACCGCCAGGCTTTGATGTCAGCAGCCTGACATCTCAGGAAGTGCATGACCGTGAATACGGATCCAAACTGGTGCTTGTCGTCGAGCAATGTCAAATTATAACCGTCTGGTGTGAGAAGCTATGCTTATTGTTTCTGTACCAGCGTCTCACCGTCGGTACCAAAGAAAGACTCGCGATCAAGATTCTGTTCTTCTATGTCGGTATCAGCTGGGTCGTCATGGAGATCCTCTATTTCGGTGTGTGGTGCCGCCCATTCACCATGTACTGGGCTGTGCCTTCGACTCAGCAATGCACTGCAGCGACCAATCACCTCATCCTCAATGCCGTCTTCAACCTGAGTTCTGACATTTGTATCCTTGCCGTCGCTCTGCCAATGTTCATCAAAACACGACTACCTCTCCGAAAGAAAGTTGCAATCGTCGGCATCTTCTCTCTGGGTACTTTTGTCATCATCTGTGCTATACTCAACAAGGTTTATTCGTGGCGTGAACCGTATGGCGTCCAATGGACGTACTGGTACGTCAGAGAGTCTAGTACGGCACTTCTGACCGCCAATGCTGCCTTTGTTTGGGCTCTTTTCAGAAGAATGTTCAAACTCAGGTCTCTTGGCAGCTTCTCTGGAAAGAACACATACACACCCTACAACGGGTACACACCGACATATACGACGACACATACGCGCGTGGAAACTCTTGTGAGGAAGAAACCACGACATGATGAAATCGATCTGGACCTTCTTATGCCCGATCCGGACGACTTTGAGGGCATTCACCGCCAAACAGACATTCACGTCAGCGAGGATACTATGAGCCTGAAGAGAGAAAACAACTCAATGACAGGCACATCATCAGCCTGGGCAGAAGCATGGGCAGTACGGGCACCGGCTGGTCCACCACCAGGCAGCAGTAGCAGCAGGGAGGGCAATAGCAGCGATTGCGGGCGCAGCACCAGCGACTCGACAACCTCGATTGTGCCAACGCCGCAGAAGCCCTCGAAAGCGATATTACGGCAAAGTCAAAACGACTCGCCTGTCTGAACCTGCTTTCCCACCGATTCTTCCTTTTGTCCCAGCAGACATTTATTGTCACATTTAGCGTGTCTGATTGCACAGCCCAATTTCCACCACATATACCACCTTTTTCTTGTACATACTTGTATATAGCATTACCTCAAAACTTACATCAATATACGAAAATTACATCCGCTGCTATTTAATTCTGCCTGGATACTCGATCTCATGGTTCGTCTCGCAACACAGCGATCACTCACGTACGACCTCTCATTTCCTAGCTTTGCGTATGTCAAAAAGTTTAATAGAGCACCGAAAGCAATACCGAAGCTTTTCACATGTGAATCCTCCCGAACGCCTCAAGTCCAACGCGCCGACTGGGTCCGAAACACATCAATATACGGATCAAAATGCCGACAGAAAGGGGGAGAGCTTTCGATTGCTATCAGTCCTCAAACAGGCTGCCAAGTCCGGCAATGTGTGCATGTTCCTTCGTCATTGGCATGTTTGGAGATATTGATACTCGGCGTCGAGAGGCGCATATGGCATCTCTGGTCTCTTGACGGTTAGACCGGTGTGCATAATAACGGAGATGCTCGCAGTTACAAAGTCTAAGGATAAAAAAGAGGCTCTTGCAATAACGTCAGAGCAGAACTGACGGGCAACGTACGTAGTTGTCGTATAAGCAACTTTCTTTACGTGCGGATCGGAGCATTATTCCACATACTCAGGGATGTCGAGTCACTCTAAGTTTTCATTTTCAATCATGTCGCAATAAGAGACCCTTTTTGCATTTGAGTTCAGAGCAAGCGAAAAGAAGTGTTTCGTTAAAAGGTAAGAGGCTCTGGCTGTCAATGATCGACGAGGACCTGTGCATCGGTAGTTCTTTCCGTGTAAAAGATAACCGCGCGTTAAGAGAAGCAGATTCCGAACGTCGAAGCAGAATACGTCGGGTACGAGGGGGGAAAGAGATACAACAGTGAAAAGAATGATCATATGATAGCAGTTGTAATGGTCTAGATAACGACCACGAGTCAAGGGGTGTGCAGAGGGTCAAGTTCCGGTCTTTCCTTCTCCGTTTATCACCCCCACAGCCGCTCCTGCCTCCGCGGTTCGCGGTAGACACAGCCCGGAGAGAGCGAGACACCGAGAAGGAAGCAATGACTCGACTAGTTGCATATACTGCATCTCAACGTTGATACTATTGTTTGAACCTCTCTTGACATTGATATCGACTCGTGCTTCCTGCTTCGCCTGCGTCTCGGTCCGGAGGATGGAAATCCTTCGAGGGCTCCTGACGCCTGGATAGATGGCCAATATCGGAAGTGGGAATGTCAATTCAACCATGAGCCAAATCAGTATTAAGTGAACTGGGGGCAATTATCTTGCGTTGGTCGCATCTGGGCATTCCATTTGATTGTTGAGGCTCGAGTGAACAACGCGGTAACATGACATAGGCAGCCATGCACCGCTCAGACTCGCAGTGAACAGCAAGCACTAGAAGGATACACACTGTTGTAACTGATCTATCGCAAGGATGGGTCATCTGCAGCTTGTCTTGGGCAAATCTTGCACATTATCGACCGAGCCAGGATCAGACCTCTAGCCACTTGCCTTGAGGGAAAAAGCTACGTCATTGGGCGACACAATGGACACACATCCAAAATCACATCACGATGAAGAGCGAAAGTCAAGTAGATTTGAACAAATTCTTAATTTTGTTTGTAACTTAGGATAAAACACTACCACCTAAGTAAACAAGCACAAAGGCTGACCGGAGCCTTTTTCATGTCACATCACCCACCTTAATCAAAAGCTATGTGTGTATCAATCTGTCACATCAACTGTAGCGACTCACCTCAATTCATCAGCAAAGTAAATTCACTTAAGCAACATAAGGGCTAGTACCAGCGTACCTAGCAGGTCTGACCGGAGCCTGTCTGCCACCACTCCTCTCAACCCTCTCACCAAAATCAGGTCTTCCAGCAGCACCAGAGAAGAAATCAACGGAGTCCACAGAGCCCGTGGGCGAAGGAGGGGCTGGAAGAGCAGCTTCAGCATTTGTCGCGGAACCAACTCTCGAACGTCTAGCATCAATGCTGGCTTGAATGTCCAAGATGCCAGCATAAGAAGCAGCTCTAGGACTAATTCTGGGGACACGAACAGCAGCGATACGAGCAGCATTGTCAGCTCTGACATCAGGAGTGCGTACACCAGCGTCAGAGGAGAAGATTGAAGAGGGATTAGGGAGCTCCCAGATAGGGCTAGATGAGGAGTAGTCAGAGGTAGGAGAACCAGGCAAAGCACCACTCATCCTATGAACCGAAGTCGGAGAAGCAGGAGGGCTAACTCTAGCTCTAGCAGGATCGGTCCAAGAGACTCTGGTGAAGTCTTCCCAGTCAGGGGTACGAGCTTCAGGAGCACCAGGAGAAGAGTTGGAGTCGTGAACAAACATATCGGGTGTGTTGGCTGCGATACGAAGGTTTGGAGGATAACGAGGAGGAGGCAAATAAGGGTTTGCACAACGGGGAGGGGTGCGCATACCAACCGGTCCAGGGCTACGGGAGAGATGACGAGCAACAGGGTTTCTTGCACCGCTTCTGCTCGGAGCAGCAGAAGGGCACTGATCACTGTCATCTCTCGTCCACCGCGAGTCGTAAGGTCTTCTGCGAGTATTGTCGGGGCGATTGGCGCGAGCAACGGGATCAGGGACGACGGGGTTAGCAGGGGTTTGACCGAGGTGAGTGGAGTTGAAGGGGAATCTGCGAGAGTAGAAGTTTTGCATCTCAATATCTGGCTCGACAGAAGGCTTGTTGTTGCGGACAGGCAGGCACTGACAAAGCAATTCACTCCATGACATGGGCTTGTACAAATACTCCATAGACATATTTGCTGAAGACCTTCTGTGTTTTGTCAGTAAGAGGGGGAGGGGTTTGGGACTTACCGTAATTTGTGGTCTTCTGGAGCCTGCCAGAGAGGAGTGAATGCTGTGAGTTAGTGAGTGTCTGAGGTGGAAGTGTTTCTGGGTGGGGAGGGAGGAGATGGAGGTGGCCTTCGAGTGCTTATCAAGGTTTCTGGCGAGGCCGAGATTCTTCTGGAGTTGTCAAGAGCATTTTTCTTCGCTTCTTTGATGCTTTCTGTGTAGTTGGAACGGAACAAAGGCATCCAACAATGTGACCACAAAGAGATGAGAAAGAACGTGAAAGCAATCAACCAGTGGGACAAAGGATAACGATCTCGACCACAAAGCAGAGTGCGTCACAAGTGAAAGTTGTTGTGCTTGACCAATAGTGGCATAATTCGCTTGCACAGCTGTAAGCAACCACGGTCTGCCCGGAAGCATGATCGTCTAGCGAGTCTTCCGAAACTTGGAGAAAATGAACATATTTTGTTTGGGGCATAATGACATGATTCTCACCGAATTGACGGCTGATGCTGGACCAGGGTCAGAATAGGGCGCGAGATGACTACATGGCTCGATGGCTGGATGGCAGGTCGATGTAGTACAAGTCAGACATGTGACAAGTCTCACATCCGCCTCTGAGTCGGGGTCAAGTCATCTGTATGTCTCAGAGCAGGAATGTCGTTGAGCGTGTAGGCTATGTTACATTCATCGGATTGGCAAGCATGAGCATGTAAAAAGGCAAGCGTTATCATATTCAACAATCAAAAGACTAGAGCTTAGGCGTCGTCTGATCCTTGTCGGGCGTGTCGACATCAGTTGGTGGCGTGTCCTCCTTGAGTACGTCGCTCGTCCAAGTGGAATTTGAGCTGATGCTCAGATTGCTGGCACGATTATGCAGGGAGGTCGGTGAAGTCTCGTGCTCAGATGCAGTTCCCACGGAGCCGGGTGTGCCAGGTCGAGAGTCAGAGGAATTTGCCAGACGACTCGAGCGCCTCGCGGTTGCTGGCTTGGGTCGCTCCTTCCTAAGGTTGAGGTTGCTGTTGCTCATTGTACGTAGCTTTTCCTCGGATCTTCGACCAAGCGACTCGGGAGTAGAACTTCTCGAGCTCGAGCGTGAGTGGCTAGTTTCTCTGAAGATGCTACTCGGTCTTGGTTTCTTGTCTCTCATGTTGGATAAACTCTGCTTCTCTCGAAGAGCTTCGCGCTGGATACGAATTTGTTGATCATGGTTGGGCCTTGTCGGGTGTCGCAGGCGAGTCCATCCTCTCCAACCAGTCCACCAAAGCCAGCCACCTTCTTGTTTTGCCAGTTGTCTCCTTCTCGTCTTAATAATGGCTCGCAATTGAGCGCGTCTCTCATTCTCTTTCTCCCAGTAATTGTGACGGTAGGTGTCCCAGTCCTCGCGGAAGTCTGGTGAAAAGGGCTTGGGTAGCAATAAAAGCTTGATGACGTCTCCACCAGGAGCAACATCCTCCTCAATCCAGCCATAGCGGCCTCCAGTTTCCCACAGGCCAACCTTGTCCTTGTTATCGAGAGCAGATTTTTCTATGTCTTTGGGCATGAACTCGAAGCGCATACCCTTGACGTGACCCCACCAGCCCCAAGGGTCCAGGAAATAGCGATAGCCAAGGGCTTCTTTCCACCAGGGACCGCGTATGACGACAAGCTTGAGATTGAAGCCTCGTAGACCTCTGTTTGTGATGTTGACCCATTTCCTCGGCCAGCGAACGCCACGATCCCACATGCCAGTGCCCCAGACCAGACCAGCAGTGACCAGACCTCCGACCCAACCTAGGCGTTCTGCAATGTCGACGACCCAATAGGGAGAGCCGCCAGAACCCTTACCATCTTCGCGCGGACGCAGGAAGAGAAGATATGTAAAGGTAGAGATCCACAAAGCGAGAGCGGTCATCAGCACAAGGTAAAGGCGTAAGCGGGCGCCGAGGCAGAGGTACTGGGCGCGGAGAGAGGATTCGAGGATGAGGAGATTGAGCTTGATTTGCTCGGGTGACGAGGGCAGGCTGTTGAGGGGGTCGGATTGGGAGGAAGCAGGCGGGTGAGGAGCGGTGATCGAGTCTCTGCGTGAGCGCGAGGACGAGGACGAGTGCGAGTGCGAGTGCGACAGGGTGGTGGTGGAGCTCCCACGGCGGGCCGACTGAGCGACTTGGTCGAGCGAGACGTCGGACGGCGGGGCGCCCTTGACGATTCGATCCAGTGTGGACATCGACATTGCTTAGCTCATGATGGCGTGTAGCAGAGTGCGACGAGGAGGAGAGGTGACTCTGAATTGATGCGCCTGCTGCATGACGGATGACGGATGACGGATCAGAATGATTCAACGGCGGCGCCGGACTGCGGGCTGATCTAAAGTCCGTCCTTCCTTGTTGCCTGGTGCATCGTCATCACACCTGCACCTGCCTCACTTTCGATACAATAAAGTCGTTGTCCCTCGCTCCTTCTTGCTTTTCCCCTCGTTCCTTCTGTCTATACACCATTCAAGATTAGCCGATTACAACATTCGCGCGCCAGCCGCGCCACCATCAGCCTTGGAAAACAGGCCTGGAACCAAGTCAGCGATTCATTCAACAACGCCCTCTGCATCAACCGCCACCCACCGCAAGCCGTCAAAACAGAGAGAGGCCCAAGGATGGCTTCAGACACGGGATCTGGTGGCCAGCGACCCATGCTGGCCTCACAACGCACCAAAGACACTCCTTCCGAAGCAAGCAGGACTGGAGGGAAGCCTGGCTATTTCCCACTGGGCTACAAGGATGGCTTTAGTCAATGGGTGTGTCTCTCTTCCCACTGCTCTCAATCTGACCGCATACTAACTTCGCCAAGTGGGCTGGTCTTTCTCCTGCCGTGACCGAACATCGTGTCCTCTCCTTCATCCCCTATCTCCAGAAGCCGCCAACTCACACCCAGACTGGCTCAGCTCCCGCCTCGACCAACGCCTCGACACAGGACATCACAAGAGACGAAACCCGTCAGACTGATCCCGTCATAACATCCACTCTCAACGACCCCTACGGCCCTCGTAAATGGAACTCGGACTTGGTGGAACTGGCGGGAAAGAGTCGTTTCTTGAACGAGTTTTCTGTCGAGAGAATCGGTGACCAAGTCGACAATAATCTGGTCATGATCCACGGCTATGGCGCTGGCCTTGGCTTCTTCTACCGCAACTTTGAGAGTCTCTCGAGACTGCCCGGCTGGAAATTGTACGCTCTGGACATGCTCGGCATGGGTCGTTCATCGCGTCCACCCTTCAAGATCCACGCCAAGGATCGTCAAGGCAAGATCGAGGAGGCCGAAAGTTGGTTCATCGACGCTTTGGAAGAATGGCGCATCAAAAAGGGCATCGACCGCTTCACTCTGCTCGGCCACAGCATGGGTGGTTACATGGCCGTTGCTTATGCCTTGAAATATCCTGGCCATCTCAACAAGCTGATTCTCGCATCGCCCGTCGGTATCCCCGAAGACCCCTATGCCGTGAATGCCGACTTGCCAGAGCCCGAAGACTCCACAATGGTCAACGAATTCACTCAAGATCAAACAAATACTGCCAACGCTACAAATCCAGACATTCCCGCATCATCAAAGACTGGCGACAACAACAATTTCCTCAACGCAAAAGCCAAGAAAGACGCTGCCAACAACAGCGGCAAGCCGCCGAAGAAGCCTCTGCCCAAGTGGCTCACCACTCTCTGGGACGCAAACATCTCTCCCTTCTCCTTCGTGCGCTGGTCCGGTCCATTGGGTCCACGTCTGGTCTCGGGCTGGACGAGCCGCCGCTTCAGCCACCTCCCTTCAGAAGAATCACAAGCCCTACACGATTACAGCTACTCTCTCTTCCGTCAACGCGGCTCAGGCGAATACGCTCTGGCCTACATCCTCGCCCCCGGAGCCTTCGCCCGCAGCCCCCTGATCCGTCGAATTCAAGGTGTCGGCCGTCAATGGATCTCAGAATCCCACTCCGCACCCACTTCCGACGATACCTCTTCCACACCCACCGGTCTATCCAGGGTCCGCGAGACTGGTATCCCAGTCGTCCTCATGTACGGCGAGAACGACTGGATGGATAAAGACGGTGGAAAAGCCGCTGCAGAAAAGATTCAAGCTGAAAAGCAAAAAGCTCTTTCCACTGCTACGGAGGAAGAAAAGAAGAGAGAGAATGGCGATGCTAAAGTCGTTATCATCCGTAAAGCTGGACATCACGTCTACCTCGATGGAGCCGACCATTTCAACTCTGTCATGGATGAGGAAATGAGAGACGTAGAGGCTAGGGAGAAGAGATTGGGTTTCATGAAGAAGTAGAAGAAGAGGACGATAGAAGATGTGTTTGAGATACCTATTTGATTTTGCATTTGGGAGTTTGGGAGATTGGTCAGGCATACAAGGGATATGAAAGGGAAGAGGGAGATTTAGACACATGCAACATACCGACAGTGAAGAGGCATCATTACTATACACAAATCTACGACATTGATCCTATCTACACTCGCAGAGGATGCGATTAACTTTTATATCGAGACATTCTTCTTCGATCGATCTGGACACATTGCGACGTGCCTGCAATGCTCCGTCCAATTCTTCCTTCTGGAACCTTTGAAGCCTATAAGTTTACATACCTAATTCTTCACGCATCTCTAACACAAAGTCGCCATTGCGGTCGCGTTCCCTGGGACCTAATCTCTCTGGCATCAACTTTTGCTGGTGTTTCGCGGCGCAACTGGTCACATCAATGAGTGGCTTGACCTCTCCTTTCATAATCGCCCTTGCGTGCGTATCACAGGGCGTTGGGGCAGAAGCGGCCGAATTTAGTATGTAAACAGGGGACAAAGAAATAAAGACCAGATCGATTACCATATGTTCTAGATACAGCTTCTAAAGAAACTTCGAGACAGCACGACTCACCCCCTCGACATCTTCATACACATGCCAATGACCAACATCACTCAAGACCTCTAGCGAGCTCCCTTTGGGCAGCGATTGGACATATCCCTCACACAATTGCTGCGGCGATACCTTGTCTTCCGAGCCAGTTATGATCAATGTTGATGCCTTGACAGCCGCAAAGTCCAATTTATTTGTAGCATTGGCTAGAGCAGTGCAAGCCTTTGCATAGCCCTCTGCGTCTTGACCAAGCAGAGAGAGTCTAATTGCAGTTACTGCAAGCGGGTTTGAAGATTTTGTCTTCTCAGAGGTACCTGCTGTGACGATGGCATCGACCACTGCTGTCATGCCTTTGGTACGGACGGTGTAGGCTCTTGCGTGGGTGCCCGAGCTAGCTGCGGCGGGCAGAGGCGATGGCGGTGGACCGACAAGGACGAGTTTGCTGATCAAGCCAGGATTGTCCAAGGCAAATCTGACAGCGATCAAGCAGCCCATGGAGTGGGCGAACAGTGTAGTGCCCGAGGATATTCCTGCGTGGTCGAAGACGCCCTTAAGATCTGCTGCGAAAGATTCGATGCTGAGGCTGCTCAGGGGAGAGGTTGGAGACAAGCCGTGTCCTTCGAGATCGAGCAGGTGGAGGTTGTGGCTTTGGTCCAGCCGAGATGCTTGGATCAAGGGCGTCCAGTAATCCATGGTACCACCGAGTCCATGAACGAAAACAAGATTCTCTCCTGACGAAGATCCTTGCTGACGATAGTGTAGCATCTTGTTGTCGATTTTTGTCAGACCGTTGGAGTCAACAGCTTTTTTGTTCGACGAGGGAATGTGGCTCATGGCGTGAACGGTAGAAACAGTAGGGTTCGACGAGTCTTGACCGCCGATGCGGTTTGTCAGTGACCCTAGTCCAGCCACTGACACTGTGACCTCGTCACCAGACTTCAGATAGGTAGGAGGCTTTTTGCCGATCCCAACACCGGCGGGCTTGATTCTGTGTCAGCTGTATGTAGATGTGTGAGGAGTTCACAACTTACTGTGCCCGTTGCCAGAACATCTCCAGGCATAAGGGTCTGTCCTTCTGACATGGTCTTGATCAGGAAAGGAATGCTGAAGATCAAATCCTCTGTGGTGGCGTCTTGTCGCACTTCGCCGTTCACTCTGGTTTGGACTCGCAGAGTCTTGTCGAGCTTTCCTGCAGGCACAGCAATAGGACCCTGGCACAGTCGGTCAAAACTTCGAATCCGACTCGCAGGTCAAGATAGTACACTTACCATTGGACAGAAAGTGTCTGGCGATTTGCCAATGTAGAACTGCTTGTGATCGCGTTGTCTCTCACGAGCAGTCATATCGTTGATGATGGTATAGCCCCAGACATGTTGCATGGCACTCTCCTCAGAAATCTGATGGCCGGCTTTGCCGACGATGACTCCAATCTCTCCCTCATAATCAATCGTCTCGGTGAAGCCAGGATGAGGGTAGATGTCCTCGCCGTTTGCAATTATTGAGGTAAAACGCTTGGTAAAAATGACAGGATGGGTAGGCTGATCAACCTTGTCGGAGCTGTCAAAACCAGAGCCGTTGAATTCTTTCGCGTGCTCTGCATAGTTCTTGCCCACGCAGAGCACATCTCGACCACTTATGGGTGGGAGTATTCTGACAGATGAAGCAGATATGCTTTCACCTGATGGGATGATGCCAGATTCTCCAATCTCGATGACCTGGTAGAGATTCTGGAGCAGCGTACCCGAGGCAAAAGCAAGCGGTTGAATCCTATCACTATCCAGATCGTAGTGGCCAATAGAGGTTCTCTCGGATCCGTTGATCTGGAAAGCGACATAGTTCGTCAGCGAGTCAATTGTGGTTCCATTCGAACCATTGATGCCATTCCGGCCGTTGGTGTGGTTTGCGGCAGTCATCGAGAACTCGGGAAACCAGACAGTGTATGTGTTGTACTCTAGGTTTGCAGAACGGCGAATGAAGTTGGGTTTATTTTCTATGAGCATCATTGTCACATGCAATGTTCAAGCTGGGACTTCCTTGTCAGGGCAGCTGCGACCCCGCCTTCTGGTAACTCCGTCTCCCCCACCTTCCTTTGGTATGCACGCGGAGAAGGCGGACATGGCGGACATTGTACACAAAGCCTATTTGACGTCCTCGTGAGCCTGCTCTCTTCTTACTGTGCTCCATGCCATGTGAAGACCAAAGGCTACTTACATCTTCGCACTCGTAGGGGGCTAGTGAGGGGCAGAGAAGAGCGGGGTAGATGGTTTCAAACGAGAGCTGAACCTTGTGGAGGGTGTTGGTACTGGTTGCCATGAGGGCAAATCCCTATATAGAGTCTCAGACCTAGATCATGAGAGGATCACTCAAATCCTCACACTCAACAACTCTTTCCACCATGTCCAACTCTCCAGCGACCGAGACTTACGACCACATCCCGAAGATTGAAAGTGGCCGTGATGTGGAACACTTGGAGCGGATGAGAACAGCGGGCGGCCATGTTGATGATCGTTCTCAGCCTTCTTTACCTGTTGTTCATCGCTCCTTCGCCAATCCCGCTCCCTTAGGCTTGCTTTCCTTTGCCACCGGTATATTCTTGATCTCAATCCTTGGTGTGCACGCTCGCAACATTCAGACTCCAAATGTGCTTGTCGGTGTGCTGCTTTTTTTCGGAGGAGTGTGTCAATTCATCTCCGGAATCATGGAGTTCGTGGCTGGCAATACAGTAAGCTCGCGAGATTCTTCCTTTTGATGTACCTACTCACACGGAGCAGTTCGGTGCCACAGTCTTCCCTTCTTACGCAGCATTCAACTTTTCGTATGCTATGATTTACATCCCGGGAACAGGTATCTTAGCCTGTAGGTATGCCCTTTAAGGTGTATCTTCTGCACAGACTGACCTGGGACCTAGCTTACATCGACGCCTCTACTGGAAAACTGAGTCCAGACTTCAACAACGCTCTCGGCATGTATTGCTGGGCCTGGTTCATCCTCACCGTCATCTTCACCATCGCAGCCATGCGGAGTTCCTGGGTGCTGTGGTTCACCTTGTTCTTCCTGGACATTGAGCTTATCCTTCTGGCTTGCGGCTACATGCTAAACAGTCCGAATACTCTCCTAGCCGCAAACTCTGTTGGTTTCGTGGTAGCTTTCTGTGCCTGTGAGTCTTTCCTGACATCTGTACTCTCCACTTTAGGACGATGAACTAACTTCAATCAGACTGGGCAGGTTGTGCTGGACTCTGGGCTGGGGGGCTGACTCCAATCGAGCTACCCACATTTGCTATGACAAAGCAGACTTGAAGCCTCGCAAGAGCTCCAAGAAAGACCCTTTACAGTGCATCATACTTGAGCAGCGTGGGAAGTAATTTGTAGGATCTGTGCGGTGACGGACTAGGCTTCCATAACGACACACTTAGAGCGCCGGATACGTCTGTTCGCATATAACACATTGCCCTTTATTTCCGTTCTCTTGCTCATCTGTGTGTCATAGTCGTGGTAGCTCACAACACTCAGAAGACTGATAGCGTGATGTGCGCTCTCGCATGGCACAACTTCGTGTCGGAAAGCACTGTGTACGTTTGCATCCCAAATAACACAACACGCCAGGTCGAGAGATTGTGGGAAGCTGTTGAGCATACGAAGGGCAACGCTCTCGAGATTTGATTTGAATGTCGCATGCGAACCGCGACCCTGTAGACTTTTCGCGGCAATTCCGAATATCAAGGTAAAGGGACAGTGTATAATGTTGTATATCGAACGGCTTCATCATTGGATACATCCAGTCGCGAAGTCTTTAGCTGTAGAAGAGGGAGAAATCTTGATTCAGAATGGACTGATGCTGCGCAGCACGGATAGTGAACAACCGGGGCGGTGTGACGGTATTCCATTTTGCTTGGTGCCGTGGAAACATCACCAATCATCGTCTGCGAAACCCATCTTCCTAAGACCTACGTATCGTGGTGGCTCCTTGTATGGATTTTTGACGCCTTTGGTCCTGCCAACGCGCAGGGCTCTACCGTAGTCTCTCATGTGCTCTCGAGTGTGAAATCGCCAAAACTGCCATGTGCAATCCTTGCCCTCAAAACTCTTTATGACTGTGCTACCACCAGGATGTTCGAAGACAAAATCTGTGCAGTCATAGATGATGTCGTCAACCACGATCCAAAGTCTGCCGTTTCTCAAAGTCCTGTCTAACACCGTAGTTGCAGGGATATAAGGTAGCTCGGTGTCTGGGACATCCTCTGGGAGAAGTGGATACTGTAGTGTTTGCGCAGTGCTGATGACGACGCACTCGATATGAGCAGGATGGCAATTTTCCTCTGTGGTAGCAACGGTGTGAAGAGGAAGCACGGTGGCCTTGCGTTTGAGCTGAAGCCAACCCATGATGATTCTGTGGGACGTTGTATTGCGAGAGAAGGAATGTAACAGCGAAAGACAAACACTTTGATGGTACCCAAAGTATGGAGTTGTCTAAGTTGAATCTCTGAATGATCTGAAGCTTTCCAACCGTTCCAGATACCAGCCTACGAAACGTCCAGGGGTCGGAGATCTCCAGAGGGCTATCTAAGAGCATGGGACGCAGACGTCTGTACCTTTAGACTTTGATAGTGTCTGTAGAATCAGGACAGGAGTCCGAGCCGAAGGCGACCTCAGAGCTCGGCGATGGCGGGAAAGAAGACTGATGAGGGGTTCGAGTGTTCTCCGAATCACCGAGGCGGACCAAGAGCGGAATGGGCGGTGATCGCGGAGATATCTTGCTAAGGTTCAAGACACTGGAGATGGCTCAACGCCATCCCATGCACCCCGCACTCATTCCCCGTCCTACAGGGCTGTATCACGCGGAGTGCTCCCAAACCTTCGAGAACCATGCGGGTGTTCGATACATAAATGAGCAGTCAGTCATCTGCGAGTGATGAACATATTTGCGACATTCCAGCACCACAAATATGGCACCACACTCCGACAGAACAGACTCATTTGTGACACGAGACGCGAGTGAGAAGCCAAAACTTAGCAAGACATTACCACCACGCAACGTCAAATGGATTGAGGATGTCTCGTGGGATACAAGTCTGCAGCCCAAGGACTATGAGCTTCAGGGGACTCATCCAGACTCCAAGATCTTGTTTCTCAATGTCAACATCCTTGACTCCACAGGCAGAGAGCCATACCTTGGAGACGTCTTGATCGAAGGTATGATACTTTTTTCAATCTAGGAGCATCATGAAGCTGATACCGTGGCAGGCCAGCGCATCACCTACGTCGGCACTGTTCCTAATGTCGATGAGCTTCGCAAAGATTCCAAAGTCCGAGTCTTCCACGGTCGAGGCCGCACGCTGATGTCAGGCTTGGGAGATGCTCACACTCATTTCACGTGGAACGGAGGTGATCTCGATCGCCTGGGGGATCTAGGCGTGGAAGAGCACACACTCCTGACGATGCGAAGTGCCCAGTGCTTCATAGACTCAGGCTATACCATGTAAGCAAGCCCGAGCGAGCACAGGGCGAACAGACACTGACTGGCTTGCAAAGGTGTTTCGGTGCAGCTTCAGCAAAAGACCGACTCGACGTTGTCATCAGAGATGCAATCAACGCTGGTGATATTCCAGGGCCCAGATACCTTGCAAACGGCAAGGAGATGGCGCGGCGAGACGGCGAGTTGGTTGCAGGCATCACTGCATTCGCAGATGGACCGGACGAAATGAGAGAGGTCATTCGCCACCATGTCGATCTCGGGGTTGATAACATCAAGCTTAGCATGTCTGGCGAAGAGGTAAGTGAACACTGAGATCTCCGGAGGCGGTCTGTCGATGCTGACTTCGTGCTCAAGATCACAGAGATTCGCTCTGCCCAGGACTGCTACTTCACGGATGAAGAGACCGCAGCCTGTGTTGACGAGGCACACAAGCATGGTAAACGCCTGTGTGCCCACGCTCGAGCCCGAGACTCGGTCAAGATGTGTACGTACGATTGTACTTCGCGGTACTGTGCCAATTTGTTGACTCTCTGATCAGGTGTCCGTCATGGCGTCGAAGCCATATACCATGCTTCATATATCGACGACGAAGGCATGGACATGCTAGAAGCGGCAAAGACAAAGCACATAGTGGCACCAGCAATCAATTGGTTGATCGCAACGCTCAACGAAGCCGAGGCCTTCGGCTATAGTCACGCCCAGGCTGAGAAGGTCGGATACAAGCGCGAGCTAGATGCAGCTATCGTTGGCTTGAGAGAAATGCATGAACGAGGTATAGTCGTTCTCCCCGGTGGGGATTACGGATTTGCCTGGACTCCTCACGGTACCTACGCTCGTGATCTGGAGCACTTTGTAAAGCTGTTGGGTTTCACAGAACACGAGGCTCTCATTGCGGCGACAGCCGGTGTCGCGAAGCTGATGATGCGTAGCGACGATCTCGGCAAGATACAGCCAGGTTTCTTTGGAGACTGTATTCTGGTGGACGGAGATCCATTGGACGATATAACCATCTTGCAGGATCATTCGAAGTTGAACATCATCTGCATCAATGGCAGAGTTCACAAGGCCGGTCGGAAGGAATACATTCCACCTCCAGTGGCAGGACAGGACCATAATAACCATGTCATTGTTCCGGACATGGATTATCCAGATGTTGAGAGGGCGATGCAGAAGCAGTATTGATAGGATTCATATGCGATGTTTCACCTAAACAACTCTGCAACCTGCACCAACGCACAGCTGTTTTGAAATCTGGAGCGTCAACTCCGGAGCACGTGACATGTGCTTATCTCTGATAGACCATCCACTGCCATCATGAAAGCACGTCGCAGAGCATCTTGATAACCATCCCTCAGCCTCGAGAAGGTACAGTGCCTTGACATAAGCATGGTAAGACTCGATTTTCAAGAGGGATGCTTGCAATGCGACAGACATCTGCTGTAATCCATTATGTCACCCTAAACGAACTCCTGACCAACGAATCTTATTGTACGACCCCTTGGGCGAGATGTAGAGATGCGTGCTCGGCGCCACGCGTGTCGTGGACCAAAAGCACTTGGCATATAATGCGACATCTTCCAGGTTGCGTACTCCTAGTCGGCGCCATCATGGTTGCAAAAGCCTCGGACCCCATCACTCGCCTCTGCGGAGCACCCAAAAGCTTAACGCCGCGGAGCGGGGGTGCGGAGAAGACACTGAGGAGGCGGACTTAGGTATCTAACACCAACCTGCGCTTGTGCATCGACATGTTATCGGCTTCGAACACTCCAAATATGCGCGAAGGTCGTCAGAAACGCATGCCCATCAACTGTGAGCCATGTCGTATTCGCAAGATCCGATGCTCTCGTGATGGCATTCCCTGTGGCACTTGCAAGAGACGCGGAGTTCCGCCAGCAAATTGTTCATTCGCCCAGCGACCACCACGAGATTCATCTATCAATCTGGGGCCAGGAATGCCTATCTCGCCTATATCGACTACCCGGTCACCAGGACAGTCAACAGACGAAGATCTAGTTGCACGAATCGCACGAATCGAAAGGATGCTCGCGAATCAGCAACGACAAACTCAAGACGGCTCTAATAACTTTGCCCCGATCGAAGATCAATTCCGCATCAATACTGCTACGACAGACAACATGCCTGGCGGCCACGGCTTCCTACAAACGTCAGCATCTGGTCACGTTCGTTTCGTTCCATGTTGGCCAACAACAGAGCCAGACGACGAAACATGTCCTGACCGTTTCGAAAGTGATGTCTCACCTTTTGGAACTCAGTATATGACGAATGGTCTTAGAACGTCTGATGTTCTGGCCATGCTACCACCTTCAAGCCTATGCTCACGGCTGAAAGACATATACTTCGAGTCGTTTTCTCCTCTTTTTCACGTCTTGCATGACCCTACTTTTCATCAACAGTATGCACGTTTCCAACATGAACCAGAGTCGGTATCTCCGGCCTGGCTTGCGTTACTTTTCGCTATCATCAGTACCGCTCTGAGTGCCTGCGACGCGAACAGTGACTTTCTGGATGACCTGAGCAGGCGGCCAAGTGTTTCTGCAAAGATCCGCGATCTTTCTGAGAGATACAGAGCAGCTGCAATGCGGTGTCTCGAGATGGACAACTACCTCTGGAGACACAATATTACAACCTTGCAGGCCTTGATCATTCTGATATATGGCATAAATCACAGTCATGGACAAAGCTGGACCTTACTGGGCTCTACATATCATATGGCACTCTCGCTGGGCTGTCATATAGACCCAGCGAGCTTCAACCTCAATCTCGTAGAATGCGAGGAGCGAAGGAGGTGCTGGGCTTGTGTCATGATGCTTTGCACGTTGCAAAATACGTCAATGCGGAACCTTGCACCACACTACAATAGCTCTCATTATTCCGTACGTATGCCAGCAGATGTCAATGACTTCGATTTGACAGTTGACTCCACGTCGTTGCCGATACACACCGGACGAGCGACTCAGATGTCTTATCTACTTCTCAAATTTCGTCTCTACGATATTGGAAGCAGAATTTGCTCCAGAGTGTTGAACGCCGCCACAGTTGATCCTAGAGTCATTACCGACTTGGACAACGCTTTGATCCAAGAACGGGATCTTTGGAGCTCGATATACCAGTATCACTCACGACAAGATGAGCTCTCATCATATCACAAGATACATCTCAAGATCTTGCACAGCTTTTCCCATCAACTCGCATTATTGCTTCACCGACGCATACTCATGCAGGGATCTCCGGACCCCGTCCAGCAGCAGCATGCGCGATTGAGGAGTACTGAGAGCTCACGAGCATTATTGGAAATGCATTCGTCTTTGCATAACAATCCCGAATTTGGGCCTTTTCAGTGGTACAATCGGGGATTGGGTTGTTTTCACACATTTCACGCGGCTGTAGTGTTGATTGCTACGATCTCCGAGTCGAGTGAACCAAATGCCGATCTATCGGATAACATACGTTTGCTCAAGGACTGTGTTCGACGCTTCGAGGATCTAGCAGATCTAAGTCTGGTTTGTCAACGGGCCGCACCTATACTTCGCCGTCTGCTGTAAGTCTTCATTCATATCGAACGCGTAACAATACTTACTTGTGTTTCATAGTACCGGGCTGGGTCTCTCGATGCAAACGGAAAACTCTGAGCTGGCGTCTCAAGCGCAGATTGCAATCTCGACTGACGGCACGGTACAAGCCTTAGTTAGTGCAGCTGACGACGCCATGAGCGGACTGGATCAAATTTTTGATCATCTTGACCCTCAGCAGTGGCTTACGCCTTCAGCAGTGTCATGGGGTCATTGGGACTTACCGTTGGATACGACAAATGGATCATGATCGTAACAGAGATCTAGTCATCCTCTGCCAAATGATTGACAGGTATAAGGTCTGTCACTGTTCTGACCCCTTAGCGTGGAGCCTGTCACTACTGAATATCGAGCTGTAGAAATGCAAGATCGATTTCAGGATATGAAACCATACATGGAAGAATTGATGACAGTCCGCTTCTTATTCATGACGTTGCTTCTCACCAAAATGCTGTGTCTCGCAACGCAGAAATGTGGGTGCAGCATTGTTCGTGGGGGGCCTTTGACGTCCTTCTCCGCCATCAATCGACTCGATAAAACCAGGCTCTAGAGATGCACAATGACCTCTCAGGAGTGAGAAAGCTTTGAAGAGAGTCAGACAGTCCAATCTCCAGCGACGACAATACTTCTCAAGAATAAGTCTGGCAGTTTTACTTGGAGCCAGGGTCTTTTCAGCAACCACAGGGACTTGGCAGAACTAGTCATCTCAACCACAATATACGCATCGAATATGTAAAGCGAATATAAGTCGAAGCCTAAGTACATATCAAGCTCTACAGTATACACCATTATCAGCCCTCGGACATATAAACTGACTAGACCCGTGCTTCTCCACCTTGTCCCAAAAGTCCTGCTTCCAAAACTGGGCTATCCACTTCATGTCAACTGGGAACAGCTCTGCCCTCTTGCTACCTTGACATCCGTAGTTTAGCAACAGCGGATACGTGACTCTTGTGATACTACCTGGCCAATCCTTGATATTGAGGCCATAGGCCAAAGTTGGCCTATCGCAAATGGCTGTTATGGCGCCATCGAACAGCATGGACTCGAACTGCCATCCCAATTCTGCGAAGCGAGTATCGCGATAGAAGGGCTCGCGGACGTGAGCACCAAATCGGGCGAACCAGAGAGAGTGTATGATCTCGTGAACGAGAGTTGCAGCGAGGCAATATTGGAGACGGAGGTCCGCGGATGGGTCATCGGTACCGGGGATCCAAAAGGTGGAGAATTGAGAAGACTTGTTTCTAGATATTAGGATGTTGAGGATGTTCTCGTTGATAAGGATCGTTGAGCCTACGCCACTGTGCATTGCGTCAGCACTTACTTGGAAGCGAAAACAAAAATAATCATGGTGTCGGCAGAAATGAGCTGACGAAAGGAAGGAAGGTATCATACTTCTTGCTCAACCCTGGACGTGAATCATTTACCCGTGAGATACCAAACACGTCATGATCCTTGGCTTCTATGACTTCGAGAGCGGCAAACCTGATACTATCCTTCAGGTCCCATATGTCCTCCCACAAGAGCCAGAGTTCCTGCTTCGATGGTCTTTCTTTGACCTGGAACCAGTAGACTTCCGGGCTGGCGTCAGACATCTCAATCTTGTAATGTGAGCCTCGATCTAGCATGCCAACCAAGTAGCCTGACATGACCTTCTCCTCTAAGAGCAAAGTAGCGAGCTGCCATACTGGCTTCAAGGTATCCCAGTGTGAATTGGAAGCACTGGCAATCTCCTGTGTCTCCCACATGTCCCTGGAGAAGATGGGGTGGATATGAAGGTCCTCTTCGATCGCAATGACTTCACCACTGGCTGGCATTGTATTCGTCTTCTTATAGTGACGGTATGCAACTGCTGGCGTAGTGTGCTTACCATATCCGAAACCAGGATCCGGGGCAGAGATTGACGAAAGATTGATGTAGTCATTCTCGTTCAGATACTCGAGGCTCAGTTCTGAAGGTATTGGGTCCGCGCGATTGATGTAGGGAGTGGGCGTGATCCTGCGTAAGAAAGACCGCTTTACATCACTACTGCGGGCGTCGTTGTCCACGATTGTCTTGCGTTTATTGCCCTTGAAAAACATGGAAATGAAGTCCGAAGTCATTCGCTCCTGATGGCAGAATATGCATCGATGGTGATGATCAAGAGAGGCTGAAGGCTTCGCTCCTTGTCGTCTTCCTTTGACTGAGGTCTTCAACGACGCAGCCGATTGTTCGAGGACGGGTGTCCTGTGAATTCTGTCCGGATGCGGTTCACATGTCACAATTTACAAACACAAAGAAGGATGCACCTACAGGCTCTGGTCATGATAGAGCGATATCGATTGGTTGCCACGTGATATCTACCATGAGCACTTATACTAGACTGTTTATGGCATATTCCTATGACACTGAGATTCCATGATTGTAGGATAGGTGGATAAGAGAGTGGAGGTGGAAGAGGACAAGAAGGTCGGAGGATCGGCATGTGTCGGCGAAGCGGGCCGACGCGCAAGCATTTGGATGGACGCGCGAACGTGTCCGCCGAGCTTGAGCTTCAAGGGGATGCATCATGCAATGATCTAGGCTGCTAGATCACACACATAGACAATTATCGCAATGGCAAACCGAGGCTACGACGTAGTTGTGGACGTTGATGCAGAGGTCGGTTCATGAATGCGCTCATGGCTATGCATACCAGCAGCTGACACGACACCAATAGGGAGACCTAGGTCATACCGACCTGCAAGAGGACCTCGAATTCCACTCATCCAGTGAGTCTGCAACCTCGCCCGGTCGGGAGCATGTCATCTGACGAAAAGCGATAGATTTCGAAACACAGACGTCGACGCGTGGTAAACTTCCCCCCGGCAACAACTCGTTCTTGCCCACCAGCAACGGCAACCCCTCGGTGACGAGTAGCAAGCACTACCTCTGGAGCATCTCCTTCTACGCTCAGTTCTTCGATGTCGACACTTCTGAAGTCGCTCGCCGCTGTCGCGCTGCCATTTTCCCTCTCTCGAACTTCCTCGATGTGCTAGACGGAAACCCCGATCTGTATGGCCCCTTCTGGATCGCTACTACCGTTGTCGTCATCCTCTTCCTCACTGGAACAATCTCGCAGTATCTGGCAAAGGAGGGCAAAAAACACTTCATCTACGACTTCACACTGTTGTCTGGTGCTGCGGGCTTGATTTATGGTTACACTTTCATCATTCCTGTTGCTCTCTGGGCTGCCTTGAAATGGTTCAGGGCAGAGTCTGCAAACCTGCTCGAATGTGTCTGCCTATACGGCTACGCGAACCTGATCTGGATTCCCGTCGCCTTGATCTCTTGGTCGCCCATCTCGATTCTGAACTGGGTCTTTGTCGCCGTCGGTCTTGCTGCTTCGCTCGTCTTCCTCGTCCGCAACCTTTACCCCGTGCTCAGTGCTACCGACGTCAAGACGAGCAAAATTCTCTTGATTGTCGTCGTCGCTTTACACTTTGGTCTTGCCCTGGCCATCAAGATTCTGTTCTTTGCGTAAGTCATCCTTGAACGCGACTTGTTCAATATCCATACTGAAATTCTCCGAATAGACACAACAGCCCAGCAAAGAAGGACAAGGACCACAAGGATGACGATGGTAAGATGATGCGCATGTTCTTCGGCTTGTAGAGCCTGACAGCGTCCCTCATTCTCTTCTCCTTTCATCACTAGGCGCCTTGAAGCCAAATGTCATAGCAAAGCAAATCCCACTCTGTTCTTCAGGAGGCTCATTCTTACCACTTCTTCTATCAATACCAACTTATCCCGTAACAATCGCCTTTTCCTCTCAACCATGAGCGTTGTTCCTAGATTACAGCCTCTGTCCTTCTCCAGCGCTACTCTCATACTAGGTTCCCTGTACAACAAGGCACCCACTAGTAGGATGCGTTTGTCAAGTGAGGACAAAGGAACAGAAGTGGACCAAGTCATGTCAGGGAGTACTAAACAGGCATGGTGTTGGTCGATCTGAAAAAGCACAGCCCGGGTGCTGTGCCGAGTCGGCCTTATTCCAGGCTTGGGTTTCCGACTACCATACATATATATCTGTATCATGAGTCGGCGCCTCAGACTTTCACCTCATCGTAACATCACATGGGTCTCTCTATACTCGACTTCCATCATCGAACAACAGCCATCGTCGGGAAACAATCATGACCGCACTGTCTGATGAAAAGCTGCCTCTCTACTCGGCTGCTGCGACTTCATCACTTCTTCCGCCACAACCTACTGCCACGCCAGACGATGTCCGCGACTTCATCGCCGGTCTTCTGGTCCTTACTCGAGATCCTCCACTACAGCATGCAAGGGAAACAGCCAGCAAGTGGAAGCTAGGAACGGGTCGCGAGTTAAATGCCTACCCACCAGGTGTATACGCCGATATCTTTGGCAGCGAAGATGCATGGATGGTGTACAGGGAGACCCAGTTGTTTATCCGCGGCAGAGAGAAGGGAAAGAATACGCGAAAGGATAGGCTTCGAAAATGTTGGTTGTCAATGCGTCCCTTACAAGTAGAAGATGCTGATAATTCAGATAGGGGCTTGAGCTATCGCTATTGTGATCATTAATATTTTTGGAGTAATCTTGGGTCTCGCATTGAAGCGTTCGATAGATCTGAGCGTCTTTGTCTTTACAGTAGTTGTTTTCGCTGATGTCATTGCTCTAATCGTTGGTGTCACCGAGTATATCAATCAGCGTACTCTGGAGCAGGAGGTCGAGAGCGAGCTGAAGGGTGGTCTGGGATTGAGAAGAAAGTGTGAGTGAAGAGACGGAGTTCAAGCACATGACATCTGTAATTCTTATCTGCGTTCGTCGTTCCCATCCAGCAGGCCCTGTTGTCATGCTTTGCATCGCTATTTTCACAGACCACTATAATCCACCTCTTACGACTAAGATCCTGCTCTTCCTCCACCGTCTCTTCTTTGGTTACTTGACGTTCGTCTCTGGCTACTCCAAGCCTAGAGTCCACCTAACAACCCCACAGTCCCAACCCAACAAACAGATTAAACACTGTGCCTCCAATCAGGCCTCCCACAGCAGCACCCTCTGAACCCGCAACCCAAGTATCCACCCCAAACACCACAGTCCAAGCCGTAATCAACATTCCCATCTCCTTGTTCTTTCCCTGCATCGCATACAAGACGATAGGCACAGCCACAGAGATATCTCTGATACCGAGAAAGAGCATCGCTTTGTGGTTTATAGACTCTTCGGTGGGTGTGGATGGATGAATACCAAGAGACGCAGCGCCAGTGAGAGGTGAAATCATGAAGAGGGCAGACACACCTATGTAGAGTGTTGTTTGGAAGAGACCCAGGGTGCGCCAGGTCGAGGGTTGGAGGAGGGGAGTCGGTAAAGCCATGGTTTTCGTGGTGATCGAAGTATTACAATTAATTTGATCTTTACGGTTGTCCAGCGGTTAGATGGACTGGTTTGGTATTTTGGTATCTAAATACTCGAGCCTGAATATAACAGCACTTATAAACATGGCTGAGCATGCCATGGTCCGGATATAGTGTACATCTGCCTGACCGCGACGGTGTATCTCAACACCGTAAGGCTGAAAGTAAACTTCATGACAGACGGGGAGCGGAGTTAGAGGTGCAAAGTTGTATCCGGGCTCGGTTTCTAGGTCTCTCGGCATGATCATTACCTAGGTCGGGGGAGATATTGCCTATTCCGATTTAAACTTTCGTCCTCCAGCGGTGTCCGCTCCTTCTCTAAACTCCATCCATACTCTTCACATGTGAAGGCCTGGCTACGCATGTGAACTTGAGATCCACTGCTTGCCTAGTTTACGGCAATACTCAATAGGGTTTATCATAACACATCGAACCTGGGTCGACTGTCCACAAAGGCTCATCCGGTCTATGGAAGAACAATCATCCTGGCTTTTGAAAGCCTATTTCTGCCCTGCATAAACCATCAAAGGGAGCCGGGATGATGGGCCTCTGCACAGAGAAAGAAGACAGCAGAACCTGGAGAAGATGGTGGTGACAATTGATGAACATGTAAGAATGTCGTCGTTGCTGAGCTACACAAAAATAACACCTTCTTCCTAAAAACCCGTTTCGCTTTTGCCCGTTTTGGTTTCCTTATTTTACACGACATCGAACAGACCCTTGAGCTGCTTGGCGATAAGATTCCACTCATCCTTGGTGACTTCGTCACGGTAAAACTCTTTCAGTGTGTCGATAGAAGCTCTGCTGATGTGTGAGTAGAGGATCATCTTGTCCTCAAGTTGTCTGCCGTAAGTAGGTTGATTGGAGCCTTCAATCTTGACGGCAACGGCGGGTTGACCCTTTTTACACAGAGGGATCTGCTTGTGCTCGCGCTCAATCGAGGTGACACGGCCCATGGGGATAACTTCCTTGGCACCGGTGACGGGGTGGACCTTGACGGCTGCAATAGGTGTGTTTACACGGAGAGCACCGTCAAGAACATCGACACCGACAACGATGGGGCCGGTCTTATTGAAGACTTGAATGGGGTTAAGGATACAAGGGAAGACAGCCAACATCTTGGACTCTTCCTTCTTGGCGGCGGCGATCTCGGCCATGTGCTTGGTGAACTGGTCGAAGAGATGGTAAATGATGTCTGCGGTGAAGATCTTGACGCCAACATCGTCGGCATAAGCCTGGGCTTCCTTGTCGACCTTTACATCGAAACAGAGCATGACTGCGTACTGCTTGTGCTTTTCCAACATGGTTGATGCTGTGATAACATCTCTTCTGTGAACGTTACCGATGGAGATGGATCCAACAGGAATCTTCATCTGCTTCAAGAACTCAAGCAGGGCCTCGAGGGAACCAAGGGTAGATGCTTGGACGGTAACACCACGGCCAGATGTCGAGATCTTGCTGAGCAAGTTCTCGAGGTCGGACATGACATCGTCCATGAGCTCTTCCTCGTCGTCATCCTCCTTGACCAAGAGCAGACGAGAACCAGCAATGGCGTTTTCGAGACCGTTGGCAGTGATCTTGACACCCAATGCAGCCTTGACCTCCTTGTTGTGGACATAGGCAGACTTGACACGCAATTCCTTCATCTCAGCAGGAGTGAGCAATGCTCTGATGTTAGTCGCAATAGGTCCTTCTGTACCGCACAACACAATGCGGTCACCCTCCTTCAGACGACCATTTGTGATGACAACGTCAATGGTTGTACCAAGGCCCTCAATGACCTTGACTTCGAGGACGGTACATTCGACCTCAGTGATGTACATGAGCTGACCAGCCATTCTCTCTTGAGTGAGCTGGGTGATGAGCTTGAGCATATCGGGAATACCCTCGCCGGTGTGAGCGGAGGTGGGGACGAGGGAGACGTTTCGGGCCATCGACTTGTTCTCGTAGAAGACTTCGGAGTTGAAACCTTGCTCGGCAAAGGCGATCTTGGTCTTCTCGAGTCTGTCAGCGAACTCATTCTGGACACCCTTGTTTTGCATGGCAAGCGACTCGCGGAAACCATTGTTAGCGATTTGCTTCCAGCCATAAAGACGATCGATCTTGTTCAGGGCGACAATGAAAGGAGTCTTGCGGTCTCTGAGCAGTCTCATGGACTCGAGAGTTTGGGGCTCAAGACCGTGCATGATATCGACGACCAAAATGGCAATGTTACAGAGCGATGAACCTCTGGAACGAAGATTGGTGAAAGACTCGTGACCAGGTGTATCGATAACGAGAAGACCAGGGATCTTGAACTTGAAGGAGCCGTCAGTGTTCACGACAGCGGTCTTCTTCTCCAGGGCTTCAACAGGGAAGTATGTAGCACCAATTTGTTGGGTGATACCACCAGCCTCACCTTCCTGAACGTTTGTTTGACGAATCTTGTCCAAAAGCTTGGTCTTTCCGGTATCGACGTGACCAAGAATACAGCAAATGGGGGAGCGCAGGTTGTCCTTCGAGGCGGCCGCTCTGGCATCGGCGATCGTCTTTTGACGTCTCTCGGCGGCCTCACGCTTGCGTTGGGCAAGAGCACGAGCGTTTGCGCTGGCTTCCTCGTCTGAAGACGAATCAGAGTCAGAGTCCGAATCAGAGTCGGAGTCTGATTCAGAATCAGAGTCGGACTCTGTCTTGATGTTGGCCTTCTTAGCAGCGGCACCATCCTGAACAGGTTTGCCGTTGACGACAGGCTTAACAGTCTGGGGAGCCTCTTCCTCTTCTTCGGAGTCAGCATCCCAGCTGTCTCGGACACCCTCGTTCTCCATTTTCTCGGCCTCTGCCTCCCAGTCTTCAAGCTCATCCTCGTCTTCGGCCTTTTTGTCCAGAGCATCGGCCTTTGCCTTTTCAGCAGCCTCCTCGGCGGCCTTCTTCTGCTCTTCGGCAATGCGTAGTTCTTCGAGCTTCTTGCGAGCAGCTTCCTCCTCAGCCTTTGCGGCCTCGGCGGCAGCACGCTCTTCGGCAGCCTTGCGAGGGTTCTTCCTTCTGCGATCCTTCTCCTTTTGAGCCTTCTTGGCATCATCACCATCACCAGAGATACCAGCAACAATAGCACCACCCTCGAGCATCTGCTGGAGGCGAGCTTGTTGGCGAGCCTCTGCTTCCTTTTGAGCCTTTGTCTTGTATTTGCCTTCTTTCTTGAGCTGCTCGATCTTCTCCTTCTCCTTCTGCTTTTTGGCAGCCTTGGCTTCTTCTCTGGCCTTTGCGTCCTCGGCAGCCATCTTCTCTTCTTCCTCGGCCCTTGCGCGCTCCTCGGCCTCGAGACGAGCAGCCTCTTCTTCTCTAGCCTTCAACTCGGCTTGCTGTCTCTGGAGAGCGGCAAGGGCAGGGTTGAGCTTCTTCTTCTTACCACCAGCTGCAGGTTCGGGGGCAGGCGCTGCAGGTTCGATTGCACTCGGCGAAGGGGTGTCTCTGATGGGCTGAGGCTTGGGTGCAGCAGGTACGGCACCGCCTGCCTTCTTCTTGGCTGCGGCCTATTCGACGGACAAGTAATTAGCGCCTGTCTGCGGCCTGCGGACAACAAAGCGTAGTTTCGCTCACCTGTTCCTTCTTTCTCTGCTTCTCACGCTCCTTCTTCAACTTTTCCTTCTCCTTCTTGGTCAAGACACGACCGCTGGCATCCATCTCGTCGTCGTCCTGTGCGTCCTGTGCAGGCTCGGCTTGCTGTTTGGCGCCCTTGGCTCCCTTTCCTTTCTTAGCGGGTTCGGGGTAAAGGTCTTCGTCGTCCATGTTGCCCTCCTCAGGAGCCTTTGCGGCCAGGTCCAGGTCGACGGGGGATTCGGTTCCATCGGCAGCATCGGCGGCAGGGTCTTCACCAAGCTCGGCTTCCCAGTCGTTGTCTTGCTGCTTGCCCTTCTTGCCCTTCTTGTTCTGTCTGCGCTTGAGGGCAGCCATCAGACCGCCGGCGGGGCCAGAGGGCTCTTCTTCGTTGGCATCCTGGGCAGCTTCCTCGGCCTTTGCCTCTTGCTCAGCCTGGGCGATGGGATCGATGGTCTCGCCGAGCTCGGCTTCCCAGTCGTCCTGCTGGGCCTTCTTGTTTCCCTTCTTCTTGGGCGCCATCTTGTCGTGTCGCAGTGGGGGAGTCTACGATGTGGTGGGGTGGCGGTGATTGAGATATGGGCAGTCGCACGGTCAGCAAAGTCGTGTGGCTGGCGGTGGCATCTGACGGCGGAGCGTGGATCTAGTGAACGGCGCACGCAGACGTGGGTCGAGATGTCGGAGTGGCAGAGTGGCAGAGTCACTGTGCGATGCGAGCAAGAGGCAAAGTCTAATTGTGCTCGGACGGCCTGCCGAGTGACGGAATTCTTGTTTTTTGCGCCCGCACTCGATCGTTGATCGCTTGTTTCATTCGACCTCTCTTGAGCAAACATCGTGTAGAAAGTCTCGGATAGATTGTTTCTCCATCTTACTGTCTCGTCGTCTAGCTTTTTTGTATATACACTATGTCATGTGCTTTTGTCGCGCAACCCACTCATCGTCCAAATCCAAACCAGCCCTTCTTTTTTTCTTCCTTTGGCTTCTCCTCGGCTGCTACATTGCTTGCGGCCGCTTTTGTTTCCACTGCTTGCTTGCCCGTCGTCGGATAGTCGATGTAGTTCCAAGCGACGTCAAAGAACAACGGCTTTATCGGGATTGGCTCAATCTTTGGCGGATAAGAGACCAAGTTCTCGAGGTCCACCTTGACACCTGGTGTAGGGAAGTCGCTCAGTCGTTGAACAAGAGGAGCAGCAGTAGACATGTGCTTGGCTGCTGCGATGGATGCATTGTCGTGGAACTTGTTCAGCTCGACTAGCGCTTGGTGTCTGTAGACCAGCTGCTGCACTTGAGTCTGGAGCGCATCGGCCTGTGATTTGTGAATGTCGAGAGTGGGTGCAGACTTCGCCGCAGCCGAGGGCGCGGCTAAAGAGCTTGAGCACTGCTGTGCAAGTTGTAGCGCGCGAGCCAAGAGGGCAAGAGCCTTTACGTGTTCCGACAAAAGGGCATGCGAGATTGCAATGTTGAGGCATCTCAAAGCCTGGAAGTAGGCACGTTTGCCGTCCACCTCGCGAACAAAGCTCTCATCTCTCATGGCTCCTCTCAATTCCTTGATCGAGTCAATGCTCTGGATGGTGGAATCGTAGAGCACCACTCGTTCGCGCAAACGGGCAAGCTGACTCCCCCTGGGCTCGTTTTTGTGCTGGTCGCGAGCGCGTTTGCTGCTTTTCTGCTTCTTGTCTTCAAACAATCTGCCGTCTTCCGATCCAATGAGCACACGATTTCTACCGACACGCCAGCTGACAAGAGCGTAGTTGACGGCAAGACTGGTGACGCGCAGATCCTGCATCCTGTTGTCTCCTTCATCCACCTTTTCCTTTTCCAGCTCTTCGATGGCTCTTCTAGTGGCATCTGCAGCATCCTGGCTAGCAATGAGAACATTGTCGTAGGCGCCAGCACGGTCTCTGGCCGGACTTGAAGGATTAGATTCGAGGTAGGAGGTCAATTGGGGTTCGGCAGATGCGACAGCGGCAAGTGCTTGGCCGATCGAGGCGTCTACGATGTTGGCCGTCATGTTACGCCAGGTGACGGTGTTGGGGATGTTTGTTGTACCCAGATTCTGGGGCGCTGGATTCAGTAGTTAGCAACTGCCTGCAGGCGAGATATTATTGACGCACTAGTTTCGGTGGTGGTCTCGCTGAGAGCATTAGGATCGAGTTGTTGCAACAGATTGACGAGAGATGAGTCGTCTTTGGGGAAGTAGCGCAGAGCGACGGTCGAGACGGGAACGGAACGCGGGAGACGAGCTTGATAGGCAGCGTAGCGGATGGCAGGATCGACAGCGCTGGCCAGTATATCGCGGAAAAGATCCTTGTTGGCTTGGGCAAAGAGGGTAGCATAGATGACACGGGCGGTCGAGTAATGGCGCAAACACAGATCCCATCTTGACGACTGCTCGGTGTCGACACGGCCCTCTGACTGCTTCTCAAAGTGTTCGGCGCCAGAGAGGGAGGCTCGGTAGGCTTCGGCTTCGAGCAAATCTTGATTGGTCGATGGTGTGCATGTCGGGTCTTTGAGCAAGGCGGTCAAGTGATTGGCGAGAGTGGCAGCCTTGTGGAAACGAGAGATGATGTGGGAGCGAGTGGTACCGGTGATGCCGCTTCCCTGGTTGTCCTCGGAGTGGATGGACTTGATGTGCATGGCATGGGCCCAGGCACGTTCACAGCTGAGCAGCAGGAGATGTACAGATCTTTGCAGAGATTAGTCACGGGAAGCTGTATGGATATGCGGAATGGGAGTCGGTGTACTTTGGATTCTTCACAACATCGTCGGCGGTGATGTGCGACTTGTCGGAGTACTTGTGGCCCTTGTTGGTGGAGCGGCCCAGACGCTTGCGCAGAGCGAGCAGTTGTCGCGAAAGCTGCTTGCGGTATGCATTGTAGTCGGCGATCAGCAGAGCAGCTTCGCGATTGCCCACGGTGAAGGCGGTGATGTCCATGTTGGCGTGAAGATTGCTTGACGGGTGGCAGATGTGCGCTGCGGGGAGAGAGAGAGACGGTCGAAAGTGGGCCGAGAATTGGTAGAGAGGTGTTCACAGTTGGTGGGGTCGGAAGGGAAGGTGCAAGTGCTTGTGCTTGTGCTTGTGCTTGTGCACGGCGGGAAAGCACGACGCTTGGCACTGTCCAGTCGTGATGTAGACGAAAAGTCTCGAGCAATCAACACCTGCCAGGCACTCGATCCGCCGCCCCCAAGACGCCCAATCCATCATCCTACGAGTGCGGACAGCCTCGTCTTCTCTCGCCCTTACATCCTACTTCCTCAGAGTCGCCGTCCCACCGTCTCATCCATCGACCCTCCGCTCTTGTCGTAGCCCGCCACAGCAAGCCTCTCGCATCCTCTCGCATCCTCTCGGGCCCTGGCATGAACCATACTCCCCGCGGCTGCATGTGGTAGCGTCGTTGCTTGTGCCACACATACAACAGTCGTGGCATGCTAGAGCGCACGTCGGCATGTCTCGACACTGGAGTCCGCCTCTCTTTGCGCCAGAAGAGTCTGTTCCCCAAGAGTCGCCGACTGCTGTCCTCGTCTTTTTGGTCAACGAACGCTCCTGATGTCGATCACCTCTGCCCTGCCCAACTCTACAACCCACACGTCTCTGCCACCTATGATCCTACCACCGCCAACTCCACAAAGACCGCCGCCCGCAACTCTACCACCACGCCCGCCTCCTCCTTCTGCCCCGCCTCCTCCGCCGATTTCCAAGATGCTCCCTTCCTCGACTTTCTCTATCCCGCCCCCACTCAGCTCTTCATCACGCGCCTGTCTCAATGGGAAAGATGGTCTCGCAAATCCGCTCGCCCCAATGTCTTGAGAGGCTATTCCTCCTTGACCACAACCAAAGATCAAGACGCCCAACTCTCTTCCCATGCTCACAAAGACCTGCTTGCTTTGCTTGACCCCGCCCGCCCCAATCCGATCGATGAGACCTCCGCCTTTCTCGACATCGAACGCGCTTGGAATCTCTCTTCCCAGCTTGCCTCGTCCCAACAGACCCTGAAAATGGACGCCATCGTTTGGTTTGCCCAGAAGAACACCAGGGCCGCCGACAATCATGCTGTAGACCTCTTCGATAGCTTGCCTGACGCCTTGAAATCACCTGCTGTCTATGCTGCCGCCATCTCCTCAAACCTGAGGCTTGATCGCCAAGCCCGTGCCGTCACTCTCCACAAGACTGCCTCGACACTGCCACGTGAAGGATCTATTGCTTCCGATGCCCTCATGGCCGCTGCCATCTCTCAATCAGACTGGCCTCTGGCCATCTCTGTCCAGACAGAGTGGGAAACATACCATGGCTCCAGCCTTAAAGCCCACGAGACTCAATCGCTTGGCTCCGAACTAGACAAACACTCTTTAGATTCTCTCGAAGTGCTGCGTATCCTGCGCGAACGCTACGCAGAAAGCTGCCAAAGCGAGGACGACCTTTTCACCCATGACCTGTATCGATTACACAAACTTCTGATGCTACAGTACATTCGCAACCAGTCAAGTTTTACGAACTTTGCCCTGCCAGGCCGCAATAACGACGAGCTCCGTGGTCGGGTAAGACGTGTGTTTGAGCAGACGTACAAGAGTGGCTTGACTTCGCGAAGCCTGTTCGAAAACGCACTCCGTACACTGGTGTTTGTCAAAGGCTGTGCGACCAGCCCCAACTGCAGTGCACTTTTCGTGGCTGTTTACAACATGTATCGGGAGTCGAGACATTACTGCCCCTCCGTCTCCCTCCTCAAACATGTCACTAAGTTCTGGATGGTTCACAATATCGCTTTCGCTGGAAAGGGTCCTGACCGTTCGTTCATTGGCCTGGACCGCATACTGAAAGACTGGACCACATATCATTCGAAGCCCGACGCTAAAGCTCTCTTTCACATAATGGATGCGTTCGCTCGTCGCGGTCACGTGGAGGGTGTTAAACAATACGCTGATATGTACATGTCCCTGTACCCAGAGGGCGCTCGACGTGCCAACCACCTCCGGCCTCTAATCAATGTCCATGCATTCAATCGGAAACCATCACTTGCTGCTAAACAGCTGCACAGTCTGAAGGATGAGTATGGTGTCGACCCTGATCTTGGCTGCTGGCACATCGTTCTGCTCGCTTACCTCCAGGCCGACGATTTGTTCGAAGCCAGGGAACATTTTCGTAGGATGCTACAATCCGGGATTAAGTCTGACTCAGTCACTTATGCCTCGCTGCTCAATCTCTACGCAAAACGAGGAGACACAGATGCAGTCATTGATTTGTTGGATTCTGCAAAGTCAGACGGTGTGATTGCAAGTACTAGTATGCTGAACAGTATGATTGTCGCTCTCAGCCACAACTCCGATTTCGATGGCGCGTCGAGCGCACTCGAACAGAGCATTCACGCTGTAAAGGAGAGAATGGCATCGGGCTCCCTCACTGTCTGTTTCAACACCATGCTCACTGCGTACAGCTGGAAGAGAGACCTTAGAGCTGTCATGACAACTTATCATCGTATGAAGAAAGAGAATGTGCCGCTCGACGCAAGGTCATACGGATCGTTAATGTTGGCTCTCTGTCTCCTACGTCAGTCGCCATCAGCACACAAGATCCTCAAGTCAGTCATGCCCGGGAACGGCATACGCCCGCAAGCCTTTCATTACGCCATCCTCACAACAGGATACACGAATCAAGGCATGCACTCGGAGGCCGTCAAACTTGAACATGAGATGGAACAAGCGCGAGTCCGCCAGACAGCCAGCAGTCGAGCGGTGGCGCTGAAAGCAAAAGCGATTTACGAACATGAGATTACGATCAAAAAGAGAACGATATCCCGCCCGTTATTACCTCTCCAGAATGCAATCAAGGATTATGAGCAAATGTTGGATGACCCACGAACTTTCGGTCAAGGATACCAACCGTCTTTCGGTCGACTCAACTCTGGGGCGGCTGAGACCATGGACCTAGGCCATCTGATATACATTCATGGTAAGCGTATGTCGTTCGAAGCAGTGCAGCATATCTTCCAGTTGTTTCATGAGAAGCGTCTGAGTGTCGATGGCTTCGTGCCAATCATGAATCTTCTCACGAACCTTATGTTTGTTCATACTCAGGCTCGAGAGTTTGCTGAGGTGGACAAGTACTGGGAGATCATCAAGTCTCGTGCGGATGAAATTCGTCGTTCGCATGTCCCAGCTTCGGATCTTTTGGCATCAGCCAAACACGATGCGGATGTCAGCTTCACTCGCAATCCAGAGACCGTTCAGATCACCGCAAACTACCGTTCTATGCTCTCACGACCGCTGGAGTACTATATTCAATCACAGGCTGCACAGTCAAGAATCAGCAAGCTTGTTCCCTTGTTGACGAAATTGCTCTCACAAGGGTTTCAATTTTCTAACAGAACATGGAACGAGCTCATTGTACGGCTTTGTCAGTCGCACCCTCCACGTGCACTACTTGCCTACACTCTGGTCGAGAAATACATGATGAAGGATTGGCCAGGCTGGGTCCCTCAGCGACACGGAACGATCAGCCGTAGCGACAAGATCTGGATCAAAACGCAAGATCATAAGGAAGGTCTTGAATACATCAAGGCGCGGTACTTACCTCCTGACCGAATTATTCCTCAGTATTTTACGATGGTGCATCTAGCTAATGCACTATTGGAGGTCCGTGGTCTGTCTAGTGTTGGTTTAGGCAACTTTCTGAGAGAGCCAGATCTTAGCATGAGTGAGCTGAAGAAGCAGGTGGGCACTATTCTCGACATTCGAGAAGAGGCGCCTTTAACGCTACACGCTGTTCAAAGCATGCCGAGAGTTGTGGACAACCTCCAAGGCAGTCTACTCCGTGCTCAGTAAGGCGGGCCAGAACGAGTCGAATGATAGAGCTGGTTTGTTGGAGTTTTGCTTTGGTCCGCGAATGCTAGCGCTCCTTCCTTCAATTTTGTATATTACCTGTAAATCATAGTTGTACACATAGGCGTGTTAGAGTAGAGTGCGAAGCGCCCAGCGCTTCGAATGCAATCATCGAATTGTACTTGTACCTGGTAGTCTTTCGTCGTGTTTTTGTTCGCTCAAGATATCCGGGCCAACCATCGTTTGTGGTCGATCACAAAGGACGGCGCCAGACGACCTCCCGGCATGCTAAGTTCTGTCATCTCCTTCCTCCTGATCATCGAGGCAGAGCATCGACGAGCCGTAGCAAGGCTCGGTCGTTATTCCACGTCAGAAACACTAGCGTATGTTCTCGTTGAGGGGACACATCCCGGCGGCATTGCTGCAAGTTAGAACTCAGCACAGAGCTGAAGATGCTCTTCAAGCCCTCGATCTGGAGAACGCAGTGGAAATTTGGTTCAACCCACCAAGCTCACGTCGATCATTGCTCCATACTGAACGACACATCTTGAGGCTCAAATTCTCCGCTGCATTTCAATGAGTACTGCTCGCATGCCTGTAACATTCTCGTCTGTGACCTACTGCGATGCGCTGTACCTTAGAAGCTTGCAGAAGAAGTTTCGAATGTCATCTTGAGATCGCACTAACCCGTTTACATACGCGTGGTGCTGGTAAGCTATGGAACCTAAAATCGAAGCTGGGTCTCCGTCCGCAAGTTCTCGAACGGGGTTCTCACTTGCTTGTGACATCCCTTCTACATTGCGACAATTGTTACGACAGTAATTGAGCAGTCCATAGCGGCAGTCGCATTCTACGACGCTGTCGACGGACTACACTCCCGCTCTTATCCTGAACGTGGCTGATTCACAGCTTACCATATCGCGATTCGCTGAGGTCCAACGACTTTGTCCACGCGCCCGGAGGCGTGGGTCATCTTGATCGCCGTCACAAATATTCGCAAAAGAAGAGGAGTGACAACTGCAAACCATGAGCGGACGGCATTTACTTGGAGGCGAGGCGTACGACTATCGGCAACTGGAACCCCGATGGAACCCTATCTTAATCGTGGCATCGATCGCCATTTCTTTTCTAGGAGCGTTCACTTCAACGCAGCTTATGTGCCATGCGCGAATGTCATTGCGATTTCATTCTGTTTTTCTTTGGGTACTGTTTGGAAGCTTCGTGTTCGGAGGTTGTTCAGTGTGGTGTCTGCACATGGTCGCAATGCTGGCTTGCGAGTTCGATGTCACGATGGGTGTGAATCCGCCTCTCACTGTCTTGAGTGCTTTCCTTCCTGTGTTCTTTACTTTCCTGGCTCTCGGTTGTGAATTGCTCTGGGATCGGTGGCATCACGGTCGTGGCAGGAAAAAGCATCGATCAAGGAAACCGAGACAGAAACACACTACGCTCAGTCCCATGAGCAAATACAGAAGCAGCATGCCGCCCGCTCTTTCTCTTCGTCCCGTAGCCGAGGAGGAAGAAGAGGAAGAGGAGCACGAAGAGGGCGATTACCAAGATGAGGAAGTGGCACCTGATCAACCCCTGCTATCACACTCATACCAATCACCAGTTCGTCATGCAGAGAGTCAGAGTTGGAGCGGGCCAAGAACGGACTTTTTTAGATCATCGCAGGACGGACCAGGGGCCTCCTTCGATACGGGTCTATTGCAATCGCCTCCGGACGCAGGGATGTCTCCGGGAGTAGTGCCACGCGATAGTATACGACCGGTTATTACAAGGAGCGCCTCTGGCAGAAGTCTCCCGAGTCTGACTAGAATCACAACACAGAGCCTACGTGACGATACATCCAACGGCTTTCGGGATGATGCTTCTACGATCAGCTCGGGATCTCTGGGCCGGTCTTCAAGTGATGGCTCCACTCTGCGTCGCGAGTCGTCGTCTGGATCAAGCACCAGTTTTGGCCTCAGTAGTGCTATGGGCCTGGCATATCGGAGGGCTCCTGCATCAACAGTGAACGCATTTTTCGCGACGGCAAAGATTTTGTATATCGGCATGACTCCACGGAACATCTTCAAAGGATTCTTGTGGTCGATTGCGATTACAAGTATGCACTATACCGGTATATATGGATTGGAGATTCCGAACGGGAAGATTGTCTTGAATCCTTGGGTTGTCCTTGCGTCAGCACTCATATCTTGGCTGGTTTGTGCAGTCGGATGCATCTGCATGGCAGAGATGGAAGCGCGGCTATCCCAACAACTACTCTTCTCTGTCGTGGCGACAACAGGAGTTGCTGCAATGCATTTCACCGGCATGAGAGCGGCAACGTTCTGGTCAACATCACCACCTTCGGAATTGAGAGGATATCCACCAGTGATTGCGGCGGCGGTAGTCTTGATCGCTTTTACAACCTGCATTGCTGCGAACGGTCTCCTAGCTCACTCTGCGACGGTCTCTAGAAACAAACTTGCCGAAATTATCTGGACACGTCGAGAATTGTGGCGGACAATTGCTCAGAAGGAAAATGCCGAGGCAGCTGCTCTAGCAAGAAGTGAATTCATTGCTGCAGCCAGTCATGAGATCCGAACTCCCTTGCATCATCTGCAGGGATATAGTGATCTCCTATCGCAAACACCGTTGACTGAAGAGGGACGTGCCCATTTGGCTGCCATACAACGAGCTACCAAGACTCTGTCATTGATCACAAACAATGTGCTAGACTGGTCGAAGCTAGAGAAGGACGCTAAAGCGGTTTGCAAACCTGTGTCACTGGATATACGAACCGTCTGTGAGTCGATAATCATCTTGCTTCCAAACAAGGACGACGAAGCAGACGTCGAACTTTGCGTCGTAGTGTCTCCTGAAGTTCCGGCTTCGGTATTCCTCGACGAGACATACATTCACCGCATTCTGATGAACTTGCTTTCAAACGCGTGCAAGTTCACAAGGTCGGGTTACATCATACTCTCTATCGAGGTCAGTGGAGACAAACTGATAGCCTCGGTAAGAGACACAGGTATCGGCCTTGATCCAACCTTCATCCCACAGATGTTTGAGCCATACAAACAAGGTGAACAAAAAGGCAACCAACGTGGTACAGGCTTGGGTTTGAGCATAATCAAACAGCTACTCCAAGCCATGAGTGGCACCATAACCGTCGAATCAAAGTTTGCCTACTCACAAGACGTCGGACCGAATCAAAGCGGAAGCACATTCACAGTTGCTGTACCTCTGCAGCCTTCCTCCTTACCTCCACAGCCATCCGAACAACCCGATGAAAGGCATATTGCAATCTTATCCGAAGCAGATACAAGGCAACTCCAAGGTATAAGAACGGCATGGGAAAAGTTCGGTCACCAAGTCACAATTGCTGCCGGTATCTCCGAACTCCCCGAGAGAGACTGGAAGTACGTATGGGCAGATATGCCCTTCCTCCTTAATAACAAGGATCAGTTCCGGCGGCTCATGAAGCGAGAGGAATGGATGGTACTCGTACCGTATGACACCCAAAAAGCATTGTCTGATCTGCCTGGCATTGTAGCAGCTCCACACGTCGTACTGTTGCCACGTCCACTGGTCTGGCACTCCTTTGCCACGAGAGTCGATGCAGCAAATAGAAGGAGCCGCAGCGCTGCTGTTTCAAGAACTTTACGCTTCGCTCCCGTGGTGGAAGTCATGCAAGACATCGCACCTGCCGAACTTCAACAAATCAATGAGCAACAGGATCGTCAACAATTACAGAACCAACAAGAATTGTCAGTTACACCAGAGAAAGAAGCGCCACAGGATACAGAATCTCCAGTACCTGTCACAGTGCCACAGCCTCAGACTGTGCTACTCGTGGAAGACAATGTAATCAATGCGAAGCTGTTCCAGAAAATGCTCGTTACGTTGAAACACAAAGTCATCCTCGCACCCGATGGTGAGGCTGCGGTATCCCAAACACTGATTCATGATACAGCCATCGATATTATATTCATGGTAAGCCGCTACGAAATTCGTTACATACGCATTGATCTGACAAGACTAGGATCAATCCATGCCCAAGAAGGACGGAATCACTGCAACAAAGGAGATCCGTGACCTAGAAGTCCGGGGCAAATTACAGCGAAAACACATCATTGTTGCATTGACTGCGGTTGTAAATACCGAATCGCGAGCAAAATTCAAGGAGGCCGGCGCTGATGACTTTTTGGCTAAGCCGTTGAGTATGACGGGGCTGAAGGATGCTCTTGCTGTACATTTGGGGTGCTGAGTGGCAGTTGGCTTTGTTGATACGATCAGTTCCTGATGTGTATTATATGTTGTATATCGTATGTAGTATATCATATGTTGTATATCATATGTTGTATATCATATGTTGAACATCATGTGTTTTATGATCGTTATCATGTTCCAGCACAGCTACGCGTAACAGAAGTTGACATATGAAGCGACTGCAAGCAAGCGAGAATATTGATAACAATCATGACCAATATACGTATTCTGTCTGCTGCATCAAAACATTGTTCTCGACGAATCGTTCTCCAGTATGCCAGGGCGATGCAACTTTCTTGTGCACATCGAGTATCAGCTCATGCGACGCCATACCTCACGATGAGGGGGCAACCGACGTGTATTACCTAGGCTTAGTCTCTGTTTCGGCCTGCACAATAACGTGCTGTGAATCAAGCTCCTTGTCAAGTGAGTACCTGCCTATCAAAACACTGATAGCCATACCGAAGGCGCTGATTCCACAGATGATCGCAAAGAGTCTTTGAAATGCCCAGTTAATCATCTCTTTCATCAGTATCTTCTCGGCTGAGGCAGGCGTTGATCGAAGGAGAGCAACATATACCTCGGCATTCTCGGCAAGCTCTGTCGACAGACCAAAGTGACTCAATCGTCGACTGAGAAGGTTCTGGAAGATTGTGCCTCCGATCGACACACCGAGACATAGACCAAGGCTCCGCATGAAAGCGAACATGGAAGATGCGTACGCAATATCCTTTGTCGGTGAGATCGCTTGAACCGCAGCGCTGAGCGAGTTCATCAAGAGCCCGAGCCCTATGCCCGCACAGATGAACATGAAAACATACTCCACGGTTGATGTGCCCGGATGGAGTAAGACCAGGATACCGATGCCGAGAGTCGCGATCACCCATCCTGACCAGACAGCCCATTGATAGCGACCCACTCGTGTGATGATAGTACCAGTCAGGCCACTGACAGGGACTACGGTCATACCCAATGGTAATACACACACACCCGCCATGATCTCTGACATCTCTTTCACAGCAAGAAGCCAGAGAACCAGATAGTATAGAGTGGCGTAGACGCTGAATGCCATGAGCACGGTACACACATAGGCCGCAATTGCCGATCGATTATGGAAAATGGATATTCGAAGAAAGGGCATCCGGGCACACTTCATCTCGTGATTTATAGTACATAGAACGCCTAGAAGACCGAGTATGAGGGGACACAGAGTGGTGGCAGAGGACCAAGAGTATTCCGTACCACCCCAGCTGATACCAATCAGAAAGAGGGTTGTGCTTGTGACACTGCCAGTAATACCTATCCAGTCGACAGAAGAGATTTGATTCCTGATCGCTGATTTTGGTCGGGCATATCGTAGAATACAAGGAACCGTGGCCAGAGATATCGCACAAAACGGAAGGTTGACATAAAATAGCCATCTCCAAGTGGTCTTCTGAACAATAAGCCCACCAATCACGGGGGCAATGTTGCTTCCCAGTACGAAACAGAGCTGGAGAAATCCCTGATATTGTGCTCTCTGGCGAAGGGGGATGATGTCGCTCAGAATGATTAAGTTGACCGACAGTATACCGCCGCCACCAACGCCTTTGATAGACCTGCCAATAAGCATACTGACTATGCCATGAGATGTACAGCATACGATCGAGCCAATAGTGAACAGAACGATTGCCAGAAGGTAAATCGCCTGCCGACCAAAGATATCCGACAGGGCTGCAATAGGTGGCTGGAATATGGCTGAGGTCAAAAGGTAAGATGTCGCTATCCAGAAGGTTTGAGTCGTATTGGTATGCAACGCTTTCGACAAGGCCTACGAGGGTTAGTTAGTCAACATGCCTGCGCATCGAATGCCAGAAACGTACCGGTAGCGTGGTTGTGAGAATTGTTGAGTCCAAAGCCACAACGAAGCATACGAATGCTTGAATGGCTACAATGAGCTTGGTCTGTCTGTTTGGTCTCCATATCAAAGAGCTGTCTATCGCTCTTTCTGTGTCACTTCGGCAGTCGCGGTAAGAGAAGATGGCTTCAGATCTTGATGTTATATGAGGCTTGATCTCCTGAACTGCCATGCTGCAATCAAGTCCTGGATGACCAGAGTGGGTATGAGATAGATGATCAGACACGACCTACTTCGATATTTAAGGAGCAGCAGAGCCACAGATATAAGGAGCAAGTGTCTGTATCAAGGGATCTGGACGCGCTGGCATTTGAATCAAGGCACAAATGCAGGAACGCAACCATGCCAATCGAGAAATAGCGTCTGCTTTTCCTCATGGAACATGGTTCGATGTGTCTAGATTCGACACGGGTGGACATGCTCGCCTCGTGTTCTTACTGGAATTTGGAAGGATTCGGTAACACTCCCACATGTGCCCTATCAGAGCTATCACAATGGAGAGCTGATTTGTATTCGTGATTGCTCCGCATCTCCATAGTCACATGGAAATCTTCAAACGCCAAATGGTTCAGTTGCGAAAGTCATCATCGTTCCATAGTACTCGTAGACGATGGACGAATGTTCAGAGCTGGAAGCACCGAAGAGCTTACACTGACTGAGAACAATGGGTGGAGTCCAGCAAAGTCCGGACGGATATCGAGATTTAGACCTTGTCGCAAGCAGCTGAGAACCGTATACAGAGTGAGTGAGAAATTAAGTTGCGACCAGGGGAGGATTGTAGTGGAACATGAGATGGCTACATGGACTCATACTGCAGCAACCAGGCGTCCAGGGATCCAGGAATCTATGGTTAGCTGACGAAGGCTCAACTAGAGTGTGAAATGGCATCAGTGTTGCGTTACGGGGAAAAGCATCCCGGCTCCAAGGTTTCCAGGATTGTATTTCATATATCAGCTAATGTGAATGGCACAAATCGTTCGACATCCTCCATCGAATTTGTTCAAAAGATGAAGCGCGTCAAAAAATGCGCGTCACTACGGAGCTGTCTCCTATTAAGCATACCACCTTGGCATACTTCTGTTACCTCGTACGTCCATCCAGAATGACTAAACATCCGTACGCCACACACCTCTGCCATTGATGTCTACACAACCAAGCGGTATTCTATGCTGCAATTTCGTTTTCTCCGGTTTGTCTGTCGGATGTGTGGAAGGCTGACGCGGGCTGTAAACCTTGATGCCGAAAGCTTGACTTCCACAAACAACGACTCGCTGGGCTCTGGCTCTGATGATGATTGTAGCTGCACTTGATCGAAAGTTTGCGTTGCGGTACGATGTGAATTGCAGCCACATCCAGTTCGGGAAGGCCCGTGCTTGTAAATGGTATTGTCGATGCTGGAAGATGGTTCTGTGGAGCTACCATGACATCATAGAACGAGTATCATCAAAGTCGCGTATGGTATGTTGAGTATCGGAATTCGCGTTTCCTCGATGACAATTTATCGCTCTTACGATTTAATACTTGAGTAGTTTCACGCTTGCGTAGTAGAGTCTTCAGTGAGAATTGTGTTAGTAATGATTCTCTCATTTTGTTAGCATTAGTCAAAATCATTACCTTAGTCTATTGCAAACGAGTACAGGTTTGGCTCAAGATTATTCATTCGACCAGAAATGTGCGGCAACCATCAAATATAATAGTCATCATGTCAGAACTACTGTGCACATTGTCTACTATAGATAGGGAGCACGGCATGATCAGTCTCAAGAGTATATCGCTGCAGAGTCAGGAGATGTACTCAGCATAAACAAATACCAGGGTCAGCCCCACGGCGTAAAATACATGTCTTGAATTGAAGTGAAGCTGAGTCCTTCTGCAAATGATCTCGTCAGATGTTGGATACTGAATCGTTCCTTGACTGTGTTTCTCTTTGCTTTGACTGGTATCAGTCAGTCTACGTCAAAATACTCTCTATAGATCGTTACTAGATCTGATATGATATTGATCGCCCATACGGGATCCTGTTCATGGCACACCTTGATCTTCACTTATGCTTCCCCACAATCGATAACATGTTTGGAGGAGAAGCTAGCCACCGACAGCGAACGCGATGTGGCCGTTCGAACTTGCGTGTGACGAAGCAACAGCCCTTCAAATGGAAGTCTGCACCCGATGCCAATCAAGCGCACATTTGAATGAATGTGCTAGACCTTCTCACGCGTCCTGCCTCCTCGTGAGCTCGACTGACCATGTATCACCCCATGCTAAACGCCGAAAGTAACAACAAGCTGTAGAAAGAAAGACACTGGTCGCTTTCCAGCCAAGAACATATCTTCCGATGGATCATCTCCACATATTCAGCGATATCTTCGAATTTTGCCGTCCCACAAACTCGCAGTCAACGTTGCTTCGATATAGAAAGCTACCCAGGCCTCTGCATGGCTCGCTTCTGATCTGCTCTTGTCACAGAGGAGGACAGGCGGCAATATAGGCTGATCAAAGTTCCTCTTGGAAGATACATGAGAGAAATCACGATTTCGGATCCCCATTGCTCCACCACTTCATTGCTTGATCCCAAAGCATGCACCGCGTAAATTGAGACGAGGAAAATGATGAGACGGAAGTCTGGCATGTCATCAGATGGCTTTGTCGGAGGCTGCTAAGCGGTGATGCGAGAATTCACGAAGAACAGGGAAGACGGAATTCATCTCGATCATAGCACGTGACGCAATAAGCACTAGCTGCATCGGGCTACAGCTTCTAGGCTTTGCAGCACAGCACGAGAGGTATAACAAGCGTGCGGGAACCACAAGAAGGGTGGTCATACATCGACCATGAAATGTTTTGTTTCCCTGAAGCTATCTTCTTACATCTCTTCATCTCCTACAACAACCACAGCGTCCGCAGTCCCATTGACAAGTCTACCCTCGAGAGGCTTCCTGAGATTCCTGATAGCCTTTCCCTCGACGCGATCAAGCAAATCACGCTCCCAATCTTGCCATGTGACCCAATCTTCCTTCTTTTTCTGAGCATGCCACTTAGCAGTTCGAGTAGCAGGTCGCCATGCCAATCTGTTTTTTGGCATCTCGCGCAGAGACACAGGTTGGGCATCAGTGACCAGTTTGAGCAGTTCACTAAATGCCGTCTTGCCTTCTGCTTGCAGAGTCTTCTCACGTTGTACTTGACTCGAGGGCTCAGGGATCAATGGCACGTCCAACCAGTCGAGATCAGTGGTCTTGTTAGCGGTAGACTTTGGCACAGATTGCTGGTGGAGGTAGCGGATGGCGGACTCGAGGCTGGTGATGCGGAGCTTGGCTCTATCAAGCTCCATTTTACTGGCTCCTCCCATCTCGGTAGCCATGTTGTTGTTGGCAGAGGTGTCAGGCTTGTTCTCTTCTGCTGACTTTCTCCACTCATCTCGTTCTCTTCGTAGTCTTGTGACCCTCTGCTCTGCTTCAGACAATGCCGCTTGGTGTGTCTTCTTCTCACTTTGCAAGGCGTTGATTGAGGCCTCAAGCTCGGCGAGGGCAGAGGAGCGTTTGGTAGCATCGGCCATGCGGGCTTCGAGCATCTCGATACGGACGCTTTGTTCCTCGAGCTCTTGCTCTTTGGAGCGTACGAGCAAAGAGCGCTCGTGGACAACTTCGGTGAGACGGGCAACTTCGGCTTCAGTATCGACGGACGTGAGTTTTGTGGCACGAAGAGTGGCACTACGAGTGACCCATGGCTCTGTGGGACGCTCAAACTCTTGAGTGTTTTCGAGGTTGGCGGAGAGGTCGCTGACTTCATTAAGCTGCGTACTCAGCGCAGCAAGGTAGGTGGATAGCGAAGCAAACGGCGTCGTCTCTGCTGAGCCGCTGCCGAAGATACCTGCAGATAGGCGGGCAAGAAGGAGCTCAGCTTCACCGAGGGTAATGGAATCTTCACGACCCTCTTCGCCGAACAGACTCTGGATCTTCTCACCGGCGCGGCGACCGAAGACAGCAAGCTTAGATGTCTGGTTCTCTGCAGATGTGAGAAGGTCTAGGTGTGAAGGAGCTAGTGCGAGCGAGCGTGATTGCAAGTCTGTAACGTTGCGGTGCGTCTTGTTTACGACCACGCGGGCACTTCGGATACTGGAGATGATGACGTCCAGTTGCGAAAGTAAATTGGGCTCATCAGACTCGCTGTCGGACTGAGGGACGTGGACATGGCTTTGCACCATGGATCTGCAGAGACCGAGTGCCGACGAGGTACTGTCCAAGTGACTCTGAATCAGAGATGCTTGCATTAGCATATCACTGGCGGATGCGGCAAGCGACTCCTTGATGTGCAGGGAGGCGAGGTGGGACATGACTGCCATGGATCTCTGCAACTCCTCGTCCACTCTGCCTTCCTTCATATCGTCGCGTCTGATTGAGTCAATGTATGTGTTTAGAGCTCTCTCCACAGGTTCAAGCTCATACAACGCACTCTCGTATCTAGCAAACTCATCCACGGAGCAGCTGCGAACGCCGTTGATGAAGCGGTCGCTCATTTCGGCGATCCATGTGAGTCGATCAAGTACACTGTAGGCGGCGAAAATGTCATCGTCCGCAATCTTGGTACCTTGTCCATTCAGACGTTCCTTGACCAAATTGTTCAGCAGACGCGACTTGAAACCTACGCGCTTGAAGCGCAGTAATGCGAGGACAGAATCTCTGTCTGTATTGAATGCATCAGGCAAGAAGAGCTGTACGATAGCCAAATGTTCTGCTGCCTCCTCAGCTTCCAGACGTCTCAGCTCGAGGTCGATGGTCTTGATTTGTGTTTTGGCAGCAGACATTTGCAACTTCATGTTGAGGTCCATCATGGCACGACTTCTGCTTGATAGCTCTTCCGCTTCAGTCTCTGTGATCTGGCGCGAGGCGCGCATATCTTCCAGATCAGCTTGCAGGTTGATGACAAGCTCACGGAAGCGGGAGATGGTGTACTCGCAGTCTTCGATTGCTTGTTGTTGCTGTGCTGAACGACGTGATTGTTCGCCGATGATGGTATCCTTGAAGTCAATCTCTTCCTGCATCTGCTTTTCAGCTTCCACATGGTTGACCTCGAGTTCGTCGTTGAGCTCCTTGAGATTCTCAAGATCCTCAACAACCAATTCAAGATGGTCAATCTTCTCCTGCATTGTCATGTTTCGATCAGTCAATTCTTCGATCATGTCCTCGGCACCCATAGCAGCGTCGAGCTGCTGTCGAATGTCGTCCAGGTCTGCCTCGGTGGCAAGTAGCTTCTCTCGGGTTTCTTCGTAGTCGTGTTTCAAGGGTCCAAAGTCCTTTACTTCGTCCTCGAGACTAGCAATCTGGGCCTTGAGGTCTGACTCTTGTTCTTGGGTCATGTCACGCAACCTCAATAGAGCTTCCCTGAGTCGCTCATTGGAGCGTTCTAGTTGTAGCCAGCCTTGACTGGTGCGCTCATCAGGATTCATATCCCTACCTAGTTCGTCATTCTCTTCCTTCAATATATCTAGCTCAAGGCGCATTTCCTCGTTGCTGCTTCTCAGGGCATCGACTTCGGTCTTGAGGGACTCGGCAGTCTCCTCTGCCATTTCGCGATCAAGAGTGGCCATCTCAACAACAGCGTCATGCTCAGCTTGGATGGCTTCAATATCGATCAAACGAGACTCTGAATCCTTGAGCTGACCCCTCAGATCGTTCAGTTCCTGCGACTGAGCCTGCATCTTGGACTGCATCTTCTGGACGATGTTTGCGTATTTGTCACGCTCTTGTTCGACATTCTGCATCTTCTTCAGAGCATCGCGATCCTCCAGACGCTTGCGTTCCAGAATCTTCATCTTTGTTTGCAAGTCCTCGACCTCGCGTGTTGTGGGCTTAGACGGACGTAGCGAGGTATGTGAGGCGGCTGGTGAAGTCGCAGGCTTTGAAGACGGAGCAAATGACTGAGGAGCATCTTCGGTGTCGGCAGTATCCTGAGCATGCTGGGAGTCGTCGGTGGGAGCGATAGAGGGCGAGGGCTTGGGCGAAGGGGTGTCTTGTTGCGGTTGCCTGGGAGTAGAAGATACACGACGAGTGGCAGGAGTTTGCCGTAAGGCTATGGGAGGCTGTCTAGCAGCAGGGGTGAGACCTCTTGTGGTGGAGATGGTGCGGGTGGTCAATCGGGACGAGGGCGGAGCAGCTGTAGTCCCAGAAGTACGAGGAGTCTGGGCTGTGTTCGAAGGGTTCGTGGAGGGGACTGTTGAGGAACGTCTCGCAGCAGCGGACGAGGAAGAGGGGCCGCTGAGATTGGAAGCTGTTCGCGGTTTTGTGGTTGCGGTAGAAAGAGCTCGGCGTGCAGCAGTTGCGGTGCTTGCAGCGGTAGCAGGCGGCGCAGTAGTCGGAGTGGCAGTGCGGGTGAGCTTGGTAGGCGATTTCGTTGGAGAAGGCAGGGCAGTGGCAGCTTTGGCAGTGTCCAGGGATGGCGGACGCGTCTGTCCAATGGGGCGAGTGGTCGGCCGACTGACTATGCGACTGACTCCTTGAAGGCGCAAGAACATGCCATGGTTGGCCTCGCAGTCAAAGTAGCGCTCGCCTTTGACTGAGCCGTCGTTCTTTCCACTCGCTTCGTCCAGCTCGACACCGACCCATTCTCCTGGCGCGAAGCCCGTCGCTCCAAAGAAGCGTACTATCGCGTGCCGTCCATCGTTGAGTTCGACTGTCTGCCCTACGCCCAGCGCCAGACTTGCCATTGTCGCAAAGCCTTCAGTCGCTCATGCTCCAGACGTTGTAGACGTGACGGAGTTGAAAGCCAGATTCATCATGAAACACGTCCCGCCCCGACATATATAGTCAACACAACAACGTCACTTGACTATCGACAGCGCGTACGAGTAGAAGACTATTTCATATCATCGCCTGTCCACTCTCTCTAATCTTTGATCTATGCAACACTCTGCATCGCCCGCGTCCTTGCTGCCACATCTTCAGCCTTTGTTCGGCCTAGACCATCCTTGCCGTAAAAGTCCATCGGATATACCTTCTTATCTCCTTCCCATCCTTCTCGCTCGCCCAGCACCACCAATGCCTCGTAGGGTGTCAGCAACGGCCGCGGGAATGCGTATCCCCAGTCGATGCTCAGTCTAGGACATGCCACCTGTACCCAGCATTCGACCTCGTCCATCATGCCCAGCTTTCCCGGGAAGATCTCGCTCAGCAGCAAGTTCACCCATGCTATGCCCTTCTCTTGTAACCGCTTCTCGATCATTGCCATGGTGTGCGGGTTTCCTTGTCTTCCGAGTGATCCCAGGATTAATCCCCACTTCTTCGCCTTCCCTGCCGACCTGATGGCATCGCTCCGTAGGGACATCATCTGCTCATGGTCGTATGTCTCGTGTGTCAAGCGCCTCGAGTAAGGGTCGTATCTGTATGCTGGGACCGTCGGATTGTGGATCATGGCGCTCTCCAGATGGAAGCGACCGTCTCCCAGATATAGAATCGAGTCGATCTTGTCCTCCTCTTTGAGCGCCGGACTTGTGCAACCCAGGATCTCGCCCTTGCTCAGCGGCGCAATCTGCGGTATCACAACGTCGTAGCCCGCGTTTCGCAACTGTGGTGCCGTTCCATGCAGCGTCGCGTTGAACTGGATAGTGCCGACCATGGCAATCCTTGATCCCGCTTTGAAATTCCGCTCGATCGTCGCCAGCAGATGCGACACGTCTATGCCAATGTCGACAAAGACGTACAGCGTCTGGATCTGCGTCACACTGACCGGTATCAAGCAACTGTGCGCATAGTGCACCAACATATCGCAGCCCAGAGCGCGCGCCGTGTAGTCGTCTATGCAGCATGCGCCATATGTCACATCGCCCATGATCAACGTACTCGTGTCCTGGCAGAATCGTGTGATGATGTCGGATATCGTCGTCGCGAACAGAAGGAGTCCCTCGGGAAATTGTAGTGCGATCTTCTTTGCTCCAGCCGTACGGACCTTGTGGATGGTCTTGTGAATCTCGAAGTTGTAATTGGACGGCAGTAAAGAAACAGCAGCATTGATCTCTTCGTCGTTTAGGATCTCGGGAGGGACCTGGTTCAAGGCACGAGCACTCCTTCGAGGTGCAGCGACTACGAGCTCATGTCAGTCTAGGCCATCTCAAGGTCACGGTAAGGTACAAACCTTGAATAGCGCTGCTATCCTCAATGCCTCCATTTGCTTCGCCCTTGGCCGCTGCCTTTTCTGCCGCAGCCCTGCGTCCGATGAATCGCTTCTTGGGTTGTCTAGAGACAGCTATAGCTTCGCCATCGAGTTCCGGCGTGGAAATATCTGCTTGCTGTCGGTCTTGCTCCATCTTGTATGTGTTTCATAAAGTTGATGGGCGACCAAAAATTATCATGATTGCCTACGGCTTCGGCCACCGACCCGCCGAAGCCGTCGGCCTTGGCTCCCGTCCTACCGCCCCCGCTCTCTCCACATAAACCGAGGGTCTCTCCATGTCTGTCTGTTGTCGATACAAGACGACTCGTGGTCTCATACTCCCACAGGTACTTGAATCTTTCCATCGATTCGCTCGTCTGAGTAAATCTGCAACTAATGTCTGCAATCATGCGTCCTTTGGCACACGCCAGACTACCCAGGGCTCTGAGCAGACGATGCTTCTCAATTACTCCCAAACGATCTGCGGACCAGGTCAGAATCGTTGAAGTCGGTCCCAGAGATGGTCTTCAAAACGAGAAGTCATCCATCTCGCCAGAAACTAAGATCGAACTGGTCAGGAGACTTGCTGCAACTGGACTTAGGACTATTGAGGCTGGCTCTTTTGTTCATCCCAAGTGGACTCCACAAGTGAGTTAAGCTAATACACATGTCGAAGATATATATATACTGATACTTCACAGATGGCCAGTTCGGACAAAGTCTTGCAAAATATCTTGCAACAACCACCCCAAACTGCTCAACCTATGACTTATCAGTGGTTGTTGCCGAATATGAAGGGCTTGGATACCTTCGTATCTACTCATGCCCAGACCTCTTCCAGAGGAAGTGAATCATACTCTACACCTCCATCATCTCCAATCCACGATCGCGGTCCTGCTCAGAACACTTCTACTCAGAACCCAAATGACATGCCCTCTGCAACCTCTGGTGCTGCTGCAATGGATGCAAAATCAAGCATTGGACAACCAAAACACGAGGTCTCAATATTTCTTGCAGCCACCGAGTCCTTCTCACAGAAGAACACGAATTGCAGTATTGCCGAATCCCTCGAGAAATTCCAGCCTCTAATCACCACTGCTAGAGATAAGGGCTTTGGTGTACGTGCCTACATATCTGTGGCTCTGGGCTGCCCATTCGAAGGGCCTGATGTCGACCCACACAAAGTTGCAGAATTAGCTGCTAGTCTTCTTGAGATGGGAGCGGATGAGATCTCGGTAGCAGACACTACAGGCATGGGCACAGCACCTCGCACGAGAGAGCTATTGCGTACTCTGTCCGCAGCTGGCATTCGCAATGACGATCTAGCCCTGCATTTCCATGACACTTTTGGCCAGGCTATGGTAAATACTATGGTCGGACTTGAGCACGGTATCCGTACCTTTGATTCAGCTGTCGGTGGTCTCGGTGGTTGCCCTTATTCGCCAGGCGCTACTGGCAACGTCGCGACCGAGGACTTGGTATACTCTCTAGAAAGTCTAGGAGTCAATACCGGTATTGATCTTCCTGAGATCAGTAAGATAGGGGACTGGATCACAAGCGAGATCGGCAAACCGAACGAGAGCCGAGCAGGAAAGGCTTCCCTCGCCAAACTCAGACGCGCCTCGGAGTAAGCATGTGCGACTAGTCAGAGTCGATCTTTACCTCGTCGTGTTCATCCAAGCAGATACGCGACTGCTCCCGAGATTGATCTCTTCCGGCTCTCTTCGCAAGCCACCAGGAGGACTTTAGTATAACCTGAGGCAGTGCCATTCTCATCATATCGTCTGGTTCATACCGACAAGGTATTCGCAGACTTGAGAAGGACCAGGAAGATGTCGTTACCATCACTTTTCAAGCAAGTTCCTACTGGCCTATGGTCTATCGAGGATTGCTAGGAAGACCAATCTCGTACACTCGATATCTCTTACATAGGAGACAGTAGTCAATGACGAAGCTTGATATCACAAGAAGCAACTTGATGCTGTTCTTTTCGCCATAGTCATGTTACCCCCATTGCGGACACAATGCGAGACTTCCTATTGAGTTAGAAAGTAGAGTGCTGCAAGCAACGCTTCCCCGCGTGCTGAAATTTATCGCTCGCCCCTTGCGCGGAGTACTTAGTACAACATTGGTGTAACGCGACACAAGAATTATAGAAAGATGTAGTTGTTGATCAAACCACGAGAACTTGTACCTGATTTTCCAGGACGACTAGATTCCAGCGAAGTCTTGTCTGTCAAGTGCGCTCTGCCTGAATAAAATCCATTGCGTGACTACAGGCTGTACGAGATGATGAGCAAAGATCGTGTAAAAGAAGCAAGCCTTGCAACACTGAGACCAAGGACGAAGACACGTAAATTGGGCTCAGCTGTTTCGTCTTGAGACATTCTTGTGCTCAACACCCAAGCTGCTGGGTTTGCATTGAGCTGCGCGCAGGCGACGTGCAGATGCTGCAATGCGAAGCTCGGAAACACCAGAAGCCGTCAGCAGGCCATGCATATAACACCTCGCGAGACTGGGTTCGCCATCCGACGAGGGGGATAGAGCACACACAAAGAAAAGAATCCCACTCGACACGCTGCGACACGTATGGACAAGATCCAGGCTGACAGCGCATCACGTTGCTGGACTACGTGCATTGTTTTCGATTGTCGAACAACCGAGGCTCAACAAGCCAAGCACTGGGAAGCTTGATATTAGACAGAACGCCGTGTCAGGAACAAGCTTTTCCTGCACCATTGGGCAGCGCGCCCGTGGAGCCGTGATGACCCGTTCTGGTACCTGAGTGCAGCATCAGCTGAGCTCGACCAGTGTGCTGTAAGTCTTTTCGAGGGCAAACGTGCGAGGCTCCGGACATCTGACCGCCGATCACACTGTGCAACCAGTCCATGGAGCTTGTTCGGGAGTGTCAGCGTGCAGAATGCGGAGAGATTTGGCGATGTGTTGCTCAAGCCACCCAAGCCCAGGACACGCCATCGAGCCGCAGACGAGTGTGGACTCCACACCCACTAACCGGAAGCTTCGAGTTGCACGTGGCTTGACCTAGCCACTTTAGCCAAGGGGGGACGTCAATCATAACGAGGCCCCTCAGATTGCCGCACTACTGGTCCTTTGTGAACATGGTCGAATGTGCTTCGGTAGTCATAACCGTCTCGCCGCTTTGCACGTTGATTATTGTAGCTGTCCGATACGGATCGCTCCCATCACAAAGGTCCCGTGTATTTCGTAGAGAATGATGTCGAACTAGCCGCGTGCACATCCTTCCGAAAGCCGGCAAGAATCACAAGCTTGACAGACCTGACGGGTTGGCGCATTAACCTGCATCACGCATGTCCGGCCCGGATTGCTTGTGAAAGTACATCATTGCATCGCGACCTGTTGCACGTAGGATTCGACATGGCGGGTCGAATACAAGATTAGGATTCTGTAGCCAAGTTGATGCGGTGTGGAGCCGTTTGGTGGCTTCTACAGTGTTCAACGAACGTGCATCTTTCCCCTTTGTTTCTCTTCATCCCTCACTCGCGAGGTCATTGAGTCCTGATGCTGGCCTGAGATGTCAACGTTGAAGGTGTCAAGGCTGAGATGCGATACGCAAGGAGGCTTACCGTGGTGATGTATGCCGCAACCGTATCGTCCTAAGCATGCGATTCCGGTACGTGAGGAATGTCAAAATGAATCTTGGCTCTGGAGCATGTTGAAGCGGACGGGAAGGCAACTACCTAGGGTCTATGATGCGAGGAGATCCCGTTGGTCGCCGTGACGCTCGCTGTGTCCCAAGAAGCTTGGCTCTCCCACTCTAGCGTACCGCGCCAAATGTCGATTCTTAGTTCACGATACCTAATTACATACCCGACCACGGTGACCCACCACTATCCACAACGGTACCGCACCAATCATTGAAAAGAAGGGTTAGGGTTTCTACTGTAGAAAGCGCAAAGTGGGATAGACTGCTAGCCACTGGCCCCCAGATCGCGAGTTCCCTCCTCTTTTCTTCACACTCGTAGCTTGTCTCGTCGCGTGTTCTCCACGAACACCCTTTGACCAAACAGCATCCCTTCGACATACATCAAGGCTATCACAGACAGTCTTTTCCCTTCAACCCCAATTTGATCTCTATCCGCTTGGCGCTGTGTCTACGCGTGTCTCGCGTAACTCCAAGTGCGTCTTCTTCGCTCGCGCCAACCTCATAACACCACGCGAATTAGGCTCGACGGCGAAGCTGTGCTAACAGAGTTGTGCGCTCAGTCCCTGATGATGGCATCTCAGACATCTCCAACAGCGTCGATGCACCCTCATCACGTCGTCCAACAGGGCCGAGGGCAGCCCAATGGCCATGTTGCCTTGCAGCCGCCGCATCAGGCAAAGCCAGCATCGCAGTTCCTCCAGCAGGCGAATGAGGGCATCTGGCTGCAGCTTGGTACGTTTGATAGATCCCACTCGCATGACGTGTTGCTAACACACTGTAGGAAGTGTCTCCGAGATGATGGGCGAGTACGATAGCGCGACGCAAGCATACGAACGCGCCCTCAGCTTCAACCACCATTCGGTCCAGGCCATGCTCGCCATCTCGTGTATTCTTCGTTCCAAGGATCAGTTCCCTGCTGCTGTCGAGTACCTCAAGCAGATCCTGAGAATCGAGGTTGCCAATGGCGAGGTTTGGAGTGCTCTTGGTTCGCAGTTTGATGTCGGTTACCATGCGCCTGAGCTAACCATTTCCAAGGCCACTGTTACCTCATGATGGACGATCTCCAGCAAGCCTACTCTGCATATCAGCAGGCCTTGTACCACTTGCCCGATCCCAAGGTTTGTCCATCCTTCCCTGTTCAATGCCGTCGCTCTTACCAATATTAAATACCCGGCAGGAACCCAAGCTCTGGTATGGTATCGGCATCCTTTACGATCGCTATGGTTCGCTCGAGCATGCCGAAGAAGCCTTCTCCCAAGTTATGCGCATGGATCCTCGCTTCGAAAAGGCCAACGAGATATACTTCCGCCTGGGTATAATATACAAGCAGCAGCAAAAGTTCCAGCAAAGTCTAGAGGTACGCCAGTCCCCATACCACGTCCCTGAAACGATGCACTAACTATGACCCAGTGCTTCAAATATATCGTCACCGACCCTCCCCGACCCCTAAGCGAAGAGGACATCTGGTTCCAGATCGGTCATGTGTACGAACAGCAGAAGGAGGTGAGACACGCAGTCAACAACGATATGCTGCAACACGACTGACTCAGACCTTAGTACGACTCGGCCAAGAGCGCCTACATGCGTGTGCTCGACCGCGACCCCAACCACGCCAAAGTACTGCAGCAGCTTGGATGGCTGCACCACCAGCAGAGCACCAGCTTCAGCAGCCAAGAGCAGGCAATAGAATACTTGGAGAAGTCGGTCAACTCTGATCAGACTGACGCGCAGAGCTGGTACCTCCTCGGTCGCTGCTACATGTCTCAGCAAAAATACCCCAAAGCATACGAGGCATACCAGCAGGCCGTCTACCGTGACGGACGCAACCCTACATTCTGGTGTTCGATCGGTGTTTTGTACTACCAGATCAACCAGTACCGCGATGCTCTGGACGCCTATTCGAGAGCTATCCGCCTTAACCCCAACATCTCCGAGGTCTGGTACGATCTCGGCACTCTGTACGAGTCTTGTAACAATCAGACTAACGACGCTCTCGATGCTTACTCGAGAGCTGCTGAGCTCGACCCGACCAACGTCCATATCAAGGCTCGTCTTGCCTTGCTCAAGGGCCAACCTACCAACGGCCTGCCTAACCAGGCCGGCGCACCACTCCCTCAAGACGTGCCTCCGCAAGCCTACCAGCCAGGCGCCTTGGGTGCTGGCCCGCCGGCTCCTCAGTGGGGCGCTCCTCCCCCAGGTCAGGCCCAAGCTGCCCAGCAGCCTCCTGGCGCTGACTGGTCTCGTACCAATCGTCTTGCCGACCTTCAGAACCCTCAGAATCCTGGCGCTCAGCCTCAGATGTTGAACCCCTACGACTCACGAGATCGCCTTGCTCAACACGTCCCTCCTCGCCAGCCCACGCCCCCAAAGCAAGAGCCTAGACAGTACCAGGATCAGCCTCAGCGACCTCCCCCACCAGCCCACAGAGGCCTGTCACCCTCCCCTAAGGTGCTCTACAACGCCCCTGGTCCTGGAGCCTATCCTCCGGCACCCCAGGCGCAGACTCCTTCTCAGCTCCCTCAGCCTCTGCCCCAGCAGCAAGGCCCTGCTCCACCCAACCGCATCGCCAACCCTAACTATGGTCCCCAATCGTCCAGCGTGCCTCCTCCGGCTGCAAGCATGGGTGCACCTCCACCAGCTCCTGGCCAAGCTCCCGGTTACCCTAACAGAATGGCCAGCCCTCCTGAGATCCGTCCCATCATCGAGAGCCAGAATACTTCTCCAAATGGCAAGTTCGGTCGTCAGCCATTTGAACACCACCCTACATCGGGCACGCCCAGCATTGCAGGAGGTGCTCCTCCACCAAATGCAGCTTTGCAGGCTGCCGAGTCCGCAGCTAGAGAACGCGAAGATCGCCCATCGACCGCTCCTCCAAAGAGACACAGAGAGTGGGAAGACGAGGCGTCGAACATGAGCTCTCAAAAGAAGCCCGCGAATGAAGAGAGCCGTTCGCGTTTGGAGGATCCAAGCAGCAGACGTGCATCGCCACCGGATCGCATGGACCGTATTCCCAACTCTCCATACAGAAGTCCCTCGGAGACCCGACGTGCTGATGATCAGCGTCGCGCCACTGAAAACTACCACCCATCTGAAGCTGCCCACCACCCACCAGCTCTTGGCCCACCTCAAGTCAAGCCTCAACCTTCTCCACGGATCGGTGCTACCGAGGAGCGCAGGGAGCAGCATACGCCAGCGCCACCTGCCCAGCAACTTGCTCCTCCTCCTCAGCCTCAGCCCCAACCTCCTACCCAGGCTCCAACACCTGTTCAGTCTCAGGCGGCCCCGCAACCCCAGCCTCATTTGGAGCCCGCGGCTCGTAAGATGGATATGGATGAGGATTACGATGACAGTGGCGATGAGGAGAAGAGGCCTGTCAAGCCTCAGAGTGAGAGAAACAGCCCCAAGGCAAGCAACGGCACCAACCACGATTAATGGATTATCTGCAAGTCACAATTTGTTGACTCTGCAGCTGTTTGAGTCCGATCATATCGTATCCGGATGCTACATAGGCTTGATATCTGCCAGGCTAGAGATTTGTGTAAAAAGTGCCTTATATATTCATATGTTCAATCCATTTGTCATCCACTTCGTATGCCAGGACTATGTGATCTTGACACAACAACCATGAATCCCGGCAAGGAAGTGCAATGATTGACATCCTGGACTCGGGTTCGCGCTCTCATAAGCAAGATCACATCACTGTCAGATGGCATAGTGGTTTTTAGGCCAGTGTGATTCTGTGCTCTCACATCGAGCGAGCCTGATTATGATACATGCATTCGACATGCAGTATTATCCACGTTACTCAGCGGCGCCATCAACGTCTTCTTGCATCATATGCGCATGCTTAGAATGGCCAATCTTTAGCAGAGAAGCCAACACTACAGCATAGACCAGGCCTAGCCCCATGAAAGGCAAGCCAATGAAGGTGCCTCCTAGCTGCATACCTCTCTCAAACAACCAAGCGAGCAAAGGTCCACCAAGCATGAGCCCCAAAGTGTCGACGACACCAATGATAGTGTAGAGCTCTGCCACCTTGTTCGGTGCGACTAATCCTGTCAAGAAGGAGCGTAGGAAGACTGGGAAGCCATTTCCTAGTGTGGCCACCATCAAGCTTATGGTGAAAAAGAAAGCATTAGGCGCAAACCCTATGGCAGTCCAGCCGATGAACAGCAGGCAAGCACTACCGCGCGCGAGGAGCAAATCTCTTTTTTGCCCACTCATGCCAGCTTTGGCGAGGAGGTGATAGATCCAAGATTGGATGCCTAAGAACATGACTATGGTGACACCAGCTCTGACGGTCAGCAGCAGTGTTGCTTCTGAAAAGGTCATGCCGTAGCGAGTACTTGTGTACTGGAGCAGCAATGGTACAAGCGTTACGGTAAGCATGATAGGAACGAAAGTGACGATCAAAAGGATGACTCGCTTGTCTTGCAGGAAGTAGTCGGTTGATTCGACCAGGGGCTCATAACATTGGCGGAGGAAGCCCTGGATGCGGATCGCTGATGTCGATCGTGACTCTTCTTCGTCGTTGCTTTCTTCGTCGGACTTTGTGATCGGCTGTTGATATCCAAGTGTTTCTGGGATCCATAGACATATGGGCGCACCGATTGCAAAACATCCTACTCCGATGAACACTGCAACCAATGGATTGCGTGTCATGATCCAAGCTGCAATTGGTGGACAAATGAGATTGGCCGACAAGTTTGCAGAGAAGATACGCAACAAAATGGCTGACCTGGTCTACAAGGGTCAGCATGTATACCATTTCCAAGATTTTGAGTCTCTTTACTCACATCCTGATTAGTCACGTCACTAATAATCACGAACAGCATGGCTGATAAGACTGGTGAGCCTCCAAAAACAAGAGCATGCAAAGCTGAAAACCAAGAGACTCGGAGACTCAAACTCTGCCAAAACCAACCTAGCCAGGAGTCAGTAAGCAGGTATCCTTCGATATCTCATGAACGTGGCAACAAGTTCCGACTTACAAACGAACAACTTCCATGCTAGACTCAATGGAAAAGCGCAAAGGCCCAGCACAACAATGGGCTTCCTCCCCCATCTATCTGCTAAGATGCCTACTGGGATGGATAGTATGAGACCTGTCTTCTTATCAGCAACCGATTTGACATGATACATGACAGATCAGTTGCATACCTGGAATACAATCTAGGAATTGCTGGGTGCCTTTCAGCATGGCAACTTTGCCCTGTACTTCAGCCACCTTGCACCATCTCTCTTCAACACCCCCCAGCGCGCCTGGTCCTATAGCGGATCTGGGGATCAAAATCTTGGATGGGTCCTCTTGCTCCCAGTATTGGTAGCAGTATATCGACTCGAATATCCTTGTCAACGGCGCTTCCGAGATTTGGTCGCCACATTGAACAATTAGAATCAACACTGTCATGACAATCAAAATGTTGCGAGGGCGCATCTGGTGAGCACCATGTTTGTATGGGGAGTTGTTAGGAGAGCTGTTCTTCAGGAGAGGCGTTATTTCTACTTCAGAGACATCCGGTAGCTTGCTGCTTGTGTTGAGTTGCTCATGTTGTTCTATCTCTGCCACATTGATTGCGTCCTTTGAAGATCCGGCTGTCATGGCGGGCGTCTGAAAACACTAAGAAAGATATTGGAGAAGAGCCCCAACAAGCGCGATATGCAAACAGAGATAGAGACAGATGCATGGAGAGATGTAGACTTGTATAGTATTTAGCCACCTACCTTCTTGGGACCACCCGTTTGAGCGCCGCGTCGGGATAGCTCCTGCCGCGGTTGTTTTGAGATAACGCCGGTCGAAGGCATTTGTACGACCAGGCAACCACAATTGAAATACTGCCATTGGCCAAATTTTATTCAGCTGCCTGCTTCATATCCTGGATCTCAACTTTGTTATTCCATAGCATGGGTGTCGGGGTCTGAGTCCGCGGTCGCGTATGCATGCATCGCTGATATGATTGCCTAATAATGGTCTGGCACGATGCGCCACGACAGCGATGCTGGTTATGACTTGGCGGACATCCATCGCGTTATATCGTGCGTCTGTGTGTAAATATCGCTCGACATCGATGAGCCCAGGAAAGTCAGACAAATCGACATTCCAGTAAAACTTTACAGATTTTGACTGTCAGCACTTGCAAGCTCGTGGTGCTCAATTAAGCATCACCGCAACAAAGTACTACTCGAGATCATCGTGTTGTAACTTCGAGGCAGATTCAATTCCACCTGTACAGACATCAATAATCCAACAGAGTCATCGTAGACAACCGCCCTGCTTGTCATCCTTCCCACCTATCTGACTTCTTAAAAATCACAGTACCACGCTGAGAAGTTTAGACAGACACTGGGTCTCGTAAAAGACACATCGCGTTAGCGTTGCCAAAACAGGTCTTACCGTGTAATCAAATGCTCTCATTACCATTCTCTCATATGATGGACATGGAGCAAACCTACCTGCATGGAGGCAAGGTCACTTTTGAGAGTAAGGAATTGTATGTGGAGTGCTGATGTAACGACGGATCCCGGCGGATGTTGCTATGAATGTGGAAAGTACTGTGCATTGCTGCAACCAATTATTCGCACGATAGTACTCATGGAGAGCCGTCCTCGTCCTACTTCAGAGCTTCGGTAAGCACCTTTGGAGTAGGGTAATTCTTCAGCCCGTATACAAGCCACCAAAACGTGACAATGATCAAAACGCCAACCAAGATCACCGAGTTATAGTTCATCAGATCAGGCGATACTGGCATAGCATAAGGGAAGCAGAACATGATGTTGAAGAAGAAGATCAACACGCACCCAAGGGCATTGATTGCGAAGCCCCATTTGCCCATCCAGAAGTCGCCCTTTGGGGTATATTTGCGGCCACTAATCAAGTGAGGGAATATAGCCAGGAAATAACTGAAAGCGCATAGGACGATGAATGAGCCAACAAGATCGTTGAAGGCGGTCCCGGATGCGAGGATAATGGCACCTAGTCCTGTAACCAACACACCCACAAGAATGGTGGCAGGGATTGGACAGGAGAGCTGCTCGTTGACCGAGGAGAAAAAGTGGGCAAAAGGTGTGGCTTCATCGCGAGCAAGTGCCCACCAAGTCCGGCCGAGTGATAGCAGAGTCGATATGGCACAGATCATGATGATAAAGAAGACGATAAGCATGAGGCAGAACGCTCCACCAGTGTTTCCTGTTGCCTGGCGATAGATTATGGCTGCAGGGAAGGAGCCGGAAGTGTTGATAACTTCATCCAAATCACTGACAGCATAGAAGAGCGCGACGGCGTATAGAAATGCGGTGATAGCTCCCAGGGACACCTGAGCAAATATTGCCCGAGGAATGTCGCGTTGTGGATTAGGAAGTTCTTCTGCCATATGCGATACGCTGTCGACGGTAGCGATGGTAAATGATCCATTCAAGACGCCAGTCAAGAAGGCCACTCCACCACCCCAGCCCGTGGTATTTTGCCAGTCAGACCATACGAATGAGTTGCTGGCGTGCGTGTTTGGCGTTGCTGCTAGGACGATGATTGTAACAATACCACCAACGATAAGCAAGAATAATCCGACATTCTGCAAAAGTGGCAAGAAGCGGTTGCCGAAAATACAGAATAGGACACAGAACCATGTGATCAACACGTATGTCAAATAGGTATGCCAGGTTTCAAGCACGAAATCTGGATGGAAGAGCGAGTACATCTGGAGGAGACAATTCGACGGGATCGCGATGATGGAACAAAGATCGAAGATCCATCCGGCAAAGTTGAGGAACCTATCGAGCAGTCAGTACTTCTGAATCAGCCCCAGTATGATTTGTCACTTACCCAGCAAAGAAGCCAACACTTCTTCCCCATTTCGGGCCTGCCGTGACAGATGCCCAGTGATATACACCGCCAGCAGTGGGTACAGCTGAGGCCAGCTGTGATAAAGTCAGCATATACTTATAAAGGGTTGCATCCTTCCATGTGCTGAGATTCGACACTTCATCGGCCTCCCGAGGCTATATACCAAGACGCCTGTAAGCTGTGGCAATGCACAATCGATTACGATATGAGGTGAGTCTAGGAGAGAGCACGCCGCGCAGTGTCTCTCCCAGCACAGCTCCCTCCTCTTGAAAGTGATCGTGCGTCCACACAGCTCCATCCACGACGATCAAGCACACAGGAAGGATGGGCTTGACTAACCTCAGCAATGGATGCTGCGATGATACCATAATAGATACATGCAGTGATCAGCTCGTAGATGACACCAGCGGGACCACCGTTCGGAAGAGAGAGAACCAATGAACCAGCGAAGGCTACCCAGGCGGAGTCGATGTTCAGGGCTAGGCCACAGATTTGTAGAGGTCCATAATGGCGTTGTAACTGATCTCGATGCCCTGAAGCATTGACAGTATGTATGATTTCTCCAACTCCGTTCTCTAGAGAGTTTCTAGGATCAGCAGAGCCTGCTGGAGGCTTCTCGTCGTACTTGATGGATTTGACATCTGGAGTGGACATTGTGGTTAGGTGCTTTCAATGCATTGACTTTGGTCCGAAGAGCAGAATGATGTATCAGGTGCCGGATCGATCATACTAAAAGAATGAAATTGAGCAGAAGGCATCGGGTCAGATCTTGCGCCAATCTTGCGTATGGATAATAGTGCTGTGTAAGTGTACGATACTTTTTTTCTGGCCCTATGAGACGAGTTGTTGGGCGCCCGATAGGTGCCGTGTGTGCCAGGATGTCATTCGTCAAATCAATATGCAGGTGCTATCGCGGCTTGCCTCCACATCTCGGAATGTCATATCAGAAGTCTCAGCTGGATCCATGAGGTGGATTGGATGTGGAACTTGGCACAACCAAAGGCGTCCAGGTTGGCAACATCGATTCAGGCACGTAAGTCCACAAACGGGCCACAGTCGAAAGTCTTGCGGCCAACCATAGTCGTTGTCTCACATAGCTCCTTCTCTCGCCGGGTGGTTCTATCTCGTGGCTGATTTCATTTTGTTGCTGTCCGTCATCATGCTGGCGATCGGACTCGTTACACATATCTTTTCCTGGCAGGTGACTTGGACCTGTGTGAGATACTCAACACAGTTCCTTTTGCCATGTCGTTGGCGATTGGTGGCAGTATGCCAGGGTCACGATTTGAGTTGGTCCAAGGTTTGGGGTCACTCGCGTGGTATCGGGAGGTAGGAGCAATCAAGATGCGGTCTGTGCGATCATCCACTTTCTGCGCCTCACAAAATGCTTGCAACCTCTGCGAAGCACCCAACAAACCGTCACTCAAGCGCTATCATCGACTGACGTTTTTGAATTGTTTAAATGGCACTTTGAGCATTTTCTGTAGCTCTCGAGTGATTCATGCTCTTCTTCGTGCTTGGTTGACAGCACAAAGCTGCGTGGGGGCTTCCGTACCAGCTGTTATCTATCGACGACCATCCACACTTTAGACACTTCCGCCCGTGAGCAGCTTTGGAGATCTCAACCCCAAGCTCGTCAAAACTCGACTCCCTTGAGGGTACGAACAGCCACATCTAATCTGCACACTGGCGTCCATGTAACAGGGCGATCGTTATCGATAGAAAGCCATCTGACACGGCCTTGTAGTCATCGCTGCTTAGCCATCCAACTTAGTCAACCCTCCTAATCTACCCCAGCAGATCCTTCTGATAAGAGACAGATACCCAAGGGCCATCAATCAGCATGGCGGTACTCCGCTGTAGCAGAAGAAAACCCACTTGACTCAACACTAATGCCGCTACTCGACCACGAAGATGGGTTTTCCGTACCGCAAAACTGCCAGTCTCCTTCTGGATGTTCAGCGCGTGAATCCCCATGTTGGGAATATCGCTCGGGAGTGTGACTAAACTCTCTTTCTCATTCTCGACTGCCCAACACTTACCGCTGAGTGGTTACAAGATAATGTTACCTATCACCATCTGGTGTTGATATTGCTCGATGTGTCGAGCTTGTACTTGATGCCCTTGAGAACCATTATTTGAAAGTTCTTCGCTTCTTCTCCCTAACGATCCCAAAGCCTAGAGTCATGGACAGCCGTCAAGATTGTACCGAAAGTGCCAGCTCGTGGCTACCGAACTTCCTTCGCAACTCGACAGATTCGAAACATCGAGAACCAGATGAAAGAACTTCCCTGCTCCCAAAGCCTGACGATGAGCCGACCATAGGGTCGGTCGACGACTTCGATGACGAAGGGAGAAGCAGTACTCAGCTCGTCATCCACGAGTTCTGGGTACTCTTCAGTGGATCGGTTCCAGTATTCCTCGCCTATATGCTGCAAAATTCCTTGCAGACCGTTTCAGTCCTCGTTGTTGGACGACTGAGTCCCGAAGCTCTGGCAGCTGCCGCTTTCTCGTACATGTTTGCCATGGCCTCCGGCTGGCTCATTGCACTAGGAGGAACTACCGCCATCGATACACTTGCTTCTGCAAGCTTCACCGGGAGTAAGGACAAGCACGATCTCGGCATCATCCTCCAGAGAGCTTTGTTCGTGCTCGGTCTGCTGTATATCCCAGTTGCCATCCTTTGGCTATGCTCGAAGCCAGTCTTCATGGCCCTTGGTCAAGACGAACAACTGTCGCACGATAGCAGCAAGTTTCTCAGTGTTCTTACACTAGGAGGACTCGGATATATCTACTTTGAATGTCTGAAGAAGTATTTGCAAGCACAAGGTAAGTGGCCTTGACTCCATGAGCAAGTTCAAATTCTGACGACACCTTTCAGGTATCATGAGGCCAGGGACTTATGTTCTTCTCATCACCTCGCCCATCAACGCAGGCCTGAATTACCTCGCCGTCTACACCTTCAACATGGGGCTGCTTGGTGCGCCTCTAGCTACGAGCATATCATATTGGCTGTCGTTCATACTCCTTCTGGCCTATGCTCGCTTCGTCTCTGGCTGGGACTGCTGGGGTGGATGGTCAAAGAAAGCTTTCCAAAACATTGGAACCTTCACAAGACTTGCGCTACTAGGAGTCGTTCACGTAGGCACCGAATGGTGGGCCTTCGAGATTGTGGCCCTCGCAGCAGGCAAACTCGGAACGATTCCTCTAGCGGCACAGTCTGTCATCATGACCACAGATCAGGTTCTCAACACCATTCCATTTGGTGTTGGCGTTGCTACATCAGCACGAGTAGGCAACTTGCTAGGAGGCAGGAACGCAAAGGGTGCAGCACGCTCTGCTAACGTCGCTGCCTGGCTGAGCATGATTCTTGGAGCTCTCGTCCTTGCCCTTCTGATGGGCGTCAAGAACTTTTATGCCAAGATATTCAACAACGATCAAGACGTTGTAGATCTCACTGCAGAGGTCATGCCTTGGGTTGCCTTATTTCAGATTGCTGACGGGCTTAATGGCTCTTGCGGAGGCTCTTTGCGTGGTATGGGACGCCAGCATGTTGGTGCACTTGTCAACATGATCAGCTACTACTGCGGCGCCCTGCCCCTTGGAATCTGGCTTGCGTTCCACGGCTGGGGTCTGGCAGGCTTATGGGTAGGTCAATGCATCGCATTGTATTTGGTCGGTTTCGGCGAATGGGCAATCGTTGCATGGAGTGATTGGAATCATCAAGTCCGCAAAGCATTCGAGAGAATGGAGCACGAGGAACAGGTTGAATCTGGTTTGGCGAGCAACGTCGATGGCTACCAAGGAGAGGAGAGCAGATAGACAACAAGACTGAGACAATGTATATCAAAAAGCCCGTGGCGTACTGGAGACACTTGATCACGAGGAGCATTCAAGCGCTGTCCGATCTTCTCCGACAAGAATCTACCATGTGCCAAAGACTGTACCGAGTAGTTGGTCCTAGCAGGATACAGACGGTCGCTTGATCGAGCCAGCACTCAGCAATCGACCCCGGCGGCTTCTTGGGCGGAATAAAGGGTTCAGATCGGGAGACCCCCGGACCGATCCAGGCACAAAAAGCTATTGGCTTGACACACATCCGATATCAACAATGATTCAGACTTTATGCCACGCGATACGAGGAAAGCGCCCAATTCAGGACCACAGGTTGACAACCGAGAGATAGAGCGTTGCATCAATGCATCGACGTCAGTGTTATAAAGCCTCGTTACTAAACGACCCCAGGATCCGGGGCGTGGTGGGGTTGTAGATCTCAGCCAGCCACGAGATATCGCCAGGGCATATCTACGCCGCTGTACTCTAAGGCCGGTGTGTCAACATGCGGGGACAGATTGGAACCGTGGGTTTTCGACTCGATGTGACGCGACTGTTTCCAAGAACAAAAAAGTTGGATCGCACGACATGACATCGGTGACATGGTTTCCGTTCTGAGCTCCCCTGTACAGCTTAGCTCGGCTTGACAATCTTGACAAGGCGTAGTTAGGTAAACATGGAGAGCTTCTGGTTGCGTAGTCTCTGTGATTCCTGGCGGCGACCTTGAAAGTATTAGTTACGAGCCTGCTGCTGCTTCGTTTGCTCTCCTCTCATATCCCCCTTTCTCATCCTCATTTTTGAATACGGTTCCAAAGCATACTCGTCAGTATGTTCAAGTTGATCACCTTTGCCGCTGCGTTCGCAGCCGGGGTTTCCGCACATGGAGACCATAGTCAAGAAGCCTTCAAGGAGGGCCCTCACAAGTCCCTGTGGTACAACACTCTTCCTGGTGATGGTGGTACCCAGGCCGACTCGGTCTTCTCGGGTATCTCTACCTTTGGTCGCATTGAGTACCACCCCTGCCTGGCAAGCGATGCCCGCAAGTACGACATTGCTTTCATCGGCGCGCCCTTCGATACCGGTACTTCGTACCGTCCAGGTGCCAGATTTGGCCCCAGTGGTATTCGCCAGGGATCGAGACGTCTCAATCTCTACGGAGGATTCAACGTCCCTCTCCAGGTTTGTACCAATCCACTCTACCATTCTGCGGCCAAGGACTGATGCAGAAGTAGGCGAACCCCTTCAACTCGTGGGCCACTGTCATTGACTGTGGTGATATCCCCGTGACCAGTTACGACAACGAGTGGGCGTTGAAGCAGATTGAGGAGGGTCACAACAGCATCTTGATGCGCGAGCCCGCCTCGAATGCCCACATGACCGGGCCCAGCAAGCACGGCAAGACACTTCCTCGTGTCATTACCCTCGGCGGTGATCATACCATCACGTTGCCTCTTCTGCGCTCCATGAACAAGGCATACGGACCCATCACGGTCATCCACTTCGACTCCCATCTTGATACATGGAAGCCAAAGGTCTTTGGAGGAGCACCCACCAAGGTTGCTTCTGTCAACCACGGAACATACTTCTACCATGCTGCTCAGGAAGGTCTCTTGCGGAACGATACCAACATTCACGCCGGTATCCGCACCACCCTGTCAGGCATGTCCGACTACGACAATGATGGCTACTGTGGTTTCGAGATTGTCGAGGCTCGTGAGATTGATACAATTGGCATGGATGGTATCATCAAGAAGATTCATGACCGTGTTGGGCACGAGAACCCTGTCTATCTCTCGATCGACATCGACTCGCTTGACCCTGCCTTCGCTCCTGGTACTGGTACTCCTGAGACTGGTGGCTGGACCACTCGTGAGCTCCGCACCATCATCCGTGGTCTCGAGGGTATCCACCTTGTCGCTGCCGATGTAGTCGAGGTTGCTCCTGCCTACGACACCAACGCCGAGCTGACCACAATGGCAGCTGCCGATGTCCTTTACGAAGTCATGGTAAGTAAAACCGATTGTTGTTGGAGCCTTGCTGACTGAGTTTCCACCGTAGACACTTATGGTCAAGGACGGCCCCCTCTCCGAGCTGTCCGCCGACAGCAAGAAGGAATTGAAGTAAGAGTAAATCGATTGGTTGGAAGATGCGAGTAACGCCGTTTTGGCGTGGTCCAGCCGAGGATTGGATCGTCTGGACACGATATTGGATGTTTTGGTTTGGTAGTAATGAATTCAAGAGTTCGCGCCTCAGATTTGTAATGGCGTGGACATTGTGCGTGCGTGGTGAAGGTTGTTGTCGCATGATGGACAGACGGGTCAGGTCTCGGCGTCGTCAGTAACAGATGCGAATCTCATCTTGAGCAATTGCACGAATTCAGCCAGAGCTTGATCATCAGCTTCGGCGTTCCTCATGTTTCTGAAAGAGTCAGCGGCCTCCTTGTCGCCTTTTGCTTGTGACCAATGTGATTGTTGATGAAAGCCACCTCTTCCTCGACCCCTCCCTCTACCTCTGGAGGAGAAGGAGCGCTGCTCTTGCGGCGGAGGTTCAAGTGTCAGGCCGTAGACACTCTGTAGTTGGATGCGAAGGTTAGGGTATCGAGAGAGGAGACGAAGGAGCTCTGGGTCAGAATCAAAGCCAGTAAAGTCGATCTTTCTGCTACTGCCAGCCAAAGCGCCTCTCGCTTTGGGCGCATCCGATTCTGGTACGAGAGATTGTGCATGCTGTGTCGGCTGTGTGTCTTGCACTCTTGGGGCATGGTTCGCGTGTGTCTCTTTGTGTTGTTTGTAGCATGCGATGGAACAGCTGGTCAGGGTCAGAATGCGCCTCTGTCTCTTGCTCACGCACGACTCACTATCGCAGTTGACAAGACGGGCACTTGTACTTCGACTCGACTTGCTGGCAGACGCCACAAATCTCGACCATCTTGATCTGACGTGTGCAACGGTCGGGAGCTGGAGTGCGCTGTAGCCTGTAGAAAGATCAAAAGTGGATGAGTAAGCTTGCGGGCAAGCAGCGCACCTCCGAAGAGGCGTATCATGACCGTCTGCCCTTTTCCATGCACAGCCAACATGAATTCAATAGCACTGTTTGGACGCAATCTTGCGCGCACAGGACTGAGAACACAACAGCCATTGGCAAGCACACGATGCGCTCGCTCTCTACCGCGCGCCTTCTTTAGAAGAAGCGTCCAGACCAGCCCGCAACCAAAGCAACAATCACACATGCCCACCCAGGACGATCTGCGCGCCCAGTTCAAGAGCAAGAACCGCAACACCCTCTACTACACCCTGTCAATCATCCTCGGCACCGTTGCTCTGTCTTATGGCTCCGTGCCTTTCTACAAGATGATTTGCCAGCAGATGGGCTGGGGTGGCCAACCCATCAGTATCCATTCGGCAGGCCAGTACGAGGAGGAAGACATTGCTTCGCGTCTGATCCCTGTCACCGATTCTCGTCGTCTGCGCATCACCTTTGCCGGTTCTACCTCCGATGTCCTACCTTGGAAGTTCACGCCCCAGCAGAGAGAGGTCCGCGTCTTGCCCGGCGAGACTGCTCTGGCCTTTTACACGGCCACCAATTTGAGCAAGGAAGAGGACATCATTGGTGTAGCTACCTACTCTGTCACGCCCGGTCAGGTCGCGCCTTACTTTTCAAAGATTCAATGTTTCTGTTTCGAGGAGCAAAGATTGAACAAGGGTGAGACGGTCGACATGCCCGTTTTCTTCTACATTGATCCAGAGTTCTTGAGGGATCCCAACATGTCCAAAATCGATACCATCACTCTCAACTACACCTTTTTCAAGGCAAAGTACGACAAGGACGGCCATCTGTCTCCCGTCGCTTGATCCGCAACTCACCCCGCCACCAATCTACCTCTACCGATCCTGTACATATACTTTACCTTCTGTAAAACAATCACTATACCCCCTTCTCACTTTGCACATGATACTCTGATCTTGCTCGTCTACTGCTATCACTAGAAGGCTTATTTGAACCTTTGTTGTTTTTCAATTACGTCTAGTAGTAACAGCAACGCTACTTCTCTTTCTTTCATATCGTAGATCGGGCCAAAGTATAAACCCCTCGTGAACACAGACAGAATAGTTCCTGCCGTGTTGGGTCAACCAGAACTCTGTGTACAAAATCAATCGCGTTTCTTTCCGTTTCGTGAACCACTTGAACAATAAAAATATGGCAAGCTTCCATGCACGCCGCATCTCTTTTCGGATATCCAGATCTTGTTCGCCCATTTGAAATATTGTCATGACCACCTTCATTACTCCATCAAACGCCTGTGGAAAAAAATGCTTTGCGATGATTATTGATGCCGTTAGTTCGGGCCCTTGTAGTGACTGCTCTTGCACGAGTCGACGTATGAGTTGTCGGGCCAGGGATATCCTGCATCCTCCCAGCTGGTGATGTTTGGGTTTTGGTATGCCTTGGCGTGGTTCTTGATGTATTCCGTCGTAGGATAGCCCTCGGGATCGCAGGTCATCTCACCATCCTCGTCTTGGTAGATTCGAATGTAGTCAAATCTCATCTTACCAGGCATGAGCTCGGCCAGACCCGTCCAGTTCAATTGTGCGAAACTGGACGACAGACCGAAATTGGCAATCAACGCCAGGGGCTCTTCGGGCATGACTCTCTGTCCAACATTGCCGTTGGGTCCCACGGCATCGGCTGTCATCTTCCACGTAGGCTCTGAGCCGACATACCAAGCAACGTATCCATCTGAACCGGGCTCGTATTCGAAGGCGTAAACTTGGTACGCCTTACCGTCATACCAGTCATTGTTGAGAAGTGTGACCGTGGAAAGGGCTTGTTGGTAGACACCGCCCTGGTATGAGTTCATCTCTGAGATGGAGTTGTCATAGACCTCGATGAAATCGGTATTTGGACGCCAGAAGATGTCGAAAGGAGCAGTTTGGTAACTTTGCGAGGCTGAGCCAACAGCAGCGTCATAGTGCTCGGGATCGAGGTAAGAAACACTAGCCTCGATAGCATCGATCTCAGCAGCATAGCGTGATTTTCCAGGACTGGGGTGCTCCTCGCCATCGCAAGTGCACGCGGGAAGGCGCATGCCAGGAAGCCAGTTGAAGCCATCGGGAGTGGACTGATTGGCGGTAATTCCAGGATCACAGACGTCCGAATAACTGTAAGGCCAAGTGCCGTCGGTGGTGGCACGGTATCCAGGTCTTCCGAGGTTGCCCATGGCCCAGAAACCAGGCCAGAAACCGATAGTGTCACCCCTTCCAGGAAGAGATATACTGGCCTCGAGGTAACCACCCTTAAAGCAAAGCTTGTTCCATGATTGCAGCATACCTGAACGGTAGTTAAGGCCATGGTTCTGGAAGGCGTCAAAGGTGATTTCGAGGACACCGTCCTTGGTCGTAATGGCGTCGGGATCATACCACTTGCCATTGTCAGATTTGTAGGCGAAATAGGAGATGCAGAAAACTTACCTCAAGATCTTGAGTGACACCATACCAGATGTCAACACCCTGGAAGTATGGATCATCACCATCGTAGAACGTGCGGCCATCGGTTTCGAATTCGTCAGAGAACTGAAGAGCAATTAGCGCGAAATGTGACACAATTTGGGCTGGTGTAACATACCGCAAGCTTCAAGGTTTTACCATTAACGGACTTCCTGGTCATGACCGAGCTGGGTGTAGCAGGGTCAATGAGACCGTGACGCACGTTCTTCAACAGGGCAACGCCGTCCCTGATACACATAGGGTCGGAGGTGCACGTATTGACCTTCGGCTCTGCGTATTTGACAGCGAATGTGCTGGACAGTCGGTCAGCAATGAGTTCGAGTTCGCAGGTTGCAAGGCATCACATACATGATGGGGTAACCAATAAATAGCATAAAGACACCCAGAGTGATCAAGACGAGACCTCCTAGGTTAGTGATACCACGTTTCGAGAACAAGTCGGCACATGTTATGCGGCCCTCCTTCTCATTGGGGTCCGGGTTGTGTAGGTAGTCGTCTTTTTCAACGTCCTCGGGGAAGAGTAATAGGCCAGCAGAGGGTAAGATGTTGTACTTCTCCGAGACAGTTTGGGTATTCACGCCTTCGTCGTCGCTACCAGCACGTGACGGGGCGCGCGAGTCGTCGAATGGCGACGCGAAAGGACCCACACGGCTGTCTCTGCTGCCAGTCGACTCGGAACCCCAACTCGTGCGACGGGAATTATAGCCACTTTGGCTCGGCGACCTCATAGGTGAGTCGTCGTCCCGGAAGCGTCGTGACGGACGAGAGCGGCTGGGAGGGAGTAGAAGCTCTGCGGATTCGGGTGCGCCTGCATTGTACAGGCTGTTGTTTGAGGGAGCTGGATGGAGCGAGGGACGGGTTGCAGCAGAGCCAGCGGTGCCGGGTCTCGTCAATGAACGAGAAGAAGGCTGGCGAGTGGCTTGGTGATCTGACGGGTCGGCCATGTTGGCGAGGTCGTCGCTGCCTGAGTTCAGCCGAATGTGAGGAGTTGCTGGGTGGTAGTCGTCCGGTGGGAATGACATACTGCTGGTTGGAGATGGTACTCGCACGAGGAACACGGGTAGCAAGAGGATGAGATCAAGCGGCGGAGCGTGAGCGTGGAGCGTGAGCGTGGAGCGTGGAGAAATGAACGTCGTCGAGAGTCGTCTGCTCTGTAGTCGGCCAGCCCTCGGCCTGCGTGGGCAATGGTATACGGCGGGAAAGAGGTCACAGGGAGAGTCGGGACGATGCGAAATGCGAATTGCGAAAGAAGAGCGGCGGCAAAAAGATTGTTGATTGGGAGATGTCGCGCTCTGTTGTTTGTGCGCCTGTGCTGCTTGGGGCCGTCGGTCTCGAAAGGTTAAGGAGCGAAACACGGACCCTTCTGCCAATTAGGGGGGCTTTGGCAGCCTTCGCCAGACTTGCAACTTTGGCACGGAGAGCGGAGCGGAGACGAGCGCCAGCATGCTCGACTGGCAAATAACAATTCAACAAACCCTGCCACCTCGAGTCGACGTCGGCCGATCTCAATTCTGCCTCGTCCTCATCATTCTCGTGAGTCGTATTGCACCACGCGTTCACGACCAACAGCCAAGCTCGTCCATGTCACACCATTCTTGTATTATCAGACATGCTTCGCTGCTTGTCCTGCTTCAGACTGTCTGTCTGCTGCTGCTTTTCTGACAAGCGATCGCCACAACCGCTGCGGATGACGACGACCGTGGCAACCCTTCCGTCTCTACAACTCCTACCATGCGCCAGCCCCATTCTGGCTTGGTTGAATCTCCCTCAACTTGCCCCATCTAACCCGTCTCGCAATAGTGTCTGAGCGTCTTCTATTTCAAGGAACTCGACAAGGGCCTTGGTTTTGTTCCATCCAGCCCGCTGAAACACCCACTTGAATCTCTTTCTCTGTTCTGTCGGGCTTCTGTAATGCCCAGCCTTTGTCCCGAGAGAAGCTTGACTCTGTAGCCACGCATTTTCACCATCTACGAATCTTATCGACGATGCAGATTATCTCGTGTGAAACTTGCTCGGTCGCTGTGCTGACAGGCACCGCTTGCCGTTGCTGCATACTGCTGACATGCACATGCCCGGGTGCGGCTTGGACAAAATAAAAACATAAATGACAGAGCACACTCCGACAAGCTTTCTCGGCTTCGCTTGCTTTTATGTATTCATGTTTACCGTGCCTTGCCTTGAGTCTTGAGTGCACTTATTGACTCCCGAGTCACGACTCTGGTGACTTGTGCCATCGTTTAGCCTTACGAAATTGCTGTTGGACATAAACTCGTCTCCGCGTCGGCCAATTGTCGCAAGCAAAAGCGCCGAATTAGGGAGTGACCACAATCATAATGACCTTGCGATACAGGATCTGCTGACCGTTGTGCTTGGGAGAGTGGTTCTGTTTGCTAGACCTCTGCAATTCGTGGTTGTGATTTCTAGCTTTGCATTCTGGAAGACGCTAAACCTTCGACCATGGAGCTTGATTTAAAGGGGCTGAGTATCCACTGCGGCTCCTTAAACGTTTTGCTTGACTTTTCCGTGCGAGTTGAACCTCTTGTTTGGCTTGACCAACATAAGGTGTTTATGCTTCAGTGCTTATACATGAGTCTCGCACTGTGACATGGTTCCGCAGCTAGCACTTCCTCAGTGACCTCATAGACTCGGCATGTATGTTTGTGTTAGACAAAAGATTATGATTACGCTGGCTTGTTGTCTAGTTATAGAGTGATGTCGTCGAGTAGTAAACCAGAGTGTTCACCGAACTTTATCAGCTCGACTTGAAGAACTGAGGGAAAATGCGTCTTAGTTCCTCGAGGTTGTTGATTTGATATTTGGAGACCCGGGTCGGAGGTGCAGTCACGCCCGGTTCTACCAAGTGGGCAGCAGTCCAACCGAGCTTAGTTGCACCCGCGGCGTTGATGGCCGAGTCGTCTGGAGGAATGTCAGTAGGATCTTGTGACTAGACGCAGACACACAACGCACCAACGAAGTAACAGTCGTCCGCCGACGTGACACCTGCCTCAGCCATAGCTTTCTTGAACATGTCGGGCGCTGGTTTGCAGAGAAATCTAGCTGCGGAGTAATCGCAATAGGTGATGCCTTCGAACATGTCGTCAACACCTAGCAGCTTGACTACCCTTTTGCCGTGGTTGACATAGGCATTGGTGAAGAGCCAGGGCTTCACCTTGGAAGTGTCAAGATCCTCGAGCAGTTTGCGCAACTTTGCATCCGGGGACATGATCTCCTCGAGTGGTAGGGCGTCATCAACCTTCTCGTTGTACTCGAGTGCGTCGACCTTGTGATGGCGTACAAGTCCCTCGATGGCAAGCCCATAGTCCTTGTAGTACCGCATATGCAATTCGTTGGCATCCTCTTGTGACAATGACAGATGTGTCTGAAAGTATTTGTCTGGCAACTAGTCAATTGCTAGAGCAGCGTAGATAGCTTTTAGTCTGCATACCTATTAAATCCCCCATCAGTTCATGGACTTTCTTGCCTATGACTCATTAGAAATGATCTCTAATCAAGGTAATCACAGCGTAGAGAACTTTTGGAGTATAGCTGAGCAGCATTGTCAGTCATTATTAACACTTTGAAGTTATTCGTCAAAAACATACGCAATTGTCTATGTCGAAGAAGAAGACTTTGCGATTGTCCGTCATATTGCTCTGGTCCCTTGCTATACGTCTATTGGTAGATGATGCCAAACTCCGAGAATTGCGAGAAGAGAGAGAAGAGAGAAAAGAGACACCCGAACGACCAAGGAGGAAAGGACAACGATGTAGAGAAGGCAACATTCAACAAGAATAAGAAAGTCAAAGAGAAGCGGCAAAGTCAACACGTTACGCTGGTATGGAAGTCGAAGGGCCAGCTACTCCGCGATCGGTCCCGCCTCGATAGGCTCGATCGGAATTACCATCTTCACCTGTTGTCGTTATCACATCACCGGGGTTCAGCCAACCCAGCCGAAGCCAATCTATGGCCAGTCATCCATTACTGCCTACCTAGACCTGTCTAACTTACTTCTAGATTAGTTCTCGTCCCAGTCTGCATCTCGAGATGCTGATCGAGCGGCGACCGTATTCACGGAGTTGTCATACCTTCGCGGTCTATTGTACTTGAGTCAATTGAGCTGGGACGATGACGCCAAGACGGGCCCCGAGTCTCGCGCGTCGATCCGACAATTTCATTCACGACTTCTTGTTCACCCTGCTTCTGTCAAAACAACACGCGTGCCATCCATTTACTATCACTAGAAATTGCATAGGCATGACGCTTGCATGATACTATCGCTGTTGTAAAAATTGCTGCTCGACGTCTGCAAACAGGGAATAGTCTTCTTGACATGGCTTTCACGCAGGTGAATGGCCACCAGCCCGTTGTCGCAGAGCAACACGTGCAAGCTGCATTCTACAACCAGTGGCTACAGTTGAGGGACAGTGTTCTAGCAGACAAGCACCCGCGATTCAAGCTGCCAGCTGCTGTAAGACAGCGGCTTCAGCCTCCTGTCGAATCGCCATCTGCACCTAACTACTCGTCGGCTTCACAGCTACCTGGCCTTTCCAATGGGTCGAGCAGAGAACAGTCAATGCTTAGACCAGCCCAAGGTGCTGCCGCTACTTGCCTGGGAAACGCGCAAGCCTTCTCCCAGAACACTACGACGGCAGTAGGAACTATCGCACCCAGGAGTGGCATCGATCCAGTGCTATTGACGAAGTCGGACGACTTGATAAGAGCAGAGATCCAGCTGAAGAGACAACGCATTGAGCGGCAGCTCAAGGATGCGGCAGATCAGCGCAAGCACACAGCACACTTCAAGTACCAGGAAGAGATGGCACCTCTTGCCGATCTTACCGAAACGTTTGAGAAAGCGCTTGAATTGGTCAAACCCTTGTCAGGTCTCAAAGTCCCTGCTAACGCTCGAGCTGCAGCGAGTGATTCATTCGACGAGAATTCGTACTACTCTAGTCAGGCGAATGATTGGTCGTCACAAGAAGGTTCACCGGAGAAAGCAGAAGCTTCGTCTGCCTCACAACAAGCGACAGGTCTGGCAAGTAGCGTTCCTCTCTCCCAGAAGTATCCTGCCGCGATTGAACGTCATGACAAGCAGCATCATCCCTCTGTACAGGCTTTTGACCAGCACGAGACCGAAGCCCTCTATGAAGCTGAGAGAGAGGACTCGGAGGAATATTCACCACCGGATGCCAACGCCTTCAGCGGTGCCGATGGCGATGCAGATGCCATGGATCTAGACGATGGTAAGAGCCATCCTCACGTGTTTGACATGGCCCGACTAAGCGACGACACAGACAGCAGTGAATTCGTGCCGCAAGACGCTCACATCCCATCACCTCAAGCACCGATTGTCACCAATCGCCTCACCCAACTAGCCGCTCCTCAGCCTGCTCGAGTCTCGCCTCTCGCCCTGACCAAGCCCCCTGGCCTTGACCATTTTCAGACAAGCTATCCTTCTGTAACCAACAATCAGCTACCTGCCTCACCTCACGCCTATCAATCGTCCAGCGCCTACCGTCAGCAGTTTGAGTCCGATGACTCGACCACCTCGCCTCGCAACTCGACTCAGACCAGTCCGGCTGGGGCTTTTAAGAAACAGAGAGGAAAGGGCAAGAAGAGGAAGCGTGAAGCCGACATTCAAGCTTTGAAGGCTCGTAAAAACCGGCCCAAACACGTTGCTCCATCGCCTGAGCCTTATATCAAGCCCGAGCCCATATCACCCCCACCATTCGCTGCGCCTGCTACTCTGCAACCTGTACGCACTCGCCCCTACCAGCTCCCGCCAGACGTCGAGATTGTCTCGGGCCCCAGGCCATCTTACTATCAAGAGTCCGCGCCTCCGAGCATGCACTACGCCATAGATGGCGTACCCTCTCCCAACGGCATGAGGGTCTCATCGCCAGGTGTATATGCCAGACCTAGAAGAGACGATCAGGATCTGCGCCGTGTCGCCAGCCTCCACACTGCGCATCGCCCTGCCTCGCCCATGCTCAGAATGTCGTCCCCGGCCAACTTCCGCACTGTATCGCAACCTTTCCCTCAAGGAGCCTCGAGATATGGTGAGGAAGTCTTGAGAACTCCACAGGTGCAGTACATGCGATCTGAGAGATCGGTGACGCCACCCCACCTAAGGGCGGCCAGAGAGGGTCATGCGACCATCATGGCACCTCCCCCACCACCGCCTGTACGAAGAATTGTCATGGATCAGTATGGCAACAGATACTATGCGAACGACGCCGAGGCACCCTCGAGAATGTCGGTTGCACCCCAGCTTCGCCCAGAGGCTGAGATGATGTACGAACGTGCACCGAGTAGACAGTCTGTTGTGTACGCGAGCCAGCCCTCACATGTATACGAGGACGAGCACGGGCTGAGAATGCCGCCTCCGCCTCCGCCAGTACGACGCGTGATGGAACAGACAGAAGGCGGACCTACCGACTATCGCGCTTACAGACAACGAGAATATTCTCGGGCTCCCGAGGCACAATACTACAGGGATGAAGCAGCTGGGCCTGTTTACATTAGGGAGGCCCCAGGACCGAGAGCGTCAGTCTACCCACCTGAAGCCAACGCAGGCGGGGCGTATGCTCCGAGGGGCTACAGTGTGCATCCAGAGATGGAGGCGGCTCGATACATGTCGAGGCAAGCTAGTATGGCACCACAAGCAGACTATGTTCGAGTTGCAGAGACAGGAGGGCGTGCACCCACAATGGCACCCCCTGCAGCACCGATGAGGGCTGTCAGCGTCGTGCCAGGCAGCGAGTACGGTCGGCCGGTGGAGATGAGGTATAGCTACGGGAGTCAAGGTGCAGGTTCATATGCAGGAGCGGGCCAGGGCTACGGTGAAGAAGGTTTGGCAGCGCCGAGGGAGATATATGTAGATCAGTACGGCAGAGAGGTGCGCAGAGTAGGTTACTGAGCGGAACGAGCGAGGCAAGGTGGAGGAGGAGGCAACAAGAGATAGGAGTCGTAGAAAATAAAAAGGTTCCAAGAAGCAAAGCGAGAGCAGTTCAAGGCCATGTTGATTAAATGTATAGGGTGAAGGGCGAGGGGTCGCAGGATGCGGGAGGTTCGACGCGGCGCACTGACACGTGATCGCCCCGAGTTTGCTCAGCGTGGGCTTTGTTAGTGTCGGCGGAGTTGTGCTCATACGCGCTGTGTGGGAAAATCGACGACGATTCGACTGTGACATTTGCAACACTCGATTGGCCTGTCTTCTTACATACTGGCGGGCTCTCTGGGCGCCCGTGTTGATACGCCTACTGGACCCCTCCTGCTCCTGCAGCACGCTGCTCCAGCCTCGACGTCCATCTGACCACAACCCTACACGCTCGTTCACCTCACCCGTCGATCCCTCCGATGCACAAGATATCCAACTTCACCGGCCAAGCACGCCATGGCTGGGACAAGATGACTCCCATGAGTTTTGGCCGTCAGATGCACCAGGACATGTCCATGGCCCCGGCAAATCTCAAGCGAAACATGGCCAGCCAGCATGCCATGCAGCCGAATCCACAGGTCCCCGGCCACCTAGTCAACCTGTCCTTCAACATACCCTTCGCCTCGAACCTGTCCGGCCCCGACCCGGACTCGGTCATCTACGCCAGTCCCGGAGCTTACGCGCGCTGGACCCATCCTCAGCAATCGAATCCCGACTCTCCGCCGCCGAACCATGAGCTCCCTGTCCACGCCCGCAACGTCGACAACCTCCGCTCGCTGTGCAAGGTCATCACTGAAGCCAGCAATGCCCAGATCCAGGCTACCGTCACCTCGGCCAAGCCCAAACCTGTGCCCGGCATGCAGCGAGGGCCCCTGAACACTCTCGTCACAAACGTTTGCCTCTCCGGCGACTCGGACCTAGTCTACAAGATGCGAGCAAAGATTCTGAACGAGACCCCCATTACCTTGGTAGGTAGATCGAACAAGCGGAACACATGAACGAACCGGCCCGCTGACTCGGAACAGCGCTCTGCTACTGTCGACGTGGACTCGACCTTGATCATGAACAACGACGGCGTGCGTACCGACATTCTTCGTCACATGGACGACATCGCCGACTGCACCAAAGCCGACATCTTTTTGCTCAATCCCCGTCCCATGGACGTCGATTCTGCCAGCATTCACGGTACATTGGACAACATGGTCGAAAATAGGTTGCGTATCATGATTTTTGGTGACATGGAATGCTGTGAGCACGCAAAGACAAGAATCTTGATCATGATCGATCAAATCGTATGTTTCAATCCTTTGCCTCTGTCGTGTCACAAGTGCTGACGCTCGTCACAGCTTATGCGTCAAGTCGATACCATCAAGCTTGAGCTTTCTCTTCACACCCTCATCTGTGGCCGACATCGTCGCAATATCAAGCTCATCGAGTCAGCTACGGGTACTGCCATCTACTTCCCGCCCTTGTTTCCCGGCATCTTTGGCTACAGTCCCGCAGGCTCGTATCCGCGCGTAAGAGACGAGATCATCATCACTGGCGAAAGTCAGGAAAATATCATGCAAGCCAAGCGACGCCTGCAAGATCTGGTCTTGACCACAAAAACATTTGTCAAGGATGTGGCCATTACAACCAGCAAAGTTGACTACATCTTGCTTGAACGTCTCGACAAGATACGCAAGATTGTCGAGCAAAATGGTTCATACGTCCTACTGCCCCCACTTGGCAACCACAGTGGTCTCTTGCGTGTACAGGCAACTGATATTTTGAACGTTGAGCGTACCGTGCGCGACATCATGTCGTTGGCCGGTCAGTTCTACAGCGCCTCGTGGTGGTTGACCTCATTAGACAACATGCAAAGACAGCCCACTCCGTCCGACATCCGCGCCATGTTGCCCGACATCTGTATCAACTCTGGCGCCGAAATCAATTTCGAGAAGCTCAACTTCCACATTAATGGAAGCGATGATTCCGTCAAGGCTGCCATGACTATCATCAACTCTCTGCCTTTTGTCAAAAAGGCCAGCTCGACTCTGCGGGTCAAGGTTGAGCTTGCCAACGAGCACAAGGAGTTTGTAAGCGGAAAGAAGAATGGAAAAATCAACAAGATCATGAGCCAGAGCAATGTCCAGATCGTCTTCGATGGTTTCAACGAGTACAACTTCTACATTGACGTCCGCGGTGGTCAGTATGAAGCTACAAAGAACGGCCTTGATCTAGTCGAGCTGGAAATGCCTGCCTCCATCTCCTTCCACGTTCCGGATCAATACCACAAGCGTATCATCGGTATAGGTGGTCAGCACATTCAACGCATCATGAAAAAGTATTCGGTCTTTGTCAAGTTCTCAAATGCCATGGATCGCGGTGGCATCGGCAAAGACGACGATGATGTCAAGGTTGACAATGTTATCTGTCGCACTCCCGCGAGAAACGCTGACAATCTCGAGCTCGTCAAGCAAGAGATCATGGACATGGTCGAGAAGGTTGACGCTGAGTACGTCTCTGAGCAAGTTGTCGTCGACAGGCTGTATCACCGCGAGTTGGTTGCCCGCATGCCCGAGATTGAGGAGCTCGAGAAGAAGTGGAACTGTAAAATCACCTTTCCTGGCACTGAACAGGCGAGTGACGTTATCACAGTCTCTGGTCCCGAGTACCAGGTACCTCAAGCTGTGGACGAATTTCTGGGCATGGTCCCTGAGAGCCACGACATCTCTTTTCCCAGCACTGTCGAGCTTCGAGAATTCCTCATGTCTGCCGAATTTCACGACGATGTTCTGCAAAAGCTCAAGGACCAATACGTTGTTGAGGTCATTGTTCAGTCGCCGAAGCTTGAAAGAATGGGCGACAACGATGTGGAAGTAGAAAGTCTCCTGCTGACATACACTCGCAACAATGCTGGTGGCTTGAAGGATGCTATCGATTTTCTGGTCCTTGGGTTGGTCTCTCACGGACTGAACGCAAGTACCGTCAAGGGCGCTATCCCTCGACCAAAATCTGATTCGTTCGAGGACTCAATGCCATACTTCGACTCCAAGCTTCTGCAACGCGCCGAACCTCCTGTCGTGGCCGATTCGCCCACACGTACTCACTTTGGCAGTGGAGAAAGTAGTGAAGGCCACCGATCGATCTTTGACAGACTCCGGAAGCCGGGCAGTATGTCATCTTTCTCGTCCTTCCTCGAGAGACGCAAGAACAGCTCAGCCTCTCCTGCTTCCTCGTTATTCAAGCATGCTTCAAACAATGCCTCCAAAGCCTCGCTGCAAAGCATGGAATCGCGGGAATCGGGATACCGCAATCCCTGGAACGACAATGGCCCTGACCCCGAACCTGAAAGTGCCAACACTCAGGCAAATGGCGGTTGGGCAACTCTAGCTGCGGCGGGCAGCCGACCAGCCACTTCGTCGGCATCGCTTACTTCGTCGACACCTTATGAAAGCAAGTTCCCCTTTGGCGCCGGGCGTAACGGCTCTACATCTTCGCTTAACACCACTTTGATACCCGGGCTAGGCGGTGACGTCGCCTCGAGCAATGCCCATTACCATACCAATGCCAACCGGTCAGCTTCGATCTCTGTCGAAATTGTCAACGCCAACAACGGCAATGCGCCCGTATCGTCATCGTCGTCGACACATGGCCCGGTTGGCTCGCGTCCTTCGAGTTCTGCTGCTGCTACCGCACCTGCTTCTGGATACCCGGCTCCCATAGGGCCTCCGCATTGATTTTGATTTGATTCTACAGACGATGTATGTCTTTTCCTACTCCAGGGAGAAGGGGAGCTCACTCAATTGCTCCTTCTACCCTGTGGTGTTCTGTTTTCTTCTTGCTTCTTGATTTTCCTCGCAATGATATCCGACCGCCTGACGTTCCCTATTTTGCTTTTTACATCTTTACCGGCATTCTTTGAGAGTACATTGTCACATTACACATCAGTGGGTGTCGCATCTTCTCGACTCATCCTCATTTCTGCCGTTTTTTGCACCGGTTTTTCGTTTTATCTCACTGCACCGTCCAGCTGTTCCAGCCTCTTTTCTAAAAGAAAATACCCCTGTTGTTCGAAGACTTAGCCTTGATTTTGATCCATTGTTTACGCCAGCTCTATATACCACCAATCCACTCGGCTCTGACTCAAAAGTCGCTTTCTCTATACACTAATGTCCCTTCCTACTTCCTGTGTCGAGTTCTCCCGCATTTGTCGTCCTTCGGAGACACGGTGTCGTCAATAATTGCGATGGTGTCCTCCGAGACTCGCCGTCTTATCGGCTCTCTGTGTGGGCTCCTATCATCCAGCAAACGACTGTGCCTTTCTATAGCTCGAAATTGCTCTACTTGCACGGCCAAAGATATCGGGAACGACAGTGTCTAGTATAGGGGCAGGTTTCGACGTTTCTGCGAGTATGTGTTTGTGGCTTGCACATATATCTTAATGATACGACGAAATGTTGATATATGGGTAGTTGCCACTGCCTTTCTGTTCACTAGTCATTATTACGCTGATGACATTGAGTGATCAAGGTGGATCAAAGGTCTAGTAATGATTGTTCGCATTTTTCGTCTAACTGTGGTCTGATACAAGTTAAAATCCGACGCGAGAAGGGAGCTTGGTTGATGGAATCACCCTGCTCGAACACGAAATGTTCGTGACAACAGATTGTCAAAGCCTTGGGGGCTAGTTTAAGACCATCAATCCAATTGTTATATACTCTTCATCGTCTCATGTTCATCTTCGTCTTCGGTGTGTAGATACGATAGTGGTAGTTTCCCGTAGAATTTGACAATTGCCGTCGAGCGCCACGGATCGCAGCTCGCCGACGAGAAGCAAATCACAAGACGTCAAGTAGACCAAAGAGTCAAAAGAGAGCTTCACCAAGACTATTCACAATGTCTGGTATGGACGACTTATCCGTCTGTTCAGTACACATACAGTACTGACCTCGTGCCGAGATTACACATAACTTATTGTCAGACATGTTCATATGGTCTTTGGGGTAATATAAATTTCTTCATATGACAAGCGAGTATACAAAAGTGATATCATATAAAAGTAAACCCCCCCCCCCCCCCAAATGTTGTCAACACCATCCAATGCTCAAATCATCAAGTCATGCCAAGTACGTATACCATCTACCAGTCCATACCGCCGCTTCTCTCACCACCAGCAAGTATAGCGTTTGCCTTTGCCTTCATACCCATACCATTCTCCAAGTGGCTGACGAATTTGCCCTTCTGGCCCTTGAGGATTCTCTTGTCAAGTGCCTCGAAGGGCTTCTCCTCGTTGTCTTTCTTGGTAACGAAGTTGCTGGTTCCAAGCACCGAGTCGAGCTCCTCAACAGGTGGTAACTTGACGTAGACATTTCCGTCTTCACGAGCTTCGACAGGGAAAGTGGCAATGTTGACACTCTCGTCATTGCCACATTTGCCCGCATTGTCGCCCTTGAGCTCATAATTGCGCTTATGGTACGGGCAGCTGACCCAGAGTTTGTTTGACTGCACATCGTCACCGATGAGACCATCACTAAGCACGAAGGCGCGCTTGTGAGGACACATTTGCTGTGTGGCGTAGTACTGGCCCTTGACCTTGAAGATGGCCAATTGTGTGTCGCCACGCTTGACAGCCAACGAGCTACCAGTTGCGGTGTCTTCGAACTGATCAGAACGTGCCAGGGGCTGCCATGCCAAGTCTGTCCACTTCGTACCACGGAAGTCCGTAGTTACGGAGTCCTTTGGCCAGTATGTTGGGCGGTGTTGGTCACGCTCCTTGACTTCCTCAACTGCTTGCACTCCTTCGTCGGTGTTGGCAAATTGGTTGAACTGCTTCATGCGCTCGGGAGAGTTGAGCACCTCGGTCCATTCGCAGAAGAACGAACCAACAAGCTGTTGCATTTGCTGTTCGAGGTCTGCGGCGATACCAAGCTTATCCTCAAGAATGACTTCTTGAAGGTACTTGATACCTCCGGGAAGGTTCTCGATCCATCGGGCAGTTCTTTGCAGCTTATCAGCGGTTCGAATATAGAACGAAAGGTAGCGGTCGAGGATAGGGATGACATCATCCGGAGGTACGTCCTTCGCCAGAAGCTCGCTGTGTCTAGGCTTTGCACCACCGTTGCCACCAACAAAGATGTTGAAGCCTTTCTCGGTAGCGATCAGACCAAAGTCCTTGTTCTGTGCCTCCGCACATTCACGTACACAACCACTGACACCACCCTTGAACTTGTGGGGTCCACGGATCGACTTGTATCGCTCTTCGAGACGAACGGCCATACCAACGGAGTCACCGACACCAAAGCGGCACCAGGTAGTTCCGACACAAGACTTGACAGTACGTAGCGATTTGGCGTACGCGTGTCCAGACTCCATACCACCATCGACCAGCTCTCGCCAGATCAACGGGAGATCCTGCTTGCGAGCACCGAACATGTCGATGCGCTGACCACCAGTGATCTTGCAGTACAAGTTGAACTTTTTGGCAACGGTACCGATTATGATGAGCTTATCGGCCGTAATCTCACCTCCAGAAACACGAGGGACAACAGAGAATGTGCCGTTGCGCTGGATGTTGGCCAAGAAGCGATCGTTGGTGTCCTGGAGACCACGAACATCCTTCTCAAGGATGTGTCTGTTGAAGAGGGAAGAAGTGATAGATCCGATGGTCGGCTTACAAGCTTCGCATCCCAGTGATTCAGGATCCTTGCCACAATGCTTCATGATCTCTTGGAACGTCTTGAGTTGTTTGACGTAGATGATGTTGAAGAGATCAGCACGCGAGTAGTCGAAGTGGGGACAGAGGTGGTTCTTGACTTCATTACCCATGGAGGTCATGGCCTTGTTGAAGATGGTCTGGACCAAAGGCATGCATCCACCACAGCCGGCACCAGCCTTGGTGCATGTCTTGACATCGCCGATGCTCTTGCAAGTCCCATCTTTGACCGCTTTGACGACATCTCCCTTCAGCACATTGTGACATGAGCAGATCTGAGTATCATCGGCAAGCTCGTCGGCGTCGTCATCGCCCTTACTAGCACCGATGATGAACTCGCTAGGAGAAACTTCGAGGGCCTTTTGGTTCTTGACCATAGGCACCAACTTGACGTAGTCTTTTGTGTCTCCGATCATCATGCCGCCCAGCAGATATTTTCCGTCAGTCGTGAAGAGATACTTTTTGTAGACTTGGTTGAAGGGGTCTTTGTAGGTGAGGGCTTTGACTGGCGGCGGTGCGGGTCCATCTGTGAGCTTCTTGACTTGGTCTTTTTGGCCCGTAGCACCTTCCTTCTTTGCGGAACCACGTCTGGTTGGAAGGATTTGGGGACCGTCTCGGTCGGCGAAGAAGTCGCCAAAACTGGCAACCTCGACTCCAAGCAACTTCAGCTTTGTGCTCAGATCCGGACGCTTGAACTGTCGGGGGGTGTGAGCTTTTGCCTGTGTGAGGTTGAAAGCAAGAACGTCAGCCATCTCAACACCAGGTGCGATGAGACCGAAGGTCTGGCTTTCCCAACTGGCACATTCTCCGATAGCGTAGACGTCCGGCATTGAAGTGGAAAGGTCGTTGTTGATGACGATACCGCCTCCTCTGTCTGCGCACTTGATGCCGGCTGCGCGAGCCAGCTCGTCACGGGCCTTGATGCCAATGGCGAAACAGATACACGTGCAGTCCATTTGTTCGCCATCTTCGAAGGTGACACCGGTGACGCTGTTGTCATCGTCCACATTGATCTTGCCGACACGTTTGCTGAGCAGCACGTCCAGGCCCAGGTCTCGGACTTGTTCGACGACCATACCACCAGCATCACCGTCAAGTTGTCTGCTCAGCACCCAGCGGTTTCTTTCAATGAGCTTGACCTTGCTGAACTCTTCGAGGTCCATCATAGCTTTGGCGGCTTCGAGTCCCAGTAGACCACCGCCGACTACAGCGCCAACGGACCCGGTCTTTGTGGCGGAGTAAGCAATGAGCTTCTCCAGATCTTCAATTGTACGGTAGACGAAGACGCCTTTCGCATCGTGTCCAGGGGTGTGGCGTGGTAATACAGCATCAGAACCGGTCGCAAGAATCAGTATGTCGTATGGTACCGTGGTGCCTTGTGATGTCTCGACCGTCTTCTCTTGTGGGTCGATAGACGTGACTTTGCTGTTGATGTGGTAGTTCAAAGAGCCCTCAGGCATTGACGAATACCACTCTTTGGGGTTCAGATAGAGGTTCTCGACCTGTCGATGTTGGAAGAAGCTGGTCAGGCCAACTCTGTTGTATGCAAGATGTGCTTCTTCTCCAATAACAATGATGTCGTATTCTCGTCGCTTAACGTCGTACTTCATGAGTTTCTCTCTGTGGGAATAGTCAGCGTGTGATCTTGATCACGATTTGGTTGACGCTCACATGAATGCAACACCGACCATACCCAATCCTACCACGACAATTCGCTTCCTCTTAGTGTCCTTGGGCAGCTCTCCATTTTGCTCCATCTCCTCGATCTTCTCGGGGAGGACGTTCGCCTCAGCATCGTTCCACTCGCTATTGCTCATATTGAACAATGATATAGGCCAAAGGATATACGATTATTAGTAAATGCACAGCAGATGCTGGCGTGGGACACGGGAGAGCAGAAACAAGTGAATAACAAGACTACGGGAGCCAAAAGTAGAAAGGGGAGACAAGGTGTTTATGGACTCGCCTTTCCATACCGAGCTATCTATCAACATAGTATCTTGTCCCTCAACCGACTGGGACGGCTGCAAGCCCAGCAAATGCCATGGCATAAACACAAGCCGCGGCGACCGGAGAAGCAACTCCATGGTAAGCGTTCGCGGGACATGGCCACACACGCGACTCCGGATTACCAAATGAAATGCATCTGCACAACGACATCAGCTTCTTTCTCCTCGGGAGAGATCATCGGGCGCAAAAACGGGTTCGTGAACGTGGAGCCGCACTAAAGCTGGAGCAGTGCTGATAAGGACGACTGATAGAGGGACATTCTCGGCAAGAAGAAAAGAATCTCGACAAGACCCTGTACAGCCAATCAAAGCGGGACGATTAGCCAAGCAGTCTTTAAACGCAGAGTCTCTTTTCAACTTCATCTGCTCAACCATATACCGCTGATAAGCTGATGTTAGACCATTGGTTCTCTTTATCTGTCTTCAAAGTCCATCGCTGAACACGGGAGAAGCGACTACTTGTAGCGGCAAAGACTATACAGCTTCATCTCGAAAACGGGTGCATCGCACTGAGCATCATGTGGGAATCTCGGTTTTGACGCTATTCCATAAAGAGACGGCCTTATCTTTGCTCAATCTCAACCATCCACGTCCCACAAAGATGCTGCTGACTGCGATGCATCTCCACAGCCATAATTCCGCGGTAACCTGTCTATCGTAGTTTAGTGAGGCTCTTCGTCTGCTTCTCCGCTCAGAACATGGCTGGACATGCCGGTATGACGAATGTGAAGTTTTTAACCACTCTTGGCGGTTAAAATGTAGGCATTCTTGTGGACAGCCTTTCTCCGGGGCATCTCGCTTTGCTCTGGTCTCGTACATCGTTTCCTTGTTGCACAATCAAATCCAAAACAGACTCCTTTCCATACCCTCAACATATTCAGTTCTTTCCTGCTTGTGTTCTTGAATCTTCCTCCAATCAACATTCTTGCAAGTCGAGTCTTACAACAACATGGCTACTGTGCAAGCGACCGAGGAGGAGCGCGTGCATCTACGAAGAGTGTCTGCAGATTTCCCGCCCACACCACCAGATTCAGATCTTAGCGATACGGAAAAATCGACCAGCAACATAGATTCTACAAATTTCCCTTTGCCTCCACCGTCACACCCGCCTACCGAGATCAACCCATTAGACAGCAAGACACCAGACGCATGGCTACCGCGAGACCCGAGATTGATTCGACTCACTGGAGCCCATCCATTCAACTGTGAAGCTCCTCTTACAGATTTGTACAACGAAGGCTGGTTGACGAGTCCCGAATTGTTCTACGTACGAAATCATGGTCCCGTACCTCAGGTCAATGACGAAGACATACCAGATTGGGAGTTTACAGTAGAAGGGTATGAGTTGACCTTGATGTTCTAGATACAAGACACTAACGCGTGCTAGACTTGTCGAGAAGCCACTCACAATCAAATTCAAGGATCTCGTTCGGGAATATGACCAGATCACTTGTCCTGTGACACTCGTTTGTGCTGGTAACAGGCGAAAGGAACAGAACGTTGTTCGTAAAACCAAAGGCTTCTCTTGGGGCGCTGCTGGAGTCTCGAATGCCCTCTGGACTGGCGTCATGATGCACGAAATCTTGAAGAAGACCGGACTCAAGCGAGGAGCAAGATACGTGTGTATGGAGGGTGCCGACAAGCTGGTAAGCCCCGGTCCTGACTTCGAACCTATTTCCAATATTGACAAAAGCAGCCCAACGGATACTACGGCACGTCTGTCAAGCTCAACTGGGCCTTGGATCCCAACAGAGGCATGATGCTTGCTTACAAAATGAACGGCGAGATGTTGACCCCAGATCACGGAAAGCCTCTTCGATGTATCATTCCTGGCCAGATCGGAGGTCGCAGCGTAAAATGGCTCAAGAAGCTCATAATCACCGACAAGCCTAGTGACAACTGGTACCACATCTACGACAACCGAGTATTGCCCACAACCGTCTCACCAGAAGAGTCTGCGAACAACAAGGATTGGTGGATGGATGAGCGATATGCGATCTACGACCTGTCAACTAACTCTGCGATGGCACATCCAAAACATGAAGAGCAGTTGTGTCTTGTCGGAGCACCACAAAGCTACCGGGTGAAGGGATACGCTTACGGTGGCGGTGGTCGACGCGTCACTCGTGTTGAAATCACACTGGATAAAGGCAAGAGCTGGCGTCTAGCCAATGTTGACTATGCGGAAGACAGATATCGAGAAGCAGGTCCAGTCGATCTGTATGGTGGCAGACTCGATATGGAATGGAGAGAAAGCTGTTTCTCCTGGGCCTTCTGGAATATCGATATCCCAGTCGATGACTTGAAGGATGCGAAAGACATCATGTGTCGAGCCATGGACGAGAGTATGAATGTTCAGCCTCGTGACATGTACTGGAGTGTCCTGGGTATGATGAACAATCCCTGGTATCGCATCGCCATCCACAGAGAGAACGATTATCTGCGCTTCGAGCACCCTACACTACCTGCCTTGATGCCTGGAGGTTGGATGGAGCGTGTGAAGAAACTTGGGGGTAACCTCGCCAATGGCTACTGGGGAGAACAACTAGGAGGCTCCGAGGCACCAGAACCTGTTGCAGAAGCAGCGGCAGACGTCAAGATGACCAAGGATGGGATCGACAAGAAAATCACGATTGACGACCTACGCAAGCACGACACCGAGAAGGAACCATGGTTCGTGGTGAATGGTGAGGTTTATGATGGCACTGCATTCATGGAAGGTCATCCCGGAGGAGCTACGAGCATTGTTGCAGCTGCTGGCTTGGACAGCTCCGACGAGTTCATGGCGATTCACAGCGAGACCGCCAAGGCCATGATGCCAACATATCACATCGGAACATTAGACGAGGAGGGCAAGCGTGCATTGAGCGGCGAGGAAGTGCAGCCAGATGAGAACGCAACGCCCTCGGAGACTTTCTTGCACCCGCGCACTTGGAAGAAGGCTATCTTGCAATCAAAGAAGACAGTGTCTTGGGATAGTCGCATCTTCAGATTCAAGCTCGAGGCTGAAGAGCAGAAACTTGGTCTTCCTACTGGCCAACATTTGATGATGCGTCTCCGCGACCCCGTTACTCGCGAAGCAATCATTCGCTCATACACGCCTATCTCGGAGACAACGGAGCAGGGCTTTGTGGACATTCTGATCAAGGTGTACTTCAAGACAGGCTCACAGGAAGGAGGGAAGATGTCAACGGCTCTGGACTCTTTGCCTATTGGCCACTTTGTTGATTTCAAGGGTCCGATCGGCAAGTTCCAATATCTGAGTCCTGGCCTCTGTTCTATCAATGGTGTCGAGCGACGCATCACACAATTTGTCATGATCTGTGGTGGATCAGGTGTCACGCCTATCTACCAAGTCTTCCGCGCCGTCATGCAAGATGCTAGCGATAAGACCAAATGCACTCTGCTCGACGGCAACCGACTTGTTGAGGACATTCTATGCAAGGGAGAGCTGGATGGATTTGCCAAAGACAACGAGCACAAGGCAAAGCTTCTCTACACACTCACCCAGGCGCCGGAGAACTGGGATGGATTGAGAGGACGCATTGCCGCACCACTTCTTGCCGAGCACGCCAGCAAAGAGGCACTAAAGCTCGACCCGACCGAACAAGCTATGGTATTGATCTGCGGGCCCGAAGCGCTTGAGAAGAGCTGTCATGCTGCATTGTTGAACCAAGGTTGGCGTGATGACGAAATGCTCTTCTTCTAGTCGAGCTACGAGATCCTTGAATTGTACTGTATATATTTGCATGGCGTTTCAGATTGGATTTCCTTGGGAAAGGGATTGTGAAAATCGAAGCTGGGTGGCGCAGAACGCCTGATTGTATTGTTGTGCAATAATCTATGAGTCGAGCATTTCACTTTCACCAAAGCGCGATTGCCGAAGTGACATCTAGAACGTGTCATCATCTTCGTCGTCGTCCCACTTTCTCCTGACCAAGCTGGGGCTGATGTCGGGGACACTATCACCCTCGATGGACTCCGTGCGGTCGGCGCCAGCAGTAGCTAGCAAGTCGTCAACAATGATCCTACTGGCCTCTCTAGCTGGAGTCTGCATGAGGCGAGACTGAGGGACATGGAACTGCATAGTCTTGGGCGGACTGATACTAAAGTCGTCATCGCTATCAGATTCCCAGAGGGTGCGGGTAGTCTTATCCTTGGTGTCAGTGAACAATGCACGGCCGGTGCTCGTCATGAGATCGCGTCCCGGGGTTTGAACCGAAATGCCAGGGGTATGTGGAGTCTGTAATGCTTTCCTGGGAGACTTCTGGGGAGAGAATAGGTCTGAGCGCAGTTGAGGCGCGGCCATTTCCGGACTGCTCATAGGACTGCTATCGGCAAACAGGTTGCGAGTGCGCGTCTGTGTTTGATTCTGCTGAACAGTGGCCGGGGTGGCGTCAGAGGCCGGACGCTGTTGCCTGCGAGCAGAATGTGGAGTAGCCTGGACGCGGAAATTGCGGTCCATGATACGGTGCATCAGAGGATCAGGGTTCTGTTGGCGTTGGGCAGTGGAAGGTTGGTAGGCCGAAGGGGGCTCGAAGGGCGACGACGACTGGAAGTTCAAGGTACCGCGCATCGGAGTGCTGATCTGATCCGACGACGGTTTGATTGGGGAAGGAGAAATCATCTGCTTGCCCTTGGTCTTGATCTGAGGAGTGGTGTGAAGTCCAGTCGTGTTCGATGGAGAATCGATGATGGATGTTTCGTCGTCCTCGTCATGAGCATAACCTTGAGTGATAGGAGTCATGGTTCTGTCAACATCGTGACCCGCCGATGGCTCATCGTAGGTCGTGTCTTGGGCAGTCGCGTCGTCATGGCTCGCATCCTCCTCTAGCGCACCCTCTTGGTAACCCGACAAGGAGACATTGGCCGAAGCCTCGAAGAACTGTTTCCAGAAGCGAGATCCCTCCCAGACGTCACGAGAGTGCTGTGCATATTGGTCGACCACGGGAAGAATGCTCGACGTGACGATGCGATGTGCTTTGCTGAAATTGTGGTCGATTTCTGGTCGACACGTTAGCCCTGCCTGCTGTATCTCGCGCCAACATCAACTTGCCTTGCAAAGTCAGAGTGATCGACTGCTCGAGTCTTTCGAGCTCTTCTGTCAGACTCAGATTGCGATTACTCGCCGGCGCTGCGGTTCGGGACATTCTTGTTCTTGCGCCCAACGACGCTGAGAAACACAAACACGCGCGACTTGTTGATTAGCCCGAAATCGCCGACCCTGTCGCATCTCTCGCTCCACCTTCCCTCTGCCGCAAAGCTCGGTGCTCCTTGGCTAGCCACACGGGTGCTTCTATTACCCCGCATCTGCCGTCGCTCACTCATCATCCTCGTCTTTCGGACAAGCACACCACGAGCTGAGCAGCATCACCTGGTCATCCCTCTGCCGTAACCCCGAGACTCCTCTATACCAGCCAAGCTGCGGGGCTTGCATCTTCTGATCCTTCGTCCTTAGCATTTCGGAATTCCGAAAGGAACAATCCCGTTCATGAGCCCTGTCAATCTTCAACCACCTTCGAGGAGAGGGGTCGTCTAGCTATGTCTTCCTCTTCTCTTTCCGTGAACCCGTCCCATAGTTGAGCTGCTCTTCCTCTTGTCTCTCTTCTTCTCGTTCGTCCATCTCGCAACTTCTTGTCCTCCGACCTGCACACTTGTGTCTCTTCCTGCTGCTATTCTTCTACATATCATCATGGTTGCACGATTCACATCCAGAGCTGCCTGGCAGGCTGTCGCCTCGGCCACAATTCCACGGAGCCTGGCCCAGACTAGGGGCTTTGCGAGCACTTTGCAGAGAGAAGAAAAAAGGACTGCCATCATCACTGGTGCGAGCCGCGGAATGTAATTGTATCTGACCTTGGTCACCCTATTACTCCATGCTGATGTTTGTGATAGCGGCAAGTCCATTGCTCTCCGTCTGGCTCGAGACGGATACGATCTATGCATCAACGACGTCGAAGCAAACAAGCAAGGCATTGACGATGTCGTCTCCCAAGTCAAGTCTGCTGGTGTCAACGCTATTGGCGCTGTTGGCGACGTATCGGATCTCTCGCAGGTTGAAGCTGTCATTCAGAAGAGCGTCAAAAAGCTTGGCCCCTTGAACACGATGTAAGTCTTACAAGAGAGCCCTCCCTCATCCTTCACTATCAACACGAGATTGTGGAAGAGTTGGTCTTGATCACTCGAACTTCATGCAAGAGCAAGGACTGCTGGTAGAACACATGAGCGCCGAATTCTTTCACAACTATGTGTTCATCACTGTACAAGGTCCCTCCGTGGCCGCAGTCATTTAGCGTCGGTTACCAGCGGCCGTTTCACTTGGTCTGAGCTTCATATACGGTAAAAGTTCGCAGCCATCCACCAAGGCAAACGAAAGAGGCTCTGCTTTCACATCTTCCGTGGCGCAATTGGCTAGCGCGTTCGACTGTTAATTGATCAGATTGCAGTCCATCGAGAGGTTCCTGGTTCAAGCCCAGGCGGAAGAGCATGTCTTGTTTTTGGCTGTTTGCTGACTCTTTTTGGTCGCAGGATCGCGAATGCCGGTATCGCCCAAGTCAAACCATTGCTGGACCTGACTACAGAAGACTTTGAACGAATGTTCAGAATCAACGTGTTCGGTGTACAGAATTGCTATAGCGCTGCGGCACGACAAATCATCTCGCAGGGCAACGCCACGGCCGAGGCACCTTGTAAGATGATAGCTGCAGCTTCGATTGTTGCCTTCAAGCCATTCGCTCTGCTTTCCCACTACTCGGCGTCCAAGTGGGCTGTCAGAGGCCTCACGCAAGCGTATGCAATGGAGATGGCTGAGCATCACATCACGGTGAATTCCTATGCTCCGGGCATTGTCGGCACGGCCATGTGGGATCTTATCGACGAGGAGCTGGGTAAGAAACGTGGCAACGACCTAGGTCAAGTGATCAAGAAGGGCGAAACAATCAAGAAGTATACGGATGAGTTGATCGCACTGGGTAGAGTGTCTGTGCCGGAAGATGTGGCCAAGCTCGTTTCCTTCCTTGCCAGCCATGATTCGGACTATGTGACAGGCCAGTGTCAGGTAGTTGATGGCGGCATCATTTTCACGTAGACGATGTTGTCAGATGTATATACGAATGAATACAGAATTATGTCCAGAAGATGTGATGGGCTTCACTAAAGTCCAGAGATTTGGCGATATGATAAGCGCGACAAGATGCGCCAACCAAAGGTTGCGTCAGAGACCAAGTTTTAGACTGCTTCACAAGTCGTAGTAGTAGAAGTGAGTGCAAGATGAGACTGCGAGACGAGGTCAGGGAGGTATGCAAGTCATAGGCCGGAGCCTGGAAGGGGGAGATGATCAAACAAGCGCACAGCGGCTGGAAGCAGAGGAAGAATTGACCAGGATCAAGGATGGTCTTGTTTATCGAAGCGGGGAGACAACAACAGCGACGCCCATCTTTGGCCGCGCCTCTGTCGACAAGCATCTTGTGCGCCAACCGACCCCGACACTCGACATTCGACTCTCTCGAGACGTCCGCCTTGCGCCGCCATGGACCAACAGGCGCAGACTCTGTTGACGACGCTCAAACGCTCGTCGGCCGCCTCGGATGCCAAACTCACGCAGCTGAACAATCTCAAGTCCGACATCAAGCACCACAGAGTGCCCGACAGCGCCCAGCCCATCATCTTCGAGTGTCTCCGAGTCGCCTTGACCCAGCAAGCCTCCAGCACCCTCGCCACTGCCGCCTTTACCACTCTGGGTCATCTCATTAAGCGCCTGAAGATCCAAGACCCCGATGGCACTGCCATTGTCCAACACGTGCCTAAGCTCTTTGTCGCCTTGCAAGAGAGATTGGCCGACCTCCGCGAGAACCACCGCAGCGCCGCCTCACAAGCCTTTGCCGATGCCTGGCACTTTTGCCCTCAAGATGTAGAGCACATCATCCGCGACGAAGTCATCCCTGGCGCAAACGCCCGCGCAAAGGACACGGCCATGCACTGGGTCGTGCGCATGAACCACGACGAAGCACTGCCCTTTAAGACTTTTGTACCGCTGATGGTAGCCAATCTCGAAGACCATGACGGCGCAGTTCGTGATTCGGCAAAGAGTGCTTTGATTGATCTATTCCGGTACGTCCGCCGAACCGCAATCCGCCCGCAATTCTAACACTATGCTTTTAGTACTGCTCCGGATCGCGCAAAGGCAGATCTGAAGAAACAGTTGAATCTTCACGGTGTCCGGACAGGCATTGCATCCCAGATCCTTACACAAATCGAGTCAGAAAAGTCTTCGGCGCCCGCACACGACATGTCGCAGTCCACTCGCTCCCTTCCTGTCCTTGATCCTCATCTCGCCGAGAGCATCAATAGTGAAGCCGCTCGCGCACCTCCACCAGAGGAGATCCCCATGGATCCCATCTTCGTACATTCCCAAAGAGAGCTCGAGGATACTTTCAGTGACATGCTTCCTCACTTCGAGGGCCGAGAGAGCGAAGAGAATTGGGTAAACCGCGACAAGGATGTTACCAAGATGAGACGACTGCTGAAAGGAAACGCACCAACCGATTATCACACCCTCTTCATGGCTTCCATGAAACAAATGCAGGCCGGTATAATCAAGGTGGCCACTTCGCTACGGACGACAACCTCTAGTAACGGCTGTCACATGGTGCAGGAGCTGGCTAGAACCTTAGGCCCAGCCCTCGATCCAATGGTCGAGATCTACCTGCAGACATTCATCAAGCTGTGCGCCGCCACGAAAAACATTGCCGCACAGAACGGCAACCAGACAGTCGACACAATCTACCAATACGTTTCATACAACATCCGGACCATGCAACACGTTTGGATCGCCTGTCAAGACAAAAATGTGCAACCTAGAACATTCGCTTCTGGCTGGCTTCGCACCATTATCAGTAGACAAGCTGGTGCAAAGTCACACTTCGAAAGCACAGGAGGTCTCGAGCTTGCTGAAAAGTGCGTGAAGCATGGCCTCAACGACTCACAGCCGAAAGTCAAGGAGGCAATGAGAGCTACTTATTGGGCTTTGGCTAGAGTTTGGCCCAATAGAGCCGAGCTCATCATGAATACTCTTGACCCAAAGGCCAAGATCGCTCTCGAGAAACATGCGCATAATCCGAATGCGTCTACAACTGGTGCTTCGACTCTTCGTGCATCAACGGTGAGCAGAGCAGGTGCGGCCTCGAAGTCTTCCGTCCGAGATGCCATCATAGCAGCGCGTAAGAAGGCCCAGACTGAAAGCCGGCCTAACTCTGCGATGGCTACTGTCTCACCAGCTACTGTGAGAACGAAGTCATCCAATAATCTTACTGCCCGTCAGCCACCCGCTGGACCACCTGCTTCTGCCGCTCGTGTCCCTTCTGCCGTATCAACCTCGTCTTCCACTTCCACCAACACAAGACCTAATGCATTAATGTCTGGAGCTGCGAGACGACCTGTCAGACGTCCAGAGATCGCGCGACCCGCAACCGCAGATCCATATGCAAGTCGTAGACTAGCTAGGCCTGAAACACCATCGGTCAAAAGTCCTGTCACTAGTCCTCGACAAGACATTGCATCCAACTATACCAGTACATCGGGAAGCAAGCATCACCCGGATAGAGGTAGTCCCGCACTGAGTCCATTCCGCCAATCTTACCTCTCACCGAAATCAGCTGCCAGCAGAAGCCGACCTTCAAGCAGAGACAGCAAAGCAGAAGAGCTTGTGGCACCAAAAGAAGACGAGTTCGCCTCATTCGTACCCTCTTCGTACAAGAGCCATCTTCCTACATCTCCAAATTCAGCCAGGAGCCATCTTCCTACTTCTCCACGGTCCACTCTCCGTAGATCAACTCTGAACAGCTCAACATCTGTGGATAGTGTGATCCCTGTGGTTGCTGATGACACCTTTACTATGGAGTTGCCCACCGTACACAGGTCGCAGGTACCCGTGTTCGAGCGCCGTGCTTCACACTTGTCCACAGTCGATGTTACGACCGAGCATCAACCTCCGGTGCCACAAAACGCACAATCGGCGTCAGATAGAACCGACTCGCCCATCACAACCAGCCGCCAGGCCACTCCACAGCGTGAAGCGTTCTCTACGAAGGACACAAGCGCTGGGTCGTCGCCAAAACCCACGTTGGCCCCAGCTGCTCACATAGAGTCCGTTGTCCCTCAGCCCGAGGAAGCTGCTTTCCAGATTCACGAAGACCCGTTCATGGAGGGCGTAGAAGCGCCAGAAGCGCAACAGACAAGACACTCGCAAGACGTTCGAAGTGTCCTTGGTGAGGTTCCGCTTAACGAATTCAGCCAAACCGCAATTGCAGAGAACATCAACCAAGACGAGACGCATGTGACGGGAGACTCTCCACCGCAGAGTCCACAAACCAAATCTGAGACTCTGCGCTCTAGGAAGTTGCTCATGTCGGGTATCGAACGCATTCGAGGACGCACTCTTGACGCACACGGCTTCAGAAAAGTGCTCGAGTTGATAAGGTCATCCGAGTCTGGCGAGATATTTGGCTCTGTTGAAGAAGGAAGACGTTTCGACGACTTGTGCAGTGTTCTGTTGGAGTATATCGTGGAGTCTTCGGATGCTGCTGCGAACCCCAACGTGCGTCACTCTCAAGAGCTCAGAAGACAGGCCACTAGTGTGATGAGAACAGTGCTCAATGCGCAGCAACAACCGTATAGAAAGTGGATTGCTGCAGGACGTTGGTACTCTCGCGCCCTAATCGGAGCACTCGATGCACGCCAGAACGTCGAAGGCTCCGGACTGTTGGTCAAAGATCTGGAAGCAATGGCTAGCGATGTGGTGGCCAAAATTCACCCTGACGAAGGTGAGAAGGCCATAATCGAGTGGCTTGAACATTGCGTGGCAGAATCGGATTACGAAACGCAAGAGCAAGAGCTCGATGGCGCTGTTGCAGCTATTCAGGCTAGACATGGCGACGAGAGCCTAGTGCGTAAGAACAAGGCCATGGCACTCGCACTCCGCAACTTGGCTGCTCTGCTGGCCTCGACAACTGCAAGTGCCGCTCCACTATCCAAGGAATTGGGCGAACGTGCGGCTCGTATCGCAGTCGTATCCCTACGCTCCAAGGACGCCGAAGTACGCAAGTCATCAGTCGAATTAGCCACCCAGCTACACATGAGTTGGCCATCCAACCCCGAGACTCAAGACGATACAAAGAGCGAATTCTGGAGTATGCTCGAGAGGAATGGCTTACAAGAGAGCGCACGTAACCTGATCGTCTACTTTATCGCTCGCAGAGAACGAAGCGCTTGAGGAATATTCCATGGATCACAAAGGCACACTCATCAGTCATGGTAGGATATATTTCTTTTTTCCTTTCACTTGGTCTCTCTACTTTTTGGTGTTTTCGATCTCATGGTTCAGGGGGCCGGGTTCGGACGACACAGCATGATATCACAAAAAGGCAAAGGACGGGGTGGCGCTCTAGGAGTAGAAGAAGTCTTTAATGTGTACACGATTCGAACTGTCAAAAATTCTTTGAAAGCACGTGCATATCCATGTTGTTGGCAGTTTTCGCATCTACTATTCGGTGACCTAAAACGAGAAGGAAAGAGCGATCCAGCATTTCGCTGCTCAAGGCGGCTAGCTTGGTGTGCCACTGCCTATTTTGCGCAATTGGGCTGTGGGCAATGGCTATGATTAGCATGGCAATACTCGTCTCAAACACATGCGTTGAGTGGTAAGATCACAGAGACTGTGGCTCAGAGCAAAGATGAAAGAATTAAGATGATCATTGCGCAGATGCATTAAATTTGTTCAAGGCCAAACACATTCGACCGGTCCTCTGACATCTAGCCTTTCTAACATTGTCTCTCTGGATGCTGTAGCGCGAACAGAAGCCGACATCTTAAAGGGGCCTCCTCATACACAACGAAGCCATGGCTTGCTGCAAGTCTTCTGCACCTCTGATCCAATAGTGTAGAGGTCGGGGTGGAGCAACAGCATCAAACTAGCGGAGAGCAGCATGTGTGGCCAGTGCCTGCATACTCATACGATCTTGTTGCCTGAGCCTTTGCTTTTCCCCTGGTGACAAGCCATCCTTGGTCTTGGGTGTACTCGTCTCGGGTGTTGAGGTGTTGATGGTGGAGTATGAGGGTGTGTTCTTGTGCAGGAGCTTCGCAAAGGATGAAGAGGAGGATGTTGTGGTGATTGAGGCCGTGTCTGATGAGCTAGAGAAGCTTGAAAGACGGCTGAAGGGGTTGGATGGCATCTTGTATGTGTTTTGATGGATGGATGTGTGCTGTAGTTGTATGTGGTTTGTATTGGTGCAACAGGTGGTCGACTTTGTGGAACTGTTCGAGAGGATATGGTCGAGAGAAGATGACTGTGGTCCGATGATGGATAGGCAACAGAACAAGGTACACTGTATGGTACAATGGTGTGATGAAGATGATCGACTGGAAATGTTGCTGTTTGAGAAGTATACACCAGGCAACAACAGAGACCTACCTCACGCTTATATATATATATATATATAACCCGACCGCTCAGCAAGTATGAGCCCACAACGAGTCCCCGTGTACTCGATTTGACTCTTGCGCCCTCTGACTTCCACAAAGAGTCGCCGACGTTTTGACAAGGCACCATCCTACGCGCCTTTCGACTGACAAGTACCATATTAATCAAGCCTCGTCGCGACTAACAATGCCACTATCAGCCCTATAGGCTGACATCCGACCCTCATGAGCCGAATCGGGAAGGATCAAGATTGGCCAAAAGGAAACACCGCACAAAGTCATCCGGACTGGATGTTGTGGGGTGCTCCGATGTCGAAGTGCGCCGACTTTCTAGCTTTTGGTGTACCTGCCGTACCAAGCAAAAGACAGTACATAACATTGTTGATATGCTCCCGGCTCTGGTGTAATTTATGATTAGTTGAATTGTCGTCTTTTACAATGCTATCACGAATCATCCACAAGGATTCTCTCTGATCACTACCCAGTCTTGATGACTTTGGGAGGTGAACGACTTCTTGACAAGCAGTACCCCACAAACATATCACCATGCTGAGTCACCTACACCAATTTCCCGTTTCTAAGCAAGAGTGCAAATCAGCAGAGCTGGCATTCAAAGTAACGAGGAGTGAACAACTTGGTCAGCAGCTGGAGTAATATAGACTTTCTCGTGGAAACCACGTGCGATGCTTTGCCAAAACGAGGGACTACTGGCCTCAAACAGCAAGAGGGTCTTGTAAAAAGGACCTCGGCTTCATCGACATTGATATTCGATTAGAGCTAATCGCATTGTGGTAAAGCTTTCCTCGACTCATTTATGCGGTAGAGTGTGTGTCACGGGCATGAGTTGGCGTTGGAGATGGTCGGCCGTCTCAGTAAGGGTTGCTCATGCTCACCACCAGTCGACGCATGACTTATGAGTATGTTCAATAGCTGATGGAGATCTGACAGTCTTCTTCAAGGCTTCCCTCAAAATCGCAGAGCAACTAATGAACCGTCTCAACCGCCAATATCAACAGAGGTGGAGAGAGAGCATACGAGATGTTAAATGAAATGGTTGCGAAGGAGATGGATATTTACACATTGAAATCCCTAGATGTTGGAGGGATATTTGTATGTACTCCTGATAAATTGACAGCCCACCATCCCTTGACGCCTATCCGTATGCAGAGAATACAACAAGAGGAGTTAGAATCTCCCCAGCTCTTTGAGGCGCCACAGGTACAATGCTCGAAAATGGTCGAATGCATAGAGGCTGACAAAACAGAGCATCCAGATCGGATCGGTATGGTCCGGTAGCCTCTGGCCTGTGGACGCTGGTATAACTAATGGTACAAAGAATTTACAAGTCGTTAAAGCGGTCAAGTGACGATCTCGCCAATGTCGATCATCTGAGGCTTCCATTGGGCCGTGGACGACTGACTGGGCAAGACAATGTTCTCGCGAGGAGGGGTGTAGAGATACCACGAGCGGAGAGCAGCGGCGGCGGCACGCACGCGGGCCTCATCCAGGCTCGAACCGGCGGCCTCTCCTAGCTTGTCACTACCGCTGTAAACGCCAACGACGAAAACAGGGCTGCGAGAGTGACGACCAGTCTCTGAGAGTAGACGAGCAACTGGGGGTTCGAAGCCTTCGCGTAGGCACAAGCGCGCGAGGTCGCGAGTGGGGTGGGTGAAATCGAAGAGGGTGTGCAAGGGAATGTGGCGCGACAGGATGTGGGCGTGGTGGAAGGCCTGTGTGGCTTGGGCACCGGCGTGCAAGTAGAGGGCACCAAAGACGGCGTTGACGAAGCTGGCCGAAGCGTCTTCGATGGTGACGGCATCAGGATTCTGAGGGGCAGTCGCAGGGTCGGATCCGTTCTGTTGCAAGTCACCGAACTGGTTGTCGTAAACAATGCGCGAAGAGACACCACGGCGGTAGTTCCACTGTTCGTTTGAGCGGCGGGTGGCAGGCTTGTTGTCGGCAGAGGTCGCGTCCTTGAGGCGAGCCATTCCTCCCTCGGCCATGGCATTTCCAGGCTGGCGGCGAGTGAACTGCAGAAGACCAGGATCGACCTCGATACCAGGAGCAGCGACAGGCTCTACACCCCATTCCTCACGCATGGCGGAGAGAGTACGGGGCCCTGAGTAGGCGTATTGAGCGGCGAACAGGATCTGCATGGGCAGGCGGGGGTAATTGCACAGCAGCCATTCGGCAGTGTAGTATGCGAGGACGTCCTGACCGATGACAGCGAGCGAAGAGTTGTTTGCGTTTGCGCGCCGGTCGGCCGAAGGATGCACTAGACATTGTGCCAGAGTCTGAGTCGGGAAACGCGGTGGCAGCGACAGACGGGCGTGGAGGGCACTGAGTTTGGCAGAGATCTTGCGGCTGGCTCGGAGAGCTTCACTTGCAGAGTCTGCTGCGGTAGAAGGAGTGTCGAGGACAGGTTCCGATGCGACGGCGGGTGCTGCTGTCACGGGAGCATCTTGTCGGAGGCGGGTGGACAGGCCAAACGAGCGGCGATATAGCGGGTTGCTGAAGGTGGACGAGAGTATCCGGTCTGGGCGCGGTGACAGCAGAGAGCGACGCATTTGTTGGCTTGCAATGCGCTTCATGGTGGTGCAATTGGACCTCGTCGTCGCCGGGCAAGATTTTTGCCAGACATCATCAACTACGCCCGAGCACGGTCCACATTCGAAGTCTTGGCTTCCATGCCCGCTCAATGGTCAGCGCGACCTGCTCACGACCAGCAAGTCGACAATACAGCCTCACTCTCCTCTCAGTTCAATCCCAAAATGGCTGGCGACAAGATCCCGTACGTTGGTCGAATCTCGCTATCCACACTGCTCACTCCCGTCTCGACTGTCTTGCTCAACACACGTCCGCCTACAAGCCCACCTACTCCCCATCATTTCCCATCTGTCGCTCCTTCCGCTCGACCTTGCTCAATTCTCGTCGCACACTGCATCTACTGCTTCTGACTTTGCTATAGCTACCCCAAGCACGTCTGGTCACCCGCTGGTGGTTGGTACTCGCAGCCCAAGAACTGGAAAGCAAACACTGCCGTCATGGGCCTCTCGGTCGTCCTTGTTGCCGGTGTCTTCTTCAGCTTGAGCGCCGACCGTGAACACCGCTACAAGATGCCCGAACAAGGCCGCTTCTTCCCCAGCAGATAGTACTGAACGCCCCGAACATCATGGCAACCCAAACACGAGAACTGACCACCGAAACAGCTGGAGCCGTCAAATCCGCGAACACGAGAGGTCGCTCGCCAACAAGGACGAGTAAGCCGTCGTCAATTGCTTTTAATCGGAGTTTGGGGGGGATCTGCATCTTTGTACTTTGTGCCCGTTCCAAAACCTTGACCCAATACCACTACTGTTCCATACATCGCAACGAGTATTCCTGCTTTCTTTCTGCAACCACCACTCCGTTCCATCTCTCCACCCCACCCTCTGTCTGCAACACCGGAACGCCCACTTGCTCGATCATCAAGCTTGCTGCTACATTGCCCCACTTGGATGCCTCGATCACATCTCCTGTCCTGACGAGTCCGACTGCCAATCCGCCTAGGAAGCCATTGCCTCCACCCGTTGGGTCGACAACCTTGTCTGGAGACGATGCGTGATAGGCTGGAAGCCATACCTGCTTGTCCGACGATGCCACGTAGCATCCGTCCTTGCCAGACCTTACGACGACTGATAATCTTCGTGCTCGCTCACTAGACAAGCTGGATAGCAGTTTCGCGCTGCATGATTCGATGACTTTTCGGTCTACGAGTCCAGAGTCCGCGTTTCCGACGACTGAGAAGAGGTCTGAAAGTTCTGCATGGTTTGGACTGATGACATCGATATGCTCAAGTGCCTTGATGGTGTTGCCCAGTTCTTCGGGTACGCAGAGGTCAGGTACCGGCTCCCATATGAACACAGGGCGGTCTAGAGACTGTCCAAGCTCGGCCCTTCGAGATCTGATGGTCTGGACCAAGTCGACACAACGAGCTGGAGCGCAGATCAAGTGGAAGGATCTTGCGGTCAGTAAGTGGGGTGACAGGTCGTCTGCAGTGATACGAAGCTTGGGCGTTAGATATTTGAAGGCTGCTACTAGGTTTAGCAGAAGCAAGGCTGGAAGGAAGACTCAAAGATACCGCGATGTTCATTGGCGCCATAACCGTTCCAGCCTTTGGTTGTCAAGGCGTCGCGCGATCTGATGAGGACGGCAGTGTCCCAAGAATTGATCGTATCACGTAATGAGTTGGGAAAGTCATGGCCGGCGTCCACGACCCAGCCAACTCTCTTGGACTGAGGAGATGGAGACAACAAACGAGCACCCAAAGCGCTGTAAGTTCCGGCACCACCAGGGATATTTACAAAAGGAGTCTGGTCAGCAGCAGATGGGGCAGGGTAGATGTCATCTGCAATCAGATGACTTAGCAGGGGCATGTGTTGAGCGTAGTCGAGTGTTCGGCATAAACAGAGGGCTTATCTGGGCCCATGACAGACAGAGAAGGACAAATCAAACGACTTACCAATGATGAACATGCCCGTGGTGCAGAAATCAATGGGATGCGACATGGTTGCAGCAAGATGCCAAGAGGCTTGAGATGTTTGTGGTTCTCTTGCGATGACGAGCATGTTGAAGTGGCTTGTCGCTCTGTCTGGCTCGTGCATTGAATTGGCGGAGTGGCAGGCCGGGGCTCCAACAATAGCATCACCTTAGCATCCTCAAACTCCCTACTCCTCCCTCTCCAATTCACGTCTTCAGCATGGCGACGACTACGAGCAACCTCGGCATGCACAACCTCACGACGCTGATTAAGCGGTATGTTTGGCGACTTCCTCTGGCTCCGAAGCACACGTCCAACTGACGCTCGTCACCAGACTCGAGGCTGCGACATCCCGTCTAGAAGACATTGCTACCTCGTCGGCCTCGTTTGACCAGCCCAGGCACACGGTCGCCGATGTTGGAGCCACTCATCTGCCCGGCTCTTCCAGCGCCCCCGAGCTCCCTGGTATCGCAAGAGATGCCTCTGAAGCTGCCCCTCCACCACCACCACCCGCCGCCCCGACCTCAACTCTCCCTAAGCCTGTCCAGGAGATGGACAAGCTGATGGACGAGCATGTCGCCAACTTTGTATCGTCTGCCTCGGGTCTGGACAAGAACATTGAGAGCCAGGTACAGACATGGTATGAAGCACACTCAAGCGCCGCCATTGACCCCCTTGCAGGCCCACGCCGTCTCTCGTGCCTTTGCTGCTCAGCGCCAATACCTCGTCGTAGCCAACAAGGCAAAGAAGCCTGACATGACTTCGCCCGCCTTCTCGGAGCTCATCAAGCATCTGCAGCAAGAGATGGGCACTGTCAACGACATCAAGGACTCGAACCGCGCCTCGCCCTTCAAGGATCAACTCAACATGGTCGCCGAAGGCATGGGTGGCCTACAGTGGGTCGTCTTCGAGGGCAAGCCTGCCGACTACGTTGGCGAGATCCTGGGTGGTGTACAGCTGTTCGGCAACAGAGTGCTCAAGGAATACAAGGAGAAGTGTGTCTCGATCATCCGCCTGCTCTCGAGCCAATCACAAGACTGACTCTTCTGCAGGGATCCTAAACACGTCGCATACGTTCAGTCATACTACGCCATCTGGAAGAATCTCCAGGCCTACATCCGCGCCCACTACCCCGCTGGTGTCACTTGGAATCCTCAAGGCATGGACCTCGCAAAGGCCCTCAAGGACGCTCCAACCGATTCTGCTCCGCCCTCACAATCTGCTCCCGCTCCACCTGGTGGTGCAGGAGGTCCTCCTCCACCTCCACCTCCGCCGCCACTTCCCACTTTCGACAACGCTCCCCCTCCTCCACCACCGGGTCCAGCCCCCGCTGCTAAGTCTGCTGGTGGTGATATGGGTGCTGTTTTCGATCAGCTCAACCGAGGCGAATCCGTCACCTCTGGCCTGAGGAAGGTTGACAAGAGTGAGATGACACACAAAAACCCTTCATTGCGTGCTGGCTCTACCGTCACCGACCGGAAAGAAAGTCAAGACGGCATCACACGCAGCCGTAGTAGGGGTCCTGAGCTCAAGCCCAAGCCCGACAGCATTCGTGGAAAGGGCATTGCTCAGCCTACACCCAAGAAGGACCCCAAGAAGGAGCTCGATGGCAACAAGTGGATCATCGAGAACTTCGAGGACGCTGACGCTCCTATCGAAATTGACGTTTCCGTCACTCAATCTATTCTCATCACAAAGTGCAAGAACGCTACCATTCGCCTTGTTGGCAAGGCCAACGCCATCAGTATCGACAACTGCATACGCACCAATCTCGTCATTGACGACCTCATCTCGTCAGTGGATGTCATCAAGTGCCCCAACTTTGGTCTGCAGGTTCTTGGTAGCCTTCCTACCGTCATGCTCGATCAGGTCGACGGTGCCTCTATCTACCTCTCAAAGGACAGTCTGAATACTGAGATCTACACATCCAAGTGCGCCAGTATCAACGTCAATCTACCCCCTCAAACTGAGCAGGACGATTACAAGGAGTGCCCCCTTCCTGAACAATTCCGTACCTTCATCAAGGACGGTAAGCTTGTGAGCGAGATTGTTGAGCACGCCGGCTAGATGCATCATACACTTGTTTGAGCAGAGGCAGAGACTTGGGATATTTTGTAGGATAGATAGCGCTGCCTTCTTGGCAGGATTGACAGCAAGCGCAGATCTTGGAGCATGTCCTATCTCATTAATCACTTGGTCGCGTGTTATTGTATAGTTTGGTTAAACGACTTGTCTCCATTTATGAATGGCCGCTGTAGTGAGGCCTTACCCGGTATGCACGCCTGGATGTAAGGGAAGCGAGTGAGAGCAAGTTTCACTGCAGCCAATGTCATACCGTTGGTTCAAAGTCTCTATCCAGATTGTCTCTAGGAGCAACAAGTGGTGTGGCCTCTTCATGCAAGATCGAAAAAGACGATCAATCAGCTTATGGGTGACACCGCCAGGGTCATACCATCAGCGATAGATCGCCAGCATCATATCCACATGGTCTCATAACATATGAGCCTTTGGGCCGACTAATTCTGTCTTGAGCTCATTGGTATTGGTATAATATCCCTCTGGACGTCTTGTAAGATTGAAACCATACCGCGGCGAGGAAATCGAGTGTCGTTCGTAGGTTTGTCCAACTGGAAGCTTTCAGACTGCCAAGTATCACATCCTCATATTTGCAGTTGCAGTAAGTTCAAATGTCAAACAGTCCCAGGTGAATGGAGCCTTTGCATGCTTTATCATCAGCCGACATGGCTTAGGGGATAGAATTCGGCGAAGAGAAGACAGAGTGGGCAATTACGAGCTTCTCTAAGCTGACTGTCAACGATCGTCAGACTTTGTCTTGCTTGAGCCATAGTGCAATGATGCATCCTCGTTTGTCGCTACCATGGAATGGGTGACCTCTATCGACTGCGATGATTTGTGCGAGCAGGTTTGGAACAGGCCCGCCTGCAACCAGATGACCGAATATGCTCGTCTCGAGTGTCACTTGCCTATTCTGTATAGACCTCGAGTGAGTCCGGGCGAGTATATAAGCAAAAAGAGAAGGTCAGTCATCTCATACAGACTTCTCATCAACAAAAGCTACCGGCCCTGCATATCCAACAATCCACCACTGTAAAGTTACCGAGTGAAGTACAGTATTACTCAGACCACATGTGACATGTTTACGGTTCACCTGCTCTCAAGCTTCGGCCGACGTGACTCGACCGGTTGATCGGGTGGAGTGCTGGTGACATCCAAGAGGTTGTTTTGCTACTACTCTCGTGTGCAAACGAGGTCCAGCAGCCGCCGATGTGAATCCAGCCCTCTTCCGAAGATATGCACATAGTCCGGGACAGTGTCAAACAACAGGCTGGCTGAACCGAGAAAAGACTGGAAGACCAGAGACCAGAAACTCAACAAAGCGACGTTGTTCGAGCCTTGGCTAAAGGGCCGCAAAGAGGCAAAAAGTCCGGCTTCCAATTCCGAATGATGGGATCTTCTTGGATCCGCGGCTTGTAGTTCGTGACCATGACCCGGTGGACCGTTTGTGGTGCAGCTTCTCAAGGTTCCAATGGCCCCACGCATAAAATCGACAGCAGTTGGAGTTTCGACAGACTTGCCCGGCGGGGCGTAACTCCTACTCGCGTGCGTGCGATGTTGCAGTTCTTCCGGAAGGCGCAATCTTCGTGACCGTGTCATGCTTTGCAGCCAATCGACCATGTTATCTAGGTCTCTTGGCTACAGTCTGACTCGTGAACCGAGACGTTTTCGGGGCTGCCGTCGAGCCTCCTGGTTCTCTAATGTCCACTGCATATACATTCTCAACAACTACCTTTCTTCCAGCCTCGCACATTTCCAATGTCATTCGATCTACGCCCCTCGCAAGCATTCCTCCGTGATCGAATTATCGTCGGTATCGGACCGAGCCCCTGTAGTGGACTTTCCGTTTCAGCATTACGAAGGCTCAAATGAGAAGCGACTCGCCTATAACCTTTATCATGTTCTGTAGGCGCGTGCAGACCAGGGCAGAATATATTGACATGCATAGATTGTCTCATCGCTCGAGAGCTGAGGGACTGAGCCTCGTGCAGTATCTGTGGGGTATACTATACAACGATCTTCTTCACGGCGTTGCCATTAGACAATGAGTATGGTCACTGACCTTCCACGGAACGGTCGACGAGATCGAGGGGAAGCTTCGAAGTTGTGGCCTAAGGACCAGCCAGCACAGATCAGAGCACAATGCGAGGTGTTCGGGCTCAAGCATGCTATGCTGAAGAGCTCTCGATTCAATACCCGGCTGATCCATCATGCGAGCGTGCAACATGTAGGTATCAATTTGGGACTTCCATGGTCTCCTGTGCCAGCTCAAGCAAAATATACGCGAGTTGGCCTGCTTGTCCAGCATGATATCCAGTCATTGCCAGTCTGGACATCGACTCTTCTCGCTTAACATTGTCTGCCAATGCCGACTGTTGCAAGCGCGCAGGAGGATATCATCACACACAGCGCCACTACGTCTCACCGCTCTTGCCGCTGGATGTTCGAAGTGGGACCGTCGGTACAATAGACTTGTTCAGGTCTCCTAGAGAAGTTCGCAATACACTAGACAGCTGAAAGGATGCTTTGGGGATTTCTCTAGATTGCATAACCAAGCAAGTGCTGAGACATTCTTTGCGAGCATCAGGATTGCCTTCTCTAAATGTAATCATGGTACGTGGTCGAGGATGATTTGCACGCCCGTGAGAATTCGGTATTGGGAGTTGGCAGTGCAGGGATCGACGCACTGGCAATTTGTGGCCACACACAAGCTCGAGTTTCATGAATCATGGCACCAAGTACTTGTTCACGAACTCATCAGGGACTTCGTACAGGTTTCGGCAAGACTGAGCATTGACCAAATTGCTGATTAGATCAGAAGCTCGATCCCTTGTAGAGTAATATCTCCACGGATAACGACGTGTGCATGTCTGGAATTTGCAGTGTAACTGGAGGGCCAGCCGGAGTGTGGGATGGTAACCCTCAACCGCCAACTTATCTGGCCCGCGATCTTACCCATGTCCTCGACAGACTGTGATTCTGGTGAGCCATTCCCATCGTTGGGTGCTTTGGAGTCGATTGATCCGATGGGTACTGCAGCACCGGTATCGACTGACTTTGATTCTCAGGACGAGTAAAGCGATACAAATACGGCGTAAGCTCGTTAATTCTTTGAGAAGCATATGCGCTCGTCAGATTCTTCCAGTTTTGCAAGCCAGGAGTGTTGGAGCTCTCTTCGAATGACCTTAACACTGCATGTTTCCTCGTAGGGTTATGGCACACACATCGTCTCGAGCGCTTTGTTGGTTGCATGTGATAGATGAGGTGGAAAACAAATGTGTGTTGACAACATGTGAAAAGAGGTGAGCTAGGCTAGCCGCTTAGCAGCTTATCTTGTTGTGTCTAGTGTGATCCACGTCTTGTACTAATGATGATCGAGCAAACAATGCGACTTCGGCGAACTGGCGCTTTGGCTTGCAGCCGCCTCTGCAAAGGACGTCGGTCGGTCTTGCGGATATAACTAGTCAGTGGGACTTCCAGTCGATCATAACCGCTCAACAGTTCATTTCCGAACCATAAGACCTTCACTCGGTCGGTGCCGGAGCCGATTCCGACAGTCGTTTGGAGGCCCTGGTGTAGATGATGAGACGGCAAACCAGATGTGGTTAGGCTTGGAAAATGGTATACTTACCCAGGTTCCAACTGCGTCACGGTCAAAGACTTACCCGTTGTCCATTACAATGACGTGCTTAGCGTCCTGGAGCAAGTGCTATCACCGAGATGTCCAGCTTCTCGACGAACAAGCACTTAGCCAAACCACAGCAGTTGCTGCTCTGATAATCTCTTGATTCGTTTTCCGTCCTGTCCGGGTAACATGATCCATGTTACTTTAGACTCCCATCACGACGATGCGGAGCAAGATAAAGCCTGTAACAAAATAGGGAGGATTACTTCCGAGATCAAAGAGAAATTCGGCGTAGCGATGTTTCTTAACTGGTGTCATGTCTCGTACAGTTTGTTCCTCGATGCAGCAATACGCATGACAGATTCTGGCACTGGGCAAGAGACCGACAAGTCTCAGAGTGATAAGTTGAACGGCGTGCGGACCGAGATTTGGAGTACCAGTATACATGTAGACCCGACATCAGAGTGTCTCTGCCGTCCACAGCTGATGGATCTGCATTCATCCGTCTTCGAGGCGTACGTATTATTATTCGGGCTCTCGAGAACCATATGGTGCGAACTTTGAATGTCCCTACTTTCTTGTAAAATCGGCCGACGCATGCAGGTGGCTGCAAAAGAAATTTACCCAACGCGTCTCGACTCTTGAGTCTCGCGAGACACACGCTCAAGCCATGTGTGGTTGCTGGCCAGACTGCCAGATTTCCTCATGCTTGGCGACGCGGCTTTGTATTATGCAGCACAACACAAATCGATTGTCTCGACCAGCGCCGCAGGCTGTTCTCGCACTTGCAACACGGTTGTAAGAATGCATCACATCTCAGAGACGCAACCTCCATCTTAAAACCCTGTCACGATCTGCCACGAGTGCTTTCTGTCGATATCAAGCTTGCCCTAGATCGCAGACTCTAAGACAGGACGTTGCACCATGCTTCGAGGTGTGGCTGAGTGGTTGGATTACACTAGTCTGTCAAACCTCGACAACGCCTATTCGTCAACTGTCTTGGAAGAACCGCCTGGCCGAATCTTACTTCATGAAGATGTACGAGCAACGGAAGATCAAGCAAGATATTACAAGATAGCAGTCATGTAGAGCAGCCATGGAAGGATGGCACGCTAAATCATCGCATGCCCTATCGTCACTCTGCACCGTCAGAGCATAGTGTGGTAACCTGAAATGGGTGCGTATCAAAAAATTGTATGCACAAAGTAGGACATGCTATCAGGGACTTGCGAGTACCCAGCTCATAGCCGCCGGAAGAGGCCTAAACCCGGATCTCAGATTGACTGCCAAAACCATCGTCAAACGGCGTGACCTAGCCGCGCTCAGTCGGCACCATCGGATATAGCTGGCAGGATTCAGTCGCCAAGGGATTCCATACCGCGAATCATCAAGTCAATTTCAAGACGACATGGAAGGCTTTTGACACTCACTGGTCGGTATCTGCTCTTGACAAGATAGAGCTGACAGTGGCTTTTCATCAATCGCATCGAATCTCAAGCGGGATCGTTCCTCGTATACTGTGAATGCGTGCAGATCATTGCTCTATGGATCACACTAGCCTACAGGCAGGCTCAACGTGCCCGGCTCCAGATGGTCAAGAACAGCTCAGAAAGCAGAAAGTTTGCAATCCGATAGCACCACGGCCCATACCTGCAGATCTCTGTTCACCTGAATGGCCCTCGTTCAACCTTGCAAACTGCGTCAAATGTTGGCAACGAATGTCATCGAGTCGTTCCAAGCCCTGTCGGCCCCTTTCCGCTTGCATGAACCCAAAGGGTTTGGGGTCCATCACATGTTCCAAATAAATACCTTATTATTCAACTGCCGGTCGATCGTCAACGATTCGTAGAGTTTCGTCGGCGGCGCAAGCGAAAATACCGAGAAATGCAAGCCACCCCGCAAGGGCGCCGTTGGTAGGTTTAGGTGTATGTAATCCTTTCAAGCCACGCGTACCTTGGGCAGAAGACCAGTGCCGGCTGAGTCGACGCAGTTCTTGACTATGCCTTTCAGTCATGATGGGAACGTTCCATCGCAGCTTCCCTTTTGTGGGTCCTCGAGCCGCATCTTTATCCATCTGTCCTACTCAATCGGAACTTGATCACTCGTGCCAACCATTGGTCCAATCTTGGTTCATAACCTGCAGACCCTTTTCCGCCATCATATCGAGTTGAGAAGCCTTGATCCCCCTTCGAACAGTGTCAACAAACATTACACACCATCTGTAGAGGTCGTACTCAGCCCTAGCATCGGCTTTGTGGCAGGGGTGATCAGAAGTGATTGGCAAGAGCCAGAGCCAAGACGTTCATGCCCTGGTGTCGTTAAACGAGCTCAGACTTTCGAACAAACCATCGGATCTGGACTGCACGCATGGTTCTTTAAGACGCCCGACGTCAGCTGGTCATTGGCGTTCGTACGGTGGCAGGTGCTTCTGTGCGAGCGACGACCTTGGGCAACTACCCCAATCTTACAGGATCAAACACGAGAAATACCCCGATAGTCGACAAAGTAACAGGCGCGAATGTCTTCGGCGACGATGCATGATGGGCACTCTGGACGGCTGCAGAATAAGATAGCGGTGTAAGTGATTGGCAGATTCTTCTAGCAAGATGGCTCGCTCCAATGATCCTATCCAAAAGCTGACGGAGAACAGCGTCACAGGTTCATCGTCAGGAATTGGTCGAGCGATTGCACTCAGGTTTTCGGCCGAGGGTGCACATGTCGTGTGCGCTGACTCGGAGTCATCGTCGGATAGCGACAGCGATTCGAGTGATAATGCTACTCACAACGCAATACTCAGGACCGGCGGCACTGCGATATTCGTCAGCACGAACGTCGCATGTAGCCAGGAGGTACAGAATTTGGTGCAAACCACCGTCTCTCATTATGGTCGACTCGATATGTGAGCTCAAACTCGCTCTCACGTGAATGTCGTATTCGCTAACGTCTTCGTGTCACAGATTCGTCAACAATGCCGGAGTCACCTTCGATCTAGAGACACTACAACCTATCTGGACCGCAGACGAGAATTTGTGGGATGACATACAACAGGCGAATTCGAAGGGCGTCTTTCTTGGTTGCAAGTATGCATCGAGGCAGATGCTCAGTCAAGATGCACATCCGAACGGTGATCGTGGCTGGATAGTCAACGTCGCGAGTATCTTCGGACTGGTGGGGACGAGCAATTTCGCTAGCTATTGTGCTTCCAAGGGTGCAATAGTCAACATGACGAAGGCGGTCGCGTTGGATTGTGCTCCTCACAGGATCCATGTGAATTGTATCTGTCCTGGATGTGAGTACGGAGATGTGTGGGGTATCTGGGGTGCACCAATGTATACTGACGATGGATACAGGGACTTCAAGCCAAATGACAAGCGAGCTGATGATGGACGACGAAACGCAAGATCACATAATCAGCTTGCATCCATTTCGTGGATTGGGTATCCCGGATGACATTGCACGCGCGGCTGTGTTTCTGGCTTCAGAGGATTCTTCGTGGATAACAGGAGTATGCGCCATGACGCACATGCTGGCTATTGCAGAATATGTGCTGACCATTTTGCAGGTTGCGCTGCCAGTCGATGGAGGATATACCGCTCGATAAGAGGGTCCAGATGTGGCGCCCCCATAGCTCCAGGAGAGGTGCCTCTGTGCCAGCCTCAGGACCTAGTCTCGAATACAACAACGATAAGCTTAAATGGGTGCTGGAAATAGAAGAGTCGGGATCCAGAACTTAGAGGAAGCACGAATAGAGTTGAGATTGGAAGCATAATACCCTCGGTTCCTTATTTTCGCTCGTCACCGGAAAGCGTCTCCTTCGTTGTGGCCGTGGTGGTATCTTTCGCCGGGCCTAATACCGCGGACGCAGCTTCGATGTTTCTCTGGACTTGTGCCGCAGACGCAACCTCAATGCTCTGCTCGACTTGTGCCACAGCTCTCTCGATCTCGAGCTCCATACCCGGAAGGCCAAATTGTTCGGCTAGCAGTTTGCCATTCCATCGTTTGAGTAGCATGACATCAGCCACGTCAGTCTTGGTCTTTTGTGCGACCAGGTCAGCAACCTCTTGACACTCGGCTTCTGACGGTTGACTCGCTTTTCTGGAGTGTTCTCGAGAAGGCTGTATCAAGCCTGCAACGTATAGATCATCCAGAGCCTTTGACGGAGACATTGTTATTAACGACTCCTTGCTGTTGATCAGAGCCTCTAGATATTTCGAGCCGTATAGTGCTAAGAGATAGTCAGCAAGCTGCAATTTTGCGAGATTGATCATCTGGCCAGGTTGACAGAAAGCTGACAGACTGACCTTTGAAGTGTGACCATGCGCGAAACCCGAGGTAGAGACCCGGGATATTCGGAATGACGGGCAGGAGTCCTACAGGGATCGTGAAGGGCAAGCCGATCAGACTGCCCCAGAACCTCTGTTTGTGCAAGCCTTGTCTCTCTGTAGCAAGAGTTCTCAGAACTTCCGGCACCTTTTTCTGATCCAAGAAGCGGCCAGGGAAGACTATCTCAGTGGGCGTAAGATCGGCAGTAGATGATGGCAAGGTCTTGAGACCCCATTCCTCGTAGGAGATGCGGTTGAAGACGACGTTGCCGTAATCGGTAAGCTTCTTCTTGTATTTGTTTGGCGAGTTTTCCCATGATGCCCACGTCTCGTTTGCTTTGTTGACGATCCGGTCGTGGTACGATAGTTTTCCAGTGGTGGTGACTTGGGTTGCGACTCGATCGCAATAGATGAGCGTGCGCCGCGTCGAGATGGGGAGAAGGAACAGTCTCATGGTGGGTAATGAAACGTCGAAGCAGTTGCTCGTGAAGTCGTGGCGCGTGTGAGCTGGGCGCTGTTGACGATGCGAATGAGAAAGCAAACAGAGTCGCGAAATGCGTTTGTATCAATTGAATGACGTCTGGGCGGCTTAGTTCTGCGTGGCTGAGCTTCGTGGCTTATACAAGGACCAGACCCTCGAAAAGCCCGGTTAATCTATCTGATGACCACTCGGCATTGGCCTGCAGACGGCCATGTTTTATTCTCCATGCCGATCGATTCTCTTCCATGTCATGTGAAGTAGATCTGGAGACATTCAATTTGAGTCGATGATGTTGTCCAGAAAAAGATGGCTGTGAAGAACAGACACGCCTAGAAGAACAGAAATAGATACACGAACGTAAGGATGGCATAAATGATTACAAAGGAACATGCTGTTGTGTCTTTCCTCGCTAACGAAGACGCTCCACCACCCTGAGTACACTAATAATAAAAGTAAAAAGCCATGCCATCAGAGCAACAACCAAAACGCCAGACAGACCTTGCTGTGAGCGACATATACGAGGAGAAGCGGGACAATTTGACAGCTGAGATTCGTTGTGATCAAAGCAAGCCCAACGAGGGTCGTCCAATGCGTCCAGAGCTAGGGACAAGTTTGATGAGTAGAAGACGATGAATAACAGGTCGACTAGAAGAAGCGAGACTTTGGCGGTGGCGCTTCGAAGTCCAAGTCTGTTACAACAGTAGTTAGGGATAGATGCTCAGAAGACTGGTCAGAGAGAGGCTGCTTACGGTTTGCTCAAGTATTCATCCCATGTGATGTAGCCGATATATGGCACGGCGATGCTGTCCAAGATGATGGCCATATAAGTCGAGGCGCGCTTGGTACAGGGACCGTTGCCCTGGCGGTAGACTGCGTTGGCTTCGTGAAACACTCTGGCGCCCAAGCCTAGCGCGGCGACAGTAAAGGTGAGAACAAGAAGACGGAAGACAAGAGGAACAAAAGGATTCTTAAGAATGATACGCTGCGGACATGTTAGAGAAGGCAGGAATCATGTGCCGGGAATCTGAATACCTTGATGGTCGCAAAGGTCTTTGACCGTCTCTCTGGTGTAAACAACCACAGACCTTTTGTTTTCTCCGAAGCCTTCTCAGGCTCGGCAGCAGTCCAAGTAGTAGTGAGGTGAGGCATATTTTCATCCATCCAGGCGTCAGAGACCAGTCTCGCTCCAGGAACACCTCTCGGTTGGGGCCCCGACATCATGTAAGGAAGCCATCGCTGCTGGTTGGTGTCTATGGGTTGGTCCAACAGCGGAGGCTCAGCAGAGCGTATGTGGTCCCACTTTCGGCCAGGGGCCTTGTGCTGAGTGGGCGGTGCGGGAAGATAGTGATGGGAGGCGGGTACGGTATTGGCAAGAGGAAGAAGGCGCTGTGTCTGGTGGTCGACCGACTCATCATCACTGTCGTCTTCGGTTTGGACCCATGGCGGTATGGAGCGGACAACGCGGTTGTCGGCCGACGACGAGTCGCGATGGACGTGATTGGAAGCGTTCAAAGTTGAGGATTGAGAGTCGGGTGCTTGATTCGATGCGGAAGCAGGGAAGCCCTGGAACGGCTGCATCGCCGGGCTATGGCGACGGCGAGGACGAGGACGAGCTGTATGGGGTCTTGGTGGCTGTGGCTGCGGCTGGTGCTGCTGGTGCTGCTGGTGATGTGTAGTAGATCGAGCGGCTTGACTATGTTACAATGGTGACACGACGCGACATGGCCGCACTCAGATACACCCAGACATCAAGCGATTTTGCGCGATGAGGAAATGCTACAAAGAAGAGTTACACACTTGCTCAAAGGCCCGCCAACAAACTCCCAAACACTCATCATCGTCCAGCCTTCGGGAAGGTAAAACTGCCGCGCCAAGCCGAACCAAGTTGGCAGATGATCTATGTCATTCAAGACTTTTTTGCAGCCGCGAATATCCAGCGAATTTAAACCTGACCCTCCATTGTCCGCTGGCCTAGCAGTTATGCCTTGACTGTTACGTGAGAATGATCTGCCCACCTAGGTACCCAAGCCGTGTCTGCGAACGTCGCGTCCATGTTCAAGAATCCGCCGCTATGAGGTCAGTAGATGCATCCCGCAATTTCCGAAACGACATTATTTGAACCTTGACGCTCCATCAATTACATGTTGTAACGAGTTTGAGAGCGTGGCAGCGATTATGTTGAGGGTAAGAATGCATGAATTTGCCATGACTTGAAGATGAAATAATTACTGAATGTTCCGTGGTATCTACTGCGTCTCTTGAACCTGTTCCATAATGACGCGCGCCTTGTGAATGAGTTTTTTTTTCTAGTGCTCGAGAAGTCTCAAGCTACCCTGGACAACAACGTTCTCGAGGATGGAACCTGGGGGAATATCGATGGTCTGGCCCTCACTGGCAACAATGATGACAGTACCCTTGCAGGTGACGCCACGACCGAGGTTGACAGGACCGGTGATGGTCAAATGGTCGAGCTCGAGGATCTTGGGAATGCTAGGAATACGGCTTTGGAAGCTGGAAACCTTCTTGAAGTCACCGCCAAGTTTGATGAGAGGGGCGGGGCCGAAGCGGTTGGGGTCCATGATCAGCTGGCCGTGCTTAAGGGTGTACAAGTCAGACTTGACCAACATCAGATCGGAGCAGGTCTTGACAGGGAGGAAACGACGACGGGGCACGTTGACACCGTGTGCGTTGTGGAAGTGGCGGATGGCGGCACCGACGGCTGTCTCGAGCTGGACGATGCTGACATCGGCCTCGCCCTTCTTGTCGGCGGGGATCGACTTGCCGTTGGGGATGATCTCCATGGCAAGCTCGTTGTTCTCGACGATACGCTTGACCGCGCGGAGGTTCATCCAGATGTTGTTAGTGTTGAAGTATTTGAATTTCTTGATTGACTTGAACTCGTTGACGTGCTCCTTGGGAACCTGGGCAATCTCGAGGAGACGGGCTTGGCCCTCGTAGTCAATGATGGTACCACCCTTGACGTCGGCCTTGGTCTTGTCAGTCAGCTCCATGATGTACTCAGCCTTGGTGTCGACCATGTGCTGGAGGATCTTGAGGTCAACGACAGCGCCGAGGTTGTCGGCGTTGGAGAGGAAGACAATCTCGACACCACGCTCGAGGAGTTTGTCGAGGATGCCGGAGTTGTAAAGCGACTCGAAAACGTCACCGTGACCGGGAGGGTACCAGTCGGAGATCTGGGAGTTGGCCGACTTAGGAGCAGGCAGGAGCGAGTCCTTGAGGATGCGGGGGTATCTTGACTGGTTGAATGTCATGATGTCGATGTTGTGGCCCTCGTACTTCTTGATGATGCTGGCAGTGTCGGCATCGGTGTTGAACGAGTTCATCAACACGAAGGGAACGTTGACACCGTAGGTGCGGTTGAGGTACTCGATCTGTCTGACCGAAAGGTCGAGGAAGGACATACCGTCGCGGACCTCGATGACTGACTTGGGGCCGACACAGCCCATCGAGGTACCGAGACCACCGTTGAGCTTGAGGACGGCGAGCTTGTTGAGGAAGTCAACGGACTCCTGCTGGGGCAGGTCCTCGTATGCGACGACCTGCTCGGGCTTTGGGGGAGCGATGCGGGACCACTCGATCTCGTTGCCCTTGGCCTTGTCGTTGAGGTATCTGCGGAAGAGGGCAAAGAAGTTGTCCATCTCGGTCTCGAAGCGCTGTTTGGCTGTGTCAGATCATTGAAAATCCCCGTCCAGGTCTGTTAAACTTACCTGCTTCTCAGCAGGATCGGTAACCGAATCGCAGAGGTTGTTCAAGGCATTGCGCATCTGCGAAGCAGCAACTGAGGTCGAGGTGTTCTCAAAGGCCTTTTTGGAGCAATTAGTGACGCTTCAAGAGTGAAAGCACGAGCTGGCGGCTTCTTTGACTGCGACGGCAGGCCGTGCGGGACTCGAGGACACGAGGCCATTTGTGCGGGTGAGGTCAGAAAACTCAAGCAGCGAAGTGGAGGTCAACTCATCCACGTCAGCTCATTTGAAGCCGACCATAGCGTGGATGGAGGTTGCGCATCCACTGTGCACTTCCAGGAGCTCTCTGCACCCACACAAAGACACGGTGTCCAGAGCGACAGTCATTGCCAACTCGTCGAAGGAAATCAACGTACGACGTGAGATTGGGTCTTGCCGTGGTGTCTCTTCTCGAATTCAGCACCGCCGTTGGGCTTCAAGTGGGTTGCCATCTCGGAGGCCATTGTGTATGATGTGAAACTGAATTGAACTTCGGGCTCGAGTGTTAGAAACTGCTCACGGAGACAGGGAACGAGCGATTGGCAAAGCTTACAAAAGGTCAACTCAGGGAAAGGTGAAAGGGAGGAGGGAAGAGAGGAAAGGAAGACGGCTGAAACGATTATGTCGGATCATCGACTTTATAACCTGCCAGCTCCGCCTTGGGTTCGGGGCAACGACACAACAATAAATTCTTAGCGGAATCAATCACAGCCTTGTCAGAATCGGGTTACAGAGCTACACTAACGCCAAGTCTACTTTCCCCGCCGCAGCACGTTGAGAGTCGAGCTTCAACAACTTGGAGCTGTGACAAGGGGCTGGGCGAGTTATTATTGGACGGCGAAAAAGCATTTCGACAATCCTCTGTTCGAGACACTGTCTCTTGACGTAGTCATGCATCGTCGCAACGGCTGTATGTGTTACTCAGACTGCTTGCTTCTTTTGAGAGGCAATGGCCGTTGGGTGAAAACGTCTACACCGCGAAACGTGAATACAGAACACGAGTGCGCGCAACACCGCAAATAAACACCACTGCGGTGATAAGTAGACAAAGCTCCACCTTGGTAGCCTCAGGAAGTTCACGAACTGATCCGACCGAGATTAAAGTGGAACATGGGGATGTCCAAGCGTCTTCCATTGAGGACAAGTTCCCTACCAGCTTCTGGAAGGGCTGAACTGTAACTCAGCAGGCCACTGGCTAAGGCGAAAGCGAGAGACACGTCGTGAAAAGAGCCGAGTTCCAACGAGCGTGGAAAGCTGAGCTTCTCCCAACCAACAGAAAAACTCCAAGAACACGATTTCCATACCTCTCTACTCTACGAAAGCTGAGCCGTAACTTGAAACTCGGGGGTTCCAGGGCGATCGACAGGACCGGGCACGGCTTGTGCGTGCGCGGCTGCCGTCCGCCACGGACCGTTGCTATTCTAGTGATGAGCGAGCTCACCCTGAGTTGTATGTGGCGGACGTCAACGAGTGGCTTGCCTTCTGGACTGCTGATGTGGCAGACACATGAGCTGCAAGCCTCTCACCAATGTGATGCACAATAGACGGTTGGGCGCGGGAGAAGACAGAGTTGCGGCAGGCACTCGGTTGAGCCCGCGAGGTGGCTTGTCCGAACTCTGCAGCTGTTCTTCGTTTTCGTTTTCTTGTGTATTGAAAAGTCAAATGGGCACAGAATGTGATTGCACCTGAGCGCGATCAATGTATCGTGCTAGGATTGGAGAGAGCAATGTCCGATAACACACGGTGTTAGGTCTCCCTTTCTATATCGAGCATCACTAATCAAACTGGGTATCTTTGTCGACCTCACCTGCAGGAACGCTTCGCTACCATCAATAAAAGGGTGTGCAGAAAGTCATGCAGGAACTAAAACTCAATTCAAGCCTCCAAGCCGAACAGAGGCCCACCTGTAGTGCCAATGCAAACTAGGAAGATATCCGTCATCGTACTTTGCTCATGACTGTCTCCATGCCTCTCTCGACCTCGACTTCAGCTGCTCGTGCTTTGACGAGTCCAATCAAGGATCTGTCGCAATCATCACGGGTCCTCAGCACAGCCTCAACCCAGCCAATCTGTAGGTCCCAGTTCTCTCTTTTGAACTGTTCGTACGCGTCCGCAACTGCAGGTCCTTTATCGGCATTGAGCAGCTCGACGAAAGCGTTGACGGCTCTCCATTTGTCCTTGATGGCGGGGAAAGAAGCCTCTTGAGTCGAGAAGAAGTTGAACACGGTCAGAACATCGTCCTTGATCTTCTCATTGAATGGATCTCCACGTCGGAATTTGACTCCGCGATTGCGGATAGCTGATAAATATCGGACCAGCAGTTCGTCGGCAAGTTCTTCGACAAGAACGTCTCTTAGTGAAGGGTGTAGAACATCGGAATAATCGGCCAGATAATCTTCAAATGTGGAGATGATCTGAGCCATGGTCTTCTTGTTGTACCAGGCCGGAGTGAAGAATTCGGCAAGTATACCGCGAAAGTCCACCGAGAAAATGAGCGCCGTGAACAGAGAGATACAATGTGTGCCGAGATCAACATAACCATCACGTAGAGTGTCAAGCTCGGTGTTGGAAGAGAGAGCGTACGCTGGCGTGACCATCGACTCGTACTCACGTCTGAAGGTAGTCAAGTAAGAGACTTGGCCGTGGTCTTCTTGGTCGTCAATACAAGCAATCTGGTCGTTCGCAATTGCGACAAGCCAGTCTTGTAGCGGTTGTAAGCCATCTTGCTCGACATGCGGCACGACAGGCGAAGTGTACTTCTGAGTTTCCGCATCGATAAGTTGCTGCCACATTGACCGTCTTGATTGAAGAGCACGCATCATGGATTCAACAACACCTTCAACGACGTCAGGTCGATCGGAAGATGCTGCGACAGTGAGTTGCTCACGGAGCATACGCCACAGATCGCCCAGAGTCTTGGTACGAAGATGGCCTTCGGCGTCTGTATCGAGCGTATTCTCTTTGCGCTCCAAGAAAGTTTGTTGGTCGGTGGTCGACATACGGTCCATCCATTGTTCGACAGCATTGGTAATGAGTGTTCGGTATTCACGGATGATGTCTGCTTCTCTGTCATCGATGACATGCGGTTGAAGCTGATCTGAAGGCACACCAAGCTTGTCCATCTTTGCATAGTATTTGTTGACCCAGTGAACGATGGCCAACATGTGAGGAGGATTGAGCTGGTCGTCCTGCACTTTAGACATGAGGAAGTCGTGCATAAGTCTGTGGTATATCGCAACATAAGTCTTGAATATGCGCCATTTCCTAGGCATGAGACTTTGCATGCCAAGCTTGACAGTATTGAGGTCATTGAAGTACCATCGAACGCTTTTCTCGAGTTTGTCTGGATCCTCGAAGAAGGTCTCGCCAGCTTGGTCAAATTGAGCTTGACAGTTGTACTCGATGGCTTTCAGAAACTTGTCTTTATAGCCACGCAACTCTTTCTGACCAGCGTTCATAGACTTGAAGCGCGAGGCTAGGTCCTTGAACTCACGGTGAGCATGCTGGAGTGCCTCGACCTGACGGTCCTTTTCCTCCTCTTTCTCCACGATCAGGGCTAGGCGCACGATGATTCCATTGTTTCCAGACTGTACGAGTGGGATTAGATTTAGACAAGCACTACCCACATGCTCGTCGAACCAGTCAATCACGTCGTCCAGTCTTGTGAAATGGTCTTGCAAAGTGGCGCCTGTTTCACCAAGCTGAAGATTGTTGATCAACTCGGTGCCTGAGTCCTCGGTAGACGACTTGATCGAATCGAGAGCCATATCACGAATATCGCGAAGCTTTGTCAAGCCATAGTGTATGGCAAGCAGATTATCCTGAACCTCTGTATTATCGTCATCTTCACGAAGCAACTGCTCTAGCTCGTCAAGATTGCGACCAAAGGATTCAATCTGAGCCTTCATGTCTTCGACCTGGGCAAAGTTGCGGTGGGTCTGAGCGACTTTATCGACAAAAGGAAAGTCTTGAATCATGTTCTGAGCCTCGACACAGAGGCGGTCGATCTTGATCATCTCGTCCTTGATCAGATTGACGGCATGTTGGCCGTCGTTGATACTGGACATTCCCTGCTGTGTGATCTCGAGCTGCTCCTTGAGACCTATACGTAGCTGGCCATCAACAGCGGCCTTTTTGCGCGTGAATTCACTCTTCAACGACGTGATCTTGTCCAGGTCATCGGGATGCCGCAGCAGCTCAGCAAGGCGATTGGCGACATCGTCAGTATCATTCATGGTCAGCTCGAACGCAAGACAGCAGCTGCGAACAACAGCAACACGCAAGTATTGAGATGCGCGAGCATGCGCCAAAGGGAGGGGATGGAGCAATTGTGGGGATGCAAGTCGCGGCGGAGGGCCGGCGAAGCCAAGAAGGCCGCCGACGATGATTCAAGCATCAATTGTGGCCGCCATCAGCTTTTCACAATCACACCCGCCCAACGCGCAACCATCCTCGTAAGCATCTGACTTTGACTGCACATAGGCGCTTGCGGATACGGCTGCTGATCTTTGACAGACGACCATGTCCTACTTCCGCATTACCCTGCTTCGCTCGTCGATCGGTCTGCCCAAGCAGGCGTCGGGCGTCCTCAAAGCGCTGGGTCTGCGCAAGCGCATGAAGACTGTCTACCATCCCGTTTCACAACAAGTCGCCGGTCAGATCTTCGCCGTCAAGGAGCTCGTCGACGTTCAGGAGGTCGATCAGAAATTCACGCCGGAAGAGCTGAAGGAGTTGAGGAGACCCGATTCTGGCTTTTACGTCGAAAGTCGTCATCAAGATCAACGCATGGACTGATCAATCACCTCCGTGCTGTATTCGCATGCGCACACCCGGCATCGCCCTTTGTTCTACATATACACACGCCCACATCACGTCGGGCCAAATCATGCGACCTAGCTGGCCAGCTCGGGTCGACGCAAGAGTTATCACTTTCTGTTTCAGGCGTATAAAGGGACAAGACATGGTTCTTGAGACGGCACTTGCTAGTTGATCGGGGTTCAGGAACGGAAAATCCGCATAATCATAACATTCTCACGCTACCTTGGCCGCGACAGAGCGGACTTTGTCTGTCGCTATCGTGAATGTGTATTTTGCCAAGCGTACATGGTTGTTGTATCAGCGTGCTTTGCATAAGGGGTATCATAAGGGAACAAGGAAAACAGCTCAGGCAGTCACAGATGCTGTCGCGGCCGTTCCCGCAGCTTCACCAACGGCATCAGGAGCGGTGGGCGCTAATGGGGCTTCGGGAACACGAGCGGCCGCGGCTGCAGTCAACCTTTGGTCGAGAGCTTTCAAGGCGAGCGCTCTCCTCCGCTCGGCTTCCTCTCGCCTGCCTCCACCACGACCTCCTCTCCCGCCTGTCATCAGACTGGGCAGTCCGCCTTCGGCTCTGGCCGAAGCCTGCTCGTTGCTTTGGTCGATTGCTTCTTCGGAAAAAGGAGCGCATATCCTGAGAGCGAGCATAGTCTTATGAATTGAATCGGTCAAGGGTTCCAGCACGACCTGGACAGAGTCGGGGAAGAAGTGAGCAAACGCAAACGTGTCGCTGGCATCACCCTTGATGACAGCATCGTCACCAGTAGCAGTAGTGGCCAACGAGGGCGCGAGTCGGTAAAAGCGCAAGTATATCCAAGAGGTCAGAAAGCCGAGCCACGATAGGAAGAAAGCGGTGTCGGTGCCAAGCAATGGCCCAGATAGACTGTTCAGCAGGACGAAGACGGCAGGGAAATGCTTGACGCGGATACGGATAGAGGCGCGAAACAAGGAGACAGTGTGTTCGGGCACTAATTGCTTGAAGGCAACAAGAAAAGCGGCCTCGAGGGCGACGTTGCCGTTGATGATTGTATTTCTGACCGGGTCAATATAGGGAGCAGCAAGATTGACAAAGAAGCGAGGTGGACTCACGCGCGGACCTTGTTGCCCGAGACAGCATACCACAAGCAGTAGATGGCAAAGGTCAACAAGTTGGGGATCATGGTCACAAACAGGACAAACTTGGCAAACTCCTGACTAGTCCAGGCTCGTTCGAGATAGCGGCCGCCATAGAAGATGGTGATGGCTGAGATGGCAAAGCTGACGAGGTTGGTCTCAACTAGAGCAGCGCTCAGTGTGGTCCATGGATATCTCAGTGAGCTCGTAGGGATGATTGCCAGGGCAGGGACAGCCTGGACGCGTATGAGACTGCGCACGCTGAACGAGGCATTGAGCAAGGACAGCAGTAGCAGTAGCAGCAGCAGGGCGCGGCTCAGCGGTGGCAGGTTGATGCGTAAGGGCATGGCGCCAGAGAGGAGGGTGCGCTTGATCAAGTCGCAACTTCCAAAGCTTCAAGTGCGGGCACGAGTCGCACGACAACAAGCTTGTGCTCGGCGTGATTGTGATTGGACGCTCCACATGTTCGAGGCGTCTAGCGTTTGACGCGGGGCGGAGCGGAGCAGGCGGAGCGGACAACGGTCAACTTGGCAGATGCATAGGTGTGAAGCGCATGTGGCTGGACGTCTTCGGCTGTCGCATTGCATCGCTTCGCACAAGTTTCGTCGAGACGTGTTTGTCGCTCGCTCGCATCAATTGCATCTGGACTCGTGCCGTTGGCCTTCCTCCACAAGCGGCAACAGGTCCCCTGCAAGCGCCATGGGTGACGGAGCTCTGGGCTCGGACCACATCAATTACTTGATCCTCCGCTATCTGCAAGAAGCAGGACACGAGAATGCCGCCAGAGCACTGCACCAGGACTGGCACCGCCCGCAAGAGTTCAGCGACCCGGAACAGCTGCCCTTTGCCCCTCTGGTTCGCCAGCACGAGTTGGTGCACATCATCCAGGACGCCATCTTCCACGATCAATTGCTCGCCAAAGTCTCAAACAACCAGCGGCGCTTCAACCTAACCACCACACAATTCCCCCACCGCGCCTCCGACGACAGACGTTCTGACCCCACCCAGCAGCACGACTTCCCGCTGCCTCCCGCCAAACGCTCTCGGAAAAGCAACCATCATGCCGATCCGGATTCCATGCAGATCGATGTCACTACCCAAGACCAGCACCAAGACCAACATCAAGATCAACACCACATCCATGACCGACATGACCGTCCTGACCTGGACCAGGACCAAGATCAGGATCAGGATCAGGACGAAGACCGTGACCCTACGCCAGACACGGCCGAGCCAGACCATCTGCCTACCGCCTCGTCGGCCACACAGACGGACACCAAGCTCAAGTCAAAATCAGAGACCATGTATTGGGCCTTGGATCAACCAGACGCTTCCATCATGCATGCTTTGTGGAACCCACATCTCTCGCATTCGACTCGTCTCCTGACCGTCGGCGAGTCCTTGTGCCGCTTCTACAATCTCCCACACCACTCCAAAAATTCTCTCCAGCGAGCTCATCATACCGATGTCGAGACCATGCCCAAAGGCTCCGTCATCACTGCTGCTTGTTGGCATCCATCCGGTCGATATGCCACCTGTGCTCTCGATTCTACTCGTCGTCTACCCGGTGGTGGCCATGAATCTGTGAGGTCCATGTTCGACGTCACAGTCCAGGGTACCAAACGCTTCTATGATCTTCATGGCTACTTACTACAACACTCTGCTATCATCGTCGCTTTGCGCTACAACAACTCTGGCACACGTCTATTGAGTGTATCGACTAACATGAAGCGCGGCCTGGTCGAGATCTGGGACGCCAGTCAACCCGCTACCTCCCTCGACCCCGTTGCTGTCAAGCTCTTCAATCAGCCTGTGATTGATGCTGTGTGGGCTTCTGACGACTCAATCGTTGTGTGCGGTGAGAATCGTTTGGATTTCTATCAGATCCACGACGCCTCAATGCCCAATGGCACTAGTGCAAACGGTGACTCGTTTGCGTCCACCGGAACCCGCAACTTTGCTTTGCAGTATTCTCATCCTACCGACAAGCAATGGGATAAGGTGCGCTACGACTCTGTAAACGCTATCGTTGCTGCGACTTCGTCGTCCGATGATCACACCATACTGCTCGCCAAGACCTCTCCTCGATGGGTACCCCTCCCTGGCTTCCCTACCGAAGGACCTGCCAGCAAACGTGCGACCGCCATGGCCTTCCAGCCAGTCGATACTGCAAATGACGCTACGCATACCTCGCCAAGGCGCCTCGCTGTAACGCATGATTCTGGGCTTGTAAGAGTGTATAGGGTCGCTCCCAATCTTTGTGAGACTCTGCATGAATTCACTATGGGCCCTCATGAAGCTGCGTTAGCCCTGTCGTGGTCGCCCACGGGCTCCTGTCTTGCTGTCGCGAGTGAAGAGGCTGTCAAGATCTGGGATCTCAACACTGGGTCTGTGCCACTACTAACATGGAGAGCTGCCGCGACGCATTGGTATCAAGGTGATGAGAACAACTTGCCTAATGGTGACGAGACAGGCGACGAGCCAAGTCTTAACTGGGACGCCGAGGGAAAGAGGCTCGTTTTTGCAGTAGGCCGTAAAGTGAGTACATCCCTTGCGACACGGACTGATGAGTTATTGACATCTTGTAGATGGCTGCCATACGTTTGCTACTTCCTTCAACAAACACATCACTTGCCAATGACGACTCTAGTGTTGTCGACTGATAAGGGCACTATCCAGACCAACATCAAAAGGAAAGAAGGAAAAGTCATTTTTTGTGTTCTCGTCAGATACCCACCTCACTTTTGGACAATTGCCTTTCTTCGCTACAGCGCTTCAAGATTCTCAGAAAGAATACAGGAGATAGAACAGCTATTGCAATATTACATGCCATTTCTAGAGAAAGCTCGTGGGGTTGCTAGAGTAGAACCTTGAGGGAAACTTGCTAACTGATTCTTTTGGTGGCTTATTTGCTCATCGCTTCCAAGAAGCCTTCACCTCCAGGCTTAGTGTCGACGGCCTTGAACTTGTCGCCACCATCCAAGCCCTTCTCAGCCCTCTCGTAGGCTTCTTCAGTTCTATCTGTCAATGTATTCAACTCCTCCTCTGACAGTAGACCCTTGACCCCCTCCTCCAGTTCAAGTCTCTCGCCATCCTGCTGTTCTAGCAATTGCTGTAGTTCGGCAAACTCGGCACCCGATACCTCGCCAGCGCGCATGGACTTGAATTTGCCTTTTTGGATAACTAATTTCTCCAATCTTCGCTTTGATTCTGCCTTTTCCAGTAGCAGTGTTTCTACCGTACCTTTGGTGGCAAATCGGTATACGATGACGGGTCTTGTTTGACCAATTCGGTGAGCACGATCTTGCGCTTGCAAATCTTGCTGAGGGTTCCAGTCACTGTCGAACAGAAGCACAGTATCCGCAGCAGTAAGATTGATGCCCTGGCCACCTGCGCGCGTACTCAGTAGGAAGATGTTGGTTTCTGATTCTGGCGAGTTGAATTGGGCAATTTGCTCTTGTCTGTCGGGCTGAGAGACACCTCCGTCGATACGGCTGCATTTCCATCCCCGCAGCACTTCGCAGTATGTCTCTATCAGATCCAGTTGGGTCTTGAACTGACTGAAGATGAGTACTTTGTGGCCGCGATCCAGTAGAGAGGGCATCAGAGAATCCAGCAGCAGCATCTTCCCGCTCTCAGTTACCAGTGTTTCATCGACATCGCTGTTGTCCTCCTCCATGAAAGGGTAGAAGAAGTTGTGCGGCGAGTTGCAGCATAGACGCAATTGTAGCACAGGATTTTGTAACTTCTTTGCACCGATCAACTTCTTGGCCAAAGCCAATGTTTGTGCTTGCTCTTGAGCTTCCTCCTCGCTCGAATTGAGCGACTGCTCCTCTTCCTCTGACTGTTCGTTCTGTACTTTTTGGAAGTAGGCGGTGTCGGATAGTTCTTCATAATTCTGAGATTTCTTGGCTCGTCTGTTGCTGCGAGTACTGGCTGTTGTTGCTGGCGTCGAGGCTCTGCTGGACTTTACACTCTTGTTGGGGGTAATACTTCCTTCCTCAAGCCTACTACGTTTCAAGCTTGCACCACGAGTGGTGCGAGGTGTGTTTGCGCCACTCAGACTTTCCACGGCTTTGTTCTCGAGGTATGAGCGACTGGTGCCCTCGAGGATCTCCTTATAAAGCTCGCGCTGGGTGGCCGTAAGAGGTGCATACAAGATGTACTCGCGCTTTTTAGGCAGGGAAGTCTCAACATCTGTCTTGATACGTCGTAGCAAGAAGGGTTTTAGAATGGCGTGGAGTGAAGTCACGAGGTTGGTCTGGCGCTCCTCAGACAAGATGTCTTCGTATCCATTACGTTGGTTCAGGGCAGAGAAGTCGAACCATGACTCGAAAGACTCAAGCTTGTCGAAAATGGTGGGCATGAGAAAGTGGAGTAATGACCACAATTCAGTCAGATTGTTCTGTAGTGGCGTTCCTGTGATTAGGAGTCGGTTGGCGGATTGATAGGATTGCAGCTCCCTGATGAGACGGCAGTTCAAGTTCTTGATGCGATGACCTTCGTCAATGATGATAAATTTCCAGCCAAAATTAGCCAGAAACTTTCGATCGTTCATGCAGATTTCGTAGGAGGTGCAGACAACAGGGAAATCTTTACTTCCAGGATTCTTGAATCTCTTTGTACGGATCTCTTCTCTTTCCTGCTTAGATCCATGGTAAAGTACAACTGGAATATCGGGAGTCCATTTGTTGAATTCGTTGACCCAATTACTAGTTGTGCTTAACGGGGACGCAATTAGGAATGGCCCATATGTGCCCTTCTCACGTAAGAACGCAAGGAAGGATATTGTCTGGATTGTTTTGCCCAAACCCATCTCGTCAGCCAGGATACCGTTTAGTCCGTTCTCGTATAGTGATGTAAGCCATTCAAGACCTTCGAGCTGATACGAGCGCATTAAACCACCGCTCACGAGCGCTGGCTGTTTGGCTGATCGTAGATTTTGAACACCAATGTCACCAGGTTTGATATCAGAGTCGGCCTCCTGAGCGAGAGCTTCGTTGATCGATTTGTCGCCTGCCTTAGCTTTGAGGTCGTCCTTGTTGAGATAGTCAGAAATCTTTTCTTTACCAGGTTTGGGCTTGGCTGCAGCAGCTCCTCTGCCTGATTTCCGTCTACCAATTGCGGTCGCTTGTTCGGTTACCGCCTCTGCTGTTTCTTGTGCAACGTTCGCTGACCGAGTAGCTCTCTTCTGACTGACTTCAGCTGCTTTTTCTGCCGTTTCTTCCCTCTTCAGAGCTCGTTTTTTTTCCTTCGTATCCGTAATCTGAGCCTCCTCTTCTTGCTTTTGCATCTGAGAAAGCATGATGGTCGAGTATAATTTGCTCTGGTTCAGCAAGAATTCCAACGCTTTGTATTTGCCGTCAACAACCTTTGTTCCGCCCTTGATGTCCTTTTGTCGTTCTGCTTCCAATTCCTTGTCGCGTTTCGCTTCCTGTGCCTTTCGAGCTTCAACGACATTTGCTTCTTCGGCTTCCATGTTGGATGAGATCTCGCTCTTCTCGGTTTTGAGGGATGGGATTGGAGGCTTTGCCCCATCGACTTTAGTCGCACCTCTTGAAACACGTGCCATGTTGGCTATGAGTGAAGTTCCGGTAGGCTGTGTATATTGAGTGCTGCTTGTCAGAGAATTATAAAATAATTGGTTCAAGGCAAGGCAAGTCCCTCGTGCAGGCTTGCCCTTGTAATTTGGCGATTTCGTTGGAACGTGTTTCTGATGACGCAGTCGCGTTTGGTCGCGTCGCGATTTAGTGCCGCGATCTAAATTGCTGATCATAGATCTCGGATCAGCCAATCAGAAGGGCTTTTTCATACCTACCTGCCGAACCCCGAGATGGTCGAGCATCTCTACTCGTTACTGATTCCACGCGATCTGGGTAAATACACGGCATTGCATGCATGGTGGAAAGATATCGCTGAGCAAGCAAGCGATCCATCTGCCACTCGGAGACAATATGACTCGGACTGCTTGTTGTCAACCATCAAGCAGCTTTCGAATCACAGTCACGTCTACGATCCTCATCACTGCCCGTGAACTACGGTGGCTAACCACTCCCCACCCTTGTCCTAAGCTTCATCACACCCGCCCACTCTCAATGATTAGAGCATGGCAACAACGAGCTGAAGCAAGGCAAGTTAATATCCCATATCGACATAATCAACACAAGGAGTCTCGAAAAACTGCATCTCGGTGCCATCACTTCGGATCCAGAATGGTTCTTGCATTGAGACAGCTAGCTGTCATTGTGACTGTGTTCCGCACGTTGGGAGACTGGGCGAACATGCTGGTATGTATACTCAGGTACATCAAGTCATTGCTAAGTCCCCAAAAGCCGATAACTCCTTGCTCAACGACGGACTTATCGGAGACTCTGGGATTTATCTTGATCACACTGCTCACTGTGTACACTCCACTATTTGACCAGTAGGGCATAAAAAGGTGTTTGGCTGCGCTCTAGAGTCCACGACAAGCCGGTTTCCCTTCTGATCACAGCCAACTTCTTGCTTCCAGTATCATCATATCAACATGTCTGGAAATATAGTTCTGATCAGCGGAGCCAATCAGGGCATTGGTTTTGAGATCGCTAAACAACTGAGTGTCATACCAAACTATCATGTTCTCCTTGGATCACGAGGCTTAGAGAAGGGCGAATCAGCTGTATTGCAGATCAAAAACGTTGGAGGAAGTGTTGAGGCAATACAGCTCGACATAACCGATGGCCAATCCATAACAGCTGCACGTGATTTGGTTGAGACCAAATATGGACGTCTCGATGTTCTTATCAATGTATCGAATGGAAAAGTGTGCTTAGTGGCAGACGGAAGCTGACATTGAAGTAGAACGCTGCCATCCTTCTCGACTTCCAAGTCAATGCCGACTACACTCTCGGCCAAGCAATGCAAGACACTTTTGCGACCAACACATCTGGCGCAGCAAATTTGGTCGAGACGTTCCTTCCCCTTCTGAAGCTGAGCGCTGTGCCACGAGTGGTCTTTGTTTCAAGCACCGTGGGCAGCCTGCATACTTTTGCAGATTTCAAACCTTCCTATACCATGACCAAATACTTTGCTCCAGCATACGCCTGCAGTAAAGCCGCACTGAACATGTTGATGCTGCTTTATAATGTTCAGTATCAGGAAAAGGGATGGAAGATCAATGCATGTTGTCCGGGATTCAGAGTGAGTTCGCAAATCTCAAATTAGACAAGTCGTGCTAATTGTCGATCGCAACAGCAAACTAACTTCTGTGACTATGATGATAAGGCTGGACCTGTGGAAGAGGGTGCATCAGTCGCTATCGAACTCGCAACCCTAGGTAAAGACGGTCAGAGTGGCACGTTCGTGAACATGAAGGGGGCAATCCCTTGGTAGCTCGGACAGGGTCGTCCCGGTTGCAACACGAAGAGTGGTGCCGAAAGGCATGATTATACTTGTTGATTTTATTATTTATCAATTCACGAGACTCACACCAGAGCAACACCGATACATACTCTCAAAGACCGCTGTCTATTTGAGTGAAGGCCACGTGTGCAGCATACTGCTTTCAGCTCGAACATTGGTTGTTGAACTCTGACGCATCCGGCATGACGATCTGGTTCTTGGCCTCGAGGAACTGGACACCAAGACCTTCAGAGATGAATGCGAACGGGAAGCAGACCTTGTTAACCGAGAGACCACGATGACCAGTCTGGCATCTGGCGCCGGAGATAGTATGCAATGCAGAAAGCCCTGCGCCCAAGGCCAAGCAAGCCGCATCGGTGACAGATGCTTGTCTCGACGTCTGTAGCTATCGAGTCATATGACTTGTCATAGCAAAGAACTGGCCAAGTCAATAAGCACATTAATTGGAGGGCTGGATTAGGGTGCGGCTTCGGACATGGACTGGCGACAGTAAGTAGATCCCACTGAGCAGGCAACAATGACTTGGAGGTACATCCAGTCCACAAGCATGGGTGCGTGTAGAGTGAAGCGGAACCACAGTATTACGCGTAGTATTGTAAGTGGCGACCTCGAAAAGTGTGTGCCGTATCCGGAAGACCGTATGCACGAGACACAGGAATAGTGTAAGATACATCCAGGAGGATGCGATCGAGGACTTGCGTAGAAGCTTTATCCAGCTGTCTGCATGCTATTGCTGGTAAGTGCGTGGTATGTTCATGTCGAGTCCGCCGAACAGCTTGAGCATGACATGATGCATCACCTGAGTCAAAGACATCAAAGTAGCAAGCTCTGTCTGTATGGATCTTTTTCTTCCGAGAGTCCGCACGTTCCTTGAGTGCTGGAGTCAGTAGGCCAGACAGGGCACTTGCATTGATCCTGCGCTACAAGTACAGTCCGATCGACATGGTGTGTACAAGCAAGAAGATATGTTTCACCTGAATCGGTTCGTGGTGAGGCTGGATAGAGCACAGAAAGGTCAATGAGGAGATTGCGGAGATGCAATCGGGGGAAAGAGGAGCCAAGCAAGCCGCGGCGGCCCGTCAACGTCACAGACTCACAGCCCGATGGACGCGCTGGTGCACCAACACGACAACATATTGCGGGAGCACGGCAGTCTGGGTACCTAGATCAGCAGTACACACGGACAACCTGGCAGTTACAAGACTAAGAATAGCCGAGAGCTGAGAGTGGTGTAAGACTAAGCAAGCGACATACGACAGTTCAATTGGATCGAAAGCTACAGCGCTATCTCCCATCCACGCCCCGAGGCACACCATGGCGACCAAGCGCATTGAGCAATGGGAGGTTGAGCGCTATTGGGAGATCTTTGCTTCGCTCTCGAATGGCGGTACCCATCTGAACGGCGCACAGGCGGCTTCAGTGCTGAAGAACAGCCAGCTGCGCGACGACCAGCTTGAACGAGTGTGGGACCTGGCGGATGTCGACGGCGATGGAAGCCTGGATTTCGAGGAGTTTTGCGTCGCCATGCGCTTGATCTTTGACTTGGTCAACGGAGTAAGTCGAAAGACATTTGCAATTGTGCATGATCCGTACTGAATGCTTCGCTTTGCAGGAGTACATGGACGTTCCGGCCTCTCTGCCCGACTGGCTCGTCCCCGAAAGCAAAGCACATTTGATCCAAGCATCTCACGCCATTTCAGGCCGTCAAGCCCAATTCGAACAGGTGCATGACCTCGACGACGACACACCAGGACTCAAAGACGGCTTCGATTGGTACATGCCTCCGTCCGACCGCACAAAGTACGAGGAAATCTACAGTGCCAACCGCGACCCGCGCGACGGCAGCATCACTTTCGAATCGCTCAACCCGCTCTACGAATCCCTAGACGTCCCCGACACAGACATGCGCAGCGCCTGGAATCTCGTCAACCCGCGAAGCGATCCCGCTATTGGCAAAGACCAGTGTCTCGTTTTCCTCCACATGCTCGCCAACCGTCACGAAGGCTACCGCATCCCTCGCTCCGTTCCTCCAAGCCTACGCGCCACTTTTGAGCAGGGCCGTATCGACTATCAGGTCGACAAGGTACAAACCGCCGCCGATCGCTGGGGTACCCAGCGTGATGACAGCACCATGAGCGGCAAGAAGCAGAAGTTCGGCGATGCGTACCTCAGTCGCTTGGGAGTTGGTGACCGTGGCGCATACAGACCGAAAGGCACCGATTTCACCGCTACCCGTACCGATGCCGAGTGGGAGGAGGTGCGTCTGAAGAAGCAACTCAAAGAGCTAGAGGAAAAGATGGAGAGGGTCGAAGAGCAAGCAAAAAAGCGAAGAGAACGTGGCGGTAGACGGGACGAGAGCAAACCCGCTCTGGTGAAGCGTGAACTCGAGCAGTTGCTTGACTGGAAGCGTTGTGAGCTACGCGACCTCGAAACTGGCGAGGGGCGAGCCAAGGTCGGTCAGGGGCTCAAGGGTCTCAGCGATGAAATCTCGATGGTCAAGGAACAGGTCGATGGTCTTGAAGCTCACTTGCGGAAGAGGGAGGAGGTGCTCAGCGACCTAAGGAAGCAGATTGATGACGAGAAGGCGGCGAGATAATTGTATATACCCTTGTGTTAGCAGCCACCCATTGCCTTTACGAAGTCAGATCACATTCGAGTCACACTGTGCAATGGAAGCGATGCCATGATTGCTAAAGTTGATGACACTAAGGAGCAAAGTGGCACAATTCGCAAGGCCGAAGGCATGGCATGCCTTCAGTGCCACCACCTATGAATGAAGACGACCACTCAACGCCGAGCAAACAAAACCCAGGGGTATCTTTGTAAAAGCAGAAACGCCACGCATAAAGGCACAAAAGCAAGGCTGCTACAATCAGGCAGCGTCCACGAAGGGGGCAAACGTTCTGCTGCCAAATCTCTCCGTGTCGTCGCCGGTCTCATCAATGTCCATTCCATCGCTGTCCATCTCCCTCTCGAGATGACGTTTTGCCCTACCGCCAGTGTCCACAGTGGCGGTAGTACGCCTGGCCTGCAAAAGGTCCCAGTATCCTTGCAGCAAGCGCTTGACATTGTCGTCAAAGTTGACACAGAAGCGTTGAGCCTGGACGATTTGCATAGCCTTGATATGGTCGACATCGGCCAGGATATCCATCAGATAGGCGGCGACGACGGCAGCGGAGCGTTCGTTGCCACTTTCGCAGAATACGAGGACCTTGGCGTCAGGCCGAGAATTCATGTGTTCGTTGATGGCGACCGAGGCGCGAGTGAAGGACGAGACGAGTTGATGTGCGCTAGACATGTCGAGGGCTTGCTTCTGGATGTTGATCTCATCGGCGACGTTCAAAGCCGCTTGCATGATCTTGCTCTCGAACGAGTGACGTTGACGGACAGCCATGAGCAGGGTGATGCCTTCGGTCCGTAGGAAGTCGCGATCTTTGACAGCACTCATGGGACCCAGGTAGAGGAAGGGGAGGATCTGCTGTGCTTGACGACGACGTTCGTAGCTCCAGTCCAGGAGACTACCAGTTGTCATGTTGTCATAGTTGATGGCTGATAAAGGACCGGATTTGGCGATGGGGTGTAGATTGAACTCGGGGGCCAGGCTAATGTTTGCTGTTGGCGGCGGTACGACGATGCGTGGTGGTGTAGGTAGGCGAGCACAGTACTCGTCGCCTCGGAGAGTGGCTGCCTGAGAGGCCATGGCGCCCAAGTCCGGGTTGACGATGTGTGTATACCTATGTATAGAAACGATGAAGCTGGTGCGATGACTTTTGTTGGTCTGGTGGTGTGTATATTGCTACGTCTTCGGGGACTTGTCAAAGTCACAAAGTGAGACTGTGCCTGAGCGGGTGCAACGACGTCAGTGCCGCAAGAAGCCTTGTCCCATCGTTCCTTCTTCCCTCTCACTTCTGCTCGCCCTCACTCATCGTACGCCTACACATTGCATGCTACCGATTCTGTATATACACTTCTCGTCGCCAAGCTTGCTCGCTCTATTTAGCCATACGGCAGCGCAACATCAGAGTGCAACTGTAAATCCCTGCCTTAGCCCCACATCTCTTCATCGTGTCTCATTCGTGCTGTTTGTCCGCGCTGTTTGATGTCCCGGATGGTCATGTACAAACGACAAGATTTCATTTCGTGTGTTGCCCATGTGATGCCACCGTGTCGATCGACGCGTGAACTTGGTAAAGTCAACAAAGGCAGGTGCTCTTGCTCCCCACTTCTCCTCTCTTGCCAGACGCAATTTGCAGTCATCGCACTGTTTAGCTTTCCTTTCTTTTTATAACCTCTTCTGTCGTCCTTTCTCTCGCACACAGCTCTCTACTCAAAGACAACCATCAACATGTCTGCCATGATGCTCACCTTCGTTGCTCTGCTCTTTGGCATTGCCACTGCGCAGTGTCCTGACTATCTCGACTACTCCACGGTCAAACACTACCCTTACTCTGGTGGTAGTCACAACATCTCCTACCAGCGCCCTGACCCGGCCTGCCGCACCTTCAATCTATCTCTTCTTAATGACGTCGTCATTTTCGATGTCATGCGTGCTGTTCCTGATCTCGACCTCTTCCGCCTTTTCATTAATGGTCAGTACTGCCACTTGTCTGTTGGCCAGCTGCTCACCTAAAGTAGCCTACCCAAACACTCTTGACACGGCCGTCCGCTGGAAGGGGTACGCCACCGATTCTCCTGATGAGGAACTCACCTTCCTTGTCACTGGAGACATCGATGCCATGTGGCTAAGAGACAGCAGTAATCAGATGCACTCTTATCTGCCTCTTCTCACGGCAAACTCTTCCGCGGACTCGCTTGCGTCTCTTTTCCGTGGTGTCATCAATCTGCAGGCCCGCTACCTTCTCACCTCGCCTTATTGCAATGCTTTCCAACCACCCATCGAAAGTGGCATTGCTCCTGCGAACAACCCTTCAGCCAGCCAAGATGTTGTCTTTCCCACTTATGACAACACCTCAGTCTTTGAGTGCAAGTAAGTCCACTAGAGTACCATTTATGCGGACCAACAGATGGCAGATGCTAACTGAATCTTCTCTTGAAGGTACGAGTTGGATTCTCTCGCTGCCTTCCTCCAGATCAGTGCCGACTACTACAACGCTACCGGAGACATTAACTTCTTCGCCAAGCACCACTGGATCGAAACCATCAACCATGTATACCAAGTTTTTGACAGCCTTTATTTCGCCTCTACATACGATACTGATGGGCAGGTAAAGCAGCCTGACTACTCCTTTACCAGAATGAGCAACCGCGCGACTGAAACATTAGCCAACGATGGACTGGGCAATCCCTTTAAAGGTGGTATTGGTCTCTTCCGCTCCGCCTTCAGACCTTCAGATGATGCTACGATTTACCAATACCTCATTCCGGCAAACATGATGCTAGCTCACTATCTTGAGGCGACTGCTCCTATTTTGCTCGCGCTAAATGCTTCGTCGAGTGCTATCACTTCTGCACACATGACTCAGCTTGCCGCAGTGATTAGACAAGGTATTGAGGAGCACGGTATTGTCACTGTAGACGGCAAGCAAGTCTACGCCTACGAGGTTGATGGATATGGCTCTGCCAATATTATGGACGTAAGTGGCATCCTCAATTCAATGGCAAAATTTTGCGACTCCGCTCAGCATCAATCAAAATCTGCTGGAGAAATACTCTGTCCTGATACCCTGTGGACCTTGCTGACCAGATCTGAATCAGGATGCTAACATTCCCTCCCTCCTCTCGGCACCTCTCATCGGCTATCTTGACGCCAATGATGAAGTCTACCAGAACACGCGCTCCTTGCTTCTGAGTGACCGCAATCCTTACTTCATGCAAGGTCCTGTTATCAGTGCTATCGGAGGTCCCCACAACGGCCCTGGTTACGCCTGGCCTATGGCTTCGATTGTACGCATATTGACCAGCGACAACGACACCGAAATCACTGAGCAATTGGCCATGATACTCAGTAGTACAAACGAACTTGGCCTCATCCACGAAAGCATCAACGCTTCCAACCAAACAGACTACACTCGACCATGGTTTTCTTGGGCCAACGGTCTTTTCGGCCAGATGATCCTGGAGCTGTGTGATCGCAAGCCTCATGTTCTGGCACAAAGCTTTCAATAGGCGCTTCTCTTTGGAGTTATGCGTAGAGTCGAAGACTATCAAAAATCTCAGAGCATCACGTATGTTCGAGTATCGTGTTGTACGGAGGGCGATCATTGGCAAAAGTGGGTAGTGGGGCCTAGTGTTACAATGGATGGAGTGAGCACAATCAGTGCTTAGACGACGTTATGACTGGAATGCGGTATGTACAATGTATCAAGTCGAGATTTGATAAACGTCGGGAATTTTCTTGCTATAGTTGGATAGTTGAGCCAGGCGGTGCAAAGCGTGATCCGTCCGTATGGGAATACGGGGATTCGCGTATGTCCCATACGCCGCGGATTACTACCTCGAGGCCACGACATGCCGAGCCATTCTGCTACTAGGACTCAAGGCAAAAAGAACTTTATGTCATAGTCGAAACAGAAAATGCGCAGACGAGATGTATTTAAGGAGGTCGATCGGCCATCGGCCATGATCACTCTAACATAATCACCGACCGTCATGAAAAGCGCATCAACTCTTATGACAATTCTTGCTGTCAGCAGTCATAGTACTGCAATGACCTGCAAATCGACGCCTCTAGACTCCGACTGGCCTCCTGTCGCAGAGTGGGAGGCCTTGAACAGTACACTCAATGGTGCTCTTCTCCAGACACGTCCTGTTGCATCTGCATGCTATACCGGCAACCCTTTCAATTCAACCATGTCTTGCAACGAAGTAGAGGATCAGTGGAACTCAACATACTTCCATGCAACTCTCCCAGAATCGGTCGACTTCTCACTGTGGACCAACAACTCTTGTGTACCTCCTGGTATCGACGGACACCTCGAGGACAGGCCATGCTCGATCGGCGCTTACCCAGCATACATTGTCAACGGAAGCTCGAATAAGATAATCTCGGATGCCATGAGCTGGGCTTCCCGCCGCAATATCCGTATCAACGTCAAGGGTACCGGGCATGATCTCGATGGCCGGTGAGCATTGGACATCTTCTTCGCACAAACACTAGCTGACTCGATGCACAGATCTACTGGCGCCCATAGTCTGTCCATATGGACTCACCATCTCAACAACATCCAATTCGAGTCCAACTGGAACGGTACGGAAGACGTTGTCATCGTCGGGAGCGGTCAGCAATGGGGCAATGTCTATGATGCAGCCGCAAAATTTGGTAAAGTGGTCGTCGGCGGTGCAGATGGCAGTGTGGGTCTCGGTGGCCATATCCAAGGAGGTGGCTATGGACCTCGCTCTCCTGCTTATGGCCTAGCCCCCGATCAAGTCTTGCAGGTCACTGTAGTGACCACTACCGGCGAGATTTTCTTTGCAAATGATACCAATCACCAAGATCTCCTGTGGGCTCTCCGCGGCGGTGGAGGTGGCACTTATGGTGTAGTCACTGAGTACGTGCTCAAGGCTTACCCGGCACCCGCGAATACTGTAGCCGGAATCTTGTCTATCAGTGGAGGAAAAAACGCTACCGGCAATGCTACCTGGGATGCATTCGCCGTCGCGCTCAACCATGTACCTGACCTCATGGACAATGGTGTCTGGGGTAATGCTATTGCCTTCGGACAAACACCAGGAGAGGTCCAGGTGACATTTCAGCTCTCTGCATACAACAGTACTGCGTCGGATCTAACAGCCAAGATCAGACCCATCATTGCCGCGATCAGCAAGGCGACTGGCAACATGAGCAACAACTCCAACCTCTCCGTTCAATGGAGCGATCCTACAGTATCCCTCTTCGACCGAAACAGCAGCTCCAAGTCGGCATCTAATACTGCTGGGGTAGGAGGCCTCGAGACAAGTCGTCTACTTGGTCGTGCACAGCTCACGCTTCCATACAAACAGGTCTCATCATACCTGCGTCGAATCATGTACACAGAGCTAGGTGCCGGTCGCGCCATGCTCATCCTAGGGCTCTTCGCCGGCCCTGGAGTTCAAAACACCCCACCAGAGCGCCAGGGAGCAGTAAACCCCATCTGGCGTAGCACCTACGTCCACGCAATCTCTGGCTCCGGTCCTGCAGCCCAGGAATCAGACACACCAGCACAGATTATTAAACAATCATCTAAATGGTACGAGACTCACAGAGAGGCTGTTTGGCGCGAATGGGCACCCAACACCGGTGCCTACATGAACGAAGCCAACCCTTACAACTCAAACTGGAAGCACGACTTTTTCGGTGTCAACTACGATAAACTTGCTGCTATCAAGCAAAAGTACGATCCCTCCGAGTCGCTGTATGCAGTGTCCAGAGTTGGGTCTGAGTGGTGGGACAATGATCTGCAGACTGGCAAGTTGTGCAAAATTGAGTAAAGTGGTACGGGCAAAGCGAAGAAATCAGGGAGCCGCAGTGAATTGTAGAGGAAGACTTGTCCTTTGTAGATCTCTGGAAGGATAACTTGGAAGAACCTCCCCTTGCTGAATCAGATGTCATCATGATCTGTTCATTTTGGGAGACTGAAGGGGAGGAATCTCGTTTGGAAAATTAATTCGAGTAAGAGGATGAACATACCACCGTGAGAAGGAGTAAATGTAATATCGTTTCTTGACATTATGTGTACATAAAACGCGCGTATATGTATGGCAAACTTTTTGTCAGATGGAAGCTCATATAACAAGGTACTCGCCGTCAACCCTGTCCATAGCTTTCCTCCACCTGAATGCTTGCACACGGTCTCCATTTTCTTTGGCACTGTCGCGCCTGCGCTGTACTTCATCGTAGTCTGCGTCCTGCACATCTTGCATGTCGTTCTCGGCCCAGACCTTCTCGAGAACATCCAAGACTGAGATGTTGTTGAAGAAACCACTCTCGATCTGGACTTCTATACATCTGTCCCGTACAAGAGCCTGATCGGCCGCATCAACACACTCTGTACCTGCAATGAACAGAGGCCATAGCAAAAACTTGTTAACACATGAAGTGATTTCTAGCGCAGCAATGTGCGAGAGAGCGTTCCGGACATGTGCCTGGAACTTTGGTGACGAGGACGGCAGGAACGGATGCGCTAGACGTTCGGTGTATAGCAACGCTGACGAGCGGAAGGACTCGTTAATATGAGTCAGATCTCGTTGTCCGGGCTCTAGCGAGGCGCGCGAAGGGTCAAGAGCTGTGGGCGATAGACATGGACTCTCCATCGACCATGTCTCGAGGCGAGATCGAATGTCGTGCCACTCTTTCCAAAATTCTTGCCTCGTATCCGAATGATCTCTGAAAACCGTATGGTTGTCTTCCGGAACATCAGCCAGGAGGGCGCCCCAGCCGTTACCATCGAGTCGGCTGAAATCCATCGGCCCAACTTGGGGTCTTGAGCGCCACGCCTTTGAGGTCGAAGACACCCCTTGGTCCTTGGCTTTCGGTGTCGCCGTCGCACCGTAGGACGGCTTGGAGTTTCTAGGATCAGGGCGCACTGGGCGATTCTGTGACAACAGATTTAAGCGACCGAGGCGTGCGATCAGCTTGAATAATCGACCATCACATCCCGAGAATTGCTCAAGGGCACCTAGATTGGACGAGTAGTGCAGCATGTCTAGACGATCGCCTTGGATTTCAGTCTCTCTGTCATTCACGGTCGAGGTCATGACATCGAACCAGGCGAAAAACATCTCCACCCAGCCAATGAAGCCTGTTCGGACGCCAGGATCACGCATGGTGAGAAGCTTCTGAACGCCCTCAAGCTGTGTCTTGAACTTCGAAAACCCACTGTCGCAGACGTGGAACAAGCAAAGAATGAGCAAGATGGCAAGGACAGAATCGTCCTGAGCATTGACTGTGTCAGCCAATTGCGCTTGCAAGTGACCAATCGAGACGCTCTTGTAGTAAGTCTCTTCGGGCGACGGTCGGGCTAGAATGCTGTTGTTCTCCTGCTGCTCTTTGTCGAGCTCCTCAATGAAGCCTGTGGGAGGCGATCTCTTGTGCAGACGCATGCGCATATTGTTCAGCGACAGAGATGCAAGAGCATTCTGGAGACCCTCGTTATGTGTGGCAAGTTGGAGAATGTGCATCCTATATGGGTTGATTGTGTCATCGAATGCAACAAGAACAGAGCAGATATGCTTGTCGTAGTAATCCAGCAGATATTGCATTCTTGGCGACAGGTGGTAAAATAAGGATGTCGCCATGGCTCTCGGTATGGAAACATTCAAGTCTTGCATATCAGCCAAGGACTGTTGTGAAGTCGTCAACGCAAGATCAAGGTTGTTGTACTCGAAGTCCTCGGATGGCATGCTTTGATCATAATCTACCTTCGTCGTATCGTATGTGGGCTCGAAGAAAGACACGTCCTGCTGCTGCGAGAAAGTCATATCCTCGGGGGAAGTTGATGTGTTGAGGGGCTGATCAGAATAAAAGGTCGGCTGTGTCTGAGGATATGATTCGGAACAAGATTGATTTGCAACATCCAGAAGGTTGTAATTAGTAGAAGACTGCATGCCCTCATTGTAGGATAACGATGCTGGTGTCAATGGATAGTCGGAGGGATTCAGCAAATGACGATTTTCGTACGGCGAGGTGGGAGATGTGTGTTCCTGGTTCGCGTATTGCTGCATCGGTTGCCAAAAGACAGGCTGTTGAGGGTCAAGCGGGGAAAGAATGCCATAAGAGGGAGTTCGAAGTGGTTCTTGAGAGGCGGGCTGTGGGATATTGGTGCTCAAGTTTATACGTGGAGGCGCAGGGCGATCCGAGGCAGGTGCGGTGGTGGATGCTTTCCTTCGAGGTTGCGATACGCTGTTCCTTTTGGTGACGCCCACGGGCCCGTCGGCCTTCTCAGCCACCGGACATGTCAAGCCTCTCAGCTTTCCTCGACTAGCAATACCCACCCCCCACGTGAGAGTCGTCTTGTATCCCGAGCAGTCTTTTCCAATTTCAAGGCACTGTCCACAGTACGGTCTCCTGCGGTCACACGGCGCATTTCGTTTTCGGCACGCAAAGCAGTCGTCGGCCGCGCCTGTTGTCGTGGTCCTCCTTCTCCGCTTTCGGATGCTTGGTTTGCTCTCGGGTCCCGCGTCGGGCTCTGTTTTGATACATGCCGTCGTCATGTTGACTGGGGGTTCGCAAAAGGTCCGGTCAGGTCGAGTGATCAAATTGGGCTCATTGAACGTCTTTCGATGGCCGAAGTCTCTCAGAAGTGGGCGGATTCGCTTCCGGATGGTAGAGAGTGGCGTCTAGTCAAAGATATCGTTTTTGGATCGGCTAAGATATCATGTTCCGGCGAAGAGAGGTGATTTTGGAAGGATGTCGAGTACTCGTGTGAGACTTTTGATTTCAAACGATACGCAAAATACTGGGTCATATTGACTTCTCATGTGTCGAGCTAGGGAAAGCCCGCGCATCACTCCGTTTCCCACACCTTCGCGAACCGCAATCCCCATGTGCCTCTGGCGAGAACCGAGGCTCGAAGGAGCGGTCGAAACCTTATCGCTATATACCCCCGCCAATGAGAGGTCTTATCGTCTCTTGCGCCAGTTTGCTCGTATCTTCGCAAGGCCCTGTTTTAATTATCAATCGTTCTACGAAATTTGCCTTGATACACAACCCATGCTCATCGCGCGTCGAGGCACTAAGCGACTCTCACAGAACGGTGTCTGCTCCCTGTCCAAATGCCGCCCCTCAGGCTCGACACTCGCTTTCGCTTCCATTAGTCATCTCTGATCAGCGACTTGGACTTAGGCGAGCTACCTATCTCCAGGCTCAACCCCGCAAGGATGGGAACCTTCACGGACCAGCCAGGGTCACAACGGCCGAAAGCACGCCTCCAACCATGAGCACCTCATCTTTCTCCGCACCAACACCATCATTGTCTAGACGAGGCGCCCAGAGGCCCTTTATTTGTGCCTTTGCTCACGCACATCCGCCTAAATATGCACCTTTCTTCCACCTGACGTATCTGATCTCATTGCTGACTTTACCCAACCGCGTGCGCCGGACGTTAGTCCTCGCCGTACAGAGTTCAATTGGTCAAAGTCTCTGTAAATATTATTCCGTGCCCTGGCTAATTCGCCGAATTCAACAATCGCTTCATCCTTTGACAAACGTCCGAGTTCTCCTTACATGTGAACATAGCAAAGCTTGGTCCGTCTACAACCAGCCATGACGACTCTTCACAGCAATACCTGTCCTAACTCACGCTTAGCTGCGGCCTTGCATCCGTGCTTCGCGAAGCAACAAGTCTGTGATGAGCCCATAGAGCGGTAAGACCGGAGACGGGCCTTTCATTATCCTGACCTCAGCTGCTTTGAGATGTGTGGTCACGTCAACAGGCTCGCGCTGTTGGTCTCCTCATCTAAATGTGTATCGTTGATGGCCTGCACCCCTCTTTTGACAGCTGCAAGCATAACCGACAGGCTGGCTACCAACAACAATGCGTTGACGGCAGCGGAACATCGAGCAACAAGTAACGTGGCGTTCTCACTGCTGTATTCACGCTTTCAAAGGGGAAATCGACGACAATAAAGAGCCAACAGCATGTACTCGGACGGCACAGATCAATTGGCAATACATATGGCTACTGTCAGAATCAGTATGTTATAAGGGGCATCTTACATCAAGGAGGAAATAGGTCACCAATCCTCGAAGCCTTCTTTAAATCTATTGTTATCAAGACACACTGAAAGAGCTATATATCAAGATGAGTGCCGGCCAAGGTGGGTTCTTCAAACACCAATGCACTTATTTCCAACTTTGCGGGCGTTGGACAATACAAAACTTTGATGCTTGTGGACATTGCATGTCCGAAGGCAGAAAGTCTCCGAGGGAGGCCGACTATCGTCCTGCCGTGCAGAATGTCACCACAACGGTCAGTATGATACAAAACATGGTGGCGGATAGATTTGACATGGTTTACAGAAGTCGACCCGCAAAGCATCGCAGTAGACGTGCCGCATTGGCACCTCAGAACTAGTTCCAATGATCAGAAAATCGGAGTGACGGATGACTCTGAATTGGGGTATTGGCAGGGGTGAAAAGAAGTGCTATTCATGATGTTTGGAGCGATCGCGAGGATACATGAGCTCCTAGCTACAAGCCGCATGGACGACTGAGATCATGCGACAGACTATATGCTTACAGAACAATGCAACGCCCATCGAGCTCCTGACCCGATTGCATATTGTCCAACATCAAGTGAACGTTTTGGCGATCTGCTGCGGTGAGAGCGGAGTTCGCAACCATACTCACACTTCGGCCCACAGCTCACTGGAGCAATGATCAAAATCGCCGTCGTAGAAGACATCTACATTGTATTTTGTCCGTACGTCGGTTTCAAGGCTTTATGTATTGCCAGGCTTGATCGGTGCCTCTTTCGAACAATGCTATACATGATAAAAGTGTGACCATGCTAGTCGCTGCGTCCAAGGTCTACCAAAGTCCTGGTTCATCCGTCTTCTCCCGCAGCCGAGTGGCGTGAGGAGAATAAGATGATGTTGGAGTCCGTCCATAAGAGCAGCACGGAGAGATGCTGGTGGTAATAATCTAGGCAACGACCGACAGAAAGTACAGTACGCGCGAGATATCCTATCAGAGGAACGTAATGCCGATTTGGCATTACAAACAACTGATATCCTAGATAGCGGCACCGTATAGCATCCGAGGCTCAGGGCAAAATGTGAAGGCGGGGCGAAGCCGGCACTGATAGGAACATGTTGATATACACATGTCGACGACCAATCAACATGAGTTTGCACCGAAACACTATACATTCTCGAAATTGGATGAGATACACCGAAGTTCTTCTCCACCTTATCGACCAGCCGAGCAGGCTCATTTGGTCAGACTCATAGTCGTACTTGATTGCTCCCGAAGGGGAAAACTGTAGCATACAACGATACTAGAACTTCTCTTGAGCAGGTCTCATGTCGAGCTCGTGCGTCCACAAACATGGCTCCTGCTCTGACAGCCACAGGTACGTCTTACCCACAGCTTCGGCAGATATCTTCTTTCCGGTCTTCTGGTCTTCACCGTCCTTATCCTCTATCGAGCCATTGCCAATGCAGTGTGCTACATGTACACCTTTTGCACTGAATTCACGAGCAAGCGTCTGGGCAAGCTGCCTCACACTAGCCCTGCCAGCTCCGTAGGCAGCATACTCCGCATTGCATCGCAGCGCACCCAGAGTTCCGGTGAAGATCAGAGTACCTTTCTTGGGGGACCCTTCTGCCAGAGTGGACTCTCCGTGGTCATTGAAGAATCGCTTTAGCGACTCTTGTGCGAATGTGAAGGCACCTCCAACATAAGTCTCCAAGGAGTCGGTGAACTGATCATAAGTCTCGTCGAGGAAAGGCTTCTTTGTCGAGTGCTTGACGTTGTAGATGGCAACACGTAATTTAAGACCCTTGAAGGATTGATGTTGACTGATGTCCGAAAATGCTTTCTTCAACGATTCAGGCGAGGTGTCCGATGGGAAAGCTTCAACAGTTGGATTGTCAAGAGACGACTTGAGACCATTGGCAATATCGTCCAACACCTCTGAGCGTCGAGCAAGCAGAGCAACGGCCATGTTTCCACGAGCAGGATCCGCTAGGACGCGTGCAATACCAGCACCCTGTAACTTTTAGCACAGTAGGTTAGCCGACCAAAGACTCACTCACGGTAGCAGGGCCCGCGCCCAACAGAATTGCCAATCCGGATGGAGCCATTGGGAAAGTTGATCCCATGTGAGAGTTGACCAGCTTATGCAGAACAGAGTGAGAAGTGCAAGTGGTTCTTCCTCGTACCTACCTGATCGTCCATTCGCAGCTGTATGAGCTCATCAATATTATTGACGTCATTGCGCGTTACCATGAACAGAGGGTTCAATGGTCAGGAAGTTTAGCATCTAACAAGACTCTCGTCGTCTTAAGAACCAGTGATTGGTTTTATGGCAGCCGGCTTACCTCTCGCGGCCTCAATGACATTGCATGTTCATACGTTCTTGCCTCAGCCTAGAGCTGTTCATTGGCAATTGACTTTAGGATGTAAATGCCAGTGCACAAGTGAAAATATGAGCTGAGGGGGGATAATTAGCTTGCGCTTCGGCTGTGATGACACCCAATCGGAAGTCGAACGCGCGGTAGCGAACATGATCAACTCGAAGTGGCGGTGGTCGCGGGCAGAAACGCACGACAACAATGCAGGAGGTATTTGGAGAGATGAAGCGTCGTCTTGCCAAGTGGTTGCGCGGATGCAGTGGCGGTCGACTTGACCGCCGTCATGCAAAACGACAAGACCAAGCAGAGCATGACTCTTTGAGTGGTGAAGGCAGCTTGTGTGAGGCTTGGATGCTAAGAAAAGGCGTGCAAGGACTCTGGTGGAGCGACTGACACGTGGAGCCGTTGGTCGGATGGTGGCCGGATGGTGGCCGGAGACGCAGACCCCGTTTACCGGGATGGGCATGACCAAGATCAAAGACAAGAAATGTCCCCATAGAGACATGGATGGACAAGTCGAGTCAGATCAGCAATAGGAGGTGTCGACATGGCGAGTCTAGACGAAAAGTGGCAGAGCATGTGAGTGGATAGTCAGGGTAGATGGGGGCGGTTAGACGAGTGGTTGGTTTCAGCTTGGCAGGAGATGATCGTCGTGGCACCGTGAGCGAGCGTGGGCTAGACAATCAAAGGCTGCGAGAGAAGGCGGATCACATCGAGACATGTTGGAGTTGTAAACAATTCAAAGCACGCCTTGGACTGGCCATGCTGCAGCTGCAGCCCTTGCAATCAAGACAATGGCGACACCGCAGTACCAAGCACAAACAAGGATCCAATTGACGGTCCCTCGCCGACCGCGCTTCGCCCTCGGGCGGACCAACTCTGCGCCCCTGATCGCGACAGCGAAAGATGCCGTCAGTGAGCAGCAAGCATCGCACAGCCGGCCATGCACTCCCTTGACGATGGCCATGTCGTCGACGGATGCGTACGGCAGGTCGGAGGCATCCGGCGGGCATGATGGGCATGATGAGCCAAACGGTTTGAGGAGCAACGGCTTCCTGCAGACCAACAACGCCGCTGGATACGAAGTCAACATTGCTGTTGTCGGGAGCGTCGGCGTAGGCAAGTCGACCTTCATCCAGCAGTCCCTGGGCCTCGCACAACGGCCGACAGAGGCAGTCAATGCCTGCAGCATCTCCCTCGACAGCGGCACCTTCTTTGTGCGCATGCTAGAGTGCCAACTCGAAGACGTCCACATCGACAAGGAGAACCGCATCACCTGGCCCTTGGACCCGCACATGCCATCCATCGACGCTGCATACACCCTGTACGACTGCTCGGACAAAGACACGTTCGAAGAGGTGCCCATCGTGCTGAGTGAGTGCTGCTGCTCGTCGTGTACCCGCTCTCCGGCTAACGCTCGTCCAGACGCGCTCGAGAAAGCATCAGTGCCGTCGGTGCTTGTCTCGAACAAATGCGACAAGGCAGATCGCCAGCTCGACCCAAACAACATCGAACAACGAGCAAAAGCCATCCTCCGCTCGCTCGACACTCTGCAGTCTTCCATATCGCATGTCGACTCTCACGCAAAGGGTCTAGCCAGCTTGTTGAAAGCTGTTTCGGGCAAGTCGCATCCCAAACCTGTCCACCCACATCCATGGCCCAATCGCCTCCACCATGGCGCAGCGAACCACGCAAACATGTCTTGTTTGTCTCGACTGTGCCGCCTCAGCGCCCCGCCAGTGCCCTAAACACCACACGCACACATTCCACCTGCTAACATCCACCCAGTCCAGAGAGACCCCTCCCTATCCCGCCGACGAACCATCTCATCTGCCCTCCTGTTCACCCAACCTCCAACATCACCCTCGACCCAGCGCCACGCAAGAGCAAGCTCAATACGGTCCAACAACATGCGGAAAGACCTCCGCCACGATTCCACAACCATGACAACAAGTCCCTCGAATGTCGCAAAGCCGCCCATCGACATTGATGACACTGTCGATGAATCACGCGACGATATGACCGACTCTTCTCACTCCGAGCATGCTTCGTCCTCCGATGATGGCGCTCTCGACGTTGACAGTCAGTCAGAAGCTCCCTCGGACGAGCGAGGCTACTCTTTTGACAATCTTGTCGATCGTCTCCTGAAACTGCCCAAGTCAAAGGCCGACACGAGATTCGGGGCCGTCTTCCTCGCTCTGTATCGGAAGTTTGCCGCCCCCGGCCAATTGCTGGAGGCCATAGTTCACCGATTCGAGGCTCTGGAGAATCAAGGAGGCCCATTCATGACCAAAACAGTCTCACAACTACGCTACCTATCTGTCATCGAGCAATGGATAGGTACGTATCCTGGTGACTTTGCACACACCAAGACCCGCCATCGGATGCGTACCTTCGTCGCCAAGTTGTCAAACACCCGCATCTTCTCGGCCGCCGCGCGCGAGATGAGCTGTGATCTGGATGTCGTTGTGGAAGATGACGATACCAATTGGGCATGTTGCGATTCGGAACGTGAGACACATGGTCTTTTGAGCCCAGAACCAGGCTGGTCATCCCGTACAAGCACACTCCTAGACGACCCTGAGTTTGACTTTGGCGACAACCTTGGGAGTCTCTCTCTTGATGGCGGTCAGAACAGGAATCAAACACACTCACTGCATACCGACTTCGGAATGCTCCAGACCGTTGACGCAGCAAGACGTCAGGGACCTTCATTAGTCCCGGTGCCGAAAATGGCCATCAGCAAGATGCATTGGCACATGTTGATGGAAACGCCAACGGACCTCATCGCTTGCGAGCTGACTCGGATCGACTGGATCATGTTCAGTGCTGTCCGTCCGCGCGATCTGGTTCGCCATGTGTCTTTGTCTCAGTCTCAAAAAGCGCAATGCAAGTCGTTGGTACATGTCAGCCGTATGATCGATCATTTCAACCACATTCGCGATTGGGTAGCCAACTTCATCTTGCTGCGAGAAAAGGCAAAGCATCGAGTATTGATGTTGGAGAAGCTCATGCATGTCGCACGCAAATTGCGAGAGATGAACAACTACAATTCGCTAGGTGCCTTCCTTGCTGGTATCAGCAGTGCGGCTGTGCATCGACTTGCCGCTACTCGAGAATTGTTAACGCCTGAGACTGGCAAGGACTGGATGAAGTTGGAGATTTTGATGTCTCCAACCCGTTCCTACTCGGCCTATCGGCTGGCTTGGGAGAATTCTAGTGCAGAGCGAATTCCATTCCTACCTCTACCAATTCGAGATCTTGTAGCTGCCGCCGAAGGCAACAAGACATATATTGGTGATGAGGCTAACGCCAGAATTAATTGGCGCAAATTCGAGGTCATGGGAGAAACGATCGTCGGGATTCAAAGAGCTCAAGGTTTACCTTATAGAAACTCGATGCTCGGTCCCAGAAATGATGAACTCAGAGCCCTGATACTCAACAGCAACATGATCAGAGACGACGAGGTAAGCCGAGCTGATACATGTCACCAAAGCATCAAGACTGACATGGCTTTCTAGGCGCTTTATGAACGCAGCTGCTCCATCGAAAACGCCGACAGACGAGGATTGCGGGAACTCTTCAGACGCGCGTGAATAACCCGGCGTCTTCCCAACTCACTTTACTAGCATTGTTACTCGGCGTTTTCACACAATTGGCATGCATATGAACTAATGATTTTGACCTCGACCTTTCATGTCGAGCAGTTGTAAAGAGCTAAAAGCGATTCCAGGAATGACCATGGAATCTCCCTGCGGATTTGTGGCGTGTCTTAGCAGCATGCTGCTTGATCAGAGAAACTGTGGTGCTTACATTTCTATACTATTACATATATCCAGTATCTAGACTTTGTGCCTGCCTCACGGCAGTCTGTACATTTTCATCTCATGTTTGCTATCTCACGAAGCGATCGCGCGTTTGCGTGGCGACGCTCTGAATTTTGGTCACTTGCCGCCGAGCACAAGTCTAAAAATGCTTCGATGTGTAGTGTGTTTCATGGACTGGCCTGCTATGTATCCCAATTTGAAGAGCGTTTGTTCAGAGCCGCAGGAGATCAACATATCTATACATGCACGTCAATCTGAATATCCACGTGTTGATCTGGAGGCGCATAAATATCGAAACGTTAATCATGACTCGATGACCTCACTATACCGCCTGCCGGCTCCAATCTCATAGGGCATAAGTGTGGCACACTAATCGTCGTTTGAACTAGACAGTTACTTTTTTTCCTTGTTACATATGTTCTGAGATTCCTAAGCATAGCATGCGGAGTTGAGTCTACCTATTTTCTTCTAATCATAATATCGCGTTCTACTAGAAATGGCGTGGTTCAGGCGAGATTCGCCAAACACAATCACGTAAGTTGACAATGAAGACTGTGATTCCAACTCAACAGTGCTAATTTGCCGTATAGAGCATGGGATTACAAGTTTGTGCTCACAGATGAGCACTTGACACTTGAGCAGATGAACCCGAAGAAACAAACATGGGACTATCTGGGAGAAAAGGCATTAAATCGACTAAACGAGATATCGCCACCACCTCCGCGAATTTCACCAAAGAAATCAGAGGGGAATGAGCCTTTTCCGGACGAGGAGAAGCAGCCTGCACCAGACGTCAAACCGAAGAGAGATCTTTATGCGTTACTTCGCGACCATGCTGAAGAGGACGAGGTGTTGCAAAATCTTTGGCAGCAAGTCAACACCGTGCCGGAATGGGTAGACTGGGACCAGATCGCTCGTGGACAGGATGTTTTCTATCGATATGGAGGACCGGTTCTTACTGGACTGGCATATCAATCTCTTCTCGGTGGACTTGGTGCAGCTCGAGTGACCGAGGTCTTGTCACGGACTGGTGGATTCGCCGTGGATGTGGCAAGAAACCGTCTGTTCGAAACCACACAGTACTTGCTCCAATGCACGAGATCACTGGAAGGTATTCAACCCGGTGGAGAAGGATGGGCCGCCACGATAAGAGTGCGATTATTACACGCAACAGTGCGGAACCGCATCATGAAATTGGCAGAGACGCGGCCGGAATACTTCGATACGGCGAAGCTAGGAATTCCTATCAACGACATGGACTGCGTTGGTACCATCGTCAGCTTTTCGAGTGCCCTCATCCATCTTTCTTTACCACGACAAGGAATCTACCTTCGCCCACAGGAAATAGAAGACTACACTGCGTTGTGGCGATACATAGCCCACGTGATTGGCTGTCCTACTGATGGTCTCCTGGAAACCAAAGAACAGAGCAAGCGCATTCTTGACATTATCATGATGCACGAGATTGCACCCACACGGACATCGCAAATCCTTGCCAATAATGTGATTAGGAGTCTGCAAGACAGAGAGCCGGGTTACGCATCAGCAGATTTCCTGGTGGCAGGAGCACGATGGTTGAACGGAAACCAATTGTGTGATGCTTTGGCACTGCCGAGGCCGAGTATGTATTACACGGCCCTCATGGCTGGCCAGTGCATATTCTTTGCCTTTTGGTGCTACTCAAATCGTATGAACAAGTCAACAGACAAAAAGAAGCTGGTTGTTCTGCGAGACATATTTTGGAAGATTGTCGTCAAGGGCGGATTGAAGGGTGAAGAAACATCGTTCGACTTCAAGTATGTGCCGGAGTACAGCATCATGACAGAAATGGGTGGTGACGACAAAGTCAAGTTGTCGAGGTCGGAGATCGAGGTCGCAAGTCTGAAGTGGTTGTTGATGGGTGTGGCGGTCGTGTCTGTGGTTGGCTTTGTGGTCACCAAGGTCGGCTTCATGAGTGCGCGTCTTGCGACCTGGGGCATCAAGAGTGCTTGGAGCGTTTTATAGAACCAGTATCATCTGGTAATGATCTGGCACTGACTTTGCATAGCTCAGAAATCAGAACCAGTTCTATCATGCATACCTCTGTGTTGTGATATATTTGCTGACGGCAGTTGCTCACGGTGTCGACCACCTTACAGGGCTATCTATAAAGTAAGTTGCAAAACGCACATTGTTATGAGAAGAGAGAGGTGATCGAAAAGGTGCTTGCCGGGATTTGCGGAGTTTAGCTTTGTTTCAGGGTTCTGCCTGGCGGTCTGAGGTCAGGCATGGGCGAATTATGTCGAGACTTTCTCATTCTATAAACAAGACAACAACCAAATTCTTACAACTAGATGCAGCGTTCATATAGATGTCCTTGCTCTGTGCGAGCTCTGGAGGCATTTGTACGAGATGTCGCTGGCCTCGACATTCGTCAACGACGCAACTTTATCAGCTTCAGGAATCTAAGCACCCGTTCGACACTGCAGATGCGGCCTTCTTCGATGCACTCCGCTATCCCTCAAGCACACACAGTCACTCGATCTCTCGATGACACTTTCGTACCGTTCGAGTCTACTACTACTACTACTCTTGGACAATCACATACAACGCAAAATGCCCTTTCGCAGTCGTCGTCACTTACAACACCTCCGATCGACACATCAAACACACCGGAGCCGTTCGACCCAGATGAAGAGCTTGGAAGCATAGAGGAGTTCGAGCCTGAGATAACAATACATGAAGAGCATGCACAAACTGAAGCCGACCCGATCGTACGAGACGCGCAGATACAACATCTAGACCTGAAGGACCGAGACCAAGCGATTGATGCCATATTCTTCCCAGACTTAGTCGCGCACACACCATCCAAATCGAACGACTTGCAGACTCTAGGCCAAAGGCTCAATATATTCTTCTCACCTACAACAGCACAAAATTATCCTGGCAAGAATGCTCGCAAAAAGGCAAGGAAAGCAACACAAGTTGTAGGTGCACAGCCGACTCCACCTAAACGACCAATCTCGAAATCAAAGACCAGAAAGGAGCCGGCCCAAACACCAGAGCTCGACGCAAAAGCAAAGGCAAAAGCAGACAGAAAGGCAAAGCGAGCGGCACGAACCGCAAAAGTCCAAAAGGCAGTCCTGGAACAAGATGCCGAAGATGAAGACACAATCGATATGGCCTCTTTGATCGCATCCGCAACAGGTCCTAAACCTCTTTCCGAAGCAAAGGCAAAGAAAATAGCAATAGCGATAAAGGCCAGAAAAGCAGAAGAAAAAGCTGCCAAAAAGGCTGCTATGGAAAAACTCGTCGAGCAGCAGGCAGCAGCCAAAGAAGCTCAAAAGGAGCGTAATCGCAATAAAGAGCGCTGGCAGGTTGAGAAAGCAGTGCTGCAAGAGAAATTCGGAGAACAAGGTTGGAATCCCAGAAAAAGGATTTCTCCAGATGCATTGGCTGGTATCAGATCTTTACACGCCAAATCGCCAGAGACGTTCAGTACACCTGTATTGGCCGATCATTTCAAAATCCCACCAGAAGCCATTCGCCGGATCCTAAAGAGTAAATGGCAACCCAATGAAGAAGAAGCAGAAGAGAGAAGAGAGAGATGGGAGAAAAGAGGAGAAAAGAAATGGTCAGAGATGGCCGAGCAAGGTATCAAGCCACCCAAAAAGTGGAGAGAAAGAGGTGTAGGTAAAGTTGGCCCTGGAGAGGTGCCGCCGTGGAAGCAACCTGGCAAAGCTGGCGAACGATGGATTGAAAGCACAGATGCGGATAAATTCGTTGTGGCTGGAGATCAGGTGGCCGAGGAAGATATGGATGAATTTAATGATGTTGATATTGCATCTAGGATTTTGTAGATCGGAGACGATTCGGTTCTCTACACATAATCATGATTCACCTCATCTCCCTAACGAAGTTTGCCTTATTCCATAGTATGACTCGAGCAAAGGAACAACAACATGTTCATGAGGCAGGGAAGAGCCTATAAGTCGTCTGGAAAGTGCGACCGCTGACTGAAGTCTGGGAACACGACTGGGTCCACGGCTATGGAAGGCAGAAAGGATGGAGGAACATGAATTGGGCTAAATGCCTTCTATGACGGAGCAATACTCGAGTGACCTCGCTCAAAGGTGGAGGATGGCGAAAACAGAGATTAAGGATCACCAAAATCGGCATTTCTGTATATGAGTCTGTCGTTCTCTTCTATGTGACATGGAGTGTAACTGCAAGACCTAGATCAAATCTCGAGACCATCAGTTTTGGCCTCTTGCCCATCGACTCCGGTTCCCGCAACACCATACACACGTATAGGTACTGCGACTTCGAATGTCTCGGCGATGAGTCGTTCTTTCGCAATCCTCACGACGCCTCTTTCATCCCTGCCGACTTCTTCCAGCAGATCGTCTTCTTCCTTCTCTGGTGTCAATGCAGATTCATCTTCCTCGGCGCCGACCTCGTTCTCTTCAATGCCCAGTCCACGGACTGCCTTTGGCCGTACTCGAGCTGTGACAAACTCGACCCTGACACGCCAATCCAGCTGCACACCCGTGGTCTCAAATGTCGGCGTGGCCGTGGTGGGAATCTCAAGTCTAAAAGACACTTTGCGAGCAAATAGTACGCCTTCGCTAACATGAGCATGTATCTTCCTCGTGGCGCGCTGCACGGATGACGACGATCGTAAAGCTAGGCTAGGATCCACTCGTTCGGTCGTCTCGAGCCATACATTGATTGCATAACTCGGAATTTGATCTGTTACAGACTCGGTATCTGATGTAGGTGGGGTAAAGTCGATAGTCCCCGTAATGGTCTCGCCTAGGCGATAGGCTGGTCGCACAATTGTTACTACTGCAACAAGCTGGCCGCCTCGAGCTATGGTAAAGCGATTACTAGATTGTGTGAGTTGTTCTGACGATCCTGAAGAAACGTTTGACCTCAGAATAGCCATGTCTATAGCCTCTTTCATGTTGTTTGGCGAAGCTTCGTCCGCGGAAGACCGCCTACGTGCAGGCTTTTCGGCGGTGGGTGATAGTAGTGCACCAGACTCTGACTCTGGATGTGCGAACAATTTGTCTGCGTATGACAAGAAGTCATCTAGAGAAGTAGACGACAATTTTCGTTCTGAGGGTGATTTCGTTGAAGGAAATTGCGGATTTGACCCGCTAAGCGCGATACTTTGGCTTCTAGCCTTGTCGCTCAGTAGTATGTAGGGAGACATCAAATCATGTCCCAGAGTTTCTCCTCGATCTAGAGCAGTGTGAGAACAACGTCAAGGAGCGCGATGGGATGACTTACTATTGACACTGCCAAGCACCCGAAAGGGGATCTCTAGATGCTTGACCTGCTGTTTACCTCCTGGCCTCTGTATGCCGAGAGTTAAGTGATACATGACCTTGATTGCCCGGCCTCTATGAGACGGTGGTAGTCCTCGTGGTAGGCGGAAGCGGTATGAGTAGCTTTTGGTCTCTCCTGGAGCAAGTCGCAGATCGACAAAGAGAATGGACTGAGGAGTGCTGAGCAATGGGATAGTCTTTGAGCTTGCGACACACCGCATCTCTTTGATACTGCTCATTTCACCCCCGCCTAAAAGACCACCTAGACTCTCACCAATGTTGCCCCAGCCAAAACCAAATATACCACTCTCACGCTTTGATTTCTCGACACCGACCACACCACCACCTCCTTGGCCCCCTACGACACCTTTCCGTTTCACATCCTCGAAAGGCGCCTGGTTGACCAATGAACCGTCTAGTATGAAAGAGCCCATGGTCTGAACGTAGCCCATCATAAGAGTCTCTTGCGTTTGAGTTGTAGGCATACTCGTAGGCGGAGCTTGTGGATTGCGTCCGTTGTGAGGCTTGGGCAGGATCCTACTTGGTGGCTGTGGGGCAGCATCAGACGACACGGTCTCGGACGAGTGGTTTGTCAAGGAGTAGAAATCGCTGCTAGTGCGAGGGGTATCGTTCGTACCGGCCTCAGATATGATACGAGAAAGCGGGTTGGCGTAAGATGCAGACGCGTCTGGAGGTTTTGGAGAGGAAGAATGCTGTGGTCTCTGTTGCGGAGCCGGACTTCTAGGAGGAAATTGGAAGTCGGGCACAGGAGATCGGCCAATTGCAGGAGTACCTCTTCGGGAAGCGCCAGGAGATTCTGGAGGAAATGAGAAGCTAGGTGGAGGGAAGGAAGCGGACGAGGCGGAGGGATGGCGTGGCGGAGGCATCATGTGCGATGCAGAGGGAGGCCTCTGCGGAGAGGTATTCGTAGGAGGAGCATGTTGAGCAGTAACGGGCGAAGGAAAGTTGAAGGCAGGAGTGCCTGGGGCAGTCCGAATACCAGAAGTGCGACGAGTCAGCGGAGGGTGATGGTCTTGTAGCGGAGAAGGGTTCCTATACGAGCTGAAGGACAAAGACGGAGCCTGGTATGAGGGAGCGCGCGAGAGGACCTGCATACTGGCCGAGCGGCCATGGCCACGAGCAGGAGGGCGACGCGACGTCATTGGCGTGTTTGAGAGCTGGTCGCTGCCCATTGAGATGATGGACAGAGAGCGGCCATGAGGAGCTGCATGACGGGCTGTCGTTGTGGTCGTGTTGCTGGCGGCATGACTGGGCAGTCTGGCATGAGCGGGCGATGGTGGAGGGTAGACACTGAGAGAGAGGGCGGGTCGGTGTCCTCGCGATTGCGCCGACCTTGATCCAGCTACCGATGGAGCCACAGAGGGTGCCGTCGAGAGCTGCTGCGTCGAATGCGTTACCGTCCGCTGTCTCTGTGCAGGCTTGTGTCTTGCCTTCGTCGTGTGCTCATGCCCTGTTTGTCGCGAGCCGTCGTCGCATGTGTTCTTGAAGCTGATGATGCATTCAATCTCCTCGCCCGCGAATACGCTGTTCTCCTTCCACTGCACGTACGCGCGCACTTTGGACCGAGTCGCCATACCTCATGCTGCTAAGCTGTCTAGCTGGAGAGCCATGTGTTGTTGTCTCTGTTTGATTTTGGGTGCATGCTTAGTGACTTGCTGTTCATCTCTCCACACTGCGTTTAGGCCCGTAATTCCGTCTATCCTCGTCATCAATATGCGACACTCGAGCAATGATCTCTGTGACATCAATATCGTCTTAAATATACATTAACCATCTATCATAATCGTGTACACCAGTCTCTTCCATGCGTCACTTGCCATCCACAAAGCCCGGTTTCGACGGCCATTCCCAAAAAGCCTGCAATGCAAATGCCGCCTGAATCCGACACCGATGTTGCTCCCAAGCTGAACTCTCGATCTTCCTCTGCCACTTCTTCTCCAATTCTGCGGAACGTGCTGACATAGACAATTCCTCCGAGTAGTCCTTCCCAGAAAGTGATGGCAAAGACGAACCAAATATTCGGTAGAAAGGGGAACATGGCATGCGCTGCCAGAACTATCAAGTTGAGGCATTGCAGCAATGAAGGAAGATACAGCGCGTGTATCCTGATGAACGGCAACGATGAACGGGAAATGAACACGCCAAGTTGGTAAATAGCGTTGTAAGTTGGGTAAAAGGAACGATAGTGCTCAAAGGGTGTTTGGTCGAGCGGGAAAAGCAAAGTAGGGGCGACGCCCTGGTTGATTGTATACTCTGCCACGTATACAAGGAGTAGAGGTAGCATGCTAGTTGAAGGACATCTGGGTTCAGCTTACCTGTCGAAATGTTCACTGCTGGATTGGAACGACTTACTATGGAAAGAAGAGGCTTCGGGCTCGCGCAAAGTTTGCCTTCAGATTAAGCCATGCGTCGGTGCTAACAGGGCCGTGACTAGACTTGGGGGTAGATGGCGCTTGCGGGTCGTCGAGGCCATCACTCAGGAGCGATTCGGTATCAGGGTTCACGTCTTCTTGAGCAGCGGCGACATAAGCATGGTCCTTGGACTTGAGCACGTGTTTGCCCGGCAGCAGGACGAAGAAGCTGAAGAGCATGATGACAGGCAGGAAGGAAAAGGCGAGCAGGCTGGATCGAACGCTGAAGCCTAGGGCTGTGGTGAACAGGACATATGCACCCGACCCAACTAGGCCGGCACCGCCAGTCCCAGATCCCCAAGCAGCAAGACTGAAAGGGCCGTAGAAGTGTGTCAGGCCTAGGAAGCTTAGTTCACCTCCTCCACTGCTGATCGAGGCCAGTATTACTCCTAGCATCTTGACAGTGATAGAAGTAGCATGCACATCAGAGCCTGGCGAGCCCGGGCTCAGAGCAACGAGGAGCATACCACATGATGAGAGGGCGACAAAGGCAAGGATTCGCAGGTTGTAGGGAATTAGGTGAATGTAGTACGGGGCGGTCAGCTTGACCAGAAAGGAGGGAACGACGTCGAAGAGCAGGACAAGCGACTTTGGTACAGCAGGACCAACGAGGTCTAGAGCACTGCTGAGAATAATCACGTAGAGAACATTGTTTATGAGACCTGGTTCGAAGGGTTAGGTACGTGTGTCGAGCGAGGAACAAGGGGCCAGGGGTGAGGGCGCGCACCAAACAACCAGAACGAGGCGACGACGCGCTTGTCGAGACGTTGCACCATGGTAGACAGACTGAGACGAAAGCGAGCAGCAGAAGACGAAGGAGTGCCTGGCAGAGGGAGCATGGTCTAACGGGGCTCTAGACAGAGATATGCACGTTGTCAAGAGTGGAGCCCTAGCTCTGTCGGTGACGCATTGCAAAGTTAGTTTCGAGTNGCGGNGGGCGNGAGCCAATGTCTCGCGCGAATCGCTGCTTGAACAAGGAAGCAAGCTCAATTGCCCCGACCCTCTCACAATTCACATCTTCGTCTTTGTTTTTCTTCGACTCTCTCCTGCCAAAGCTCGTCGCCTGCTCAAGTCTCTCTCTATACCTCAAGTCCAGTAGCAGTGCAGTATGCACAAGTCTGCATCCGTCCATGGTAAGGTGCACCTGATCTAGTGGTCGAAATGTCTCGGACTAACATGGATTCTTCGTGTCAAGATGGATAATCGACTGCCACAACCCTCGTCCCAGGCATTCGCGGCCTCGCATCCCCCAGGCTCGCAGCCCTCGTCGTCGTCGCATACTCCATATCAGAGCCAAACGGCGCAACCGCCAGTACAAATCCCCTTCTCGGACCCGTTTCATCACACGCGCGACCCGTTCATGCCCTCGTCGACCCAGCACAGTAGACGCGACAGCTACAGCATTGGTCCCGGCGGGGCGTCTACAACACCTACAATGGGCGCACCGTACGAAAGAGCTTGGAGTACACAGCCACAGGCACCAGGTATGACAATCAAGTCTTTGTTCTCGCTGTCATGCTGCTCCCTGGCTGGACAGTTAGCATGACAGCTTGAATCATAGGGTTCAGCAGCCACCCGACCGTGCACCACGCGGATCTTGCGGGAACTAAAGCAAATGCTAAAGATTTTCTGACCACCCCGGATTTAGCTCATCACCAACAACCCGCTCCTCCCCATCAACAACACACCCAAGCGACCCATCCTGTCCATCATCCGCTCCCACCTTCGACGACATCTGCTTCGGCCCCATCCTCTGCTCACATGTCGAGTGGGCCCTTCCCTTATGACTCTGCGCGTCGTCGCTCTGTAGGCAGCGAGCGCTATCCCGGAGGCATGTTTGCTTATGCCGTCAAGCTTGCCATGAAGAACATGGGCTGACTTTTGTCGCAGCGCCGCTCGATCCCCCTCCTCCACCACAAAATTCTTACCCACCCCGTAACATGCCGCCGCCTTCTCCGACCTCTGGGCCTGCGCCCTCTGCTTTCTCCATGCCTGCGCCGCGCCACACCCCGTCCGCCTCGCCTTATGTTGGCTCGAGAGAACTGCCAGGCTTCAGCTCGCGACCCGGCACGACCATGTCCATCTCCTCCCTGATTGGCGGTGACCAGTCTCGACATGGCAACCACTCTCCAAAGACTGTCGCAACTGCGCCATCGCCGCCGATGAAGCCTATACACACCTCGTCTCCGCAAAGAGCCCGTTCCGCCAGCACAAGAGCTCCAGCTGGCCACTACCCGCGACCACACAGCCCTTCCATGATGCAGCCTCAGAGACCTCAAGAGTCAAAGTCTCAGCCATTCAACCAGTCCGGCATACATCAACCTCCTCACATGCTACAACACAGTGCCGCTCCAGGCTTCCGTCCTTTCCCGTCATCTCCCTCGTCGGCCCAGCACGAGGACCATCACCAACATCCCGGCCATGCGCCGTCACGTCCGAACAGCCAGCCCATGCATGCTCACCTGGACCAGGAGCTACGAAACAGACAAGACATGCACGATCGCCCTCCGCCGCGCCATTCTTCCGCATTTCCACCATATGTTGATCCCATGGGCAGACCTGGCGCATCCTCGCAACCGCCTTCGAGACCGGACCTTGAACGGCCGGACCTTAATCTACACGGACACTACCAACTTCCTCACGCCATGTCATACACAGCGCGCTCTACACCTGCTCCTCCTCCTCAGACATATGGTCGCCTCAACTTTGGTCCTGCGCGAGAGGAATACCCTGGCTTTTTCCGTCCCGCAGTACAAATGCCGAGCAGAGAAGAGATGGAACAGCGCGGTGTGCACAATGAAATGATGGGTCGACCCGAACACCGACACTCACCTGCGATGAACGGCATGGATGACAGACAAAGACCCAACGCTGCGCATTATGCAATGTATGGTGTGCCGGGCTACGAAGCAAGAGAAGGAGAAGAGCATCCGCTACAGCGAGCCTTCCTAGGCGTCGCATCCGAGATCAGACACAAGAACGGACGGTCATCACCGCTACCGCAGGCTGTTCAAGGAGTGCAATCACGACACATCGGTCCCGGAGCAGATCCTGGCGTCAAAAGTGAGTTTGGTCGAATGTTTTCGGGTCTAGGCAGCGGTGTTGGTAGTAATACTCCCACAGCCGGCATCGCAACCCCTTCACGTGGAAGCCCTGCTAGACAGGCGGACGCCAACGAAGATACGGAGAGCAGAAAAGCTCGCAGCAGATTGAGGGAAGACAACCGAGAAGACAGTGACAGCGTGGATGGTAGGAATACTCCGACTGCTAGCCAGAGAGGCAGCAAGCGTCCGAAGATATCGCATCAGCCACCGCACCACCACCACCATCACACCCACCCACACCAGTAAGTTCGAATGGTAACACTTCTTGGACGACCACGCTGATGCTGACAAGACCCCCTAGCCACCATCATCATCATCACGGCCTGCCTGAAGAGCAAATGCCTCAGGGCCCTGCTCCCTTCCACCCTCTCCGTTTCCCATCCAACGCCAGTACTCCACAGCAATCTGCTGCTACTGCCGCACATCACCATCACCATCATCACCATCACGCCGTTCATGCCCATCCACTTCATCACCATCACCACAACGCGAGACCCCCGCCTATGCCTTCAGCTCGCAAACCTCAAACTATCGTTTCCAACCAAGATTTACTTGCGTCCATCTCGACCTTGCCACGGAAACATCTTGGAAGTCAAGTTTACTCTACTAAATTCAGCGTACCTCCGAGGGAGTCCAACCCGCTCGACTCCAAATATCATTTCAAGAGCTCGGTCAAGCCAATACCTCGTTTCGAAGGCAAAGACAACTGTACGTTCACCGTCCGTGTACCACGCGCCTACCTCAACGGGCCAGATACGACTGACGAGGAAAATGGCACTGTTGCTGGCGGCTTGGAGGAAATATGCAAGACGCGAGCAGTTTGGGGTTCTGACGTTTATTCTGACGATTCTGACCCCGTTGCCGCCGCTGTTCACTCTGGCTGGATCCGTGGCGACTTTGGCGAATTCAACGAGGATCTTCGTGAGCTGTTCGCCGAGCAAGCCAACGATGCTTCGGAGACTCCAGAGCTGGGCAGGGTCGTCACTGAAAAGCCAAAGGCACCTCTGCGCACACTGCCACAGGCTGACTTGCATATTACGCTACTCTTGCTGCCTGCACTTACTCACTACATGGCTTCAACACAAAATTTCCTGCGCTCTCGCGAGTGGGGGTCTGATCACGATGGCGTTAGCTACATGATCCACGCTGTCGAGTTTGTGGAAGAAAGCACATCGAACAGATTCACCGAGCGCAGTGCAGCGGCCAGACATCAACGTATCAAAGATGACTTGACACGCAGAAGTGAAGCAGCGGAGAGTCTGCTCGGCTTGTTGCAAGGCTCTAGAGGGAACATGACACCAGCTAGTTCGAACGTCTCTGTTGGTGCTTGAGGCGTGTCAAGCGTTTTGGAAGTCTGTGAGGCATATCAGTAGGATAATATAAGATCAAAAAAGCAGATAATGTCATCAAGAAATTATCAATCTCAACTCGATCTTTGGAACAGCGAGAGAACAGCTGAGTGTGTCTGTATCTCTTGCCAGAAGTCAGCCGTGCGAGTTAGCTGCATTGAGTTAGCGCGGGTGTCGTGACTGCTGCTTTGCGATCAATCTCACGTGCTGTGCTTTGATTCTCGGTGGCTCACAGCACAAATGACAGGCCACGTCTACTGCACGATATCCACGGTCCATCTTGCTCCTCGATGGTTCGCCACCTAGCTATTATGAGACCGAAGTCGTGATGGTAAAAAGCGCTGGCGTTCTCTGTGTTGACTGTAGTACAAGCACGTAGATCGGTAAGCATACAACTCCGTGCTGGGGCGATTGCGTAAGAAGTCTACTAACGGAGGTAGCACTGATACTGAGAATTAGCTGCAGTGTCTAGCTGCATCCATCTCGTAACATTCACAGGACGATATCTCTTCGTATCAGCATTGCAAGGAAGATGACAAGAGTCAAGAAAAAACTCGTGAATCAACTACCATTACAAGTTAGGAATGATGTAAGTCTGTTATCTATGTCTACACGGTACCAGGCGGGGCAGCGGCGATGGCCTGCTGGACCAGATCAAACCCTCGCTGCCCATCTAGTCAATCCTCATCCATACTGACATCAGCCTCTTGATAGCTGACTTTAGCCTTGTTGGCTCGGCCGCTCGACCTTGCTCCAGCACGAGCCGGTCGCTTTGCAGGTGCTTCGTCTTCTGAAGCACTCAATTCGAGCTCTGAATCTTCACTTGTGGGTGGTGTGACTTCGGTTTTTTCTTCCTTTTCCTTCTTCACTTTTGGTGCAGGTGCTCTGCGTTTAGGTGCGGGTTTTGGTGCGGCTGCGGCGGCTGCGGGTGCAGTGGCCGCTGCTGTGGGAGGAGCTGTGACGGTGTGGAGGGCGTCGGATTTGGCTCTGGCGGCTGCGGCTCTTTGCTTGAGTGCCTCTTTTGCCTTTTTGGTTGCTGTAGTTGCGGCTTCTGCTGCTTCTTCGTCTGATTCGTGCTGTTCCTTTACGGCAGCCTCGAGGGCGACGGCGTCGGCAAGTGCCTTTTTCTTTTGTGCTGGGGTGACTTTCTTTGCTGATCCGGGGGCCTTTGGCTTGACTTCGCGCTTTTTGGGACGGAGGTAGTCTTCCATGCCTGGTGGCCAGTAGACGCGACCTAAGGGACCGCCCATGCCGACTTCTTCTTCGGGTATCAGGGCAAATGTCTCACAGTCTACTACGGAACCTGCATCATCTTCCATCTCCTCGTCCTCGTCCTTGACCTGCTTGCCCTTCTTCTTTGGCGTCGCCTTCTTCTTGTTGGAAGCCTGTGTGGCCGCTTTGTTGTCGTCTTCTCTAAAATGCGGTATCACCTCGCTGAATGTATCGTAGCCAGGAAGCTTGAATGTCTTCATCAACTCAAAGACAGCCTGTTCTTTATCCTTTGCCTCGATCATGAGATCCATATCATCCGCACAAGGCGGTAGGGTGGCCACGCGCGGGTTGTGCTTTCTTCTCTGTGTTCCAGTAATGGCAGCAGGGGTGGGTTCGGAGTAATGCATCTTCTGCTTGATACCCTTCTTATCCCAGGTTGCCTTGATGGGAGGGTAGAGGTCGCAAATGTCTTTCGTACCCTCACGCAATTGAGTAGAGTCGAAGATGATATTGTGGTGATGGTAATCAAGAACCATAGGGATGTTGAGTTCCTCACAGATGGGGAGCAGTTCGTGAACTGACCAACTAACATCGTCGTTCTCGAGCACCAATCTGTTCTTGACTGACTGAGGGAGTGTCTTGTAGTTCTCACGGAACCTGTCCAGAGTTGCTGCTCTGTCGCCGAATACACCTCCCAGATGGAGGATCATCACAGCATCTCTGTTCTCCTGCTCAGGAAGGTTCAACAGCGAGAGCATTTCGTCGTGGTATGACAAATCTCGGATGGCATTGTCGATGACTGACTTGCGTGGTGATCCTAGTTGGGTAAATTGGCCAGGATGGGTAGTCACACGATGACCTAATTCAGCGACGACCTTGCCGACTTCAGCCAGTACTTCTGATGCGAAAGGTGCAAGCTTGTATCCATACTCCTCGTGAGAAGCAAAAGGGAACATCTCGCTAGACAGACGCAAGAACCTGATGCCGTACTTGTGGTTCCATCTAAGCATCTTGATGACATCTCTGGCGTTAGCCACACCAAGCGCTTCCACATACTTCATGCCTCTTTCGATGCTTGCAGGCTGCTCACGATCCGGACGGTTCTTTGTTGGATGCTCGGGCTCATTTGGGTCGCGTAGTGGATGTCTATGTTCTAGAATTGAAGCAATGCGACAGGTACGAGAAGCAAAGACTGGTGGGTTGCTGTATCGAAGATAGGTATTGAGACAAGCCTGCGATTGTTAGCCACGGAGATTCATCTAGTATGCAGTCTGAAACGTACATAGCCCAATCTGCCCTTCCAAGGAAGAGGGAGGTAATCACTGTTCACGGGAGGAGGTCGACGCGAAGCCTCGTTCACCGCAGCCTCGTCGGCCTCCTCTTCGTCTTCAGCTTCCGGGTCGTCCATGTCATCCTTGGCTGCTTTCTTCACAGGGGTCTTTTTAACGGGTGTTGCTTCAACAGCTACATCGTCATTCTCCTTCTTGACAGCAGCACCTGCTTTGGCTCCGCCCTTCTTGGTGTTCCTCTTCTTGGCTGGGGGCGTGGCATCTGGTACATCTGACAGAGGCGACTCTGATCCCGGCTCTGACTTGATAGGTCCAGGAGCTAGACGCGTGTCCACATCGCTATCTGGCGAAGCACGATATGCATTCGGCGCGTCGATGACTTCAAGATTCTTCTGAGGATTGGTAACATTTGGCGGCGGAGAGGGAATCGCAGCAGCGTTCCTCTTACGTTTGGCAGCAACCATTGTACTCTGTGATAGTCGCAAGATAGGTGATGATCTGAGAGGGACCAGGAATGGGCTGTTCTTGTACACAAGGGACCTCGCAGTAGTGTTGAGAAGAGTCCGAAGCATCAATTGATTGTGAGGAAAGGAATATGAGGCTCAAGACAAGAGTTGGAGGAAAACGACGATACAGAAGATGAGGCTGATGAGCTAAACCTATCTGCTAGTTACCCTATGACGATGCTTCCTTGCAAATCGTTAGTTCGTAAGATATGCAGGACGAGTTGGATCCCTGGATCGTCAATTGATCGATGATGATGTCACAGATCTGGCGCTAACGGGCGACGCATCGCAATAGATCTGCTTTCTCGCTAACGGGATGACCCTGGTCTTGTGATGAGGAGCAAGTAAAAGTATCTACATGTACGAAAATTCCATGCAAATGCTCAACTATACTTCTGCAATGATTCCAGTGAGTTTTGCGCGCGTTCCGAATCCCACTGTTGCTTTCGAGGGCTGGTAGGTCGCAATTTGGTCTTGGCTGTCTACTTCCAGAATTCGTCACCAGCCAAACACAGTGACAAAACAGAGAAGGCTGAAAGCGAACATTGAAACATTTACACATGAAGTATATTGTCACATTCTATGTAAGGGGTATTGGAATCATCAATGCATGTACTTCTTCAGACCTCTGAGTCTGTCCTTGGCCTTGTCAAGCACATCGTCGTTCTTGCAAATGGCAAATCGCAACCAGTCTTGAACGATGTGTGCATTGTCATCGGTGAAGAACTCTGTGGGAGGAATGGCAGCGACACCAAGCTCCTTGATGATGAAGTATGAGAGCTTGAAATCACGGGGACGGCTGGCGACATGATCAGGGAATGGGTAGTCCTCAGGAAGCTTGACCTTGGACATGTTGACCAGGACGAAATAGCCGCCTTCGGGATCAGAGTAGGGAAGATTCAGCTCATCGAAGATGGCAACGAAACGATCAATCTTGCCTCTCATCTCGGCCTTGGTCTCGTCCCAGAAGCCATGCTTGTCTGCCTCCTCAAAGCCGATAGCGGTGGCTTCTTGCAGAGGGCTGACACTGCTGTAACAAATGCGAGTGTGAGCAGCACTGACAGGTTGGATGAGATGCTCTGGACCGATCAACCATCCTACACGCCAGCCTGTACAGTAGAAGTTCTTGCCTCCGGAACCCACGGTAAGAGTGAGGTTAGCGATCTCAGGAGACAGAGTAGCCATACGGGTGAAGGGAGTGTAGTAGAGACGATCGTAGACTTCGTCGCTCAGAATGATGATGTTGTGCTCGACGCACAGGTCACCGATTGCCTGCAGCTCGTCCCTTGTGAAGACCTTGCCAATGGGGTTGTGAGGAGTGTTGAGGACAATCATGCGGGTCTTGTCGTTGATAACAGCCTTCAGCTCGTCCATGTTGATAGACCAATCTCCAGCGGAGGTGGTCTGTGTAGCACCCTTCTCGGGAGGATGGAGGGGCACGTAGACGACCTTGCCGCCGGGCATCTGGATGTTGTGGATGTACTGGTCGAAGAAAGGTTCGAAAACAATGACTTCGTCGCCAGGCTCGACAAAGCCCATGAAGGCGGAGAGCATGCCCTCATTTGCGCCGGTTGTGATGGTAACCTCTTTCTCGGGATCCAGAGTACGGCCAAAGAATGGAGAGTATGCGTCTGCCAGAGCTTTCTTCAGACGAGGTCTTCCTTTTGTGGGCGAGTACTGGTTGCACTCGACTCTGTCCAGAGCACCTTTGGCGGCATCAATGACGAATTGGGGAGGGTTGTAGCCGAAGAAGCCTTGTCTGTACCGAGTCAGCTGCTGGTCACCGTTTTGGATATTTCAAGCCACGCACCCCATGTTGACTACATCAGACACCTTGGAAGAGGCAGCTGCTTCATTGACAATAGACCAGACATCCTGCTTCTGACCGGCCACTCGGGCTGCGGGCTTGAAGGGATCTTTGCGCATCTTCGGGCTAAATGAGGTGAACTGTCGAGCGGTATTCCTGACGGAGAATGAGGTCGGAGCAAAAAGGCTTGATGCACGAGACAGCAATCTCATGGCGATTTGCAACGTCAGCTTGCTTTCTGTATATTATCTTACCCCAGATGTTTGTCCCCCCACCACCGAGCACGACATCATCACCGGTACCGGATCAGGCGCGTCGTCTCGAGAGCGGCTGTTCGTCTCGAGAGCCTAAACGCGTCTCCTCTGTTGACCGCGTCTTATCAAGTCATGTAATTGTTAGACCACATCCCATGTCATCACAGCAACTCGTCGATTGTCCGATCTGTAGCAAGCCCGTCAAGGAGCTCAACATCAATCGACACATAGATTCTGCCTGCCAATTTCTCACCGGTCATTCACCTCCTCCAACCCAGCAAATTGCACTAAAATCTACTCAGGTCGCAAACTTCTTTCAGACGCCGGCTGCCAAGCGTAATCTAGGTGTTTCTTCCTCTACGCAGTCTGGAAGTACTGCTGCACCAACGACTCCCTCTCAAACCCCCACTGCAACCCAGAAAAGACCTCTTGAAGATGTCAAAGCAGAAGATGTCCAGCCACTACCCAAGAAAGCCAAAAATGTCAATCTGGAAAAGGCTGCCCCGCTGGCTGAGCGAATGCGACCGCGATCACTGGATGAAGTCCAAGGTCAAGAGCTCGTAGGCCCAAAAGGTGTCTTGCGCTCACTGATCGAATCAGATCGTGTTCCGAGCATGGTGCTATGGGGTGGCCCTGGGACCGGCAAAACCACTATTGCTCGACTGATTGCAAAGACGGCAGGTACTCGTTTCGTCGAGATTAATAGTACCTCTTCGGGCGTCGGTGAGTGCAAGAAGTTGTTCGCTGAGGCTCGTAACGAGCTTTCTCTCACTGGCCGGAGAACAATCATCTTCTGCGACGAGATTCATCGTTTCAGCAAAAGTCAGCAAGATGTTTTCCTAGCTCCCGTGGAGAACGGTACCATCACCTTGATCGGTGCCACGACGGAGAATCCGAGCTTCAAGGTCATCAACGCGCTTCTCTCGCGATGTCGCACATTCACTCTTGCAAAGCTGGAAGATGAGCATATCACTGCTATTTTGAAGCGTGCTCTGACCCTCGAACCTCCTACTACGTCACATGCGGTCGAGCTGTTGGAAGGAGACGATCATGCACTGCTCAAGTATCTTGCAAGCTTCGCCGACGGAGACGCACGCACGGCATTGAATCTTCTCTCTCTCGCTCTAGACCTGGCTAGTACTCCTGAGACTACTGTTGAGATCATAAAAGAGAACTTGACGCGAACGTTAGTATACGACCGTCAGGGAGATCAGCACTACGACACAATCAGTGCATTCCATAAAAGTGTTAGAGGCAGCAATCCTGATGCCGCGCTCTACTACCTCGCTCGAATGCTACAGTCGGGCGAGGATCCTGTGTACATCGCACGAAGGATGGTAGTCATGGCTAGCGAGGATATTGGGGTAGCCGACAATACCCTCCTGCCGCTCGCAACAGCTGCTTACACCGCCGCTAAGGAAATTGGCATGCCGGAATGCAGAATCAATCTCGCTCATGCAGCAGTAGCTCTTGCCGAAGCGCCAAAGTCTACTCGTTCATACCGAGGACTTGGCGCTGCATATGCTGCTTTATCAGAGCCCGGCATCGCTGGTCTCCCTATACCCATTCACCTCCGCAATGCTCCAACGAGATTGATGAAGGAACTTGGATACGGCAAAGAATACAAATACAATCCCGACTACAAGGACGGAAAGGTCAACCAAGAATACTTCCCTGATAAGCTCCAAGGCAAGGTATTTCTTCCAGACAACCATCTGGGGGAGAAGATTGACCCTGATTTACCTCCGGACGACCTACAAGAGCAGAGTCAAGCACCTGAGGGGGACGAGTCTGAGGAGCGTTCAGACGATGGCGATGAAGCTTTTGACGATAATGGCTACAATGACAATGGAGGAGAAGACGACTTCGAGGATGGTGAAGAGCGCATACTCAATCCTGACGGTGAATGACAATGAGGGCTTGGGACGGCCAATCCCGAGCACCAAGATCAGTGATCAGTCAAATAGCGAGGGTGCAAGATAGAGGTCTGTAGCGATCTTCTCGTGTACATAAACCAAGCATTGAACCAAGCATGACTATATAATTTCGCCAAAGATCCATATCCAGATTTGCTACAAAACATGAATGATCATCCTAGTGCTCGACGAAGATCGCAAACCTCCTATCTTCGTCGTCCTCCTTTTCCTTCTGCCATCCCAAATAGAATCTCAAACCTTCGAACACACCCATTCGTCTCAAATCTCAATCCTCAAGCCACTCCGTACCCTCCGGAACGACCTCTCTAGTCACGATTTCCGAATCAGCCAACAAGCTTGCCACACCTGCTATTGAACAAGGATTATGTGGCAGTACCTCTCGCATATCCAGCAAGAGGTAAGTGGCAATGGCAGAAGCAGCGAGGAAGCCTAGGATCACTTGCAAGGCAATCTTGGGAGCAGAATTCTGCTTCAATCTCCAGCGAGGTACGTCGTTTATCCTAGCCAGAATGGTTGTGTTGGGAACAGCGGTTGTGTCACGCATATTCGCCGAAAAAGCTTGAGCCATGTAGTCGCCATAGAGACGTTGGCTGGATTTGATGAGAAGATCGCGGCTTGTATTGCCTTGATCAACGAGATCAGTGACGCGAACTCCACTCTTGCCTTCTATAATGGTGTCCAAAAACCAATCGAGATTGCTGTATCCTGGATCGCCGCCCGGAGGCGCTGGCACGGTCCCTGTACTTGGGTTGGTTCCATTACCGAGACTGGTGAGGAGAGTATTGATCGACCATTCCCAGACGTCGTTCGACGTGGCGGGGTTCTGAATTGTCGTGACAGTAGATTCGTCAGGTTTTGGGGGCATGGTCGTGTTTATAGACGTGTCGGGAATGTTGAAAGTGACGCTTGTCATCACCATCTCCAATCTTTGGAAGCACATCACAAAATGAAGATCAGATTTGCAACGACGTGAGTTCTGTTTCCCATCGTTTGGTTTCGCAAGTCTGATGAACCCATGACAATGCCGAAGGATGGACAAGAGTAACCTCCAACGTTCAGACCGTCGGCTACAGTTTGACAGAGGCCAGTACTCGAAGCGAAGATAGCTCCATCGCCGATGACTTCTCCTCCATCGACTTCCCACTGAAGCACTGGTGCTTGTCCAAAACAATTGGGAGTATAGTCCTTAGGAGCGTAGAAACCCTGTTGCCACAGAACTGATTTAGCGTTGGTTATACCGTGTAAGCAAGGCGGCGGTATGGACATCTCGACATGGAGCGATACCATGTCTATATACTGACTCTGCGGGCCGAATCCGCCGTCTCCACGCGGTACAATGACGTTCACACTGTACGTCTTGTTCAGGATAACATCACAATCTAGTCTCGCTCGATATGCTGGGATATCAACAGTGACGATGCCTGTCTTCTGGCTGGACTCTGGTAGCTCATATCTGTTGAATGGCAGATCATTGTAAGTCCAATCAGGAGAGGAAAGTCCAGACCACTCAATCGAACTGGTTATGGCACCGGCATTATTGTCGGATATGGACAAATTCTCCCGGACAAAGTCGAACCGATCGATTTGTGTCATGTTGGCACTAGAAGATCCAAGAATTGGCATCGCAGTGAAGAGACCAGAGACGATGATTGTGAGGAACGCAGCAACCAAAACCGCCAGGAGACTGACGGAATGTCCGAGATCGAGATTTCTCGCCGAGACAACCAGAGCATGCAACGGCATCTTACCAACCAAGTCTGTGGATATAGAGGTTGAGAATACGTTACCCCTCTTCAACCTCGAATAGGGCGAGAAGCTAGTCGCAGAGGCTTGAATACTGGTGAATAAGGCGGCCACAAGAAACATGACGAGAGCTGGTAAGTAACTAGAGAGGATGCGTGAATTGACTGCTCCGTTTGGGTCAACCGTTGCGAGACCTTATCGTTTGTCTGAGCGATGCTGTAGTATCTCGAGTATACCGATAACGGTTAAAGGGAAAGCAACGGCTAAACCAACAAACCATTGTTTTGTAGATAGTGGATGCCACCAGGCAAACACAGGCTTTGGCTTTAAGGCCATACTCTTCTCGGATAGCACCTCGTGTATCACATCCACAGTGAATGAACGTCCAGAATCCATCGGAAGCTTACTTTCGAATGAGTAGTCCTCCAGTACTTCTTGTAGTTTACTTCTTCTGCTTGCACCACGGTCGTCGAAGAGCTTGATAATGGCAGGGTTGGCAGCAAGCAGTGTAGCTACTGCAGATATCGAAAAGGGATCTCGCGGCACAACATTCCATGGCCTGCTCAGCATCACTATGACGACGAGAAGACAGAGAAAACCAAGCGCTACCATCATCAGAATGACTGATAGAAGTTTCACTTGTAATCTGTTCTCAGAGTAGCGAAAAGACCCAACGACAACATCGTCTGTGGGCTGCATCATGCTCTCATACACAAGTTGAGCAGCGACTCCATTCCAGACATTTGAACCAATATCGCGCAAAACTGTAGGATCCATGAAGGCTTCTTGCCTAGAATCATTGTTCGCGGCGCCGAGGAGCTGGAAAAAGTTCGGAACATTGGTGTCCAGCACATAGTCTTCCCCACCAGAGCCTATATACATTCTGCGGACCGCTGATACGACTGCATAATTCATGCTGGAGTCACTTACTCCTGGAAGTGGTAAAGAAGACTCGTTGATCATCATGGCATGGACCAGATCGCCCAAAAATTTCGTACCGATTGGGAAGTCGACTTGATACATGTTCAGACTGTATCGAGGTCGACAGAGCACAGCAGTAACATTTTGAATCCACCATAGCGGTACGTGGCTTTGCCATTTACTGCCCATATCCTCGGCAGCAACTAGCCACCGCAAATCGGCCATCGTCATCAGGATACGTTGGTCTGGATAATCGCTGTGGTCCGGTAACCTCGTCGGCCAACCACTAACGTCGACTCCATCAGAGCAGGTAACGTTGGTCATTCGGCCTTGGAAATTTTGTGTCGCTTCTGCGTTGTGATGAAATCCATGGCTTGATGTTTCGGCAACGATGACACTTTTTAGCGAACAATTGCCGGCATTGATATCAGCAACGAAGAAAGATCCCAAGACACTATACCACGGCAGACTAGCACGGCGTAGCGTGCTGTTGTCTACCTGTACGATCTCGCAGTCTAGATCGGATGTAAAGCCCTCAACGGCTGCAGAATATATAGTGTCATCCGGTAACGAAACTTGAGGGCGGAATCCTTGCACAGCCAGGACCCGTCCCAGTACCTTTTGGATAGGGAAGACTCTGCGTTCGAATGCCGTAATAGACAACTCCTGGTGTTCCAGTCAGATTGTCAAGCTGGAAGTCTGTAGCGTTGAATGCCGAACTGATCGAGAAGGGGTTGCCGGCCTTCGACACCCAGGTAGGCTCTAGAGCAATCAAGCCTGTAGAAAGCACAATCTGTCTAGTATAAGCATTCGCCTATCAACACACAGTACTCTTGTGAAGGTGAGGAGGTTTCAGAATAACCTACAATGAGTTTGAGGAGTAACGTGCCAGAAGTAGAAGCGACTACAGCCCAGTGACGGTTCTTGAGAGCTTCCAGAAGATACATAGGCAGTGCTGGCGATACGTAATCGAGCAGCAATGTCTTCTTTGCCGAAGAAGGACCACCCGCTAGCTCCTCTCATGGAGCAAGCTGTCTGTTCGCGAAGTCGACGTTTCTCCACAAGCCTAGAACTATTGTAAGTACTTTTCAGATCTATCAGCTTGACATCAGAAGAACAAAGGTTGATAGTGGTCAGGCTCACGAGCAGTTGGGCCATACGTCCAAGCATAATGCCGCGATTGAACCTGTGTCGCCAATCCGTTGTCCGCGACCGAGACTTCGTACAAGACCAAGATGATCACAAGCAGCACTAGAAAAGCACCCAGAAAGGTCGAAAGGACACTGAGGTGAAGCCATGTGGAATTCCACATCCTGGGTCGCGGACCAAACTTTTCGAGCAAAAACTCCTTATCTCCTGTACGTAGACTGTTTGAAGAGCCAGAGTTTCGCAAGTCATCATGCGTCGCAATGTTCTGCATCAACGACTCTTTACCAGGCTGGTTGTTGTCCCTGTCGCCAAGTTCACGTAACTCGACGATGTCATCTGCCGAATTATCGTGGAAAGATGCGGCTTCGCTCGAGGCAGTCTCTTCCATGATCGTGATACGCTGTAGGCGGTCCTGCGATGGATCGTCTGCATTGGAGGGGCAGTAGTCATCATGGTCGGGAACTAGGTGCCCCGTTAGTATTGGACGTACTGACATACAAAGTATAGGATTACTGTGAGAATAATCTTGGAGGCTTTGCGTATGTAGAGACATGCTTATCGGCCCGTAGACTGCGCAATTACGCAGAGTACATCTATCGCAGTCCAGTTAAACAATCCTGGAAGAAAGAGCGCGCGACTCAATGACCTTCTTATGCGGCCGATGTTGGCTGCGCCATGTAAGTATACCATGGTGCATATATCCGCAGCGATGGTGCTACCATGCTTCTTTTCATCTCACTAGCGTGTATGGAACATTAGTGCTTACGAGGTACGTTCAATTTCCACGACGGAATACAAATTGGAGAGCAGAGTGTCGTTGTTACTCCAGTATCTGATTAAACACCGTGGACTGCTGCGGCTCGTGGTGGTCGGCGAGCGCCACGTCTCATGTAGATCCCGACGAAGGATTCATGCATGCACAACCAGGCAAGAAAGCCAGAGCCTCGCGCCTCTTGGTAAAGAGAAAAGTGTCGTGAAGCTTTGTCCGACTTGCGATGCTAGACTTACCTGTGCCATACCGCACACATTCAGAGTACACGTGAAGCAAGAGTGTTGCACCTTCGCTCGCCGCGGGTTTCTCTGATACAGCAAGCGTTTCGAGCTTGTACTGAAGTTGATAGTACAGAAGTGTTGTGGAGACCACTCGTAGAGCATATTGAGTTTCCGAGGTAGAAGACCGTCTCGCACCTGAGGCCCTCATTTTCTCACAGAGAGAAAGTGGTCATGTAAAGGGATATGCGCAAGAGAACTTGCGTGCTGCCGGCACTCCGCTGTCAACAAATGGGGAGCCATGTAATGAAGTGATAGTAGTTCGGCGTCAATGATTCTCCAAGATGGTCGTCTATGTGTAGCTGGCGGTCGATCAATTACGAAGCTTGTTGTCGCACGGAAAGATGAAAATCCTCGAGTTCTTCAGCTTCGAATAGTCTCTTGCCATCGTACGAGACAGAATTGCAAGACAGAAAGCATGACACGGTGTAATTACACAGTGATCACACCCAGGCGTCTGCGTGAGCGCACCTTGCATCCACAGAGCACCTGATGAGTCGAGCAAAGTGGATCTGTACGCAGGCGCAGGGCCACACAACAAGGTCAAATGACATTCAAGAATGCCAAAGCGGTGTTGGAGGATGAGGGTTACAGATGAAAGTGGTTCTTTCGCTCCTGCGAGTCGTCAAGGTGCCAAGCTGGGAGAGTCTTGGAACCAATCGATGTAGCACGCTGTCTCCTCAGACTGTTGTTAGACCGTCTTCGTCTACATGCGGATACATTGATCTTATCCACACTTGTAGACGTCCATGTTCACGTGAGAGGATACCAAATTCAATAAGAAGAACGGTCCGGCCAGCATCCTGGAGGGTGGACGATTTCACGATACCGACATCGAGCTCGGCCTTCTTCTTCCCGCGCCCGCTGTGCCACTTCCGTCGACATCACCATCGCACAACGAATATTCGGTCGCGCGACTCGAGAAGCTCGCGCGTATTCTCGACATGAAGTTCTCGCACAGCATCCAGTTCAATGCTGTGCCCGAGTGGAGTAACAACTACATCTCGTACAGCAATCTCAAGAAATTGTCCGTCGCGTCACCCGAGCCGTTGTTGCCTGCCTACTGACGTATGCTAGGATATACACGCTCGAGAAGAGGCTTCACCAAGCGAATGCCATTTCCGAAGATGTCGAGGCCTCACCACTTCTAGCCGGCGATTCTGAGGACCCTGACAAGGTCTTTTCGCGCGCCTTGGACCATGATCTCGAGAAGATTTGTTCATTCTACCAATTGAAAGAGTTGGAAATCTATGGCGAAGTCGAGTCGCTGCTCAAGGACGAGCAAGACTTTGAGGAAGAGACACAAGAGCAGGATGGAGAGCATGATGCAGGGCCCGCTGCACGGAACGGGACTCTGGCAAAAGCGAGGAAGGCCAGCATGTTCAAAGGCTTCAGCATCGGTCGCCGTCGTCGCGCTAGTACTCTGAGCGGCCACCAAGAAGAAGCAGACAGCGACGACGAACGCACCGGCCTGACCAAGTCAAACTCTCGCGATGGAAACCCATACGACATGTCGGTAAGCTCTAACATGGACTCCTCCTCGCGAAGGCGTCCGAGCAGCTCCCACGACTTCGACGACCAAGCCCTCGATGTGCTGTATAACGAGGGTGTGACCCTCAAGAAGCGCACTATCAGTCTCTATGTCACCTTGTGCGAGTTGCGCTCCTTCATTCAACTCAACAAGACTGGCTTTGCAAAGGTGCTGAAGAAGTACGACAAAACTTTGGACCGCAAGCTTAAGAGTGCTTATCTCAAGGCCAAAGTCGACACTGCCTACCCCTTCGAGCCAGAGACCACTGATCGCCTGAACATCAACATCGAGAAGATCGAGACCGCATATGCAGATCTTGTGACCAAGGGCGACGTCGATCTGGCTCGACGCGAGCTACGTCTTCACCTGCGTGAACACGTTGTCTGGGAACGTAACACCGTCTGGCGTGAAATGATTGGCATCGAGCGAAAGGCCCAAGCCGCCAACATGGGTATCGGTCAGACAATGTTGGGAGGTATCGAAGATCGAGGTAAGACACGCTTGCAGGGTGACGAGGAGCTGGCGGGCACCAAGGAGGTTGTTACACCTCTTGGTAAGTACAGATGCCCTCGTTTCCTGCTGTCAAGCACTTTCTACACTCTGGTGGCTGTAGTGGCTGTCTTCTTCGTGTTGTTGTTTGCCCCTATCATGGAGTCTCCTGTCGAGCAGAATTGTCTGGCGCTTGTCGTCCTTGTCAGTTTACTCTGGGCGACTGAGGCCATTCCGCTGTTCGTCACCTCGCTTCTCGTTCCTTTCCTCGTCGTGGTCTTGCGAGTCGTCAGATCAGAAGCCGAGCCCCATCGTCGCCTCGAGTCTAAGGCTGCAGCTACTTACATATTCGGCGCCATGTGGTCACCAGTGATTATGCTCTTGCTCGGAGGCTTCACTATTGCTGCCGCTTTGAGCAAGCACAACATCGCGAAAATGATGGCTACTTTCGTGCTTAGTAAGGCTGGCACGAAGCCTCGCAATGTACTGATCACCAGCATGTTCGTGGCCATGTTTGCAAGTATGTGGATCAGCAATGTTGCTGCTCCCGTGCTTTGCTTCTCGATCATCCAGGTATGTAATTGAAGCATCGATCATCGACTACGAGACACTGACTCCATGACAGCCTATCCTGCGTAACTTGCCTGCCGACTCGGACATGTCCAAAGCCTTGCTTTTAGGTATCGCTCTGTCATCAAACATGGGAGGCGCTGCCTCTCCCATTGCTTCGCCCCAGAACTTGATCGCTTTGCAAAACATGACACCAGCGCCCGGTTGGGGAGTCTGGTTCTTCATCGCGCTTCCCGTTTGCATCATCTCAATTCTCATGATTTGGGGCTTGCTTCTGGTCACCTTTCGTCCCGGGCGTAACACGACCATTGTGCCAATCCGTCCTATGAAGGATAAGTTTACCCCTACTCAATGGTTCATCAGCTTTATCACCATCCTTACAATCATACTCTGGTGCTTCAGTCATCAGCTTGAGTTCATGTTTGGCGACATGGGCGTCATTGCCATCCTTCCCATGGTTGTGTTCTTCGGTCTGGGTATTCTCAACAAGGAGGACTTTAACAACTTCCTCTGGACCATCATCATTCTGGCTGCTGGTGGTCTCGCACTTGGAAAAGCTGTCAACTCATCTGGACTCTTACACACGATTGCAGAATCCATCACCTCTCGTGTTGAGGGATTGGGGCTTTACAGTGTATTGGTTGTCTTTGCTGCCCTGATCGGTGTTGTGGCCACCTTCATCTCACATACAGTCGCCGCCCTGATCGTGTTGCCTTTGGTCCAACAGGTTGGCGAGGGCATGAGCGATCCTCACCCTAATCTTCTTGTCATGGGCAGTGTGCTCATGGCCTCGGCTGCTATGGGCCTTCCTACTTCTGGTTTCCCAAACATGAGTAAGTTTGAGACTTGCCAAATGAACTCTGAAAGCAAATACTAATGCGTGTTACTCCAGCTGCGATCATGATGGAAGAGCCCAACACTGGCAGACGCTATCTCCAAGTCAAGCATTTCATCACCCGAGGAGTGCCTGCTTCGATAATGGCTTACGCCGTGATAATCACTGTTGGATATGGCTTGATGCTTGCCGCCGGCCTCTGATCGGACAAGATGTTGCTACCTGGGCACGGCGTTCGATTGTCGTGATTTGACCAATTTTCATATTGTACATTTGGACGGATTTTATGCATACAAGGAGGAAGAAGGAGAGTGTTTTTGTGTCTAGATGATTTTTCCTACACGAGCATAGCAGTAATTCGAGCGGTCTTCGAGAAACGAATATTTGTTCCTTGCACAAGACTGCAACCATGATCTGGTGTCGGGACGCCTTGATAGATTCAATAATTGGGCGGTACCTCAAGCCACAGACCAACATCCAGATCTGATCTTGGTCCGGCGTTGCAGGATGGCTGCGGGATGACGCACAGCGCGGGGCTACATACGGTTACTGTTACGGAGGTCGAAACACCACACCAAGGCTCGGGCAACCGAGGAGCAGCTTTCGGAGCAGGTTTTTGAGAAAGAGCTGCAGCTTTCGTCTGATCCTCTGGTCAGACGTTATCACGCCGAAGCGAGCCGGTCTTTATTTCCTTCGACCCTCTTCCCCTCCTCCCCACCTGCATATCTGCAACTCCCTTGTCCAACCGCAACTCGATCTTTGTCGATTGAGGTCATCGATAGGACCCTATCGCGCAACCAGTAGTCTACGCTCGTTTGCGCGTTTCCTACACGCCGCACCATCGCTGAAACAGGCACCAACATGGGACTGATTGGAAAGACGTCGCATGTCGACTCGGCCGCAGAGCAGACTCGTGACTCCGAAGATGCTCAGCACAAGGGCGCCGCCGAGCACATCAAGCATCCTTTCTCTGAGCTAAGGCAGAAGATGAAGGAGTCATCCCTCTACGATCTCAAGGTCAAGGCTGTCCACGTAAAACACAAGATCGGAAAATGGCAAAACCTCGTCAACCCAAACCATCGTCACGACGAAGAGCACGAAAAGGCGACAGACGAAAAGAGAACCAGGATTGCCGAAGGACATCGCTTCGAAAGTTTCGCACCAGAGAGAGATGGAAACAAGATCAAATGGTATATCGATGGCCGCGATTACTTCCACGCCGTCTCGGTCGCACTTGAAAGAGCAAAGGAAACCATCTACATCGAGGATTGGTGGCTGTCGCCCGAACTCTTCCTGCGCAGACCTCCCTTCACCACGCAAGATTGGCGTTTGGATCACGTCCTGAAGCGTGCAGCTGAGCGAGGTGTTCAGATCTACATCATTGTCTACAAGGAGGTTAACCAGGCCCTTACTTGTAACTCCGCCCATACCAAGCGCGCTCTCCGTGCTCTATGCCCAGAAGGCACCCCTGGTCACGGCAACATTCATCTGTAAGTTTCAGTTAGCCCGTGCATCTGCTCAGCGTAGCTCAAGCGCAAGAACTTTTGAGTATGGACGGCTAACATCACAAAGCATGCGTCATCCGGATCACAACATCTTCGAGAACGCCGGAGACATGACCTTCTACTGGGCCCATCACGAGAAGTTTATCGTCATTGACTTTGATCTCGCTTTTATCGGAGGTCTGGACCTCTGCTTCGGTCGTTGGGATACGATGCAGCACCCTTTGGCTGATGCTCATCCTGCTGGTGTTGAGAACGAGGTGTTCCCCGGACAGGACTTCAACAACAACCGTATCATGGACTTCCAAGACGTCAAGGACTGGAAGAGCAATGAACTGAGCAAAGCCGACTACGGACGCATGCCGTGGCACGATGTGGCCATGGGTGTGATCGGTCCTTGTGTCTACGATATCGCTGAGCATTTCCAACTACGCTGGAACTTTGTCAAGCGTGACAAGTACAAGCGTGACGAGCGTTTCGACTGGCTCACTCTCGAGGGACGTGAGGGCGAAGATGAGGATCTGATTGCAGTCCAAAGGCCTAAGCATCCTGTTGGAGAGTACATTCACCACCCCATCTCACCCATGGGCGCAAAAACTGGCAGACCCAGCCCTGATAATGTTCAGGGCAGCGTCCATGCGCAGCTCGTGCGCAGTAGTGCTGATTGGTCAAGCGGTATCCTGACCGAGCACAGTATCCAGAACGCATACTGTGAAATCATCAGAAACGCCCAGCACCTCGTCTACATCGAGAACCAGTTCTTCATCACTTCTACTGGCGAAGAGCAAGCACCCATCCACAATCAGATTGGTAAGGCTATTGTCGATGCTTGTGTCAGAGCAGGTAAGGAGGGCCGCAAATTCAGAGTCATCATTGTTATTCCGGCTATTCCTGGATTCGCTGGTGACCTGAGAGATAGTGCTGCCGCTGGAACTAGGTAAGTCCAAGCCTGGAAACTTCACTTGGCCATACTAACATCTACGCAGAGCAATCATGGACTATCAATACAAGTCAATCAACCGTGGAGAGCATTCCATCTTTGGTCAGATCAGAAAGCAGGGTGTGGAGCCTGAGAACCATGTATTCGTGTTCAACCTTCGTTCATACGATCGACTCAACAAGACACCAGCAATGAAGAAGATGGAAGAAGAGTCGGGTGTCACTTACCAGGAAGTGCAGCGTGCTCAAGCCGAAGAAATCATGTCTTCTGGGGTGCACGGTGGTGCCGAGTCATCATCCTCAGACGAGGGCGAGTCCGAAGACGACGAGAAGGAGCACTACTCAAGCCGCAAGAAGAAGTTCGAGGCCCGTAGAGCGGCAGCCGGACTGAATAAGGACCAGGTTGTCAGTGAAGACAGTGTGGCCAAGAACGCCATGCTGAACGAGAAGAAAGTCAGCGAAGAGCCTTGGGCCGATAACGATTTTGAACAGGAGAAGGAGAATTGGGTGCAAGAGGAGCTTTACATCCACGGAAAGGTAAATTGGCTTTGCTCCCATGTGTGTGAGAGTCGTGCTAATTGCGCCTCAGGTATGCATTGTCGACGACAGAATCGCCATCTGCGGAAGCAGTAACATCAACGATCGTTCTCAACTAGGATACCACGACTCAGAACTCACTATCATCATGGAGGACACCAACGCGCTGCCCTCGATGATGGATGGTCGTGAGTATCAAGCCGGCCACCACGCCGCGACGCTCCGTCGTATGCTCTGGCGCGAACACTTGGGTTTGTTGCCAGCTCAACCTCTTGACGCTAGCGAGGACCCCAACGCCCAACCCCCAGACGTTTGTCCCAACTCCTGGTACGAGGGAGACGAGTACGACAAGTTCGTCACTGACCCCTTGTCTGATGATGTTTGGAAGACGTGGACTGAGCAGGCCACTACCAACACGGAGGTCTTCCGTCATCTGTTCCACGCGGATCCCGATGACAACATTCGCACCTTTGATGATTACGAGAACTTCTTGCCTAGAAACGATCAGAAGCAAGGCCACTTGTACAACAAGTATCAACCGGCGGATGACGTTAGAAGCAACCTGGACAAGATCAAGGTGAGCAGTGATATTTCCTACCAATTTACCCACCAAGTACTGATTCTCGATAGGGACATCTTGTATGGATGCCTTTGCACTTCCTTGAGGACGCAGAAATGGCAGAAAAGGGACTGGCAGTCAACTACTACACCGAGAGTATTTACACCTAAGCGGCGGTTCAGTGGTGTACGGGCGCGGAATGGTAATGGTGTTTCGGAAGTGGTGGGTGGTCATCATGGGATGACCTCTTCGACAACGGATTCACGTTATGTATTATTGATAGGTTTAATTACGTCGCATGATACGATACTCTTTTGCTTCTTCTTTTGTATGTATCGATGCAGATCTGATTTATAAGAATCTGGTCGTGGTCCCTGGTCTACTGATACGTCTGGCAGAAGTGGCATCGCCCTGTCCTAAAGCGTGTGCGCTCTGTCTAATCACGATGATCTGTGAATGAACGAGATACTCTGACCAAACGAGCAGATTTGAAAGGGCTTCCATTGACTTATGCCAGATGGCTATCTGAGTGTCTGCGAGATTCAAGCAAGATGTCATTCCAAATTGAGCATCTTGTCAGTAAGCCTTCGCTTCCCATTCTCCCGGAACAAACGTCACTGACCATGGTCGGCCCCAATAGTTGCAAAAAGCAATAGAAGATCAAGTGTTCATCAAGTCGTCCTCGTCGCCGTCGTCATAAGCTGGTAGAGCGAAGTGACAAACAGTAGGTTGAAGCTGCTCATGGAAGTGGAAGGTGCATTACTGAGGGCAGGTCTAAATTCATCTGTCAGATGATTTCGAAGTAGTGAAGTCGTCTGTCAGTAGACACATACAGCGCCGCAGGAGCCGCAAGACTTTCCGCCCGAGATGGCTGCTCCGCACTTGGGACAGGCTGAGTGTGACATTGTTGCTTGATTGCTTGGATGCTTAGGTGGTGGATCCGTGGAGAATCGGATAGGAGTTGCTGTTGATATGCGAAGGGAAAGGGTCAGGGATCAAGAGAGATGAAGTTGGTAAAGAGATGGTCAGCAGGTTCAAGAGCTGCAGCCTCACTGCGACCACCCCACGCAATATATATACTCGCTTGCGATGTGATGAAAACGACTTGTGGTTAGAGGACGTGGAGGCTGACCGCTACTTCATGCACCTCACCCGACTGTCACTTTTGCAGCAAAAAGTCATTGCTAAGGTGTCGGTACATATGGAGATGTTCTCTACAGGAGCAGAGTCACGTCTGATGTCTTTGTCTAGAACGAGGTGACTAGATCGAATGATGGGCAGCAGGATTTGACCAATCAGACGGGTGCTAGATTTCTGATCAGACGGAGAGGTCAGATGTGTTGTCCCGGCGCCGCAGTCAGACCACAAGGCTGCAATAGATTAAGCGGCATGATAATCCAGTCTGCACAGTAACATGATAGCTCCTGAAGCTTTCGAATGATGATTCAGTCCTACGCAAGAAGCCAGTGAGGAGCTTGATGAGTCGTAATCGTCCAGTGTTTGACTTGCGATGCCAGTTCCGCCAAGGGTTATGGCACGGGCCGCGATAACGGAGCAAGCAAGCAAATAAGTCTGACGGAGGAAAAAGATCGAGCTCACTACCTCATCATGTGAATAGAGCAGTGAAATAGAACTCGCCTCGACGCGATCAATCACACCCGGCCACTTTCCAGAAGGAAGGTGAATACCTGCGATACTCGGCACCCTGAAGCTGAACCACAAGCACAACACCCCCGTCCACCACATTCAACATGCGTCGCACGTGTATCTTTGGTGGCCTCAGCCATCCAGAGCTGACCGACTTCATCTGTGAGAAGCTCGGCAGGAAACCCGACAAGGTGGAGCTTAGAAAGTTCGCCAACGGAGAGACGAGCGTGGAGATCAAGACCTCAGTGCGCGACCAGGCCGTCTTCATCGTCCAGAGTGGATCTCACAAGTATGCCGCTCGATGACTGCCCGCGACTCGGCTGACCTTTCAGGACCAACGACGATGTCATGGAACTCCTCATCATGATTGCCGCCTGTAAGGGAGGCTCGGCCAAGAGCGTAACAGGTAAGAGAGCGAGAGAGCGACGATGGCAGCTACGAGACTTGTGCGCAGGACTGACGAAGCTTTGCAGCCGTCATGCCCTACTTCCCCTACTCGCGCCAGTCCAAGAAGAAGAGCCACCGCGGAGCCATCACTGCTCGCATGATCGCCAACTTGATGCACGTTGCCGGCGTCAATCACGTTGTCACCATCGACCTTCACGCCAGCCAGATGCAGGGCTTCTTCAAGTGTCCAGTCGACAATCTGGTAGCCGAGCCTCTCCTCGCTCGCTGGATCCGCAGCACTGTTGAGAACTGGAAGGAGGGTGTTGTTGTTAGCAAGAACCCTGGCGGTACCAAGCGAGTAACATCACTGGCCGATGCCTTGAAGTTGAGCTTCGGTATCGTCACCACCGACACGAGACGTCCAAACATGGGTCAGAGCATGTACAACTCGGTCGTCTACGAATCGGCCACCGGCGAGAATATGCCCCCGATCGAGGTCCAATCTGCTGCGTCCGAAGAAATCAACGCTGATCAAGACACCACGCATCCCGACCACACCATCGAGCACGACTTTGCTCCTCAGCCTGGAAACAGCAAGCCCTCTGATTACGCAAGTTCTGAACTCCGTCCTGACCACTTCCACCGTCGCCCCGCAAAACAACGCTCCTCAACTTCATACACCAGCAGACTGTTGGGTGCTCCTGCTCTTCCCAGCCCCCTGGCCCAATTCACACGCCCCGACTCTTCCGACGGTCTACAAAACGAGGAGCCAGTCGACACAAGTCACAGGCCCACTCGCCCTAGCTTTGACCTCGATGGTGCGCCTAAGATGCACCGTACGGCCACTGCTCTTGGCCTCGGCCCTGTGGAATCTCCGGCTGAGACCATTGTCGACAACGACGACGAAGACGACGGCGACGAATACACCGACGAACGTGCTCGTAACGTGATCACCGGTCGCTTGATTCATGGTCATCTTGTCGACGATGATTTTCCTTCGCCCGTCATGTCAGCCATGTCTAGCTCAACCCCTGGTCTCTACCCCATGAGAAGTGCTGGCTCCGACGATGAAGAAGTACCCGATCATATGGTCGCTTCATTCATGTCCAACGCCTCGTCCCGCCGTCCTGACTTCGGCCTCGGCGGTACCGGCGACGCCACAGCCTCCGACGACGAAGAAGAGGAAGCTCTCCAGGACCCTGAGCTCGAAACCACAATCACCCTCGTCGGCAACGTGCGTGACCGTCCCGTCTTCATCGTCGACGACATCATCGACAAGGCCGGCTCATGGATCGCCGCAGCCGAGACGGTCGTCAAGAGAGGTGGTGCCACAAAGGTCGTCTGCATGGCCACTCACGGTCTCTTCGGCGGTGACTGTCTCCGTGAAATGGACGAGTGTGAAGAAATTGATGCCATTGTTGTCACAAACGCCTTCCCCATCCCCAAGGAGAAGCGCGAAGGTATCCGCAAGCTGGTCATCTTGGACGTCAGCACTCTTCTCGCCGAAGCCATCCGTCGCAATCACCACGGCGAGAGTATCAGCCAACTCTACATGCATCACGATTAGTCTCTATTCACAAAGCAACAAAGGGGGTTCTCAGGCCACGGGTGCAGGATGACGCCCACAAGAAAATTGTGCATTTCCACGTTGCTTCTATGCATTTCGGCTCTGGCGTATAAGGGCATTCTATCTCGATTCTGCTCCTAAAGGATCGAGGATGGGATACGATCGACACGTGCTATTTTACTCGCTGGGATGTGGTATTTCCCAGCTAGAGAGGTGCAAACACATTGCTCAAAGTAGCAGAAAGACCCTATTGAAATCGAGACTTGATTCATCTGCGATATGCTTAGAACCATATTCCATGTGATGCAGTACCGTAAAGTTGTGATAATTGCCGTGCCTTCGGGCCGCGACGGGGAAGTGCCTGGATAAGCCCGCGAAATTGATAGCCGAAACCTCCCGTTGGACCCGACCTCCTCCACTTTACCAAGACGACAGAATTGAACAATTTGCACAAAAAGAAGTCACATGCTAAAACACCACAGTAAAGGATGTCGGATCTCAGGATTAGAGCATGCGAAAGAGAAATGGTATTTAGGAAGAATGGCCAGGGATGTATTGTTACAACGATAAACAAGCAGAAGAATGGGCCCGACAATATGGTAGATGGCAACAAGAAAGAGGAAGAAGAAGCCTGGCATTGTGTAATTTTTCGTCAGTGTCTCTCAGTCAACCTCAGTCTCTCACCACCACTCGTGCCATTCGTTTCCCTCCAGTGATGAAGTGGTATTCTAAGCGAGCTTCGCGATAACGGCGGCGGCGTACTCGTGGGTCTTGGCCGAACCGCCAAGGTCACCGGTGATGGTCTGTGGACGGAGGTTAGTGATGTGCTCTGAATAGAAAGAAGAGGGGGAAGGAAACGCACCTTGCCCTCGGCAAGAACATCAAAGATGGCCTTCTGGATTCTGTTGGCCTCGGTGTGGAGACCCATGTGTTGCAGCATCATGATGGAAGAAAGGAGGAGAGCGGTGGGGTTGGCAAGGCCCTTGCCAGCAATGTCGGGAGCGGAACCATGGACGGCCTCGAAGATGGAGCACTCGTCACCAATGTTACCCGAGGGGGTAAGACCAAGACCGCCGATCAGACCGGCGCACATGTCGGAGAGAATGTCACCGTACAGGTTGGGCATAACCAGAACCTTGTCGTTGTAAGGAGTGGGGTCAGTAACGACCTTGAGACAGGTGTTGTCGAGAAGCTCGGCGTCAAACTCGACGTCGGGGAACTCCTTGGACAGCTCGCGGGCGGTGTTGAGGAAGAGACCGTCGGACATCTTCATGATGGTGGCCTTGTGAACGGCGCGGACCTTGTTCTTGCCAACCTCTTGGGCGTACTGGAAGGCGAAGCGGAGGACGCGCTCGGAAGCCTGGCGGGTGATGAGCTTGATGGACTGGACAACACCGTCGACAACAATGTGCTCGATGCCAGAGTATTCTCCCTCGGTGTTCTCACGGATGAGAACGGTGTCGACACCGTCGTAGGGAGTCTTGTAGCCCTGGATGGACTTGCAAGGACGGACGTTGGCGAAGAGGTTGAAGGTACGACGGAGAGTCAGGTTGAGCGAGACGTGACCCTTGCCAACAGGGGTCTAGGTGGGGAGAGTTAGTTTGGGGGACATGCAGAGATTATGGAGTGGGGCTGTCGCAGAGATGGAGATGGGCTCGCAGTTGGCGGGAGAGAGAGGCTTGTGTGGTGGACGTACGGCAAGAGGACCCTTCAGGGCGACGTAGTTGCGCGAGATGGACTCGATGGTCTCGTCGGGGATGACGGTCTTGCCGTCCTTCAGGCGGGGGGTGACATCGACGGGCTCCCACTTGATGGGGACGTTGGCGGCCGAGAAAATGTCCTTGACCGACTGGGAGATCTCGGGGCCGATGCCGTCACCCTCGATCAGGGAGACGGTGTAGTTGCCGTCGTTGCCCTTGGTGCCCTTGAAGTGTGCGACTCTGTTGTCAGAAACAGCAGCGTATCCGCGAGCGAAGGAAAGTCTGGTGAACTGCTGCTGTCTGGCCTGGCGCAGGCACTGGCGCGCGGGGCTGGCCAATGATCGAGATCCGAGCATGTCGAGGGTTGTGCTTGAGAGAGTGGGAGACGACGACGGAGGAGGGGAGAGTGCCGGTAGGGTGGGCGAGTGCGTGGTAGAGAGAAGTGCTGGCAAGCAGTCGAAAGGCGGGAAGAGCCAACACGACCCCGATGTTTTCCTCGTCCAAGCCGGCCGCTCCCTAAAGTTTGCACAACTCTGTGCACAATCCATCTAATCTCCTCGAGTCGCCAGATTGATCTGATAAGCCCCGCGTTGTTGTCGCTCCATTAGACGTGTAGACACTAGTGAAGCTACACCACTACACCACGACCTCTCGGATGAACACTCTACTATATCCTTGTCGCATACACAATCAATGGCTGCCGAAGTCGAGCGAGAGTTGCTGAACCACTATAAGCTCGACTCTTTATATCCTTCAGAATGGCCGGACCGGGACGAGGACGATTACGACAGTGATGTCGACAACGACGCGACAAACACAAACCACAGAGAGTCCAAATTCGCTGCCCTGGACCGTTCGCTTTCTGCCCGAGGAAAGAGGGCCGACAGCAGTGTTCAAAAAGACGAGCCTGACCCGCTAGGCATCGTCCCAAGTGTCGTACACGAGTTGCGACGTCGTGGACTTCCTGTCGAGGAGAACCTCCGCTTGCGCAATCGCTTCATGCTTTCTTCGACCACCTTTTCGCCAAATCTGTTTCTGTCACAAGTTCACCATTCCGCCTCGACGGACTCATTGCTGAACGGTCTCGACTTCCTGTCTCGCTCTATCGAGCAGAAATCCGCCTCGCTCAAGCTTCTGGTCGAGTCCAACTTCGAACGCTTTGTCAAGGCCAAGGCTACCATCGACAACGTATACACCGAGATGCGCACTCAGGGCCAACAGTCTATGCCCGTTTCCCCTGGTCACCAGAGAAGGCACTCTAGACATACGAGTCGAGGAGCCATATCACATTTCCGCACACCTAGCGGAGCTCTCGCCCCGAATGTCATCAGCAAGTTGCCCGATAAGAAAAAGAATGCTCTCACAAAAGAGAGCGAATATGGTGTCCTTGGAATAAAAGCTCCTCTGATCGAGCTTGGTGCGAAGGCCGAAGAAGTCTGGGGTCCTGCACTTGGAGGTCGCGAGAAGGAAGAGGATCTGAAGTCTGTCTTGACATATGTTGAGCAGAATCGCCACGTCTTTGGTATTGGCCAGGCTCTTCAAGACGCCATACGTAAGAAAGACTACGATTCTCTTGTGTCCGAATACAACCGTGCGAAAAAGCTGGCAAACGATGCATCTCAAAAAGCAGAAACGAAACAAGACTTGTCCGACTCTGATGTTCATCAGATTCTGGTCGCTGCGAAAGTCTGGTCAGATGCTCAATCTCAAATCGGAGCCTTCAAACGCGAGTCTCGTAAACAACTTTCTGCCGCTAGAACCCGTCGACCGACACCGTCTACTGCTAGTCAGCCCGACACAACCATGACATTGATCGGTACACTCCTGCAGATTGACGTGGACGACAATCCAATCACATTCTGGCTCTTCAGTCGCTACAACAACCTCAAGGAGAAATTGACTCGTTCCTTTGAACGCATGCGCATCGAGATCGAAGTCTCCAGACGTCGTTTGGCATCGGCCGAACCGCCAAGTCTCCAGACATCAAAACTGCATCTTCAATCTGCTGTGGCCAATTTCGTACAAGATCGAAACTCAACCATCACATCCAACGCTATGGACGCTACCAAAATCATCGACTTCTGGGAGAAGATTCAAAGTGCACTCAACAGCCTGTTATCCGCCCAGGGAGGTCTATTGGGCGAGATTGTCGAGTTCTGGGAGACTGCAGAATCCTTTATATCTCACAAAGCCCAGAGGAACTTACCTAGTGGAGTCTTTGCCTCCGAGGGCGGTCGTCAACATCTCGATTTGAGAGAAGACGAAATCAACCGTCTCCGTCAATCTGCTACTGATTTGTTCAACAGCATGCGTGAAAACGTGTTTTCGTTCTTTGTCGACTCGCCGGTCGAAGACATCTCATCCTTGTTCTCGCCTATCCCTGAAACCCCAACCACTCCTTCGGCCAATCTGGCTAGCGATCAGCGTATGTTCTCTTTCGATGTCAACAACATACCTGAACCTTCACCAAAAAGAGGCGAATCTTGGGAGAAGTTTGCCTTCTGGGCGCCATACGCCAACTCTCTGAGTGGTGTTCACTATCTCAGTAATATTCTACTCCTTGTCGGGACTTCGGCAGGTGAGGTTGCTAGTCTCTCCCTCGTTAGTGATAATTATCGTATGGCAGAGCAGCTCAAAACCATGGTCAGTAGCGTACGCGAACGCTGTATCCAGGCTGTGTGTGCTGCTTGGAATGTAGACTCCGACAAAACAAAATACCTCGAGGACTGGACGCGGCACACTGATCGTCGTGATCTGACTAACATGCCGTTCCGGTTCAGTGCTTTTGAGGAAACCATCTTGGGCGATATGCAAAAGATCCTGTACATCTCCGAAGCGATGTCACGACCAGGATATGAAGATGTTGTGGGACCACCGCCTACTAAGCTCCTCCAGATGGTCAGGCATCAATTCATCACCAGCATATACAAGACGCTTAGTGGCGCTGTGGAAAATGCAGAGAAGAACAAGAAGCTTGAGGGAACCGGAGTTGATGATCCGGATGGTCTTACAGTACCAGTGGCGCAAGGAGGCTCGAATATGGATGGCAATGTTGTCACGACACGAACGACGGACAAGGTAGGTCACAAAGAAAGTCTGGTGACTATCAGCTATCTAATCCCAACACAGAATGTTCGACTACTGCTCACGCTCAGCAACTTGAATCACCTGCGTCGTGAAATCGTGCCTCAACTGATTTCGCAATTCGAATCTTCTTTCTCGATTAAATTCACCGACGAGTCAAAACAAATCCGCGACGTCCTAAAGCAAATCGACGACCGACTTTTCCAGGGCTACGTCAAACCTACCACATTACAACTCCGCGAGATTATCACCGCTGGTATCACCTCGCCCGACTGGCTGCCGAAATCATCTTCTCGACCCACAAACGCTCGACCATATGTTTATGACGTACTGCTTGCTTTGGTCCTAGTCCACACCGAAGTGTCTACCACAGCAAGCACATTGACCTCACCCCTCTTGTCACACTTTTTAGAGTCCGCCAGTGATTCTCTTTTAGCCGCTTTCTCCGAACGTCGCACCTACTCCCTCACAGCTCTCATGCAAGCAACCCTCGACGTGGAGCTACTTGCCCAAACTCTCTCTAATTACACAACGGAAAAGGCATCAGATACCCAATCAAGGATATATCTGGTCCTCGACGAGCGTACGGATGCTGATGCGAGGACAAGATTACAAGCAGAGTTGCCGGAAATGAGGGCGATTCTCAAGAGGCTGAGAGAAGGCACCAAAGGACAATTCGGATGTTTCAGACGAGAGAGGAGGGTCAGAAGCGAACGTCCTGGTAGTTCCAGAAGTGGTGGGACTACAGCGAATGGATCAGTGGTGGGTTAGTGTATGATGAGAGCCAGCACTTTATTGGAATATCTTTGGCAATTCGATGACCTACACCCGAGCTAGTGGTACTGAAAATCCTATTTGCCATAGTCATAACCTTGGCTTTCCATCCTCACTGTGTCATCTGTCCATCGCCCACGGCTTGGGTTCTTGTGCACTTGCTCCGCGGTCTTTGTGTTTATGATCTCATGGTAGGCGCTCATCATACATGCACTGTCAGATTCTGAAAATAATATAATCGTAGAAGACCGTCATGAAAGCCCATCTCTCCATGCTTGTTCCACCCTCTCCCTTCCATAGATCACGCTGGTGTTTCGCTGAGACATACATCTCTCCCTTCTCAATCTCCTCTTTGAAACCCCGATTCGAACGCAGAAGACAATGTTTTTGTGGTGTCCGACACATGTCGAGCAGAGTAGACACTTCATGTACTAGCCACTCACGTACAGCAAGTATCTCAACGTCGAGTACAGCCTTGCCATCCTCGAGGGCATCGCAGATTCGGGAGTGGCCTTCGAACCGGAGATGCTCGCCTAGTATATTGATATCGGTGACGGCTACTAGCGCTTCTGTACGTGCAATGTTTGTTATCTCCAAGATCTTAACTGGCGATCGGTATTTGGATGAGTGATCACGCCAACGATTCTGATAGTACCACCAGTTTCTGTCGTACCATTGATTGGCAAATGATGGCAAATTGAACCAAAACTTGGTTGATGTGCTTTCTACAGAGCCACGATCTGGTCGCTTTCTTATGGCACGAACAAGTGCAACGATCTTCTCTTGTGTGTCTGGAAGTTCGATGAGAGCATCTTGGAGCAAGCCCCATAGATTCGGAAGGTCCTTCCGGGGATCGTCACACTCTTCGGTTGGCTGGGTGATCTGGTCCGTTGCTTTATCTATGGTTATTTCATCGCGAAGGTACGCTTTCAGTGCTTGTGCTTCTGCAGGGCGACAGCCATCTTCTGTGACGCCATCTGGCGAGACGGCATATTCGAACCAAGCATCTGTCATACTCTTTTATGACGAGGAAGTGTTTGATTGACGAAGGGAGGAAATGGGATATCCCGTGCAGCGTTAGGACTTTGCGTGATACGAGAAGAGGAACCAGTATTTGGTATAGTGTAGTGTGATTTGGTTCTGTCAAAAAAGATGCTTCAAGAATATAACACGGAGCGACCTAAACAACGTCGACGACCCCCACGCCTTCCCAAACGCTAGATGGCGGCTCGGTCCGTGCGACTTAGTACAATAAGCGAACCCTCCTTCCACATCGTTTCGAGAATCGCAGCTAAAGTAAAGCCCTCTCCATTGCGAATTTGCGATCAGTTCAATGAACATGCTCTGCCTGGGGCTCCCTCGTAGCCGTCATAGTTTCGTTCCTCCTCTCATACTGCGACGGCACACTTGAAGCCTCCGGCGTCAATTTCACGCCGCCGCCACTCGCGACCGTGGCTAGCGGACGACCGCAATTGCCGCATTTGTGATGTGTATCTTTACAGTCGCTCATGACGCAGGGGATCCAGCACAGACATCCTGTCAAGACACAGAGGACCGCACCCCAGATGTATGCTCTTTCTCCGACTTCTTGGGATGTTCTTGTTGTTGTTGGGGCTTTGCAGACTGGGCAGTCGACGCGAGCTGGCGAGCTGGATAGTGAGCCCAAGGGTGTTACGCGTTCAACGATAGGTGCGGTTTGTGCGGTATGTGCTGCAGGCGGGTATGGTGGTGGGGCTTCTGTCTTCGACATTGTCCTGGTAGGAGGGTAGTTGAATGAGATAGGTGTTCGAATCGATGTCTTTCAGGTCGTGCTTGTTGTTTGCAGTGATTGAAATTGTCAATAGCCCGTTGGAGATTTTGAGTGAGCTTCGCAGACCAGCCTATTCTGTCGTGTGCGAATTGAGTATTTATACGTGTGATAGGATCCAGGGCGGGAATAACCAGCCTGGTTGGCCTTAGGCGCTGGGCCAAGACAACTGCATTCCTTCGCGCTGATCGTTCTGCTCATCGTGGTGCATGCAGGATTTCTGATGGATTTAGAACACCAACTTTACCAGGCTGCCTGCTGATCCATGTGGCGCAGTACGGTCTGAAGGATTATTCGCTGCCCTCCTGACCTCCGCACCGCTCTTGAAAGAGCCATCAGCCTGCTTTCTCATATGAACTGTTTCGCATCTACGCCATTGGTAAAACATGTTCTAGGCGTCCTGTAGCACGACCAATCGAGACATAAATTGAGCCAAGCACACATAGCCTCACGTCAACTTGAATACATGAGCCACCGCAACTTTGATAATACAACACATACGTGAGGCTTAGACCCAGCGTGCAACCAAAAACAGGCAACACTTCTTAATTTGTCCAGTTGGGTCAGGCTCTCGCAAGATGCTCATTCATATAGTGCGTAAATCATGACTATGTCCACGAGAGCTTTGATCCTGACTTCGAAGCTTCGCGAGGGTGATTTGTCGCATGTTCAGAAGTCCACGCTCATCCGGAATATTCGAGTGTTCATGACTCGAATCCACTTACGTGATCTCGATGTGGAATAACTGTCAAAGTAGACAGTGTACTGCTTATTCTGGAAAACAAATTCTCATACAATGTTTGCGACTGCAACAATGCCGGTAGTCATAAACTACACTGTAAAACAACATTGTGCTCAGAGTCTCCAATGACATCCTTGCCCAATGTTATAGGCGCATGATCAAGCCTTGTCCTCCATGTGTTGACGGACCTCATGAACGAGGCTACCTTTACGCTCGACAGAAGCATCTTGACCCAAGCCAGACTCCTCTTTGAGGAGAGCGAAGTTCTTCTCAGCCTCCCAGTTCCAGATACTGTCGGAGGCAAACAACAGATCAATCTCTTCGAGGGTACGACCTGAGGTCTCTGGGTAGAGTGCCCAGACCATAGGTATGGTGATGGCATTGCAAGCTGCAAAGATGTACAGCGTCTTTTCTCCGAGCTGCGCAAACATGACAGGGCAGAGAAGAGTAAGCCAGCCATTGCCAATAGACCAGCCCACGACACCCCAGGCGTTTCCTTTAGCGCGGACCTCGAGAGGGAAGATTTCGGCCTAATGAGCTTCGTTAGTATGTGCCATACGAGAGTTGGTGTTCAAACTGCTGGCTTCAAGCATCGACTTACCGGGTATAGCCAGGGAACTGTCAACCAAGTGGCACCAAAGACGAAGGTGAAGATGTAGATCATGGCTACTGCGGCGTTGCCATAGGATGAAGCTTTGGAGGGGTCGCCATTTCTTGTAGCCTCTTGGCCAAGATAAGAGAATGCGCCAGCTAAAGCCATAGCGATACCCTGACCAACAGAGCCCCAGTAACAAGTCCAACGACGCCCAATCTTATCAAGAGTAAAGACACAGATCAGGGTTGAGAACATGTAGAAGATGTTGTTGAGACCAGAGATCCATTGACGCTTCTCTGGTCCCATACCAGCAATACCGAAGATCGTAGGCGCATAGATGGTAACACCAGCGATACCGATCCATTCTTGCATGATTTGTAGCCATACTACCAGTTGTACACGTCGACCAGTGTGCATCTCGCCAGAGCCAATTCCGAACAGCATGGTGAAGTAGTTTTGTTTGCGGTAGTTGGCGCGCTCGAGTTCGCATGAAGCGATGATGTCCTGGAACTCAGCTTCCGCTTCGTGGTTGTCTCCGCGAAGGCGTGTGAGGACATAGCGGGCCTCATCTTCTCTGCCCACTTTGGCAAGCCAACGAGGTGATTCTGGACAGAATAAAACGACAATGGCGAGTATGATCAACATCGGGATCTGGAAGGCGATAGGGAAGCGCCAGATAAAGGAGGAGGTACCATCACCATAGAAGGAGCATCCATATTCGAGCCAGTAGGCAATGACAACACCAAAGACTAGATTCAACTTGTCAGAAACGTGGTGCTCAAGCCATCGGTAGCATACTCACTGTTCAATGTAAACTCAATGGCCACGAATTGACCTCGAGACTTGTGCTCAGCGCTTTCCGTAGACCAGACTGGCACAATCGAATTGAGGATTCCAGTGCCCCAACCGTTGATGAGTCGTGCGCAGATCATCCAAGAGTGGTTCATGGCAGAAGTCTGTAATGCAGCACCAACAATAGCAACCAGAGCACCGATACAGATGGACTTGATGCGACCGTATCTGTCACCGAGGGATCCTCCGACCAGACAACCAATGAGGGTACCAAGATAGTAGACGGACACAATGCCACCTTGGAGAAGAGAGTTGTTGACAACGGGCTCGCCGTCAGGTCCCATATGACCAAAGCCCATGCGAGTGTAGTAGTCGTAGGCAGTGTTGACACCACCCATCATTCCTTGGTCGTAACCAAAGAACAGAATGGAGAGGCCGGCGACGCAGTTGATCCTGTGAGTTATGCATGAGTTTTTCAAATGACTTGGGTGTGGTTTGGGAAGAAGACTTACGCAATGAGCAAGCTACGCTTCTCATAGCGATGAACTATGTTCAACTTGTGGATTTTGTCCATAGCGAGATAAATGCAAAAGAGAATTGATGATAAGACTTTGAGGTTGCACGATGGGGTGATCTATTGATCAAGGTCAAACCGATATGGGGCAGATGTTCCTGGGGTCAGGAATATGGAGAACCTTTATATGCTTCCTGCCCTTCGTTCTAAGGATGGTATCTGGGGCGAAGATATGGGGGTACTTGCGGGGTATTGGGTTTATGTGCGGATGCGCCTATTCGTCGAAGCTCATTGGTCGCGGGAAGCCGGGCATGGATTCCTCGCTCCGACTGCCATTCCGAGCCCATGCTTAAGTAGACGCTTGATCATCCGTCAGCCTATGTTGACTCATCTAAATCTTCCAATGCTCCTGATTGGTCGGGGTAGTCCGGTGTGCACTTCATAGGCCCTATATGCACTGCTCAAAGTGTATCATCAGCCAGTCAGTGCCATTGACAAATGCAAGTGCCACTCACGCTTCCATGGTCACTCGTGTGGTGGGCTTGTAACGGCAGAACTCACTGGTACCCACAACGTGTACCGACGATATGAAGAACTTCGGTGTTTGCCTTTTTAAACTTCCTATGCTCGCAATGTAAGCCATGTACATTGGTCGATTCTCCGCTGGCTGGCCATTGATAAAAGCTTCATCGCGAGGGATTTCTGTTCGAGCATCTCAAACATCGAAGCATCAAGACACAATGATCCCGGAATCATTAGACGGAAACAACGTACGTGGTCGTACTGTTCAGACTGTGAACGTGACTGATCGAGAGCCAGAATCCATCTTTTGTTCTAAGAAGCATTAACGACCTTGCCTTCGAGGATCGTCCCAAGCCGGTCCTGCAGAGCCCTCATGATGTCCTTCTAGAGGTCGATTACACCGGCATTTGCGGCTCAGAGATCCACTACTGGACTAGAGGATAGATAGGACCCTTTGTTGTCAAAGAGCCCATGGTACTGGGCCATGAAGCCTCCGGCACTGTCATTGAGATAGGCAAGAAGGTCACTTCTCTGAAGAAAGGCGACCGCGTGGCCATGGAACCAGGAGTATCGTGCAGACGCTGCTCAGCTTGCAAACGCGGTACATACAATCTCTGCAAAGAGATGGCTTTTGCTGCTACTCCTCCCTACGACGGCACGCTAGCCCGCTTCTATGCGTTGCCAGAAGATCTTTGTTACAAACTTCCAGAGCACGTCAGTCTGCAAGAAGGCGCTATGCTTGAACCTCTCTCTGTCGCCGTACACATGGTCAGGCAAGCGAAGGTTCGGCACGGAGACAGTGTTGTCATCTTCGGAGCTGGGCCCATTGGACTTCTGTGTTGCGCTGTGGCTCGGGCGTATGGCCCTTGGAAGGTCATTGCAGTTGACATCCAGAAAGAAAGACTTGCGTTTGCTAGAGAGTTCGCTGCGTCCGCAACTTTCGAGTACTCTGGTGGTACGGCAGAAGAGAGCGCAGCAAGACTGATCGAAGACAATGGTCTTGGTGAAGGTGCTGATGTGGCTATTGATGCAAGTGGGGCTGCCTCCTCCATTCGAACGGCGATTCACGTACTGCGTATGGGAGGTTCCTTCGTCCAGGGAGGAATGCCTCATGCCGATGTGCCTTTCCCTATGGTCGAGGCTTGTACCAAGGAGCTTACAGTACGAGGATCGTTCAGGTATGGACCGAAAGACTATGACACTGCCCTAGGAATGGTTGCAACAGGTGCGGTCGATGTCAAACGACTCATTACCAAGACGGTTGCATTTGAAGAGGCAGAGAAGGCTTTCTACGAAGTCAAGGAGGGTAAGGTGATCAAACTGTTGATCGCAGGACCATCTCAGGGCACCTAGGGGACATCCCAGTCGCTTTTTAGACCTGTCACGTAGCTAGACGAACGACATGGATCGGTTAGCAATTATGCAATTCCCGAGTATTCTGTGCTTTTCGTCTCATTGTGCCATGGCACGATTGGGCCCAGCCATATACCATTAGTCCCAAGACTCTGCTAGCCGGCAGGTGTCGCAGCAGACTTACAACTTGGCAGTGTATATTCTATGTCTCTGACTCCAAGAAGCCGTGTTGCTGTGCGCCGCAGCATCAATGTTCCGTTTTGTACGTGACAATGTAATCGACCCACATCAGGGGTGCATAGCTTCACTGGGGCTGAGCTTGAGATCGAAATTGGCAAGAGCACCTGCAGCCAGAGACTTCGCACTTTCCATCCTTCCGAGCCGCGCGAATGATGTACGTGGGTCCATTTCTGTGAAGCTCTTGCTACTCGGTCCTCGCCGCTTCCAGCTCATCCGGAGCAAATCCTTCAAGCAGGAACCAGGTTGCCTGCGCCCAGATGATTCCTAGTAACCAGATTCGGCTTATTTGTGAGCTGGCTCGTGACACGTATTCCTGCATGCGTGTGATATGGAATCTTGACGACATCGAGGAGAGACATTATGCCGCTGACTTGCTAGGCTCATCTCCGCTAGCCCGAGAGGTATGTTCTTGAAGTTTGCTAAGCACTCCACATTGCCTTGAGAAAGGGGGGCCCAGACTCGATGGCCCATCAGATGGTGGATCGTAAGACTTCAGCGGTAGCATATTCAAGGCCTCTGATTCGTAGGCCGATACATGTTATCCACCAGATACGATGGAAGAACGATGGTTCGACCTAGTGGTAGTGAAACGGCGATAGCTCAGGAAGCCCCCAGGTCATGCGTACGAAGAGCGGTGGAGACGAGGCTGTACTCGCTGTAAGCTCTTACAGATCTCAGATTGCACGAGGGACGTCTTAGGACTGGAGACGATCGTCCAAGCCCCATACACATAGTTTCATTTTAGAAATCTTCTTCGCCCAGACTCCTGTTTCCTGCTCCCCGATCAATTGCGGGACATGACATCCTGTAGGATCAGTCTAGATGCTTTCAAGTCCGCCGCCTCCCGTTCCCAGTAGCGTATGGTAGAGACTGATAGTCTGACAGTTTCCTCAAACTGCTTTTGGGGTAATCCGCTTAGGCCAGCTTTATGTGCGGCTATAAGAAGCAGAGCCGAGTTGAAACTCTGTCGTACCATTAACCAAGTACCGTGATGTCGATGGCGAATATCCCAATGTCGAATGAGCTTCACACAAACTGCACTGTGCTTCTGTACAAGGGACCTGACTTTGTTTCCTGTTTCCTCGTCAAGATCATAGTGAAGCGCGTAAAACAGGAAAGGCCGATAAGTCCGTTCCTGAAGTTCATAAGTCCGCGCTTGAAGGTGATAAGCCAATTCATCCTCAGCAGGCATATCGTAGTCGAATGCAATAGGAGCAGGAAGATTTTGATACCTAGACTAGAATTAGAAGTATGAATAGCATGGCACAGATCCAAACACCTTACCATTGGTCAATCTGTCGAGAGAGCTCTTCTGCTGCTTTGATCATACTAGTAATCGTGGTGAGCTGCAGATCAATATGATCCGCATAGAACGAATCCACGACGCGCTGCAGGATACGACGCGCTGCGATATCAGCCAAATAGTAGTACCATGAACCTTGAACTTGAGGAAGACGCTCCATGAACGGCTCAGGGCTTGTATAAAACATGACAGTCGGCGATGCTGACATACAAGAGTCGTTGTCGCGACTCACAGGAGGTAAGGGAAATGATTGAGTATAGTTTTGGGAGGTGAGACCAGAGGAGGGAACTTGGAGCTCCACAGATATCTCGCTAGTCAGTGTAAGCATTGGAAGCATTATGGCGAGATGGCTGACTGACTGTTCTGATTTCAGACAGGACCAATACTGTCGACAGGCATGAGAGTCAAGCAGAGCTGACTCTTCTGACGATTTGAAACTTCGTCTGTTAGAGATCTGGAATGTGACGCACGCTCTATTAAATGATACTGATGCTTGGAATGGTCGAAGTGAATACATTTCATAAACTCCAATCAGGAAGTAGCACTCAGTAGCTAGGGATCCATTACCCAGAAGGCCGATGCGTTTTCGAGCTTCATCATAGTAATATTCCGCAAGAGAGTATTTTGGTGTGTCTTCGTAGCTGTTACCATATTTTCCATTATCGGCAACGGTCGAGATACGAGCGAACGGCGACGAAATCACAGCCAATGCACATGTCAAAAGCTTTGTTCACGTCAATAAGGACCTGGCACAAGACAACACACCACTTACCACAAGACATGTAGGTCCATCCCACTGAAGCTTCCGCTGAGCTACACCACAAGCCATCTTTCTTATTTCAGTAGGGTTCAATATCGGATTCTTTGTATGAACATGGCCAAGGAAGCTCTCAACCAATACGAGGATATCATCTCCCGGGAATCCGCGATCGTTGTACGCGACATCCTTTGAGGCCGTCTGATTTGAACGAGACTGGCCATGTTTTTCCAGAAGATGATCAACGCCATCGTTGCTGAGCACTGGATCGGTGAATAAGGCTTCAATATTCGTAACATCTTGACCATCTCCGAACACAGGCCATTTAAGGATGCCCTCACAAGAAGAAAACGACAACTCAGTGACCAATGGGGAGTATCCTGAATCAACATAGGTAGATTCGAGATTCTCGAGATCTGTGTCAATTGTACTGAGTTCGACCTGCCGATGCTGCACATCACTCCGAACTCCCATGGTGGTGTGGTCTCCTCCACCACGCTGGGATTCATTGTTCGTACCTCCGTGGACCGGTAGCCGAGTGGAGTTGTTTGATTCGTTGAGATCGATCAAGTAGTCGAGCCGATTAATGATGGCCAGTGTCCCACGGTCGAACCTGATGGTTTTAGTAAATTACCACAGCGGTGTAGTGGATTGCGTTCACTAACGACAGATTTGGTTCAGAATCCTCATAAACACATTCGGAGTCTTGGTTCCGACATCTGGAGCAACTCGGGCGTGTGTTGTCACATTTGGCCTTTTTGGCCCGACATGGTTGACAAGCGACTAAAGCTCGCTTTCTTGAGAAAGAATGTCTTGTGGAAAGTGTGGGCGCGCGCGAAATTTTTCTTTTCTTCGATTGTTGATACCCAGGGTCGAGGCCGTGCTCATCTATCGACCGGCTCGCCATGACGAATCGAGTTAGGTTGCAGCGAGTGCTGATAAATGTAAGAGGCAACTTCGATTTATATGCTGCTTGATCACCGAGGTTCTTCCCCCATGCCAAGCATCGGCAGATGCTTTGCCCCACCTTCAGACAAAGTCACGGCCGCTCGACAGACTTTCGACAAACAGAAAACGCAAATCTCGAGCATACGCAAGTGGCAGAGTGACCGGAACTGTATTGACGCGTTCAGGGTATGCGTTCGACAACCAGTTACCCACGCTCTCGATGGACTCAGTACTCTGGCATTACGATAATACACTGTTTGTTGCGCCCCGTTGACGGTCGCGTCGAATTGACGGGTCCACGCCTGGTCAAGCAGATAGTGCGGCAGGTAAACAACATCGATCGATTCCATGAGCCTATACAGCGTTCCTCTCATAAGATCCGCTTCGTAACACGCAGTAGTAAATGTTTCACACTTTGCTTTCGTTAGTTTGGTGAATAATGAACCCCTTGGATAAATCAATTCTTGGGTTGTGTAGCTCTAGGTAGACTTTGCAGGCCATTTGACCCTCTTCTCCGCCCTAGCCATGAAGTTCGTAGGTCTGATGAGTTGGAAGAAAGGATCATACTCGACAGCCTCCTCGTCGACCTTCGACCAGTGGTAACGATACACCAGCTTCGGCAAGAAGATCTTGACCTCCAACAGTGCGAAGTTGAAGCCTACGAGGAGAGTTAGCAGTGGGCGCGTTCTGTCTAAATTTTGGAATACATACCTATGCAACCACGAGGGCCCTGTGCGAACGGGATGTATGTAGAACGGTGACGGTTCTTGACCTCCTCGGTATCCCAACGGTCAGGATTGAACTTGGCTGGGTTGTCCCACAGCTTGGGATTGTTGTGGATGTGGTGAAGTGCGGGGATGACGATACCACCCTTGGGGATCTTGTAGCCACCTGGCAGAACCAGATCGTGTTGGGCTGTACGACCAGGCTGGTATGAGGGGTTGTGTTTTCGCTGCATCTCTTTGACGTATTTGTCAAGGAAGGGGAGCTTGCCGATGATGTCGGCATCTAGCGCTGTGTCGTCGTTGATATCGTTGTCAATGAGCTCTTGCAGAAGACGCTCCTGCATACCCTCATATGTCACCAATCCGTAGAGGAGCCACGAGAGCAGGGATGACGTTGTGGTGAACCCAGCTGCTGTGGCTACCATGATGGAGTGGCTCATGTAACGTTTTGGTAGCTTCTCGCCTTTGTTATCAACAGCACGAACTGCATAATCTGCAATACACGATGCCTTGAGCGCTGCGTCCTGCAATTCCAGGTCCTCGACGCCATTGGGCGTGACTGCAGCAATGGCGGCTTCCATCTGTTGTTCGAGCTCGTTTCTGATATGTCTCAACTTTGCTGGGTCACCGAAAGGCAAGTATGAGTACCATGATCCCATGGTTGAAACCTTCTTATTCAGCTCCAGGAGTTCCGCGATATCACGGACCATCTTATGAAGCGGTGCATAGACAGAAGAAAAGTGGTTGAAGTCAAGGCCAAGAGTGAGTTTGCCAACAGCTTGTGAGCCAAGCTTCAACATATATAGGTAAACGTTGAAGGCAGTTCCTTGCTCATCGAGCTCGTCGAAGACCTTATATGTCGACTCGACTGTTTGTTGCATAGTCGGAGAGTAGTGTCGGACGGCCTTGGGGCTAAACGCTGGTGGAAGGAACTTGTGTGTAAGTCTCCAGGCTTCTGTGTCTGTGTCAGCAAGGAATAATCCTGCTTCCTGATCCATGATACCGAAGAGCGGATGCTCCGGTGTAATTTGCTTCGTGAAGAAACCGTTCTCGTTGAAAACGTGGTTGGCGATCACAGGATCATTGGTCTGGTATACAACACTTCCGAAGTTTGAAGTTTTGAAGACAGGGCCGTATGTATCGAAGAGTCGCTGGTGATTACCAAGATGATCTGGGTAGATCTCGTAGTAGTTGCCGATGTAAGGGAAACCTCTGGGACCAGGAACGTCTCTGACTTGCTTGCCGTCAATTGTGATTGCCACTGGCTGCTGGCTGTTGATGACCTCAGACACATTTGTCAAGGTGGTGTTATCCACTGAGAAGTCGATGCCTGTCCGAGTCAGCGGTGGGTCTCACATACCACGTACAAGAGGGTTCTTACCGCTTGGCTCCAAGATAACGAAGTGTCCAGCGACCAATAGACGAAGCGATTCATAGTCAGGTACTTCGCTCGAGTCGACTTCGACGTTATGCCCAGTGGTAGGATCCTGTCCTAGAAGGTAGAAATGTACTGACGGCATCTTTGTTATGATTTAACGATATGACTAGGGCAATGTCTACGTCTCCAAGAAGCCGAGGGACTTGGGGTTATATGTTAAGCATCCACATTGATGACCCATGGCCTGTCTAGCAGTTTGTTGCTGACCCATAGTGTATCACGGGCCATTTGGTACTCTGCCGCGGTTCTGGCATTCATCAAAAAGTCATTACAAGCGGGTCGAAGTAGGCGAGATTTCTAGAATGTCGGCCACGAGAACACACCGCCGAGGAGTGATCGCTCGCATCTTTGCGACGGCGATTTGAGCTTACGACACGTTTCAGGGAATACCTTGCGACATCGTTAATGGAGGCCTGTATGACCGGATCACGGCTCGACGCGTGATTGAAGACTAGTAGATGAGGCGACCGATGAGAGGAGCACAAATGTCGCTTTGATGCGAAGACGGTCCGGAGAGAACTTCTCCAAAAGTTTCAGGAAGCGCGACTGCGAGTCGGAACGGAGTTTTGACATGTGCTCGTCCGTGCTTTTCGGCCCGCTCGTACTGTCACGATTTAGCGTTGTCAATTCTCAGTGCTTCGTTTGTGCAAGAGGTCACTCTGATATGACTGACTTCTTGGTCAGTGTCGTATCACGACCATTCATGTATTGATTAGAAAGTAAATGATGACTTTATGCTGTGCAGATGGGACGCATTGAAGTGCTGCAAGGGATATGATGGATGATCTCAAGGATCGAATTTTGATTTGTTCAAATGCATTGCCATCATGTAGGACATGACTGTTTTAGAAGGTGAAGATATCGTCTGTCATCTTACCGACAGACCCAGGCTTCTTCCATCCCAGCTCGGCCAAGTTCTTCTTTGTAGCAATAATCATGCCTGGTGGTCCACACAGAAGAATCTTTGAAGATCCATCGTTCGACGGCGCAGGCATGTATTGCTCCAATATGTCCTTCGTGACGAACCCACTTCCATATAGCCAACCCTCGGGTGGATTGTCTAACATGTAATGCACCTTGAGATTTTTGGGGTACGCCTTTGCCCAAGCATCCAGTTCTGCACGCAGCAAAATATCGTCCTCAGTGCGATTCGCGTACACCAGGGAGACTTCTGTGGTATCGGTAAGGTCTTCGCAGATGCTTCGGATGAGCTGATAGTGGGGTGTGATGCCGGTGCCTCCAGCGACCATACCAATCTTCTTGGCGTAGCCTTTGCGGTACTTCATGGCGCCCTTGGGACCCCTGAAGAGAACTTGATCACCAACCTTAAGCTTGGCCAGATACTTTCCGGTAAGTAGACCTTCATCGTATAGGCGAATCAGAAGGATTAATTTGCCGAGATCGCCATCGTTCGATGTGGGGGTGTATGACCGGGTCACTGTCTGCTCGCCAATCTTTGCTTGAATGGCGACGTGCTGTCCAATTGGCAGTCCAAGTCTCGTCATAGGTGTAGGAAGCTCGAATGTTAGACGTACCAAACCTTGGCCAGGAAGAATCTGCTTCGATACCAAAGGAAGTGGCTGAAACACCGTGCTCTTCAGGAAACCAACAATATGTCTGGTAGGCAGCTTAGGGACTCTTTTATACATTGGGCTTCTTCCAAACCCGCCAGGAATGGTGGTAAGCTTAGAGATATATGATGTGAAGCCTGCGCCGAAAGCTGCTGATAGCACGCTGGCAAGCAAGAAGCCCTTGAGGAAGCCATTCTCAGATTGCAAAGAGTTGATATTCTGCAAGTATTTGTGAGCTCCAGGTATATGCATTCGACCGTGAAGCTTGTACACAATCGTTGTAGCTGTTCCGGCGAGTAGACTCGCGGCTCCTATCGTTCCGAGAGTCTTTGAGCTTGGAACGCTGCTTGGGCTTGGTGCCGGTTGTTTGCGAACAATCTGAACAGCCTGCCTGCGAGTAGATTTGGTGAAGCCTTGAAGCTTCCCGACCAAAAAGGGCGCCATTATCTCTCTGGCTTCGTCGGAGTGTCCAACGTCTTCGAATGCTTGTGTGGCATCTTGTCCAGCCACTTCAACCAGCGATTCTAGGCCGCCAGGATGATCCAGAGTGTATTTCGTGACGTCGTAGACATTTCCATCAACAATGATCCAGAGGTCCTTCTCAGTATTGTGTTCCGTTATCTCCTTGAGAGTGTACTCCGTGTTATCTGCCATTGTGAAAGACAAGCTTGTAACTTGCATCAAAGTGCGAGCGAAAAGAAATCAGATAGGGTTCAGGGCCCAGTCCGCAAGGACACAAGAACTCTTATATTACCTGCTGCCATAGTCGATAACAGATTTCGTGCTCGCCTGAACGAGGCGGCCGAGGTCTACTCAACTTCTCCAGACAAGCACGGTCGCGGACATGCAAGGTGTCGATGCGTAAACATACTCTCCGTGATATGTTCTCGATTAGTCACTGAGATGATGAATGTCGCATGCTGTGGGTCCCAAGGAGACGTCCATAGCGAGATGACGGTCGTCAAGGGTCATGTCAGATTGGGGTCGGTCGGTCCGAGTCCGAAGGTAGATGAGAGGCAGGTCGAGAAAATTACCGTGGGTCTGTGCGCCTTCGCCCGGCCCGGTCGTGTTGCCAACAGGACATCCGTCACAACAACAACGGCAGGAAAAGTGCGGGTACATCTCAAGTATCACAACAAATTTGCCAAACTACCAGGCTCCGACACCGAGTTCCGACTTCTCAGCTTAAGCATGCCGGTCGCGTTGCGTTCACCAGTGTGTGGCGACATTGCCATTACTGCAGTCACTCCAATGATGTTGACGGTTGGTGTGTAATCCATACTTTTTCCGCCTACTGAGACTCTGTCTTAACCATCTGTCCTAGAAGTCCCACTGGTTCGACATCCGAGAAGTTGTCTAAGTCATCCCTCATCTCCTGTCCATGCTCGGCAAAGCCTTTCATCATGCCCTCTTCACTGTCCCACTCCATGATGGTATGTACAGCGTAACCTTGCGATACTTCCGAATTGAGCTCTGAAATCTTGTATGACTTGAGTCCAAAGGACTTGAATCTCTCCATTGCGAGAGGCATGTGGTGGTCTTTGTAGTAGTCGAGCTTGAAGTTCTCGGTCTTTTTGTAGAGTGCGGAGACGATAAAAACCATCTTGATCGGCTTGTGTGGTGGAGTCCGTGTGGGTAGGTCTAGAGTCCTGGGATTAGCCTTGGTCATACAGTGAAGGTCGAGATCGAACTCAGATACGAGATTCATTGAGTAACTTCCCAAGGTCCAAAGGCTTACTTGATTATCTTGGTGTGACCCAGCAAATACAGTCAGACGCAGAGATAGTGTGCAGTTCATGGTATTTGACTGATGTGTAGCATCGGACTTACGGCTTATTTCCTATATCCCTCGTCCTTCGTCTTTTCGGCCGATGGAACTATCGCCAAATAATGAAGTATATTGTGCTAAGCATTGCTAGAGACGTTCGGATCGCGAATCAGAACTTCACATGGAGCTGAGAGCGTCAATCTCCGTTGCAAGTCCCATGTCTCTAAAGATGTTGTGTGTTAGCATAGCGACACGTATGGTCGATCTGTACACGCGGAGAGAAACCACAGTCTTCCTCAAGGTAGACTGGCATGCTGCCTCGAGAAGAAGGTTTGTCTGGGGCCAGTAATACGGGCATACGGTGGTGTCGGTGTACGCGGATACGGATGACGATGTTCCATTGGCTGCTCGTGCAGTTGTCGAACATCTGAGTAACCCGGCCATGAGTGCTCCGCTTGTGTAAACGCTGGTGAGGGACATGGAAGACAAGAGTCGGAAAACAGCTCACAAACAGATTCCTTGTTAGCTGTCTTGACAATTTCACCGCAAGGCCATCGTGTCCGAGGAGCTAAGTTACAGCGTGCGAAGATCAAGGACTTCGAGTGTATGGATGGTCTAAGAATCGATGGAATCGATGTGTTGTGCCACACTGTTTCCAAAGTTGCTCGACCACCAGCCGTCAAGTGCAGACGCTGGCACGTAAGGCATCGCACTCACCTTTGCTTGCACGACAAGCAGCCACATTGGTTCTTGCTATGCGGCTCTCAATAGTCAGACAGATACGCGGCGGCTTCCGGCAGTGACCCCATGTGATGTTTCTATCGAGTAGATCAAGACGATACAAGGCCAGCTTTCGCATAATTGTCTGGTTGGTAGAGGATTATCTGAGGGCACCCAGAAGCGTATTGTGCCCGAGACTTCCGTGCACGGTTCAGCTGTGTCGCAATTCGAGGATGACGCAAACACGTAGTCCATCGTCCTTTGCCTTACAATATCATGAAAAGAATGCGCGTCCTGTCGCTTGCTCAGATCAGTCGGAAGTCTGCACTTTCCTTCGGTATGGCACATCTTACTGCAGTGCATTGCGGGAGCGCCGAGCGACGCGTCAGTGCAAACGGCTTCTTCTTCGTGTTTCGGATCGTATCGTCAACGCTCTCAGCTGGAGTATACCAACCGTCAACGGAGGCTGTACTCGAGTACCCCTGCACTGTCAATGTAACGTCCTGACAGATGTCGGCCAAGTGATGCGCAGTCGGTCCCGATGAGAGGATGATCACAGAACAACTGCCACTTGTGCGTCAAGCTGACACTCCAAGTGCTGGGCTGGCTTGGTATAGCGAAGCTCGAAATCCGTCGTAATACTTTTGAGACTTCAGCTTGGTCGCTATTACTGAATAAAACTTTCTTTTGATTTAGGGCTTACTATCTACAGTTCTGCGATGAGATCATTGCTTGTCAAGGACCACGTTTTTGCTGATGTGCTTAGAGACAACTCGTAAATATTGTGAACGCGGCATGGGCTTCGTCCAGCAGAACATGTGGATCACCAAATTCCGGCATACACCAGTTCTATACTCATGCTTATGTCCGACACCCTGCAGACAGCAGGAGATGAAGGCTAGAGCTGCATGGAAACAACCGACAATCTGTTGTGTTCCTGCTTGCGCCAATCTATTTCCCGCAACACCATTGGACCCCTCCCCAAGCCTCTGAAGTCTTAACGGTTTTAGTTCTTCAGCCAAATGCGCCAACTCGACAAGAAATGCCGCGCTGCATGGCAGTGGCAGTATAATGCTACGAGACGAGCTGGGCAAGATGTCCACCCGTCGTTGGTGAGTTTCGCATTTTCTGTTGCACTTTTCTTCCACCTTCTCAGGTCGGATTTCTATTCTCCCTCTTGCTTTTCAATATTACTCACTCACGACCTCCACTTGGACATCGTTCGGCCGCAGCGTTGCTTTTGAGCTTGCCCTGGAGCTCCGCATTCTGCCCCAGACAAGGATCCTCGATAACAACAACCGTGCACCTGGCACCATCGATATAATACTCCTGACTGTTGCCTGTTTGGGGTTATATTCCCACTCGATGTTCCCACCGAGACTTGTGTCAACCAATTGCCTGAAATCGAGGCATTGACTAATTCCAACTCATCGTTCTATCAAAAACAATATAATAGCACAATGTCTCCACCAATTCGACCCTCAGCTTCACGGCGCCTCACGCGGGCAGAAACGTCAGATGCAGAGGAAACGAGACAGAGCGAGCAAGCTGGACGCTCAGCTAGCAACTTACACGCGCAGCTTTCAGCAGCTGCTTTGCGACCACAACGACCAGACAACCAATCTCGTGGACCAAGTAGACAGACCAGTAACGACGATCTTCCTCGCCAAAGTCCTACAACTACCTCTACCCTGCATCGCTCTTCCAATTCGAATACATCCGATCGGTCGTCAAGAGATGGATCTGTGGGGTCACTACATAACATACGGACGAGAGATGCAAACGCTGCTGGGATTGCGATAGGCCAAGGGCTGTTACCACCTCCACCCATACCGGCTTCACGTCCCTCTCCACGACCATACAGTATGAGGAATGTTAGCTCGTCTACAAGTCTCTCAAGAATGGCTACTCCGAGGTCTGTCAGAGATCTTGGACGTGATTTCGACAGATACTACAATCCTTTTGCGACTCCCGCTCAGTCAACAACCGATCTGACTTCTCTACTGCCACGCCGCAGATCTATGGACAGTAGTCAGTACCAAGGTGGAGCTTCGGGACCGATGTCCAGACGGAACTCGAATCCGTTTAGTGATGAAGATCACCCTTCTCAACGTCTGGCAACGCCTTTCGCGGCTTCCGCCATCAGTACTCCCAGAAATGACTTTATTGACGACAATGATCCTGATCGGTCTTTCTTCCCATATCTAGACGACAGACTAGGCGCACCCGGAACAGAAGATCAGGGCTACACATTTCCTCTCTACTGGCACGAGAAAGAGTGGGATGACGATATGCATCTACCAATGGTAGATGATGATGTAAAACTCAAACCAACGCTACGGGATCGCTTTTCGCGCAAAAACGTACTGGACACACTGGGGTTGGCGTTTATGATAATCGGTCTCTTGAGTGTGTTTATCATGTTACCCGTGCTTAGTTGGTCTGGCATAAACATCATTGGATACAATGATACTCCATTGGACCAGATGTGGGGATATGGTGACAACGAACCGACGTGGGCAACGGTAAACGCAAGTCGGAAATGGCCTTTACTGAAAAACATGCGTACTGGATTAATCGACCCTGATACACCCAAGACAGAAAGGAAAAGAGTTGGTGTCGAGGGCGATGAATATCAATTGGTGTTTAGCGACGAGTTTAATGATGTCAACAGGACTTTCTACCCTGGCGACGATCCATATTGGTTTGCTCCAGACTTCTGGTACGGGGCTACTAGGGACTTGGAGTGGTATGACCCCGACGCCGTAACGACCTGGGACGGAGCTCTACATCTTCAACTCGACGCGTTCGAAAACCACAACCTCCGTTTCCGAAGCGGCATGCTGAATTCCTGGAACCAGTTGTGCTTCAAAGGCGGCATCATGGAAGTTTCTGTCTCTTTGCCTGGTCCAGCCGGTATTCACGCTCTCTGGCCCGGCGTCTGGAGCTTAGGCAATCTAGGACGACCGGGATATCTAGCGACTACCGAGGGAACGTGGCCATATACTTACAACGAATGCGACGCAGGTATAACACCCAATCAATCCGACTCCAGCGGCATGAACAAACTCCCCGGCCAAAAACTATCCTCCTGCACCTGCCCCAACGCCGACCATCCTTCCCCCGGCGTAGGCAGAGGCGCCCCCGAAATCGATGTCATAGAAGTCAGTGCCGATTACTCCGGCCTCGGCCTCGGTGTAGCAACACAAAGCTATCAAATTGCACCCTTTGACACTTGGTGGTACCCCAACGCCGACTTTATGGAAATTCCTGATCCATCACTCAGTTTCCTCAATACATGGACAGGAGGGCCTTTTCAACAAGCTGTGAGTACGACGACGATGTTAAATAATAAGTGGTATGATGGGGAGGAATATCAGAAATTTGCCTTTGAATATGTTCCTGGTAGCACGGCGGACAGTTATATAGCCTGGACGGTTGCAGGGCAAGAAATGATGAAATTCGACGCTAGGGCAATTGGACAGAATGGAAACATTGGACAAAGGATTATAAGTGAGGAGGTATGCTGTGTTTCACCCTTCCCTCTTTCCCTTCTCCTTCCCCTTCTCTTCTTCCTCTATCCCTACTAATGACGGGAACAACACAGCCAATGAGTATGATTCTCAACCTCGGCATCTCCGAAAACTGGGTCGACATAAACTGGACAGCCGCCACGTTTCCAGCAATAATGCGTATAGACTATGTACGCATATACCACAAACCCGGAGAGGAGAGTATAACCTGTGATCCTCCCGGCTTTGAAACGACGGAATACATCAAGAATCATCCAGAGGCTTATACGAATCCTAATTATACTGTGAGTACCCAACCTAGCCTCGCCCTCGCCTTTTTTCCTCCAACTCCTAGATAAGGGTAGGGGAAGGAGGGGCAGCAGGCTTTGAAAGAGTGTGGCAGTGAGAATGGAAAGCTAATGAGTGATGCGATAGACATGGGAGGACGCTGGGTATGAGTGGCCGAGGAATTCATTGATGCATGGGTGTTGAGTTGTGTACAAATACAAAGGCAAGCATTGGCCGTTATTATACCAGGATCCTGTACAAGGACACTGTCAAAGATATAGAGAAAGAGTTGTGGAGACATCACTTATAATATACTCCGTCAAGTTATCACGATACTTATCACGAAGAAGCCTAAGAGAAAGAGATGCAGGTTTCAGAATCGCTCTGTCTACCTCACAAGTCTATTCTTTTGCTTGTCATGTGGATATGGTGAACGCCAGTTGCTCTCCAATGCACAATACACACTGTGGTCTATAGCGTAATCAGGTGAGTTTCGTGTGTTTTTGCTTTGGAAGCTATCAGATTTCCAGATTCGAATCACTTGTAAACTGCAGGTACTTTTAAGAGGGGAAGAGCAAAGTGAAATTATATCATCGTGTCTGAAAGACATTGTCATTATGCCACTGAGCTATTTACCAGGGTCTTCCCATTGTCCAAAAACGCCCTGCTTTGGGTCTGATGTGTGGTATCCAGAGAACCTCCCTTTAGCTAATCATGCCTTATACCCTTTCTTCTCCATTGTCATTACGCCTAGTCCTCATTTTCCAGTTGCCGTGCCAGTACCCAAAACACCCTCCTTCTCCTTCAAATTCCTTCCCAATCCCATCGAAACCACGAGCTGATGGACCCACACTCAAGCACCCACAACGCCCAATCCATTAACATGCCCTTGCTGCCCCTGACCCTGACCCATACTATTCTTCCCCTTGACACCCACCCAACCCCTCCTCTGCCGTCCAGTTCTCCCCCTGCCCAACCAATTATACTTCAATTCCCTCGTCAACCTCTCCACAACAGCTTGACTCTGATCCCCCGTCTGCGCTCCCGCAACAACACTCACACATTGCAACATTCTGGCCACCGTTTGAGTGACTTGTGCCGGGTCTGCAAGGATCGGCATTTTTCCATTGGGGTCGGGAGAGAATGAGGATGAGAATGGGGGTGCGGAGGTTACGCTGTCGATGGAGGGAGCTGGGTAGTGGGAGGTCGTATGGGGGAGTGAGGTGCCGAAAGAGCCGGCTGAGGTGTTTGAAGCCGCGCGGGAGCGTGAGTGTTGGGGTGGTGGGCTAGAGACTATTGTGGTGGATGAGTTGTCGAGGTAGGTTGTGTTGTTGCTGTTGTAGCTGCTTCCTAACCGTGGAGAGAGCGAGCCGCCTGTCGATGGTCTCTCCGTTCCTCCTGCTGCTGGGTTGGACAAGCCTCTTCCGCGATTTCCAGATATCGGTGGCGAAGAGGAAAGGTTATTGGATGAAGCAGCTGTGTTTATGCTTTCCAGTGATAAGCGTGAGAATATTGCCAGCAGTGATTCGTGACGAGGCAACAGCACCACATCGCGAAACACGATCAGCGCAATCCTGCGAACATCCAATTCTTCTCCAAGTCCAGGCATGCGATTCGAAGTATTGCTCGTTATGGTTGCGCCGCCAGAACTACTCGGTCTCATCTCATCAAATGATGAAGATTGTTTACGCGAAAATGGTGGAGGCATCTCTGCAGGCACAAAGGCACCCCAGAACTCTTGAGCTTCTCTTGCACTCATTATACTACCATGACCTCTGAACTCAAGATCAAGTGGTAAGAAGACGGCTTGGATGAAGGGAAGAATCGAACTGAAAGTCATCTGCCAGATGGCAACCAGCCGCGTAACCAGTCGTTCGTCTGGCACACCTCGTAACGTTTGCGCAAGAGAAGAGAAGCCCGTAGCAAGTAGTTCTCGTAGGTCCTCTACCAAGACTACGGGGGCGCGCTTCTGTACGCATCTACGAATATGCACCGAGACTAAAAGGTTGAAATCTTCAATAGGTGTCCGTAGATCTTCACCAGAGAAAATGTTCAGCAACCTTGCTTTTAGTAGTGGCCAAGCATCGTCGGCTGTGATTCCATGCAAGCCCATACTGTTTCCTAGTGTGTTGAAGGCAGCAGCTGACATTGTAGGTTGTGCCTCATACAAAGGTAGAGAGAAAAGAGAGGCACTGCTTGGGGGACCAAGTATCGAGGCCGAGTCCAGACTGCTGGGACCCATAAAATCGCTTCTCGAGTCATCTCGTAGCAAGTTCCCAGAGCTGTTGGACATGATAGGCGTCAGGTTTGTAGCAGCGGCGGCAGCAGCCTTTTCCTCTTTCTTCTTTTCCCTCAAAGCACGTCCGGCATGTCGCAAGTCCAGACCGCTGACAGATTTGGAAAAGCCAGGAGATTGAGGGGTAAAAGAATATAGTGATTGCGGCGCATTTGGATCTACAGCGGTCGAATTTGATGAAGCAGAAGATAGCGGCAGAGCACCTCTGTCTTTTTGTTTTTGCCTTGACAAGAAGTGATGTCTGTGTTTCTCCTTGTCCTCTTTCTTTTCTCCCGTGGCAGTTGCAGTAGTGGTGACTGGGACCAAGGTCGAAGTCGAAGTATTCGCAGATGAGTAGACCGAAGCAGCAGAAGAGCTTGGGTCATTAAGGCTGATCATCGAGGCACTTGCGAGGCCGGCGCGCAGCAAACCACGGTTGGGAGAGGATAGAGCCGGGGCGGCTTTCTTGTCAAGGTCCTTGTCCTTTGTGATAGCAATACTCTTTGGCTTGTGGAACAGCTTCATCTTGGATCGCTCTTTGACCTTTGTGTCGTTTGGAGTCGGTGGTGGTGGGGCGGAGACGGGTTGATCTGCGGTTATGGCATGTGGTGAAGGCATGGGACCAGGACTACGAGGAAAGGCGACGTTTGCGGCGGTGGTAGCAGTGATTCTACTGTCCATGTGGATCGATTGATGCGGTGGCGGGCTCATCAAGGTGGGCGAGGCTATGCGACGGTCGGCTCGACTGGCAGCGATGTTGATGGGCTGCAAGGGAGGAGTTGGTCGCTTGCGGTCCTGGTTCGAATTGAGCATGTGGTGCATGGCGGCTTGAGCGGCGATTTGAGAAGCCGGCATATGCGAAGTGTGCGGTAGAGAAGGTTCAAAGAAGCCTTGCGAGTGTTGACGGCCTCGTTGGTGGATGGATGGAGGGGCAGTCGGTGGAGGCGGCGGAGGAGAAGTCATGCGCAGTTGAGCATCGATCGACTGGCGAGGTTGAGGGCGCGAGAAGTTGGCAAGAGCAGAGGGTGGTGCGGTGGTAGAATGGGCAGTACTAGGGCGAGGAGCGTATTGCTGTTGCGGTTGCGGCTGTTGGTGTTTGGGGGTGTTGTCTATTGTGGCCGCCGACATGCTCGATGCGCTCCGGTGCGACAGGGACGGAGCAGGACCGGCAGGGGACCGTTGGCGAGGTCGCGGTCGCAAGGGAGGATGATGTTGGTCGCTGTTCATATTGCTTCTTCCATGTTTGACCGACCTGTCTAGCACTTGATCATGTCTTTCGTCAAGTCTCAAATGTGGAGTCAAAGTTTGGAGCGTCATCGTTCCCTCCCCTCCACCATCCCAATCCCAAAAATAGCCTCCTTCCGCATCGTTCCTGCCAATCAAGCCTCCTTCCATCTGTCAATTAAGCATCGTTCCTGCCAATCAAGCCTCCAAATACGCCATCGACACGACCATCTACTGTCGACATGTCTGCCCACTTGACGGCCGTCTACACTTCGCCCACAGCGACCAACACCTTCTCCGCCCCGCTGTCGTCCGCCCCCACCATGATCACTTCCTCTCATCTCGGCGACCTTCGCGACAGGGTCATTCAAATGCAAGAAGACATCAACCAGTACTTGACAAAGAAGATGGACGAAGACAAGGCTGCCACTGAGGGTGCTGCCAACTCAAAGGATGAAGACTTGGAAGAGCAAATGTACGGCGAGGAACTCGTCGATGAGGATTGATGTTGAAAAGACCCATCACCACCAACAAGAACACCAATCAACCACGACACGTCTGCACTCCAAAGCTGTCTCGACCCTGCTGCCCATCTCTGCTTGCATAACAATGCTATAAAGGACTCTTCGGGCTCTAAAGCGACTTCGTCGTCGCAAACCAAGCCTGCTCGACACGCCTTCCGCTAGCTAAAAGTAGTGCGCTTGGTGCATCAGAGGCCACAATCCTCGCTATGACTGAACGCTCTTTGGCGTTACAGATGACATCTCACCAGCCACAGCTATAACAGCTATGCAGCAGATCATGCACTCTGCAAGCCACTTCAATCAAACCATCTCTTTCAGGCCCCCCACCCCCTATCTTCTGCTCCTGCATCTGCATCTGCAAACGTGTCGACATCTAGGTACAATCATTTGTTCGATAGGGGCAACAAGATCCGTGTCTCGTAGCGGCTTTGTATTACAGAATGTACTCGAGTACACTATCTTCGTGTGAATCGTCTGCTGGCCCTCTGGTCATAAGCTCCTAGTAACAACGGCGAATCTGCTAAGCGCTGTAGTGGATCAAAGGTCTTACCCCTCTGTCGTCCATGTCTTTCCATGTGTCAAAACGCAAGCTCAATCTCAATAGTGTTGTATACTCCCCTTGGAAGTGATGGGCCGCTGCGTCGAGCTCAATGGTCAATCAGACCTGTATCGCAATTGGGTCGTCTTCTTACCCTCTGCTGATATGCTCGAGTTCATCCCCTTCTCCACAGGTTCGTCGTCATGTTTCCCCCTTTTGTTTATTCTCCATGCTTCAAAGTGTCTTCTCCAGAGAAGAACCAACCTGGCTTTCTAATCGCCTTGATCAACGAATCCTTCTTGTTCGTGCCCCAAACCCCATGGTCCTGCTTCTTTGCCTCCTTGGTATCCAACTTTTCCTTCTCGGGGGTCGCAGTCGTGGAGACCTTCTTGCCATTTTCCTTGATAGCCAGCTTTCCAAGACCAACCTCATCAATCGTAGATTCTTTCTCCTTTTCCTTTCCCTTTGCTTCAGCACTAGCTTCGGCAGTTCTCACCTTCTCCTCGACATCCTCTTCCTCTTTCTTGTAGGCATTTCCCCCAAATCTGCCGTCTTTACCTTCTGCTTCCAAGACACCTTGTCTCTCTTGCTCAGTACCAACTTTGGAGGCAAGTTTCTTCATTCTTCTCTTTTCCCTTTGATGTTCTCGTTTCGCTTCTTCCTTATCTTTGGCAACCTGGCGTGAGTTTTCTGTACCGATTGTCATGTCGAGTAATTTGAAGAGGACCCAGGGGGGCTTGTTAAGGTAGAAACGTTTGACATTCTGTAATTTGTTCCTTAGTAAGAGGAAGAATGTTATGAGGAGAAGAGAGGGAAGGAGGAAAAACCTTTTCAGATGCTGTGAGAAAGACATCGTTGTCGAGGATATAGCCAATGGTGTCGAGTTCAGCTCCTGTGGCTGTGAAAGTGGGAGGACAGGGGTTTTGGGAGTTATGTCTTCCCTGTAAAACACATCTTTTGTCAGTAAAACTTCCACATATCCTCTGCCTTCCTCTTCTCAGGAGACGCACCAAACTCACCCTATCCAGTTTACAAATCAACAACATTTCCGTCGCCGTGGCAGCAATGATCCCATACCCCACTTCCTCCTCCTCGACCCACAGAGCCTCGTATAACTGATCCTGCAACTTCTGCACCAGAGTTCTGTCCTTGACTTCGACCTCTGCATATATGGACATGCATCTAGTGGAGTCGTAAGGACGCACTGAATAGCCCAGGCCTTCTAGGTCTCTGGCGAGAGTGGGGTAGGAAGCAAAGAGTTCGACATCGAGATTGCGGATGCGGCCGAAGATCCTGTAGAGGGGGTAGGAGGGGAGACAGAGTTGGACTGAGGCTTCCCATTCGCGCTGGGAGGGGTGTCAGTAGGGAAACTGAGAATGGTCGGAGGGAGTAGACTGACAGCTGTGACGGTTGTGGGTACAATGTGGGCATTGGGCACTGGAGCCAGAAGGAGGACTTGGAAGTGGGCTCCCTGGGTAGAAGATGTTAGATGTGATATGAGGCAGGCTCTGAGCATAGAGGACTGAGTACAGAGTATGGTGGCATCGTGTCTGGTGGTGATGTTGCTCGCTATTGAGCGAGTAACTAGTAGCCTTTCGTTGTAATGAGGAGAGTTGAGCTAGGAAGTCACATTCGGCCCAAGTGGTGAGGTTATGTTGGTGAAGGACCGTCCTGGGATAAAGACCGGCAGTGACTGGTGCTGGCTATCGACTTCCAGGCCTTGGTGAAAGTGAGAATGACTTCATTTCTCTAGTCCTTCAGCCTTGGTATGCTCGTTGCATAGACAAACGCCGATTGCGAGATGAGGGAAACAGCAAACCAAACGTAGCTCTCGTTTGAGAGGAAATGCTCGTCTTTCCTAGAGATCTTTGTGGATACTCAATCGCCTACCTGCTTGTTCTCATAGAAGTAGAAGTCTGAATAATATGAGTATCAGTGGACTGGAATGCTCAACATGGTCTGGTACAATAGGACTCATGTAGCAAACTCCTGGTTTTCTCGTACACATCACAAGTAAATGTTCTGAGAGACGACCCTGCGATTCAACGCAGGGCGTGCTCCCGTAGCCAAACTCGTAGCGGTGATGTCGTCTGGCCTCATCGAAGCGCTGTTGTTTATGAGAAAAGGTATGTGGAGCTGATAAAAGCACAACTGTCGATTCTGTCCGGTTTATTCTTATGTTGGATGGGGAATGGACGTCAGAAGGCGTTCAAAGACGCGTTGCAATACGCCTCGGATCATTAGCTATGTAGGTCCAGAAGCTTTCGATCTCTGCGAGTGACTATTTCCGGTTCATACCCATCCGGTTGTTGTTTGAGGAGCAACTCGCCCCTATGAATCATAATTGCTCTACCGCACGAAACTATAATCTTGCTCTGACGTTGGTTGCTGACGATGGTTGATGGGTTACGGCTCGTTCACATTTCCAAATGCCCTCAGAGGTCAACCTTCTTTCATAGACGCGTAAGACCTGTGGCTCAGTATACTAGATGATGCTAATCCATCAAGCACGCGACCACGTCAGTAATTGCCATGCAGAAACCCGAATTGACCAAGTAGAGGCGTGCAAGAGAAGGATGAGATGTCCGAAAATACAGGCAGGGTCATCCGCTCAGCGAGCGTCAAAGACCAACCCGAGTCATTCGCCTGGCAGAAGCCTGCGCAAGCCACAATGCGATTTACTCAGCCAGTCCTCGTAACTTTGCAGCCAAAAGCTGGATAGACTTCGAAATCTCCAGCCTTCCAAGATTCGTTCGAGCTGTGGTGCAATGTAATGTGTCGACCTGCTGTTGGAGGAATCGAACGAGCATATCATCTTTGATTAAATCAATCTACAAAGCAGGATCGCACCGTTGCGGTGTGTAGCGAATGCATGGGTAGGGTTGTTTACCCTGGTCAACATGTTTGAAAACTTGTTGTACCAGTATGTGATGCATGTGGCTGGGGGCACAATAGAGAGTGGAGCTTGTGATTGGACAACATGGAAATTGTACTTTCCAGCAATCAGGATGGGAGAACGCGCCGAGGAGCTCTTCGAGAGACTTGAGAGAACACAGCAAACGCATCAAACCGGGCGGGCGTGCGATGAGATTGTCAGCTTGCAGCCGTTGACTGGTGTTTCTCCCCCACGGGTGAGTGCGGTCGAGGTTTTTGTGACTGCGCCATCTCTCTGAACCTGGGGTCATTTGAGATGTAAAAAGGCGGCCCCGGCGGCATGATTGCGAGGCTGGGAGGCCAGCCTCTTCAGAGCCCAGAGCGATGGCTGTGCAGTGTGTACAAACACAAATCGTGGGGTATGGGCCGCATGGTTTGCGTAACTCACCACCCATGTATGCTCGTCGGGAATAATGATTGGGGATCGCACGTGTGTGATGGAGCTCACGAGTAGAGATGAGACCTCGAGGAAATGAGCAATTCACGTAAGCTTCCAATTGCCATCGTCTCGAGCGGGAGCATGAATACAAAGGCAGAGTGCCAGGGGTTGTGGTTTAATTTGCTGCCCTGTAAACTGTCATACAGTTGTACCAAGGGTGTCGCTGCCGTTCGCGAACGACGACTGCTTCAGATCTTGCCGGCGTCAGATTCTAGCGGCCAGCCTCGGTGGTATCGATAGCTAGATGTGGCTGTACATGCTGGCTATGTGGCACTTGAAGTTAGCGCTGTCGTACCTGCATGAAATCAAGGAAGCTGGAAAAGGGCAAAGGTCAAGCTCGCCAGTCCATGATGGAGTCATCGTGAGAGATCGTGGACAGAGCTTGCGAGTGAGACAGGAAATCGAATCGTGGAGCTTGAGAATGATGTCAATCAATAGTGTGATATCAAAGATCGTCAGGGCTTGATGAAGTTCGGGCGAAGGAAAGACGAGCAAGGTTTTGGGCTAGTCACAAGCAAACAAGCGATTGCAGGGCGCGCCAGCTCAATCATGGACTCTGGGGAAACGCGGATGGTTCATCAGACTGCGTCTTCACCGCAGTTGGCACACTGTGACACGAATGCTGGGAACGAAGACGATGACCTATTTGAACGCAACGCTGCGAAACAACTATATAAGCCATCGAATGCAAAAGTCCTTGGTCTCATCTCTTCAACGGCAGGAGGGAAGGCTCGTCGGTCGGCGTTGCCTGTTAGCACCGGCGGGACCCTGCACTGGGCCGCCAAGATGAGAGGCCCAGCGCCATTTTAGCGCCCGAGGGATTGCGCCGATCATGGTCACCCTCATCATGCAAGCACAAGCTACGTGGGAGATGTGGATAGCGCACGATGGAGAAGCAAGAATTGGTGGAAATGTGGGAAACTGGCTGGCAGTCTAGGCCGATGGGTCGATGAGTGCACGGTATCTCAATAGATTGGGTCTCGTAAGAAAGTGAAAGACGGCTGCGTGACCGCATTGCTTAAGAGCCTCAAGCTGGCGGGAATTTAAGAAAGAGCTTCCATCGTCACTGCGCATCCACCAGCCATCAACGACCTGCCTCCGAATTACTTTATCCCTCGCGCGTCGCCTACATCTATCCATCAATCCCCTCATCGATAGTCGTTTCATTCTCCACTTCCAACCTCGTCTCACCGATCACTATCTGGTATCCTACACCACAGCATCTACCATCTACTCCATCATCACAATGAAGTACGCACTTACTCTTGTCGCCGGCGGCGCCGCTCTTGCTGCCGCCCAGGGTGGTCTCAGCGCTTGCGCTGTAAGTATTGTGAACACAAAGATCTATCAAACCGCAATGCGCTGACAATGCGCGCAGCAAAACTGCTTCAACGCCATGGTTGGCAAGGCCGTCACCGAATTCGGCTGTGTCAACAACGACATCAGCTGCTACTGCAGCAAGCCCGAGTTCGGCTACGGTGTTCGCGATTGTTCCATGCAGGCCTGCTCTGCTCAAGAAGCTGCTGATGCTATTGGATTCGCAAACGCCTACTGTGCTGGTGAGCAACAAACGTATTTCTTTACGCGTATCTTTTCATACTGACTTCTTCCCAGCCGCCGTCGCCTCGGCCACCAACTCAGTCGCCTCTATCCTGAGCACTGTTTCCGGCTCTGGATCTGCTTACTCGTCAGCCACCTCCGCCGGCGCTTCCCTCGGATCTTCCATTGCTGGTGCCGGTGTCGGCGGTGCTGCCTCAACTGGCGCCCAACAGTCGTCTGGCAGCACTTCTTCTGCCATCACCACCTCTGCTCTCGTTAGCACTGTCACTTCTGATGGTAGCGCCATCCCCACCACCACTGGCTTCTCTACGATCTACTCCGTCGTTCCGATCGTCGGTGGTATCGCTGGTGGTGCCTCATCCGGTGCCTCGGACGCCCAGCAGTCGTCCTCTGCCCTCACCACCTTGGCTGTCCTCAGCACCGTCACCTCAGGCGGCAGCACTATCACCACTGCCGTTGGCTCCACCACCCTCTACGGCCCTGGCGGTGTCGTTGGTGTTAGTTCTACCGGTGCCGGCGCCCAACAGTCGTCGTCCGCTGTAACTACCTCTGCCATTGTCAGCACCGTCACCTCGGGCGGCAGCACCTTCCCCACCACCGTCGGCTCATCTACCTACTTCGGTGTCGGTGGCATTGTCGGCGGCGCTTCCTCCGGCGCATCCAGCGCTGGATCTGCCGCTTCTTCGGGCGCCTCTTCAGTCAGATCTGGAGCCTCTTCCGCTGCTTCGTCTGCCAGCTCCGGTGCCTCGTCTGCCGCATCCCGTGCTTCTTCCGGTGCTTCCAGCGTTGCCAGCGCCGCCTCTTCGGGTGCTTCTTCTGCTGCTTCCCGCGCCTCGTCTGCCGCTGGAGGCGCAACCAGCGCCGCCTCGTCGCTCGTCGTTACCAACGCTGCTCCCATGAAGACGGCTGGCCCCATGATGGGTGCCGCCGCTCTCGCCGCTTTCATGCTCGTTTAAGCGAACAACAGTTGGTGCTTGCTCAAAGTCTCTCAGCACCGCTACGAGTTACGAAGATCTGCTTTACCAGCGTTGAGAGTGTTTACCTAATATCGGCCTGGCTTATCGATGATATCCACGTAGGAAGTGACGTTGGCTATGGCGCAAGGGAAAACAAGGAGGCTCTTTCACTAATGGAAATGGTCTCAGAAAACCTAATGTGTACTACTGGAAAATGAATATACCCTCTTCTTCAATATTTGCTTGACGTGGTTGACTGTGTCATGATTCTCTCTTTTGTTATGTTCACTCAAGCGCACGCTGAAAGTACAAGATATGGTTGTACGTGGGATGAGTTGTGATATTGTACATTGAAGGTCTTTGAGAGATTGCAAAGTGAAGTGGATAAGTGATTGCACGTGATTAAACGTAGCTACCCCACGTCATGCAGTCAATCAGTCGCGAAGTCGCCATGGAAAGTCGACAGACAGCAAGACAGCAGTACAGATGGTAGGAAACATGGACAACATGAACATGCAGAATGCGCCTCCACCGCCGCCTCTTGGTGGTGGACAGATGCCCCCGCCAATCCCCCAATTGCCGCCACAAATGTTCACGACGGCAGCACAACTGCTCGACTTGACCGACAGTGAGAATACCCTCCTGCCTTGTCGCAAATGATACACGCTTGTTCGGGGGCAAGACTGACCGAGGAACTTTTACCTTGCCGATAGAGAAACTCATGGTATCACTCCGCGACGGCAGGAAGTTGATTGGCGTTTTGAGGAGTTGGGACCAGTTCGGTAAGTGCATACACCGCGCGGCGCATTGCGATTGCGGCTGTTGACAGAGTGCAGGAAACCTCGTCCTCCAGGATACAGTGGAACGTCTCTTCGCGCAGAACCTCTATGCCGATGTCGAGCGTGGTCTCTTCCTCGTCAGAGGAGAGAACGTCTTGCTGCTCGGTGAAATCGTACGAATGCCCTGGCTTGCTACTGCTAGAGGAGTCTGCTGACAGCACGCCATAGGATTTGGACAGAGACGACTACGTGCCTCCGAGCTTCAAGCAAGCACCCGTGGATCAAGTATTCGACCTTCACAAGCAAGAGCAGGCACAAAAGAAGAAGCAGGAAAAGATCAGAAACAAGAAGCTGGCCGCCTACGGTTTTGAGGGCGAACACTCCGGAGAGGCTATCCTGTGAGGCGCTTCTGCCGAACATGAACGGGACACACGAAACTTTTGCCATGACCAACCACTGCATCAAATGTGCTGGTCAAGCTCTTTCAGCCTCGCAACGATACCCGCGTCAGAGATCTAGTCTGTCATCAAAGGGTCCACGACCCGACGGCTGTGATCGTCTCACGTCGAAAGTAGACGATGGGCGTTCGACCTTGCGAGTATGGTTATCAGGTGCGTAGGCAGATTATCTCTTGACATGCATGCACCAGAACGCGTAATGCTCAGCTTTCTACAGCAGTCCAATACCTGCCCTTTTGGCAAGTAGATGCAAGAGACACAAGTTAACATCTAATGAAAACTTCATGAACCTGTCAGTACTTGTTTGCATGGTGCCCACTCCTGAGACGATTCTTGGTGCAAGGTCGCACTTCGAAACCGCAGAGTGCTTTTTGCATATCATACAGCCTTGCGTGGAGAGACAGGATACATAGAGATCGATCACAAACTATACGCAAGTTCAGGTCAGTTCCAAGTATCTCTCCAACTTGACTCCATAATCCCGGTCAGTTTCCCTGATTACATACAGCCAGATGTGCCTGGCTATGAACATCTTCGTAAGACTCCCATTCGCATCGATCGTTCTAAACTGTGGCATACACTTTGCTGAAGCTCGATGGAAGAGTGATACTGCAGGACTCTCGAGCGTAGTAATTCGACATCACATAGCTGCTATAACAATGCATGGCTGGTACCAGGCAGGCGTCTCCAAAGGTACAGCGTAGCATGTCTACTTCAATATGCTATCGAATCCTCGACCTTCTCTTCTGCGTTCGATGTTCAATGTTGACCCGTCGTGGTTCGTTTACGTCTTCCAAGAGTGAAGTTCCTCCAGCTTGCGTTTCCGGCCACAACCAATTCCTCGAACATCTTTCTTCTCGTAACACCTCACACTTCTCTTTTTCGGTCCTCGAGGTCGTTGAGTGCTATATACTTGTGCATAACGCGCGATCGGCTCTCGTCTCGACCTCGATCTCTTCACACACAATCAATATCCTCCACCACAACCTCCACCACAACCTCCAGCAGAAATGGCTCTATCGCAATACAAAACACCCATACTCCCCTCTCTGAGCGACAAAATCAAACACTTGCTCCTCCACACTTATCGACCCGATCACTCTTCTCCCATCCCCATACCTCCCCACCGTGTCTCCCTCGACACACCAATCTCCCAACGCATCATCCAAGAGCGAAACTTTGCGACTCAAACAACTACACGTATCCAACCTTCCTGGTCTTGGGAGAAGACTGAGAGATATGTGTATAACAAAGATCTTGTCATGCTTGGCTACCTGTTCGATTTTCCGATCCAGGATTGGGCTAGTGGAAAGGAAACGGCGAGGCATGCGTTCGAGGCCTTTTGGGCCAGAGAGGAGATGAGAGGCATGGGGGTGTCCATCTATGAGATGGGAACGCAGTTTTCTTGGTGGATGACTGGCGATGTTGCTGATATCCCTATTATCGATGAGGAGACAATCACTGATGATATCCCCGCTGTCGAGGAGGGAGCCGCCGATGGATCTGACGAAATGCAAGAGGAAATTCTGGGACACGGAATCGAGCATGAAGAGCTCATCGAAGGCATCCGGAATGTTCAGGAAAAAGAGCCTGCAGATGAGGAAATGCAAGACATGGTGAAAGAACCCGAGACGGAGATGGGCGCCGAGGAGCAAGAGCACATTGAACAGCCAGGAGTGCAGGGAGATGAGCCCGAGGACCCATCAATTCTCCCTCCTCCACCTCGCCGCTCTAGTCGCCTGCCTATCCGCACCCTTATCGCCCCTAAGAAGCCAAAACGAAAAGGAAAGGGAAAGGCAGTGAAAGACACACCACGCCGCTCGACCCGTGTCTCCGGACGACGTAAGTTCGCTGATGAGCCTTTTACTACACCCACAAAGAAATAGAAATCAGCGTCAATGTATCTCAGATAACATAGCAGTTTCACAAGAGAGCAAATTACCTCTTCCTCGTGTGCAGAACACTGTCCCACCCTTTCTTCACAACGATCAAAGGGGCAACAACAAGCTGTATAAAGGCACAGTAATATCTCGTATCGATAAGCCTATTGAAGGGAATTGTTGACATGATATATCTCGACGACATCGCTTTAATGTAAGAGAGTATCGTGCCTCAAGGCAGCTACATGTGTGACAGTATCTCGCACACGGGGAGGCTTTGTACAGTTTGTGCTACAGTTTGACGTGATATTTGGAGTGTGCCGACTTTTCGTTTGATATGTTCATGCAGACGTAAGGTCGTCTGCTCAACAAGGCGCAGATTAAAGAATAGGGAACACAGATCAAAGAAAGCAAAGAAAAAATTGCATTTGGGTATCTTCTCGCTACTCACTACTTTCATACTTTGGTATACCATTATAATCCTCAACCCCAAGGCAACTGCCTTAGCGCCTGTAATCCCTGTCCGTGTCCCGTCTTCATCCTCTGTACCCCACTCCTTCCCACGCATCCATAATGGATGACCTCGTTGTCCGGGTATACCCTAACCGCCGAATTGCCAAACCTCTTGTGACAGACCCTACAATGATCTTCCTCTTTAATCACAACCCGTCTACTTCTACCGCCTTTATGAGTGGTGAGGCGGGTGTACTCTGGGCCTAGCGAAAGATCCTCAGATAAAGAAGTTTGATGTAATGAGAGCAGGGTCTTGAGGATACGTTCTTCGCGGACTACGGTGTTGGCGCTGCGAATGCGGCCGAGGAAGTAGGAGGATAACTCGCTGACGTGGAGGTCGCTAGGCATGAGGTCGAGTGTGTTTGCTGCAGGCAACCTAGGACCGTGTTTGGAGAGTAGGTCTAGTGCGGGCTCCCATTGCACTTTCTCCTGACCGGGAGGTTTGAGGTAGAGTGAGAGCAAGGTGGTGTAGACGTTTGGTTGTTGGTCTTCAGGATCGATAGCCATACTGCTCTTTTCGTAGCTTTGGCTGCCGGTGTTGGGATTTGAGCCGACTGCAGGAGAAGACGTTGAGGAGGAGAGGTAGATTTTGTTGCAGTATTCTTCTGCTTTTTCGTGATCGCGGATTTGGAAGACGTAGATTTGAAGAGCTTGTTTGTGGTTTCCCATCGCACAGAGTACGATCGCACGGGCTTCGAAGACGTCTGGATCATCAGCAGGTAGCTGGTTGAATGTCTTGAGCTTGTGGTATTGTGTGCTATTACGCAAGAACTCTTCAAGCTTTGTTCGAGCCTGATCGCGCTCTTCATCGCTACTGCCTGTTGTATCTCGCAGCTTCTCGAGATACAGGTCTACAAGCTTTTGATGGAACTCCGGTGTTCGGTCGTTAAGCTCGAGGATGACGTGTTCCAGATATTGCACTGCAAGCGATTTGTCTAATGGGATCAAGAACTTCAAAACTTTGTCTTTCGGAAGGTTTTCAGCGTTCCTGGTATCGGCAACGAAGATTTCCATGCCCTTTTTGGCATTGACCTTGATGGGCCATTCTGAGAACTCCAAAATGATGTCGATGAGCTCGGCGGGCAGGTTTTGCAGGTAGCCGATCGTTCTGTCCGGACCCCTTAATGCAGGCATGACTTCTTCGGCTGCCTCGTTGCGGCCAAACTTCTCAAGTAGTTCCAAAGCTTCACGATGCAACTTTTTGCCGTAGAGGAAGTCGATAAGATCGTTGTATCTTCCACTTTCGTAGAGCTTTTCTTCGACAACATGCGGATCGCAGAAGTTGTCAAGGCGGAAGAGCGGTCCTGCAAGCGAAGGCAGAGCGAGCATATAGGCTCGGAAGAGAGTTGTGTCAACCAACTTCGCTACTTCGAGCAACTCGGCTTGCCAGTCAACCTTGTCTGCACCTTCAGAAAGCTCAATAAGATTGCTGAATGGTGGTATGGAACCCTCCGTCAACTCCGTTTTGAGCGTGCCGTCAGTGTTCATGTATTTTTGCACTTGAACACGAGATTGAGCAAGGTAGGAGCACAATGCCATAACAGCAGCTTTCAGGTCAGAACCAGTCAATGGCGGGTCCCTTGCTGGCTTCTCTCGGGGTGCCTCGCTTGTGGTACGGAAAGACCGGATTGATGCAGTATCAGCATCATCCTTGGGTGCCGATGGTCTGAACTTGCCCAGCACGGACTTTGTTGGAGTTTGCGTAGTCTTAATTTGATCGTCGGGCTGTGATGAAATTTCTTCTGCAGCACTCGTTTCGCCAGATGGCTCTTCAGATTCTGTAAGCTCCGCATGTTCTTCGACGGTTGAGAGATCTCCAGCGATAGATTTTGGATACAAGGATACGACACGCTTTGGTGGAGCAGAAACATCGGTGAAGAGATCCAAGGCCGGTCTGTACTTTTGCTGGGAGAACAGGTTCTGAGCTTTGATCATACTAATCTCTCTGATCGACCCCTGCTTATCCTTGAGTAGTGTATCCTCCAGCATGTTGAGGAGACTGATGGCTTCATCGTATTTAGTCTTTGCCACAAGCTGGCTGACCTGGGCTTCATAGTTGAGAGCTACCATACGCCAGATACATCTGTCACTAGCAACAAGGAAGCCCTTTCCAGCGTGTGCCAGACTGATATTGGGCTGCGGAACATGGAGGATGGAAGCACCAGGCAGAGGGATGGTTTGCAGGAGGTTCAGGGTATCGGGACTCCGTACGTCTAGAGCTCCCTTTGCAGTTTGTTGCAACGACAGCAGGTAGGGATATGAGTAGCCAAGAGCTTCAGGAGCAAAGGCCCAAGGAATTTGACGTTTGTCAGCAGGCTTCGCATCTGTGTCGATGAACAAAGTGTTGACGTCTTTCGCGATGAGCATCTTGTTGTTTGTGAGATTTGTTGCCATGGGCTTGGGCACCCAGCTTCCCATGCCCATGTATCCCATGCCTGACGAGCTGACAGCACCAAACCTGACATTGCCAGTCGGTGTCTGTCTAATGACATCTGCAACAGCCAGAGTGTCGATGTCGATGATGGAGAAGCCAGGATCTAGACCGACCAGCATCTTGGTACCAGTAGCCCATAACAGCGACTTTGGGGAGTGTGGTAAAGTAATCTCTTGCACTTCAGGGGACAACTCCATGTCTTGCCAACTCCACCACAGAATGCGCCGTTTCACAGCAACGGCCAAGCGAGAGACTAGAGATGGGATGTCTGTGACGGCATCTTTTATGACATTGGAGGTGACGGCGAAAGCAGTTGCGCCCTTCGTTTTGTCCAGCCTCTCCTGCAATTGGAAGGTTTGAAGGTCGTGGATAGAGACATGGCCGTCCGACAAGGACACCAAGATGTTCGCTTCCTTGATTATGGCCAACTGTTGGATTGCTCTTCTTGAGAACTTCTCTTCCTCACGCACCAGATCGACAGCGCGCGCCTTTGTGGGAGTCGCATCCTGACCTGATTCGGGGACTTCGTTGACGCGGTATATACGGAGGGTACCTGTACTGAGGCCTACAAGAAGTCGGTCGCCTGCAGAATATCTCGTCAGTAACAGTCTTCCGAGCACCATACTACCAACATACCATAAGCTAACACCGACTCGATCTTGGCCTTGTCTTGCTGTTTGAGCTCATAGATGGGCTGCGCGCGAAACGCCGACAACATGACGGCCTCTCACACTTGGCTCAAAAGACCACGATACCAGTCGTCCGAGTCGTCTGGATGTGTCTCAGCTGTGGGAGATGACTGCAAAGCTGACAGTTAGACCTCGTCGTCGCTGTTGTCGCATCACCCTAGTTGACGCGATGACGTCCGTGCTCAGTCGACGGAAGCTTTGCCGAGCCGACACCACTTGGAGTGGCTTCATCTTTCCTTCCTCCCTCTCACCTACCTAGCTATCCATCCTTCTAGTCATCGGTCAGGGCACAAGACGACAGAGGACATGTCTTCAAGCAAGACGAAACCGGATGTCGGTATACGACTTTGTCCTCCTGCACATGGAGTGCTGAGAGACAAAATCTCCAGGCCTCTGATAATGGCCACCTCGCACGGATAGGTTCACTCAGTCATAGTAACTCCCCTTAGCTCAGCTAAACTTGGGCATTACCTTTCCATACCGACTTATAGGTAACGTTCTATTGCGAAAGAACGCTCATAACCAAAGGGCTGCATCGATGCCAAGCCGTGCTCGGGTGGACCCATGGTGTCTCTTGCACATGACTCTAGTATCGTCTTAAATATTGATCTCCTATTCGTCACAACGATCTGACATACTCAAGGTGTGATAATACTCACAGCAATATGTAATGGTGGATGTGCGGCACATTGAGGCTGTGCAACCAGCCCAGAGTCATGGGTTGACTTTGGAGGCTTAAAAAAAAGTACATAGGCTTGAGAGTGACAGATCTTTATAAAGAGCATTTGTTTCCTCTTCACTGTGATTGCTTACTGTGTCCGAATGTATCAAGAGTCTTCATTCACTCAAGCGATGGGCCAGAGCGTCGGAAATAAACGATACCTGCTCATACACAAAAGCAATATGGCTGCTTGCTGTAGGAACAAAGAAGAGGTCGTAAGGTCATCTAACTATCAGGAAAATCAACAGCAAAGCTAGAACATGCTGGGAACAAGAGTTCTCACAAATCAACATCGCAACAATATCACCTCCTTCCTGCAAACAAAGATGCATCACAACGATTCCTTCAACCACCGACAGGATAAGATGTCCATCCACGAGGTCCACCTTCCCTCCTCTCTCTCCTCGAATTATTAGTCTCGAGATAAACTGCACCCACCCCGTCGCACCTTCCGCGCCTTTCCAGCTCTTGATACTGCGGGAAGCTGATCACCCCAAATCTCAACAGGTGACGAAACAAGTCGTAATCAGGCCTATACCTTGTCTCGATTCTCTCTTCCCTGTGATGGATGGCTATATGATCAAGCCTGTCTTTCCAAGCCGACGATGAGCTCCACTGAGAAGAGCAAAAGGGACACTGTGAGCGATTGGGCGAAGGTTGCGAGCGGAAGTGCGAGGTACAGTGGGTCCTCCAGGTCGACGTGGAGGAAAACTCTTCGCGACATCCAAGGAACGCAAAGGTGCATTGCAATGTTCCTGCTTGTGAAGCACCAGACATATTTGTGCTTGAGGACCCTGACGACTTGTTTGTATCGATCGTTCTTGTCGACATAGTGCTGAAGGAATGGTTTAGCGATGGTACGTTCTCAGATGCCGTTGAGCTGGGCCGATAGCTGGATGCTCTGTTGCCTACGACTGAATAGCCCTGCAAGGATGCGATACTGCTGGTATGGTAACTCGTGCTGGCCCTGGGCCCACTGTTTAGAATATACGGCCGGACTATCAACCCTTCTAGTCGAGAAGGGTGCTGTTGTTCCCACTGCGCCATCACAGTCCTATCATGCCGAGCGCGCGAGCATCGCAAAGTCAACGAGTCACCCACTGCCCTCTGATATCAGCGCATCACTCAAGCGTCATGGACGAAGGTACTCACTCTTCAAATTGCGGATCCTGAAAAGGAAGAAAGACAAGAGATGCCAAACTCTCAGGACATATGTATCACTCTCACCTCGGCACTCCGTAAGGTTCAACAAGATGGCAACCACGAGGCAGCTGAACACAGCAATATGGCAAGGGTTACTTCCGACCAGACCATTCCCTCATAACGGTAGTAATCGTCCGGCACTGGAGGCAGCCGGTTGTCTTGCCCCAAATTACGACTTGCTGACAATCACAAGCCAGGCTTGCTCTGGATCGCAGATGCACCTCTATTGCCGAACATCCGACTTTGTAGAGCTTGTTTCGCCAAAGCACGAGACCTGAACGATCGGTTTGAGTACCGGTAGCGTATGCGATTGCGAACCAACCAGAGCAAAGGTGGTGCTAGGAAGAGGCTTTTTCTCGATCTTTGACCAAAACCGCTCTCAAATCGCAGAAAGATATGGGCTACACAGGAATTCGGTTGGGTCCTCGGTATCAGGTGTCAAAGAGACTGGGGTGCTATATGCATGTACGGTACCTCAAAGGCATTGGCGCAGACATATTGCACGCCACAATATCGCACGACACAATACTATGCCAGGATTAACATTCAGGCAAAAGTCATGAGAGCGGTGAGCCCGGGGTGACCGAGAAATATCCAAAGGTTTCTGTAAGAATTCGAAGAAGGGAAGGTCGAGGGAGTGGACGAGATAGAAGCGGACGATGCTGAAAGGAGGGGTTGTATATTCAAGCTTGAGCGGGATTATGAAGAAACTGCATGAGCATGCATTGGTCTTATGCATGTAAGCTGAAGTGGCATTAATACCTTTTGACCTATGTGAGTTTCCAATTCGATCGAGCATTTTGCGCTCGAAAAATTGATGATCTGACCTCGAACTGGAGATCAGACATGCGAATTCCTGTTAACTTCGGCCACAGCGGTCTCGAGTCTTGACGCCTTCGTGACAAGGAGCAGCCAGCAAAGTCGGGAGATACCTGCAACAAAAAAGAGCAGCATTCCGTAGCTGCAGAGGCCAGGTTAGGACACACTCAGAAACTGAAAATCTACATTAACTTTACATACGAGCACAATTGCCTCGAGGTAAGGAAAAGACAGGGTCAGTGACCCAACTTGAAACCTCTCAACTTATGTCATCCTATACCCTAGCGTGATTCGCGTTTCTGCTTCTATCGCGTTCATCGGTACGATAGCGTGCGAGGACAGAACCGAAGCTGGCAAAAGTCTACATGCGCGGGCTGTTCCTACTGAAGTGGTGAAATGCCAGCAGGAGAGCGAGACAACTCTACGGTGACTGAAATATGTACAAGTGACACACCTTCATCAGGGGTCAACAGAGCAATTCTGTATAGCCATAGTAATCCAGGCAGGTAAACACGAAACGACATGGTTCTGTAGACAGGCAGATTATCAGGAAATCCTCGAAGCATGAGTGTTCGGTATTCTAGTCGTGTTTAGGGTAGATTGGAACGGTAGATGCTTCTAAGGCCATTAACAGAGTCTTGGACATATTGCACCCTCCTTAGCTTATCCAGTGACAGATCCGGCAGAGTGCCTGCACATTAGCTTCGGAGAGAGCCAACCATCAAGGTGCAGCTGCTTATCTCACCAGGACCTCAGCGAAGACGATAGTGCGGTCTATCACACGCAGTGATCAGGCGCCGTGTGCCTTGAGTCTACCTTCTGCCTGAAACGTGGACTGATGTTTGATCCAAGACCATGCCATGTGTATGTGTGCTTTCGAGGGCTAGGCATGCAGTCCACAAGTCTTAATCCGGAGTCGACACCGTCTCCCATGGGAAGGAGAAGTATTGCCAAGTGACAAGTCCTGGGCGCGTCTGCTCATGGCCGTCGCAAGTGATGGTTAGGGCCCATCTCAGCTTTCAGGCGTCCAAAGTTGTTGACGAACTGGCAGTTAATCCGCAATCATGAGTGCATGGTACTGTATCTCTTGAATCGAGAATTGAGGATCCTAAGACCAGTGGGCCAGACAACGCGTATGCCCTCGTTCGAAATTCTACATGTTCGGTCAGTGAACATTGAAGTCTGATTCTGCTTGAGGTCAAAAAGCCGAGACGGGTATAAGCTGACTTCTTGACAATACGATCACGAGTAGGACGCGGATATGTTCAAACTTCAAAGCGTGGTGTCGGTCGCGAATGCGAGATGCTGTCGAATGACTCGGCCGAGTTTAGCCACGGCCAAGTCTCTCAAGACAACGTTCGGAGAAACACTCGTATCGCATCATACCGTGACTCAACTGCTGTCATCAGAACTCATCGGAGCTTGGAAAACTTGAATGAGGAAAGACTCTCCTTCTTATCGGCCGTAATGCGGCTACAAGAGTCTTGTGTGCTCATGGTCATCAAAGTTTTGTACCTTGTGAACATAGTTGATGCCGCAGCCAAGCTTCTTGGAGATTTGGCAGATAAATAGTTGCTTTTGTCAAGCAGAGAAAGCCACAATCCAAGACTAAGCAGAGCCTTGATGTCGCGAGTCGAGGAAAATTACTTGAGTAAGAAGACTCTTGGTATTGAGGGCGGAGCAAAATTATTGGCCTGTTTCCGAGTAGCATCCGGGACAAAGATCATGATTGGAAGATCATCCGACAAAGCCGTAGCTACGAATCCAAGGCAGGCAGAGAAAGATGCGGCCGGAATGGATACTTAAGCTGTCTCAAAGTAGACGTAATGCCAAACAGCTGAATATAAGGTAGTCTGTAGAATAGGGCGTGACTAGCCGAATTAGATTGTGGTTGTCTTGGAGCTTGCGTAGGCTGAATCATGCCGCCTAGACATGGCTGCCGGAATCCCGTAGCAGAACTATACTTTTCTGTCGTGTCGCAATGAGTAACGGGCCAAGTGCGTGCTACGAGTCTTGGTAAAATTGGTGCGACAACACTTCTATTCAGCTCGGGGCGCAGGGCAAAGGGGGAGTTTGACCGAACTTTTGCATAATCACTCCGGATTGGCGGCTTGGAAGAGAGCAGGAAAGTAGTGGACAAGAAAACGGACAGAACTGGGCAGGCAAAAAGTGGTCAAACGTGAGCCTTGGCATCAGAAGGGTCGCACTTGCTACGGTAGAGAGAGCTGAAGACGCTCTCGTCGTGACCAACGAAGGAAGGAACGACGCTCGTCACAAGACGGGAAGGAAGACATGATGCTCAAACATGGTAAAGCAATAGAGCAAGAGGCAGCATCGGCGACGACAGGCAGATCAGATGGGAGATGCAAAGCGTGCCAACCTGCGCCAAGGCACCAAGAAAGAGTCCTAGAACTTGGCGCTCTCGTTGTTCTGTTGGCATTCTCTCTGGCAAACATGTCAAAAGAAGCACGACGGCCGGCCATGCGTGACTGACATGAGCTGTCTATCTGTTTGCCGTCTATATCAACTTGTCGACCTCCGTCGTGTCAACTGAGGCCGTCTCCCCGTATCTACACCCGGCTCGGACATAAGCTGGACAATGGCCGATCGATTCTCAGCGCGGCACTCGAATGCCTCGGATTCCGATTCGCAACACACCTTTCACATCGCGCAAAATGCCCCTTCGACGCTACCAAAGCCACCGGCGCCCGCGGTCGTCCGAAACTCGTCAGGAGAATTCAATGAGAAGCGGGATGCTGGTAGCGATCATGATGTCGAAAAACAGGCCAGCAGGTCACCTCGCAGGAGTCCAGACATGACCGAGCGATATAACCCTTCCTTTGGACGCTCCCCATACCAGTCGAGCATGTCTTCAGAGGAAGACGACCATCTGGTAGACCAACGTCTGCATCTGGAATTAAAGGCGATCAAGATATTGGTATGTCGATCTGTTTATCAACCACTCTGCTCCCTGTGCTTACATCATACCTAGCTGTACCTCTCTGGACCCTGTGTCTTGGTCTCTTTTCTTCTCTGTATCTGGTCCTTGATCATCTCCTTCTTCACTGTCATCACTTACCCTTTACGACTCTTCTCTGCCTCTCGCCAACCACTCTCTGACGAGCTTCGATCTCTTCTTGCTCGCTCCAACCGTCTCCAACTACGAGCCATCTATTCCTTCGACATCACTCAAGGCAAGAGCGTCTCCAGTCTGCTGCTGGTTCATGTTCTGTCACCCTTCACCGCCATGGCTGTATCCATTAGTGCATGGGCTGTCGCCATCTACTGGGTCTTTGCTGCCATGATTGGCGACCCTGACGGCACTGAAGGTGGAAATGACGGCAGAGCTACTGTTCTTGGCCTCAGAGCATACTGGGAGATATGGCTCTGCAGGGCCATGATCCAATAATCCGACATGGCTTTCGTCGATGCCGGTGCTATTTTCGCGTCACCTTCACAACGTCGCTCAGCTCACCTCTGATCAGCGACCGTTTCTTCTCAAATTTCTCTCATCCAGGTTTCTGAATGAGTCTTTTTCTTATTATCTAGCAAGGTGTTGGAGGCGTTTTGAATTTTTTAAGGCCGTGTATTTCAGGCCTAGGATCCCACGATTACGACAACGAGAGATTTATTCTCGCTTTGCTTTTGCTCAACTTGCTCATTTTCCCAGAACTATACCACCTCCGCGCAGCATTGTCAAACACAAATCGAACCACTTTATCTACTTTGTTCATGAGCTCTTATCGTTTCTTGTGATCGTATTACGACCTGCCTCATTCCATCGACCCTGCGACTCTGAGACGTGCTTTGAGTCGATTTCTCGACAACCACTCTCCAAGTCTTGGACCCCTTGGGTTAGCTGCTCTGCCCACTGAGGTTCCGCATGCGAACCTACACATCATGTCATCTGGCAAAAGAGTTCGTGATAGAGTTTCTGACAAGAGCCGTTGCGAGGCTATCCTTCCGAATTCCGTGGGCCGAGTTATGTCATCTCTGTAAGAGCCTTGACCAGAAGTATATATTGTTACTCACTGGAAAACTGCTCAGCAAGCCAATACCAGCTCAGCTGGCTCATCTTCATTGGTCTAGTGGTCATGATTTCCGCTTGTCAAGAGTAAGATCTCGTCAGGCGCGGGAGACCAGGGTTCGATTCCCTGATGGAGAGCATCATTTTTGGTCTGGGCACAGGCACTTGAAGGACAACCCAACTCACAGACGTCGTCAAGCTTCAGTAGTTTTTATTGTGTCTTGTTGCTATTTTATAGTCCAAAGCCGGCGCAGATACGCGCTACACGACTTGAGCGCTCAGCAGAATTCTCCTTCTGATCCACACTATCTCTTTGGAAGGCGAATACCTCAAGTCGTCCTTTCTTTCTCCGCTTCATGATGACCATCTTCAGGGATAACGATAAGAGCACAGAGAGACAGGGACAGATTGCACTTGGTGTCGGCCCCGATCTAGGTCAATCTAGTGATAGACCGTCCGACGATGAACCACTCTTGGTCATCCTGAGAGTGCCCTTGAGTTGCACGACATCAACCATCGAGGTCAATGGAAGGACATAGTGACGCAGATATCTGCGGACCTTCTTACTTCCACCGGGTTAGAATTTGTCTGGGCCATCCTACACGGCCACAGCCTGAAGTAACTTCGATTAGCTCATGCAAACAAATTGAGAACGGGGACAAACTTACTCGACTCCCACTCCTGCACATCATCGTGCTCATGTTAGTTGCAGGGATTGTTGCAGCAGGGACAACCGAGATGACGAAAGATTGGGGTTTGTGTTGACAAGATCGCACAAACACCGGACAGGTGACGAAAAAGTGTCAGAAATGAAACGAGAGAGGCTGTCATCGATCGTGTCGAAACACATAGACTTCCGGAACACTCTACGATAGACGCTCGGAACGAGAACGAAATACGCTCGAGGGTGTTCAGGAAGTCTGGAGTGGCTATACGCACAAGTTGTTCGGCAAGTCTATAACTTGGTGCTATGTGAAAGTAAGCATTCACTGACCAAGCTATTCCCTTTCATCAACAACCACACAAGTCGTCGTCTGCCTTCCAGGCCTCAACCCTCACACCATCTTACCTTGGATACACGCATTCCAGGAAGCGTCGCACAGAAGAGTCTCCGGAGTGGTGAACAAGTCACGTGGATCTATCAGCGTCCTGAGTGTTTACAGACACTGGGCCTATACTAGGATGATCCTTGTAAAGCCGAGCGAGATGATTCATCTAACAGCAGAAAGTAATGAGACTGATGGATACCAATTCACCGTACACAAGCAGCTTCTCTGTTTTCTCTCTCGTTACTTTCATGCTCTTCTCAAGGCTGGATTCGCTGAATCTACCAAGAGATCACTACTGCTGGACCTTGGCTTAAAACCGTGCCAATCCTTCATTGGCTGGATCTATACTGGCAAGATGCTCACAACGAACTACGAGGACTTGTTCGACCTCTATATCTTTGCTGATTAGACGGAGAATCTTGCTCTACGCAGAGACCTCATGAGCATACTTTGTAAGGGTATGGGCACAAGAGACATTCCTATGTTCGAGCAAGGCAAGAGGGTATTCGAAGCTCTGTCGCCTTCGTCTACGCTTTACCACTGGTTGGCGAATATCGTCGTCTGCTACCGCGAACACAGGTATGAGGAGTATCTCGGTACAGCTCTCGAGGAAGCCCCCGAAGACTTCCTGTTCGAGGTCCTCAAAGCTTGGTTTAAGGATGTCAAAGCTTCACTCAAGACTAAGAACTGGTCCAACCCAGATATGCATATCTGCACTATCCCTTGTAAATACTACGAGTACGAGGACATCTCGGAGTGGAAAGATAGTAAGTCATATGGTTGACGACTCTTGAGCACGGCTGATGCCAAACAGCGTGCGAGAAGTACCGCGGTATCGGATTCGTGGCCGATCATTTGAATTTCAAGAGCTTGGTGAAGGAAGACACAGAATCTCAGGCTTGAGCTTTTTTGCTCCTGTTGAATTCGAACCGGCAGCCAGAGATATTTCATGCTTGAGCAGGTGGTCAGAGGAGGAGACCAATGTCCAGAAGTCGATGAGGATGGACGGGGCGAAGGGGGATGGATCGAAAACACTTCACCATGTACACATTGCAATGTGTGCAAGCCGCTGTCTATAACGCGTAGCCTCAAAGACCATGAGTTGTACATCTCCCAAATGAGATATTCCGTGCATACCACTTCAAAACGCCTAGTACAATAGTAACAAGTGGTGGATAGAGAAGAAAGCAAACAATCCTAATACCCAGGTACCTTCAGGAGCTCTTTTGAGTCGGATTCGGCATTGGGCCTTCATCGAATCGTCTGCTGTCATCCTGAGCTTCATTCTCACTCCCACATGGCACGCAGCACATGAGCTGACTCCTGCTACAGTTAATCTCCTCACTCACGCACATCGCAGTCATCAACCTCTCAATCCTACCACCTCCGTCTCCTTGAACGTCTGGGAAACGCAGCTCGTTTAGCGGCAGCAAAGCTCGCAGGCAAATCGTCATTCCAATACTCAACACTCTAATCATCCACAGACCTGTCTAGCGACGAGTGCGTCTTGCGACTCGAGAGGTTTTTGATATGCCGTCACGCGATCATCTACGACTTGAAAACCAAGGTTCCTCGGAGTGAAAGAATCAGCGGCCGCGAGTATGACGATATGGAAGATCTTTGCAAAAGATGCTGCATGCTGCTAGGAATCCAGTACGATTCCAGGGCAGAGACAGAGATGACGAAGATACAGCTGGACAAGGCCATATTCGAGCCAGCTAAAGCGCTTGGTATCCCAGCAGGTTAGTGAAGGTCCTCGAATGTCTGATTCAACTTTGATTGACGCTTGAAGGACGTCATTGTGTTCTTGATGTTCTCAACTTGCTATCTGAGATGGAAGTTTGGAGCTCGCCGATGCTTCACTCGACAGAATATCACAAACCGAGATGCCTCGATGCCACTCCTCCACATCGTCATCGACCACGCCATCACCATAGACGCTGCAGTACGCGATCCGATCTTCGCGCAATAACTCAAAGAGAGATGTCTTGGTCTGCATCGTCTCTGCTACCCATATATGCTGAATCCTAACGCTATATCTTCGGATGTTGTCGACCAATCACACCCCACGACCGACAAACCTTCAATCCAACAGGAGAACAAGAGATATGCCGATTGGCCTAACGTAGCTAGGATTTTCAAGGAAAGTGAGCGGCCATCGGCTGCCATCGTCGACGTTGACACTTCTCAAGATGTCTAGATTGGCAGGGGTACATTTGCTCATTGGCTACAAATCGCTGAATGTCTTCCCAACACTACGATACAGCATAGGTGGTACAAGGCATATCCTACGCCTTGGGAGAGCAGACTACCGAACGAAGTGTTTATCGGTGGCATAACATTCAGAACCCCAGATGGCGGAGTACCAAAGCTCCCGGATTGAGCCCATTCGGCCACACAGCAAGCAACAGATCGACTAGTGATGCTTCATGGTCCTTGGTCAGGCACCACAGCTCGATGCCCACAGCTCGATGCAGAGGATGCACGACTCGGTCCACGTGTGTCAGCCATCGTAGATTTTATCCCAGCGTACCTCTGTCGATACTAGATGTATGATCCTATTGTCCACATCGCAAGCTCACTTCCGTATAGCTACATCGTAGTATTGTGTCTTAAACCAGACATAACGAGCGGCACAAGGCGCAATGTTTTAAAGAATCAAGACAATGTTCACAAAATGAAGTATTTCGCTGGCTAGTCAAGGCTTCCCGGATTCAGGATTCAACTGTGCCTTTCGGCAAGTCTATCACAATGCTGACACATAGAAGGCGGGTAAGACTTGCAAGGCTGAGTATGTAAAGGACAAGCATTGTCGACGCGTGGATAAATTTGTGCATCACGATAGGTCCTACAGTCGATCAACCGAGCAGTGAGGACTCACTCGTGGCTGCAGGCAATGATCTCGGACTCTCCACTGTCGATGTACCCTTGGTAAAAGAGCTGTAGAAATGCACAATGTTCTCTCTTCTTCAGCAGACACTGCTGAAAGTTATTGCGTGCAATGACCTAACCACGACTCCTATCAGCAATGTCCGCCTCCTGAACTTGTTTCTGCCTTTCCACAGCTGTGAAATTGCAGCCTTTGATCAAGGGAGCCCAAAATATCCGGATTGTACACACGCTGCTAGTTGCATAAGTAAAACTCTTGATATATCTAGAACACCTAAAAGATAAAACAACTCCCAGAACCCCCTATGAATGACTTTTTACACTTTATGCTCTACTAGCCCTGTTACGGTTCTCATCACGTTGACCCTGACCTTTGGGTGCAAAGCGACCTTTGTTGACGCCACCAGCACCACCACCTCTGCGATCGCCAAAGCCGCCGCGAGAGCCTCCACGACCACCGCCTCTACCGCCGCGATCGCCGAAGCTGCCACGAGAGCCGCCACGGAAACCGCCGGAGCCTGACGAGCCACGGAAGCCACCACCGCCTCTGCCGCCACGAGAGTCGCCGCCGCGGACACCACCGCGGAAACCGCCTCCGCCACGGCCACCACGGTCGCCGAAGCCACCACGAGAGCCACCACGATCGCGAGAACCACCACGGTCACCGAAGCCACCGCGAGAACCTCCACGACCGCGGAACCCTGAGCCAGAAGAGCCACCGCGCTCGCCACCAAGACTCCTTCGTTGCGGCTTCGCTCTCGCATCAGCAAGCTCCTTTGCGTCAATCTCCATCTCATCCTCATCTTCAGGTTTGGAGCCGCGGTTCTTGAACTTTAGCTTTCCACCTCTGCCTCGTTGAGCGGCATCGCGGCCTTTGATGGCTTCTACATATGCGTTTATGCCATCTTCAAGACTTGCTGCATTACCCGCGTCATCAAAGTCCATGATTTCGTCGTCGGAGTCTTGTTCGTTGAAGACCAGTTTGCCGTCGAGATCCATCTTGGCAGGTTTGCGGGATGCAGGTGCAGAGCGAGATTTAGAGGGGATGGTGGAGGAGATGTTGGCGAGGGCTTTGCGGTCCAGAAGATCCAGGGGTTCATCTTCGTCTTCGATGATGAAGGTGTCGCCGCCCGCTTTGGCTTTCTTGCCTTTAGCAGCACTGCGACCCAGCACCTCGTCGTCAGAGATATCAGAGCCTGAATCCTCTTCATCGCTTCCATATACTTGCTCGTCGAATTCTGATTCGAACTTGCCCTTGTGTGTGGTTGTTGCTTCGTCTTCATCTTCACCATTCTCCTTGCCGGCTTCCTTCTTTCTCTTTGCGCGGTCGCGTGTCTTGCGAATGTTGGCAATGAGTTTCTTGTCTTCTTCAGGACAGTGCTTTTCCACAATCTCGACTCCGAAACGGCGGATCATGCGTTCGAAAATGTGCTTGACCTTGAGTTTGAACTGCGCCTTGTGTTCGTGACTCCAGACCATGAGGTTGGGAATTAGAGTTGCGAGACGGGGACGCATGAGTTCTGTTGGCAAGGACAAGACGCAAACCTTGACGAAACCGAGACATGAGCGGACTATTTCGCGGTTTGCGGATGTGAGGAAGAGGTCCATTGTTTGGACGAGATCGAGGATGACGGGCTCAGAGAGGGTGTTGCGGAAGTCGTAGAGGAGACGGGCGAGGGCTGTGATGGAGGCGGAAATCATGTGAGGAGTTGAACCGGCAAGACCGGCAGAAACCATGGTGAAGTATTCTTCCAGACTGGCCTCTACAGGGGCGGCATCATCGGGCATGTGAGGGACCTTTGCATTGACAACGGTGCCACCTTCGGCCATCTTCTCGCCCATTTGGACGAGAAGATCGAAAGCAGCAGCACGTGCCTTCTCGTTAACCTCCTTTGCGCTAATGACAACCTCGGACAGAATAGAGGGGATGAAGTGAAGATCGTCCTTGGGGAGGGCAGGGATGATTTGAGAGATGGCGGTCAAACGGTCGCGACGAGAGGGTGCAGCAGCCTTAGGGCCAGCCTGGAGAAGGAGTTGCTGCAAGTCAGAGTTACGTTCGAGGATGGCTGCACGGCCAGACTCGGACTCGGCGAGACGAGGAATGAGCTTGTAGGCCTTCTTCTGCAACTGCGGGTCGGAGTCGTTGTTGACAATAATGGCAGCCATGTTGAAGAGACCAGCGAAGCTGTCACGAGGAAGATAGATAGAGATTGTGATGACCAAATCCATGAGGGTGTGAGACATGGGAGGCATCTTGTTGGGACCCTTGGCATCCTTTTGCTTGTCGGCCTGTGTCTGAGGGCCGCTCTCACCAAGAGATGACTCGAGCATGGAAGCAACACGAGTGAAAGTCTCCATCAACTCTGCCTCGGGCGTAATGCTGAGGTATGCGTTGATGGCCTGGAGAATGATACCGCGGTATTGGGGCAGAGTCTCGCTGTAGACGTTGAACAAAACAGCGAGAATGTTACCGGCAAGTCCAGAGAGATGCTGAATGTTCTTTCGTGCATCAGCCTTGGAGACTCTGCCTTGCATGACGAGGTCCTCCTCTCCTTCAATTGACAGTACAGTCTGGTTAGACTCGACCATGTTCTGGAGAGCTCTGCAGATCTCGGTACGGAGCTGAGGTTGAGAGTAAAGAAGGTTGGCAACCATCTCGGCAAAAGTCTGGTCGAAAGCCTCAGTGACGTCCAGGGGAAGATCGCAGTATCCAGGAAGAGTTGCCCAGATCTGTTGAACGATGGTCTCGAAAATCTTGATCTCCATGGTCTTCTCAGCACCGCCGTGGTTCAAAACACGCTGGAACATGGCCTCACTGAGAGGAACCAGCTCGGTACGGAAGTGAGCAAGGCGAGTGTTTCTGACAGAGTCACGGAGAATGGGAAGCATCCAGGCACGTCCAGGTTGTCCAGGTACGGGCTTAGTCAGGTTCAAAGGCAGAATTTCGAGAACGTTGTCGGGGCCCATGGCGGTAATGGCCTTTCCAAGAACAGCATCTGCCTCCTTCTTGCCAGAGAAAGAGTCGTTTCCACGAAGATCACCAATGGCCTTGACTGCATTGCTAAGGATGCCCTGAGAGCGCCACTTCAACGTGTCGAACATGGCACCAATGACAGAGAAGACCTCCATCCAGGCGGACTGGTACTTGATACTGAGAAGGTCGTTGATCTGGTTTCCGAGGTTCTCAAAGACCTTCTCGTCGTAAATTGAGGGGTCCAGAAGGACAGAATCCGGGATACAGGTGTTGAGGAAGGAGATCAAACACTCTGAGGCGGAAATGCGGATGTTGTGCGAAGAGGAGGCGAGGAAAGCGGAGACTTGGGTGAAGAGTGTAGGAAGTTTTGCAAAGGTCTCTTCGGGGTCGAGTTGAGCAGCGACGTCGTAACCTCTCGAGATGACGGCGATCCAGGGAGGAAGAAGCTGCGAATCATTCTGAGAAGGCTGGAGTTCACCAATAACCTCTAACAGACGGGGCAACTTGGCGGCAGACACCTCGTTGGCCAAACCAGCGAAGATGATCTCGAAGACCTCGAAAGCGGACATGACGAGGAACTCGTGGCTTGACTTTGAAATGGCAAGCAGAAGCTCACACAACGAGTCGATCTTGCGCGAAGGCCATCCATTTGCAGCAGTGGCGATGACCTTGACCAGCTGCAGAGCGTGCATCAAAGCCGGGTCGTTCTCTTGTTCCTTTGCTCCCTTCTTTGCCTTCTTGGCCTTTGCAGACTTCTCGGCAGCATCCTGGAGCAAGCGCATCGAGGTCTCGGCGGCCATGTCGGAAGCGGGATGATCGAGCGAAGGGCTAGGGGGAGGGTTTTTGAGGACGGTAGTCAGAGCGTCCTGAGCACGCTTGCGGACCTTGGGACGGTGGTCCGAGGCCAGACCAAGCAGACCAGCAACTGCGCGACGGGGACTGAGTGATGACGCCGGGAGAGCCCATGCTGGAGCGTCCTGTGCAATCAACAGCGACTCCAGACATCCAATACTCGAGCGCAACAGAGGGGCCTCTGCTTCGGGATGTGTGAGGGCGGGCGCGAGACTACCCAGGATCTGACTGAATTTGGAGCGCAACAGTGGCGCGGGAACATGAGGAGTGACGAGGTCGAGGAGGTATACAACGGCGTAGGCGACTTCCTTATTGGCCATGTCAAACTGCGCAAGCAGCGACAGGAGGGCGGCAAAGTAGGCCGTGGGTGTTTGTTCGGCCTTTTGCGAGCGCAGAGTGTCTTCGACTGCGCCGAGCACGACAGCCGTCTGCATGCCGAATTAGATGCTGTGATTGACCCACAGTCTGGAAATGCTCACCTGCTGCATGCCCGACAGCTTAGGCTGCGACCTGATCTTGTCGAGTCTCTCGGTCAACGACATGGTCGACATGATGTGTATACAAGCAAGAAACTGGTCAGCCTCTTGCCCAAGACTTCACAAGAAAGTTCTCTCGACCGACTTTCCGCCCTTATCGATAAGCGCACGGACTTTGGAGCCAAAAGTACCCTGCCAAGCATCTCGACATCTATCCGGATCAATGACACTCTTGAGGATAAGCGTAACCCATTTCGCCAAATCATGTAGAAAATGATCGATCGAAGTCACCATCATTCGAGCTGAATGATCTCGAACTGCATGTGATGAAAATAAGATTCGTTTGCGTCATTTTTGCGTGATAACAACTATGGGGGGTAATTACTAAGAAATTACAGAAAGAAAGATAAGACCCAACACCAAACTCTGATGCATCCACCAAACCAGACTCAATTTCCAGTCTCAGTCTCCACACCAGGCTGTCTTCCATTGAGTCCTCCCGTCAACTTGTTCTTGATCTTCCTCAAGCCAATCTTGCCCTCATCCTTTGCGAACTTGAGGTTGCGAGCGGGCTTCCACTGCATCAAACCACGTTGCTTGCGCTCCTCAGTGCGCTTGTTTTGCTTGTTGACGTCCTTGCCACTGCTTCCAGTGTTGGGATCTGAGAAGGTCGAGTTGGTGCCTGCATAGGAGTCGTAGGAGCTTCGGCCGCCAGTAGTATCAGTAGCGTATGACTGTCTGCCTGCTCTCTCGCCACCATTACCACCACGGTTCTCCGAGTTCTGAGCATCCATGATACCTAGATCGTCAGAGGAGTCGTCGTTGTCGGAGGAGTCGTCGTCGGAGCTAGGGTTGTGGGGGTCGTGGAGAGGAGGCTCAGCTCCAGGCTCGCGGCGCTTTCTACCTGACGAGTCCACATATGCCTTGGGATCTTGACCGAATGCACCGCTCCAATCAGTACCTTCCTTGCTAAGCCACTTCTCCTTCTCATCTGAGTCCTCCTCCTTCAGGATATCGCGGCCTTCGGTCAGGGACTTCTCGTGTAGTGCTTGGACGCGATCGGGCATCTCCTTCTCCACCAGTCTTGTACGAACACCCTCGGCGAGACACGCCTCCCAACTCTCGTAGGTCTCGCGGGACTCGTTGTCGGCAACAAATTGCTCGTGGCTCTCGTCCATACCGGCCTTGAAGCGACCGGTAAACTTAAGACGACCAATCTCCTCGAGGTCATCCAGTCCAGCCATGTCCTTGTTTGCGTTCTCTTCGGTAATGTAGTTCTGAGTCAGTCTTGCAGGAGATGACGTGCGCCAGATGGGGATATCAATCTCGGTAGATTCGTTGTCAATCAGGTGCTGCAGCCAGAGGACAGCATGAGCATCCGCCTTGCGCTTGCCAGAAACGTGGAACTCAAAGACGATAGGACTGCGATAGCGGTACTTGACGGGGAGGCGAATAGGCTCCTTCTTCTCGTTGTGCTGAACCTCCCACTCAAGGCCATTGTTGACCTTGTGGCATTGTGTGCGAGGCAGCTTACCAACGGAACCTCCAGTACGCATCTTAAGTTTAGCATGGTGAGTGTAGCCAGTTGCAGTGATCTTCTCGGAGAGGAATTGGAAGGTACCAACGTCCCATCCAAGCATGTTGGGTGGAAGACGAGTTTCGATGCTGCGGAAGAGGAGCGAGATACGGATGCGACCGAAACCGATGCCGCCGTCAAGAGGGTACCATCTGGTGACTTGCGAGCTGGTCTCCATGACATCGGAAAGCTTAAGAGGCACGACACCGAGAATGGGATCGTGTTCGCGGTTGCGGGAATCACGGACAGTAACAGTGATGACGGCAGATCTCCAGTCGCGAATGAAGCGCTCGGTACCAGCGTTGAAGATAGGTTGACTGCTGACAGCCTTGGCACGAGTTCTGTAAACCAGCTCGTCGTTGTAGAGAATGGTACAATAACTGGTGGGAAGCTGGTCACCTTCTTCGTCAGTGCCCTCGCCGCTAGGCTTAGCAGGTTCGTACTCTCTGCCCTTACGGCTGCCTTCTGTACCCTTGATATTATCGAGTTGGAGGTTGACAATCTGGTGGACGACGATACTGCACACACCGCTGGGCCAGAGGGGGTCTGGGGGAGTGTGCTGGACAGCGTCATCGGTGTCAGTGTTGGCCACACCCTTCTCATCTTGAAGCTCGGGTTTGTCGCGGAGGTTTTCAGGGAGTCCGTGGTTCTTTCCATCAGTGCGAAGAGCGGGTCTGAATTGGGGCTTGCCGAAGAAGCCAACCTCCCAGTGAAGTTCTCCAGGCATCTCGCTGTCGGAGTCCATACCGGCAAGCTTGGAAACTTGAGGATACATCTTACCAGGGTGCTGGATCATCTTTTGCATTGACAACTCGACCTTGCCGACAATGTCATCAGCAGTGTGGCGATCTGAGTCCCAAAGTTCAACACTCAAGTTCTCGTCGGCCTTGATAAGTTCGGGAGTTACGAGGAGGCTAGATATACCGTCAGCTCAAGAGTTACACGCATTGCTGGAATCACTTACGCAGCAGTTTCTTCCCAGATGGGGTTCAAGTCGTCTGTGATGACACGAGTGCAATACATGGGCTTTCCGTACTTGGAGAAGGAAAGAGTGATATATGGGTCACTTCCTCCGTGCTTGCTGCCACGCTTATCCTGCTTGCTGAGACCAACAGCGCGGTGGATGCGAATCCACATGACACCGAGAGCCTGAACATCCTTGGTGATGTCGTCGCCTTGAAGGATGGCTCTCATGTCAAGAGACATGGACTTGGGCGCAACGTACATACTAGCGGCGGCGCCAATGGCATAGTTGACAAAGTTCGAGATGAGAGGAAGGTTGAGAATGTTTACACCCTTCTCGATCATGGGAATACATCCAGCTTGAACGTGGGGAACACCCATGAGAGTGAATGTCAGAGTCTTGAGGAATGGGGGTTCGGGAGTCATGGCCATGCGCAGTCTGACGGTACCAACAAGTTCCTGAAGCTCAACAAAGATGGGAAGAGGGATGCCGAACAGACCCTTGATGCCAAGATAGAAGACCAGTTGCATGTGCATGTTTCTGGCTCTGTCGGAGGCTCTCTTCCCAGAGGGAGCAGCATGGTATGCAAATGAGACCTCGAGGTTGTAGTAGTCACCACCCTCTTCGTCAGCAGCAGCCTCCTGAGGGTCTTTGGTCTTCTTGTTCTCCTCGTGGATCGCGTTCTTCATCTCTTTCATATGCTCATCGGGAAGAGCACGCAGACTGAGGATACGGATAGGGTTGCTGCCTTGGTTGATCTCGGCGACACGGACGTTCTCAATGACACCGGGGACAGATGCTTGCATGACGTCTTCGAGGGTATCGGCGACGCTCTGGAACATATCCGGATTGACGAGACCCCAAACGACTCCAAGCAGAGTGTTCATCCATTCGACTGATTCGGGGAGAAGGTTGGCAGTGGCCTGAATCATGCTTGTCAGTCTTGTCGCCTCTTTCAGACTATGGTGAGCATAGGCTTACAGTTCTGCCTCTGATCTTCTCGCTGTCCCACTCAACCTCCCTGCCGCTGCGGATCACCTCTTTGGCCCAGAGGAAGATACCAGACGCAATGCACATAGCCAGAGGGATCAGTCCTTTAAGAGAGCCACCGAAGATGTTTCCGACAAAGACAATACCGAGAAAGACACCGATACAAAGGCCAGTGGCCCTCTTCTCCATAGCGGCGAAGAAAGGTTCATAGCTGACCGAGGGTGTAGGGTGGAATAGAATGTTGGTCTTCTCGCCATGGATGGGTACGTCTGAGGTGCTACCTTCAGCAACGGGATCCGGAGGCGCAGTCACATCTTGGTTGTGCTTGTACTCTTCCATCGACTGCGAGGGGTCTGTCTTGACAGTCTGGATGCTGTTAGTCGTCGTGCTTGCTAGATTCTGTGTGTGCGACATACTGTAGGCTTGTCCAGGTTGGCATTAGGGACAGATAGCTGCTCACGTGTCAGACAACTTGCTCAAGCACGTCGACGCCGTCTGCTCTCACCATAGGATTCTTTGCCGCGTCGATCATGTCCTGGTTGACATCTTCGATTACGACCTCCTTTCCAGTCGTCGGATCCGTGACCTTTTGCTGGTTCTCCTTTGCCTCTAGTTTCGATGACTGCTGGTGAGGAACCGCATCGCCATTCGCCCTTTGAGAAGCCTGAGCTTTCCTTTGCTCGTCAATCTGCTTGTCGCGCGTAGCCTTGTCGCGATCGAGCTTCTCGATGAACTGATTGATGGTCGGGATCTTGTTAGAACCCGAGTAGTGTCCACCAGGAGCATGCTGTTGTTGAGCATCCGCCATGGTTGGCGAGTCGGATCGGTTGACTTTGGGATGTGTGTAGCAAAAGAGGAGGATGGAGCTAAACTAAGGTATTGTTTTGCTCTCACATGCGACACAGCCTTGCCCAGCTACGATTGACGCAGAAAACTTGGAATGTCATCGAGGGTATGGCGCGTCGAATGCGTGTGGCTACGTCATCCTGGTGGCTCTTGTCTCGCGTGGCTGCAGCGAGCGAGCGTTTCCGTTGCAACTTCTCGTCAATACCTGCTTACGTGGTCACAAAACTACTTGGCCTAGATGCTGGAGGCGCTTCACTGCCAAACTCACTCCACTTCCAAGCAGTGTATTATGACCGCGCGAATGTGTTATGCACTCTCCGCTGCGCGAAAGGGACACGCCGAGACTGCTGATGCAAAGCGGCAGCGATAACGATATGTGCGGAGGAGAGTGGAGCATTGGCCAATAGACTGACCCGGCGAGGGGTGCCGATCGACGGTACCAAAAGACAACCATCATCCAGTTTGGCGTTGGTGGTTTCCCCCCTGCTTCGAGTATCTTGTTTAAGCGATCTCATCAACCATGTCTGGATGGTTCACCTCATTTCTCAACTGCCGTCTTTGCATAAATGGTAAGCTGGTCGAAGACCAACTAGTCGTCTCTGATGATACTGGTCTCATTTTACCCCGGACTGGATACATCGGTGGTGATGCCGTAGACTTGGAAGAAGGCATTATTGCTCCCGGTCTGCTCGAGCTACATACCAACGGTCTGCTTGGGTTCCACTTCACCCACTTCAACGACGAAAAAGAGTACGCTGGTCAAATAGACAAGGCTGCCAAGTTCCTTGTTACCCAAGGTGTCACGGGTTTCTGGGCGACCATTCCGACTGTGTCCTCTGACGAGTATAAAAAGGTAGGCGCAAGCTCCTCTTCGCGTACTTCTGCCGGCTCTTGAAACAACCAAAGTGAGAAGCTCGAGCGAAGTCTTGAAAGTCACAGGCTTTGTTGTGGCACGTCGCGCAGCAGTCAGAACCAGATCTTGCCACTGACAGGATTGCGAATTTGTAGATTCTACCATCTCTAAAGCCTAGGACAATTGACAATTCTGCCTCTCTGCTAGGAGCTCATGCCGAGGGACCATACCTGGCGCCGTCCAAGAAGGGCGCTCATAACGCGGAACACTTCTTCAATGGCAGTAAACCAGCCGGCGAGGTATACGGAGTGTCTGCTTCATCTTCCGAAGTTCTCAAATTCGTGACTCTGGCCCCCGAACTTCCAGAATCGACGAATTTGATCGAGAGACTTACATCAAAAGGCATCCGAGTATCACTCGGCCACAGCGCGGCTACATATGAGCAGGGCATTAAAGGGGTCAAGGCTGGAGCAACATTGTTGACGCATACGCTCAATGCGATGACACCACTTCACCACCGTGATCCCGGTCTCGCAGGACTTGTCACGACTGCCAACACAGACAGCCTTGACAGCCCTTACTTTACGATCATACCCGATGGCAATCATCTCCATCCCAGCGTGGCCACAATGCTTTTCCGAGCCAATCCGGAGAAGTGTATATTCATTACTGACAGCATCGAGCTTGCCGGATTGGAGGACGGCGTCTATCCAGGACACTCACAGATCCCTTTCAAGCAAAGGAAGACAGGGTCAAAGGTGACAATTGACGGAACAGATACGCTAGTGGGTGGGTGTGCCAGCTTGCAGGAATGTATTCAGAACATGATGAAGTGGAGTGGATGTAATGTGGCAGAAGCAGTGAGATGTGTGACTGAGAATGTGGTGGACCTGATGGGAGACAAGACCAGGGGCAAGTTGGAACAAGGACGAAGGGCGGACTTTGTGGTATTGAATGACGAGGGAGAAGTGCTGCAAACGTGGGTCGCAGGATTGAAGGTATGGGAGAAGAGATGATTACAGCAGAAGTGTGAATCTGTAGACAACAGCGGTGCATGTATACTCGATTCTAGAATTGCAAATAGCTGGGATACCAGTATCAGCTTCGGGAGTGCCCATTATGTTATACTGGCGTGAAGCGAGCGGCTGTCAAATTTGGCCGCGTCAACGAAGAAGATGGTGTGCTGTTCAGGGGAAGCGGTATAGAACATTCCTCCGAAAGTGTAGCAGTTTCAGATGTCAAGATGGTCTTTTGCAAGTTCCCGCCGTTCTTTGTGTCGCAGGGTCCACCTTCTGCGGGGCCGATTGTTTAGCATGGCTTCAACGGCGGTTGCTGCGAACTGTCGAGCATAAGAACATTTTCTCATTCAGGAGTTAGAGAACCGTTAAGCCTTGTGCGATAAAGGGATAGCAAGGTACAGTTCCAAGCTGTCACTTGATCAAAAGGTAGCACCCTCCAATCCTCTTTCAAGAGTCAAGGAACGCAAAAGCAATTTAAGCCAAACCAGCCATCTCTCCAGCCAGCGGACAAACAAAGCCTGGACCAGACACTTTATACGACACTTTTGACTCTGAGCCACGACTTGCATACTTTTTGGATGAGATAGAAAGCCACGACACACATTTCAGAAGGAGGAACATGTCCGAGACAGAAGCCAAGCACAACGACGAAGGGCTGCAGCAGACAGAGCAGCATGCCAATACCAACCAAGGGGACGACAGGGATACGGTAAGTTCCTCGCTTAAACGCGGACAGCAAGTCTCTTTGTTGTCTGCTTTTGGGCCTCATTCGCGTCTAAAGCGTGACTGACGGCCTCCAGGATAGCTTCGAAGATGCTACCGACACGACTTCGACCGACGCTGCTCAGACGGAGCAACAAGAGTCGAGGCGCCATTCCATTTCACACCAGGGAGACAAGGCCGAAGATGGAAGTCATGTGAAAGCAGACATTGGGGACACGGACGACACGATAGCCAAGATCACCACACCACTCGCGCCAGGAGCCTTTGACGCCGACAATATCCTCGAAACAGACGCAGCTCATGAAGAGAAAGAGGTCGATTCTAAGACAGACGAGCATATCGAGCAAGAAGGTCGAGCTTCAGTAGCAGAGTCGGTGCATGAGCAAGCACAATCTACGACGACAAAGTCATCAGAGCAAGAAGATCGTCCTTCGACAGTCTCTGTCCACGCGGACAGCCGCCCTTCGACAGCCAACGAGGAAAGTGCGACTGCTGCAGGAGCCGAGGACAAGCCAAGCAGCGTCGACAGCAGCATCAACCAGCCCATCATCTCCACCGAAGACGACGACGACATGCCTCGAACTGTCAAATCACGCCAGAATACTCTCGAGTCTGTACCTGAACTACCTCCCGCTGTACCCGAGAAAGAGAGCATCAACGAACCTGTCAAAGGACTGTCTGGCGACCTCCCCACTCTCAACTACCCTCCACCTCCACCGCCCCCTCAAAAATCGCAGACCTACATGCTATCGCCTACCGTCGAGAAGCCTCCAACCACGCGGAAGGTCTCAAGCCCGTTCGCTTGGTTCTCAAGAGCCAGGAAAGCCACATCGCCCTCTCGACCTACGAGTCCACGCAGAAACACGGCTTCGTCATTGCAGAGCTTGACCACAAATCCAGACTCGAACGACGATGCTTCTCACCCGCCTACCCTCAAAGACCGTTTCCATCTGCTGAGACTGCAGGGCGAGTCGGCCATATCTACAGATGATACTCTGCCTCTGCCAGAAGGCCGTCCAGCTCGCGCTGGAAGTCTACAAAGTCCAACTAAGGAGGACGGTGGTCAATTGAGTCCTCCATTTACACCTCGTGCGAACTCATTCTCTGCAATCTCGTTGCCCACCTCCAAACTCCCACCAGGAACTGTGTCGGGAGACGCTGCTGGTCCATCAGAAGAGCAGAGTGATGTCAACTGGGATTTATGGCAGTCTGTCGTCTACGAGGGCCCATCTGCCGTCGCTCGCACAAGCGGAGACGAATTGAATCGCGCCATCGCCAATGGCATTCCTCAGCCCATTCGCGGTGTTGTATGGCAAGTCATGGCGGAGAGCAAGAATGATGAGCTGGAGCAAGTTTACCGGGAATTGGTCGCTAGGGGCACTGACAAGGAGATCTCCCAACCGCCTGCTGTTCGTCGCATCAGCGGTACCGCCGAGAAAGAGTCAGTCGCATCTTCTGCCTCCTCCATACACTCTGATGTTTCTGCGTCCGTCTCTCCTCACATCAATGGCATTGACACATCCACACCAACCGAGAAGAAGCGCAGATCAAAAGATGAGACTGCCGCTCTACAGAAGCTCGAAAAGGTCATCAGACGTGATCTTGGTGCACGAACAGCCTATTCGAAGTACATTGCTAGCGCTAACCTTCAAGATGGACTTTACGGTATCTGCAAAGCCTATGCTCTGTACGACGAACCAGTTGGCTATGCTCAGGGCATGAACTTCATTGCCATGCCTCTACTCTTCAACATGCCGGAAGAGGAGGCCTTTACTCTGTTTGTCCGACTCATGTCAAAGTACAACCTGAGATCACTCTTCACCGCCGAGATGACGGGCCTTCATCTGCATCTATACCTCTTCGAGCGTCTGTTGGAAGACTACGAACCAGCACTATATTGCCATCTCCACAGACGTGGTGTTCCACCTAACCTTTACGCCACGCAATGGTTCCTCACACTCTTCGCCTACCGCTTCCCTCTGCAATTGGTCCTCCGCGTCTACGATCTCGTTCTCAGCGAGGGTCTCGGTGCCATCTTGAAGTTCGGCATTGCACTAATGCAACGAAATGCTCAAACTCTGCTAGAGATGAAAGACATGGTCCAACTATCCACTCACCTCAAAGAACGCCTCTTCGATGTCTACATAGACAAATCCCCGTCTGCAACCTCCATACTCGAATCTGGCTTCTTCGGCTCCACCGCCAGCGCAACAGACAAGGAAGTCTACCGTGCCGATGAACTCGTCCGTGACGCTTGCGCCGTGACCATCATCCCCGAAACCCTCGCAGCCTACACGTCCGAATTCGAGGAAAAGACACGAGCAGAACGCGATCGTGAGATCGAACTCGAATCGCTCCGTAACGAGAACGCAAATCTCAGCACCAGGGTCCGCAAACTTGAACTTCGCACTCAACAATCCGACGCCGAGCACGTGGACCTAGCCTCCTCTCTCGTACGCACAAAAGTGGAAAACGACTCTCTACTCGACGAAAATGAGAGTTTGAAAATGCAAGTCGAAGAGTTGAGAAAAATGGTTGATAAACAACCACAAGAAGTAGAAGAGAGATTGAAGGGGGAAATGGATAAGATTATGGCGAGGAATATCGAAGTTCAGGATAGTAATCGTGGGCTAGAGGAGCAGGTTCAGGAGATGGAGCAGGAACTTGTGGGGACGAAGATGATGTTTGCGCAGGTAAGTGAACTGTACCCAAGATCAAGGAAGAGATACTTGTGAGTGAGAACCAGGCTAATGAGATGGGCACAGTTGAATGGCGAACATGACGCTCTGAAGCAGAAGTTGAGGGATATTCAGAATATGCTGGCGAGTACTGATGAGAAGTGATCACCTTCCTCATCACGCCCCTGTTTCTCAATCAAGACACTACGCCACTCCAGAAGAACAACTACAACAGGGAAGCGAACAACGAAAGAGTTGAACCCCTTACTATCCATTACACGAACTGTAGACCAGTTCCTTATCATTTTCCTCATATTGTCATTGGCATTGCGTTGTTTCTTTACTTCTTGTCGTTGGGATTAGGCGTTGTTCACACCGATCAGATCAATTCATTCTTCTTCGTTCTGTCATGCAACAGGCAGCGGAAATGGAGTATGCACTCTTGTATATAGAAAGCCTTGGAAGCATGGAAATTGATGCAAATGTCATGTTCTTCCTTCCTTCCTTTTTCTCAACCACTTTGCGTAATGTGCCGTGCTACAGCCAGTGTGTTTCGTCAAAATCATCATAGTTTTGCAGAAGAATAGAGAAAGCTCATTGTTCAAAGTTGATAATTAATTCCAATCGCTAATCTTTTTATGATAAATGCTTCTTTCCACTTTTTGGCATCCCTTACTCTGCCGACACTTGGTAGAAGAGTAACGTACTCACAAACACCAGAGTGCCAAAGGCAATGACCAAAATATTCACCATCAGAACATTAGGCAAATAGAGATCAATCTAGAATCTCAAGTCCCAGCCAATCTTGGGGCCGAGCTTAGGAAGCTCTTCAGCAACAGACTGTACATCCTTGTCTCCGCGGCCAGAAAGGCAGATGACAATGTCTTCGCCCTTCTTCATTGTCTTGGCGAGCTCGACAGCGCCGAAGATGGCGTGAGAGGTCTCGAGGGCAGGGATGATACCTTCCAGTTGAGACAGGAGGCGGAAACCGATGAATGCCTCGGCGTCGGTGGCGGCGATGAACTTGGCGCGGTCGTTGTCTTTCCAGCTGGCAAGCTCGGGACCGACACCTGGGTAATCGAGACCAGCGGAGACGGAGTGAGTGTCTGAGATCTGACCGTGCTTGTCCTGGAGGACGTATGTGCGGACACCGTGAAGGACACCGTGGGTACCGCCGGATAGTGTGGCAGAGTGGCGGTCGGTATCGATACCGTCACCACCAGCCTCAACACCGAGAAGCTTGACGCTGGGGTCCTTGGAGAAGGGGTAGAACATGCCGACAGCGTTTGAGCCGCCACCAACACAGGCGACAACGGCGTCAGGAAGCTTGCCCTTCAGGGCCTGCATCTGCTCCTTGGTCTCTTGACCGATGACTGACTGGAAGGTACGAACAATAGTGGGGAAGGGGTGGGGACCAATGGCTGATCCAATGATGTAGTGGGTGGTGTCAAGCTTGACGACCCAGGCACGCATAGCCTCGTTGACAGCGTCACGGAGGGTACGGCTGCCAGCCTCAACGGCAATGACCTGAGCACCGAGAAGCTTGATACGGAAGACGTTCAGGGCCTGGCGGCGGACGTCCTCAGCTCCCATGTAGACAGTACACTTCATCCCGAACTTGGCACAGACAGTGGCGGTAGCGACACCGTGTTGACCAGCACCGGTCTCGGCAATGATCTCGGTCTTGCCCAGACGACGGGCCAGAAGAACTTGTCCGAGGGCATTGTTGATCTTGTGCGAACCAGTGTGATTCAGGTCCTCACGCTTCAACCAGATGTTGGCACCACCAGCGTGCTCAGTCAGGCGCTCAGCCATGTGCAAGTGACCGGGACGACCCATCCATTCGTAGTGTGTGCGGTACTCCTCCCAGAACTTTTCGTCGTTGATAGCAGCGTGGAAGCCGTCCTCCAGCTCGCGCAGACAGTCCATGAGTGACTCGGGAACGTACTGACCACCAAACTCTCCGAATCTTGCAGGGATAGCGTTTGAATCCACGGGTCCGTCGGTGTTCAGGGCCTCAATCTGGTCGGCGAGTCCGGGGCCGTCAGGAGTGTCATCGTCCTTGACGACACCATCAACATGAACGTCGACGGGCTCCTTGGCTGCGTCCATGGTCTCGACAATACCAACCTCGCGTGTTTGCGATTTGATGGTCTCTCTGCGCTGAGTAATACCATCCAGGTAGTCCTCAACAGCCTGTGCTCCTGTACCAGCAGGAGCGTCGGCAAGAGTCTGAATGATCTGACTGCCAATGACAACACCCTCGGCCATGCTGCCAATGCTCAGATAGTGGTCTCTTGTGCTAACACCGAAACCAACAGCAGCGGGAACACCACCAGAGTAGGTGTGAACGCGGTCGAGAAGCTCGGGCAGAGCAGCGTTGACGGAGCCAGAAGCACCAGTGACACCCATGCGCGAAACAACATAGATGAAAGAGTCGGCGATCTTACACAGCAGCTTCATGCGGTTTTCCGAGGTAGCGGGTGCGATGAGAGGAATGTAAGAGAGACCGGCCTTTGTGCAGTGGTTGCGGAAACGAACAGCCTCCTCTGGCGGCAGATCGACCATGATGAAGCCATTGACACCGGCAGCCTTGCAGTCCTTGAGGATCTTGTCCTCGCCGTAGCTGAGCACGGGGTTGTAGTAGCCCATGAGCATGACGGGAGCACGCAGACCTCTTTTCCTTGCATCTCTGACCATCTGGATTGTTGTGATGATGTTGACGCCGTTCTTCAGGGCTTGTGTGTTTGCCTTTTGGATGGTAGGGCCGTCGGCGATAGGGTCGGTGAAGGGCATGCCGAGTTCAATGACATCGGCGCCGCCAGCCTCCATGGCCAGCATGATGTCGGGAGTCTCCTCGGCGGTGGGGAAGCCGGCAGTGACATAAGTGACCAAGGCGGGCTGTATAGGTGTTAGTCGAGTGCGAGAAGGAATTGCGCATAGTCTGGACCGACTCTGTTCTCCTTCTTGGCCTGTGCAAATGTTCTCTTGATGTGCTCCATGCTGGGTGGTTGTGTGTGTGATGAGCGAGTAGAGATGGAGGTATGGACGGCGAATTTGCCTATATAAAACACTCGAGTAATTGACTTTGTGATCAAGTCTGGGAGTGTGGTGCGGGTGGAATTGATGTAGTCAAAGAAACTTGTGTGGTGAGTCAAACAGAAAGCGCGACCGACGGCATTGAACACCACTTGCGGGAGTGGCGGGGCCGTGCTCACTTTCGCCGACACAATTGCCCCTCCATCGTTCGCCTGGACTGCTTCCTTTTGACTTGGCCAGAGATGCTTTTCCTATCAGATCAAAGATCACTATCTAGCACTCTACTCCTCGAACATCCAGCACTATAATTGATTCAAATTCCTGCCTTCTCGCCAACTTTTGCGGCTCAATGCTCAGTCTCAAAGATGCTACTCCATGCTCCCCGATCTGCAATTGTGGATCTGTGGTTCCCATCGGCCTTTGCAACTGCATCCTTTAGCGATGCTCATATGACTCACGAAACAGAGCCCCTTCATTGTGATATGAGGATTGAGATGAAGGAGGATAAAGCGGCATGCGATGATGCCTCTTCTCTTCTCGGTACCTCCTGGGCCTCAACGCACCAAAGGCCGGCCATTCTTTGTTCGGGGTTTGGAAAGAGGACTGCACTCCGAACACCCGGGAGATACTCGACGTCGTCTCAGATCCGTGCTCCGTTAAGGTCAAGTTTAGATTTCAGTCAGGCCGCACCACCGTAGCTGTCTACAAGACGCAGCCGCTGGATAGTGTAAGGCTTGTAGGCTGCTTATTTCGACCTCGGTAACAACATTGATTCGCTGCAATATCTGGTTATGCAGACGCATGGATTGCGCGCTATCCAACGGCAGCGAAATCACCCTGTATACCCAGCGCTTCGAGGTTTCACCAGGACTTGGACGCTTCGAGACGACCAACACAAAGAGCTGGGCGCTTGTCGAAACATGAGCTGCCAAATCTCGCCTTTTCTCGAAGACCTGAAACAAGACACTTCACATGCTTCTACTGCCGCCAATGGAGAACCGATAGCCAACACTCGACGATGCTGCCTGCCCGTTGGCGGTTGCGAGACAATAGAATCAGGTAGGTCAATCCACGCACAATAAGACCTTGTTGATTCCTGTTTCCTCCGTTTCATTGATCTTCATTCAAGATATTTTGTTGAAGCGTCGAACAATTGCACTCGCTCAATGCCACGATAGAAGCTTGTTCGTTGTTCCTAGTTGTCTTTGTTCTATCTCTTCAACACTCTTTCAGGTTTATTTTTCTTCTCCCTTCCTTCCTTTTCTTGCTTCTAGACTTTTGCACAACACGACAACACGCTGGACGTACATCGACTTTCCTATTAATCGACTTCTACACTTCACACCTCAAAAGTTCAAGCGAATACCTCGACTTCTACTCTTCAAGATCTCCAACGACAGTCACTCTACAAGATGCCTTTCAAACAGAGCTTTGAGAAACACCTCAACAAGGACCTTGAGTCTAATCGCGACCGCGACTCGGCTCTCTACCCTCCACCTCTTCCACCAGCAGATCTTGAATTTCAAGCTCCTCCACCTCCACCTCCAGCTGCCTCTCAGGTCTTCACCAGCTATCCCGAACGCAGAGGAGGCGTCTACATTCCCACCGTGGTCTTTATCCTCTTGATCCTGGTCCTCCTCTTTGAAACCAGTATGCTCTTCGTCTACACGGTTGTTGCTCTCTGGAACACTTTGCCTCTGCCTATGCCTATGCCAATGCCTGCCGTGCAAACGCAGACTCAAGCCCTACTTCCCCCTACAACAATCACGGCCATCTCCACAATTACTGAGACGTCTACTATAACCCTCTTCTCCACTCTGGTCTCAACTTCCACTCTCATCTCTACATCTACACTCTCGGCGTCCACAACAACTCTCTCGGCTTCTACATCTGTAACCACCACCACCGCGACGACAACTTCCATCCCACCAGTCACGGTCACGAAGCCCGCTCCTACAATCACTGTGCTTTCAACTATTCAGCCCTTGACTCTACCGAGTATCACCACTCAAACTATCTTGAGTACGACAAGTGCTGGAGGAGCGGAAACGACTACTAGTACCGCTGTCGTTACTGCATCTGACACTTGATCGAAGAAAGATCAACGGACTCGGCAGAAAGATGTACGAACTACGAGATTACGGCGAGAACATTGAGAAACCGAGGCATCGAAGCCTTGGATAGCTTCTTAAGATACTGAATGAATAGACACTGATCACATTTTCATAAGAAGGCTGGCCCTTCTTCACGTCATCGAACCTCCTCGCCTCTAACGAAACAAAGTAAAATGATGAACATAAAATGGTCCATTCACCCCAAACATTTCCCCTATGCATACTATGTGACGAAGCGTGAAGCTAACGATGTGATCACTGTTGTCCTAGTAGGTGAGAAAGAAAATCTCGTATTTGACAACCTATGTATAGAAAGGACTGCATCTTCCTCCCACGCAATGCATAAAGACTTCATTGGAATGTACCTTGCCCATCAATTTCTGTATCCATCATGCCTCACATGTGTTTTTGTGTTTTTGGCTTGGACCTCGTGTGTAGATACAGATTTGGGTAACATAAGGAGCGCTTTCCTCCCCCGATGGTATGTTATGAGCAATGAGAAGGAAAAGTAAAGAAGAAAGATAAGTATGATCGCTAGTGCTCAATCCCCTTATCCTCGTGCATTTTCGAGCATCATTCATCAGATTCGCGAGAAGAAAAGAAGAAAAGAAAGAAAACAAAACAAAACATCGAAAGCCAGGAACGGATGAGCGGGTGAGGCTTTCCTACCCGAGAAAACAACAAAGGGGAAGAAAAGAGAAAGAACAAGTAAAATGGGAGGGATAAGGGGAGACACCAGCATGCTCTCGAAGATGTGAAGATGCCCGTTGCCTTTCACAGAAACGCCTTGGGAAAGGTGAAGATGAGAAACAAACTCCGTGAACGCCCGCTCAAGACTATAAATCTTCAAAGGTCAGGCCCTTCTCAGCGGCCAACGCGCGCAGATAAGTCTCCATGCTGCCGTTACCAAGGTGAATCTCCTCGAGGAAGCGGGTAGTTTCGGTGAGGACGGCACTCTTGCTGAAACCGCCAGTCTTGAGGTTGGGGACGAGCTCGTTAAGATCTTCATAACCTTGCTTGATGATATTGCGGCGCTTCTGCTCGGAGCGAATGTGGTTGCTGCGCTTCTGGTCTTCGGTAAGATTCTTGCGGGCGATGCTGCTGAGCTTGCTGTTTGCGCCTGATGATGCTCTGCGGCGCTTGATGGCAGGCTTGGAGCCGTTCTCGTTGGGTTCATCGTCGTCTGAGTCAGCGATGGTGTTCTCACCATCAGGACTAGAGTTATTGACGCGGAAGGCAGGAGAGGTGATGGACGTGTCAAACTCATCCTCGTCTGGGCGCTTGATCTTGCGACGTTTCTGCTTCTTGGGCTGATCAGACTCAGCAGTGGAGACTTGCTCAGCGAGGTTGGCAAAGGCCTGCAAGTTGGCAGGGTAGTAGTTGTGTGCACCTCTGGTCAAGTCAGGGGTGTGGGGGACAGAGTTCTCGACGGAAGATATTGCGTCGTTGGAGGAGTGAACCATGGTGCGCGCGAAGTCGACTTGTTGCTGGATAGCAGCGTCTTCCAGACCTTGATAAGGGGCAGCGTAACCGGTTTGGCGGAAATTGTTGTCGGTGCCGAAGTGGAACATGGGAGTACTGGATTGATGGGAGGAAGAAGAGTGGGAGTTGGGAAGCGAGTGGGAGTTTGTTGTCGAGTTGTCAAACGAAGCACGAAAGTGACCGTTCGTCGAGGGGTACTGCGGCGCCGAGGAGCTAGTCGCCGTAGGAACGGAGAAAGGAAACGACGCATGGCGAGCTGTGTGCTGCACGACTGGCTGCTGCTGCTGTTGAGCTAAAGCTTGAGGATAGCTTTCGGAAGTAAGTGCTTGGTTGGGGTTTGCTCTGTACGAGAACAAAGTTGAGGCAGCATGGAGCACATCTGCAGATGCACTTGCCTCTGGTATACCAACCAGAGCAAGCAGATCCTTTGGGTCTTTGGGAGCTTGAAAGCCACGCTGGTTGTAGTCGGCATTCTGGTATTGATAGCCCTGCTCTTGAGCAGGATACGATGCCGGATACTGCTGGTCGTTGGTAGGATACATCCATCGAGGATCGTTGAGCTGGTCGTACTGCTGGAACCTCGTATCGGGGAGTGTGTTCAGGTTGGCCAAGAAGGCATCGGGGAGGTTGTCAGGCCCTCCATAGTGATCGGGATCGCTGAAGAAGTTCTGCAGAGTCGTGGACTCGTCTTGGTCAAGCAGCGGTGGGCCGGAAGGAGGGTTTTCTGGTTGGTAAGGGAACTCGTCTGTCCACTGGTCAGCTCTGTTTTCGTGAGAGTATGCACGTGCATGGCATGTGATGGCACAGGCTCGCGCTCGCACTCACATCCGAAGGGGGTTGTGGACCATGACGAACGATTGTCGGAAGCCATCATGGATGGAACTTGACCATGTGTTGCGGTCGCGGCCGGCTCTCGTGGTTGCACGCTGTCGCTTCTGATCTGTGGAGTAGCGTCCGTGTTGGGAAGGGCATCATCCTAGTATTGCCAGTCCAGCCACGACGGGTTCATCGAGTTGAGAGTGATTGATGGTGTGATGTAGTAGATATGTTTCGAGGTCGAGTTGCAGTGCTGAGAGAGAGATGAGATCGGGACTGATGTCGCAAGCAATGCTAGTGCGCAGAGAATGAGTGACGGCCAAGTGTGAAGCTACTGATGCTAATCCGTTGCTATCCTGAGAGCTGGAAATACTGGTCGTGTTCGAGTCCAGATCTGCTTGTCGAGAAAGGTGTAGAGAGTATGACGGGACCAGCTGCGTTTGCATGTGAATGGAGGGTCCGAGCGTTCCATCGCTGCTTCTGGCACGTGAACATGTCCTCCTGCTCCTGCCTTCTCTCACCAGAGATATCTCTGAGCATATGAACGCTCCTGCCTATTTGTTCGCACTCGCACGTCCGAGTGACGGTCAACTAGTAGTCACGGCTTGATCTGCATACGTCATAGTTCTCATCAGCTGTGGGCGTTTGAGCTGTCAAGACTGACTGATTGTTTGATCGTGGCTTGGTCTGCCTTGACCCTGCCACGACCTATTCATGCAGCATCCGACTTCTACTGGATCCTAAACATGCAACACTGTACATTAAGCTCGGCCCGTCCGTGTCTCAAACATTCTCTCTATCAATCCTCTGCTACTTGTGGTATGTTTTGATTACTGTGAGATTGGTCTGCGGAAGGTGTCATGTAATCAGCTGGTAACTGGCTGGCTGGCTGCTCGCTGTTTCATCGTCAGCAGGGCCACGACTCTGCCCTCACAGGTTGACTCCTTCTGATCGTTCTCTTTTTTGTAAGTTATTCATGTACACAATCAAGTCCTCTTTCATCCTGCACCTCGCCGCTTTCTTCGGGACTCCGCATTCGCGGTCCGCCTTTTGCCGCTTTGCAGATCTGGGGCCTCTGTTCTGCAGAAAGCACTTGGTTCTTTGTGCCACAACCAAGACTTTTGGATGGCGGAAGAATTACGGTCCTCAAAATGATCTGCAATATCAAGCAATTCTTCCGAAACGCTTCGTCTTTGCCTGTGGAGTCCCCATGGGCAAATCGAGCCCCCTCGGTGATGCTTACCCTCGCTTGTCTTGCCTTGGTCTGGACGGTTGTAGGTGCTTGGTGAGATTAATGGACCAAGTATTTTGAACATCCCCTCATTCATGTAGCATGTAGCCAAGGCCAAGTACAAATATAAGTAGGTGAGCCGCAGTATCATCTGTATCTTTCTTCTTACATTCATTCCTCCTTTGACGTTTCCTTTCGAACATCATGAGAACTACCAGTGCGTATCCAGTATCAGACTCATGATGTGATTCGCAAGCTGACTTGATGCAGCATACACGACGTTGACCCTGTCCGGACTGGCGGCAGTGGCCAATGCTGCGCCTGCCACGACTCTGGTCAGCGCCGTTGATCCATGCCATGTCACCTCTTACTCTGGCGTCGCTGCTGCCGTGTCTTCTTGCACGAACATCATCCTTGACGGGGTTGCTGTTCCTGGCAATACAACTCTCGATTTGACGAAGCTCAAAGCAAACACGACCGTGACTTTTGCCGGCAAAACAACATTTGCTTACGCAGATGCGAACTACGATATGATCAAGGTCGCTGGTACCAACGTCCTGATCACAGCCGAAAAAGACGCGATCATCGACGGCAATGGTCAAGCCTGGTGGGATGGTCTAGGTTCGAACGGAGGTGTCACCAAACCCAACCATTTCATGACAGTCAAGGCTGTTGGCAAGTCTGTCATTAAGGATCTTGTCATTCAGAACTACCCAGTTCACTGCTTCAGTATAAGCGGAAGCAATGGCCTCGTGGTTGAAAACATCCTTCTGGACAACTCAGCTGGTGATGCACCTAACAACAGGTCAAATGGCCTTGCTGCTAGCCATAACAGTGATGGGTTCGACATTTCCAGTACTGATGGCATGATCTTGAGAAATTCCAAGGTGGTCAACCAGGATGACTGCGTTGCCATCACTAGCGGTAACAATATCACCGTTTCAAACATGTACTGTGATGGAGGGCACGGCCTCTCAATCGGCAGTGTTGGCGGCAAGGTAAGTGGAAGTGGCCTCACAATGATTTTGAAACAGTATCTGACTCACTGCAGAGTAACAACAACGTCACCAACATTCTGTTTGAGAACAGCAAAGTGCTCAACAGCCAAAATGGAGCTAGAATTAAGTCCAACGCCGAGACAACTGGATACATCGCTAAGTAAGAACCCATGCATCTCTCCAAAATTACCTACCTCTAACGCGTCTCAGTATCGAATACCGCAACATTCAAGTCTCCAACATCGATATCTACGGCATCGACATTCAACAAGACTATCTCAATGGAGGTCCCACAGGTCAACCCACCAATGGTGTCATTATCAAGAACATTACCATGTCCAACATCTCCGGCACTGCTCAGACCAAAGCTAGAGACTACTACATCCTTTGTGGAGATGGCAGCTGCTCTGACTTCACGTTCAACAACATTCATATCACTGGAGGTACTAACAGTTCTTGCAACATCAAGCCTACTGGAAATTTCCAGTGTGTTTAGATATCGAAGTCAGACTTACTTAGTCAAAGGCGCTGGCGCTTAGCAAAAGCTCAATCTTCTACTTCATTTCACTTTCCACATGTACATCATTCACAACCATCAATACCGTTTGGTGACTTTGATTGAACCCATCTTAAGCTCTGGAAGACTTTGCTTGGAGCCAGCCGACACGATTTTGTAGCAGAAAAGGCAAAATTGTCATACAAAACAGCAAAACTAATACATCGGTACTAGAAAGTCCTTCCACTCATCCATGATCTGAGTCACTGATGTCGGTCATCAGCTGTGTATTGCTATACAAGACGTACATTTGGGACAGAGGCTCTTTTTTGGGTCGTAAGTCTTGAGTGGTTGAGCCGTTACACCAAACAGAGGACTGACGATAATAAATGGATTTGGGAAGCATATAGGGGTAGGTCTGTGATGAAAGAGAGGTTAGGGTTCGACTCGGAGCATCGAAGGGCAAGTTATTTTGCCCTCGGTGGAAGAGAGGCACTTTTAGTCGCTTGAATACTGATGCTTAGTGTCTGGAGGGACGATGTGGAGGACATGATTGAGTTCATAAATGACAAGTTGATACGTTGAGGGTTCCGGTAAAGATTGGAAGCGGTATATCTAAGTCAAGACGATTGAGTCAGAACCTCGTCAGATTCATAGCGGCTCAGACATCTCTATGATAAATCTGGTACAGGCGAGATTTGCCCAGTCATATGTTCTGTCTTCCTCTTGACAGCTCCGTTTCATGACCTCGTGAGACATCTGACCGTAGTATCAATGCTAACTTTCCGTTTAGTCTAGATTATTCGGTCTACTGAGGGTTTGCTTGGCTTGCTCCACAGCTTCTCCAGGCACTCAAGATCATGTCGACAATGTGATCAACACCCTTGCCATTCTTGACTTGGGCAAAGATGGTGGGACCGCCCTCTCTGTGTTATTCGTTAGTATAAACTCGTGCAACATGCCAAACAAGCATACCTGATCTTCCTTGAATCTCTGTCCATAACTCCGAGATCCGCACCGATCAAATCAGCCAAATCAGTCTTGTTTACAATGAGCAAGTCCGACTGAGTGATTCCGGGACCACCCTTGCGAGGAATCTTATCACCTCCAGATACATCAATGACATAGATGATGTAATCCGCAAGCTCACGGCTGTAGTTTGCAGCCAAATTATCACCTCCAGATTCGATAAGCAGCAATTGCGTGTTGAACTCGCGATGGAGATCCGTCAAAGCAGCCAGATTTGCCGAAATATCCTCACGAACAGCAGCGTGAGGACAGCCTCCAGTCTCGATGGCGCGGATCCTCTCAGCGGGTAAAGCCTTGTGTCTGGTCAAGAATTCGCAGTCCTCGCGGGTGAAGATATCGTTGGTCACAGCGGCGATGTTGTACTTTTCGCGAAGCGCGAGGCAGAGAGCTAACATAAGGGCAGTCTTTCCTGAGCCGACAGGACCACCGATACCAACTGTGAAAGCACGCTCAGAAAAATCGCGACCCTCTACGATGGGCATTTCGCGACCCAAGAAAGATCCAGGACCGTCCAGAATCTCATGTGTATGTCCATGATCGACAGCGTCATGAGAATGAGAGTGAGCTCCGTCGTGAGAATGAGACATGATGTGATGATTTCGAGCAGAAAAGATGGAAGTCAACAGATGTTGATACGAGTCAAAAGTTTGGAGAGCTTGTTGTCGAGGGTCTTGGAGAACGAGTGGGGCAGCGGCGGGGCGACAAGAACCCGGTCCGAGCTTCGTGTCCGCTATCGGGTATCAACGACAGGATCAAATTGTTCATCTTTCGTCTTCTGAATATATGAGTATAAGCGACGAGCAGCTGGGTCCCGATTTCAGAACCACTCACCGCCATATATACACATGACTTCTTCGAGCACTTCCCGATAGCACAAGATCAATGTTTGTGATTGGGCCGAACTATTTACAACATGTTGGTCGGACAGCCATTCTAGTAAACATACTCGAAGTTGGGGTTCTGCTTGTCCGTCAAGTTGCTGAATGCCGTATCGTTCAACGCAGCAGCTTCACCACTCTCACGCATGCGAAGTCTGGTCTTCTCCTTGCGCTTGTTCTCCCATATGAAGGCATATCTCAGCACTCCGAACAGCAATACCTCAATACAGTTGGCTGTCAACAATGAGCCGATGCCGAGAGGGTATGATGGCGCCTGCTCTTGTCTGTAGAAAAAAGGACTGGCAATGTTTCCGAGGCACGCGCCGAACCAGATCATTCCTGACACGATCATCTTCTTTGACTGGCCACCTGTGTTGCTCGTAACGAGCGAAAGAGATAGCACGAATGATGCTTGGTAAGAGCCGGTAAGGTAGCTATGGATCCAGTCAGCTCAAATGGGATCTTGTCTTGGACTATTTCAACTTACAAGCATATCAGTCGTCCAACGTATGCAGTGTCAGGCGCCAACAGGAAGCCAAGAGCACCCGCAATGGTCGGCAACATAAAGATCGCACACACAATCGTGCGGCTATTCTTAGGCAGATACCTGTTTGCTAATGCTCCAAGACCAATCCAGATCACGACGAGAGCTCCCTGCGGAATACCGAGTAATGCTGTGTGTAGGGTATTAAAGCCCAAACCCCGGATGACCAGGGTAGAGAAGTTGGATATCCCACCTAGATGTACAATCAGCAAATTGGCTCGAGGACTGGAAGATCGAGCCCACCATTTGGAATGTTTGAGACAAAGCCAAGCAAGGTGAATAGCCATGTCTTGTAGTCAAGGTAAGCCTCCTTGATCTGGTCCCAGTTGATACGCTTTTGCTCAACACCGGTCTGGTTGCGACGCATGCGTGCAATCATGATCAACCTCTCGTCATGAGAGAAGCCTTTGAAAGTGGTGGGCGAGTTGGGAAGAAGCGAGCAAAGAACGATTGCCCACGCCGAACAGAAAGCACCAACGATCAGGAACTCGTAGCGCCAGGAAGCAAGAGCACCGTTGATGCTGCCAATACCGTATCTGAAGCAACGTCAGAAGATTGAGTCATCACATGAACTCTTGAATAGTTTGCTCACCCGATCAGTCCACCACCAGCAACTCCTACACCGTTCCAGACATACCAAGCTGCTATACGAGACGGCTGCTCTTCTCGCGTGTAGTACATGGAGGTGATCAGCATGAACGCTGGATCAGCAATAGCTTCGAAAGCTCCGGACAGGATACGCAATGCTGCCAAAGCTGGAAAGTTGTTTGCAGCAGCCTGACACATAAGAAGTGCTCCCCACATGAATATATTGAAAGCGAGGTAGATTCCGGGTCGACATCTTTGCATGATGAGGTTGGAAGGAATGGCCCAGATCAGCCAGCCGAAGTAGAATATACTCGACAGCCATGAGTATTCGTCACCGCTCAAGTCGAGGTCCTTCTTGATTCCGAAGATTGCTGCATAGGACAGAGTGGTCTTGTCGACGTACTGGTCGAAAGTCAGCTGCTGCTCCTTGGGCTTCAGCTTCACGTCCAGGACTCACGTAGAAGAAGTAGCATACGCCTAGGAGTGGCAATATGTGACGATCCAACTTTCGCTTGAGTCTCTTCTCGTCGGCCTGGTCGATTGATTCGTCGTTCGGGTATCGTCGAAGAGCTTCTGCGTAGATGTCTGCTTGGTCGTTGTCGAGCTCTCCAGAGATCGCCTCCTGAGGTTTCTTGAAGTCGACATACTCAATCTCCTCCTCTTTCGTTGCGTCGTGGTGTTTGTCCATACTTGATTGCAAAGGCTTCTGAAAAAGCTTGCTTTGTATACTTCAGAGGGATCAACATGACTTTATAGCAGTCTACGTGCCCTGCCATGTGGTGATCGTCCGGCGAGAACCCCGCAGACAGTAAATACTACCAATGTCGATCTGACTGTTCCTCTCCCAAGGTGATCGCCGCAGTATCAATGTTGTGGACCGTGGGGTAGAGGGTTTGCCTTGGCGACTCGAAATGTTCCACCAATAATCACTCTCTCACCTCGAGACGAGCACCCGGTGTGACCACAATGTGAAGCTTACTGCAAACTCACCAACCTCATTCGGAGTCGACCCCATGTTTATGACTCTGCGCTTGCAGTAAGCCTCTTCGAAGGTGTCTCCCAAACTTGCACCCTCCGGTCAATAAAGCGCGTTTCTTTGCAGTGCTGCTTCTGAAAAGCGGCTCGTCACACTAATGAGAGTATCAGCACTAGGACGACCAATGGAGGGGATGAGCATGCTGCCCGGGAACTACGCATACAGCTGATTGTGATTTAACTTGCTGGGTGGTATCCGTCTAGACTCCTCACTCAACTCCCAACTTTGCAATACGATCGCAGTCGTCATAGTGATGCAAAACCTACCAAACGGTGGGCAATAATGGATCTTGTAGTGTCTGACTGTCGCGAGTCATCTTGCTGGGTCAGTAACCCTGCTCCAGTCTATGAACACTCATTGCAACCACATCTCGGAGGTCTGCATCGGTCTGGAGCTTGTTAAGGGCCAGAGTCCAGGATGGCATCAATGTTGGAAAAAATTTTGGTCCATACATGTAAGGAGAGTGAGGCTAGTATAAAATGCGCGAGAACAATCGAGAGCTCTCGCTTCTGCCTCCACGGAACCCCTAGCCGGATTGAGCTAGCGCGGACTCTTGATCAGTGACTTCTTGGTCAAAATCTCGAAGTCGGACGTCAGCAACACGAAGCACTTGTCGATCAGCGTGTGCAGGGTCGGCAGAAGGGTCACCAGGAGTAGAGAGAAACAACATTTGATGTCGGGAGAAGACGTCATGTGCCAGCCTTCGAATGTCGATAAAGGGCCCTCAGTAGACCTCAATCAGGAGTGTTAGCGGAGTGCTGGGTAAAGCCATATTTCATGGCAGACCACAATCCTCTGGGGTCTAATCGACGCTAAAAGAGTCCAAAGCCTGTTACTAGTGATATTTGGGGTATTTGCCATGGAACATCTGGCGGCCTATGGGCAGAGCGGCATCGTGACCTACAATCAACGGTGGCACAGATACCAGAAGACAAATAGTCGTGGTGTTATTTTCCTTTTCAGATCGTATGGTTGTGCTTCGCATGGGGGATGAAGCGGTCAAAGAGTGAATGAATCGCAGTCGCATTCGTGAGCGGGTCTTGATATAAGCGTACCGCTTCCGCGCGGATTAACGACATTTGTGGGGGAGAACTGATGCTGCAAAGCGATTGAACTTGGACGAATCCACGACCAAGGGGCTCGACACGACAGATACCGCGGAACGGCTAGCCACATGAACAACGCTTTCTGAATTGTGCAGCTTGAAAAGTGCAGCTCTAAATATGCAGCTGAACAACTGATGTCGAGGAACCGAGGAACGCGTTGTGCCAAGCTATGGCCGCAAACTTATGAAACTCCTCTCTTCTCTCCACCGGTGTCTCGTTCGTTTCGTTTGCACTTCACCTCAACATCTCCACGATGTTTGATCCCAACACGACGGTCGCAGTACGTTCACCGGATACGCCGTATATTTGCAAGGCAGAAAGAAAACCCCAGGGTAGGGCACATTTGAGCGACCAATGGAAGGCCGTGTCTCGTAAATTCTCCAGCCTTTCCTACGCAATACGGTCGTATCGACCGTACCCGCTTTACGGTCAACAACAGTTTTGATTGCATCTTGCACGTATAGAAGAGGCAGTGCTGCGAGGCAGTCAGGTAGGATGTAGCATATAACCCAGAGGTCTGGTCCTCTTCTTTTCCTCTACCATCTTGCCATTACACCTTTCGCTTTTGCCCTCATCCTCTGTCGTCACGTCCGATCTCCAAACTCGTCTTACTCCGATACCACGAACCACATAAAATCGCAACCGTTGATCCTCTGGAAAATTAAGATGTCAGACTCTAATGATGGAGAGATCAAATTCGTCCTATATCACTACACACCATCTATCGTAGCTGCGATCATATTCGTCGTGCTCTTCGGTCTTAGCTTCGTTGGTCATGTCTACTACATCTTCAAGCTTCGTGCTCGCTACTTCATCCCTTTCACCATCGGTGTAATCAGTAGGTGCATGTCTGTCAGTCGAGCTACCAGAATACTAATACAATCTAGTGGAATGCATAGGATATGTCGGCCGTGCTCTATCACACAGCGATAAGGAGGCTCTCGGTCCCTTCATCATGCAAAGTCTTCTTCTCCTGGTTGCTCCCGCTCTCTACGCTGCCTCAATCTACATGGTGCTCGGTCGTGTGATCCGCCTGCTCGATGCCGAGGAGTACTCTGTCATCCGCACCAAGTGGCTTACCAAGGTCTTCGTCATCGGCGATGTCATCTCCTTCCTCGTACAATCTTCTGGCGCAGGACTCCAGGCCAAGGGCGACCTAGACTCTTTCAATCTCGGAAAGAATATTGTCATTGCTGGTCTCATCATCCAGATTCTTATCTTTGGTTTCTTTGTCATCGTGGCCAGTCTCTTCCACATCCGCGTCAACAAGCTTCCTACCGGTGCCTCTGTCGACTCAAATTTGCGCTGGCGCAAGCACATGCACAATCTCTACATCTGCAGTGCCATCATCTTGATCCGTAATTTGATCCGTGTGATTGAGTATGCCCAAGGTAACGACGGCTACATCATCACCCACGAGTGGATGCTTTACATCTTCGATGGTGTTTTCATGCTTCTGGTCACAATCGCTTTCCTTGTCCTACATCCCAGTAAACTCTTGGGCAATGGACGCATCCAGTCTCGACCCTTGAGCGATCCCCAGCTCTACGCCATGGAGAGCGGTCGTTCTCAGGTTAGATCTCACCATCGGCATTCGCAGCATAAACACAGTCATACTCATCCACATTCCAGACACCCCCACAGACATCATCAACACCATTCAGCAAGACCGAAAGGTCCTAGATATCCTCACAGATCGTCGAAGCATGGATGTAGGCGAAGATCGCGCGAACTTTGAGAGAGGAGTGGTTGTACATGTTGAGGACAGATACATGTGATACTGACCAGAGCTACGTTTCATTTCTTGATAGCCTTACACTTGATCGAATTTCTACTTGAACACGAAACAAGCACTTGAGCTTGTTCTTCTAAGCTCAACGGAACTGTACAGGATTTCGAGAAGGTCTACTTGTTCAACTTCCACATCAGTAAATCGATCTATTCACATTTATACACTACCCACCAACGCCATGCACTTTTATGACCAAGTAAAACCAAGCTAGATCAAACATTACAGAGCCTTTCATCACGAAGCGCGCATCTCTTGTTGTCCGTCGGTACCAGGAATGTGTTCGGAGGTTCTGAAGACGGCCTTCATGGCATCTTCAATGATGTCCATACCTTGCTCAATCTCAGCCTCAGAGATGATGAGCGGAGGCACGAATCTGAGGGTGTTGGTGCCACAGGTGATGAGGAGGAGACCACGTTCACGGGCGGCGGTAATGACAGGAGTAGGGTCCTGAGAAAGTTGAACACCAAGCAAGAGACCACGACCACGGACCTCGGTGATGACATCAGGATAGTGCTGCTTGAGCTGCTCGAAACGCTTACGGAAGACCTTCTCCTTTTGGAGAACACCTTCCTGAATCTCGGAACCTGAGAGACGGCCGACAATGTAGTGTGCGAGGCGGGAACCAAGAGGGTTACCACCGAAGGTAGTGCCGTGGTCTCCAGTGACAATCTTGCTGGAGACGTCTTCGGTGACGATGGTGGCACCGATGGGGAAGCCATTGCCAAGAGCCTTTGCGGTGGTCAAAATGTCGGGATGTGCCTCCTTGGGGAGAGCACCATGTGCCCACATGGTACCAGTACGACCAAGACCGCACTGGATCTCGTCGAAGATGAGGACAGCACCAACCTCTGTGCAGCGGCGACGGAGGGCAAGCAAAAAGTCGTCGGTTGCGACGTTGACACCACCTTCACCCTGGATAGGCTCAATGATGACACCACAGGTCTTGTCGGTGACAAGGTCGTTGATGGCATCGATGTCGTTGTATGTGCCGTATCTAAAGCCAGGGACCATGGGGCCGAAAGGCTTCTGGTACTTTGGGTTGGGAGTGGCTGACAGAGAGCCCATGGTGCGGCCGTGGAAGGAGTTGTGGAAGGAGACAACCTCGTGCTTGTCTCCTGACTCGTCGACCATCTTTCCACACTTGCGAGCGAACTTGATGGCAGCCTCGTTGGCTTCGGAGCCAGAGTTGCAGATGAAGGCTCGTGCGGCGTCCGACATGGCACCAGATTCGACCGTCTTTTCTACGAGCAGCTTGGACAAGGCGCCAGTCCAGGGGTTGTGGTATAGGTTGGAGGTATGTACGAGGGTTTGTGCCTAGTCACAGTGTCAGTACGAGTTCATGCAGTGAAGGGCGAGCGTGGGACGGACCTGTTGAGCGAGCAACTTGGACATCTCAGGATCGCAGTGACCAAGAGCATTGACGGCAATACCAGAAGTGAAGTCGAGATATTGCCTGTTCTCGACATCCCATAGGTAACAACCTTCTCCCTTCTGGAACATGGGCGGAGGGCGAACGTAGGTGGGAACCATGTACGGTGTCGACTGGCCTACGAGGCGGCTAGTCTGCGAGTCTGATGAAGGGTCAGGGGTGGCCAGGGAAGCTTCTTTCTGTACATGGTGTCAATTGGCTGAACAAATATCCATCACAGTAGTTGCGTACGTGAATGGCATTCTGAATGCCTGCGGGCAGGTTGGATGCCGTCGGCGAGGCATAACCACGACGCAAAGCCAATGATGGCTTGAGCGATGCGCTCAACCGTGATGAACAAAGACGGAAAGACATGACGATGGGTATCAAGTATCAATTACAATGCAGAGAAGGACCAAAGGAAACGCTTAGAGATTTTGAACGATATGTTGCAGCTCTCGTTGAGTCACACTTTGACTCGAAATTTCTCTTATCAAGGTGGGAACAATCATGCAGCTGAGTCGACTTTTCCGGGGCAAGGGACCCCGACCTCGGCTCGACCCGCCCGATCTCGCCGTGCTGTCTTGCAGTCCGTCAATCTTGAACTTTGTGAGCCTTGACATCCGACAGCATGAACGCCGCGTCCAAGAGCTGTTTTTCAGAAAGCAACCTGGCCGCTTGAGAGCTCTTGACAGTCTGTCGAACTAATGTACGAAATCCTCTACACTCTCACATGTGAGTGAGGGCTTGGTTGATTGCTCCAATTTGCATTGGGCAGGGTAGCCCCATGCCGTTGGATGACGTAGCCATATCCTGTTCAATACCTGAATGCTTGCGTACTTTCTGCAATCGTCTGCATCAAAACGATCCATATAGCCGCGTTTGGACAGTCGAATGACCTTGTTATACATCTCTTACGACAAACTGCACAATGATACTTGTTGATCAAATACGCCAGCTGCTACAGTTTCAAGCATCGCCATCAAGATGGCACCTCTTCGAGTGTTGTGATTTACCAATGTAAGACAATAGAAAGATCGAAGACCTTGAGTACTACAGCTCTGTATACAAAGTCATGGTATTCAGAGGCATTGTTTCGAATGGGCGTGTCTTTCCTGCTCGTCTATCGGATCCTGACTGTTGATTGTAGGACACCATCATTCATCAAGCATTGTTGTCAAGATATGCTCACGGCCCAATGGACAAGAAAACTCCCTTTCATACAACAGTCAGCCCCAGCAGAATTGGCTGCTAGACTCATACACACTTTCTTGGACGATTTCCCGGACATTGATACCGAGCAATACTTTGTCATTGACTTTTGCTCTGGGGCAGGAGGTAAGCATACGTACATCCACGGCGTTATCGGCTATGCAGTTGCCGGCCCTCGTTGTAGCCTCTCTGGCATGCAAGAAGTCTTCTGTTTCTACGTATTCCCTCCGTGTGCTGAGGTCCGTCATTTGGACTCTCCTTCTAGATGGTTCGGAGCAATGACAGGCTGTAGAAAAGCAGAGTCGTTTCCTAACCTAACAGAGCCTGTGCGGAGATTCAACGAGACGATGTGTCTCCACGACATTGTTCCGACCTCTGAATGGCACTATGCCTTGCGACAGCTACAAACATGACAGGGTTCAGCACGCGAGGAGGATTCTTCTGTCAAGGCTCTAGATCGCTGACACATGAAGCGCAGGTCCGACACCACTAATGGAGAAGTCAATCAACTCTGTCAGAGCCCGTGCAGGACATCAACCAATACCCTTCCGTCTCTCTGATTTCCACCCGAATTTGGATGCATGGATGCCGTTGGCTGCTCACAGTGCCAACCTCAGCTTCATTCCGCAATCGGTCGACGCTACGGATACCCGCCACGCACCACCCCTCGTGGTATCTAAAACAGCATCCCTACCGAATCCGAATGGCGATCATAAATCTATCCACCTTTACAGTCTGTCCTTCCACCACTTCAATGAGGTCGACGCGCAAAAGATCATGACAAACACCTTGGCAACGGCAGATGGTCTCTGTATCCTCGAACTTCAGGATCGAACGCTAGGAATGCTGCTTCTTATGACTGGAGAATTCTTCCTTTTATTTATTCTCACGATCTTCTGGTTTCCTTACTCTCCTCTGCATCTAATCTTTACTTATATCTTTCCCGTCTTACCTTTCGTACAGGCCTGGGACGGCTTAGTCAGTTGTCTTCGCACTCGCAGTTTCGAAGAAACACTAGCGCTGGCTGAAAAGACTCTGGGAGAAAAAGCTAGAGTAGTCAAAGGAGAAGAGACGGGTGTGGGAGAGAAGGTCACTGTTGCGGTGTGCGGTGATTGGAAGTTTGTGGGTGTGAGAAGGTTGCATACTTGGCCCTTTGGGTACATGAACGCTTTACTCGCACAGAAGAGGGTATAGTGATAATATTGTAGCAGTATGAAGGCACAATATCTTTTACAATCTGGACAAATTACCTGAGATGAAGCCGTTGCATCAGCTCTCTGTGAAGGCTCCGCGATGTAGGATATAACTGTGCCTTTTCACAGCTCTATTACGGCCTGCGGCCACTGCTAGGAGCTCTTAGCAGGATGCCTCGAGGTACACAAACGTTATTTCTCGTGCTTGCTATCTCCGAAGTTCATTCCGGATGGTTCGACGGCAGATTCTTGCTTGCAGTCACCAAGCTTACTCACCAAGAACATTCGCTATTGGCCCAACGTGACATATGCTATGGGACAAGCACGTCGTCCATCGGCCGCCTATACGCACCCTGACTCGTCTTTTGATTTGCGAGTCAACTATTACGACTACCAAAATTGACTGTGGCGTGATGATCCGCATATGAGACCGAAATTTGAGTCGGTCCTGGGGGTTACGATGGCTTATTATAACGAGAGTTCCCCTGGGAAAGTATCAATTTCTCCTGGGAAAGTAACGATTATGAGGTATTGTATTGACAACCCCAACGGAGAATTCGAACCCATGATCGGTGAGGATGCGCGGCCTTACTCCTTGACAGAAGCCGACAGACTTGATATTTAGAGGAGGATTGACTCCAGGGAGGTGCCATGACTAAGAGAGGGCTGTACGAATGCACAGCATCTTGTTCAATTCTGTTGTGCACGGAGAGAGTGCCGTTTTCTCAGTTTCCCAGTGGACAGCGCTACTATTTATCGTGCTTTTCTTCAACTATGATTCAATAGTGACAATGACTCTGAGATCCCTGTCAACTTCTTAGGCATACGTACGCCACAGGTACCACACCGTAAGAAAAAGGGGCGTCACCAGCGACTGTTCCTTGAACGACGGTTTCTTCTTTGACGCCATGTTAAAAAACTGTCTTGTCGCGACCTAAAAATCCATATGAAAAGAGGTAGATGATTACTGTTATTGGCAGGATTTATGTGAGATAGAAAGGAAGGTGTGGGAGTCGAATGCAAGTGATACATGCCACAAGTTCATCAGACGGCTTTTTATAACAAAATAACCTCTGAACATCGCCAATTTCATGTTATACACTCTAAGACCTCCAGTTGATGGGCATAGCACCACCAGTGGTCGACGCACTGGCGCTAGCACTAGTACTCGCACTTGAGGTGGTTGGCAGAGGCACAAACGACTCAGTGTGAGTGGCGTTGGCCGAGCCCGAAGTGGTCAAGTTGGCAGTGACCATTTCGGTTCCATCAGCGATGTTCCAGTGATTCAAAGTGCGGTTGAAAAGGGCGAGTGCAGCTTGGGGCTGGTAGTAAGGGACTTCATGTCCAGCCTCGTAGATGCGAAGGAAGCTGAAGTTACCGTATTGCCTGACCTCACCATATTCTGTGCCGTCGACAGTGAAGGGTTCATAGCTAGCGGCGGCGAACTCCTCGCTATGAGTGTAGTTGATGGCGAGTGAGACGGCTTGTCCGCCGAACCTGAAAATGTAAAGTCAGCACTTGCATCGATGCATAAATGATCTCTCAGCTAGTTAGAGCGGGTTGTACTCGCCAATTACAGATGTAGTCCGCGTCACTGTAGCGTGTGTCAGTAGAGGTCATGAAGAAGGTGGGATGGATGCATACCCGTAGAACAAGCTGATACGAAGACCCTGAGCCAGCAGGTCCTCGAGATCATGCAAGAAGTTGTTGTAAACGAAATCGCCAGTGGCCTGGAAAGCATAGTAGATGTCGTTGTTCGACTCCGTATAGTTGACACTGACACCGAGAGCGTTCTGAACCTCAGCAATGTTCAAGTAGTCGGCAAAGTACTCGGGAGGAGTAGGGTCCTGGCTGGGGTGCCTGATATCGTAGGTGCCTCTGCCACTGTAAGAGTAGTAAGGGCCTTCAACGTTGTCTCTGCACATGTCTTGTGCCTCGGAGCAGACAGTCTGAGTAGCGATGTTATCTTGTCCGGTCTCTCTAGCTTGACGGCAGCTATCAACCAGGTCAAGACATCCGCCACGCATGTTCAGAGCAAACTTCATGTAGTTGTAGACAGTATCGTTGACTGCCTTGATGCCATAAGTGTTGTTGACAGCGAACTCGGGGTAATGAGGTGCCTGAGTGTACTCATCGATGATACCGTTTCCGATGCCAAGAGTGTTGAAGTCGAGCTTGATACCGGGAATGGTTCCATTGGAGATGAGCTTGTTCTGGTCGTTGAAGTAGTTGAAGAACGAAGGTCCGTAGTGACCTCCGTAAGATTCAGTCCAAAGGTTGAACTCCTTGTTGCTACCGATCTCGGCATCGAGTTGAGGCAGAGCACCGAGGAATCCTTGCAGGACATGCCAAGCAGCGATAGCAGCAAGATCGGTTGTGTCAATCTCGGTAGCGTTGATGACAGGGTAGGTGCCAGTAGCATTGGCTTCGGTTGCGTTCAAGAATGAGCCAGTTACAGGGTTGAAGGATCCTTCTTCCTCTTCCTGGTAACTGAAACCAACTCCAAAGGGCTGAGAAAGGAACAACATGTTAGAAACCTCGCTCCAACTGTATGGGTTGACCTGAGTTGTGAGGTTTTCTGTGACGCTGCAAGGACCAAGTTCTGAATATGTTAGCGAGTTCTGTGCATACCAAGAATGGGACATAATTACCCTGGAACAGTCCAATCAAGGAGTCACTTCCAGGACCTCCATTAAGCCAGAGTGTGATTGGATCATTTGCAGGGTCGTTTCTAGACTCGAAGAACCAGAAGAAAGTGTGCATATCAGGAGCAAGATCAATGTATCCGGAGTACGAGTTGACGCCAGGCGTAGTCTCGCAGACTCCTTCCTTACCAGGCTCCTTGTAGCGAATAGTGACATTGGATCCAGGAGTCTATGATTGATCTTAGCCGTCAATTAGGACATCGTCCTCCTTGTACGCTTACAGTGATGGTCTTGAGCCCGGTAGCATTGGCTGGGAAGTACTGTCTCTTGTCAAGGACAGGGACGAGAGCTGATATAGTCGTGGCCGAAAACAATGCGGCAGCACCGCTCAGTAGAAGACTTCCTCCGAGCATGTTGATGGTGATGAGAGGGAGAAGACAAGTACACAACCTCACGCGATCAGAGACCTCAATGGTCTATCTTATACTTTCCTCTACACAATAGGATCCAAGGCAGCAAGCTAACATTGTTGACCGATGACCTAGTCCGCATGATTGACACGAAAAGATTGGCAAGGATGAGCAGGAACCATTGGCAGCTAAACTGTAACAAGCAGCTCGAAGGTCGGTAGAAGAAGATGCCATAGCTGCTAAACTGTTTTTCGGGAATCGATGACGTCCTTTGATGGTGATAAGAGATAAAAAAGCATACCAAGACTGTCTTGTGGATGGATCCAAGACTTTTCTTGGAGCTTGGTTTCGCAGTACATTGGAAAGGGCTCTTGCTGAGTACCAACATCCTCATCGTTACTCGACATTGCCGTCAAGTGTCGCAGGAGTGCTACGTGATGAGCGGTCTACGACAGCACATCATCCGCGCTTTGCAAGACAGGGAAAAAAGAAAGTGGTTGGTTTACGAGCTGCCTCTTTTGGACAGGATCAAGTCGATCGTTGCAGTCGGAAGGAGGGGAAGTTGTAACCCGCTGTTTCTCCGATCCGATCATTTTCAACCAAGAGAAAACATGACCCTGTCAAGCCTGGATACAGCAGGTGCTGGATATACCACTGGATGGTCCTTGCCACAACAACATCGACAGCTTTGAGTCACATCTCGGCGCACAAGCTCTGGGCATGGCAACTTGCACTGACTTTGTCGGTGTGTGGATATTGATCTTTACTCACTGCGAAAGACGAGCTCGATCTCCATGGTCAGCATGAAACGGGACACAGCGATCAAGTTTCTCATGCCCTGAAGTCTGAAGCCCGGACGCCTTTCCGAAGGTCAACAATTCCCTGTCAAACACAGCATGGACGCTGATAGACGTCGCAGCCTCACAGCTGCCACCTTCATAGAATAGCATGATGACAGCATAGCCCAAACGATACCTGCAGTGGGGCTTAAGTGAACATCACCATTACAGACACATACACTCTACAGGCTAAATTGATGTAGGTGCCCAGAAATCGGCGCAAAGATGATATCGTTACGGAAGAGTGTCTCACTGCCTATGATGCACGACACTCGTCTCACTGCTTTGTACGACGATACAAGAGCTGCAGAGATCACTTCTGCTGTCAACCGTAGCATCTGTCGGTACGCGGTGATGCAATGCAGCACTTGCCAACCGGCAGCTCAATCAACTTTTTCATGTGTTCAGGAAACCGTGCGTTGTCCTTGTAAATTGCAGGCATGGTATGCACGTTCAAGGCGTTCTCCACGTCTGTTCGGATCGCACCGGTCCATGCGTCAAGATACGAGAGCACCATTCGTAGGTTCTTCGTTCACAGCATGCGCAAAGACCTATCGACATCTCCGACCAGCGAAAAGGTGCCTCAATGTGCCAAGCTTCAATTTCAAGGCTCTGCCATATCTCGTACCTATAACGCTCGTCTTCAGACCCGCAAACCGTCGGAAAAGTTGTTGCAGGTGAGAACGAGCAATCTAGTAGACCGGCGAAGATACGGTGAGGCATCAGTCAACAGGCAACATCATTAATGAAGCGCATGTTATGTGATCAGAGACAGGCGGTCCCGGCGATGACGGGCGTCTGGCAAGCGCTTAACCACCGCGAAATCCTCGATGGGTTGCTCTTGATCAGCGATGCGCGCGCGCGATCAGCATGAGTGTGATTGGCATGCGGTTCGGGCAGTTGCGGCTCTCCAAAATCAGCAAGAAGTCATGTGTCTCACCAGAAAAGAACGCATGAATCAGTGAGCAAACGGCCATGAGTGATGACTTCGTGATGGAGAGGAGTTGGTGTTGGTGTCGGTGTTTTTACTGCTCATGCTATTCTCATCTGACAGCAAAATCTTCTATTTCAGCAATGTTCGTGACAGATTACAAGGCTTGTCTGTTGCTCGACTCGTTGCGATCAAGAATTTCCCCGGACAATTGCTTGCTTATAAGCGGCTTTCCTTCGGCTTAGGACCTAAAAACGTCGATAGGCGCTTGGGCTCTCAGGATAGTAAAAGCGAATAAATTAGACTCTGAGCTTTCGTATTCTGTGGCTGCCATGAGATCCACTGCTGTACATTTGGGGAAATTTGACATCCCAAGCAAAACTTGAAGGAACCGAGAACGAGGAGCAAAAAAGGCTTTTCGATGGCAGAACGGTGAAATATGCAGGTACGTCTAGAGGACAGACCATTGGCATGTGTATATTGGCAGGTGAAGTGGAACAGGAAGCTGTTTCAAGGGTCGGCTCCCCACAGCATAGGTAGGGCTACTGTGAGTGAGTCGCATACTTTTCTACAGCAAGCAGAGAACGGCCGTAGCACAGAAAGATGAGGCACATTTTGTTGCTGCCAATGCGAACAAGGGGGAGCCGGACGTATGTATAAGCAGGGGGAGAATTACGTGTCTAGACTTTATGATGTATATGAAGCGCCACGCCGGAATCGAAACTCGCGGCGGACATACGCCTTCCATCCACGTCGCCCTACTACTCAGCCCGGCCGATGTCGTGGGTCAGGGGGAGCCTCATGAATGGCGCGATCTTGGAAGATGTCGAGAAAAGGCATTGCAGGCTGCAGACGTCAAGCAGAGCGTAGCGTCTCAAGTTTCAAGATGGCTCAGCATAGAGACGGGGCGAGAAGAAGATGCAGCGCGACGAATTTGTTGATGCAGGCAGTAAAAGTAGTTCTGGCCATTGATTCGTGAGATGGCGTCTAACCCTGGCCGTTGGACTTCGTGATGGAGGGGTCCAAGTGACAGGCGGGGCTTGCGCACCCGAAATAGAACACGAGGAGATCATAGCGCTTGCGGCAAGAACCGCGAGATGCAGCAGGAAGAGAGTGGTTGGTCGGAAGGGTTGTTTGGAAAGTTGGATGGGATAGAGACGATGCATGGGCAGATCGGCTCCGTTTAGAATTGCTCTCACAAGTCGAAGTTTTTTTCTTTCTTTGGCGCCCGCACTGCCGGGGGACGGTTTACAAGGGCCATGGCTCCCAACCCAGAGGTCGTGACGACTTTGTCAAGCATCCTGATTTTGGAAGGCCCGTCGTGTTCGTCCTGCCACTCTTCTCTCACACAAATCCTTGCGGCGCCAGTGTATCAGAACGGCCAGTGTGTCAGGTCGTGCTCGCTGCTAGATCCAAGTTTGGCATTGACGTCTAGCCGGGTGGCTCCCCCTCCCCCCCTTGTGGTGCTGTGCCCAAGTATAGAAGGAGACCAGGCATCCTTCACGCGCGTCATCGGCCACTTGCTGTCGTCTACCCTTTCGCCGCCCCTCTCTGGATCTGCTGACTTGGTTGGATGTGTACGACAGCCTCTGTGGCGATGAGCGGCTAGATCGACCAACACCTTTTCTACGAGATTCCCTTTTGAGTATATTATTGTCGACACACCCGCGTGATGCTGGCACTCATGCCCGTGGATAACATGTCGCTTGCTATACTCCCTTCGCATACTCCCGTCACTCGTCCGACTGCTCCTACTAGACGACCCAAACTTTCCCTCAACACTGCTTCTCTCCCTTCGACCTTTGGCAAGAGCACTACTGGACTCAGACTCGACACACCTTCAATAGCTTCGCCTACTGCGAGGAACACCTTCAGCAATGCCTACGGATCGCAACATGTGACAAGTCCTGAAGCCTTGACACCTCATGATCATGTACGACAAAACTCTCGACTGTGTCTGGACACGTCGGTGGCACCTACTCATCAACAACCTTCTCGATCTTCTTCTGCCGACAGCTGCATGTCTGCCACATCTGCCACCTCGGCCTCGACCGACTCTTCCATCTCTTCCTTGTCCACAATCGACTCCTTTGACAAGCCTGTTCCATACCGTCTACCATTCAACCACCGCTCCATCCTCACAAACGGGCCTCATGGCTGTATGCGCCGTCGCAAGTCCTTCTCAAGTACACGGCCCATGTTTCCGTCACCCAAGAAGGTGTCTTTCCGAGCACCTCTGACAGAAGACGTCCACAATAATGTCTACACTCTGGCACACTCCGACATCGAGCCCGCTTCAGCCTCTACCACATCCCTCGAGCCCCTGCCCTCGGGACATGGACACTATGTCCAACAACAGCAAAAACACAAAAGAGCAGCAATCCTGCCAATCAGAACACCCACATGCGGCGACAAACGCGACTCTTCCTCGGAAGACGACTCGGATAGTGATATCTGCCCATCAACACCAATCACAAGGAGGAGTAAGAAGCCTCGAGAGTGGGTATGGACGTTAGGTCCCATCGACACAATAACACCGCCTCCCTCATCAAGTCCCATCGACGACAGCACTCAATTGTGACCTCTGTCATCATCGTCCTTTCCGCACTAACATGGAAGGATGGGGCTCTCAAAACAATCATCACGACCTAGACACGAAAATGATTTGCATCAGCGATGGGGTCAAGGCTTTTTCTCTTATCTGTTCACGAGAAATTTATATGGCGTTTTTTGTCTTCTTCGTCTTCACTTCTCATCCTCTTTTTCTTCTCTTCTATCTGTCCACGAGCATCGATACCCCACTTCAGCTTGCTCGTCTCTTTTTTTCGCTCTTACCATACTTAACCACTTTATTTCCTTTCTGTTTCTTACATTCGAAATAGCTTCTGTCGTAGTAGACAGTGTGCGAGAATATCGCAAATTTACCCTTTGAAAGGAAAGCAGCCATTTGTCTTGATCTTCGTATTGTTGAGAATCCGACCGTGTTCGAGGCTGTATGTCTCAGCTCTTACAATCATAGAGAGCCTCCGATCCAAAGAGCCTCTTTGCGATCTAGACCTCTCTATCCCTGTCGCATGCAGTGTGATAACTACAGTCCCACTGATAGATACGAGAGGGAAATACTTGACAAAGGTAGAGATGTATTTTCTGCCATCTATATGCCTGCTTTCGTGTCGCGGAATACATGCACTTTGCTTACCAGTATAGCGAAGCGCGGCTTGAGTACTTGCACTTGTGACTTCGGAGGTTCCGAGCGACATGCCAATGACGCTATAAATGGTGGTTTTGTGGAGGTTGAAAAGAGGAAAGAAGAAGCGGGGGAGGGCGGGAGCGTATATCTCGTATCTGTAACCATGAAGTCAGCACATGGGAAGAGGATGCGTGAATCGACAGGGGAAGGCGGGTTGCAAAAGAGTCAGTATGTTTGATTGGCGCAAAGAGTGCATCACGACTTTTGCTTATCACGTCTTGTTCTTCTTCGTCACATCTTGAAGGCGATGCTCTGACGTGATGAGTGTGCTTAGATGGTGATGTGGTAAGACGCGATACCACAGCGGCAACACCTCCGACAACTTCTCCCAAAGACCAAAAGCATGACCAAACAACACAGCAAGCAGAGTAACAAAACGAACATAGTTTCACCCCTCAAAAGCCACTGGAAGCCGCTGGAAGCCACCCCAAATTCTCAAATCTCGAGTCTCCCTCTACCTTCCTTTCACCTCCCTCAATTCCACGACTCGGCATCATTCCTTCCCTCCAATTCCACTGGACCGGCTCATGCACAAAAGAACTATCGATTCGACCAGCCACGATTCCTTATCACCAAAACATCCGATAGTATTTCTTTGCCTCGGTTTCGCATTCCTTTCAGTCTTCTCTCCCTTTTATCTTTTGACATCATTACGGAAAGTATACTCGGCCGATCCTGACCGGAATAGCTTGAATACGCACGTTTTAGCGTTTTGTCCGTATACCGAGATAGAAAGTGCGACAATAGACACGGACGACGTTAAGAAAGAAGAAGAAGGCGTTGTGAAAGGATCCGAGATCTCTGAGACATGTGGGAGGTTTGTACCTGGAGTGTTCTGGGCTTGAGAAGGGGTCTCGGTCCGGTATTGTATGGTGAACTGTAGATAATTAAGGAAAGTGGCTGGGCTGGTGACCCTGGCTACTTGCCAAAATGTATCAATCCTGTTGATATTGGTTGTCAATGTAGGATTAGGTGGTATTAGGACTGATACTTATGCTTCTATGATGCAAAGGAAATAATCAAAAGTAGATGGGAGGGTTACAACATGCCACAGTTGTCTCTGCATGATTTATCGTACAAAGGATCATCCACGGGCAGAACACAATTGACTTACACTTCTTAATGAACAAAGCAGGGCAGCAACGAGCTGTCTGGAAGGACAGTCACATCTGCCATCAACAAACAACCTAATGGAAGTTAATGAAACAAAGTATTACAAAAACAAATTGCTGCAAGTTGAGAGAAAATATCTTGCATCAAGATAATTAGTTACAAGCGCAAGTGATTTCGCACACGCGGGAGGATACTTCACGTACGACATGTGCTTCGCATCCGAAGTTTTACATCACAGCACACAACACAATCACAACATCCAATGATAAGAAGAAAGTATAATGTGTAGAAAAATCGCATTGCTCAAGGTCAGGAAAAGGCCATCAAAAGCAACTGCCACTATCGGTTTCTTCCTCGAGCAAACCAAGAATACCCCCCTCGACGTTCGGCAAGAAGGAAAAAAAGGCCTCAAGTCAAGACCTGCACGTCCTGCCTGATATTCTCTCCTTCACCAGCTTTCGCCCAGGCAATCAGCTTCCCGTAGAGCAAGAAAAGTCGAGCAGAGCAGAAAATAGCTTTCGTCCACCCAAAAAGGAGCAAAGAAAAGCAAAAACCCCTCCCTTTGCGTTGCTCCGAGAAGAAGAGAAGTCGAAAAACAAAACGCCTGGAAATGCGTGCGTAAGAGGATGGAAAACTTGTAGTTATTGTGTTTTGTGTGTTTTGATTGAGTGTGACGGATCCGAGGATGCGAGGAGCAGTCGCTCAGGCGAAACCAAAGTATTCACTTCCCTGAGTCATGGCAGTGTACATTTGATGTCTCAACTGCTCATAAGTCTCGTATTCAGGAAGGTCGATTTCTATAAGTACAAAGTTAGCATCTCTATCATCTCAAAATCACAGGCGGAGGGCTCAAGAACTTACGATTAAAGCAAGTATGACTGCTGGGTAAACGGTCCTTGCTACCATAATCACGATGAATGTTGAACTTCGTAAATCCATTCATACCCTCAAGCTCCTTGAAGCCGTTGAGAGGAACCTTGGAAGTACCGGTGACGAATTGCAAAAGCTTGGCTTTTTCTTCCTTGTCGAAGCTGCGGACGGCGCGCCAGAACCATTGGATTTGGGGAGAAGTTTGCTGGTAGTTGTGATATTCAGTGTTGCCCTTCCAGTCGTCGACGTCAATGTCCGGAAGACCCGAGATGAGGAGTTCGAGTTCTTGCTCGTTGAAGATTGCGACGAGTTCGGCAGGGATGATTTCGTGGAAGCCTGTGAGGATATGTTAGTATGTTGATCACAAGTAGGGACTTGCAATGACTTACCCTTCAAGAAGTGCTCGAGTTGCTCTTCGACTGATTTTATCAGACGATGGTCAACAACCAAGCGGACATATTCCTGCTTGTTCTCCTCGGTGACAGGAATGTCACGACCATTCTCAATCAAATCAACTGTCTCAGTCTCTCCGAATCTGTCAACTTCAACCGAGAAAGTCTCAAAAGTAACATCAGTAATGTCGTTCTCGAGGATCCAGCAGAGAGACTTGTAGTAGTCAAGATCGAGAGTCTCCATGTCCTTGAGCGAGACTGGCTTGCCGAGAATACGTCTGTATACGGCTCTGCTGAAATGGCAGTCCAAGACGCGGCCCTCGTAAAGAGCCTTTCCGATGATGCGACCAACAAACTTGAAGAAAGTAAGATGCTCAGGATTGATGTCGCTCATGGGGTTGGGGTGGAAAGTTGTTCTGTCGGAAGCGACAGGATTGAAGAGAGCGTAGTCAGGGTTGAACATCTGTCTGGAAAGAGCAGCGAACCATTCTCTTGTCACACCGCCAGCATCGACACCTTCTTCGCCATGGAAGCGGATGTTGAGCTTGCCATACTTGATCTCGTTGGGTGACTTGTAGTAGAGATTCTTGAAAGAGTCCATAAAGATCTGGTCGCGACGGATGTTGAGCTGGACTGAAGGGTGAGCAATACGGTCCTCGGCGTTACGAGTGTGCATTCTGCGAGTAAAGTAGTTGCGCTTGTTATCAAACTCCAGCACCTTCGAATTCTTGGCCAGCACATCGAATGTACCATTGAGGAGCTTGGGGTTGTTGCGAACAAGGTCGTTCAGAATCTTGCGGTGATCCTCAGTGAATGAGAAGAAGAGCTTCTCGATGCGAGAGTCCGGCTGAGGTGCACTGGTAGTCAACTCTTGGGAGGCAGCAAGATTGGCCTCCTTGGAGGTAGTGTTCTTGCAGACAACCATGAATGATTCGATCAATGGCTGAAGGATGGTAGCCACGTTGTTCATGCTTCCACGCTCACGAATAGCAGTGAGACAATCGCTCAAGTTCGACCAGAGCTTAGCAAACGTCGAAGTCTCATAGAGCGTCGACAGCAGATCCTGGCGGGCCTTTGAGGGTGTAGCTTCGGCTGAGGTAGAGGCTTGTCTGTCATGGGGACGCTTGGGATCAAAGAGATAGTCAAGCGCGAGCAAGACACGCAACAGCTTGCTCTGGTGAGAGCTTGCCGGCGAGAAGTTGGCAAGAGCGATGCCTTGAATGTCGGTACTGGTCTTTGCATTCTGAATCTGAGGTGCCAACTTTTGCAAATCAACAAGGACAGCATCGCCCAGATCCTGAGCACGTTGTACAAGCTCCTTGCCGAAGATGTCCTTGGCACCAGGAATGGCTGACAGGTGGTTGATGATGTCAAGAGTGCTCTGGAAGGTCTTTCCATTACACTCCCGTGCTGCAATGATGTTGACAACTAAGCGGAGATTCTCTTCGGGCACCTCTGGAGGGGTCAGATCTCTGTGCTTCTTCTTCTCTTCTGTCTTTGCGACAGGCTCTTGCGGCTTGTCAGCTTCAACGGGAGCATCGGTTGCGGCTGTTGCTGAAGCTTCGCCTTCGACCATAGGAACATCAGCCGACGCAGCGATAGCGATTTCAGCGGTTCTTCCCTTCTCCTTCTCGGCGTCCTTTGCCTTTCTGAGAAGGATCTTCAGAGGTTCGGTGACGCGAATCAACAAAGAAGCCAATGCCTCCATAACAGCAGAGTTTTCGATGATCGACTTGCGGTCAAGGAGAGTGAGCAACGCGTTGAGAGGGTATTTAGCAGCCTTGCTCTCCTTGCCCTTACCCTTCTTCAAAGACTTAGCTCTCTGGCTGATGCTGGTTTCGTGCTCAGAAAGGAAGAAAGAGCTGACACGAGGGTTCTCGTTGGCCAAATGGGTAAGAGTAGAAAGACATTGCTGAACGATCATAAGAGGTGATACGTCCGTGTTGGGTGCTGAGAATTGAGAGCCAGTCAAACTACGCTTGAGAGGCTGTGGTGTCTTTTGTCCAGACATCTGCTTAGCACGGAGAGTGAGGTGTGCAAAGCTCTTCTCCAAAGCGTTAGCATCGGAGCTTCCGTCTTGAAGAATAGAGAGGAGAATGCTGATAACCTCGGCGCGGTTTTGGGTGTTCTTGCAGATGTCTGACAAGATTGCCTGCATTGTGGTACGTGCGCTGTCCTGCATGGCGACGAACATCAATCTCAGGAGGGTGGCCACACCAGATTTATCGAGCATTTGTATGACAGGTCTGCGAACGCGCTGCTCTTCAGGTTCGGGAGCTTCGGGTTCATCCTGTGGGCGATCGCTCTCACGTCTCTCACGTCCGCCACGATGGCGCTGGATATTGCCTAGGAGAGTACGAGCTTCAGCTTGGAATTCAGCAGGGAAGCCAGCAAGCGTACCAGCGTCAGCATCCAAAAGAACTTGTTGGCGAAGGGCCGGGTTCAAGGTGGCGAAAAAGTCGGCCATGTCCATATCACCGGCTTGGGGGACTGGAGCATTACCGTTGGCAGTTGCTCTGCGACGTTGCTCCTCGCGTTCACGGCGACGGCGGTCTGCGGCCTCGGAAGCAAGCAGCTCAGCCTGAATATCCGGAGGCAAAGCGTCAAGGAACTCGCGGTTGATCTCACTAGATCTACCGCCGCCTTGTCCAGGGGTAGCTTCTTGGGTGCGCTCTTGTTGGCGTTGTTCTTGGAACTGCTGCATGATGACTTCCTCACGCATGTCCTCAGGAAGTGCGTCCAGGTACTCCAGATCGATGCCGAGATGAGTGATATCCACCTCTCTGCCACGGATGTTGGTGACAACTCGAGGTGCAGCATCAGCCGAGGGTTCAGCTTCGGACTGCTCAACACCTTCCATGCTCTCAGTGGCTTCTGTAGGCTCTCCACGCTCAGCTCTCTCGCGAGCAAGAGCTTCAGCCTGTTCGGCTTCCTTGGCTGCACGCTCTTCCTGTTCGCGTTGTTCGCGAGCCTCACGCTCGACACGCTCTGCCTCTTCCTTCAGACGTTGCTCTTCGCGAGCCTTCTCTTCGGCGACCTTACGTTCGGCATCAGCCTTGTCCTTTTGACGCTTGGCTTCCATGGCAGGAGGCACAAGCAGACGCAATAAGGATTCAACAACCTTCATGGCTGTTTCGAGGTAAAGATGGCCGAACAACAGGCGGGCCTCCTCCTGCCAGCGTATGGTGGTAGGTGTAGGAGTGAAGGCGACGGCTGCGATAGGGTCGCTGGAAGAAACTCTGCCACTTGAGGGTCCTTCGCGACCAGTAAGTCCTCTGGTGATACGTTGAATGGCACGGATGTCGGGTAGACCAAAGCGTCCGGGAGATCCACCAGCAATGTGGAAGACGGCAGGTGGCATACCACCAGCCAGAGCAGCGGGAGGGAAACCCAAAGCACCGGAACCATCAACTACACTGATGCGAGCTCCGGATGGGCCAACCATCTGAATGAGGTCGCTTACAAACGAGAGTCCGTCTTGGCCGCCAAGTCTAGGACGATGTCCTTGGTGGAGCCAGTCGTGCATGTCGCCATGACGAGGTAGACCACCGGCAGTAGCGTCGCGGCCTGAGCGTTGGAGAAGAGGGTTGGTGCCATCTTCGTCACCACGACCAACAGCGCCTCCACGGTGAGAGCGAGGAAGTCCAAGTGGAGGGTCTTCCATTGTGTAGAAGGGAGCACCAGGACGTCGCCAACCATGAGCCGAGGGCATGGCAGCTGTTTCCCAGCCCCATTCCATCTCGTCGTTCTCAGGGTCGTCATGTTCGGGTTCGTAGCCGAGGACTTCTTCATCGTCATCTTCTTCATTGTCTTCATCATCTTCGGCCATCTCATCCTCGAAGTATTGCTCTGGGCCACCCATGTCAAGCGTCAACATAGGGTCGTCGCCGTCATTCGGGTCCATGAGGTCTGAGCGGTCTTCATCAAGGACGGGAATGGCACCACCAAATGGACCACCATGAGCTGGGATAAGGGCATCCATGGGAAGAGCGCCGTGATGGTATGCGTCACCATCTTCGTCATCATCATCGTCGTCCCAATCTTCCTCTCCATCATCCTCATCGTCTTCATCGTCCTCGTCGTCATCTTCTTCCATACTAGCATTCTCATCGTCGCCAGTGATCTCGTCGATGATTTCGATACTGTCACCTTCATCGGAGTCGGCGTCGTCCATGTCAGAGTCGTCATCGTCATCACCGCTTTCATCTTCGTCCATGTCGACTCCGACGTCAATGTCGCCGGGAAGACCTTCGATGGGACCCATGCCATCGATATCGTCGTCTTCATCACTGATAACGTCTCCTTCGTGCAATCCAGGACCGCCTTCTTCATACTCATCATAGTCCATCTCTTCGTCGTACTCGTCGCCTTCGTAATACTCTTCGGCTTCGTCCGAGCCAGACTCGTCCTCATCATCCTCACTGTTGGCAGCTTCAAACATGCCGAGGGTAGAGTTGCGGAACAAGTCCGGAGTCTCCTCGCGCTCGTTCTCGTCATCAGAGACGGAGGTGGCAGAAGAGATCTCGTCGTCGTCAGTAGTGCCAGGCGCAGAGACGTCACCAGAGATGCTCAAAGTGACACCAATATCGGTCAACAGCTTGAGAGGACGCAGGATGTACTTGACGGCACGCTTGGCACCAGGGAAGTTGAGATCGAGCTCGGCAATGGAGGATGTCAGAGCAGTGATGAAGTTCTTCTCGTACATGAAACGACCAAGTTGCTTCTGAGAGACACTGTTCATGTCGACCATGAAGTGATTGATGCCGGGTTGTTGTTTGCCGGTCAACATGCGATAAAAGAGATTGCTCAAGCTGAGCAGGCGTGCATACTTTTGATCGAGAGGCTCGGAGGATGCCATGGCATCCTTGTATGCCTTGAGAGCGTGCTCAAGAACGAACTTACGAACGTAAGCAAGGTCAGATTCTTCGTCGCTGGTGGAAAGCTTCAGTCCGATGACACGTTCACTAGTCTTAGAGCAGAGTGACACGATCGTGTTGATAGCCCAATTGTTTGTAGCAGCCTGCTTCTTGGATGCTATGTCCTCGGGATGGCTCAAAGATGCGATCGGAATCAGACTGGTGAGGAAGTAGTTCAATAACCCAGAGCGAGGCTTGGAGGGTGTGGATGCCTGGTACTCAGCCTTGCGCGAGAAATTGATAAACTCAATCTTGGTCCTATTATAGGAGCCGAGAAGCTCGACCAAGCAGTGAAGGATGAAGCAACGATAGGCGAAGATCGGATGCTGATCAGCCTTGAACACAGGCTTGTTGTCAGACTGCTTCGACTCAGCATCAACTGCTGAAGCGGATACTTGTTCAGCCACAGGAGTGGGGGTAGAGTCAGACATCTCAACATCCGATGGCGTGGTAGTAGCAGCAGTTTCTGTAGAAACAGGCTTGGGAGCTTGAACCTCGTTATCTTCGACAACCTTGAGCGATGAGAGTTCCTTTAGCAAGAACTGGACGACACCGTCAGGATTGTCAACCGATGGAGGTTTGAGATCACCAGTCTTGGTTCGCTCAATGGTGGGACGTTCAGGTACGACGCTGGGTTCGCCCTCTCCAGACTGCTCTGACTTCTTGGTCTCCTCAGCCTGCTCGACCTTCTTCAAGGCAAGTGACTGAGCACCGCCAGGTCGGTTCTGGTCGTACTTGGTGATTTGCACCTTTTCATTGGTGACTTCAACAAATATCTCGGGACTACGCAGCGCTAGATGGAATAGCGTTCTTGTGTAGTGAGTTGTGTCGAAGCTTCTAGTTATGCCTTTACTCTCGAATGTCGCCTGAATTTCAGTGCGCATGATTTCACGGATAGTCTCCTCGTCTTCGATGATGTGACGGAGGAGGATAAGAAAAGTGCTCTGGAGACGTTCACCTGCAAGACCTGAGAGCTGCTTCATCATGACGAACAGTCTTGAGATCGACAGCTTCTCGCCCAGCTTCTTTGCGAGGGCACGACGGCGTGTCAGGATTACGAGCGCACGAGTGACTGAAAGCGCAAGAGACTCGTCCTTGCCAATCCTAGGCAGAATTTCAACGAGGGCATCGAAGACTCTGATCTTGTCCTCATCAGGTACAATCGGGGGCTGGAGCTCGATGACGTCTTGCTCTAGAGGAGGAGCATCGTATGAAGGCGCTGTCCAGTGGATCTGTTGAGGTTTCTCGTCCTCGGCCAGAACTCGCTCAATGATGAGAAGCACATTACTTACCCATGGTGAAGTCTCTTCTGACTTCTGTCCTTGGAACATCTTGATGAAGTCACCGAATTGTTCAAAGTTCTCCTTCAAAGTTTCAAGAGATGCGTCGAAGAATTCGCGGTCTTGGATGACGAGCGCGAGCAGATGAGCATACGATGCAACCTTCTTACCTTCAGGTGGAGTGCCTTCTTCCGGTCTCAGAGACATGAGAGAATTGACCAAGGTCTCGCCGATTTCCACCTTTGATGACTGGTCTTGGCCGGGCTTGGCAACAGCAGCGGTGATGAGGTCTGCAAGCTCGAACGTGACCTCTGTGTGGGTGTTGAGAACATCGAGACATCTGTCAATGAGGCCAACTCTGATGTTCTTGCGCTTGTCGTCAAGGTCCTCGATGGTGACAAAGCTCTCCTCTGTGACAACGTCGGCGGGCCTGTTGGTTTCTTCCGAAGGTCTTCTATGGACCGGTAGTGCACGCATCAACTCCTCACCGCCACCGAGGGCGTGAGAGAGGACTTCCGCGATACCGCCACGAAGCATGTCCTGAGGAAGCATCATACGACGGTTGCCAGTACCTAAGAGCAGATCAGCTTCGGACCGATCGCCGTCGGTGTCTTGAGTACCCGATCCAGCTTCGTCCGCATCCTGCATCTCTACAGAAGGTTCACCAGATGCGGTCGACTGATTGGTCGTGTCGCCAGTCTGTTCTTGGGTCGGTGGCTCAGTTTCTTCGGAAGGTGGCAGTGGGTATATAGGTATGTGGCTTCCCTGGTTGTCTCTTCGGAGAACATAGTACTCCTTGGCTGCTGTTAGGACGTTGTTACAACGATATAGTGCCTCAATGCAGAGGAGATCATCATCGAAACCTTCCGCCTTAAGGAGATCCTTCGTGGCATGACGAACTTCCCACTTGCGAGGCTCGGCGGCAACACGACGCTTGAGGTTCTCACTGCGTTTGATGGCGTCACGTTCACCCTCACCTTCAAGCATGAGCTTGAGAAGATCAACGATGAATTTAACACTATGCGCAGGTAGAGCTTCCATCACAGATGACTTCCACATCTCGCTGATCTGAGGAAGGACAGCGTTGCGGATCTCGACCACGAATTGCTGAGCCGAAAAGTAGTCACTTTTCTGCTTGTCGCGGACAGCCATTACGCTAGTCTGTTGAGCGTCCGTAATATTCTTGGACTGAGTGATCTTGTTGTAGAACTCAAGGATCTTATCGATGCCAGCGAGCGCCAGAGCATGAATGCGCTTGGAAGATGTGACCTGTTCGGTAGCGGAAGTCTCCTGAGAAGCCGCCTTGTTTTGTTCGACGAGCTTGCCAAATTGTTGCAAACGGACTTCGAGCTCCTTGAAGCCGCCCTTGCGGTAGAATGCGAGTAGCACCAAGGTGAAGACCTCGCGGTGGGTTCCCCCAGTACGGGTAGTCTTGCGCTCATCTACCAAAGTCTGCAATGTGGAAGTGAGAACGACGATGTCATAAGCGACACGATCCACTTCAGACATGGTCGATGGCCGGGAAGTTGCAATATGGCCGATCAATGCACTTGCCAAGTGGTCCGCCATCTCTCCTGCGTTCTGCTTCTGGTAATCGCTCAAGGTGATTCTAGAGGAATGTTTCCAGAGAAGTGACTTGCCCATAGCCTGGAAGAACGACAGAATACTAGTAGACACTTGGTTCGACAGAGATGCAAGAATTTGACAATTCTTGAACTGAGCCGAGTTGCGTGCTGCGACCTTTTGCGCCTCAGTGTCATTGTGCTGCTGCAACGAGCCATCGGCGTCGGGCTTATTGGAGTGCGAGCTGCTAGAAGCAGAAAGCCCCATGACATTATCGGCCTCACTATGATCGAAACTCATGCCAGAGATGTGAATTTGCTTTCTCCAGTCTTCGGGCATGTTGTTACGCATGGTGATAGCCTCCCAGACACAAGATGAATATAGCTGACCCAAGTCATCAATCAAGTCGGTGTAGATGTCTGTCAGGTTGACTTGACCGAAAAAGTGGTGCGGCACGTTACGGTTTGAATGGAAAACGTGCATGGAGAACACCTGGGAAAAGACGTGGCAGAGGAACTGTACCTGAACCATTGCCTTGGCTGTGTAGGTTGCGTTTGAGACCATGGCGTTTCTTTGCGATGTTGAACTTGTAATTGTCGATTCAGTCAAGTCGCCGAAGTATGTCTTGCCGGGACGGTGTTCCGCCAATGGTCTTAGCTGGAAGAAAGCAAATTGTGTACGTCTCGCAAGAGAAGGGAGGATCAGGTGAGGTTTGTGTTCAACTAACTGTTGAAGAACCCTGATGAGCTCCGTCTGAGCAGAGGTCTCGTGAAAGTTGTATGGGTTGCAAGCAGCGGTGGCGAAATCGAGGAGGATTTCCGCACCAGCCGCTTGGCAGAATGCCGCAGCCATGCTATGATTGCTCAAGAAGCCGTTGAGGAATTTACAAACCATGGCGATGAAGTCTGAGGTAGAATAGCCACCTCCGCGACCCTTAGTAAGAGTATCACTCTCCAGCTCGGATTCTTGAACCGAGGTCTTTGAGCTGTCGGGAGCATGTTGGACGCGGTCATGGAAGTCAGTATCATCAGCATCGAAGGCAGTTTCGACCTCGGTGAAGCTCATGCCGCGCAGGGCATCTCTTCCGCCTGCTACCTGCAAACCCTTGTCTCCTGGGAGCCAAAGCTTAGCACCGACGCCTTGGAGTTCAGCACGACGTTGACAGATGACCATGACATTACGGACCATAGTGACAACGGCATTAGAAGTTCTCTCCTTGAGTTGTGGGTGATGGCGGACCAGCTCGTCGAAAGCAGTGCCGATGTACTGAGGAACTTCGAAGTCTTCCTCCATAGCCTTGATATGCTCAGGGCTCTCGAAAATCTCCAAAAACTTCTCCAAAGCCTGGGATGCTTGGAACATCCGCATACCGTTCTCATTGAGACAGATAGCACCGAAGGCGGTAGGAATCTCACGCATGGTCTCTCCGACGGGCAGGATGCCTGCTGCCTTGGAAGTTGATGCGGAATTGCTGTTGTCTTCTGTGGAATCTACCATAGTCGACTCTCTAATTTCCTCCCCGGCAGCCTCAGTCTCAGTGATGTCTTCGTCTTCCTTATCGGCGTTCTCGACGACAATGTCAGAGACGGTGATCGGCTGCTGGGTTACAGCTTCCAGGAATCCCTTGCTCAGTCCTGCTTCAGCAATCACCTGGTAACTGGTCGGCTCGTTATGGATGAAACTGCTGAGGATGTTCATAGCACCGCTCCAGACATTGGAGCCGAAGATAGGAGCATTATCGAAAATTTTTCGGAGCGCTCCAAGAAGTTGAGGCGAGTCGACGAAATTGCGTAACAGACGATCATCTGTGCCGAGGTTGTGATGGTACATGTGAGCCACGAATTTGAGAAGCTGGCGAAGAGTCTGTTGAGAGTTGAACGGGATCTGGAAGTCGGTGATCTTAGTCTTGTACTCATTTGGCAGGCCCTGTTGCTTTTGAGCAGCTTCGAGCGAGCGCTGGACTTCATAAGCAGTGAGATCAGCGAGCACGTCCAAGCCTTTCGCGTTGACAATTGCCTGGAATGTGTCTCGTACTCCGTTGTGGATGAAGCTGTCGAAGAACCCGAGAGCAATGGGGAAGTATATCTCGGCTTGCTCTGTACGGAGCTTGAGGATGTCGACCAAAATCTCAGGGAATCCAGCTGACACAAGAACTTCGGCGTTACGTTGAGGGTGCGGTACCGATGGTGTGAGTGTCATGACCAGGTCGAAAACGTCCTTGCACCATTCCTGGTCTTGAGACGAGGCAGTCTCGTCTCCCAGAGTAGCAAGAATCTTTCTGAGGACATAGAAAAGTACACCATGGCTGACAGTGATGTTCAGAGCAGTGGCGATCTCAGCTGCCTTGGACTTGCACTTAGCGAGAGCCTCAAGCGCCTGGATGACGATGACGGTCATCTCATGTGAAACTTCCTCTTGACCAGAGTTAGGAGGCTGCAGCATGTCGGTAAGCTGCTGAGCCAGCTGAGTGCGACGGGGTTCCTCGGAATCCGGCTGGCCAATACGCTGTTGGAAAGTCGTCTCGCCATAGACATAGGCCAGGTTGGAAATGGCCAAGATCCTGACGGCAACCAGGTCATGAACAGCCGCCTTCGATGTCTGGAAAGCAGAAGCCACGCGAACTCTCTGGAGCAAGTCGAACTGGTTTTCCTCAGGCACCTTTGTGACGTTCTCCTCGATGACCTTCCAGGACTCTGCACCAGAGAGCTGGGCAGAAGAGAGCTCCAGGACCTTGGGTCCGGCTGAAGAAGACTCGATCTGTTGAGGGCGTACTGGTGTCTCAGGCGTGTCTGTGTTGCTTGACACACGCTCAGCGCGTGCCGAGCCAGGGCCCAGATTTGAAGTACGACGAACCGGGGTAGGTGTGACCGGAGGCATAGGCGAGCCGGGTGTGTAGGGAGCGCGGGCCTCGACAGATGATGCAGGTACAGAGGCATCTGTCTTGTCGTAGTAGGTCAGGTGTACGCTGGAGAGTTCCTCCTTGTATGCCAGAGGGATATCCTTGGCCTTGACCAGCGCCTCAATGTCAGAGGTGTTGACTCCAGGCTTGACGACATCCTCCTTCTCCTTGTTCTTGGACGGGGTCTGGCCAAAGATAGGGGTGGCGACGGGCTTCTTGGGGAAAGGGCTGGCAAGCTTCTGAATGCGATCCAGATTGATGCTGTAGTGACCAGCCAAGAGGGCGTTGAGAGAGTGCGGCGAGGCAACGCGCATGCGCGAAGTGTGATAACGCTGGGCCAGACGCAAACTAACACGAAGAGTGATCTTGAGCAGGCTGAGGGAGACAGTGTTGAGTAGGTGGTTGAGATGTGCGCTGCTAGCATACAGACTGCGATTGCCACAGCGTTCGAGTAGGACACGAGTAAAGCTGAGAATGCTCTCTATGAGCTCGCGATCTCCGTCGGCCGAAAACCCGCGTGCCTCGAGCTCTTGCACCGACACATCGGTCACCGATCCATCCTCAGCATCACCCTTCCGCAACAGACGGAGCTCAAATGGCTGAGTCTGTGGGCCCTTGTCCAGAGCGTACAGAGATGTGAAACTATCAAGGATGCGGTCGAAACGGTTCAATGGAGCAATCCAGTGGTACAGGTCGCCTCTAGGGAACGGCCAGGTGTGTGGGAAGGAAGCGATATGCTCGGGCACCTTGTGCAGAGGTAGCTCGATCAGAGTCTTGATGAATTCGGTAATGTAAGGAGACTGCGGCAAAAGTCAGTAATTCCACGGCGAACAAACAGAAAGAGTCGACGCACGATAGTCGCCTCATGACGCTCGGTGGCGGTCTTCTTGATCCTCCCCATGGTGTGCCGAGACACAAGCGCAAGCCTTGCGCTTCTCCAGGTTACGTGCTTAGTCTAGGTATGGCTGCGATTTCTCCCGTGCTCGTTGGCGGTGGATGCGATGGCGAAGGACTGGAAGAAGCGGACGTGTGAGACCGAGTGTGGGTGGGGACGTGAATAGCGTGCGAAAAGGTGTGCGGATAGCTGCAGATGGCCGAAGGTGAAGACGAGACGTTACGACGGCTACAATTTGCTCGTCAAATATGCGCGTCGACCAGGATCACGATGTCGAATCGCGGCGAGTTTGGCGTTTGGAAAGTGAAGGTTGGTTGGCGCGGAAGCTGAGGAAAAGTCCTGAAGCGGGTGCAGCGCTGTCAAGATCGAGTCGTGTTGCGAGTTGCACTGCGCGAGATGTGAATGTCAAGGCGGAAAGTCTTCCAGCTTCATCTATCAACTACTCTCGTCACCACGCGGGCACTCAGAGCTTCGATCACGTTTGCTTTGGCCGCTGCCCGGCCTGTCAACTTCTGTGCGCACTGACCACCCCAAACGTCACTTTTCATCTATCGAGCAGGAACGACTCCCTCACCATTGATCCACGCGAATCACAGACTTCCGAAGACGATTTGATACACCTACTGCTAGTTGATTCATACAACCAAGACCGTCGTGATCTAAAGTCTCATGAATACGATTCAACTGTATACAGTGCAATGCGCGATTGAAGCTCAAATTATTAATGGTTGGCGGAACAAGGACATTGAACGTCGATAGCACTTCTCCCATATGAACGTCCAACACGCAAGACAAGACGACTGTCATTCGCTTATGCTATACGTATACAATGAGTGATAGGGCATCAGACCTTATGCGTTGTCTTTTGGCCCAGCCTGTGCTGTCTCTGACTGCGGAGAGGAGCCGGTGCCTGCATTCACCTCCGTCTCCGCAACGCCAATCCCGCCCCTTGCTTTTTATTTGACCGGCTTTCCGTTCACCTCAATATCCACCGTCCCTTCACCAGGGCCAGGATCTGAGTGCTGCGCACTTGATCCCTTTCCACGCCAGGTGCTCACTGCGGGGATCTTGGCCGAGTATCTCTCCTCTTGCGTGCCGTATGCTCTGGGCGAAAGCTTGATCAATGTGTGTAGAGGAACCTCCATCCAAGGACTCTTCGCCTGGTCGACGCCCATGAAGTAAGCATAGATGCATCTCAGCACTGCTTGATGTGTGACGATAAGAATGTTTTCGCTACGCTCCAGCTCCATGATGATAGGTTCCAAGCGGATGACTACATCTCTGTAACTTTCACCACCCAAGTAGCGATAGTTGTATTTGTCTTCGTCGCGAGACTTGAAGTCTGCAGGATACCTTTCCTCAATCTCTGCATACGTCAAGCTGTCGCAAACACCAGAATCCAGCTCGTCCAGTGCCTTCCACGACAGTTTCTCAAAGGGCAAGAATCTCGAAGTCTGAATAGTTCTCTTCAACGTCGAAGTCCAGACTGTGAGCTCAAGGTCTCCTGCACTTTGCTTGACGATCTCGGGCAGCTTCTTGGCGTACATCTGACCTCTTTCGCTGATGTTGGCATCTCCGCCAATCTTACCTGTCAAGTTGTACTCCGATTCGCCGTGCTGTAGAGGCCATGTCAGCTTTATGCCATCTTGTCAATTCCAGCAAGACTTACTCGTGACAGCCAGATGGAACGTGGCTTGATGTGCAGGTTCATTAGGTAGTAGACAACTCTGGACTGCAGGTAATCCTTGATCTTGTTGATGATGACTTGGTGTCCAACATCGATCAATTTGCAGTATGTGAGGTCGGCTTCGTCTTCGTCCAATGTCTCGTACACCTTTTCGTAGTTTCTGATTCTTTTTCTGAAATCCTTTGCAGCAACTTCGGGATCCTGCCCAAGGTAGTCGGGAGACGTGGTCTTGACCTCTTTAATGTTGGACATGACGAGGTCTTCATCGTCGCATTTCGACTCGACAAACATGGTTTGTACATTGGCGGCATCGCATCGGTCTTGAATCCATCTTCTTCGCGATTTTGTCGAGTTTGTGGCATCGAGGACTGCGACAAGACCTTCACCGTTGTCGAACCATTTCAGCATGTCGGTCACGGCAGCTTCGGCGGCAGCTTTGCGCATTCTCTCGCCCTCGGCGTTGCTAGTGTCGAAGAATTCGGCTGACGGGTTCGGTGTGTTTGTGCGACGGTATTGGCCTACGTTGAAGGTCTTTGCGTCGATCGAGAGCCAGCGAAGGTAGCGAACAACTGCGAGCATGTTAGCAAGAATCCAAGCAAGCACGACCGGGCTGTGTGACCTTTCTGAGCTATCAAACTCTTTCCTCTGGCTGGAAGACCGACCATGACCACACAGATCCGGGTTTCCTGTGCCTGAACACCGCTTCCGTTAGTCTTCCTGTTGGGTCGCATCATTTGACCATCGGGCACTTTGCGCATCTCGGGCTTGTACTGCTGCTGCTGAGGCTCCGAGGGAAGTCGATCCAGAGCCATGGCGATGTCGTTGTGAAAGGTGTATCAATGTAAGTATAAGTAGGAGTAGAGAGATCCTGCAGTCAATCGTCTGCCGTGGTGTTGTTCCGTGCCAGCGGCTTGCAGCGGCTTGAGGGAACGCAGGTGGAGGGGTAGCTGGCGGAGTCAAGACGACAAAGGTGGCAGGTCCAGATGTATAGTAAGCAATGTTGTGAGCCTGAGAGGAAGTTTGACAGCTGCAGCAACTAGAATTCCCGCGTGACTACCGCTAGGTTGGTAGGTAGTTTCCGTAGTAGTTGGAGATGGCGGGGTTGTTCTTTCTGCCCCACGCCGATTTGCTCCGCGGCTTAATGGATATGCACACAACTGACGCTTCGAGAAGACGCCAACGACAAGAAACGTGGCGTGAGGTGGTATGTATCTGAGGAATGTGACTTCTGGAAGCGGAACCGGACTCCAGAATGGCACCAACAAGGGTCAGGGGAGAAGAAACTAAGGCCGTCTTGCGGTTACGGATGCATGACGCCGACACGCCCAACCTCGGGTCTTCTCGGCGACACCTTCACCGCGCGGTTGTTCTCTTCCTCACCTTCTCTGTCCGGGCTCCAGACTCGTCCTCGCTCGCAGCAGCAGCACGGTAATCGACAACGGCACGTCGAGACACAGATGAGATGAAAATCACTTACTGTAAAAGTGCCTTCTCGCAGTGTGCTTGCCCGAGGCCGGGTGCCTGCCATGACTCCACGCATGTTTCTGGTTGCTATCGTCGAAGGACTCGCTGTCGAAGGAAGAAGGTAACGGTTCTTCCCCAAGCTACAATCAGCATACTCTCTTGGTTTTGATGCTCCCAAAGTCAATCTCTAACCCTGAGGCCTTTCTCTCCCAACAAAGAGCTCATCGGATTGACATCCCAGCGATAACGCCGATAAGAGTGGGCGAGTAAGCGTGGGACAGCAGCAAGCTTGCGGCTTTCTGTAACTATATATGGTTCCTGACGACTATTACTAGCCAGCGACTATGACAAGCATCTGAAAAATATTGTCTGTTGACCGAAAAGATGTCGGTCCCTGTATTCGGAGTGACAATGTAGAAACAGTATGCCACGCCGCCAGCACACAAGGCTAAGTACGTCTCTTTACAGCAGGATTCGTTTCCCGTGTTCCATCAGCTTCATCAGCTGGATAGGTTGATAAACATGTTCGGTATCACAGCAATCATCAGGAGAAACTACATACCAAGGCAAGACGGCATCCCGACATGCACTCGATGAGGATACCCTGTGGGTATACTCACTGAGTCACGACCCAAATGGAAGCGTCAAAGATGCATGCAAAGCCTCAAATGCTATCCTGGGAAGCAGCTTCTCTGTCGCCTTCCCAAGCTGTGTTATATATGCTCAGATGAGGAAGGGTCGATGCTATCTCATGTGGCTTTTGGCGTCGCCTTCTTTTCAACCGTCTACCACCCTACCAATCATTTCCTAGTACAACAACATTATTCCACCATGGTATCCTGGTGGAGCATCATATTTCGCAAATCTCATGTCGAGCAGCTCGTCCTCGAGACCGATCCCAGAGCAAGACTACTTTATCTTGAACGCCAACGCACGATCTACTCCTTTCCTCTTCTCAGACTCTTTCCGGCCAACAGGCAGAAGACCATTGCTCTCGGCGCCCAAATCGAAGAACTCCAATATCTAATACAGGATCGACAAGGCAGACACTTCTCGCGATACCGCAACGAAGACGACGATGACGACGATCCCTCACCCCCGTCAAGCGTTGGCGATGATGACGAACCTGCACCAGCACCACAGCCCACTGTTCATGAAGAAGAGGAAGGTGAAGAGGAAGAAGGCTATCTCCAGCGCACGCAGATAGCACTTCTCGCCGACCAGCAAGCGGCCAGAATGTCGACCTCGATGGCAGATACTGGCATGCTTCCGTACAGTCAACCCGTCCGACGCTACTTGAGGGAGAGTCCTCGTGTACAGCCTAGAGAATTCATCAGCTGTCCTCAACTGCGCTTGAGTGAGAGCTCAGGTCAGAGCCGAAGCAGGAGCCTCAGTCACAGCCTGAGCCAGAGACAAACGCCATCTCTACGCCACTCGCGGAGCGCTACCACTCATCGACTTCCTCCAGAAAAATCAACAAGTTCCGATCATATGCGCTTGGCCAGTTTATACACTGAAGACCACATTGTCCGGGATCTGGAAGAGCCACGACCTCAAGCTCGAGATACGCTTTCACGCATCTCCGAGGAATCATCCGCACAACTCCCGAGTCGACGTTCCAAGCCCAGGAGATCAAGCCAAGGAAGACCGAAACCACCAGCCTCTGTGGGCCCGCCTGTGGTGCTGGAGCGTGAATCCCGCCACTCGGATCGGATGATCTTAACTGAGCCGTCCCTAAGAGCGCCATCAGGCTCACGAAGCCACGGAGATCCGTCCAGAAGATCCAGACGAACTGGTCTAGCGTCCAAATCATGGGCAAGTGGATATCCGGAGCAAATACACATCAGACCGGAAATGCGTGATCCAAATTCGGTCTTGCCGGGCGTGTTTGGAGGAGGCTTTCCCTCCTTCTAGAAATATCTTTCCCCTTCTTTTCAACCTAGGTGCCGCTATCTCAGATGTGTTCATTCGTACACACAGCCGGCCCTGTCAAGAAAGATGAAGCGTAAAACTGTGATGGTCCTGGTCCCAAGCGATAATCAAATGTTGACGGGCTCTCAAACCATTTGCCATGATCCTTAAAATGTTCGTAGCTTTTTACAGCCTGCTTTTGATGAGGGACCGTGGAGTGGTAGTGTCGGCTTCTTATCACCTTCTGCCTCTGGCCTTTCAACCTTGTGTCAACTCCCGATGTAGCGGCGAAATATCTGACCGTTGCTGTGCTTTTTCACAGTTTCCTATTAACGTGTTTCAGTGTTTGGAGAGAAGGATCTGATGAGAAATGTGAAATATAATTGATATGGTAAAGTATGAGCCTGCATCAAAAGAAGGGTTCTGAGCTAAATGGTACATATTTCTGAGTTAATTGCCGGCCTGTCGTCGACCTAGATCATGCTCTTTCTCTTCGTTAATTCTTCAAACTGGTTTGTTAGTCTTGGAATGCCTCTTCATGAATTTGACCAACTCCCCATCTCCCCTCAGCAACGCCACATCAGCTCTGAGGCCGTACCTATATTCAGCAGTAATCTCATCCTTTGTGGCTTGAAGCATAGCCTGTAGATCTTCATGATGGGTTGTATGCACTTTGATAGCACAGGTTTCGCAAAACTTGGCCCCGCAATTCTTGCCACAACTGTGCAGTGCAGGTAATGGGCAGACTGAGCACCAAACTTCTCCTTCCTCTGCAGGTTGGTTTTTGATCATGCGGTCGTATGCGGCGGGCTTGTCAAAGTCTGGCACTGGGTCTAACTCTAGCATCGAGTGCGTTTTGCACATCAAGATGGCCATTTTCGCGGTCGTGCAGGTCATGCAGAGGTTTGTGGCTGCGGGTTTCCTTTTCATGGGGATGGGTAGACCTGCTTCGTTGGCGTTTGGGATCTCGGTCAGGCCGTTGCCGTAGTCAAAGACTTTGATCTTTCGACTGCCGCAGCCTGTGAAAGCGTAGGAGCGCTGGTTACAGAGACTGCAAGAGGTATTGGGGGAGTTGAAGGTGATGGGGTAGCTGAGCTTTGTGGTGTGAGGTGTAGCTAGACGTTGCATTATTTGTGCAATCGTCTGAGATTCGGGGGACTTCTTGGTCTCTTTGATCTCTTTGATCTCTTTGATCAAGATAACTTCACCATTGTCGTCTTGTGTGGTGATCAAGTCCTCATCATCACTTTCACGAGCGCGTTTGATGGTGCGATTGTTGGACTTGGCCTTCTTGGACGGTCGAGAAGATGTTTGCTTGGCCCTTTTTCTTTTCTTTGGCTTTTCGATCACTTCGTCGGCGGACAACTCGTCGTGCAGAGTGTTCTTGTCTCGAATACAAGAGTCTCTCTGGTTATACGGTCCTCGTTCGAACATATCGTTCATGCGACTATTACGCGTCTCCAGACCGCCGGTCATGCTGTAGGGGCCTGCATCGTCGTTGTCGCTTTCATCCTCATCCATATCCTCTCGTGCGATCCTGGACGCTGACGTGCCATTTGGATCTTCTTCATAGTCGCTTGTCGGGTCATTATCGTAGACGTTTCCGTAGTTCGCGACCTCCTTCTTGTCTCGTGGGCGCAGATTCAAGTCATGTGTACAAGGGTGCTTGACACAGTCGCAGCGTTGTTCCAGCGGGATTGACTGCAGCATCGACTGACCAAGACCACTGGCTATACCTCTGCCTGACAAAGTCAGAATCTCAGTGTCCGCATTGTCTGAGTTGGGCGGATATTGAGTTTTCGAAGCAATAAAGTGCACAAGGTTCTTGGCCAACGTAGCACTCTCCTGAGAGACTTGCGAGGCAGCTGGCGAGATACCTCCAGAAAGGACCTCCACATCTGGTCTCGCATCGTGATCGGAATCGTTCGCTGTACCGGAATGGTCTTCCCTCGCGCCTGCCTCTGTGTCTGCTTCCACGGTGTCTGCTTCCACGTCCAGTTTGGAGTCGAAATCCCACTCGTCGAACTGTTCAACATCACCGCTCATGGCTTCTTCAAGCAGTAAAGATCTTGTCAGATCTATCGGGACATCTTCAGACTCTTCGAACAAGTCAAAGCCTGAGTCTAGTCCACCTTCTGCAACTGGTCCGGCGACTCGCTCGGCTTCGATATCTGCAGCTTCGGATTTCCGAGGCTCGATCACAGGCTTCGGAGAAGAGGGACCGCAAAACAGAGAAATGCGAGGCTCGATCACAGCAAGTGAGGATGATGGATCGCCGAACAGAGAAATCCGAGGCATGACAACAGTCGTGGAATTGGCATGATCCACCAGCGTTGACTTAGAAGTCTTGCCAGCAGCGCCGTTGTTTTCGAGAATTCCCGTGTCTTCAATGCCATTGTTGATAGTGTATGGAGGGGTGTGAGTGTTTGTTGCGGATTTTTCTTGTACCTTCTCTTCCTCGTTCTCTGATGAACGACTCTCCTCGAAAGACTGGTACTTATTTCGTAGCCATGCTACTTGCTCGTTTGTGTCGCTTGACTTTGCGGTCTCGGAGGATGAATCGTCAGCAGCGGCCGGCTCGCAGGTGGGACTGGTAGGCCTGCGCGCGTCTTGCTCTTGGTGAGGGTCATCTGTCGTGGACATTCCTTCCATCGAGGGCTCGTTGGGCATGTGGTCACCGGCAATCTCTATCTCGGTAGACTGGCCGGGAACCAGGTGTGAGTCCGTGGGCTGAGCAGCCTCATTCTGGAGAAAGTTAGGCATAGCGACGACAGTATCCTCAGCTCCAAGCATGGCAGTTGCGGACTGGGCACTTCCAGGCTCGCTGATTCCAGCTTCGATGACCTCGGGATGGATGATGTTGGGCTTCCTGACCTCTGCCTCGGGGAACTCAGCTTGGGCGGCCTCAGGCTCGGCACTCGTGGGCACTGGCTCTTCAACGTTCTCGTGACCAGCAGTCGCGACTGCGTCATTGACCTCGGCAGTAGCTCGAAGGAGTGCATCCTTGGGACGTTCACATGTAGTGTAGTTGGTGTTTGAGATATCTGATGGGCTGGGAGAGATCGGCTCGGGTCTTTCCAGAACAGGTGCATGGTCGTCCGCCTCCGCGACACCTTCACTTGTGTCAATTACTTTCTGCGTTCCTGCAGACTCAAGATCAGTGTCAGTCGAGGCTGGAGTTAAAGGCTGCTCTTCCGCGCCCGGGGCAGTCTCAACTGCATTCATGTCCATCTGATCTTTGACAATGGCCTGGTTGGCTCTTTTCGAGGGCTGAGAGTGAACTTTGTGAGTGTCCTTCGAATCACGCTCAGCAGGTTCATTGTCCACATGCATCCCGACAGAGGTCAATCTAGCTTTGACTGGGGCAAAAGGATCGTAGGATCTCGTGGTGTCATTGGTGATTTCCGTGTCCAAGTGAATGTCAGTTGGGTCTAGGTCTTTAGGAGGAAGGGTTGGAACACTGTAAGTGAACATCGGAGCGGGCATTGTGTCGTGTTGCATGTCAGGTCCACTGGCAGGACTGGATTCAGGTCGTTGAAGGTGGGTAAAGGCAAAGAGGTACGGGGCATTCGAAGATATTCTATTAGCTGTCAGAGGTAGTGAGTGAACACAGATTGTCGGGCAAAGTTGTTGTTCTCAGTAAGCATGTTCTGGCAAAAGTTATGCAAGCTTGACAGCGTGATGGCATGTACGAGCGATGAGATTTGAGTCGACAGCATAACGGTCATGAGTGTGAGCTCGCGGTAGCAGTCGGGTGAAAAACTTCGACACATCAATTCGGATCCACGAAGCGACCATCCGCGACGAAAGACGAAGGTTAGAGTCAAGTATCGTGATTTTGTCGAATGAAAGATGCGAGTAGGGCGATTGTAGACAGAGAAGATGATTGGATGCTGGTCACTTGGAGACTGAGATAGTCGAGGGGTTCGCGAACGATGAGCGGAGAAGTTTGAACCTCGAGAAGAAAAGACACATTTGACGGCCAGACTCAGTCCGAGGTGCTAGACAACCTGATAAACACAGTCAACAGATGTGACTTTGGCCTTTGCAAGGTCGGTTGCAACATGCGAAAGCTACTGGCATTACACGAGAAGGTTGCCGGTAATGGAGCTCGGTTCATATGACACCAATGCTGGGGCTAACAAGAAACCCATCGAGAGAGGGATATGGAGCTGGTGCGATTGCATGTGTCAGTTCAGATGACAATGTCCTAGGCGTTCGAGCTCGAAATGCTAAGAAGACCCAGGTTCAAGATTTAGCATGAGCTGGTATCAGACGTTGCGTCACCTACTACTGGCACGGGTTATATGATTTGTTATGGTAGATACCAAGGAGTGTGAATACTCGAGAGGAAGAAAGGGTACAAGCTAGTTGACAAGACTTATTTGTCCGCAATGTCATGTTCAGATGGCAAGAAATTTGGTCCACTGGACTTCTGTGCTGATATGAGCATGTGGAAGTGCAACGGCGACTGACCCGCAGTGCGTCTTTGTAAGATGTCATTGACACTGACGGCCGGTGTTCGCGTCTGGCAGAGCCACCATAGTGATACGAGTTGCTCCGAGGGAAGCGGAATCCCAGTCAGTAGGACGTGAACCGCTTCTCATCAGGATGGTAGAGGTGGAAGTCGAGGTCTTTGGAACAATTGAATGGCAAGCTCCGGTGGTGTCGGGCACTCGGGCCACCACACGCCATTTCATCATCAAAACAGCGTCGAGCCTTCACAATTCTTCTGCAGCACACATGGACATCATTTTGAGAATGCCAAATGCGCCTCTTCTTGATACGCCATGGCGAGACGGTTGACAACGTAGCGGGTATACTGTAGGTTTCTTGCTCTTGCTCGATACAACGGCGCATTTGACTGACTTTCATAGTGCTGGAAGAAGAGATTCAGCCCTTACCAATCATGGAGCCGAGCAGGCGCGTCGCTTGAGCGACTATCTTGCAGAGAATAGAACTTCTCTGACGCGCATCTTCTCCTCGACGTTGCAGCGTGCGTACAAGACTGCCAGCATTGTGGCCGCGAAACAGACCACCACGGACTTGACTGTCAGCACTGTCCCGTACCTGATTGAGCGCGACTTTGGCTATTACGAGGGCAAAACGAATCGTGTGCGAAAGGGTCCCGACGCCGAGGAACACAAGAAAGAGCCTGGCTTTGTCGATGTTGAGTCGAAGGATGAGCTCGCGGTCCGCGCAGATCTATTCCTGGATCTTCACCTCCTGCCCTTGTTGGATGATGAGGCCGAGTTCGGTGGAGCTGCAGAACATGTGGTGGCTGTTGTGTCTCATGGCATCTTGCTGTCGAGCCTATGGCGAAGGCTGTTGCTCCGTCTGGGTCCGGGAAGCGTCACAGTGGCTCGGGACGTGGTATCGAATCGAGGTCCAGTCGTTCTTGCACACCTGGGCGGATGGAGCAACACCGGCTTCCTTGAGCTTTCCATACAAAGTGTAGACCCTGAGCTCGGCTCGGAACTATCACCAGCCGACGCAGGTTCATCCCCACCTGAATCAGACGCGACTGTAAATGTGTCGACGCTGGATAGCCCGGGCAATTCTCCTGGCGAGGTCGTACCGCCGCAGCTCTTGACAGAGTCCTCTGGAATTGAGATGCCGACAGATCAGTCGGACGTCGTCGGTGATGTAAGTGTCACAAAGAATGCTATCAACGCAGAGCCCAGTGAGAAAGAAGGCCTCCGATTACTCGAAGGCTATCGCACCACTATCCTCATTGTCGATGGTCAACAGCACCTCCAAGGTCTGAAACGACAACGAGGTGGCATTGGTCGAGCAGAACATGATGACAAGCAGCAAAGTATGACCTCTTTTTTCAAGAAAGCACGAAAGGATTGAGTTCCTTTCTGCCTATGCCTAGCATCTCAAAAGCAAGAGATGCCTGCGCATAGGCACCCATCGATATTGTAAGCACTCACTTTTCTTCCACTCTTTCCCTCCCACTATCATGATGAAAAAGCAATATCTCACAGACCTGATCGGAAATCACTATGTCGATTCTATACTTGTTGTCCAACTGCTGTCTGACAATCATTCCCCCACTTCACGTTTTGTTCGAGATTGATTCTTCGAACCAAAGCTAACTCGAACAAGACAGGTCTAAGTTCTAATCAATAGCTGAGGCGGACACGCAGTGCCGTCTTTCGTCAGCATCAGCTCTAATACAGACCAAGCAAGTGTTGCTGCCGCCTTACAGAGCTCTGTTGACTACTACGTAATCGCTTGTGAAATTCAGGAAATCAAGATAAAACACGAAATCAAGAAACTAAAACAACACTTCACACACTGCCTGTACTCCTGTGCTACGTGAACGATTTCAATGATTCGACAGGTCTCCTTGTCACCTCGCACAACATGCTACCAGCACGTTCGTGTGTGGATGTTGTTGCTTTTTGCCAGCGCAAAGACCACTCTCCCCAGCCACGCGCCCCGCTTCGACCCTCACACCGACCCAGCCTGGCAGCAATCAAGCTTCCATTGAAACATAAAACCTGAATACAACAAAGGACTAAATAATCTATGAATCAATATTGCCGTGCTTAAGCCATGACTAACGGAAGGCACATAGCTGGTTCGATCTCTTGATTTGAGGTAGGTGGGTACAACAGATGTCTCTGCCGGGCTCAAGCCTGCTTGATAAATGTTACAGTATACCAGCCAGTCATTGACAGAGACAAAACAAGTCTCAGTGTCTCGCACCACATCTCACCTTTGACTATTGGGGACTAGCATCAATTCTCTTGTAGCTGAAAACAAGAGGCTGGGTTTTGATCTTCTCCATTTCCGTCCCAGCCACCTCAAACCCTCCAAGCTCCACATCTTTTGTCCAGCCATCTCAACCACCCTATGCTAGCAAACCATCCACTTTCTGATATCTTCGTTGGAATACTGTTTTTTCGTTTCCAACATCCTTGTACTTCTTCGTTGTCGTTGAAACGTTTGGTTCTTCGTTGCTTTGACTTGGTCCGATCGGTTATACGCTCAATACTCTAATACTCTAATATCACAATCATGAAGACTGGATACTTACTCTCAATCCTCCCTGTTCTAGTCATGGGACAACAGAATATAACCGGTATGCCCTTCCCTTCCCTACTTCTACCCGCCATCCTAACTCTGTACTCTACCTCTTTTCAAAAATCAAAACATCTAACCAAACCACAGCAACCATAATCCCCATCCTGACCACAGAAACCTCCACCTTCACAACCCTCATTGCTTGCACTGCTGGCCCTTCTGGTTGTGTAGAACAGCCAGCGACTACAAATGCACTTTCTGTGCTTTCTTCTGCGTTTGCGGCTTTACCGTCGAGTTTGAGACCGATGGTGAGTTGGAGTTTTGGGGTTGGTACGACGGGTGTGGTGTTTGTTACCAGCTCGACGACGGCAAGTTCTGTGGAAAGTACGGTGATGGTTTCGGGTGGTGGGGGGTTGTCGACAACTTCTACTTCTGCTTTGGGGACTACGACTGTTTCTTCGGAGACGGGGGTGCAGAGTACGAGTATGGCTACGGAGACGGTGGTGTCTTTTACCTCGACTGCTGGATCTATTTCTGCTTCTGATTCCGCTTCTGGAGTCGCATCTGCATCAACGACATTAACGACAATCACTTCTCCAAGATCCTCGACTCTTGCTGTTTCTGCTTCTTCTTCTTCTTCGGAAACTCTTTCTTCGTCTGCGACAGATGCGGCGTCTGCAACAGAAACCACATTCCAAATCCAATCAACAACGGCATCAAGAACAACATTACAATCCTCAAGTCAGACATCTTCAGTCACACCAGCCACTACAACTGCTGCACCACCTGCAAGTGCTGCTCTCATGGTTACTCCATCTGTCTTCTGGGGTTTGGTTGGATTACTCGGTTTCTTGCTTTGAGAGACTTTTGACGGATGGAGTGGAGTATGTTGGGTGTTGATATTTTGGTGATGGGAATTTGGCTCGAGAATGAGTGGGGGGTTGATGTGGGAATGACGAGGTTATGATTTGATATGATGGAGATGAGATTGCGAGGAGAGAAGAGAAGGAAAGGAGATACTTGGGCTGTATAATGTGTAATGTAATGTCCCTTCATGTCTCAGCAGTCATGGCAAAGATCTGTTTCTATCAAGGTGGAGGATGAGATTTGACCTCTGGCATAGACGGCTCACATGACCTCACAAACACTGCACCGAGTATCACAGACAAGATCACCAGGCATGATCACCAAGAAAAATGGTGACAAGTTTGTGTTTTTTCCAAGGCTTCTCCAAAGGAGAGGACCGTTTTGTATTCATTCTTTTGTTTCGCAAATAAGAAGGACCTTTTTTGCAAATGGTGTGTCGAGATGCAAGCATCTTGCCTGATGTAAAACCACCTTTGTCCATCCGCGCGTCCAACAGTCTAGACTCTCGCCCAAACCATATCAAGACAGATGGCACATGATAAGCGATCCCTCCAGAGAAAGAGCCTCCATCCCTCTCACAGTCCATATACCAGCCCTCACCCTCATAAGCAACAGACCTTCGTTCTCAAAACTTCATCGACAAAGCATTTAAGAGGAAGGAGCAGGGGCGGCAGCACCGCGGCCACGGCCGAAGCCACCACGGAACTGAGGGTTGAACTCGCCAGGGGCGGCACCCTCCTTACCCTCACCGGCTTCACGGCGACGGTATCCACCCTCACGGTCACCACGGGGACCACCACGGCCGCCACGGGGACGCTCCTCGCCGCCGAGCATACCGCGGGGGGGAGCGTGGGAGCGCTGCTGCTTGATGTGGGTCTGGGGGACGATCTCAGCGGGGAGGTGGAGCCACTCGCGGAGGTAGTCAAGGCCCTCGGCGGTGAGGCTGTGAAAAAGAGAGAAATGTCAGTATGAGTGGTAAAGAGAGGAGAAGGAGAAGAGTTGTGGGGGAGGGATCTCAACATACGTGTAGTAGTACCATTGCCACGAGAACTGGGTCTTGAGGTAACCGCGCGAGGTCAAAGACTGGCAGGCCTTGATGACATAGAGGTTCTTGGTGTCAATGTCGCCGTGCTTGGGCTGGTTGAAGTCCTTCTTTGCGACGAGAACACCCTCTGATGATGGACGTCAGTATGGCCGTGTCGCAAGAGAGCTAGACAGGTATGCACACGTACCGCGGAAGAGGTACTCGTGAATGAGCTTGCGGTCGGCCTTGGGAATCAGCATCTTGACGATTGATGTATTTGAATCAACGTGGGGCTTGGGCGATGCTTGATTTCGTGGTTGTAGAAAAAAGATCGAGAGCGGCGGCGATGCGCAAAATTGGACATGCAGCACGGTGGACTGGGGATTCGCTTGGCTTGACTCGTGGGGCTTGGCGGAGGGTCGAAGTCTGAGTCGAAGCGGCTTCTCACTTCTCCGCATCTGGTGAATGTCCATCGTGCAAACGCGCCACCATCTAGACTCGACTCTTTTGCTATTATTCAACTCTCCGTCAGACAACACATTATGGACACGATCAACGTCTTGGTTTCGTCCTTCGCGGGCTTGTCGCTGCCTCGTACCCTGTCACTTCCTGTGCCAGCCGACACATCCATCGCGTCCTTCACATCACTTCTGTCAACCCGCCTACCGCCCTACGCCGATGACCTACTCCTCTCGACAACAACACTTCGTATCAACACCGCATCAGCCTCGACAATCAAGTCCCTCCTCTCCAACAATGACGACTCCAATATCCTTCCCCTTCACCTTAGCGCACGCCTTCTCGGTGGAAAAGGCGGTTTCGGCTCTCAACTCCGCGCGGCAGGCGGTCGCATGTCCTCACGCAAAAACCGCAACCGCAATCCCGATCAAATAAACGGCAGTAACCGCAATCTCGACGGCCGTCGTCTTCGCACAATCACAGAAGCAAAGAACCTAGCCGAGTACCTCGCCCTGAAACCAGAAATGGATAAAAAGGAAAGAGAAGAGAGAAGGAAAAGATGGGAATCCGTTGTAGAGGCTGCGGAGAGGAAAGAGGAGGAGTTGAAGAGGGGAAATAGGAATGCCAGGTTGGATGGTGAGTGGGTGGAGGCTAAAGAAGAGGCCGAGCAAAAGACTAGGGACGCTGTGTTGGCTGCTATGAAGGCTGGTTTGATTGAGGGTGAGAAGCCTGTGTTGGAAAGGACTGGCAGCGAGAGTTCAGCTGCTGAGGGAGAGGGCAGCGATGCTCAACCTGAGGCCTCGAGCTCTGCATCCAGCGACAACGATGATGTACGAGTTTCCAAGCCTGCTCCAGCTGCACCGGCTACCACTCGTGCCTTTTTTGGCTGGGATGACGAGGACGACGAGTTCATGAGTGATGACGAAGAGGATGAAGATGCCCCTGCCGAGCCTGATGCCACGCCTGTCTATGAAGGTAAAGGCAAAGCCAAGGCATGATTTCGATTCAAGCACGATTTTCGCATTCATTTTATCCATTTGTTTACAGGACCAAGGGAGTCTTCTTTACACAAGCGAGCGAGTTCAGGCGTCTTTTGAATGGTACACTTTTTTCTCTTATCCAACTAAACATCTGAGTCAAGTCATACAAATCTTTACCGTCAATATGCTCCTTCTGCTATCTTACGTCTCAGGCATGTATGCCAGCCTGAGGAAACGCACAAAAGTCACAAGTTGGAAAGTGGAGATTTGCAAAGTCGTGTTTTTCTCCCATCCACAATTTATATCAACTTGAGTTCAGTTGCCATGTTAACGCTATCCGCGAGAGTCGAAGCATCTCTACGACACAAAAAGAGGAAAGGGGGCATCTGTAAAGTAACGATCGAGATCAAGTATTTCTCATAAACATCCCACGCCTACATGCAACATCATCGCATCTTCACAAGATCAAGGAAAGGCATCTGATACATGCAAAACACGACCCAAAAAGACATGTCTAACGCCTTCTGTTCACCTCCCAAACCTTGATCACAAATTAAACTCTGCCCTCAGCTCTCAACCCATCAAACCTCAACACCGCCTGCATCAACACCTGCGCCCCCAGCGCACAATCCTCCGGCTCCGTATACTCGACAGGATTATGACTAACTCCATCTCTACTCGGCACGAAAATCATAGTCGTAGGAACGCGTTTACTCGTATACACGCTATCATGTCCAGCACCCGAAGTCATCTCTTTTGTAAGTTTCTCAGCATCTTTGCCGAATAAACCCTCGGCGGCATGAGAAACACACTCGATACAAATGGGGGAGAACTTGGTAGCTGGGGAGTGTGTATCCAATTGCCAGGATACAGAGCAGGATTTTGAAGAGGCGACAAAGTCTTTGCCTAGGCCGTCTATGTCTTTTCCAGCTGCGAGGGCGGCGAAAGCGGTGCGGCAATCTGCTTCTACTGCTTCCACAATTGCATCGTCAGGAGAGCGGATATCCAGAGAAAACGCCACGCTACCAGGTACAGTATTAGTACTCCCAGGCTTCAGAATAAGGATTCCTGTAGATGCCAAAGCATTTCGTCTAGCAGCTGCTCGATGAGAGTACACAATCATTTTAGAAGCCGCCAACAGTGCATCAGCGCGATGTTGGAAACTGGTGGTGCCGGTATGACAATCTGCCCCTGCGACGGAGATTGTAAACCATTTGTACGCCTGTACTCCTTGCACTATGCCTATTTTGCGCTTCTCGGCCTCGAGGATAGGTCCTTGTTCGATGTGAAGCTCAAAGTGTGCTGCTAGCGACATGGCTTCATGACTACATGATGTTTCGCCCAAGTAGCCGATTCTCTCGAGTTCGGATTTCATGGTTGCAGTGCCAGAGCCGACTTCTTTGAGGGCATGGGCGTGGGAGAGTGGGATATTGTGGCTCCAGACTCCGGAGCTGACCATGGAGATTGGGAAACGAGCGCCTTCTTCATTCGTCCAGTTTACGACGCCCACGGGATAAGTGGTGGTGATGTCTTGTGAGTGGAGGGTTCGGAGCATTTCTATGCCTGCTGTTACGCCTAGGATTCCATCGTATCTGCCTCCCTATCATCCCTCCACATTAGCATTGCCTCCTCTTCTTTCCCGTCTCTTCTCCAGAGTGCAGAGTCAAGAAATGATGGGCCAAAACACTCACAGTAGGTTGTGTATCCAAATGACTACCCGCTACAGTTGGAGCACCATCTTTCATACCAGGTCTGATGGCGAATTGATTTCCCATGGCATCGACTGTGACTTTACAGCCTAACGCTTCCGTTGTCGTGGTGAACCAGTCTCGGGCTTGTTTATCCGTATCGCTGAGGGAGAGGCGAGACATGCCTGTTTCTGTGGGCGCACTGTCGATGGGTCAGTCGGAACAAATTCCGAGGATGGTATGAGTATCTGAAGGAGTTGTGTGGTGCTTGAGAGACTAGGATGCTGGCCTGATGCAAGTGTGTTGAGATGGCATCATCAGAATTGACTTCTAGTCGCGAGATAGCGATGTCGAGTAGCAGCACATCATGATTTGCTTCTTGAATCATGATAGAACCGTCAAAAGCAGATATCCACTCTTCTCTCACACCCGTGCCTTCCACAGGACGTCTCTCTTTACTCCATATTCATCCCATCTTGTCGCCAAGCATGATTCGCTCTCTTTTCTGTTCCATCCCAAACCCCCTCCCTTGTAACCCAGGTCAAACGAACTCGGATGATGAATTGAATGAATGTAAGAAGAACTGAAGCAAACTCACCTTCCCCATCTCTCACCAACCCCCCACTCACAAGTCTCATGTAAATCCCTCATCAATCTCTCCTCTTCAACCCTCAACCCCTTCACCTCTTCCTCTCCCATGTCTCTTAGATCCTTCCATTGCCATCTCATGCTTGAAAAGCTTCTTCTCCCACAACATCCCAAAGCTCCGTATCCTAAACCTCGAGATCTGGCAACAAGACGAGGAGATGATATCGATGTCGAGGTGAGGGATTTGATTAATAGGCGTAGTGATGACATGATTGGTCTTCCTTGTTACCGCGAGAAATTGCTCTTTTTCCTTAGAAGGATTCTTGTTATTTTTCAAAGGGAACAAGAAGGAGTCACAAAGGAACAAAAGACACACACAGCTCAGGAACAGAGGAGATAAAAGAGGTTGATGATGATACATGGGGTTGCCCGCACCTTTACCAACCCCGGTTATCGCTTTCGTCTCCACCTGCCTGATATGGCTATTGCTTCGCCGCGGTGGCCGACCGCCGTTGTCGGTCATGGTTTGTGGCTGTGGGAGCCACCCTGACTGTCCATTTATCAACTATAAACGTGCTCGTGTCCTGATGCTGGCATTGTTGTCATGTTTTCTGTTACGATATAGATAGTACAGACCGTTGTTTAGTACGTAAGATGGTGTGGTCTGCATGTCCAAGGTTCGTGATCAAGAGAACATCGTTGCTTGAGTTCGTTCTTCGCAAGCTTCGTTACCACCCAGTGACCAACCAATGGAACGCAACACGTCCCACCTACCTAGATACTCAAGTGTCGTCGGCAAAACAGACAGAATGACACACCACAAGACAGAAGAAAATGAAGTAGGTGCGAACTGATTGATTATATAATATCAGGTGTCTAGGGAGGATTTCTCTATACCGCAGGGTTTCCACGCTGCCTTTAATGCTTTGTCCGGAAGAATTAACAAAGTCATCCATACCAACGCCGTGTTTGCCAAATGCCATTTTCATGCAACACTTACAACTCCTTACTCGATCTCATCCTCGTACTGCTCAGGACCACTCGGTGTCATGAGACGCTTGAGCTGATCCTGGACGTATTTGTGGACGTGGTCGTCGGCAGTCTGTCTTTCCTCACGAGTCTTGCTGTCACCAGCCTCCTCCTTGTAGATTGTCCAGGCGCGTCCATTAGACTTGGTCTCGTCACCCTCCTCGCCTTCACCATCGTCCTGGTTGTCGCCATCATCACTAGGAGGGGCGGACTTCCAGTAGTCGCTACGAGCACCAATGCTACGGCTGGTCGACGAACGACGGAGAGCGCTGGGCTTCTTTGTCTGGGAGTCTCTGCGTTGGCGGGTGAAGACATCGTCAAAGTAGTGGGATGCTGCAGCGGTGGGAGTTCTGGGTGTTTGAGGCAGACGGCAGTTGACACCAGTGTCGTGAATCATCTTGGCCATCAGACCAGTCCAACCACATTGATGACTGGCACCAAGACCTCTGCCGCTATCACCGTCGAAGAATTCGTAGAACCACAGGTAATCCTTCCAGTGAGGGTCAAAGTCGAGCATGTCGTTACCGTCGTTGATTGCACGTCTACCGTCATCGCCACGAGCCATGAGATGTTGAAGACGGTGCTGAATCTCTTCAGCAACATGTCCGAGGTGCATCATGTCGCCGGAACCCTTAGGACACTCGACTTTGAGCGTGTTGCCGTAGAACATGTAGAAGCGGAGAAGCGACTCGACAAGCAAGAAGTTGACGGCAATCCAAACGGGACCACGCCAGTTGCTGTTGCCACCGAACAGACCACTGTCCGAATCTCCGGGGACGTAGCCAACCGAAAAGTGCTGACCATTGACATCCATGGAGTAGGGGTGCTTCTCGTGGTACTTGGACAATGAACGAATACCACCCTTTGACAAGAACTCGGTCTCGTCCAACATGCGTTCCAAGATCTTCTTGAGTCTGTCCTCGTTGACCAGCGACAGCAGAAGACGGTTGTCCTTTCCGCGACGCTTCATACTGGCAATGTTGCGCTCGAAAACGTCATGCTTGTTCTCGATGAACCATTCCATACGCTTCTTGAACTGAGGCAACTTGTTGATGACCTGAGGCTCGAGAGTCAAACAGGCGTACATTGGGATCAGACCGACCAGCGAGCGAACGGGCATCTGCTGAGTCCATGGGCCACCCCAGGAGATTGCGTCGTAGTAGAAGCCGTCCTCTTCATTCCACAGAGACTTTGCCTCACTACCGGCGCGGTACTGCATAGCGTCGCTGATCAGGACGAAATGTTCGAAGAACTTGGAAGCAATGTCTTCGTAGGTGCGACGGTGCTTGGCAAGCTCGAGGGCAATGTTCAGCATGCACAAGCAGTAGAAAGCCATCCAACCGGTGGAATCGGCTTGCTCGAGCACACCACCAGTGGGGAGAGGGTCGGAACGGTTGAAAAGCCCAATGTTGTCCAGACCGAGGAAACCACCCTCGAAGACGTTCTTGCCTTCAGCATCCTTGCGATTGACCCACCAAGTGAAGTTGAGCAACAGCTTTTGGAAGACACGCTCAAGGAAGTCAATGTCTTCGCGGCCGTACATCTTGCGCTCCATTTTGAAGGTTCTGAAAGTAGCCCAAGCGTGGACAGGAGGGTTGACATCACCGAAGTTCCATTCGTAGGCGGGAAGCTGTCCGTTGGGGTGCATGTACCACTCGCGAGTGAAGAGGTCGAGCTGCTTCTTTGCGAACTCGGGATCAATCATGGTGAGCGGGATACAGTGGAAAGCTGAATCCCAAGCTGCGAAGAAGGGGTACTCCCATGAATCGGGCATGGAAAGAATGTCGTCAAGATGCATGTGCTTCCATTGAGCGTTACGGATAGCCTTTCTGCCGGGTGGAGGTGGAGGCATGGCAGGATCACCGTTGGCCCACTGGTCCCAGATGAAGTGGTAGTATTGTTTGCACCACATCATACCTGACAGGGCCTGGCGCTGGATGTTGCGGAGATCGTCGTTCATGGGCATTGGGCTGATGCGGTAGTAGAACTCGTCGGCTTCCTGAAGCCTTTGGTCCATGACGTCGTCGAAGAGCTCTTCATCAAGGTAGCCCTCGACCATCTTCTTGGAGAGACGGAAACGGACAACGGCGCACTCACCAGGAGGCACACCTTCACCTTGGTCGAACGCATACCAGGCTGCGCTCTTGGTTCCAGATTTAGCAGGGTTGACGGCGCCCTTCTCCTTGTCGACAATATGTCTGTGGAAAGCGTCCTTGGTGAACTCGGTCTTGTTCTTCTGGTCCTTGCCCCAGATGGCCTTGAAGTTGGTGTCGTTGTCGGTAAAGAGAAATTCAGGGTGGACATCCTCGTCGCGACCGCCAACGTTAGGCGAAGGAGAGCACTGGAAGTAGCGCTTGCCGATCTTCTTGTGATTGGTCTCACAAGCAAACTCGCTAACTTGCTTACTCTCAGGCTTGGTGTCATCGTACCCCCAGGCCCAAGTGTTGCGGAACCAAACGTGAGGGATGATGTGAAGTTTGGCGGCCTCAGGACCACGGTTGTATGCTGTCACACGGAACAGGAGCTCGTCCGGGTCATCCGCCTCTTTTGCAGTCTCAATGAAGATGTCCCAGTACTTGTTGTCCTTGAATGCGTCGGTGTCGATCAGGTTGTACTCGCGCTCAGTCTTGTTGCGGCGAGCGTTCTCCTCGATGATGTGCTCGTAGGGGAACTTCTCTTGGGGGTACTTGTAGAGGAATTTCATGTACGAGTGCTGGGAATGAGTGTCAGCACGGTATAATGAATTAATGGTCAGGGACACATACAGTGGGAGTGTTGTCAAGATGGAAATGGCACTCCTTGATACTCTCGCCGTGAACACCTTGAGGGTTGGACAGACCAAAGAGACGCTCCTTGAGGAAGTCACTGCAAGCCGTATTAATGCGTGGTCATGGTGTCAAGACAGGGTATGAAGCCTACTCTTTTCCGTTCCAGAATGCAAAGGCAATGTTTTGGAGACCGTGAGTGTCAGAGACACCAGCGATACCGTCCTCACCCCAACGGTAGGCTCTCTTGCGTGACATGTCATGCGAGAAGTCTGTGATGATGGTAAGCTTCGACTCATAGACCTACAATGGCTCAATGGGCAAGACTTACGACTCCAGGCATCTCCATCAGCGCTGACTGTATGTTAGCATCTGTTGACAAGCTTCTTGACGAGCATTGATGAGCTTACGAGTAGTCCTCTCTCACTGTGAAATGTCAGCGTTGTGCAATGGACAATGGAGGCAAAAGCAATGGAACATACCAGTGGCCCATTGTCTCTCAGAGACGTAGGAACCCCATTTCTTCCAGTACTTGGTCTTTTCGCGATCTTCTTGAAGACGCTTCTCCTCTTCACAGAGGACCTCTGTGTTGTCGACAAAGACCATGGCGACGCGCGGAGTCCTGTTTGTTGATGAACGAACAAAGAGCCGCGGAGCTGGCTAACGATGGTGATGAAAGTGAAGCCGGGCAATGAACGACAGGTGGTAGAGATTAGCTATGATGTTAAGTTTAAGCAGATGATGGATGCGAGGTTAAAAGAGAGGAACAATGCAAAGGCAGCCGAACCGAGACAAGTTTCAGGAACTGGACGCAGACGCACAAGGAGGGAAAAAAGAGACAGAAGGCAGGTACACTCCAGATCTCCGTGTAGCTGCTTGGGGAAAAAGTGCACTAGGAAACGCACCCGCCCATCCACATCGTCATCCCGCAACCGCGCGAGGACGGCCTGCTCGGTCCTTGGCCCAACAATTCGTTTCTTATCGACTTTTCGAAAGCATCGGACTATTTGGTAGTCCTGTTATCCACCTGCAGACAAGCCCTTGTATAGTTCCTCAACAGTCACAAAAGGCGATATAGTACTCAGCTGTTGTATGGCAAATGTCAAGCAAAGTGTCAGTCTCATACGAAACCTGAGCAACAGCTGTCAAGCTCTCCATGTCATTTCCCCCCGGGCGTTTCCTCTATCTCCAAATTGTTGATGGAGCCTCCGCGCTGACGCCAAAATTGCTCCACACCTCTCCGCTGCCCAATAATTCACCGAAACCTATGGACCCCACCAACAAATTATTGTTGACCATCGTTGACAATCGAAGCGGCATACCACGCTTGTAGCACATGTTCTATCTCCGTCATGCTTACTGAATCCTTGCCCTACTACTGCTGCCTTGTCTTGATGCCACGCGAAAATGACGTCGAACTTGTATAAGATGGTTCTGAGGCTTTGTCAAAAAACCGGTAGGCTTGTAAGAGGCTGAAATGCAGGAGAGCCTGTGCGTGACAGACGACCTGATAGCTGTCGCATCACCCATTGTACACATTCGGATCGGTAGAAAGAATGTGCATCCAGGCTGTGGCTGTTCACAATGCCATCTATGATTTGCAGAATAGATTGTGGTTGAAATTGGTATCTTTCGCGAATTGAAACAAAACCCTTATAATGTACAAGAAGCCGGGCTATGCATTAGGACATGAGGCGAGTGTCGTTTACTCAACGGTATCAAGAGTTCCCTTGCCAGTGGTGCCAGCAGGAACTTCGCCCTTTTGTGCCTTCAACTTTTCTTCAAACTTTGCAAATTCACGCAGAGCAACCTCCTCTTCTTCGTCTAGTACTTGCTGAACACCTTGAACCTCGTCTGCACAAATTGTCAGCTAGGTTTTCACACATCATACAGGAAGCGGACACGAACCAATGTAGTGCATGAGCATGCTCTCAATGCCGTTCTTCAAGGTGACGGTGCTCGAGTCACAAGTTCTGCAAGCACCGCGCAGCTTCAGGAGAACCTTACCCTCGACGAAACCTCTGAACTCAATGTCACCACCATCTTCCTGGATAGCGGGGCGAATGCGGGTCTCGAGCAACTCCTTGATCATGCTGACAACCTCACTGTCGTTCTCATCGTATTCCAGAGAGTCTTTCTCGACCGGTGCCTGCTCGCCACTTTTGTTCGCTACTGTGTTGACCAGAGGCTGGCCAGATGTGACGGCCTCGGTGATCAGACTGAAGACCTCAGGCTTGACATGGGGCCATGGGGTGGCGGAGTCCTTTGTGACGGTAATGTAGTCGGGGCCGTAGAAAACGGATGAGACACCATCCACATTCAGCAGCTGAGCGGCGAGAGGTGATGGATGGGGAGGTGCGAGTGTGGAGCGAGGCGACAAATATTCGAGGAAGGTGGTTCCAAGGTTCTCAGGCAAGATGCGAGAGTTAGGAATGAACTTCAAGGCGTCTGCGTTTGGTGTGTCCTCGGTCTGAATGAAGATCGATCGGGTACCAGTGGGAAATTGGGAGCTGGCAGGCTTGAGCGAAGGCGCACTCGGACGGTATCTAGTGGCGGCCGATGTGAGTGTTGAAGGTGTTGACAAACGGTGCAGGCTTCTGCGGATTGGTGCCGTGGCAATCGTCCTTGATGCACCAGAACGAGCGACGTTTCTGCACGCGGATGTGAACATTGTCGAGTTGGCTGGCATTGTTTGTGATGCTGAGAATGTCTTAGGAGAGGCAAATGGTATTGTTGTTCGTGGGTTCAAAAGATTAACAATAATCTGAACCTCGAATGACGCAAAAGCCCGCGCCGCTCTCGGAACCTCGGCCGAATTGGTAAGCTTCGCCTACCTTGCTGTGATTCGTCGCTTCTCCCGTTGTCCAACCACATATCAATTGTGGCATTCTCGAGACGCGCTCTTCTTGAGAGTGATAGTGATTGGTACCGCAATCATGGAACGGAGCAGAAACCAAGAATATTCGATAGTACTCTGTAATCCGGATGTGCAAACTACATATAGAACATTGAGTATCAAATGTCGTACAAGGGCACTTGATGGCACTGTGAAGAGTCTAAGAGACCAAAGGTCGAATAGCTCCCTGCCAAAACACAGGCGAGAGTACGAGATGGCGAGTGTCTGCAGCTGGATCGAACCATTAAGAATCTGGAAGTCGAAGGCCAAAATTGACGGGTTGTTCGAAACGAATGGTAGGTGGCAGGTACGCTCCTTCCCATCTTAACACCTCAGTGTTCAAGCTTTCCCCTCTTCAATAGACCTGCTGTTTCCCTCTTGTCTCAGAATCTCATCATGGCGGTAAACGGAGGAAAGTCAGAGGCAGACAAGAACACTACCGCATACCTGGGTAAGACGAATTGTACAGGCGACGAGTAGGGACTGACGTGAAGCCAACAGACTTTGCTTCGCAGCTGGCCAGGCGCCTCGAATCTGGAAACGTCAATGTTGTCACCATGCAAGAACTCGAGCACATTCTGGCCCGGAACAGCACACGCCCACCAGCTGCAAAAGCTGCAGCATTCGATCGTCTAGGAACAGAAATCTGGAATGCTGCCATCCGGCTTAAAGATCAATCATCGCCCCTGCTGAAGACATGGCCACTCCTAGAGCCCCAACTGCGCGTTCTTTCTTTCTTCCTTCTGGACACAGCGCAAAGGTCCTACGTCAAGCACGGCAGCAAAAGTTCAGCTCAAAACCTTGTTCGCATCTTCAAGACAGCTTTGAAAGCAGCACGTATCTGTATTGCTGCAAATGCACTAGATCTTTGTACCAGATTATTCGAAAAAGTAGCCGAATATGTCGAGCACAAACACGAACCCCCTCGAGAGCACAAGAAAAGCGAAGCGGAGGGGATGATTACTGAGCTGGCAGCAGACTATCACCTTCTCAGAGCGACTGTAGCCTGGAAGCAGGACAAACCTGATAGTGTGAGCTTCTGGCTTGCAAGAGTGCTGCATCATCCAAACAGAGCGGACATGGTGCACCTTGCCGAGAAGAAAGCCGACTTGACATACGAAGTTGGCAAAGCTGCTCTCAAGAAAAAGCAGTTCGATAGTGCGGTAAGATGGCTAGAGCAGAGTCACGAAGTCTTTGAGGATTTTGACCCGGAGATGTTGTCATCCGAACTTTGCGACCTTCGTTTGGTTGTCAGACTTGACCTTAGTAAGTCCATTGGACTCGATTCGTCATACAGCCGTCTAATTGTCTGAAGTCCGCGCACTGGTTGGCGTGGCCGATGCCACCTCATTAGAAAAAGCTTCAAGCCTCGTAGTTATGCTTGACCAGGTTCGTGACTCCAATCATCGTCGACAACATTCGCTTACATGGAATAGGAGAACGGCTTCCGGACTGAGGTTTATCTTTTGAGGCTTGATATCATATTCGCTCAAACACCGTTCCAACCCGAGGAGTTCTGCGGAGGTGCGTCTATACGATTGCAAGCATGCGATTCGCCACACTGACTGTACTCGAGCTTTGACCCGTGTCATTCGAATGGCTATACTTTCAGAAGGCACCTTCAAGTCGTAAGCTTTTCTCGATGACTCTCTCGAAACAAGCTAAATCCATGAAGTATCATGTACCAGATCCAGAAGTTGAACACCTTTGACATTGGAAGCGAGGGTACGAACCGAACCGTCGTAATCAACTCAAATCCTAGTCCACATTCACATCTCGCATGTCAAAACTTGAGCTTGTTGCTGTCAAGACTACTCGCCGAATCTCCCGTCACGCAGAAGTCAGTAGAGAAGGTTGTGGTAACTAGAATATGGATCGCTTCGCTTTCTTTACATGTTCAATATCATCCTTCAGAACTGGAGATCATATTCGACGATGTTGCCAATACGAAGGATATGAAGATGAGTCCAGAGGCAGCTCACGCTTCCCAGTCTGTGAGTTGTTGAAAATTGGAAGTGCACTAGGTACGCCCTAACAAGCAGTAGTTGCTATGGAAGGCTGTTACCGCATTCCAGCAATTGGAGAACGAAGACGAAGCTGCCAAGTGGTGCAAGCTAGCCAGCCACGATATCTTCGAGAGCTCAGGAGAGATCAACAAAGCTAAACTTTCACGGTAGGATCCAGTAATCTATGTTCACAAGTAAGATCACTGACCTTCTACAGCAAAATGATGACCGTTGCCCTAGCCAAGGGTGATGCTGCATCGGCTCGAAAAGCTTACTATCAGATGCCGGACAGTGGAAAACACGCTGCGATGACCCAGTATCTAATGTACAAGATTGCTCTCCAGGAGGGTGATACTGAGTTAGGTTGGTACACACCTTCTATCCGGATTCACCTTGCTGATATGAACAGCCGCGAAATCGCTGGAAGGAGTTCTCAAAGCCTCTACCAAAGGCAATGAGAAGTACCTCTACGCATGTGTACTTGAGGCACAGCAATCAGGTGAACGAAGACAATTCACTGTTACCATGAATACAGTTCTGGAGTTTTACGAAAGGAACCCCTCGAGCAACGTCAAGTTGCCAGTACTACTCCGGTTGGTTTGCTGAGCACGTTTTCAGTGTCAGGAACTAACATTGCATGGTAGTTGTATCATTGGATCCATGGAGACAGAATTGAATCAGGGTGATATGCCTTTGGACGCTGGTCTGACGGAATTGTGCAAAGTCTTTGAAGCTGGTCAGTTCAACTTCAGTCCACTGCATACCATGCCCTGACTAATAGCCCACAGCGATGAGACACGGGATTGGCTTCAAGAATGCAGATGATGACGACTCTCATATTACTGAGCTTCGGTGGTTTGCTTGTCACAGTTACAATACAGCCTTAAAGTATTGCTCAGACATGCATCCTGAACTCCTGTTGAGATTCATGATGGCAAGCGTCGCTGTAGGTATCTCTCGCAAAACTACGTGACTAAAATGCTGACGGAAAACCAGCTCATAGATTTACTACGCCAAGAAAATGGCAAGGAAGATGGTCTGCTGAATCGACTTCTACTGTGTCGCTTCCTGGCAGCATCCACACTGATCGTTCTAGCGAGGTCAGAAGACAATATCGAGCGAGCGGTAAGTATCAAGAGCGTGTTGCTGGAAGTATGATGGTTCTGACTTCCGATAGCTACAGTTGTTTCTCGACGCAAGACGCCAGATCGAAACATTCCACTTGAAGTACCAGGAAGCCATACAGAGCAAATCGCTACAACCGGACGTCACATCAGATCTTGACATCAAGGAATTCGAAATGATCAAATTCGACCTCGAAGCCCTCATGAGACTGGAGAATTGGAATGATCTCGACAAGACACTTTCAGTATCGACCTCTACATAAACTTCCATCTTCACAAATTTACTGACTCTTGTCTTCTCCAGATGTGTCTCTCACCCACCCACTCCAACCGTCTCGAAAGTGCAGCAGACTTGATCCTCCACATCCATACCCACATCACTTCCTCTTGCCAACTGTCCCCATCAATCTCCACTCTCCTCGCCAAGATCCCCACCGTCATGGAGAAGATCATCAACGCCTGCTACCGCAACAACAAAGATATCACTCGCCTCGCCCGCTGGATACGCTGTCTCTTCCAGATGTGTCTCTCTTCCAACCCTGCTTTATCTCTACGCTGTCTCGATCAAGCAGCCTCCATTGCTACAAAGGCAAGTGTGGCGTTGGAGAAGTATCCGCAAGAGGAGATTGAGTGGTTGGTCACTACGGCATTCAATCATGCTGTGGATTTATGGTTTGGGGATGAGGATGAGGGAGAAAGGGAGGCGGAGAGCTGGGCGCAAAAGGCGCTGATGTTGGCGGGTAGGATTGGAGGGGTGGGTGTTGGGGGTTTGCATAAGGTGTTGCAGGATAAATGGATGAAGTTGAAGGGGCTGATGAGGGACTGACAAGGCCGTCAGATCTTCGAGTATGGCTAGGAGACGGGGAGAAATGAGTCTGGCTAAAAGAAAAGTTGTTGCTAGATTCCTTTATTGCTTAATGGCAAGAAAGTAACGAAGAACACAATGTGGCTTACTGGAGTATGAACTCGCTTTGAACAGACATAATATACTACTGATGTACCTGTCACGACAATAACTCAAAAAGAGTCGCCGTCTTTGAGGTCAAACCTTGATTTCGTTTTGCTGTTCGCGGATGGCCATCAAGACCAACGTGCAGGGGAACTCACCACTACTTCACCCTGTTATGTTATTAATCAGGTAGAGAAGACCTCTTACTACTTCCAAAACAGAATCGATCTCATGTCGGAGTGACCCAAGTTGAAGCCGGGACTAGCGAGTAAAGCGCTGACTTTATTCTGGCGAGTCTTGGAAATTTCGGCGAGAGGACGCATTTTCTGACATCTGTTACATCGCATTCTCGGCGGTCATTAGCAGACGCTAGGAGAGACGACCAGAGCGGACGTACTCGGCCAGCAGGATGCGAGACTTTCTATAATTCGTGTTCATGATATTGGGGGATGGCTAAGATCTGAGACAGTCGATTAGCTAAATGATCCATACAAGACGAGCATGAGGGAGGTGTATGGAATAGGACATGTTCGACCAAATGAGAGGTCAAAATAGTACAGAAAGCGGTAGGAGGTCGACTTAAATATAGAAGAAATAGGTGCTCTTTTCGACAAAGAATGCCTCCCATGGATAAAATGCGATCTCTGGATGGTTGGCAGATCTGATGATGTCTGGAAAGAGGAATGTAAAGTCTGTCAAGACTTACTCAGGGAAGAAGAGGCTAGAAATTGTTGTGTCTGAGAGCTCATCTGACGGAAGGCAGGTTGAAAGTGGCAGCCTGACATTCTTATATGGAAGCCACGATCAGGGGCTTTGTTTGACAGACGACGTTTGCTGATATTTTTGAGACAACCTTTCAATCAGAAAATCAACTTGAGTGAGCCGATTGCTGTGGCAGTTCGACGAAACCAATTATGCTGTGTGATGTTTTTCGCGGGAGAAAGAAGAAGTTCCCTGATTGTCGGAAGATAATGTTTCAACCCTTGTCGAGGTGCTTGATGCTTGATGCTTGGATGTCTTTCTGGTGGCAGGGTTTTTCGGTGGCACAATAGATGAACGGATTCAAGGGTGTTTCCTCATGGCCTGCAAGGTTCATGCTCAATGACTTGTGTCGGGGTCGTGTTCGACAGAGTGTTGGTCGTGAGCAGAAGGCCTGTACTCAGACGACGATGGTAAAACAAATTGATGTGTATGAAGCATCAACAATAAGATTGAATCTTACGCATAGCCGCATGCATGCCGCGAGCATAGTCGTCTCGGGTGACATACAACAACGATTTTGATGTTGACTTGAAGCAAATCGAAACCTACACCAAACCTGTTAAGCAAAAGTGCCAATTTTCGCACAGATGGATAGAAACGTTTGGAGAGAAGAGGAAAGATTCATTATACAGGCCCCAGCGTTCAAGACCCCGTGCAGGTGCGGGATCGAAGTCCGCCACACTTTGCATCTCCATGCTGAGACAACCCATCGACCAGGTCTATTTTTGCGCTCTAAAGGATGTATTGGTACAAGGTATAGGTATCATCGTCGTCGTCGTAGAAGTCTACTTGGTCTCCTCAGCGAGGTACTGAATCAGATCATTGCGGTCCTTGGCCTTCTTCAAGCCACCGAAGGCCATCTTGGTACCAGGGATGTACTTCTTGGGGTTCTCGAGGTATTCGAACTGGAAGTGTGTTAGCGATAGCTTGGACGTGCCATCTGAGCCTGTACGGAGGCAAACTATGGTGAAGACTTACAAGAGTGTCATTGTCCCAGGTGATACCCTTGCCCTTGTTGGCGTCGGAGTATGAGTAGCCCTCAACGGAACCAGTCTTTCTGCCCCAGAGACCGTGGAGGTTAGGCTGAAGCGGCGGTTAGCATGTATGTATACGGATGTTATACATCTCCAAGTGTGGCTGGTGATATGCAAAGCCCTCTTGAGAAATGTCGAGTTGAACGAGACGTACGCCGATCTTGTTACCCTCACCCTCCTTGAGGTTGTGGCACTGAGCGCAGCGGGTCTTGAAGAGGTTGGCGCCCTTCTTGGCGTCACCTGCGTGTCATTGTTAGAATGGTGATCTTCTTTCTGGTAGCCATTGAAATCCGAGGGAGGACCAGCGGGCAGTGGGAGCGGCATGACGAGAGATCTGGTTCTGAGATGTCGCCGCAGACGAAGACAGGGATTCAGGACTGTCCGGTTTGCGTCGACTGGCCGATGATCGTTCGACTTTCGTATCTACTGCTTCCAAAGGCGCTGATCCAGTCCTGCGGTGGAGAAGAGAGACCTACCAGGTGCGAAGCTGTCCTTGCCCATTTTGATGGTATGTGATGTGTATTGGAAAAGATTAAAGGGTGTGTGGTAGGGTGTTGTGGCGGTAGAAGAGTGAAAGAAGAGAGCGGATGGGAATTTTGTTCGATGATCGCGGCGAACAAAGAGTTTCTAGCATGAAGGCGTCGAGCACCGACCACCGGCCTTTCAACCAATCAACATGCGTCAGAAAGTCAATAATGCTGGAAACGCGCTTGTCTCTCGGGAGAGCTCGGAACTTTTCTTGTTTTTGCATCTCGGGATCGCTTGAAGCTTTCAACACAGTGTGGCGACTTTCACCTCAACGTATCATAGACCTGTGAATAGTGAGCACCAGACCTAGTTCTCGAACAAGATAGCTTCCTATTCTTGTTCGTCTGGTGGCTCGGTGAACTCGTGACCCTCCTTGCAAAGCCACAATCCCTTTTTAAACCAATTTGTTGTCTTCGATCATGGCGATGCATGACTTGACGCGTTTTGACGTCGTGTCAAGTAAATCGCGCCTGCGGCTCAAGCTTGTTCCCAGCTTTCCGCCAGGGCAACACGCGAGGAAGATCTTGATCTGATAGATGATCCATGATCCATGATCCCGTCGTAAATTTCCCTGTTCGTTTAACCGGCCGCGGCTCAACGCTTCTTCTGCGAAGCGCGGCTGTCCCTAGAGTGGTGAAAGCCCATGTCGTACTTCCACTATTGAGTGTCTGAATCTGAAGCACACCCTTTTGTTCAGGGCCTAATATCTAATTCTATTTTCTTCTTCCAATTATGAACCAGATACCCGAGATTCTGTATGGCAAGACTGGACAGAAAACTTGGTGTATTGTCGGCGCATCTAGAGGAATAGGTCTGGAGTTTGTACGACAGTTGATTGCTCGTGAGGACCGCATCTTCGCTACTGTTCGCGACACCAACGCTGTTCATGCATCTGGGCTTTGGGCGCAGGCAGGAGGGGATCATGGTCGTTGTCAGATGTTGGTCTGCGACATCTTGTCAGAACAAAGCATAAATGTAATTTTGATCCCGATTCTCTCTACTTTCTTCTTCCCCTCGTTGTCGTTCATGTCCTTCCTTTTGGTCTGACGTAAACCACACGTTTCTCGTAGTTTTGGCTAACATTATGTTGCGAAGAGTTTCGTCACTGAGCTCGCCAGAGTACCAAATCTGAAGCTGGACTATGTCGTGATCAATGCAGGAGTTTTGAGATATCCGAATGTGAGTAGAGCGGTATTCCCAGACTCTAACTGTAGCTGACTGCTGTGTAGAGAGCGACTGAGTTGTGAGTAGATGTCCATGGCACGAACCGTATAATCATGACTGACCCTCCAGCTCTTTCGACGAGTTTGCTTTCCACTTACACACCAACACGATTGGACCAATCATTACTGCACAAAGACTTCTTCAAACAAGGATCCCAATCGGTACAATAGTCTTCATGTCCAGCGACTCGGGGTCCGCACAGCGATTTCTAGAGATGGAAGATGGGTAGGTACTTCTCATCGAGTATTCTGCATGCCTACTCACCGCTTCTTCAGGTTCGCAGCATACTCTGCATCGAAAGCAGCATTAAACCAAGCGATGCGGCATATGGCTGCCGAGCTCAAGCGGAAAGATGATGATACCATATTGATAGCCATTCATCCAGGAGAAGTTGCCACGTATGTGTACAACTGCCGTATGTACGGCACATGTGCTAACTATCATCTCAGGGATATGGCGAATATTGAACTCGGGTGGGAAGTCGATGGAATCATGACACCACAGGAATCAGTATCGGCGATGATTCCGGTTATCGAGAGCAAAGGAATACAGCACAGTGGGACGTTCTGGACGTGGGAGAACAAGGTATGTTCCTTTGACCGAGTTTTTCGCCTCCTTTTGACACCGGCAGCAATACCCTTGGTAGGACATCGGTTCATTATACACGATGTACTGCCACCAGCGAGTAGATCTTTGTGATGGCATAGCATCTGCATTGGAAATTGGCAAGACAAAGAGATAGGGGCGAGGACACTCAAGAGAGATTATATGTGGAAGATAGCAGTCGAGCAAAATCTTCAGTACCATAATGTTGAATATCCGGCTCACGCTTCCAGTCCTCTAGATGCATATGATGTTATGAGACATCTGTCTCTTGACCGACCCTGGCCGCTGCAGGAGGACTTTCGTAACATGCTCGAAACTACCGTTCTGACCCAAAGACAGGCTTGTCTACTAACTTGTGCTTGCCTCGTATGTTACCAAGAACACCATGCCTGTTGTATGGCAATCACGCTTGTACGCCGAAAACATTTCAGTAAAACCTCTCAAAGCCACAGGAATGCATGGGCGTCAGGCGCCGAACGGCTGTCGTAGGATGGTCTTGAACGACGAACATGCATACGTTGGCGCAGTGACATGAAACGTAAAGAAAGTAGGCAAATTGTGTTGAGAGGAAGTCTTTTTGTCGTGGGCAGGACTGGCTGGATCGATTGAATAACTGGTGGTACGAAAAACAGAGTTGACCAGTCGGACGAGACGTCATGCTGCAACGGCGGCTTTCGACTTCTCCTCAACTGCAGATGGGTCAAAGAGCGGTGTCAAACACATACAAACTCATTCGTTGGAATCGAGTCGAATTAGACAAAGTCGGACGCGGCTAGAAAAGCTGAAGCCCGAGAGGTAGGTGAAGGAAGTCGAGTAGGCACGATCGCGAGTTCCTGCCTCATGCGCGTCCGCTGAGGCATCCCTCCGTCGCTTCCTACGCCGGCCAGTCGCATGTGGGGTGAGATGCATATATGGTAATATTCACCTGCATTTGTCTACTCAGATGATCCATTTGGCCTGCGCTTCTGTTTCTTCTGGTTTTGCGCTTTCCCTACAAACCCCTTCTTTCCTAATTTCCCTCTCTTCGCTCCCTTCTCTGCGCCACGATATTCTTCTTCTCGACTAGCCAGCTGGCATGGCGTCCTGGGACACTGACGATCAATCTCGCCCACGTTATGATGACTACAACAACAAAGCGCGACACTCACGCAACGACTCGACGTGTGTCTCGACTTTTGTTCTGTTTACTCAAGCTTCGGCCGCTGACAAGTCCTCAGACTCGACCCCACCTACCACGATCCCACGCGCCTATCTTCATATCCTAACATCCCCATCCGAAGCCACAGCCGAGCATCGAGAAGCAGAAATCATAGTCGAGTACCACGTCGATGGCCACCTCCACCGAGCGTCGAAGACGAGGAGGCATCGATGAGGCGGGAACACAAGCCAGAAAGAGCCAACTACGATCGCATCCCGTCACGAGGCACCGTCGGACAAGAGCCACTACTGATTGATGTGCCCGGCTATACCCAAGATCGCCGTTTTGTCTGGGTCCCATCGACACAAAAGTCTCCTAGAGCGCCTTCTACACCCCCTTCAAGCGACGATGAGAGAGCAAGGCACCGTGAGAAGCGCAAAGGTCCTCGGATAGAAACAAATGGTCTTCCTGAGATGCGAAGGGAAGCCTCGCCATATGCCTGGACGAAGCCAACACCAGCATCGCAAACTCAAAGAACTTCAGAAGGTCTCTTTCTCTCACCCGACACAATCACTCCGCCCGCTGCTCCCAATTCTACAACATTCGACAGACCGCCGCCAACGAGTGTACCTCGCAACGACTGGTCTGATCGAAGCCGACGTTCAGGAAGTTGTTCGACAAGAGACAAATCCCCACCACGGTCGCCCTCACGCCACGTGTACGAAGGACGTAGTACTGCAGAAGACACGCGTAGCGCAGACGATCACATCCCTTATAGACCGTCCACGCGATATTCCTGGACCAAGCCAGATCCACCTCATTCTTCTCCTACGACTCCTTTCAATCAACCTGCGGACGGCCCAAGACGACAGTCAGGTCCCACGGAAGGCAATCCGGCTGCATACGACTACTCGAGAAAACCTGCACCTCCGCAAGTTGTCAATCTGCAGCAGTCTGGACGACCCGCATACCATCCACGTCACTCAAGTGAAGGAAGCTACAACTCTTACGATAACACTACCCAAGTTCGCAATACAGGCTCGGACAAAGTGAAGGACAGTCACCCGCCTAGCATCCCAAGCTCAAGGCCAACATCGCGAGGAGGTTCGACTCAGTCCTCTCCCCAGCCTTCACCACGTTTGGTCACTTCACCAGAATATCCTTGGAACATGGGCTCAGCAGCTTCCACTACCACACGCCGCGCACCACCGCCATCTCGCCTTGCCGAGACCACAATTTCCAAGTCGCCTCGTCCCCAAGCGTCGAGGTCTGTATCTAGTCCGTACTCGCCTCTTCCCTATCCGGATGACGACCGCCCGTTCGAGACCATGCCCTCAGAAAAAGACCACCAGTACTTCCCGGAGCAACCAAAAAGCTATCTGGCGCCGGTAAGCGAGCCAGTAACGCGCGTCAACACGCCGAAAGAGCCACCTCAGGTCAGTCGTGTCCGAGCTGCTGAAGAGAAGTCTGCAGCTCCTGGTTCGTCAAGGCGAGAGAAATCAAAATCAGAAGATCTCTCTTCGAAAGCTCGGAAGTCTACCAGTATGGAGCATTTACCAGCATGCAAAAGAGCGAGATACATGCTCAAGTACGATGACTGGTACACACTCGAAGGATATCCTGGATTCAACATCTGCCCACGCTGCTTCAAGTACGCTTTCGACCGGACACAATTCGGCACAGCTTTCAGATTATTGCCAAAGGATGCGCCAGCAAACCCTAGGAGGTGCGAGTTCAGCAACGCTTGGATACGGCTTGCTTGGCTCTTGACAGCAAACAACCGTCAGAACACGCTGAACGTGATGAAAACGATCTTCAAGGCCGACGAGACCGAAGAGCCCTGCCCAGGCATTGAGAGAGGCTGGTGCAGTTGGTATTCGATTCGTGACCGAGATGGACAGTTCCTCCGAGACTTTGTCGTATGCCCATCTGATGTGAAAAGAGTCGAGACTTTATTTTCCTGGATCAGAGGTCTCTTTGTGCTACTGCCAAGCAGATTTACCTACGATGAGGATGAAGATATCTTTGGAAGGTTCTGCTCGTTGCGTCCCGAGAACAACAATCGGTTTGCAGGCTACATCGATTGTCTGTTTCAGCTTCACGAGAATGCAGTGTCCAGCCAGCGGTTGCCTTCTACATCAGACTTCGTCTCACTTGTCGGACACAAAACCATGCTGCCCGAATGCCTCCGGGACGACAAGGTTGAGAAGGGGGACTGGTACTACGTTCCATCGCTTGCACCTGCTCTGACAGTGTGCGACGAGTGTTACAATGATGTCGTCTTGCCATGGGTGAGGGCAAACTCGGATGTGGCTATGAGGTTCAACCGGGCCAAACAGAGTGTTCGTAACGAAGGCAAGAATGGATTGTCCTGCCAGCTCTACTCACGAAGGATGCGAGAAGCATTTCGGTACGCAGTCGACAAGAACGATATGAGGTATTTGGCAAGAAAAGCAAAGGACCGGAAGGAAGTGGAGGAAGGCTTCCAGCGAAGATGTAAAGATTTGCAAAAGGAAGGAGAATCACTCAAAGGTCGTAGCGGGTATGCGATCAGCTCTCGGGCAGAGCAAGAGTTGGCACAACTTCAACGTGAGATTGAAGCCATTGGAGAGACTTGGGAACAGGAATGGGAGTGAGGGGAGCGCAAAAGTTCAGCACATCCTACTTTCGACATTGACTAGCATGATGCCGGTATGATAGCACGGCCAACAACCAATTCTTGATGGATTCGTGTTGATGATAGGTGAATTTTGTGACATTTAATTAATTTCCAGCGGAAGAGGTGGAGAACCCCAGATTGTGACCCTATACCTCGGCTTGTGTCAACACCTTCACATGCAAAACAAAGGACCAAGACGTGAATGATGCCTTGAACACTCAACAACCACAATCTCATAAACCGCAACAACCACTGATGGACTCGTCGACGACATGGCAGTACAATCGAAGCTGTCACTTCCTGGCGGCTTCGTGTCAGAAGGAACGCTGAAGAAGGCCGTCTCAGACTTAACGTCGCTATACCTCAGACACCGCACACGCATCTCACGCGCCATCTACATCGGCCTCTTCGTCACCTTGCTGAACCGCATACGCAACGCGATCAACGAGCAAAAAGTAGCCGAACAACAACGCCGAGCAGCTGGGAAGAATGGAGAAAGAGAAGGCGGCACAACGGGTGGCAGGAAGAAGGTCGAGCTGAACAGAGAGTTCTTCCGTAACCTGATTCGCTTGCTGAGGATCTGTATTCCTGGATGGAAGAGTAAAGAGCTACGGCTTTTGATCAGTCATAGTGTTTTCCTCGTCTTGCGGACGCTGATCTCGCTTTATGTCGCCGAGCTAGACGGAAGACTAGTTTCTGCTCTTGTACGTGGTAAGGGCAAAGCCTTTGTCGGAGGCTTGGTTTGGTGGATGATAGTCGCCATTCCCGCCACTTTCACAAATTCGATGCTCAGCTACCATCAGTGCAAGTTGGCGCTGCAGTACCGCACGAGGCTTACGCAACACATTCACAACAAATATCTTTCCAACATGACCTTTTACACGCTTTCTGCTCTGGACGACCGGATCAAGAATGCAGATCAACTGGTAACTGTCGACGTCAGCAAATTCTCAAACTCTCTGGCTGAGCTTTACGGAAATCTCGCGAAACCGGTACTGGATATGGTCATCTACAATTACTCTCTTTCCCGCAGCGTTGGTGGAGAAGGTCTCTTTGCTATGGGCTTACTAGTCCAGCTCTCCGCTTCCGTCATGAGAGCGCTCACACCACCATTTGGAAAATATGTCGCGGACGAAGCACGTCTGGAGGGAGAGTTCCGCTTCCAACATTCACGAGTCATTGACTATAGTGAAGAGATCGCTCTGTATCATGGGCATGAAGCCGAAAAAGATGCACTGGACAAGAACTACTTTACACTCATCAAACATGTCAATCGCATTCTACGACGCAGATTCTACCATGGCATTATGGAAGACTTTGTTATAAAGTATTTTTGGGGCGCCCTGGGTTTGATGCTGTGTTCGATTCCGGTCTTCTTCAAGTTACCCGCTGTCAAGAACACGGGTATCGTGGCCAAGAACTCGACGGAGGCTTTTGTAACGAACAGACGTTTGTTGCTGAGTTCGTCGGATGCCTTTGGCCGATTGATGTTTTCCTACAAGGAAGTTTCTCAACTGGCTGGCTACACATCTCGAGTCTCGACACTGCTTTCTGTGATCCACGATATCCAAAACGGACACTTCGAAAAGCAACTCGTTAGTTCTGCGAGTACAGATGCTAACGCTGCTGTTCTTGCCGGCAGAGGCAAAATCACAGAAGGAAACGATATCAAATTTAGCAGTGTGCCCATTGTATCTCCGAACGGCGATATTCTTGTGAAAGCTCTGAGTTTCCACATCAAGCCTCTTGATCATCTCCTCATTATCGGTCCCAATGGCTGTGGCAAGTCATCACTGTTCAGAATCTTGGGGGGCTTATGGCCCGTCTACGGCGGTGAAGTCAGAAAACCTTCTGCCGAGGAAATTTTCTATATCCCTCAACGACCCTATCTCATGGCATCCGGGTCTTTACGAGCACAGATAATCTATCCAGACACCGTGGCTGAAATGCACGAAAAGGGTGTCTCGGACTCTTCACTGCTTGAGATCTTGCACAGCTTGGATTTGGAAAACTTACTTTCTTTACCCACCAAAGAGGGGGAACCCAAAGGTCTTGACGCGCAACACCCCTGGCCCGATCTCCTCAGCACAGGAACCCAACAACGTCTCGCCGCCGCCCGACTCTTCTACCACTCCCCCTCCTACGCCATTCTCGACGAATGCACATCTTCCCTCACCCCCAGCATCGAAACCCTGATATATGAAGAAGCGAAAGTGAGAAACATCACACTGCTTACAGTGTCTCATCGTAAGAGTTTGTGGAGGTTCCACGGCTGGATCTTGGTGTTTGATGGTAAAGGAGGAGCGGTGTTTTCGAAATTGGATGCGGAGAAGAGGCTGAGGTTGGAGGATGAGAGGGAGGAATTGGAGAGGCAGTTGAGAGGTGCTGAGGGGGTGGAGAAGAGGATTGAGGAGTTATCTGCGCAGTGATGATGTCTGGCATACAATGAGGGGTAGCGTGGGGATGGAGCTCGTTTTTTGTGGTATGCGGTCATGGAAAAATAAATCCATGGCGCTGGTGAAAAGGTAGTGTTGAAGTGGGAGATGGATCTGTGACTCTCCGTTCTCTGCGTTTTCTCCGTGCTGCTCTGGAACCTTGACGCGCTGCTGCTGCTGCTGCTGGTCTTGCGATGCAGGGAATGCACGGATAAAGGGACTCTGTAATGCTGAACCTGTTGCATAAGGTGGGCATGTGGACTAAAGACGCTCTTGAGAAGTAAAGAGCAAAAAGACTTATACTCCCACGACTACACTACAACTTCCTCCTTTTCTTATCCCCTCCAGTCGTCACACTCCCATCTTCCTCCCCATCCTCTCCCCCAGTATTCCCCCTCCCACTTGCAGCTGCTCCCTCCACTTGTCTCCAATCCCTAACCTTAGCCTCGATATCATCCGCCATCTCCCTCGCATCCAACACCATACCTTCCATACCAGGATTAAACATGACAGCATTAGCAAACATTCTCAAAACCTCTTTTTCCAATTGTGAAGAATTTACAATCGCCCTTGGTGGGATCAAATCGGCCGTTTTATCTAGTAAAACAATTGAAGATGCAGAGTTTGAGGCGGAAGGCGTGTGGGCTGGAGAATCTGTTGCAGAGGCATTTGCAGTAGCGGCGTTTATGGCCCTCGAGCCAAATGTTATGGCCGTCTTGATGGACTTCAAATCCTGGGGTCGTTTTATGATGGTGCTGTAGCCTTCCGCATCCTTCTCCCTTACGGGCTTTTGGAAGGGCCCGGCGTGTTTATGCTGGGTAATGTCGTTTATGATGACATTGGAGATACGAGCAAAGTTTCTGTGGGCTTGGACTTTATTCTTGAGGGGAGGTCCATAGGCGGGTCCTGCTTCGCGATCTGAGGATTCTGGGATGGCTGGTTCTGAAGAAGGGATAGGTGTTGCTGAGCGGTTTCGCTTGCGCTTATTGGTAGAGGTACGGCCGCGTTTTGATCGCAATTGAGAAGGTGGGTCGGAGGTCTCAGCTTGGAGGATCTCTTCTTGTAGGAGGTCGGCTGGTGTCATTGGCTCGTCCTTAACGATGCGTGATGGAACCGATGGCTCTACGTAGCTGGTGCTATCCTCGTGCTGGGACAACACCGACTGACTCCTTGTTCTGGCTCGTACAGAACTTGCGATGGCAGAGGAAGCATTACTCGTAGCACGATTACGTCTAGTGGATTTGCGACTAGACTTTGCAGGCTTTGGAGTGGCGTCTTCTGCCTCTTGCTCGATTTGTGGAATTGGCTCTTCAACGGGCTTCGGCTTGATGGGAACTTCCTTGGTTGTGCGGACTGGTGACACATCACGCGACGGTGGAGGTGGACTGGCACGTTCAGGGGCGGGACTTTCCACGCCATCGATGAGTGGTCGAGAAAGCAATGAAGGTCGTTCCCGTTTCCACGTTGCAGCGCGAGATGCTGAACGAGGGGTAACGGAACGAGACAGGGTTGCCCTCGGTGTCTTTCTCAAACTACTCAAGATGTCGAGAGGATTGATGGAAGCTTGACGGCGTGGGTCTGGAGGTGCAGGATTGGCGTATGGAGTGTGAGGCGAGAAGGGAGCAACAACGGGTTGACGAGCAGGGGTTGGTGGTTGGCGCATATTCTGCTGCGCGACCTGCTGTTGAGGCGGAGGGTGTTGGGAAGCAACTTGAAAGGGTGGCAGCTGATATCCTCCTTGGTGTGGTGGTCGAGTGGGATACGCAGGTTGCGGTTGTTGTTGTTGAACAGAATATGTAGGCTGTTGAGGATATTGCGGATAGGCTTGGTGGGGGTATGTCGGGGGAGTGTTTGCATGAGGAGGTCTAGGGGCCGGCTGCAAAGGTACTGGAGCGATACGCTGATTAGGCGATGGATATTGAGCAGGACCAGATCGACTAGGAAGAGCGGGAGAGTGTGGCTGAGAGGCTAGTGCCATAGCAGGAGGTAGTGGTAGTACTGGACGAGGCGATGACGGAGCAGGACTGTGAGCAGGACTCGGCTGGCCATTTGGTCTTGCGAATTGAGGAGGAAAGGCATTCTGCGAGATGACGGGAGAGACGCGGTAAGGTTGTCCAGATTGCAGAGTTGGAGCGAGTTGTGGAGATGGCTGAGATTGTTGCACATGTTGCGGCAGAGGAGACTCTGGGGCCATCTCGGAAAGAGGTGGTAGAGAGGTGATTGAGGATTTGTGAGGGCCTGCTGGTGGAGCGTATTGCGACTGTGATGAGGACGATGGAAGCAGCGGGGGTGTAGGCGACATGGTGCGTCTCGCAGTGACGGGTTCATGATTAATGAGAGCGTCGATTCTGCCTCTGTTGTTGGGAGCTGCTTCTTTTGCTTGCTGCGTTGCGCGATCGGGCGGAGTTGCAGAAGCAGCTCCATTGGTCTGCGTGGGCATGCTGACGACGGGCGATGATAAAGGTCGCGTGAGCACCTCAGCTGGAGCCTGTTCATTTCGAAGACGATCGTCCCATTGTCCACTCTCAATCTCTTTGACCTCGCGTGTCAAAATGTCATACTTTGCCTCCTCATCTCTGATCTCAGCGACGACACTCTCCCTGTAACGTGTGTACAAGCGATGCACGAGACGTGGGATCAAATGGCTGTGTTTCGCGGCTTCTTCGACGGTGGGTATGCTCGGGCTGAGCTGTCTTCGCTTTCTATCCTCATGCTGGTCCAAGCTATTTCTTGCTTCATCCTTGAGCAGTCGAAGACACAGTTGCTTTAAGGCATCTTCGTTCAAACGCGAGCTGTCGTATGAGGGATCGTTGCAAATGAGTGGTATACTCTTCAGTTGCTCCGAGATTTGGCCAAAGCGAACCGCAGTCAGGCCATCGCTGCGCAAAGCATGTAAGAGCAAGAGCGACTCGAGCGGAGTGTGTTGGGCCAGGCTAGTCATTACTTTTGAGATTTGTCGCAACCTGTTGGCGACGTCGTCGACCAGAAAAGCGTGTCGGATAGTGTTCGGGCCAGCAGTTGCGATTATTCCTGTTCATCCTTGTCTGGCACGGGATTTACGCGTCGTAACTCATGGTGATTTTATTGGGAAATGATCGATGGCCTGAAGGAGTATTTTGGATGCCTTTTTGATGGCCTCGTGCTTGGTCGGTGGCAGCTCCAGATGGATTTTGCGACCGACAGACGCGTGCTGGCTCGAGTTGCACCGGCGCCTCTTCCGCTGCCGCTCGCCGTTGCTTGGCCAAACCGACTTTCGATTACTGTTGTTCCATCATGTTTATAGCTTATCGTCTATCTCAGACCACTCGTCATCCTTGAATATGTTGTGCATCAAGACGCCTTGATTCAGTTCATCTGTCAATGGCCGAGTTCCACCTGCAGCAGCAACAAGTGTCCATCACAGCAAGACATCACCATGCAGAAGCAGAACTCTAAACAGACCACTGTTTACAAAAGTCACAAGTGTCTTTGATTCCCATCGAATGTGCTCGCTCTTGCTTGATCTGTTCAACACAACCATGTCTTGTAGGGAGCTTATCTAGCTGATAGAATGGTATACATTCCTCAGTCTCCATGTCTTCGTTGTCTTGCTGGCACTAACAAGGCTTGGCTCATGAGTCGGCGAGTACGAACCTGCAAGTGGTCATGTCGCAACTTGCATATGATTGAGTCGATCCTCCTTTTATCCCACGTAGCAAATCACTCTTTCCACAACCTCATCTCCGTTCTCATTCATCTTCCACCCCGCCATTTCCTCATTCTCGAGTTTCCGTCTTCGTTGCTTGCTCTACCACCATTGCCAACTGTATCAACCATCAGAGTTTCAGCTACATCCTCATCCCTGCCTGAAGACGTCATGGAACACACTCCTCAACCGCGGGCTAGACCCGAGTCGTACGCTTCGTTTCATGAACTTGGTCGCATTCTCACCCACTTACATGCCCTAGCATTGCCGCTCGCAACTTTTCAGATGATCTGGACTCGTTGTTCGGTCTGAACTCCGGTACCACCCTAGGAAACCTTTCATTCACTGTCGCAGAAAAGTCGGTAGTTACAAATATGAGCTGTCTCGACATCGCAGACTGACCCTGTCTAGGAAGCGCACAGTATCGACCCGAGAAGAAGAACTAGCCGCAATAGAAGCCCGTCTTCGCGAGACAGAAGAACGCTTAGCACAAGCTGCTCACAGCCCCGATCACGAAATTACATCCCATCAAGCTACCTCTGGAGCTCAACCATCCTACACGTCAAGAGAAGAAGCGCCCAGACAGGCTTCAGGCCATCAGACATATCCTGAGCAACAATATCAATCGAGGCCACCAAACAATAGAGAAGAATCCTTCCACCCTCACATTCCAGGCGCCATGCCACAGACACCCACACCACGCTACGGTCAGGAGAATGACTACGTGACGGTTGACCGCACCCGATCGTTACAGCCATGCAGCAAGCTGGAGTATTGAGCACATCTAAAGGTTATTTTTCGTACAGGAGTTTGGGTTGGACAATGAAACGTTTTGAGACGGACAGGCGAGTATCTACAGCCAGTTCGTGGGCACTGTTCGGAGTACCTAGTCTTTTTTCGTTGCATCGAAGGTCGTTTTTGTGGGAATTCTTCCAGATCTTAGCTCCTGGATCAGTAGAGCTAGAGCAGCGCTGCGTAGTTGGACGCGCGAATTATCATTCTAGCCGAGAACGAGAGGCTATCTGAAGACCCGAGGAGAAGCTTTGATCCAAATTCCGACCAAGGCAGCATTTCGGACATGCAGCAAATATTGTGGTTACTCCAGACGGGATGAATCGGTGCATGGTGGAGTGATTACACGGGCTCATCGGGCCGCGTTTGTCCTTGCAGATCCCGAGAATAGGGACTAGAAGAAGTTGAGCATCTGCATGCGTTTCAACTTTCCTCCTGAGATGTTGAAGTGAGTCTCGGAAGAGAGGGCCCTGCTACAGGATACAATATCAAGCACATGTCGTTGGTCACTATCATAGGAACAAGAGTTGATTGCTTCAAGGATGCACCTCCGGTCGAGGGTGGGGTCTTGGCAGCGCGGGCCGCTGACCTACCGTCGCGACTCATTGCGACCCGCCAGAACACGTCGGCCTACGCGTATACCAAAGACGAGGAAGTGAAAGAGGTTAAATCAGGCGTCGCAGCAAAGATTTATCCTGGGATCAATCACCGAACATGACAGACACGGACACGAAACAAGGTCAAAATGGCACCGCGACCGAGGCCAAAGCGAACAAGCAAGCACCGCAACAACAGCAATCGCAAAATACGCCCACCGCAGACACACCAAAGCTGGAGAGGACCAAGAGCTCTGCTACCGTAGACAGTACATCGAGTCCTCCGCGGAAGAAGCGCAGAAAGGTCAACCACGCCTGTGTCTACTGCCGTCGATCACACATGACATGCGACCTCGAACGACCATGCGCCAGATGCGTCAAACGCGACATTGCACACCTCTGCCATGACGAACCCCGAGAAGCCACAAAGCCCAAGAAGCCCGACACGGATACCCCTCCCGCCGACACCAGCATCATCGAGGATGAGCGAAGAAGCAGCGTGCGAACAGAAGCTCCCACAATCGCGCCACCCAAACCAATGTCACCGGCACAGATGAAGCAACCGCAGCCACAAGCACAAACACAACGGCCATTCTCCATGAACGACTGGAACTTTGGCTCAACGTCGAATCAGTTGCACGACATGCGCAATCTGCACCCAAACTACACCTTCAACACGTCAGAAGTCACGGACGAGTATAACTTCCTCGGCGACTTCTTGAACAACTCGCTCCTCGATGACACAGCAACCTACAATCCCGATGACTCCTCCACAATCTTCAACGACCCTTTGCTAGCCACCGGCTCTCTCTCCACCTACGCGAACAACATGAACCTCTTCAGCGGTATCCAACAAGCTGCAAATCCATCCTCTACCACAGCAGCTCTGCCACCTTCGCAACAGCAACAGCAACAACAACAACAACAACAACTCAATGCCGGCAACGAGATCTCCCGTCCTTCCTCCGTTGTCCCAGGCGTAGACACCAAAGCCCGCGATAAATTCTACATGACAGCCGCCGACCCAGCCGGAAACGACACACCAGAAGCCCGCATGCTTAAACTCCTCCAAGCAAAATACGACGCAGGAATGTTACGTCCCTTCAATTACGTACGTGGTTACTCGCGCCTAAACACCTACATGGAATCCCACATGCGACCTGTGCTACGTCAAAAGATTCTAAAGCAATTGGAAAAGTTTCGACCAAAGTTTCGAGAGGCAATGCATAATTTGACGGATATTCAATTAATCAGAGTGGAGATGTGGTGGGAGAGCACGTTGATGGAGTATGATCGTGTGTTTGCTAGTATGGCCATTCCAGCATGCTGTTGGAGACGAACGGGGGAAATCTTTCGAGGAAATAAAGAAATGGCTGAACTTATCCAAGTGCCCATGGAGGAATTGAGAGATGTGAGTGTTTTCTGGAACCCCTTTTTGCCTGTTTTTCTTTCTTCCCCCCCCCCCCCCCCCCCCCTTTAACCGTTCTCTCTCTTTACTCTTCTAGTTCTCGTCGCTTCTTTGCGTGGAACAATTTGCTGACAACAATGTGCAAGGGCAAACTCGCACTCCACGAAATCATGGCCGAAGACAGTCTCGTCTCTTACTGGGAAAAATTCGGCGCCATCGCTTTTGATCAATCGCAAAAAGCAATCCTGACATCCTGTACCCTCAAGCACCCCACCGACGACGTTGCCACAAAAGACGCTTCCACAGCTGCAGATAGTAAAGCAAGCAAGTCAGGAAACAAAGAAGTGGGAAAGGGTAAAGTAGGCTTGAGGAAATGTTGTTTTTCCTTTACGATAAGGAGGGATATACATAATATGTGAGTACAGCCCCTGACGAGACAAGCAAGAGATGAAAGGAAAAAATGGGAAAGTGAGAAAGGAAATATGCTAATGTTTGTGCGTGTGTGAATAGTCCTTCTGTTATTGTGGGGAACTTTTTGCCTATACAGTGATTTCTGGGCCTTTTCCTCTCTGTTCACCCAGAGAACTCGGAAATGGGGCTGAGGATGTTTATTGTTACGGTACTATTCCGCATACTGGTGAGAAGAAGAGGTTGTACAGCAAGAAATACCAGACCTGTGGGGTGCAAAGAAGCTCCAATGCAGAAACACAGCTTGCCTTTCATCCTTTTTGCGAATCAATCTCACTGTGTTTTGTGTTTCCTTGGATGTATGGCTTGTTCCGTATAAACAGATATAGCCAACATATTCTTCCCCTCTCACTAATCTACAAGCGCACCTTTACGACGCAATCTGAAAGCAGAGCGCAAGTCCATGCCTCTACACATCATCCCCTCCAATCTCCCAACGTCTTAAGCCAGCAGCAGAAGAAGAAGGGCAATAGATCCATTACCTAATTTTCTCCGCAGAATTGTGGGACCTTTCATGCGAATATGCCTTTGTACAATCACACTCCTCTGTATCGATCAGTCCCGGTCGCACAGTCGTGGGTCCGGATGCAGTGAATAACATACCAGAAAGCGCTCGTGGAAGTAACGAGACCCGTCCAAGTCCTTGGTCACTAGACACCATGAATCCTGTGCAATCCTGTGCATGTCAGCAGCAATCAACCTATTCAAAACCTTGTGGAAGGTGGAGGGGATTTATTACACTGGCTAACGTCAGTCTCAAGGTAGGCGGGAACTACTCCCTCAGACACAATTCGCACTCTGTTGCTGACTCGTAGCTCAACAGATGACACCCCCAACCTTTTCCTGTCATTAATCAATTACTCAATTGACATCTTCTCAAGTGCCTCTCTTGTAAAGCAACAGTCTGATTCCACTTCCACAAAGCTGGCCAGGGTTACCAGTACGAGCCATATCACAGTCCGTCATCGTAGCATTCTGCGTGCCAGTGGTCATGGTGTTACCCAATTTGGATCCACTTTTGTACTAGACAAGGTGTTGTGCTCTCCTGATCAAGTTCGAATCTGTGAGATTTGATGACAGCCTATTGAGTAGCTTCTTCTTATATGTGGTCTTGCCATCCAGGCGCCTTTGTCCAGCATAGAGCGTCTGGGTCACGACCGTGAGTAAGGCATGAAATCAATCAAGCTTTACGCATAAGGACCCTTCCACCAGCCACGTTGAGCCTGACTCTACCAGTATTCGCTAGGCCCTATTGGCACAATGTATTGATCGCAATGCTCTTCGGTCTCGGCATCGCGAAAGCGTCCGCAAATCTTACCCCAGCGACAAGTACGTCTGTGAAGTAGACCTCAAGATCGACGACAACCAGCAAGTAGCAACTGACGGAGCTCCCGTCCCTCTTCAGGCCCCCGGCAAAGACGCCAAAGGTGTCCCTTTCGACGATACCGTCACCAACTCACAGGGTTACAAGTGAGTAGGCGGCAAGAGAATCGTCCAGCGCCGCGTATGGGGGGCCCACAGCAGTACTCGCTAAACAAATTTCAGCATGACGATAGAGGGAGGCAGAGGAGGACAAGAAGTCAATGAGTTGCTGAAGGTGAAAGAGATCTTCAGCACGAGATGAGAGATTGGGGATGTTCCTTGCCTCAAAGCAGTGCGCCTTCTTGATTTAGGGTTCTGTGAGGGTAGGCGTTCATGGACCTGGGTGTCTTGCTTCTTGTGATATGCTCTGGCTGTAGGTGAAAAGCACCAGGGCTTCAGGAAGACAGAGCGTCCCTGTGGTCATTTCTGCAGTCACTGCAGCACATCATCCATGATTCATCTCGGTAGGAAGAAGTGGTCATGCAGATCTTGAGAGGTTTATACAGCTGTTTTTAAGTCTGAAGATGCGAAACATCTTGATCTTATTCTCCTGTACACCGTGGCATCAACATTCCATCTCATGTTTGAGCTCAAAGAGTCCTGTCATCCATGGAAGTCACTGCAGTCTGGTACTGCAGAAGAAATTGGCAATTTGTCCCACCATGCTCACCCTTTTCTTTTGCCATGCCGAAACTTGTGGACGGTAATACTACAGCTATGATCGCCTGGTAAAAGGGATGAGTCTCAACTACCTTCGCGAGCTTAAATCAGTATAGCAAAATCACGTCCATTGTCTCTTCGAGCGAAGCCAATGGTCCAACCAATATGTAGGTTTTGCGCCTATGTTGGAGAAAGGAGACCTGCAGAGCTTGGGAAGGCTTACATAGCTGCGAGATAATTATTAGTCAGTGACTCAACGAAGGTAAAGATGGCTTCCTGCTTGGTTTTTTTAGTGGGACCGATTATGTTCCTTCTCGCCGGATCTGTATATTACTTTTGACAAGAAATACTCGGGTACATAGACCGCGAGTCAGCTCCAACTGCAGAGAGCGAGCTTCAACCCCATCCAGGTGTTTTCACGTATATCTAGCCGCTGAAGGTAATTGCCACAAATATCTTCTTGTACCACTAGACTTACATAAGTAATGAGAGTGTGACGATGACGAGATACAAGATTGAGGAGAAGATTGTAGATCAGCTGTGGCGAAATCATACCTATCCAACAAGCAAGGTAGGAGCACACGAAGAACAACAGGTCCATCGACCGTCTGGCGATTGCGCACCCTCTAGCTTCGTGCATGCATCTACGTGATGCCCGAGTCGCCTTGGAGATAGGGTTAGCTGATAGATGCGAAGAGGATAGGTACAGTCATGGACCTGAGTATCTCCTTCCATACGCCGGAATCCAGCTACATGGGGATCCGAGGTGGCAAGCACGACAAAGCGTATCGCCGGCTGTGCCCTTATTGGATTTATCTACGCCGCATCCAGGGGTGCCCCTGACTGTGATATCGGCGCGAGTAGCTTAAGTGTCAGAACGATGTGACCGAGGCAGTATACTGGGAGGACAGAACCTTCATTCACATATTATGAATCATGCCAGACAGCAGTTGAAGCGTATCCGAAGTTTAGTGAGTGGAAAAGTGTATGATGAGACAAGCCTGTATGAGAAAAAGGTTTCAGCATCCAGCGCTATCAGCGCGACCGAGAACAAAGGCCTGCATCTTTCCCTCTACCCGATAAGCCATCGATCCAAGGCCAGTCCAAAAGCATCATCGTATCCAAGTCTCACTCTCAAAGCTTGTAAAGATCTTCTCCATCGCTCATCTCGACTTCTGCTTCTCCCTCCTCAACTCACATATCCATGTCCTCGCCATCGAACATTTCGAAGTCTTCCTCCTCAGCAAAGCCAGGAACGTCTTCAGCAGTGTCGAGAGCTTCAGCGACATCAAGAGCATCAGGATCATGCTCCCACATCCAATCTCCAGGACACCAATCCCTCAGACACTTCTCCTGATGCACGAATCCCTCAGGTGGCTGCACAAACCCCGGTATCTCCATCAAAACATGCGCATCCCTACACTCCTTGCCCTTCTTAGTGCAAAGACCATGATACCAGAAGAAGCAAACACGGCTCTTGGTCGTAACATCGCAGCTTGTGCCATAAGGGACATCATTGTTGAGATATGGGATGGCATCCAGATACTTGGCATTTTGCCTGGTTCTGCGGGTTTCGGCGTGGGCAAAGATGGTTGCTTTTCTTTTGGCGTATCGTTCTTGTTTGCGAAGGCGGTTTTGGTTGTTTAGGGTAGTGGGGGAGGTGTGGGTGGGAGTTGGACTGGCGGCCAGGATGCTTGGAGCCTTTATGGCGGGAGGGACCGGAGAGTCGTCGTTGGTTGTACCCGGGCCGGACATGGGGGCGAATGGAACAAGATCTTGAGATCTCTTGCTACCGTGGCTTCCTACTCTGGGACTGGTGGGGACAGGAGGGGTAGTAAGGGCGGGAGGGGGAGATGTGCTGCCGCTTCTGATGATGGAGGCTAGGAGATCTGGATGAGCGGCCAGGCCTCTGACGACCTGTTCGCGCGTCAAGACTTCTTCATACTGCTGGGGCTGCGGACTCTGCTCATACGGTGCGACAAGGTACTGGCGGAGGTCCATGTCGTCGTTGCTGTTGATGGTGGTGTTGTTGTTGTGGTGGTGCTGGTACCCGGAGAGATCTTGGAAGGCTTATGTAGTACTTGTAGACGTGTGAGGAAGGGTGGAAAGCCCGCAGTGAAGCACGGATATGCGTCGAAGTGCTTTGGGTGAAGCTTGTGGTCGTACCACGAAATTAACGTGAGGATTAGAAGTGAACGCCCGAGAGTCTTCTCTGGCTATTCTTTCGGTCAGAGAATCTGCTGCTTTCCGCGAATGAGCATCCCAATATCAAGTTGGCTGTGCCTTCCTACAGGTCTGTGTTGATGAAGTCGAGGATTTTGGAGGATAGTAAAGAATGTTCGAATGCAGGAATATATACATTAAATGCATTGAACTGAAATTCGGCTTGTTTGCCTTTGCCGACTGGAAGAACAAAGGAATTTTCGCACAAACAGAGCGCCAACACGAGACTTTGAGAGAGACATTGGGAGCAGAAAAAGCCGACAATGACTAGAGAATAGAAAGGAAGGATTTCCTGGACGGAAGGTGAAGGGGAAAAAAAGGGCATGAGTCTGTGATCTCATGGAGAAGAAGAAAAACAAAAGAGAAGAACAAATGAGAAAAAGAAGAAATGCTCCACAAACGGGTCCAAGAAGATATATCGTAAAGTCCAGGTCCAGCTCATCAATGCCTTTTGAAAATGTTCAGAATGCTTCTTCTGCGCTCATCTCTGATCAATTTGACAGCGTCACCAACCATACGATCAGAAGCATCACCATGAGACTTTTGTCTCGGCTTGCTAGGTCGCATACCCGCTTTCAATCCAGCCAATTCAGCCTCTTCACCCGCAGAGTCTTTTTTTCTGAAAACATGCATTGATGCCCTAGCGCTGTCTCCACATTGGCTGCCTTGACTCCAGTCGTGGCGGTCTGACAAGATCAATGCTGGTCGGTTGGAGGGATGGATGTGAGTGGGTGCGACAGGTTCTTCTTGAATTGGCTTGGGGCCTTTGGAGTAGATGTTTGTCTTTGGGACATCCCATTCGCGCATGTTCTCCAGTGCTGTGCTGAGGGGTCTTGGGCGAGACTTGGACGTGTCGCGGAAAGCATGAAGCGCTTGCATGCGTTTTTGGGTGACTTCTACGTCTGGGACTTCTGCGGTGGATGGAAGAGGTGGCGAGGCAGGCTTTCCGTGAATGGCTGGCTCGCTCCAGTCAAGGATGTGCTTATCGACCTTGACATCCTGCGGCTTGGACTCTGTGACTTTGTGTGTAATTGTTGCTGCTGGCACTGCTCTTCCTTCGTTCTTTTCCTTCATCCGTGTTGTTGTGTTGGCGAATTGTCTGGCTGCTACCCGAGGGACGAAAGGTTTGGCGGGCTCTGTGTTGACTTCTTCCTTGGGTTCTTGCTTGCGGCTTCGGTGGAGGATTGATCTTCTTCGTTCGGGCTGTTCGTTGACCGAGGAGCCCTTGAGTACCTGAACAGATTTTGATCGCTGGATACCAGAGCTTGACTTTTGCTCAGGTGCTGCCAGAGATGCCTCCTTCTGAGCTGTGGCTGGTTTTGCTGCTGCGGCCGCCATTTCTATCTTCTTGTTCACCAACTCGCGTCGTGCCTTTTCCAGCTTCAACTCCGAGCGGTAGTTTTCCAATTTACGAGTAAGCTCTGCTGCATCGAAAGGCTCTCTTAACGATCTTGATCGTGTGAACTGTTGTGGTTGCTGTGGTTTTTCCTGGTGTGCTTTGGCCGCATATCGTGGCTTCCAAAGATTTGGCTGGGAAGTGCTAGTTTGAGTCATTGTCGCTACTACAGCCATGTTATGAATTCCTGCAGAGAACACAAGTCGACGAAAGGTTGATCCTAGCGATGCGATGCGCGTAGTGATATGGATATAAGTCGAAGGGTCCAAACGTTTTACTTTTTCCTAACGGCCAAACACGTAGTAATAGCACCGAACGACAACGTCACAGGTCGGTGATGTTATGGGATATAGATGGCGATCAAGAGTTAAAAGTGTAAAGAGAGGAAAGGAAAGAGGGATCTTGAGCAAGAAGATAAAAACAGAAGAGATCCACCTTGTTCGCGCAAGCGTCCGCCGATGGCCGGCTCCTTATACACCTACCTCATTTTATGATCACACGCACGCCTCGGAGGGGAAAAGAAGGGGCCGCCAGTCATGGTAGTGTGACTTTTTTTCCTGCTCGATCCCTCGAGTGTGCCTTCATTTAGGCTTCTGTCGAAGTGAGGTACGAGGGGGAGTCCGGCGTGGCCTGGCGTGTACGAAAATGCCTAAACTATTCCTAGCAGAGGAACGAGGGCTGCTTCAAGAAAGCACGAAAGGGCAAAGCGCCATACCAAGGAAATTTCTCCAAGGTTGGGTCATGACCATACCCCGGATCGACGACCTAGTTGGCCAACCCAATCTTTTGCACGCGATTGTGTGTTCACCGTGTGATCAACGCATTTTTCAACTTCTCTGTCCATCAGCGCATGAACAGATTCAGGGAGATTTGGTGGCTTCTCACTCTTCAACCTTGTTCGAAACGACCCGCGATTTTACTCTTGACTGCTGCGAAATAGAATCCGAATAAGCATGAGACACGGGCATCTAGATCACCAGACTCAGGCACGCCCGCGTGCAAGAGAAAATACCAAGCCCGCCAACCGGAGTATTTTCGTGGAAAAAAAGCGCCATCTTCCCAAGCCACCAAAACTACGCTTCCCCCTCCTTTCTCCTTCGCGACAAAGCATCGCGAGCCCCCATCGCATGAGCAAGAGCGACGCATCGCAAAGCTGCAGCTTTTTTTTTGTTTTGCTCGAACAGATTCAGGCACGCAATTTTCTCAACAACATAAACAATGACATCGCTTCCATGAACTTCCTGAGTTTGTCGGATCCCTTCGGCGCGCGGACGACCTGTATCCACCTGTTGTCGTCACAAGCAACCCCTCCAAGGTGTGCACGTCATTTTGCATCTGCATTATCACCTTGCATGCTGTCAAAGCAAGTGGGCTCCCATAATTCTCCGACAACGAATACGAGACCATCAGATTTGCTCTTTGGGATAAATATTCGTCCAATTATCTCGCCGCGTGCGAGCCGTGTGTTGGTCAACCTTGAGGTTATTGACGTTTGCTCTTGCCAGCCGCAAACCCACGCGATCGGGAAGTAAAGCGGGAATGAATGTCTCATACCGGCTGGTCAGATACGGTGAGACGGAGCGCTTTCCAGATCCCTGTGAACTTTACTCGTTCTTTGCGACTTCATGTCCTTCTGCTTCTATCGCAAAGGCCTTTCTCTTCTCTACGTCTGTTCACGATTAATGGACAAGCAGTAACAAGCAGCTGAAAGAAATGGGAGCCTTCGGGCATTCTTTCGAACGGCTGAAAATGGCGTCGTCACTTACTCGTGCGATGCACATTTGGAGTCTAGACAGCTGAGGACGGAATTTCTCATTACCACCATGGAGTACCTCATTACACAAGTATCTCGACACTTGCAAACAACACCTCATCTACACATAAGTGATTTTCCGGGGTTCGGAAAGCATATACCATAGCTGAAGCAATACACCGCTCTTGTATCTCGAGCCGACAACGCCATCAATGCTCCGTCTAGACTCGCTGTCTTGTTCCAACCTATGCTCCCTTTACTGCCCTTGCATCGAGAGAGACTTGGACTTGACAACTTATCTGGTAAGAGCATGTCCACAAAATCCGAGATCGGAAAGCCCTTTACGAAAAATTAATAAATGTCTCTACTTCGGGACCGCAAAGTGTGAAAGTTTTGCTTTGTGGCTTTCGCATACTTTCTGCATACTGCTCGCACGACGCGACGCGACAAAATTAATCGTGATCTTTTGCAGATGGAACTAACATCGCTCAGAGAGCACTTTCGATACAGAGACGAGGGAGAATACAGAGCTTCATGTACTTGGATCAAAGGATCAGCAGCATTTCTTTTAGCTATGCGGTAAGCATTCTCAAATCACGAGATGCCCTGGACATACTCATGATACTTACTCGGTCGATGGACGTCTATGAGATAGCCCAGCTTATATCTACTCTATCCCATCATCATTACCCCAACGCGATGTCAAAGCCGCCTCGTCCTTACATCAAACAAGAAACCATCTCATCCCAGATTCCCCCTCCTAAAATCCCTAAAAACTCCTTTTCCTTTTCATCCCTCCTTCCCCCAATACTTCCACAATATACGTTTTCGAAACCCCAATCATCCTCCCATCTCTTCTGCTCCCTCAAAATCCCCAAAAACCAAAGAACGTCTAGGGGTCAAATGAAATCGTTACCAAAATGAATCATTCCCAAGTGACTTGCCTCGCAGTTGCTTTCAGCTACACGCTCCATCCCCAATAAAAAACCGCTACAACTCCAGAGAATCGCCGCGACTCCATTGGGTCGCTCGCTACAAGCACCAGTGGCGACTCGGCGATAAAAAAAACCCCTTGACTTCGTATAGAGGAACTCGAAATCGGAGCAAAAGTTGAGATAAGACCTGAAGAGGGTTAAATGCAAGAAAAGAAAAAAATAGAGAGACGGTTGGAGCTGAAAAAGGGTGTTGTGGAAGACTGATGCGATGGGGGAAATGATCTAGACCCTAGACAAGACCAGAAGCAATGTAAAGTAAAGAAAAATTAATCTTTGAGCAAGGAAAAAAAAGAAATGGAAATGCGAAGAAGAGAAAATGAACAAAACAAGCTACTTTTTCTCCCTCTCCATGAAAGATATATGTATGCACTACAAATACAACGCTGAACAAACACCACTCACACTCATCGCTATCCCCCACCACATCAACACGCCCAGAGAAGAAAAAAATCCATCTTCTCTATTACACAAGAAGGAAAAACCCCAAGCACCACGAGCTCAGATCAACTTCCCCTCCTTCCCACTTGTACGCTGCCTCTCCTTTAACTTTTCAATCTCCAAATCCCTCCTATCCATCTTCTCCATCTCTACCAATTCCTGCCGAACGGCTTCTACACAAACATCTTGCACATCAGCACCGACCCTCCAAGTCCTGAACACCACACCTTCTCTCTCCATGATGGATTTCGCCTTCGCCCATCGTCGTTTCCACAATTCTTCTTTTTTGGAAAGTAGTGGGGCGTCAGGGTCGATGGGCTCATGGCTACTGAGACGGTTGGAGGCGTACGAGGCTGCGGCCGCTGGGTAGTGTGATAGGTTTCTGCGTGGTGGTGGGGGTTTGGGCCTTTGCTGGGCAACAGTGGGTGGAGTGGCGGTGGGGCGTAAGTCGTCCATACTTCTCGTTGCTGCTGTGCTTAAACCTCTCTCTGGTGTAGATGTTCCACTGCTCTCAGAGGCCCAGGTAGGACTCCGTCTCGAGGAGGAAAAGTATGCCGTCGTGGGTGAGAGCTTTTGCTTTGCAGAGGTCAAGTAGTGACGTTTTGGCAGAGGTGGTGGAGCGGTCACTTGGGGTGATGGTTCAATGACTTGGGAGAGTGGTGAAGGTACTATTGTCGTGTTGACGGTCGTGCTTGGTTTACGTGGTTTTGGCGGCGGAGGTGAGGACTTTGAGGGGGGAAGGGATGCTGTGGTTGCAAAGGTCTTGCCTTCTCCTGATGGTGAACGTAGTGCAAGAGGTTTGGGGGGAGGTGGCGGAGTCGCGCGTCTGGCGGGAGCCTCTGTGTGAGAGCGGATTGCGGGTCTTCTGGTGAGTGATGTGCTGTAAGATCTCTTCTGTGGCTCGTTTGACAATGGTGATGTGCTATCTTCATCACTAAAGTCGATGAGATTGTCTTCAATTGCAGATGCTTGCGGTGCAGGAGGATCGGTAGGTCGTCGTGGTGGCAAGCCGGGTCTTCCCCCATGCATCTTTGTTGGTGCGACATCCCCGCCAAATATGGATCTTCTGTCTGGTTCAGTATCCTTCAGTGACTCTGCAATCGCCCTTCTAAGCTCATCGTCGTCGTCCTGTATATCAGATGGACGATTCAGTCTCTTGGCTCCGACCAAGCTGTCAGTGGACATGTTACGGAATTGACCCTTGGACGACCTATCGCCGCTTAGAGGGCCCATGGAAGAATCGAAGAAGCCCTTATCCGGTTTTGAAGTGACGTCGCGAATGAAGATGGCGACGACTCGGCCAGGATATTCCAGCACAACATCAGTATAGACTTCCAGATCAGCTTCACCACTGTCTCCGACCAAGACAAACTTGCGTTCCGGAAAGTCGCGAAACAGACGGTCAAGTGTAGCCTTCTTGCGCTCAGCGACTGGCTCAAAAATGCCCTGCAACATACCACTGTATTGCTTCAGATGGAATGATCCAAGTGGTAGCCCAGCAGCCTTGAAAAAGCCCGTGATGACAGGGTAGAGTTGCCAAGGTGAGTTCGAGACATAATGCATCTTGACCCCCATGTCTGCAAGTTTACAATACCATTGTCTGACACCTTCGATGGTCAAGTCGCCCAGATCGCGAATGAAGGCATTGCGGAAAATCTCTCTAGCACCACTAGTAATGGCGCTGTGCTTGATAGTATCGTCGATGTCACTGATCATGCTGACTCCTCTGACAGGAGTGACCTTGACTTCTTCTGTGGCGGACAAATCCTCCGAGGCAAGAATACGCACGTGAGTCGGTATAAAGTCAAGAGGGGCTCGTAGATGAAAGTGACCAGCAGCATTCGTCTGCACAGTGCGTTGACGGGAGATTTTGTCGTTGTAGAAGAAAGCGCTGACAGATGCATTGGCCAGAGGTGTGGCCATGAAAGGTCTCAGGCGAGCCATGAGGTGGTTGTTTGCTGTCACTAGCTGCTCAGAGGACATTTTCGCAGGGGTCGGCCATGACGAGCGCTTCTTCACAGGGTCCAGAAAGTCGGAACTTGATGTGTTTGATCTCGATGGAGCCAGAAAGTCGTCGAATGTTGGGCCACCTCTAGTGCTTGGTGCTGGAGAAGGTTCTCTGCTGCGCGTACTTTCTGCATATCTCGAAGGGCGCTCACTGAAGCCGCCTCTTCCTGCAATCTCAGCCTCCTTTTCGCCTTTCTTCAAGATCTCCTCTGCCTGTTTTTGTATAGCTTCCTCCTCTTGTCTTGTTGTAGAATCGCGATGATGACCGACTGGGCTTGACGAACGACTACTGGCTCGGCTGCTAGCTGAACTTGATCTGCCGGACGGAGCTTGGATACCAACGAGTTGTCTCGCGAGGCCGACCATGAGTCTGTGCTTGCGACTCAATTGGCCCTGGTGTGGAGTGTATAGCCAGCCACGGACATCGACGTCGACAATGGCCTTGTCCTGTTCATACTCATCCCATTGCGCCTTCCAGAATTCAGCATCTCCTGCGCCTGCAGTATCTCTAGAATCTCTGCCGGTGCCTGACGCTTGTTGTATCGTTCCTGGTTGGGCGCGTGGCTTCGCTCGGATGTGTTTTGTGGCATAGCTAGGGAAAATGATCATCTCCTCATTGCCGCTACGAACGACGTCGGCTCCGGGGAAGACGCCCGGCTGCTCTTCGCTGTCGTTGGCAAAGTCCCTCGATTGGGTCCACTGTGGAGCGTACGACTGTCTCAGCTCGTTGGCGGCCTTGAGATAACCGGCCAACTTCTTACGCCGACCGCCAGACTCTCTGGGAGCATCGTCTTGGTAGCCGCGGTATGACATGATTGCTCTCTGTAGATATCCACGACCATTTTTCTGTGCGCGTGACGTGAGAAAGGCCGGGCTGCGCTGACGCAAGTAGGCGAGAATACCCTTGGCTTTGCGCTGTTGCTTCTTGACCTGTCGACTGACAAGAAAGCGATATATACGGGACTGTGCGGAATGGCGAAGTCGAGGGATGGTCTCGAAACGGAGGTTGCGGATTCTGTTGCGTGCACTGCGGCGGGTGAGCTGTGATGGGAAGAGGTAGCTCAACAACGGCTTGGACTTGATGATTTTGCCTCGCGCCTGGAGCTTGCGGAAGAAAGAGGGAGCCACCTTGATGACCGCGGCCTCGAGTGCGAGGTGTCTTGAAGATACCAATCTGCAGTCAACACATAATCGTCGCCTCGGTGCCTGTTCTCCGTTCCCCAAACCTCGACTGTTTGGCAAGAAGGATACGTCATGTGTCTGTGCAGAGTGTCCGCCGAAGCCTTCGTCCCTGACTATCACAAACACTTGGCCATTTCTATTTGTTCATATTGCTACATGCACATCGTTTGCATCAGAGTGACAAGTCTGTGTTTAAATATGACATGTGCCTCGCTTTTGTTGATCATCCATGTCAATCGTGTTGCCTTTCGTCCGATCGATGGCCAAACTGGCGACTTCCGCAGAGGGAATGTTTCCATGCTGAAGCACGCACTTCACAGCCTCCAAACGTGGTCGTCGTTGTTAGCACCAGCTTTCGCAATTTTGCCTCCTATACTTTCGTAGTCATTCAGAAAGCTATGTCATCTGAAATACCCACAGGTACTCAAGGGCTTGAGTCGATCAATGAGAAACAATGATCTTGATTTCTATCCAGGGTCGTCCTGTCCGCGAAGCCAGGGGCATCCAACAATTAGCGCCAACCTTGTTCTTCCAGGTGCGAAGATTGGTCGCACGCCGAATTGTGCACATGCACATGATCTTATGACCGCAAGTTCTCTTGACGGAGAGAGCAATTGCCCAGCATAGAGCGTGAGCAGAACTCCGGAGTGAACAAAGAGTCTTCCAAACGACTTTCATCACTTCATCACCATCATCATCATCATGAGAGGAAGCAGAGATGTCAAACTTTGTTAATCCTAGAGGGTCACAACGGGAAAACATCCGAACAGAGCCGCGTCGCTCACGGCTTGATGAGTGAGCGTGTCTCTCTCTTGGAGGACTAGATTACTGGAATAGAGCTCGGAACATACAAAGCCTTTGCATGGAATCGGACCACTCTGGCCGTCGTACAATATGGCTTGTTCGCCTTGATACCACCTGCATAGTCGACCTTCCCTTTCCAAGCAATTTCCACGCTGTCGAGACTCAATCAAAGCTCTCGTATAGAGCGATCACACCATCCCATTTTGGCAGCTGGAAACAACAAGAAATTCTGTGGTCGACTCGGCGTCGCAAAAGACGTTGAGCTCTTGACAGAAACAGGTGGTACGCATACAGTTCACCGTGACTCGAAGATGCTGCGATGTCGCGATGTCGGTCAAGCAGGATCGACTGTTGTGAGTCTTGGTCTTCATGGCCGGAGTCCGCACTGACTGAGCCCTACAAGCGATTGCATCGACATTCCTAACTATTCAAAGAGCCCAGCATCTTTATGCTGAATGTTGATTGAGGTATCGACGAGGCACAACCCACAAAACTCAGCCAATGTCCTCCAAAGTCTACCTTGAAAGCTGGATGGTAAACCGAGTATGTCCTTGAGAACACCCGTTTGTATAAAATCGATACTATAGGATGATCCCCCTCCTCTGCCCCACCCAAAACACCTTAGCAAGAACTTACTGCACGACACCTCTAGAGGTAGGTACGCCGAGCATGACCTATAAATGCCGCAATTATTGCTTTACACTCTCGCCTTCCTTCTTCACTACTCTCAACACACTGCCACAGACTAGCACAAAACGAACAACTTCGGTACGAGTCTTGCAAAAGGCAGACAGCCATCCAGTATGGGGGAACCTACGTATCAAGCAGGGCAAAGCTCAGGTAACGTCTCAAAACACAAACAAACATGTATCTTGCAGACGGGTGTTCATTTCTCGAGATCTGTTCGTCGCTTTCATGCAATGTCAGGCCTCGAGATTGATCTGAGAAATACCGTAATGCCGGTGGAAGCAAAGTCGCGTTTCTCTACTGCGGAGTGCCTCTGCTTTCACCGACATAGAACTTGATCTGGGTAATTCCAGCGAAAGGACTGCTTCTGTTTATCCCTTACCTCCATCGAGGGTAGGACGTACTAATGATAGCAGCTTTATTTCCCTAAAAAGTCTTCAAGATGGCCACTGATAAAATCACCTTTTTGTCCAACTGGTCTGTGGCTTTCTTGATTTGTTTGACGAAGAAGTGACATGTGTACTGACTAGTCATAGGCATGCCACCCCTTACCACGCCCCTGTCTACCTTGCTCAGGCCAAAGGCTTCTTCAAGGACGAAGGACTCAAGGTCGCTCTCCTCGAACCCAACGACCCCAGTGTATGTCTCACAACCTCCTCGCCCCCAGATATCCTCTCTAACCTAAGCCAGGACGTCACCGAGATAATCGGCAGCGGAAAAGTAGATCTAGGCTTCAAAGCCATGATCCACACCCTCGCCGGAAAAGCCCGCGGCTTCCCCATCCTCTCAATCGGCTCCCTCCTCGACGAACCCTTTACCGGTGTAGTCTACCTAAAGTCCTCTGGCATAACCACCGATTTCCGCTCCCTGATGGGAAAACGCATTGGCTATGTTGGCGAATTCGGAAAAATCCAAATCGACGAGTTGACTGCCCATTACGGCATGAAGCCCTCCGACTACACTGCCATTCGCTGCGGTATGAATGTCACCAAAGCCATCATCAAAGGCGAAATCGACGCTGGAATTGGTCTCGAAAATGTCCAAATGGTTGAATTGGCCGAGTGGCTTGCTGAGAATGGCAAATCTCGCTCAGATGTTCAAATGTTGAGGATTGACAAACTTGCAGAATTGGGCTGTTGCTGTTTTTGCTCAATCTTGTATATCGGCAACGAAACCTTTATTCGCGAGAACCCTGGCAAGGTGCGTGGGTTCCTTCGCGCTTGCAAGAGGGCTACCGAGTATATCCTTGCTTCTCCTGCTGAGGCGTATGAGGAATACGTGGATTTCAAACCTGCTATGGGGACATCCCTCAACCGCAAGATTTTCGAGAGAAGTTTTGCGTATTTTAGCAAGGATCTCAAGAATGTTGCTAGAGACTGGAACAAGGTGACTGCTTATGGCAAGAGACTCGGTGTTTTGCCAGAGGGGTACGAACCCAATTACACCAATGAGTTTTTGGAGTGGGGGTTGGAAAAGGAATCCGAGGACCCCATTGGTGATCAGAAGAAGATGGTGGTTTTGCAGGAGAAGGTTGCTGAGGAGGGTGGATTCCACCGTCTTGGTGAGACTGTTCAGGGAGCTCTTGTTGATGCTCAGGCATGCTTGATGTAAGAGTGCATCGAGGAGGGTTTCAAGCCGAGCGCAGACCTGCCATTCATTCTTTCCGTGCTTGTCTTCTACGACTTGTATGGTTGTTAGCAGGAATAGATCCGAATATTACCTCAATCTCTCCACCTTTCACTTCTCCAGAACGACCGAGAAACTTATACAGCACCGTTATCTCCACAGCTCACACAAACCTCTCACGGTTTCCATGGGTCTCATCTTGATCCCTGATCTTATAAGCCATCGATCCCAGCCCCATGGTCATCGTGTAAACCCATCCATGATTTCCTCTCTCACTCCACAACCAAAATAAAGCCACAAACTTCCAATCTCAAGGCAGAAATCCTACCACACAAGGAAAAAATCTCCTGACCAAAAACTTTACAATAAGAGACTCAATTACTGCATTCCTTACCAATCATTCCACCTACAGTTTCCACACCGAGAATACAGGGGATTCATAATGCCATGTATCATTTTGCACATCCTACCAATTCTCACAACCCTCCACACTTATATATGATAGTATCAAACAGTAAGCCCTCCGACGATACGACAAGCGGTACCGGACCCCCCTCCCGAACTTCGCCAACACGAAAAATCCAATCATTGCAACAAGACACACAGTCTACTCCCTCTTTACACACAACACGTAGCAGAAAAGGCCATCCTCATCTCCCCAACTGTCATCAGTATCCCAATACCAATCCCCCTATACCCCCATCCCATTTTTTCTATACCCGTATTCCATTGCAACCAACAAAATCCATACATTCTGCACAATTCCACCACACTCCACCACATCCGCTCATTCTCAGCCCAATCTCCCATCCCCCAATTCTTACAATCCACCTCCCCACTATACCAAAAAGGAAAAAAAACAAAACACAAAAGCGAAGCATCGATTTAAAAAAGGGCTCTCAAATTGTAACACCATGAGTTGCTACTAGTGCTGCTAGTGCTGCTAGTGCTGCTAGTGCCTCGAAACCAAGTTAAATACATTAAGAAACAACAATAAGGGAACAACTAACTATAATTCCTATAGCAAACAACAAAATAATCACAGCTGCCGTCTCCCTTGACATGGATTAATTCAACATTTTCCTTTTTCGTCCTTTGTTAAAAAAGTGCCTTGTGAAAATGACTACTGAGATAAGAAGTCTAATTCCTTTCTTTAGTAACAAAACATTCATCTATCCATCCATCTTATTCTGAGTAAAGCACAAATTAAGGACATCATCTATACACATAGTTAAGAAAACAACATGATGTCGAGTACCGGTATCTATCATATTTCATATTTCATAATCTCACTCCTTTGCATTTTTTTTTAGCAAGTTTTGGTGCTTTTCATACAAAGGGATACAGCCAGTGTTTCGGAAAAGAAAAAGAAAACCACGAAAAAAGCAATTTCGTATGCGCCAACAACCCCATCCCGCTTACAGCAAATAACAGAAACGCCACACTTTCAAACAAGCAACAGTAACGCCACACCTTCAAACAAGCAAGAGAAACAGTAAGCTCATGCATGGTAATCCTTCAACTCTCTCGTTCAACTTCTTCTCCATCTCAATACTCACTTCTTAGCTTTGGGCTTAGCGGGTGCCCTCTTTTTGGGCTTCGGCTTCTCCTCTTCTGCTTCCTCGTCATCGTCATCATCAACAGCCTTTTTCTTGCCCTTGCCCTTTGGTGCAGCGGCAGCCTTCTTCTTCTTTGGCTTGGCGACGTACTTGTCCTTTGATATGTCCATGTCTTCTTCCTCTTCGGCGCCATCATCTTCAGCTGCGTCCTTGAGGATGGCTTCGTCTTCAGAGTCGTCCATTGCTTCTTCGAGGTCGGGCTTGTCTTTGGCAATCTTCTTTGAAGGGTTCACGACGCTTGAAGCTTTCATGAAGGGTAGAGGGTGAGATTGTGCGTTGTACCTGTGACTCATGGATTAGTAGCTGCATATGAAGAGCGTCGAGAATTCACTCACATCCTTGTGAAGGTAGCTTTGGTCTGAGTTTCAAGCTTGATGCCCTCTTGATCCATGGGGCCAACACCAAGTTCCAAAATGGCATCAAAATCATCCTTGGTAAGGAAGTATTGATCCATGAGCTGGATGACCTCGGGCACCGCTTCTTTACCTTCAACATCCAGCTTCTTGACGAGGCTCTGCCATAGGATGGGCAGATACTGTTGCCTGATCTCGTGTCTGTCGCCAGATGTACGAAGACGCATGTGGCCCTGGATTTCCTTGACTTGACGACTGAGCTTACCATAGGAGCTGTTCTTGCCCAGCCATGCGGTAAAGCGTGTCTGGTTGCCGGCTTGAGAACCTGCGACAAACGAGGCTGGTCTGACAAAGCTCATGATGGCGTGCGAAGGCATCAAGCTCCATTGCTGTTGAGAGCCGTGGATCATCCTGTCGACAAGATCACCGTCTGAGATGCTGTCCGCGGCCTGACTAGATAGCTCGAGTGTCTTGAGGTTCGCCTTCCTTGCATCGTGGATATCTGCGGCGAGTGATGGTTTTGTGCCGAGATAATTCTCCTGTAGCATAAGAGGACTGAATTCGTGGTCGTTGAAATAAAGCTCGATTTTGTCGTTAAGAGTGGACTTGCTTGACGCTTGGAACATGCCGCCTCCGAGAATTTTGCTGGTAATATCCCATGGCTTCAACACAACATGCTTCTCCCATGCTTTTGACATCTGCTTGCCTTTGTTAAAGTCCATAGCAGATTGATCAAGCTTTACAGTAGATATCATATTGACGACTTGACGGATATCTGCTCCAGTACCCTCGATTAGAGCGTTCATGACGTTCGGAGGCATCTTGAGACCTTCGCGGTGGGCGATAGTGGCAATACGTGCCCGGATCATGTCGTTGGTAGGACGGCGGAAAGGCATGTCAAATGTGACACCATCGAATGGCTTCATCTTTGGTAGCCTGCGGTCGTTGCAGATAAGAATCATCGGGACTTGGGTCTTCTTGCAAACGGCAGCCAAAGCACCGACACCTCCACGATCACCAGCAGACATACCATCAACTTCATCCATGATTAAGACGACTCTCTTCTTGCCGGTCTCGACTTTGCCAGTAGAGAAGTAACCATTCAGAGATGTCGTGTCCAGATTGCCCTTCAAGCTGGCCTCAACCATCTTTTTGCTGCGAGTATCGCTGGCATTGCTTTCCACAATGTCGTAACCTTCGAGTTTGGCGACAAGATGTGCTGCAGTGGTCTTGCCAATTCCTGGAGGACCGTGGATCATGACTGCTCTATGGCAGCCAGTTCCGTCCTTACCAAGAAGCTTGAAGCCTTTCTTGAGATTCTTCTGATAGTCGCGCAACCAGGCTGCCAGCTTGTCCACCAGACCCTTGTTTCCGCAGATCTGACCAAGCGAGGTTGGGGCATACTTCACAGTCCAGAGTCTGTTGTCTGTACCATCGGCGGCGAAACCCTTAGGAGTAGCTGCAGGACCTTTAGCGAGCCTTTCACGCTCAATTCTCTCACGATCAGCTTTCTCCATTTCTTCGGCGGCCTTCTTGATTTTCTCAGCCTCCTTCTTTTGTTGGGCTTCATATTTGGCGCCGGCTGCACTATCGCCGCCGTTGGGAGGAAGCTTCGAGATGAGAGCAAAAAGACCTTTCTCGTCAATGACCTTGAGGTTGTGTAGTTTGATGACTTCGAGTTTCTTGGGACCAGCTTCAGCTCCGAGAACGACATAACTAGTGTTCTTGCTGGGTGCCGTCATGCATTTTCCGCCATAACGTTTGACCAGATTCTGACCTTCGTCTCTCGAGATGTATGTAAGTTGACCAGTGAAGACAAAGCTCAAGCCAGCAAGACAGTTGTCGGCGCCCTCAGGGATGTCAATACTACCAGCATTTGGGGCGGAGGCATCGGCGGCAGGTCTGTTGAACCACTTCTTGGGGGCCGCGTCAGGGTCCTTGGGCGGAGGTTCGGGTGCTTCGATCAATGGGATGTCATCGAGGATGGCCTTGAGGGCAGCACTGTCTTCGACGGGTGGATCCTTTTCCTTCTTCTTGGCTGGGGCGCGGGCCTTCTTTGGCTTTGGTTTCTCTTCTTCGTCGGTGTCCAGGTCCTTTGACTTTCTCTTTGCGCCCGTCTTGGCCTTTGCTTTGGCCTTTGTGGGATTCAACTCTTCATCGTCTGGAACGACAAAGTCGTCATCATCCTGCATTTCAACGTCGACGTCGTCGTAGTTTTCGTCTTTGACTTTGGGCTTGGTGACGGCGGCGCCGCGCCTCTTGGGAGGCATGTCGTCGTCTTCGACCGGTGGTGCTTCCTTCTTGATGGGCGGTTGCGCTTCCTTTGTGACCGACGGTTGTGCTTCTTTCTTGTACTCCTCGCTGAAGACTTCGTCAAGGTCGTCGTCGGGAAAGTCTTCTGCGTTCAGGTCATCTGTTGAAGGTGGTGGGGCGTCTTCTGACTTGATGGATTTGGCAGGCGACTTCTTGGTTGCAGGTTGTGACTTTGTAGCAGCAGCGGTTCGCTTTGGCTTGTTTTTCGTGGCAAAGTAGGCGGCAGTCGTTGTTTCTTCGCCTGTTGGTGATGCGGCGCGTTTCCTGGCGGGGCTTGTCAGTCGATTGGGAAGGAGCAACTGGCAAATCCAGGCAGACACGCTTACGCTGCTGCTGTTCTCGTCGTCGTCTTCTTCGGAACTACCCTGAAGAAAAGTATCAGCATTCGGTTGACACAATAAAACTGTCGGGTGACTTACTCTTCCTCGTCTTCGCTGTCATCGACAACCTTTCTAGCTCTTCCCTTTTTGGCAGGAGCTTTCTTTTCCTCCTTTGCTGCAGGAGTCGCGGCCGGCTTGCCCCCAAAGAAGTTGCGAATGTCTGCTGGCATGTTGTGTGAATCTATGCAACAGCAAAAGCTAGACGAATGCTCGCAAATGCTACTATGCAGGAATGTCGACTCCAGCTCCGAGACAAGACGCGCTTCGTGCTTGTCGCGCTCACTCGCAAGCGCGTCATCAATTTATCCCGATTAGGCTCCACTCCCGCGGGAAACGGGACTAGCCGTGCGACATGGAGAAAGTCCAAGGGCAAGGCAATGTGACGGACGAACAGCTCGAATAAAGTGATACACACACTAGTCACAGCAATCATGTCGGCGCCACGAATCCGTGCAAGCCTTGCTTCGCATCGCAATACCCTCTTCTCCCTCGCCCACACTTGCAGTATGCGCACCCACATGACTTCTTCTGTGCGCGCTCAAGGCTAAACCACCATACAGCAAGGCCGCAATTCCTCCCGTCGCAAACGTCACCCATCCTCTCGTCGCTGTCTCGCGCATTCTCCTCAACACCTTCCACACAGTCATGGCTCCTTCCTCGCGCTGGTGCAAACAAGAAGGACCGCAAAGGACGACCTCGCGTTCCCACTGGTGGCAGTACCCGCGGCACCACCGTCGTTTGGGGTGACTACGGCCTCCGCCTTCTCGACCACGACCGACGCATCAGCGCTGCTCAACTCAAGATTGGAGAAGATGTCATTCGTAAGCGCCTGCGTGGAATGAAGTACCGCCTCTACACCCGCATCTCGGCAAACATTGGTGTCTACACTTCGGGCAACGAATCGCGTATGGGCAAGGGAAAGGGTAGTTTCGATTACTGGGCTTCGCGTGTTGCCGTCAGCAAGATCATCTTCGAACTCAAGGGAGAGTTGCACGAGCAGGTGGTCAAGGATGCTTTCAGGTTGGCTGGAGCAAAGTTGCCTGGACTTTATGAATTTGTTCGTGCTGGTGACCCGCCAGTTATGGGCATCACAAAGCTTGGAGATGGCGTCACAGAGGAGACGCTCAGGAGGCCGAGACGTGAGTTGCCTCCTCCCAGCATTGATCAGTCCGCCGACCGCATGCCTACCTCTCCGTCGCCGTAAGCTCTTGGCGACTGATTTTCTGTTCCTTCTTTCTGTTGGCTGTATATGATATTGGGGGCTATTGCAGTCAGGGCACATTCTACCGGCGTTCATGTGTGCTTTGTACAAACACCCAAAAGGACCTTATTTACTACTACTACTCTCGTCCCCCTCCAGAATGCAGAGACATGTGCAGGTCACAAGTTGGTCGACAGGTCGAAGTCTTCTACAGGTTTCAAGATCGTATATTGAACTCGCCACGGGCCGTTCAGCCATAGACCTCTTCCAAGATTTCTCATCATATGATAGCAATGTCTCAATCAAACGGTCCAAACCTGGTCGAAGGTCAGGTACCTGGGCACGGCGGCGTGATACCCGCTGTGGCTCACATGTCCCGGGTCTTGCAAGGATAGCTCGAGAACTGGGCCGTCCACAATCTTCTGACCCTGACCTATCATATATCGATACGGCTGGGGTGCCTGACTTGACATGCAGTAGTCTTCGCGATATGCAAGCGCCATTACCATGGATGCGCAAGCTCGTGGAAGATGGCTGGGAATGCTTGATCACCACTCTTGATCAGATCTTATGTTTTCCTTCTTCTGTCAGCACTCAAGAAGTGTATCGTATCGAAACCGGGTATAAGCGATTGACTATCATGCTGCGATGACCCGAGTCGCTTGTACTGGTATTCGATGGCTAAATTTTACAGTTTTCCATCTTTCGGCTGTTCATGCCCAAAGGGACGGCCCCCAACCGGCGGTCACCACGGCTGGTCAAGAACCATGAGCCTCTTCGGGTCGTCGCATTAGCACCATATCATATGCGAGTACAAGTAAACTAGTGTGGAAACTTTGGGATGGATAGAAGTCGCTGTTGTTGGAAGACGAGAGGTCACAAAAGTGCTTTTCGGAGAGCCCCGCGTGTGCCTGTCCCACCAAAATGCCCACCACCTCTTCCCTTCTCGATCAATCCTGCATAACACTTGACCATCGCGAAAGAGGCGCATGTCACCGGTCTGCATTGCGCCTCTGACTCTGATCTCAACGGACATTCGCATCCATAGGGCTCTACAGGTCCTTTCAGTCCGTTCAAACGACGCGTCGACGGAACAACTAGACCGTTTGGCTAGAAACCAGCCGTTGGACACAAGCCGAGCCTCTTCCCCCTCCACCACAAGCAAGGGATATCCCACAAATTGAACCGCTTCCATCGTCTTTGATGCCAATAATTGCCGTTGTAGCGCAGGGCAACATTTTTGCAAGTCCTAGCACCTCTGTCCTTCCTTTTGTTCGTTCAAGCTGCACCTCTCTCTCCAGGTCGAGACACTGATTCTGATCTGGTCTTGCGGAGCTGGCTTTGCCCCTTCTCCAAAGCGCCCCCTTTCACGCGTTCTACAACGCGCCTGCATACAATTCTTCACGAGCACCTGTCAGTCGCGTCAGGGAACAAAGACCTATCGATCGCGACTGGGAGATATGTCAGGGAAGGGTCCGTCCGTGCACTTCACCCGGGTTACACTATCTCCATATCGAACAACGTTGACCTCTATCACGCCCTCCTACGCAACCACTCGCTGGTCTCTTCACGTGTACTCTGACGAGGTAAATGTCTGTATATGATATAAGACGATGTGCGCCTCCTTGCTTTTATTGTTCTTTCACGCGTAACAACAAGTTCATTCGTGACACATATACCGGCAACCAGGTTGATGCAGCTGTAAAGGTAAAAACTCTTTTCGATCTACCAACTAACCCCCTCCAGCCCCTTTACAGAAGCACTCCATCCCAAGTTTTTGCCCAGCGCCACACAGGCTAAGTATCTCACCCCCCTCTTGATCCCTACACTACCTTAATCCGTGCTTCCTGCAGCCAACCCTACTTTCCCGACGGCCTGAGCTGTTCGCGTCTGCACTGATATATATCCAGGTCCCCTGTTTGCACATTTTTACAGAGCCAGGTTTAACACTTTCTTTCACAACAACCCGACCTCGCCACACTCTTTACGATGCGCGTTACTCAGGTTATCGCTACTCTTGCGCCACTTGGCCTCGTCGCTGCCGGTCCTTTGCATAATCATCAGCGCCATACTCATCTTCATCATCTCCACCATCGTTCGGTTAATGGTACTCTGGACTCCAACTACACTACAACAGATACCGCCAACTCAACTATCTACGCTGATCACATCGTCTACGCGACTTCCACAGTCAATGTTGCTGCTAATTTTGCTGATGGTATTGATTCAAGTTCGGCCAGCTCGGAGGCAGCTTCCAGTATCATCTCAGAATCAAGCAGCATCTCCTCATCCTCCACTACTGCGCAGTCAGAAACTGTCTTCTCAACTCTGTCATTCACTTCTGATGTTTCGTACGCGAGCGGGTCTCCTTCGAACTCATCATTGATCTCGAACACTTCATCGGCTATTCCTTCCGACGCATCTGTTTCTATTATCCTCGCCGTCGCAGCTACTACACCTACTGCTGTTGGCGCACTCTCTCAGAAGGTTGATACCACCACCAGCATATCTGTCGATACTGTCTACAACACAATTACTGTCAACGGTGCTGTTACCACCGCTTCTGCAAGTGAGAAGACCGTCACAGTTACTGATGTGGTCACCAACTTCGTCACTGCCACATTCTCTGCATTGACTCCTTTCAAAGCCCCGGCCATCAAGGCTCTTGCGCTTTCTTCTGGATCATCTTGCGCTGCCATCAAGACCAGCATTGTCTACCTGCCCGCTAGCGCATCGCCAACGCTTGTCAACGGAGGATCTTCTGCCAGCAAAGTGGCTTCTTCGTCCTCCAAGGCTACCAGCCAAACCACAGTCAGGTATGTGTCTCAGTCCGCTTCGAAGTCCAGTTCCTCCTCCATCAAAAAGACGAGCACCTCTTCCAAAAAGACGAGCACCTCTGCCGTAGTCCTTCCTGTTTCCACGAAGAAGTCAAGCAGCACTGTCAAATCATCAAGCACATCAACTAAGAAAACAAGCACAACTCTTGTCAAGGCTAGCACATCATCCATCAAGAAGACATCCAGCACTTCCTCTGCCAAACAAGCAAGCACCTCTTCTGTCAAGAAGATTACTTCGTCCTCTGTCAAGCCTGTTTCTTCTTCTTCGAAGCTTATCACTCTTTCTTCTGTGGTTCAAAAGGGTGCCACTACTAAGACTCTTGTCAGCACTTCGACGATCATCCCTTTCGTGTCTAGCTCCAGCTACAAGGCATCATCGTCGGTCAAGCCCTCGAGTCAGAGTGCTGCAAGCTCTGTAAAGGCTAGCTCATCTGGCTGTGCTACTGTAGCTGCTCCTGCCTCGACTCAGACTGGCATTGTCTCTGGTTGCACGAAGTGGTACACTGCCAAGTCCGGCGATTACTGTTACGCAATCGCTTCTGCCAATGGTATCTCCACTGACACCTTCATGTCTTGGAACCCTGCTGTCAACGCGCCCTCTTGCGACAGCATCTGGTAAGTCTCCTGAATATCCACTGTCTTGGACTCTAAAAGCTGATAATATCCCAGGGTTGGCTATGCATACTGTGTCGCTGCAGGCTGCAGCTCCAGCAGCCCCTCCTCGGCCGCGAAATCTGCCACCGCATCAACCAAATCATCTGTTCCAGCTTCGGCCGCCAGCACTTCCACAAAGACTTCGGCATCCACCTCCGCCGCAACCTCGACCTCCATCTCTTCAAGCTCATACACAATGTACACCGGCGATGGCAGCACCTCAGCCGGCTGGCCCGCTCAATCCGCCTGGATGGACTTTGACAGCATGTTCAGCGCCAACATCCCCATCATGCAACAATCCTGCGCCAACAACGGCTGGGGATCCAACAACTCACCCACCGAAATCGCAGACATCAAAGCCGCCATCAAGAAAGTGTCTGCCTCTTCCGGCGTAGACGCACGCTTCATCCTCGCCATCGTCATGCAAGAAAGCAACGGCTGTGTCCGCGTCGTCACAACATCCTGGTCCGTCCAAAACCCCGGCCTCATGCAAGACCACGCCGGCAATGGCACATGCAACTCTGGCGGTGTGATTCAGGACCCGTGTCCTGCGTCTGAAATCGAGCAAATGATTGTCGATGGCACGACTGGCACGACCTCTGGTGATGGGTTGGTGCAATGTCTTTCCCAAGCTGCTGCTACTGATGTCAGTAAATACTACCGCGCCGCTAGAATTTACAATGGTGGTTATGCTGGCTGGAATCAGGCGGATTTGGGTAAAGGGTGTTGTACACTTTGCTATGCGTCTGATGTTGCTAATAGACTTACTGGGTGGAGCTCTGGTGTTAGTGGATGTCATTTGAGCTGAGAGCTGAGTATCATGAAGCTCTGAGCAACATCACCACAAAGCTTGTTAAACCGAGCCACCTAACGGCGAAAGCAACGCAAAAGATAAGAGAAGGACATTTTGAAAAAAGGCGAAAATGCAGGACATTTCTCCCCTTTTTTTCAGGAAGGATTACGGATTTTTTTACACATGAGAAGGAAATACCCCCCCCCCCCCCCCGGAACACAACACAACGAAACGCACACCCAACCTTTTTTCTTTTGTTTATATAGCCTTCCTGAATACATCACACCCACACACATATGCATAGGACAAAATGCATATTGTCATACACTGCTACCAGTTTTGCTTGCCTTCTTTTTGTGTATGGGGAGATGTGATGTGTGTGTTGAGCCTCGGCGGTCGAATGAGTGTCACAGAGGTGTGTCTCAGGGTGCTGAGACCCTTTATAGCTGTGAAGTTGTAGTGCTGGACAGCCAAGCACCATTAAATTGCAAATATCTAATCGTCTCTCTCATAGATGAGTTTTCGGCGATAGCAGTCTATCTCTGTCCCAAACACAGCCGAAGAGATGTTTTGATGCTACCAAGAAGATGTTTGATGTCCAAAATTGCCCCATTCAAACATGGATACATGGATGGTTTTTGGGGTCTCCGATTCACACCAACTGCAGAGGCTGCTTGAGTAGCTGCAACGCGCCAAAAAGCAAGTTGTCGTGGTGTTTGCGAGCAACGAGTTGCAAGCTCAGCGGTGCGCCCTCGAAAGATGTCTCCTCCCATGCACGACGAACAAAAGCATCTTCCTCTCCAAGCACGTGTGAGTCGGCGTATACTTCCGAGCCCGTCGCTCCAGCATACAATGGCGTTGGAATAGACACTGCAGGATGGTCAACCAAATTCCACACGCTGGTGTAGCTTTTATAGATTGCGGTGTCGTGAGCAGGTGCAGGACCGACAAAGACCGGCATGAGTACAATATCTACATCTTGCTCATTCCAATGCTTTGCCATAGTGCGGCGGTACTCGTCACGCTCTGAGCGTAATAGTGCGATATCACTGACGTGGCTCGAGTCCGTGGCTACGTCTATTACTGCCGAGGTGAGTAGAGCCCAGGCTCACCCGAAGCAGCGAGAATGTTCTTGAAGCCGACGCCGCCATCTGGCATGAAGATACGGCGGACTAGTGATAGCACTTCTCGGGCTTGGTATGGTGCGAAGGATTTGACTTCGACGTCGGCGCAATGTTCAAGTCTCTTCTGTGCCCAAGAGATGGCACGAAGGATTGGCGGAGCCGGCGTGATCATGCCATCTGTAGCCATGATGCCAATCTTGAGTTTCACAACCCCTGTATTTGGTCCTGTCCAGGGTATGGGCACTAGAAGCGGATCCTTTAGATAAGGCTTCTGAGCAAGGATGACTCGCAAAAACAAGTCCATGTCACGCAGAGAGCGGCACATAGGCCCAGCACAAGGTTGGATACTGAGACCAGCCGAGAAAGGATTCAGCACTCGTCCAAGATGATTATCGCTTTCCATGTGGAGAAGACCTTGCGGCTGCATGGTCTTGACGTAAAATACAGCACCCAAGTCACGAGGATAGAGACCATCTGACTATCCTCTTCGCTTATATGTATCGAAGCGACGAAGCCGTAGGATGTCTGCTATCCCTTCAGGGCGATGTGTTCTTTTAAACTGATTGAACACCATGTAAAAGACCAAGAGTCTTCCCGTGATCGGTAAGATAGTCATCCAAAGCCTGTGCTTGCTTGATAGCTTCTTCCGGAAACCATTAGGTCAAGCAGTGAGTAATTTGGTGGCGAATTATAGCGCGTTTCGAGAACGCGGTAGCTACAGCTACTGCTGTGTATTTGCGCTCGGCAACCGCAGCAGCAAGACCAACGGCATCATAGTCTTCTGTGATGGCAAGTTCCTCCTGACTAAGTATACCACAGGATCGAGGTATATTAGTCACATCCAGAGGAAGGTGGGTGATATATTTGCCGTCGATGCGAAGATGATCAGGAACTTTGGCGTTGAAATCGTCGATGATGGTCTGGCGAGTTTTCTCAAAAGCCGCAGTACCTGCTGGTACACCTTTCGTCTGAATCACGGGTAAGGAGCGAGTGATATTTGCGCTGCCTTGTTGAGCTGCAGGACTCTGGCTGATAGCTCTCATGCTTTGACTAAGTCTTGATTGAAACGATGTTGGAAGCGTGGGGAGTATTCGTGGGGTGGTTCAGGGTGAGTGACGCAGTGAGATGGCATCTCCCCGGCCGAGACTACATGTTATACTATTACTGCGACCAGGCCTGTAGGTGAGCGAATCATCTCGGACTGTGGTCAACGTTGCGAGATAGAGAATTGCAGCGGTTCGTTGTCCTGAATGGCGACTTCCCGGCCTCATTCCCCGGTTATCTACTCCGCACAAGCGCCTGCCATTCTGAGATTTGCCATCACCCGTTGTGTTGTCTCGCACCTGGGCTCCACAATCCTGGATCGCCAACCTTGTACATACTACACATGTAGCGACAAAGCGCAGAGAAGACTCCGGGGACTTCGGCTTCTTGGATGCCATCTCAACCTACACCATGGCTGCCGATGGTCCGCTGTCGCTCCTCCCTGTTCAGCCTCCGCATCAGTACTGGCCAATCGGCAATGAGTCTGGACGAGGATGCAACCATAGTTTTTATCATGATATGCTGGCCCAGTATCTCTTGATAACACGATCGTTGATGGCTGTCCTACACACTTGAATGCATCCAGCTGGAGACCTAGTCTCTCCGCGTGTTTCCCCCGCCTTCTTGCTAGGCCGTTATCAACTTCATCGAATCCCCTACACGTTACTCGCAGACAAGGTCTATAAATCGACTGTCCGTGCTCTCTTTGCTCATCTTCATCCTCGCATCGCTCAACCCAGACTACCGACTGACAGAGAGGATCCTGCAATTTCCACACTCGACAATATCCCACAGACTAAAGTACCAGGAACAGTCCGTCTGGTCGATCTCAATCACACCTTGAACGTACAGCATGCTGGTAATGGCGACTAGGATCCCCTCAACTGGGCTCCGCGCAGGAAGCTGCTCTCAACAATTTGTGTGATGGCGTGGGTAAACCTTCCATCTCAGATCAGACTGAGGAACTGACCATAGCAGGCATACATTTTTTAAAGGATTGTCTACCTCCTCGATCTATGCAGTGGTGGTCCCTCTGTCGAAAGAGACTGGCGTACCAGTCAAGACACTGAACCAGGGAACCGGTTATCTCTTCCTGCTTCTGGGTTGGGGGCTACTCTTCTGGCAGCCTTTCGCCCTGAGATATGGCAAGCGTCTCACGTGTCTACTCTCCATGCTTGGTACCATCGCCACTTGTCTTTGGGCGTGAGTCGCGACAGTGTTTCCTCTTGTACTACCATCTAACTAATCACAGTCCCCATGCGAAATCGGAAGGCGAATGGCTAGCCAGATGTGTCATTCAAGGGTTCTTCGGTGCCCCTGTGGAAGGCCTTCCCGAGATCTCAGTTACAGATATCATAAGCACAAAGCCTTTCCTTGAGCGCCCCATACTAATTGTGATAGTGGCTCTATCTCACAATATGCTGGTTGGCGATGGGTGTTCTACGTCCCAGCAATCCTTCTTTCAGCTGTCTTTCTCTTCGTGCTCTTATGTATGGAGGAAACCAACTACTTTCGGGAGTATACTGGCTCTGCAACACCTGAAGAATACGAGCTCGACCACGCGATCCCTACCTCAGACTCAACCATTGAGAAGCAGGGTAGTATCCAGCGTGCCGCCTCTCGTCCCTCGATACGGATTGGTCAAATTCACGCTTCGAAGAAATCTTATTGGCAAAAGTTATCCTTGTGGACTCCAAAACCCGGTCCTGGCTTCCTACAAACAGCAATTCAAAGTTTGTCGTTTCTCAGCTGGCCCGTAATCTTCTACGCAGGATTCTCGAACGGCTTATACCTGATCTGGTCAAACTTGCTCAATGGAACCATCTCTCTCATTTTGACGTCTGCGCCATACCATTTCACTACTTCCATGGTTGGGCTGAGCTATTTGTCGGGTTGCATTGGTGTTATTCTCGGAGGTCTTGCGTTTGGACAAGTCAGTGACTGGCTCGCGCTGAAGCTCGCTCGTCGCAATAACGGTATCATGGAAGCTGAACACCGTCTGTGGCCTTTCTGTGCAACGATGCTACTCGTGCCAGGATCGTTGCTTCTCTGGGGCATCGGTGCGGCTCACGGTAAGTTCCTGATCAAGCTTGCGAGACTTGTCACGGTACTGATCACACTCCGCTCCAGGTATTCACTGGTTTGCACTGATTGTCGCTTTCGGTCTCGTGGCTTTCGCTGTAGCACTTAGTGTGTCCATCTCCGTCAACTACATGGTCGACAGTTAACATGACATTTCCGGTGAAGCAATCACCTTGGTCATGCTTGTTCGCAACACGATGTCCTTTGCTATGGGCTATGGGTCAGTACCACCGGCCCAAGTTTCGTCATGATTCACCTTTGCTAATCATACTACAGTGTGACTCCCTGGGTTCAGGGCCTCGGTGTACAGAACTGCTTCATCACCGCTGCTGCGGTCAGTATTGTCACATCGACAATGGCTTTCGTCTTCTTGAAGTGGGGTGAGAAGTTCCGTGAGTGTAGCGCAGCGTCTTATTATAACCTAGTTGACAAGCGAGCCGGATGAGGAAACACGTAATCACGAATCGATAGAAAGATGGATCTTCGGACACACAATATGGCGTATGTTAGGATATTTTCTAGGGCGAATCTGTGGGTAAATCTGGCAATGTATATATAACGAAAGCATAAACCAACATCTTGATACAAGTGAATGATTGTCTCGTTTTACCAGGATTGAGAGTCCTTCTTCAGGTCCTCACCGTTTAGGCCGTAATGAACGTAGAGAGCTGACCCTGAGAGAGAGGTGCCTTGGCCCATAACAACGTGGGTCGACGGAAGGTTTCGTCAGTGACGGATATGCCCGATTTTGGCCGTGACGGGTCTATATTTTTGATGATGTATGTTTTGGGAAGATCAGGCCAATCTAAGCTCGGCCTTGAGACCATCACGGTCTTCTTGCGTCAAGTTGATGCCATATATCTCGCTCAGCGACGTTATGCGCTCCTCTTCTGTCTTGCACTCCTTGATGACTTTTCGCTCGCTCCCAATGCTCTCCCTGATAGTATCAACGAATAGTGTAACACTCCCCACAATCTTCTCCTCCTCAGCATCCATAATCATCTTTGTAGCTGTGACATAGCGAGTAAAGAACGAATTGCCATGTGTAGACGTGAACCAAGACATGACTTCATAGTCCTGGGGCAAAAACTCCATCTCGGTAAAACAATACGTCGGGATCCATTTATTTTCCTCTCCATGACCGGGGTCGTAGCAGATGTCATAGCACCACATCTTTGGCGCGTCAATATCTCCGTAGGATTCAGTGATGGGGCGATGTTGTAGTCTGATTACTCGCGGTGTGATACTGGTGGTTTCGAAGCCGTCGCGGAGAGGATAAGGCATATTTGGGCCCATGGCACCCATGCCGACGTCTACGACGTACCACTCGTCTTCGAAGCGGACGAGATTGAGCATATGGTTTATGCCATCGTAAGTCGCAGCCTGAGTTTTCCGGACCTCGGGGAATGGACTCATGGCTCGAGACACACGTCCACCGCAATTGCGGACATGATAGCCGAGCGAGCGAAGGACAGTTGCGAAAAAGCTGTTGTTTTCCATACAACGCCCGCCACGTCTCTTCTCGACAAACCAAGTGTATAGTTCAGAAAGCTCGAGTGTGACTTTCTTACTGGCCGAGTAGTGGAGAATGAGGTTTTCGAAAGGCACATTGCAAGTGTGATGGCGACATAGCGCTTCTAGCAAAGGAAGTCCATGCTCTTTTGTTCTCGCAAGACTAGCATCTGTGAGGACAGGCGAATCAAAGTATTTTCGAGAAAGGTTGATGCGTGTAAAGTATTTGCGTAGCTCGTCGCTGCTGTAATGGCGTCGGTCCACATCATTTGGCAGCTGCGTGAGTGAAGTGGGAAGAGTTGGGTCAGACATTTTCAAGCTCCGATTCGTTTGAAGAACACATTTGTCATGCAAAGATAGCAGCGATACGGCTTATGATATGGTCTATCGCCACGGAGATCCACTGCTGCGTCTTAATGATGATGATCGATAATTTTCTGACTGATTTCGGACACGCTTTCAAAGACCGAACGGTATGACAGCAGATTTGGGCGCTTGTCGGGGAGATGCGCCGGGTCGCCTGGGCTAGCCGGACATGATTACCCAAGATAACGCTATATGTGGCATCGATACAAGCTTGGGCCAAGTCACGAGCGGACATCATGTTCGTGCGAAGCAGATGATTTGATAGCGCTCGGTAAGGCGACCTGGATACATTTGGAGCGAAAATCAAGTGTAGGCAGAGATTATGTGGTAGCAGGAACGCGCAGGAAATGCAGACTTGCTCTGTCATTCGTTGTCAGGACGACCCTGTCGCTGACATCTCGTCCCAAGTCCACCATGATATGCTCCTCTCCAAAGGACAGTTTGGACTTGCAATGCGTATTTATTACATGAGTGTCCCCCAGATGTCCGAGAATCATCGGCTGGTAAGACTTTTGTTCATCGGCGGGCTCTCGCAAAATATGGAAGCCCCGACTCTGGCACGAAAGCAAACACGAAGACGTGAAGATCCAATGTGTTGCTATCTTTGATATCCTCGATACATCATACCTTCCCAAGAAGCAGTGCCACATGAGCTGTGTTCGAAAATCGAAGGGTCGAACATCTCAGATGCGAATAGTTGGTATACTTCAAGGTCATCGGCGTCGAGTGGCATGGTCACGAATGGATCTGTTACAGAAGCAGGATTGGAGGCGTTGTCTGGCAACACGGAAGCTGAAGCAGGCGTCCCGTTGGGATTAGCTTCGTGTGTGTTAGTCGCTCCTGTCACATGGTCAGCAAATCACTGGGCACTGCCCGGGAAGATGAGGTCACTTACCACGGAAATTGCACATGAGCGAGAGTTGATGAATGTACTTCCAACAGCTGAGGACGAGACTGTTCTCGTAATCCAGGTGTTGGAAAATCGTCTCCGCTTTCTTCAGCAGTTTCTTTGCGTGGTTGATTGCCGTCAAGTCTGGAGGGATCCCCTCATGTTGTGCCCACAAGAGTCGAGCACTAATAACCAGTGAAGCTGTAAAGACTAGTTTGTAAAGCGTGAGCAAAACCTCCACATCTTGCAGCGACATCATGTCTTACCATAATAGAGTGTGAAGTACCACACACCGAGATTATTCTTGCTTGTCGGGTCAGCTGTGATGACCGCATACACAATATCGATAGTGCTTTCGGCTGATCGTATACACTCGTGTGCCTCAGCCATAGCCAGCTGTATGAAGTATGGCGCCTCATCGAGCGCTCCTCGATCTTTCTGAAACAAGTGATTAATCGTCGCACTGAGCAATGGTCGATGGACGAGGATACTGAGATTGTGATAACGCATTGTAAGTATGACTCGGAGTCGATTCACTCGCGTATTCTCGCCGAGGATGTCTGACTGAGGATCGCAAAGGCCAAGGTACGGTGGTAAACCTGCACTCCATATTCGAAGCGTCTTACAAAATTCCACGGATGCCTGAAGAGCGAGTAAATCGTTGGGATCACTTTCCTTGTATTCCGCATTCGTCGCGTACTGCTTGACCAATGACTTGCTCATGACCTGATACAGCTCAAATGACACGGCTAAAAAGTCACCTGCGACATCAAGCTCATTGTTCGCCATGCCTGTAGTGCGAAACAGCCTGGATGAGGGTTGCCGGTTGACGGCCTGCTCATCTGCAATACCGGCCGGTCGACCAAACGCAACGCTCAAGACCTTATCCATGCAGTATATAACCACCCATGTGCGGCGGCGGTACTCCTCTTGTATTGGGTCTAGATTTTTCCCGGCCACAGTGCTATGGAGACCCAGCGCCATGGCCGAGCGAATCAGCAAGCCATGGTTATTCCAAGCTTGCACCGAGCGCTGAGTTCCTTGGCAGAAAAGGACAACCAGAAGAAGGTAGTGCACGATTTCCAAGCTGATAACGTGTTTTGAAAGCTCACCACAAAGTCCGATAGCTCGTCGGTAAAAGACTTCGGACTTTTCGAATCGTTTCTTTGCAGATGGTAAATTATCGCGATCAAGCATACATGCCATGGCGAAGATCATATTCAAAGTTCCGAGCCAGGTCCTCCGAGCCTTGGTGAACCCATTGTTTGAACACTCTGCGAGTGTCTTTCGTGTCGTCTCTTCATGTATGAAATCGAAAACCACGCCTGAAGTGTTGAAATAAATATCTAGCAGGTCGTTCATCTCTGCAGTCGTCGGAAGAGAAGTTATCGACACGTCCTGTGTAGCCGAAGCTATTGAGCCGTTGTGAGGTTGGCCATATACGCTCGCAACATTACCTTCATCCGCAGAGCCGAGGTTTTCTATGATACTAGGGATATCTGTAGTGGGATGGCGAACAGTGGCTATAGCTCGTAGGAGAAGCTGTGTGAAGTTGATGTTCGACGATTCGCCAAAGAATGCCGAAGTATGCTCTTCGACAAATACCATGGCCATACCATTTTCTTGGACTGCATCCTCGTCTTGCGGTTCTTCCAGTCCTGTCACATGCGTTTGGCCTTGATCCGGATCAGATTGAGATGATGGGAACGAATTGGGAGGCGGTCTGGCAGAGCTTGAAGCTCTGTTGTCGACACATGGCGAGAGATGACCTTTGAGCACATCATTGAGCCGCTGAACTGTGCGCTCTAGATTGACCATGCGCTGGTCTAGACCGGTCATGTAATCTTTGCGCACAACGACATTGGTTGCTGACTCACTCGACTCATACTGGCACTCGAAGTCAAGCGACACACATGACGAGCACGAAGGCCTATGCCCATCGCATCTAATGCGACACTCACGTTAGTCATGTTTCCGAGCAGATGTTCCAGCGCAGTCGAGACGCGAAGCATACCTGGACTTGCGCATTCGACAAGCGTTACACGCAAGCCCAATACGCCGCCGCTTGTTGGCGGAAGGTGCCGACTCCTGGCCGCCTTGTTCCGCAGCATCACCTGAGCCCTGCGCCGACATCCTTTACCAGAACGCGCGTAGCGTAAAAAAAACACGGATCTATTGATGATGGGGAAAGGAGGGGAGATGAGGCCGATCTGATGATGCACATTGCGTGATACAACATCGACAGGTGCACATGCTAAGGGGAAACAGCCCGGGGTCGTCGGGGAAGTGTCGGGACAGTGCTATTACCTTATCCGCTGCCAAGAATTTCCCTCCTCACGCCAGATGCGGTAGGCACCTCGGCTTTACGACATCGCCATCAGCGTCATATCACCTTCCGTCGAGTCAATTCGCGTCTTCCGGCCACGGCTGGAAGCCGTCCAGCTTACGCTCGCAGGCACGAGGCAGCTGGCTCTGTGAGCCCTAGGAACGTTTCCATCTCCAAAGACAGCAATTCTGGCAGAGCTCATCGGGCCATGCCCGGTGTTGCCCCGCACTCTTATCACAGCTACCCAATGAATCACAGGATGATGATTGTTAAGTAGCAATCACTTGCTTTAACCACTCTTTGAGATGTGGCCAGCAGCAAATACATCGCAAGACAACATGATCGGAAAGACTATTGAAGACTTACATATCGCCATCGTTGGTAAGCTATGTTTGTCTCCAATAGCTCTCGCTGTCAGCTGACAGGCACAAGGCGCCGGAATTGGTGGCCTGGCTCTTGCCATGAGCTTGAACAAGAAAGGAGTTTCTTTCACCCTGTATGAAGGTGCCAAAGAGTACTCAGTCGTTGGGTACAGGAACATGATCTTATAGTCTCACCAGGCGCACCAATCTGACTTCCAAAGTGCGGGTATAGGCTTCGCTCCCAATGGAATGAGAACAATGGACCTAATTGAGCCGGAGTTTCGTCCTCTGTATGAGAAAATCTGTGTCGGAAACAAGGGCGAAAACAATCAACACATCTTCTTCGAGGGCATGCTCCTGGAGAAAGGCCTAGGTTCATAACATGACATTGCTTCTGCCATTATGAATTCACCCCCTGACTTGTGATGCAGGTCAAAACCAGCCCTGGTTTGGCAAATCAGCTTGGGGACATCCTGACTTTGATCGCAAATCTGTTTGTCAGCCCACTCGTTTATACTCCCAGATCTGGTACTGACCGCTTCCAGGCACATCGAAAAGAACTGCTGGAGATCATGACGAGCTTCATTCCTATCGAGAACGTCAAGTTCAACAAATATCTTGAATCTATCGAACAGCATCCTGATAGGGTCACCCTCAAGTTTACAGATGGTGAGGTAGCTGAAGCGAGTGTTCTCGCTGGGGCAGATGGTATCAAGAGCATCGTGCGGCAGCACGTCCTCAAACCCTATTACCCTCATGAAGCAGCGCCTGTATACGCAGATGCATACTGCTATCGCGCCGTCATCCCGATGTCTGAGGCCTACCCGATTCTTGGTCATCTTACCGACGTCGCAAAGTTCTACTTTGGCCACAAGAAAAGTGTCATCACGTATCGCATCACTGGCGGCGAAGAGTTCAACTTCCTGTTCTGCGTAGCTGCTTCAGAGCCTTGGAAATTGGAGAAGGCCGTGACTGAGAAGACCACACACGAAGCTATGATGGCCGACTTTGAAGGTGCGGATGTAGACCCCCGTTTCCGTCAACTTCTTGCAAAAGCGCAACCTGTCAAATGGGGCTTCTTTCACCACTGGCGTACATCAACATACTATCGCGATCGCGTTGTCCTATTAGGCGACAGCGCTCATGCCTCTCTACCATTTCAAGCTGCCGGTGCTGCTCAAGGGCTGGAGGACGCACTAGTGTTGTCGAACGTGCTTGCGAAGCTCGCCGAAATGCAAGAGACTCCCGCCAAAATGACACCATACATCCAAGCAGGTCTCGACGCGTATGACGCAGTGCGACGACCAAGAGCTCAAAAGCAACTGGAGCAGGCCGCTGAGGTTGGTCGCATGATCTTCTTCGATCATGAGGAGGTAGGCTCTGACATGAACAAGATTTTGCCGAAGCTCCAACAGGGCCGATTTGACTGGCTGTGGTTCCACGACATGAACGAAGACGTCAACAAGGCCCTTGAGTGGACGAAAAAGAAGAGTCATGAGCGATTGCAGGTAGCGAATTGATTCATAGTCACGACAAGTATGCACATACGTTCTACATCCGGCAGTCCTTATCAATAGAAATCAGTCCTTGTGGACTCGTAAATGTTGCTGGTGAGGATTAACACAGGTTTGACTATTTTCTCCTGGCCAGATTGACAGCAGCCATTTGCCGCGTGTCTGAATGGCTACGGCGGGACACTCCGACGATTTCGTTGCCGTAGCTTCTTGCGTCATTTGATAACAGCATAGATCATATGTTCGTGAATATCTAAATCGTGTAGATGTAAATCGATTCTCGGATTCTCTACAAATCTACAAATCTACACGTTTGAGAATGCTCTGTATTCATTATGACAGAATGGTACTGGGGGTGTTGTCCATCTAGGTATAGTCTCCTCGTCCTCATACCTTATCATCGGCGCCAGAACACGTAGATCATCGCCAAAGATAGAGTTGGAGAAATGTACATAGTACTTCTCGTTTTCAATGAGATCGCTGCTCATCCCCCACGCCTTGAGATTTTGGTAGTACAGAGGCGCAACGTGTATGTCGCTTGACCATGAAGGAAATTGGTACTTCTCTTGAATCCTGTTCACAGTCTCGCGCTGATAGAGTCGAACTTCGGGATCCAAAGTTGCCATATTGTAGCCAGTCAACGCGGCGTGACCGTGGTATGAGCCTCCAAACTTGGCACGGTCTCTGATCGCACACATGATGGTCAGAGCTGTCAGGATACCTGTAGACATATCCGAAATTGGAAGACTGGGCAATACGCCTTGACCCGGCAGATAGCCGAATGCTTGACCCATGATATACGAGCTTCCAGCCGCGGCGTCTGCAATCTGTTGCCATCCTGGTCTTTCTGCATAATAGCCGTCTGGTCCGTAACTGTTCTCATCAACGTAGACGATGCCTCTTTAGCGCTTGTTTGCCATCTCCAGAGCGGCCTCTAAGCCAAATCCACGACGTTTTAGAGATCCGAGACGATATCCTTGGAGAATGACGTCGGCTTGCTCGAACAGTGTGATCAGTTTGGAATGGTCGGCAGGGTCATCAAGATCCAAGTCGATGGTCGTTTTCCCGCCATCAGAGAGGAAGGCTGAGCCGGCGTGTAGTCCTTGAGTTTTGACGAGTTGACGCGAATGACTTCGGCACCCATTGACGCCAGAGCAGCACCCGCAGCCGCTCCTGCGATAATGCGAGTCAATTCAACAACCTTGACCCCCGCTAGTGGACGTTTGTCGTCCAAGGCGGGAAATGGAGTTGGTGGAAGGTCGAGGTAAGCTGATTGACGAGTGTAATCGACGAGCGAATGACGAGCCAGGGACTTTCCCATCTCCGTCTTGAGCCATCCTGCTGGTGAATGGACAATAGAACCAGACAAGCCGTTCTGAAGCATTAGTTGCTCGATTTCCTGCGCTCGAAATGTTCGAACACGTTGCTGAATCAGATCATACGCCGCATCATCTGTGCGGATCTCGGTATCCAGGTCCTTACTGATGCCGATGAGGGCTAACATTTTCCACGAGTCCAGTGAACCGTGAAGCTGGAACCAAGTACCCTCGTCGGCTGTTTCGTAGATAGCCGTAGAACGAAAGACCAGAGAAGAGCCGGATTGGCGATCTTTGTCCCACTGTGGTACAGTCGGCATCTTGATCACTGCAGGTCCTGTCTGTCCATCAATATGGACGAGTGCTGGTGTAGCGGGGTAGAGGCCAGCATGCTTTGTATCGACCAATGTAGTTGTGCTATCTGTGATGCCACGTAGATGTAAGATCTCCAGTCCGACTATGCCAACCATGGCATGGAGCACTGCAGTCACAGTGTGACTTGATGGGCCCGGGAATACAAGGTAGATCTTCGCCTTTGAACTTGACCCCATCGAGTAGGGCCTCCTGAGTCGTGAAACCAGGAGTACGCTTAGCGAACAGACGTAAGATGCGTTTACATTCTTCAGGTAGGGGTGAAAAGGTCCGATCAACGTATGTCCCAGGACCGTAAGTCTCGCTATGGTCGTTATGAGATACGTGTGTGGACATAATTATGGTGCGCGGTCGCAATCGACGAGACTCGAGAACTCTCTCACAAATCAGTCAACTGCGGGACTTGTCTTTGTATCTCAATCCGATGCCATGTTGTTGACCACAGCGCGATAGCAGTCCAAGCTTGTCGGAGGAAACAGCACCATCAAGGTTCCGCACCGTTTAACTTCGACACTGGCGTCACCCTTCCCCTCATCTATCGTCGGGAGGGTGCGGATATGACTCCCGGATACCGACAACCGCGGCGACTCCTTCTCTTGACCGTAGTTGTCCCCGCGTATCCGAATGGACGTGACAGTGCAGTGACAGTGGTTGTCGAACGCCACCATGCTCACGTGTTTGGAGTTGAATATCAGATATAACTAGATCCAGCCATCAAGAAGCCACAGCATTGGTAAATACAGTGAATCGAGGACTCGAGCATGCCGGAACAAATACACACAGTCGCTGTCATCGGATGCGGTGTCATCGGTATGGGATGGGCGGTCCTCTTTCTCTCGAGAGGCCTCAAAGTCATCATCACGGATCCTGCACCAGGCGCAGAAGAGAACTTCGGAGGATATCTGCGAAATGCGTTGCCGCTTATTGCTGCAAACCAAGAACTTGAAGTTGTGTCAAAGAATTATGAGTTTGTGGACGATATTATACCGAGGCTCATTGAACCAACGACGTGCCGGAAAAGCCGGTAAAAGCTCCTTCATCCGCCTCCCGACAAACGACCAATCCAGATACGCTTCATCATGCCGGACGACCTCCAAGCAATCCTAGCCCGCCATAACTTCAAAGGCATAAATGTCGCCAATTTCTCGCCACCGCGTGCCCACGTCCCTGCTCCCTCACGTCAACCATATCAATATCCTGCTCCTTTGTCCCAGGCTCAGTATCCATGGTCAGTAGGGGGCTCGGTTGGTGCGGGAGGCGGATGAAGTTGATCCTAGTAGCTAACAGCTGACTCGTTATTGTTGCATGCAGAATGGGCCCGAGCGTGTCAACTGGAAAGAGGACCTCTTCGAGACTCTCGACAGACATACCCGAAGCGGTGTTGTGATTGCTTCGTCCTCTTCGGGTTTACCATCCTCAGCATTCATTGGAAGGTGCCAGAAAGACCCTAGTCGCATACTCATCGGACATCCATTCAATCCTCCGCATTTGATACCTCTGGTTGAAGTTGTGCCTCATTCAGGTACAACTCAAAATTGCATCCAAGGGGCTCTTGAGTTTTACAGATCTCTAGGCAAGAAGCCTATACTCTTGCATAAAGAGATCCCAGGCTTTGTATCCAATCGTCTGCAGGCCGCCATCAACAATGAAGCTTACAGTCTGATCAGCCGCGGCATTGTATCGGCTGAAGATCTCGATGCTGCTGTGACCTCAGGTCCCGGACTCAGATGGGCTCTGACCGGGCCGATTGCGACCAATGCTCTCGGAGGAGGTGGGGGTATTGAAGGGTTCGACAATCGATTAGATCGCCTCGGACCAGCAATAAGGAGTTGGGAAGAAGACATACTGAAGCACCGCTTTGACTGGAGTCCGGATTGTCTTGATGAACTAAAACGTCAAGCCAGGACATCACTGCAGTCAGTGAACTGGTCGGACATGGTAGCAGAAAGGGATGATGTTCTGCTGAAACTGCTGAAGACTAAGGCAAGCGTCCCGACGATGAGCTGGGAATATTCAATCAAGAAATGTCTAACAGTCTGCCTCGGCTGGAAACCTTGTTATGTCTGTGTCCTTGATTGTGTCGACTTATCTTATATAGATGGACGATGGCACTAGAAGTGATCCGACTCCAGAAAGACGCTCAAGCAGTAATTATCCTGCCTCGACTTGGTCACTATGGGTTTGCGAATCAATCAGTTCTTCGAGAGCCAATAGTCGATCCAGTCGACAAAGTTCCTGAAGCATTGCTCTTTTGCCCATCTCTCGTATGGGTCAGACAGATTCGCTCGTGTCTAGCTATGTCAGCTTTCCAGAACCAAGCTCGGAAGGAGGCAAACTTACCGCAAACCCATGCCCGACTTCTGCATAAATTTGCATGTTGAAGCACTTCTTGTTTTGAGTCAAGATATCGACGGTCCTGCTACGTTGCTCAGGTTGGAACAAGCTATCGATGCTAGGCGCTGCGATATAAAGAGGTACTACAGTACATTAGTCAACGTCTCAAGGGGTCTTACTCGCTGACTCACACTCGACACCAGAGATGTGACTTTCGTTCATGAACGACGGATGTGCCATAGCTCCGACCTTACAGATGCCAGCGTCAGAAAGCTGCTGACACACGAAACGCGCGCCCCAACTACAACTCTGTTAGAGGATAACGGTTGTTTGTCGGATTGAGTGACTTGCCAATAACCAACACATGCGAATTTGACGCCCTCTGACTTGCCGTACTTCGACATGACATTTGCGACCCATTTTGACGCAACATCTTCGGATGAACGAAGATGTTTCTCACTCCAAGCTTTGAGGTCGAAATCTGGATCATTGAGAGGTGTCATTGTGTATTTCGACACAGCGTCCTAAGCGAAATCAGTAAGTTCAGATTTTTGAAGTTTCAAAGGCGGAAAATACTCCAAGGAAATAGTCGACTCCCATTGTGAGAAAACCACATGAGGCAAAGGCGTCCATTAACAAAAACGCATTTGTATGCAAGCCGAACGCATCTGGGAAGTACAACAACACATTGCCATTGGCAGTCTCTGGCTCAGGCGTTGCGACATAAGTATCCACTCCGTCAATCTGTTCTGTCTTGCCTTTGGGCTCCCCTGAGTAGAAAGAGCCTTTGAGACAGCAGACGTCGGCTGGCTTTGCGAGTATACGGTCCATGTTGACGTTACGTTGGCGTGTTACTTATTCTGGTCTTCCAGAAATGTGAACGCAGCGTGTATCATGAACCCGCGGTTGGTATAAGGGCAAGGATAGCTTGATGCGGCGGACACGTCGGGATCCCCTCGGTACCTTCGCGGCAGTCATACGCTGTGGTGCAGCTTGCCTAAAGTGGGGTAAGTATGGCTTGTCGGGCAGGGGTGTGAGGCAGTGTTATCAGTAGGCGCTCAGAGCTGTCAGCGACAACGATATTATATCGCATAAAGACGTATTCGATTCCGGAGGAGACTGCGGGAATGACACTCGAGACTGCATACTTGAAGACGACTGGCGATAGGTAGTGTTCGTTGAGAATAACCCGACCAAAGGAGTCGAATCCTGCGGCTCAAGAACCAAAGTTAACGACTGGCTGCAGCTCACGAATTCGACCATGAAGAATTCCTGGCAGAAAATCGCCGCGGCCAAAGTCAGCGCGCGAGATGAGATGGTGGTGAAGTACTCTCGCAGTACTGAGGACGCGACAATCGAGCACGTCACCGAGCTGGACGACGCGAAAGCTTTGACCTCACTCATGGCTTCTGGCGAGTTCTCAGCGGAAGATGTCATTCGCACCTACATCACTCAGTAAGATACCTACCCTCGGAGACTCAACTCGACAAGACGTTTAGTCTGACATCATGGCAGAGCTTGCAAGGCTCAATTGCAGGTCCGGTCATCCACGCGCTGGTGTTCTCACTGAGCAAAACTGATACTTTGGCTCAAGACAAACTGCCTTACCGAGATCTGCTTCCAGGATGCCATTGTGCAAGCGAAACATCTTGATGACTTCAGACGGGAGCATGGTACCCTAATCGGTCCTCTACATGGTGTACCAATCTCGCTCAAGGATCAATTCAACATCAAAGGATTTGACTCGACATTGGGCTATGTTGGACGTGCATTCAAGCCAGCAACATCCAATGCGCTCATCGTGGACTTCTTGCAGCGACTTGGCGCAATCGTGATCGCAAAGACAAATCTGCCACAAAGTATCATGGTTCGTGATAGGAGTGCCTTGTTCTTCGGCTTAAGCCCGGTACTGATCCTCTCAGTGGTGTGAGACAGAGAACCCTCTGTGGGGTTTGACTTGTCATCCAAAGAATTCTAATTTCACTCCAGGAGGCTCTTCTGGCGGAGAGGCGGCCCTGCTGGCTCTACATGGCTCGCTCAACGGTTGGGGCACCGATATTGGCGGATCCATTCGTATCCCCAGCCACATGAACGGGCTCTTCGGATTTAAACCTTCGGTGTGTTGTTTTCGAATCCATCGCAGCATGTATACTGACAGTAGTCCTCAAGAGTGGCCGAATGTCATACAAAGATGTCGAGGTGTCCCTAGACGGTCAGCAGCATGTCCCGTCAGCCGTCGGTCCCATGGCCAGATCCTTGAGCTCTTTGACTCTAGTCACTAAGCTTGTGATTGAAGCCGAGCCGTGGACTTCTGACTCGCAAGTGCCTCCTATGCCTTGGAAATCCGCTGTGTTCGAAAATTATTCGACCAAGCAGCTTGTTATAGGTATCATGCCGGACGATGGTGTAGTAAGGGTTCATCCGCCTATCGCACGCGTTTTCCGCGAGACAGTCGCCAAGTTGCAAACAGCCGGTCACGAGATAGTAGAATGGGACACATCTCTTAACAGAGAGTGCATCTCTATCATGGTACGTCGATCTGGATTCCAGCGATCACGAGACTGACATACATAGGATGAATACTACACCGCAGACGGAGGCGAGGATATACGTTCCGCCGTGTTGCAAGGTGGAGAGCCTTTTGTGCCTCATGTTCAGGCGCTTGTTGATCGAAGCCCCGCTATCTCGGTCTACCAGTATTGGCAGTTGAACAAGAGAAAAGTTGCCGCACAACAGGCGTACCATGAGATGTGGAACACCATGCGATCAAAGTCTGGGCGACCTGTGGACATACTACTTGTACCTACCATGCCGCACACAGCTGTGCATCATCGCTGCTGTCGTTGGGTGGGATACACAAAGTTGTTCAACTTTCTCGACTATCCCGCTCTGTCGTTCCCCACGGGCAAAGTACACAAGGAATTGGATGATAATATGCAGCACGATTACGTCGCTCGCAACGAAGTCGATGCATGGAATTGGAAGCATTATGACCCCGAGACAATGTACGGGCATGACATCGGTCTACAGATTGTGGCACGCAAATTCGAGGAAGAAAATGTGTTGGGAGCAGCCTCGCAGATAGAGGCTGTCTTGCGTTTAAAGCTGTAGCAGATGTTAGAGACATAAGCAATTCACAAACGTGAATGGGTGTCACGAATCGAGTCTTACGGGGTGTTCGTGGGTACTCGTCTCAAGAAGCGTAATCACGTCCAGCCGTCACGAATAGACTTGGGCAATGCTGCCGAGCCAGATATGTTGAGCCGAAGATGCCTACTAGAGATGGCTTCTTTTGCGGGCGCCCGCAGCCCTGACAGCAAGGTATAGGATTCCAACATGCGAGACCATATAGTGGGCACAGCATTGAAGAACGTGATTGGTAGTCTTGTGTCTCGACATCCTATATCATAGACTTCCCTAGTGTTGCCACAAGCACCATCTGGACCAATGGAATGAGCTGCAAAGTGCCTCCAAACTTCATCGACCTTGCAGGGATACATGAACTCGATACTACTGCCAGCGAGTAATGGTGTGAGGATTGCGTTGACTGTGCCGTGGATGTGATGAAGGGGTGGGACGTGCAAGAGGCGGTCACATGGCCTATACTGCCATGCGGTCATCAGACTCTTCGCTTGTGCGGTCAAGATGGCCTCAGACCTTTGGGATTTGTGGTTGTTCCAGAAGTGAAAAGCATCATGCCAGAAGCAGAGGTGTCCGAAAGCGTCTGATCTGAACTGATCGACTCCTGGCTTTGATCCAGCGCAATCCTCTATCTCGAAGAGCGCGGGAACATCGTGCAGTCCTTCAGTCAAAACCTCCTTCGCTTTCGCTACATAATGTAAAGGGTAGTCGGAGTTTCAGGACCTGCATGTGTCAGACTGTGACAGTCCAGCGGGGAGGTCGGGAAGGAGCCGGGAGTCGGCGGAGTGCTCGTTGCTATCAACCGGGGAAGCCTCGGGTCATATCATTGGCCCGCGGGCGTATTCGGTCCTGCTCTCCTCCAGGTATTGAACATGACTGGACACGATACAAACGGCAGCGTAGGCGTGTGATAGATGAGATCCGAGCCTGACAAGACCATATGGCTGATCGCTCATGTCGAGAGCCTTTTGAGCTACGAACGACTAGTAAATAGTGGAGCTCAGCTTTGTGGAGCAGGGAGCCTTCCTCACTTCATCGCTTTCAAACGCCCATAATGTACGGCCAGGAAACCCATGTTTTTGACGCTGGCCCGTTGGGAATCCTCGAAGGTCTCGTTTTAACCTTCGATAATGTCCCAGCCCTCCACTATTTTGGTGATCTACCATACGCTCTGCCTCCGACTGGCCCACATCGCTTCCGACTCCCTCGAAAACTCCCCTCAGACTATGATTATGGTACGAAAGCTTTTCCAGGACATTTCACGACCGGCACAAAAATTTGTCCGCAACCACCAAGTTGTATCCCACCAGACGCTTCGTTGTTTGACGAAGACTGCTTACAGCTCAATATCTGGATCCCTGCTGGCAAAACGCCTCAAGGAGGATGGCCAGTACTCTTCTATCTTCACGGCGGGTTTCTTTAATGGGGCACTGCCAATTGGAACCCTTCTTCTTTAGTGCCACTACTGGCGGAATCTGCATTCAGACCCATAGTTGTGCTTCCAGCATACAGGCTCAATGCGCTTGGCTTCGTCACAGGAAAGGCTTTTGCGGCCGAGGCTAGTGATGGCGGTGGTACACAGTATGGCAATATGGGCTTCTGGGATCAGCGCATGGCTTTGGAGTGGACTCACCAGAATATCGCACACTTCGGCGGTAATCCTGACAATATCACATGTGCTGGATACTCGGCAGGCGCTTACTCGACGTTCCATCAGCTGGCACATGAGTTGTACTATGTTGCCGCTGAGAAGAGTCTCATCAAACGAATCATCATGCTGTCCAATGGTCCAGGTCTGAGACCCAAGAGTCTCAGCGAACAGCAAAATCAGTTCGACGAGTTTTGTTGACAAGCTCGAAATCTCAGCAGATCTCGACGATGCGACAAAGCTCGCGAAGCTACGTGAGCTCCCCTTTGAACGACTAATTGACGTACAAAAAGACCATGAAAATCTCCGAATTCAGACCCCTGGCCGATGACAAGTTCTATCCTCAAGATCTCTTTGCGCAGATCAACAATGGAGACTTCGCGCGACGGATGAAGGAGCGCGGTATGACTCTCCTCAGCGGTGAGTGTAGGGATGAGCATATCATATACCGGAATTGGCGCACACCTGGGAACTCTTTCGACTCTGTTTACGCTCGTTTCTGCGCAGAATATCCCAGGACTGATGTCGACAAGCTTCTGCATCACTATTGTGGCTCCCAGCAGAAACTGCCTGCTCACTGCGCAGACTGGCAGGAACTTTTCGGTCGCGTTTACGCCGACTTGCAAGTTCATCATATGCAACGAGGGTTCTTCAATGCACTGTTCAATGGCGGTCTTATACCTGGCAAAAACGTGCTGAGGTATGGCTTCGATAGACGTTTGAAGTGCGTCGACGCTACTATACCAGTAGAGTGGGGAGTGACACATTCTTCTGATGTGCCGATCTGGCTCTGGGGTTCTGACTTCCCAGGTGGTCTAACAGATCAGGAGAGAGTCTGGCTGAGAAGCTGGAATGAGGAGTTTGCTGCTTTTGTCAGTGGTGCGCAGGTCAATTGGGGTCCGACAAAGCCCAAAGATATGAAAAGATGGAGTGATGGTGAAACAGACGTGTGGGTTGACATTAAATGGGAGGAAGGGCTGGAGGTTTGGAATGTCGTCCATTCAACTGCATGAGAGCTGATGGTATACTCGAATCGTTGACCTCGGCGGCCGCAGATTGAAGGATTGAAAGTATATTCAAGACCCATCAAGTGCGTCATAGGTAGCAAAATGGCTGCCTAGGACTCAATGCTTCAACTCTTACAATCATAACGCGATATAGAACCAGACAATCACTTGCATTGCGCGGAAGATGCAGGACACAATCGGAATTCGCGGTCGCTACTTCTTGAGAGATGACAAACGGGTCAGCGTCTTCCGAACGCTAATCTGAGCTCAGCTGATACCTTCAAGTTCATGATCCGTGGCGTCACTCACCAAGTCTGCGAGAATAGACATCCCATGTCTGATGACTTTCTGCCTCGACTGCATCGCGACATTGAGCTGTTCGAAGAGCTAGGCTTGAATATGCTCTTCGTTTGTTAGTCAGCTACTCCACGTGCAACCATTTGACTACAACTGATTTTGCCAGTCAAAGCGGATAACATGAAATCGCATGACTAAGCTATGCAGTTACTGAGTTAAGCCGGCATATATGTGATCACTGTCAGTGCTGTCCCCCATATCTTGGACTATACTGATTGATCTTGCAGTGCGTCGGTGACGCAACGGTCAGCTCGATCAATCGCAGACGTCCATATGAGTCTTATTCAATCCACTCAACATGCGCTTATACTTCAAGACCGTAGATATGATGGCAAAGTATAGGAACGCCCTGGGTTTATTAGCCGCATCTCTATCGATAGACGCAGACGAAAGTCTCAACGTCGCTCTTATTATCCAAACAGTCGTGCGAGACCTGAAACGATACATGGATGCAAAGCACAAAGCCACTGGATAGAGAGTTCTTCCCATAGGCTGTGATGCCGCGTCAAGTGGCGAGCGAGACCAAGTCGTGCTGGATTATCTGACTACTGGTAGCGTTGCAGGATCGATTGGTTTTTGGTCGGTGAGTATACATCATAGCCATCTCGGAAGCAAATACGAGTGACTCAAATACAGTGTAACAACTGGTCCTGGGCCGGAGAGTCAAATATGGAAGATTTCGGCTACAATGCCTTGGTAACACAATCCTACAAAAGCCACCACGCCAGCTAAGAACTGCCTCAGATCGATCGCTTCAGCCACGCCAACATCCCCATCTTCTTCTCATCTTACGGCAACAACGTGCATTAGCCCCGTACATTCGAAGAAACAAAAGCACTGCTTTCGTCCTGAATGAACAAGATCTTCTCAGGTGGCTGTGTCTACGACTTTCGCATCGCACCAAACCCATATGGCTTGGTCGGTTTTCTCGAACATGGTAGGAAAGGCCGGCACTGGGACGAGAATATGGACTTGATAGCCGAGAGACGTGAAGTCGAGGATGGATAAGTGGTTATACGCCAGGACTTTCTAAACTATAAGCAAGCTTTGGAAGTGTCAGGGACCCGCAGACCAGACTGGATGAGGCTCAAGCTAGAGACCTTAAAGTGAGTGATAATAACCAAGAAGGACATAGACGCTGGCCATGGGAACCAGAATGGCTCGGGCCGCCTAGTAGTGCTGACTGGAATGAACTTGAGCGGGATCTGAGAGATACATGAGCTAGCTTTCTTGTCATCTTCCTCGCTCACTCGCCTCGATTTTGCTGAGGTATAGCAGAGAGGCTGATCTGCAACTTTACAACAATCTGTCTTCGAAAGCTCCGCGCGCGTTGTGGTTGTCCTGCTTGCTCGGAGGCGTGTTCGCGGAATTGTAGTAACCACATGACGGACGTAGCTTAAAGATCGCTGCACCGCGATCGATCCTATGGAATGATTTTATCCTGATGGAGGGCCGTGTTGTTGATTCTGCGTGGATGGTCAGGACATCTTTGGGTATCCTGTCATTGGCGTGTTGTCCCAGTGGCATAGAGCCTGATCGCACAGCGAAGCTTGCGAGGTCAAGATTGAGTTGCGTCGGCGACTTCAGCTGAATTCGAAGACACTGTCGTTGGTCTCATTGGCGGAGCCAGTTCCCTATCAGCGGACTGAGTCCGTCAGATCGCGTGGTATATAGTCCGTGCATCTACCAGAACATGAGTTGCGCCTCAAGTCAGCCTCTGCTATCTTGACCGCCAGAACTTTCTCAATATATGCTTGGCTCCAATTGTAGGCAAAGACTGACTTTGACATCAGGTGTTGCTCATGAGTGAATGAACCCGGTGTTAGTCGTCATGACTCTAGGGGTTGCCATCCCTACTTCCGTCCTTGGTCTTTACGCCCAGATGGCTACGAGCCTCCCATCGAACGCCGTTGTGTCTCATACCTCAGCTGGACCTACGATGTATGCTACGAAGTTACTTTTTGGGCCACCAGTTTGCTAGTTCTCGAAATGATGCATGTACGAGAAAGGGTCTCCTACGGGCCAGGATTTTAGGATCAGAAACTATGAGTACACATGCCCCAGGGACCGCAGACACTCGAGAGCAATGATTGTCCGGGCTTCAATCATCTAGAACCTCAGCCATTTTCCTGGCATGCAGTTGCGTACGGCTGATGAAAGCCATATACTTGGCTGACCGTGCGCTGGACAGTCCGGATGGCACATATATTTAAAGAGGTCGCCTGCGAATACTGTTGCTCAGTCCAGAACGACCCGGACTCGCCACTCCATCATCATGTCACTCCGGATCGCAGTGCTAGCTGGCCTGATGGTTATAGACGCTGCGCTAGCTACTAACACCATCTGCAGATGGACTGTCAACAACATCCTTGTCGACACGATTACTAGTCCATTGGCCGACACTCTGACTCTATTTGTGACAGGTGTCTACCTTGGAGGGGAGGAGATTGCTCGAAAGATAATGTTCTTAGGAGATGTGGTTAGCCGAGGTTATCTCACGAGAGACCAGATCAACTTCGGCCCTGAGTTCCCCAGCCCTGGTCTCGAAGAACATCAGCATTATATGGTCTTTGGTCAATACAGCAGACACAAATCATGTCTTCACACAGGACCTGCAAAACATCTCTAATGATACTGCGAGACTTGTTAGTGCGTCCGCCGGTAAGTGATGTGTTTCTGGATGAGCGTCTATCTTCGCTTACATGACCACGAGGTGTTCTTGATGGCCTCAGTGGGACCACAGATAGTGTGGGCCATCTGTTCTTTCCGGAGACCATTGGAGCTACTGTGGGGGCGATTATTGACGAACCAGGTGGTGCTGTCAATGATTGTCAAGGCTGTCGATCTCGTCCTTGGCTCGTTCATCGACAACATCTTTGGATGTGACTGTTTCCGTTGCTAGTGACACAATCACTTTTGTTTCCTGGCGATTTGCAGCTCTTCCCAATCCAGAGTACCAAAACTTACCATGGGCTAGGCAGTGGTATCGCCTGTGGGGATTCCTTCTTTCGAGTTCTCTTCGACATTGACCATGTTAAACAATACTCCAGCGGTGATTGTGCAGCCCACAGCTAACTGGACCGTATCTCTCCTCGATAAGCATCCAGGTCTCGACTATGAACTGATCAATGTCGGGAACATGCTGTACTCGTCGGATTTCATTACTCGATCATGGGCTCAAACAGACAATGTGACTACCCTTCCCGTTCAGATGTTTCTGGTCAGGATTCGGAAAAACGCTTGCGATTGAGGACGAGTCATGCTGTTGGGTTTCGATTTGAGTTTTCGCTTGCAAATTTGGTCTTCTAGGACAATCCTTCAGGCCAGATGTCTTGTCCGATGCTGGATTTTCCATTGCATAGTGATGATAAAGACGATCATGATCGCAAGCAATTTGCCGCCGAGTCTGCAGCGTAAAGTCCTTGTCGCAGCATACTGCAAAAAAAGAACGCTTGGATATTTCTGACTGGTCTGCAAAGTCAAGCTTACAAGACAACGATCGAGGCATATCTAACCGATATGAAGACCAGAAGTCTTGTGCGCGTAGACGATGCTTCATTTCCTGTGGTGAAAAACTGAGGATGCTTTTGTATACACTGGAACATGGTCCAGTAGAGTAGAAGTTCTTTCTAATCTACAAGCCGGTGCAATGGAGAAAGTTCAAAGTTGATACTCCCATTACGAGTTGGCATGGAATATGCGTATTTGAAGGCTTAGTAATAAAACTCCGGATTATGGTGCCAGAAACCCCCTGGACAACTGCACCTGATGATGACCAAACTCCAACACTTATGCTAATGTATATATATTCAAACGCCATTATTTCTCATGCGTATGCCCATCCTGTGCCGCAGACCGAACACCCATAACAATGTAGCAGATTCCAAATCATGCCTGTTCTCCTCGAACTTCCAAATCCCTCAACTTTCTCGAGAGCAAACTTTCCTGTCTCCCTTTAACTTCTGCGCCCTTTTCCTGTCTTTCAAAGGTGAATCCTTGTTTCTTCTCGAGCTCATACTTTCTGTATGGATTGGTATGTTCCATGTCCACGTCCACATCCATTTCACCACGACTATGCGGTCGGCTCTCCAAGGTTGAAAGTGGGCGACTTCTGAAGGACAGACTTGGGAATGACGTCGTGTCATCCACAGAAGCAGATGATAGTTGCGGGTAAATGCCATATGTGGAGTGAGAAGGGAAGACGGCACTGCGACGCCTCTTTGCCTCTGCTGCTTTCTCTGCGGCGGCGGCGTCGGCTCCTGGAAGCGTAGTAGAGGGCTTCCAAGCAGAGTATCTTGGTTCAGGCATTTGCATCTCTGTGCGCAATTTCTCCTTGGCATCCGGAACTCTGTTTGCGAATACCACTCTTGTCCCGCCATAGAGGTAATATCTGCCCTTTGCTGTTGAGCAGATGTTGAGATGTATCAAATATCTAAGCACTGGTTTCTCCACTCCGACATCTCGATGGCTGGTGATGTTTGAGATTGGCTGGTCGATGATGGGACCAGCAGAGTAAGAGCGCTGTCGGATGAAGGTCTTTGTTCCCGGAGGCATGTCGCTGAGGTCGTAAGGAACGAGAAAGAGCTTGACCGCAGTCTTGTTGGGGTTCTTGATGACAATCTGGAGTTGGCCTAGTTCGGGGATACGATAAGAACCCCCCGTCGGAGCGTTTAGCCTTCGAGACAGTTTGTGTTGACGTCGATGTAGCTTGTCATGGTCAAGAGAATTGTTGTCATGTCCGTCAAGTGGGGTGACTCTGTTGTGATGCTGGTCGTGATGATGTTCCCGTCTTCGTCGTGACGTGACGGCATCAGTCTCGGCTGGCTTTTTCAGGTTGTTCTCCAGGTCGAGCATGCCCACATATGGGCTGGGCTCAGGGTCAGTGTGAGTACCAGAGGCATAGCTGTAGAAGACGGCAGGAAATGGAATGGAAACATGGGGTGGACACTTGAGACTCAGCTTGCAGTCACCTTTGCCAAGCACACCGATCTGGGCGACGAAATGCAGTGGTTTCGATGGCGTGGTTGACATGCGGCCTCGTAAAATGCTTTCCTCATATGAGCCGACCATGGGAGCATGTTGCAGTGGGGAGGCGTCAGTGATGGAAGGTCGGCGAGTGGATGGAAACGGAGGTTGCGGCAGACTACCGATAGAGCCTATAGAGCGACGAGGTTGATGTGCTTGGTAGGCAAAAGCACGCAACGAGGAATGTCGATGTAAGAGTGGCTGTGAAATCCTTGTAGGTGTAAAGTGGTCCTGCTCCTGGTCGGGCATATCTGCAGCGTTGGCTTGGTGGACTAGCGGGCTTGTCGGCGGCTGATAAGAAAAGCTGGTAGATAACGAAGCCTGCGACGCGGCTCTGGGCCGTTGGAAAAGTTGTGAGTGCGCATGCCACGGTACGATGGGCGATGTGGATATGGCATGTTGAGAGTCCCCGTCTTCCCTGAAGTCGCCGCGGTGTAGTGCAGAACGTGGACGGAGGATGTCGAGGCCGAGAGCGTTGCTGTCTTGGTCCAGAGGGATCCGCGTCGGTGATGGTAGACGGTCATGTTGTCTGTGTCTCTCGGCGTCTCCCCTTGTCTTTAAACTCCTTATGATGTCTTGTCTGTTGGTAGGGGGGCTCGGGCTTCGCTGTCGGTCGGATCCATGTTGCAGGCGGTGGGTGAAGAACGGATTGAAGAGTCGGTCGTCGACAGCGTCATGATCCGGGCTGTCGTATCTCGAGTGCGGCATGATGCAGCTCAGAGGACATTTGAACAGCTCCGAGCTACTTACGGACAAAGACGTCGTCCAAGTGGAAGGTGCGAGGGAGGTGTCGTGTGTCCCGTATGTCCGGGCGGTGAAGGTCGATTATCGCTCGATTTGAAGACCCTGATGGTTTCGCAATCTGATAAGCCTCTGCCGACGTCAGAATGAGCGAATCGGCCTGAATGTCGTCGATGTGCTGTTGGCAGGAGCGGATGAGGAAATGTCTCGCAGGATATCACGGGTGACCATGAGGAAGGTGCAGATGAGGGCAGAATGTGCAGGTGCAAGCGTCGTCGTCGTCAGATTCCAATCGAGTCATCTGATGCAATCAAAGCCAAAGCAGCAGGCACCACACAGCGACGGGCCGTTGCGACTCGCCGACTTCTTTCCCGCAATTTTCGTCAAAGAATTTCCATCAATTTTGTCTTTTCCCCGCAATCTTGGCACTCGCGGACCCAGGCAAAACATCAAAGAAACGCTTCTTATCCACAAGACCAACTATTCACACGTCACACATCACACATCACAACAATGGCCATAACGAAACGCCCACGCGATGAAGCATCTACAGATCGCGCGGCAAAGAAGCACAAGAAGAGCTTTGACGTAGGCCCGCGCAACCTGCCCGACGGCACCCATCGTCGCAAGAGTACTTATGCGCCCATTCCACCACGCGCAATCACCTGCTGACAGCTATCTTACAGCCATCCAGATCAAGCGCAATCTGATCGAAAAGGCAAAGCTGAAGAAGGAATACGCAAAGCAAAAGGCTCAAGCTGGAGATGACGTCCTACCCAAACGACCAGCAACATACGCCCCCTCCGAAGACGAGGCAGATGACGAGCCGCAGGAAGAAGAGCAAGTCGAGGAACAAGTCAAAGAGACAGTAAAGGAAGTCAAGGCACCGCGAAAGTCAAAGTCAAAGCCCAAGGCAAAGTCGCCGTCACCTGAACCCATCGTCGAGGCTCCGGCGCCTGCTGAACCCGAGGAATCAAACCTGGACGGCATCCACCACAGTCGTCGCCAGAAGATCATCCCCTTCGCCAAGGAGCACCGTGCTGCACAGCGTCAAAAGAGAGAGATTGAAGAGCGTCGTGCTGCATATGAGAGATCGCAAGTGGAACGAGCGGAGAAGATTGAAGAGAGGGAGAAGTTCAGAAAGGCAATGGCAAAAGCGAGAAGTGGTGGCAAGAATGGTCAGAGGAAGTTGGGAAGAGAGAGCAATGTCTTGCTGGACCGCGTCAAGAGAATGATGCAGCAGGGTTGAAGACGTTCTCAAGTGGTCACAAGGACAATCTCGTCCAACCAGTCACAAGGATAATGCCGCAGTCAGAGAGCCTCTATCGCGAGTTCCCGTCAAATCAGGCAAACAAGAACCTCGCAAGGTCGATCACGCCAGCTCATCAGATGCACAAGGCCTCCCCGGCTGCCGCATCGTCAATTCGAGACATCACACGCCAGAATGCTCACAGAAGTACCGCGCTTTCTGTCGTGTAGTGTGAAATCAACCGACGACAGGAATCGTCAACGCATCAAAGCAAATCATCATCAAAGCCAAGCTGAACAAGCCAAACCATCTCAACGTACCACTTTCTCAACTTTGTTTTCCTGCCAATGTACTTTACCAATTTGAAAGGCTCGTACAATGCTCCAATCATGATATCCTCGTAATCATGGCAACACAGACGTCTCCTTTGACCTCTACGAGCGAAGGAACACCGTTTTGTTCGTGATTGAGGTCCTGGTATCAGAAGCTGCACACCAGGTTCTCGAGGCGCGAGCTTCCCAGATCTCCGCTATCCAGTGTTCTCTGAGGTATCTGTTATTCATGCTGAGTTGTAGAGAGCCAGATACAGGGAGTAGACGAGATCGAAAATGACAACCGACGGTGATCACTCTTGGCCGATCTTACTAGCTGAACACAAGCATCTGCATTTGGAACTCTGGAAGATCGTGAAAAAACCAAACATCTTGACATATACTCTCAGCAACGGTAGTGGTAAGAATGACTATGGAGTAGGACGGAGACCGGCGCCGAGATGATTGCTAAACATCATCTGAAACTTGAGACGACGGTTACCGTTATTGTCCTTAAAAGTGGCTTTCTCAAGCACCGTAGCTTTAGTATCTCCCTTCTCAATCAGGCCTTCAGATAGCAGACAGGCCAACGCACCAGCAGTCACAGGCGTCGCTCGACGAGGTCAGTATTTTAATCAGCGCATATTAGACTCACCATAGGAAAGTCACTTCTATCGCTTTACCATCTGGTTTAGTATCTAGCACAGTAGCCCTCCCATCCTTATCCCTGCCCCAGAACTTTCACTTGCGTTGCTGGGGCATATATGTCGACGCCTGCACCTATGTAAGTTTCCAACTGATAGAATCGATCCCTGGAGTGACGTGCCAGTGCTATGGTAGAAATCTGTACGAAATCTGACCGTCTGTGTGGAGACCACCAATGCTGAGCACTCCAGTATGTACAGCAGGGATCTTGATTGTTTTTGAGATGCATGAAACGCAAGACTCGTTCGTTAGCAGTGTTAGCAATCGTGGGCTCCGTCAGGAAGGTCTGACTCTTTGCCATCTAGGTTGCTGGTTTGGATTGGTGGTCAGAAGATGGTCGGGTTTCCAGCTATCAGCTTGAGATTTTGGTAGGAAATCCCACGAGGCTCTTGCGCTTGATAGACAGTAGTACTTGTGCATTCGGAATCTTTCTTGTCTCTCCACATGACCAGATCTGACGTTTGAGATCACTGGTTGACCTGGGTTTGGAGATGATTGTTGCCTTGGACCCCCGCGATATTCGGGTCACTTGGTTTGAGATCCTCGGTCTTGGGCGCAGCGTCGTGTGCGGATCTCACGACATTCGGTCTGCCTGGGGACTCGTTCTCCGCGGTCTCTCCTTGATTCGGCTTATAAGCTTTGATCTTGGCATGGATCAGCTCTCGGTCTTCAGCTGTGATGGCTGTCTGCGTTCACCATCAGCTCGATCATGAATTTTTCCATCATTGCTGGGACCTACTCCGTGTCCATCCGTGCTGTTGCCTGCCGCAGCCACGATAATAAACCCCTGCTCAAGCAGTTTGTCGATCAATTCGTAAGATTCCAGGCCACCTGCTATCGTATCCACGTCACCTTCGTAATGGCCTTGAGAGATGTTTACAATCGCCAGTGTCCCGAGCGGCTGTTGCTTGCAATGCTCGAGAATTGCTTGGTAGCTCGTATTCAACCCCTCAGTGGCTGGGCCAATATAGATGAATTTATCAGCCCTCGCAGCGGTTCACAAGCAGCAACTGTCGGTGATAGAACCTGGACTGTCAAGAGGAGTTTTGCTCCATCGCCGTTTATATCGCATTGAGTATAGACGAAGAATCTCAAGACTGGTGCTGGCGAACACCTGATTGCGGTACCCCGAAAGCAATTGGAAGACGACGTTACCTGCTTGTAGTGAATTGAATGAGTCCAGGCAGATCGAAAAGTCGAGATGCTTACAACATATGAGAACGAGCATCATCCCATCTCAAAGCAAATTGCTTATCATCACAAGAATTCTCAATTACATCGAACATGGGTCAGGTTATCAGCATTTTCTCGCCAACTCAGACGAGAAAGAAGCCAAAGCTAGAGAGCAGCTCGATATCCTCATGAAGCTGGCAGATGCCCGATTGGACAGTTTTGAAGGAGAGCTGATAGCAATGTTCCTCGACAATGGTTCGGCAGCGAAGAGAAGCGTGCCCGGCAAAAGAGCGCTTCGTTTTGAGAGATCAGTTCGCGTGGACACGAGCTCAGAGGTAAGATCCACACATCGCAACACCATCCGGAATCGTATTGATCGCTCTGTAGGGATCCCCTGGTGTCGAGCAAGCCGTCGATGCTTTCTTCGGTATGGGCGACACCGGAGCTAAAGGCGCCCTCGAAGGCTTCAAATCCGTCGTGAAAACTGGTCTCAAGCAAATTCTGGGTGACACATCGGCTGGTGAGAGTTACGATAAGAAGTTCTTCGTCTGCATCAAACAGTATGTGACTCAATCCATGCCAATCCAAGCTCTATACTGATGGGATACAGCAATGCCATCATCAGAGTCGACATGTATACCTACCGATACAACTTCTCGAATGAAGGTGTGATAGCATCACACAAGAATGTTCTGGCTTACATATTGTGCACATCTGTGGTTGACCACAATGATCTTACGGTTGATGAGATGGTCTATCTTGCGTCCGAGTTCGCGGGTGACGCACGTACAGAGTACGAAGCGTATCTCAATGGCTTGATCGAGGTTTGGAGGAATCTCAGGGCCCATGAGGTGACTGTCAAGGCAGCACTACCCAACATCGTGCCATTAGCGATCACAGCGTAGTAGATGATTCCAATCTGATATCTTTCTCTCCCCTGACGTTGAAGTGATTCTCGACTGTACCGCCCGCAGATCTCGTTTTCGCTATGCTCTTCTTGGACAGAGGGATAAGCACAATTTATCGTATCATAAACCGGCGCGCCACCGGAGCAGGAAAGGAAATCGGCATTTCGGAAGAGTGTAGTTGTTAACCTTGTTTCTTCAGGGACTCCACGTGCGCTTCATCTCTCTAGATATACAAAGACTGCGGTGTCTCTAACTCAATCATCCCGATTCTCTTTCCCGGCGCGCAATCTCCTTGAGCAGAATTCTCTCGATCTTATCCTCGCAACGCGCCCTCTGAGCATCCATATCAACCTTCCGCTCTTCCTGACGCTCTCCCATGCTGTCCGCAATACAGCCAATCAAGCAGAATATCCAAATGATACCTCCAATAGCACTCATCACGATCAAGAAAGTTTTGACGGGAGATCTCGACACCAGCACAGTCAACATGACAAGAAAGCCTTCGAGAATAGTTACCAAAACCAAACCACCGACTGCTGCACATTAGCTGGAATTTTATTTTTTTTACTAGAGCGCAGGGAAAAGAAACCAGAAACTTACGACTTGTTTCATGAGCGGGTTTGTCAAGTTTTCCAACCGCCTCTGCCAGTTTCACTTCTTTGTATACCATCCATCCAGCCTCCAAGCCGAAGATTTCGGTGTACATGGCGATGGGATATTTGAGGAGGTCGCGACCGGTGCCTATTGTCCATTTCGCCGCCATGTGTTTTGCGTGTCCTGGTTCCAAACCTCTGTTCTCGATCAGAACCTTTTCGAGAAATTCGCGGACTTCGTTGGGTGTAGCTTTTGCGTCAGGAGGGGTAAGCTTTAGGGGAGTGGATGGTTCGTAGAGAGGTAGTGATTCTTCGTCTCCTAGCTCATGGGAGTAAAGCTTGGTGTAGCTGTCGTTTTGGGGCAAAATCTCGTTCATTGTGGTATAGGTATTTGGGTTTTTATGATTCGCGCACAGAGGTCGGAAATGCTGTTATATTTAACATGCAAGATTGNGGGGGGGGGGGGGTTGGCGGGAATTAGAGGGATATAAGGCGCTCGGATCAGCGGCACAGCCTACCAGCCGCCTTGCCAGGGAAGCATTTATTAACGTCAGTTGCTTCGTCATAGGCTACAGGACGGAGTTTTGCACTTCTCTTCTATCATCGAACGGGGTTTGTCTGGCCATAGCAAGCCTCGACTTTGTGTTCGGGGTGTCAAACGATATTAATATAGCATCGCAGCTCCTGAGAATCAATCATGGAGTTCGAGGCCGAACACACCGCATTTTCCCTCATCCTGTCAAATTAAGCCCTGCTTGAGATATGAGCTTTGACGCTTTAGTAAGAAGCCGTCGAACGGCATGCTCAACTGTTATTCCAGACTTCGAACACCCTCACTGGTAGATAGAAATTTGGAGCTTCTGAGAATAACAACATGCATGAATCAAACCACGGGAGAAAGGTGATTCGCAATAGCTGGTCAACTCCCTCATACATCGATATGCGGACTTGGTTTCAGCCCAGATCCAATAGCTTACTTTACTATCTACTATGGCCATTACAAATCTTCCTCCTGGCTATATTCAAGTCCATATGCGTATGATAGTGGCTGGCCACTACCCATAGGACAGATCCTCTCCGACGAGAGATTCTGTCATGCAGAGCTCGACGGCTTGTCTCATAACGGGACAAGTTGGAGGCGGTATCCAGGTCCGTGAATCTTGATTATAAGAGTTGTCTTACTGTAAGAGCTGTTACGATAGCGCTCGACGCTTTGCGGTGGAGCTGCTAGGGAGAAAGAAGGGATTAGCGAACCTAGATCTTCTCCTGACGTACTCGGAGGGACTATCATCAAACGACTTACGACAGACTCGCTGCGCACCTCAATCCAGTCGGGGTCTTGGTCTGTTGATCTAGCCACTTGCGGCTAACGATGAATCTAAGAAAATCACATGTTTAAGTGTTCGAGGTACTGCGCCATGTCGCGGTAACCGACCTTGAATTTATTGGTAGCAAATATCGATAGGGAGCAACCAGATTTAGAGCTTAAGGCTCGAGTCTTTCGTGTCCTCTAGATACGCACACCCACGCAATCTATCGTCAGAGACTTTGCAAATCTGCCTGCAGGACCTTCGCCTTGGATTCAGCAATCCAGTGTCTCGACGTAAGTAAGTGTTGAGTTATCTTAATCCATCCTTCACTGTTTCAGAAACTGTACACAGAGGTCTGCTGACTAGCATATGACGGTTCCCATGGTCTCAAAAGCTTGAGATAGCGTCCGATCTTTGTGCTTTCGAATGTCCAGTTTTCCACACCCATTTCATGCTGGGACATAAACGGATCTGAGCTCTGCTGTGCTAATACCCTGGATATCAGTCGATCGACTGCAGATTGTCAGTCGTGATGTCACAATATCTGGTCTCTTGTTCATAGGTACCATACCTTGATCGAAATTGGCTGGACGATATATATGTCGTTTCGGGATTGCGACTGCACTGTTCTGCAGACTCTCGTAGCTTGGGGGTGGCACACTGGCCTTGTTACTCTCGGGTTGTTCGTGGGGTGGTGGAAGCTTTGTGACTGTGCCATTCTTATTATCATCGTAGCTTGGAGGAGGGGTGGCCGCTCTATTTTGATGGTCCTTGTAGCTTGATGGAGACATAGCTCGGGCGTCTTCTGTTGTCTTTGCTCCTACTGTTGATTCACCGCTGTCGATACCGGGCATCTTCTCGGTCTCGGACTTGAGTACTTCCTTGTCCGTGTAGTCCAGGTTGAGTAAGACGATATCGGCGTTATCTTTCTTGGTTTCTCCAAAGATGAGACGTTTGTATTTTTCCATCAGATCTGTCTCAATCTTCTTACGCCAGTCCAGATCATCCTCACCGCTTGTCGTACCGCGCGTGAAGACAATGGACACTTTGCTCCAGTTTTCATCTCCTACAAGGAGCTTCAAAGCTTGCATATGCTTCAGATCTGCTTTGTTCATCTCGTTGGATGATACATCGATGAGGTACACCACGTAACTCCCCTTCTGTTTGCTTTTGGTCTCCCTTCGCAAAGTCTCGCAGATTTGCTTCCATATCTCAAAGTTTTCCTCGTCCTGGTCACCAAGGCCAGGCGTGTCAACGATGCGTAGAACAGAGCCATTTTGCGTCATACACGCTTCTTCTCTGAGATCTGATGCGTAAGGCACAGCTTCAGGTATTGCGGCATATTTCCCAGTCATCGTGCGGAAAAGTGTCGATTTTCCCGTTCCTGACCTACCAAGCAGGACGACTGTGCTACGGTGATTTTCAAGGATGGATTCGTAGTCATTTTCTAATCTCCAGTAGTCCAACTTATGGATGGTGCCTTGGGATCTGACCAACCAGTGTCTTTGGAGGTCATGGTCCTGTCGAGTTAGTATTCCATGTCGGAGCTCGTAGATGTGCTTGGGCACTGACACCAAGTCAGCAGTCCCTGTGATCACATGGGGATCCGCGAAGTTTGCAAGCATCTCCAGTCTCCATTGAACGCTAGCTTGTGAACGATTGTCTCGGTTCCGGGCAGCCAACTCCTTGAGCTTGAACAAAGTGCGTAGAGCCTCCTTCTTGGAAGGTGAATTCTCGTAGTTGCGGGAACTTCCGCGACTCAGCTCATTCCACACTTTCAAGTCGATACACATGAGGTCGTATCGTATACGACTTCGTGAAGACAGCCAAGTCTCCTCGCCATACTTCCCTCGAACTTCCGAGATGAGCTCGTCCAGATGTAATTCTTTCGGTTGCCAGAAAGCTTTCCAAGACCCTATATGTGAGGCCCAGCTTGTCACACGGATACAGCCTTCAAGATATGTTTGTAGCATGGCGGCTTGTGCCCAAGTCTGACGACGGTCTGACATGTCAACCCGGCTCAGGAACACTTCAATGGCCGAGTAAATGCACTCGAGCTCGGTCTGATTCGATTCGGTCTTGTACTCCCGGAAGAAGATCGGGAGAATATGCTCTGCTTCCCAGTAATAACCCTGGTCCAGGAGATATTTGATCAGAAAAGTGAGTTTGATGCCGCCGAGCACGCCTAAGTCTTCATTGACACCGCACCGTTCCCAGACTTTGTGCTGAGGGTAGCTCAGTCGCAAGAGTAACACTGATTGCAAAATCTGGTCATTCATCAGCAACGTCCCGGAATGGACCAACTTGTCAAATTCACATCTTCAAGCTTTGCGACACTGTATTCAACTTCATGAAGAGCTTGTTGGACGTCCTGAACGAGTCTCGCCTTTGTGAATTCATTTGAGGCGTCGGCATAGGTCGAGTCCAGGGTAACGTATTTTAAGAGCGTGGCGATTTGGTTCTCCTTCGTCGACCATTCTTCTGATCCAGTCAGTCCGACTATCAAAGTCTGCAAGTGTCGATAGTGGCCTTGATCGTAAAGGACCTGCATCATTGCGAGAACGAGGCGAAAATTGCTCATGTACCCTTTCGGGGATCTTGCAAGAAGATCAAAGGTGTTCTGGGAGTGACCTATGACGTTCTCGCGAGCTACGACACTCGCGAGATCCTCCATGCTCATAGTATCGGTGTCCAATGTCATCTTAGACTGTGAGGGCTCGAGAATGTTCGCTAGGTCGCGCGAATCAGCCACCTGGCTTCTGTTGTTGTACTGTTGAAGACTGAAATACATTCGACTGCAAGTGACGAGACGCTTTTAACTCCCAAGATGAGACGCTTTCAATTGCCAAGATGAGACGAGAGAATCCAGGATTATGTGACAGACTCAGCACAAGTCAGGCAACCGGCTTGGGAGCTCTTGGCGAGGGATTGCTAGCTGCAAGATCAATATCAAGGCAGACATCAGGATGATTAGACAAATGTCCAAAGATACACTGCTCATGTGTTTTCTCCCAATCGGGCCTCGAATTAGACACATGTCATGGTTGTCAGTCGCTTGATAATGCCTCGAAGGCTTTGGTCGATTGGAACTGGTGCTATCATGATGGCAACAAGCCCCGCACGGTGCTCTTAGCAAAGATAATCGGGCTGAACCCTCGCTCTTCTCGCTATGACGATCTTGCACAGTTGACATCCTACAGTACCTCTGGCAACGGCGATCAACAAACGTTCGAAGCTGAAGCTGAAGCTCATGCTCTGCCTTGCATGTACCTCTTAACGCGCCGAGTCTGGCGCATAATCCGGATCATCCGCCCGTTTTCGCTATTCTCGTCGGAGTTTCAAGCGACCGCCACAGCACAGCTCAGCTCTGGTCCGCAGGATTCATGGTTGCATGCGACCAGCGGATTCTAATCTCCAGCCCCTACTGCAATAGTCGACTGTAGGAAGTCGGCCTTGATTTGGCTTGCATACGTCAACGGCTATATGTCGTCTGCCCTGTCCATGACTCAGGCACCCAGGGCATGCTCAGGGGTCGGCGACGCCGAACTAGGCTCAGTCTCACCACTCGGCGATTTCGGGACGATGAGCCCCATCCAACAGTGTTCCTCTCTCGCCTGACTGACGTTCCTTCATGTCATTGTCTCCCTTACTGGGCCCAATGTCGCCATCCAGATTCTTGCAGCTCTTCTCCACCCCTGAACTCGACAGATGTCACATGGGTCGCGCCTAACATGCCAACGTCAACGTGTCCAGTAGGCGTCTTGTGCCCCTTAGGGTCTGTAGTTGATGCCGTCTTGAGGGGTGTGGAATTACTCGCACCAGATCGAGGACAGCGATTCTATGAGATGCTCTGTGATATCATTAGAAATCAGCCTACTTGACAAGGGCAAATGGTCTAGCTCCGGTGAGAATAGTGCTCCAAGCATCGGGGCAATCTCCAAACCGACGACTGCAGATTTTCTGACGGCTCTATGTCAAATTCATTTCACTGTCGCAATCCTGACGAAAATCATAACAAGCCCACAATCGAAAGCTGAGCTGCCATCTTTGACTTCCGCTGGAGATTGCACCTCTGCAATTCAATCAATCAAGAGTGTGGAGATGAATTCACACGTTTTTCTGCATTGGTAGTACTACGGGAACTGCCTCGGAGCCTTGAGATATTTCTCAGGCACAGTCGTGCGCGTCGACCACCGCTTTTCGAACACCTCGTTGCATGCGTTTGCAACCCAACAACCTGCAAAATGCACGCAGATGTCACCCTCTTGCCACTTCATATGCTCACCTCCAACATGGTAGGCGTTCATGATGTGTTGATCCACAAATCCGGTATGGTTGAGAACCTCGTCATACTCTTTGACAAAGTGGATCAAAGCGTCTTGCTCCTTTCCTTTATCTTTATGGTGCTCAATAACATATGGATCTGTCCAGGCATCCAAGAGCATACGAGTCCAGGCACCTCTTCGGAGGAACAGGCTTCCTGCGTTCAAACCATTGTGGTCCTGAGCTATGATGAGGTTCACATCCTCGGCTGCTACGCTTGAGCCGTTGTGCGGCGTGTGTTTGACAACAACGTCTTTCAAGAGCCTCTTCTCAAGGACAGAAGGGTGGAGAAGGTATGTAGACAAAGCGACGTTCGGGGTCATGATGATTGCGTCGAGATCGAGCCACCAGATCCACTCAGCCTCAGGGTGCGCGGCGAATGCTTTCTGAATCGCGAGGATCTTCTTCCACACAACAGGACCTGAGAAGTCCAGCTCGTCAAAGTCAACCTGGTAGAAAGTATATCCATGCCAGTCGGCATATTCCTGACGATTCTCAATCACTCTCTCACGCAGGTTGTGGATAGGCTGGCCTTGATTGCCTTTGTTGTCCGAGGCCATGAGAAGGACTACATCTTTTCCACGAGGCCCCTTGCCAGTCTCAGGCATCTTGACGGAGGGATCTGTCGCATGTTTCTTCCCATCGGTAAGGAGTGTGGTCTGTTGGAGCACAATCAGTAAGTCGTCTTGCAACACAGTGAATGATACCTACAACAGAGTCGCCTTGGAAAATTGTAACGACCACACCATCCGGACGATAGTGCGCGTGCAGAGCTGCAAAGAACAAGCAGGACGCAAAGAAACCCGCAAGCAGATAAATACGGTGGCGAAGTACACTAGCCATTGTGATTTGGAGAGAGAGAAGTAAGCAAGATTTTGGAGAGATTGACGGAAGTACAAGTAGTTAACAGTTCGCCGCGGACGATGTTGATAGCAATCAAGTCGGACGATGAGCTGAGCTTGCCGTTGTTCGTTAGTGCCATTTGGATAGTCTGCTCCTGTACCTCGCTCTCTCAGCTACTAATCCACTAGATATTCCTATGAATTTCAGCTCGGTACGCAGATACCGGTTGGTACAATTAGACGCATAAGGTTAGCTAGTCGCAATCTTGTAGTGCGATGTATCTGGGGGCGATAAAAACGTCCCCGCGCTAGCGTTATATGGCTTCGGACTACGACATACCCCCCACGCGAAGGAATCGAAGGAACAACTCAAGGCATAGTCCCGTTGTCGCCGCACAACGTCTCCAGGTTCCACACCCCTTTTCATACGGGGTATAGATGGAAAAATGCCCAATCATGTTAGCATACGTGATGACTCGTGATTCCTTTCTTTGAAGTTCAGGGGTGTTGCTTGTTTCTGTTCTCCTTCACACTCGCATCTGCGCTTTTCATCCCTCGACTCTGTGTCTCCTTCTGTCCTATTCTATTTTGTCCTGTTCATTGTTCATCTTGTCCTTTTCTGCCTAGCTTCTGTCGTTTGTGATTTTCATCCTCGATTACTTACCGTCTGGCGAAGAGGCAAGTATGCTGGGACTCGCGCAGACATATACCAAGGTCACCTCCGTCTTCTCTAACAACCATGCCGGATATCAGCCTCTCGATCCCCCAAGAGGTGCCGTTCATGTCGTCCAAAGCAAGGGTTCCCGATTCACGCGCAAATTACTACTGGCATCGATCATCGTTTCCATAGTAGTTGCGCTGGCTTTTCTTGTGAGTCACACTTGCATCACGTCCATGGTTGCAGCCTTGGCCATGGCACATCACTGATATTTTTGTCTGCGCCAGGAACATTATCCAAGCAACGGAGGCGATGGGGCGTCATTATGGTCGAGTAGTCCAATGGCGCTACCAAAGGCCAATTTACATCTGCTGGTGCCAGCATCAAGCGCCAAAAGCGATCTATGCAAGGTCATGGTCAGTTCTGGCATATTGGGATATCCCACCCCAGAATTGATCAACTGGGGTATGCGGTTCAACAACTCAAAGTTGAGTTCCGGTGGTTCGCACATTGCCAAGATAGCTGGAATCCAACATCATCTCGAAACTCTTGACGCCGCCGATCACGATTTGGTTCTCGTGGTGGATGGCTATGACATTGTGAGTCAGCGCCCTCGGCCCCAAAAGGTCATGTTTCCTGTCGCTCTTACTTGCTGATGCCTCCCAAGTGGTTTCAACTTCGGCCTCAAACCCTGCTGGATCGTTATTTCGATATCAACAAGCGCGCTGATACACGTCTTAAAAGTGTGCTCGGAGGCAGTGTCATGCGAAACCATGACGTATCTCAAAAGATTGTCTTCTCGTGTCAGAAACAATGCTGGCCTTTCTCGCTGAAACAGGCGCCCTGCTACGCCGTTCCCAACTCCACGCTTCCTGCTGACATCTATGGCCCCGAAACTGACATCTACCTCAACAAAACGAGCAAAAACCCGTATCTCAATGTTCGTCAACGATTTCTCAACTCCGGGGTCGCCATTGGTACTGTGAAGGCCATGCGTGAATTGTATTCCGAGGCGCTGGCAAGGGTAGAAAAGGATACGAATTTTGGCAGCGATCAATTTGTCATTAGTCAGATCTTTGGCGATCAAGAGCTTTACAGAGAAGTTCTCAGACAAGACGCAGTGACTTGGTGGCAACGCTGGTTGAACAAGGATCAGGAAGATCCACAGGCTCAGATCTTCAACTCATCTCACGTCGAGACTGCGAGGAATTCATCTAGAAGACTGGAATTTGGCCTTGGAATTGATTATGAGAGCTCGATCAGCCTGGCTACCATTTTCGCCCCTGAGGATGCCGCTTGGCTTACATTCAATAATGCCAGCAACTTACGAGAAGCCAATCACAAACTGAATATCACCGAAGCCAACAGCCGCATCAACTACACACTTTCCGATGTGGCCTTGACCGATGCACCTTTTTCGACTGCCGACTTTGATCTCGGGCCGACCGAAGTTCCTTGGACCAATGTTTCGATTTTTACAAACGTCAGGACAGGCTTCGCCCCAGCTATAGTGCATCATAACGCATGGCAAAATAATATGAAGAGCAGACGTGTGCACTGGTGGAGCAAGATTTGGTTCCACAAACATGCTAGAGCCCTCTACACTGATTACGCGCAAGGGCCCGATTCCCCCATTGCTGTGTCCGGATACTCTTATCCCATCGAGTGGTGGAGCTCCGACAAGCGGAGAGGTGGTGCTTTGAACGGAAGCGAGTGGATTGGGTACGAAGATATATGCCTTGGAACCGAGGATGAGGTATTCAGGGATAAAGGCGGGCCTTGGCTTCCTGCTGGTGTCTCTCGAAGTGATTGGACGCCGAAGCAACAGCCTGGTGTGAGTCCTGATCTAGTGGCCAGCTATCCGAACGACCAAGCCCTTCCGTTGCGTATCACAGTCATGGAATCAGGGGGGTCTCATGATGAAGTGGTCGCTGCCCTCGTCCACTCCCTTGGCTCTCAGAATGCTGAGATTGACCTTTATCAACTACTCCCTCGATACGGCATCAAGGACATTATGCGTGCTTTCTCCCTAGAAAGACCCATGAGGGGTCCCAGGGGTCCACCGGACTTCATGAAGGACATCGACAATGCTATCAGACCTGACATCTTCGTCGCCGCTACATGCGAGCTGGACATTGTCCGACTCAAAAATCAACTGGACGTCCTTCTGGCCGAAGGCAACACTCACATGGTCTGCGTTGTTCACCATGCCGATCGTTGGGCTGACCCAAAGTTGGGGTTGGAGGAGGCGATCCGACCGTGGGTGATCAAGGGCCTGGTCGAATTCTGGACCTTGAGCCCACACACCGAACGTTTCCTTCGTGATAAAAGCATGAGTCAATGGACTGCGGTAAGATCCGGTGATGTTTCGCCTGTTGTGCGGACCTTCGTGCCTGTCTTTCCAATCATCTTACCTGCCACGCCCGATACGCACAATCTAGCATTCGGCCTCCAAGGAGATTATGACCCCAGCCGTCGGGATTACAAGTCGATATTTGAGCACCTCGACTCATTTTTGAGGACGGAGAGTTCTACCCAAGAGTCTGATGCTTCAAACTCCAAAGCGCATGCTCGCAATGTCACGATGCACTTACTAGGACATGGCAAGCACCCGAGCGTGCCCGATAACGTCAAGGACCATGTGGTCTTCGACGAGCGACTCGATTACATCGACTATTACAAGATCCTGTCGCAGACGTTTGCTCTTCTTCCCGCTTTTGCATCCGACACTTACCTGGACCGTAAAGCATCAAGTTCTGTACCAGCCGCATTGATAGCCGGAACTCCGCTTATCGCCACAAAGGCCATCATCGAAGCATATTCCTACATATCTCAAGACACGGTCTGGTTGCAAGAAGATGGAGAGAGCGAATTCGATGTAGTTCAAAGAGTGCTGGACATGGACTCGGACAGTCGAAAGAAGAAGATGGAATCCGTCCGCGAAACACGCTCAAAACTTGTGCAAGAGAATATCAAGCTGGTCGAAGACTGGATGAAACAAGCCATGAGTCGTATGGAGTATCGAGCTGGGAGTATGTAGGAAGATTTCATTCATCTCAGCGGTTAACCTGATGAACTACATCAGGCAGTAGTTTCATCCACGTCAAAAGAGAGCCTGGTTTTGATCATTTCACAGCAAAACGATTTGGTGTCCAAGAAGAAATCCGGCTTCATCGTCCCCTATTCATGGATGTTGTTTTTGCTTCACCTCTTCCTTGTCGAGCCGTACAGACTGTTGCCCATCACTCTTACCCATCGCCCAAAAGTTCTTGCACGGATATCCAAAGTCGACTGCATGATACAGGCAAAGACAATGACCTCGAACAAGCTGTCAAAAGCAGCGTCCCGCACAATGTGTTACACAAACTTAGCAGTCAGATTATTCCAAATCCAGATACATTGGGGTCTAACTATCGGATTGGCAGGTCAAAGAGATCCGATTCTTTTAGGGAACTTGCCTGCTCGACATTGATTCACCATGTCACCCGGGATACTACTTTATGTGTCTCATCGAGACGATCAACCTTAGTCACCATGAACTACACAGTGACTCAAAGATTCATAGACACACTGAATCTATATTCCCTTTGAGCGAAAACATCAAAAAGATCAAAAAAAGATTAAAGCCTTCTTATCCATCTAAACATCTCTAAATATCTCACGTCTACTGGTCTATACAAAAGAAACTACTACGGACCACGAAATATCTTTTTCCATTCTTTTTTCTGTTTCTTTTACCTCAATCTTTCTTTTCACATCTTTCGCCGTCCACACCAGCAAGATATCCGTCAAGGTTTCAAACACTGGTTAGTAATGATGTAAAACTTTGGCAGAACACATCACATGGCTGTACCGTATCAAACCCCCCAAAAGCGTCACAATAAGAACAAAAAAAGTAAAGTAAGATTCCGTTATCTCATCCCTAACACACAAAAAGACGCCTTCCACTTGACGCTCCCATGCCCATCTTTGCCATTGCGAAAAAGAAAAAAAGAAAATCCCCTCGACTCTGCTACAAGATTGTTCTAGATCTTATAAACCACACCACCAGAAAACATAATCTTATTAGCTTCATTCAATTCCGTCAATGCAAACTCTGCTTCTTCCTTTTCAAACGCTTCTCCTGCACCGACTCTTGCATTGACAGCTTGCACCAATGGTTCCACATCCGCCGCATCATTGGCGAATAATTCTCCATCGATGAGTTGACCAAGCGCTGTTTGGAAGATTAAAAGACGTTCGGATGTGATGCCTTGTCGTGTTTCTGCGATTTCTGGTTCTGCGGCTTGGGATTGCGATTGTGAGTCAAGTAGCTGTGATGCAGGACGGGAAGATGCGAGGGAGAACTGCGAAGATGATGGCGGAGGTAGAGAGGATTGTGTTTGTGTCTGTCTCGTGCGATTCGTTCTGGGTGTGGCGGAGTAAAGATCTTCGTCTTCATCTGGTAGAGCGCCGGAGACTGTGTGCTCGTCTCCATTGATGGGGCTTCTTCTTGCGCCTCTTCTTGCTGGTGTCGTACCACGGCGTGTGGAACTGCGGTTTGTGGTTGCTGCATCCATGTCTTCGTCACCTTCACTATCGTCATCCGAGGAGAGTGGTTCAGTAGTTGCACGGATCTTTCTGCGCTTCTTGCGTTCATCCTCTGCGACTTCCTTGAACAGCGCAAATCTCAGGATGTTCTCGGCGACTTCGGCATCTTTCTGCTCCACTCGACTCGATAGACGGGATTTGGCATGTGCGGTACTCAGACGAATAAGAGTCTCGAGAGTACGAGCAGTCATGGGAGAGGTCTTGCGTTGGTTGCTTTCAATCTCATCATTACGAAGGGATGAGTAAGTGGCGATGATGTGATTTGCGGCGCCGGAGGTGAGGATGGGCTTGACTCTTGACTTGGCGTATTGAATGTATTTCTTGATGAAGGGGATGCTCAGAACTTCGACCTTGCGGCCTGAGCCGCGACCGACAGTAACTGTAACACCGGCGTGCAGCATGACGTTGTACTTTTCGTAGATGTCGGAAGTCTTGTCTGAGTCGGCTTCTTCTTCGAGACCGACACCAAGCGATTGAGTTGCTTGCTCACGGACGGGAGCGCCTTCCTCAGTGCCTGGTTGGCGGTATCTGTGCATACGAAGCACGTGCTCTGAGATCTGTCTATCTCTGACATCCTCGATATCGTCAGTGACGATGAACAACAAATCGAAACGTGACAGGAGAGAGTCAGGTAGGGCGATGTTGCGGTGAGGATCCTTGTGAGTATCGTATTGACCGTAGATGGGGTTGGCTGCTGCGACGACCGAGCAGCGGGCGTTGAGAGAAGTATGGATACCAGCCTTGGCGATAGTGACAGTCTGTTGTTCCATGACTTCGTGGATAGCGACACGATCGACATCGGACATCTTGTCGAACTCATCAATACAGACAACGCCACGATCAGCAAGAACCATGGCACCAGCTTCCAGTCGACGTTCACCAGTTTCTTTGTCAGATGTGACTGCAGCGGTCAGACCGACGCCAGACGAACCACGACCTGTAGTAGCAATGGCCAAGGGAGCAGTGTTCAGGACGAAGCGCAAAAGTTGAGATTTCGCAGTCGAGGGGTCGCCAACCATGAGAATGTTGATGTCACCTCTCAAATGAGTGCCGTTATCCAAGTTCTTCTCCATACCACCGAGAAGCATGAGTAGGATCGCCTTCTTGATGTAGTCATGGCCGTAGATACTGGGAGCCAGGGACTGTGACAGAAGTTCGAAAACTTTGCGTTGTTTTGAGATTCTGTTGATGTTTCTGATGTCGGTGTCGGTGATGGTGGCTTGAGCGATGCCACCTCCTGACTTGGACGAGAGAAGAATGACATTGTTGGCGAGGACCAGAGTACGGAAAGTCGAGCTTCCCGCTCCAGCGTTGCGGTTTCCGAGGGATCTGTAGATGCCCACGAGTTGGATACGATCACCAGGCTTCACCTTGTCGACCATGTCGTCGTCCATGATGACGTCGACACTTCTCGGCAATTGACCAGCGGGCGCGCGCTCTGGCATTTCTTGGATGGAAATAGTCTGGTGATCGCGGTATGTGCAGAAGCCGTATTCAGTGACCAAGGCATTGCCTTCGTCGTCTTCGGTGGGGTAGACGCTCGTGCTGGCAGCGCCATTCATGGTCATGGTCTGATCTCTGTATTCTCTAAAGTGGAAGGAAGTCTTGTTCTCGTTGTAATGCACACTCTTGACCACCTTTGGGCGTACGAGAGAGCACTTTGTGACGATGCCCTCCAGCGACACCATGTGGTTGAGATGGACAGAACTCAACGTGCGAGGGTTGGTCGCAAACTCTCCAAAGCTGCCAAAGAAGGCGCAGTAGTACATTGTCTCGTCTGCCGTCTCATGCGCAGGTCTGCCGGGTAATGTGTTGACGATGTTCTTGACAGCGCGGTCGAAGGCTTGTGAGAAATCGAAGGGCTGGTTGAGGATGCCGTCGGCCATCTCTCTGCTGTGTGCGCGGATCTCATCGAGTGATACTGGTAATCTTCGTGATGAGCGACCGAGCATGACCATGATATCTGCTCTGTAACTTCGTGCTCGCGGGTCATCTGGGATCACAACATCAGCGATTGTTCATCTTGACTATGCCGTCGCATCATCATACTTGGGTCGAGAAACTCCTCTGCAGCTCTGATCCGGTCGCGCACCGCCTCATCTCGTAATTGTAGACCGTCCATGGTGTGATGTGTGATATGTGATGATTTGTGCAAATGCTTGTGGAAGAGGGTTTCTGTTGTTTACCAAGGCCGCATTTCCTTCTCCGCGTTCGAGGGGGCCTGGACGTGTCGCCTTTCGTGTTTCCGCGTAAAGTGCTTTTGTGCTGATCTTGACTTGGCGTGGGAGAGATTAGATAAGATGCGAGGTGGAGTGGCTGATAGGAGAGATAAGAGGGGAGGAGAATGACAGAAAGGTGCATATCATGACGGACGAATCAGCAGGAACCACGCGCCGCAGGGTGATGTCAAGGCTTGTCGGGGATCGCCCTCCCCTTCCACAAGCCTGTATTCGGTGCTTGTCTAAGATGGCGGACTGACAGTGGCAGTGACTGCATGCGCGTGCGACCAAAGTCACGCTCACCGACTCTCTGTCACTCTCTGTCTTGCCGTCGCTCACTCTGCCCTTGTACCTGCTGTTTCCCATTTCAAGCATGCATCTCTCAGCTGCACTCCTGTCGCATCCTTATTTCCTGCTGTTCTGACGACTTATCATCAACGACTCGACGACTTTCCCACGACTTACGACTCATTTGCGCGTTGCTGCCTGCTTAATTTGTGTCTAGCCGGTCACAGTCACTCGACTGTGCATACTACTATTGACTGCAGTGCTGCCTTACCGTCCACCAATCGCTCAACCGACGCGTGTATATAATCTATCTGCTGAATGCCTGAAAGCCTTCGAGCCATCTCACCCCTAGTCAACTTGCTGTATTTGTTACAGCTGATCAGCCTTGACAAAACTAAAACAAAGCACTTGACTCGGAGTTATTGCAACATCATCTGTGACAAGCGCAAGTCATTATCAAACAGAGACAAGGGGTTTGTCTGACTCTCCTGTCTTGGTTGCATTGCATTCCTCGGACATCCCTTTTCTGCATTTACAACTCTCCACTCGTCTTTCTCAGAGGACATTCGTTCCTGCCATGGCTTCACCAGCTTCGGAATCGGAGCAGAAGGAAGCTTATCAGTATTGGGGCTACTTGTTCAAGCATGATCGCACAGGCACTGACACCCTGAAGAATCTCCTCCGAGGAATTCACAAAACTATTGTAAGTCACACCATGTCCGTGATGCACCAAGAACAAAGACCAACCTTGACAAACAGATCACGACCTTCGAAGCTTCCGAGTCACCAGACATCACACCTTCCCAGATCGCCCACTTCTACCGTTCTGTAAACGGCAACTACGACCCGCTCTTCCTCTCGACTCCTCCCTCAACCATCGCCTTCATCTACAAGAACCTCGGCTGCCTCCACAGTCTCCAACCCCTCCCAAACCTCTCCGACCGCTACGCCGACCCCGTGGTGCCCGCTCTCAAAGTCGAAGGCTGGATAATGTGGCAGACGGTCCAACTCCTCCTCGGCCCAGACGAGCACTCCGAGTTCCTACGCCTCGCAGTTCAAAAATGGGATATCAAGAACCCTGACACTGGAGAGCTGTTTCCGAAGATCTTGCCGAGGAATTGCTTCCCTCCTCATCCGGATGCGACTATGGTGGAGTGGTATGAGGGTATGAGCAGTCGCTTGCGCAAGGAAGCAGAAGAGCAGGAGAGGATACGTGTCCAGCCTATAGAGGAGAGACCGGATACACCGAATACTGTCAAGCATCACCGCAAGGTCAGCAGGTACTCGGACAGCGCTCTCACCGATGACGAGTCGCCGCCTGACCATAGGAACTTTGCAATTGCTTATTTCAGAGATCCTTTGTTCAGGGCCATCGATGGCAGACCTGCTGTCGTGAGGAACGGCAGTCGTCGTAGACCCCCTCTCAGTCCTCGTGACTCGTTTGTCCACAGAGGCAAGACCGTGGCTGCCACTTTTGGCAACGTCATCAAGAATGTAGGAAGCCCACATCTATGGGACGGCCATGCCGCGCTCAAGGACAAGGAAAAGGAAAAGGAAAAGGAGAAGGAAAAAGATCGCGACTATCGCCGTCGCAAGTCATTGCCGGACAAACACCATTACCAAGACCTGGATGATGAAGACGCTCGTCCAAAAGTGTATAGTCGAAGGGGTTCGGCTCAAGACACACCGCCGGAACATTATCACCATCATCACCATGAACCGAGTAGTCTACGCCCTAGTCCTACCCACCATGAGCCTCCACGCCACCGCCGTCCTCATCCAAGTGCGAGAGAGTACTTCCCCCCCGTTGACGATGAAGTCGACATGCGTCGCTCAGCTTCAGCAACACATCTCCATCCCCGCAGTACTTCTCCCCAGAAATATCCTTCTGGCTTCATGCCCAGTGTGTCTCCACTCTTCGCTACACATATAGCCCGGGAAGGCCAGAGAACTTCTTCTCGCTCAAGACCGAATTCTGCAAGGAGTCCGGAGAGACCGGAAGGCCAGAGACAGAGTGCAGAGGGGAGTGGAAGTGAAGTGGGCAGTCAAAGAGGAGGTAACAGAACAAGACCGAGAGTCGCAAGATTCCAGGATCCTGTTGTGGTAGGTACTGGTGTTAGTGGTGCGAGGGTCTCTTCAACAGAAAGTGGGTATAGATGAGGCTTTTTTGTAACAGGGAGATTTTCAAATCACAGACATCGAGCAAAGACTTTTCTACCTCATTTCTCATCTGTGCTCGTGGCTGAACCGTAGTGCTTACAAGGGCAGACTGGCGGCGATCAGTCGATGGCGAGAACTCTTGCAAGTGCATTAGACACGCGACAAGGACTCGAAGAAAGCTGGTCGTGGCTCAATCTAAAGAAGGATACTAACATGCAGCATAGATGCCAACGAGCCAAGTGAGATGTCAGCTCGTGCCTGCACAATCTCCTGACTGCTCAGTATAAGTTCGTCGCCTGGTGAGCCACCGGAACAGTCTCGAGCAGAGCCGTCCGAACCATGCGGGCGCTTAAAAGCGAGATGTCATTGGTGGAAGTCGAAGTGGCCATGGTGAGATCTGTTGCATAATTGCAGATGAGAGTCGTATCGTTTGCCCGGTGTTCCAGATGGACATGTAACAGCTTCTTACAGGACAGCAGGACATAGGTACCTACCTGCCGATTCACATCGCCAGGGAGGGAGAGAGAGATTCGGCAAGGACAAACGACTCCAACGCTGCGATTCTTTCTTGGCGTCGTCATACACACTTTTCGAAACCACGACAACAGGATGACCCTGATCGAAATGGTTTCTTGACATTGGAGTCACGTTAATGGCTCAGTCTGACGTACCATTTGCCTAGCACAGGAGACATTGATTCCTTTATCAAGATACTTGCAAGGTATGGTTTCGCCTCAAGCTGGGAACAGGTGGGGGTTGGAAAGCAACAATACTCGAGTTTGCCGATTGGCACCCGGCCGAGCATGTCGCAAACTTCAGTCTTGAACGAGCAGATTGTTATACGACAACGAGGATTACAACTGTGCTGGAAGACAGTGGGAGGAGTTCTACAATATCGCAGAAGAAGAGCTCACAACAATCCAACTTGATCTATCCTTGAGGAAATGTCATTGGCTCTTGTAAGACAGAAAGTTGTGCCTCTGCGGAGTGGAAGTGTTCTCTTCACCTAACAAGCTTTTAATATGGGGAAACCAGGTACCGTTGAGCGCTTACATGGACCTGCGAAGATACAAAACTGTATATAGTAGCGTTTGCAGAACAAAAATGGAAGCTTGAAGTGACTGCTGAAGCTTGCCCTGAACATGTTCCCACAACGTCACTCAGGGGTCTTTTCGGTTCGAGGCCGAGCTTGCAATCTCAGTAAGCGCGCGGACGCCGACGTCGACGTGGCTGTGAAGCAGAAGAGTTCACTGACCGTGATATGCATGACGCTTCAGGAGCAGCTCGAAGCTGGCCAGATACTGCCAAGATGGCATGTGTTTGGCAGGGTGAGCTGTTGTCAAGGTAGCAAGCGAGAAAAAGGGGGATTAGAGTTGCACAAGCAGTTTTGCTCTGTGGCTGGGGGATTCTGTGGCTTTCTGGCCAGAAGGTGTGGGGTCGTTTCGGGTTTGGACCTTGATTCGGTGCTTGGAAGCTTGCGTGTCTCTTGAGCCAATGCACCAAACTCGCCGACCTAGTTCAACTCCTCTATCTCTTCCTTTTCGCCGCGAGGAGTAGGACCGGTCTGTTTGTCTCACTTTTTGCAAACTATCAAGCTTTTGAATTGATGACTTCTGTCACTTCTGAAATACCTCACCACCAAGGATAATCCGACACGAAGCAAACATCGAATCGACGGCGAAGCTTTAGCCGGCCACCATCTCACAGCTTGCTGATAAGCTCAACACTCACGGCGCCGACAACATGTTGGACGGCTTCCACAATGGCCATTCCAAGGAGGAGCTCAAGTCGCAAGGCGCGATTGAAGCAGCACGCGACCCGCACAGCAAAGTGACGGTCGCAGACGCCGAGCAGACAATCCTGGACGAGTCCAAGAAGGGGGGAGCCGCCGCCTTTCAGTTTGACGCAAACGCGTCGTCTACAGAAAAGGCGCGTCAAGTCAAAGCCGTGAGTAGTCCAGGCTGATGTGATTGCAAGCATACTGACACGTCGTAGCGATTGCCGCCGGAGCTTCAACACATTCGCCAGCATCAAACAGCCGTGCTCGCTTCAGATCAAGACGACAACTTGAAGCCTGCTTATGATATTCCTACCGCGCCCCTGAGTGCCCCCTTGCCTTCACCAGCAAAGTCGGCTGCCGGATCAAGCAATGGCAGTCCGGAGAAAGAAGAGGATTGGGCAAAGGTTGGCTGGGCTCCTCGCTTTGGCCAGCTGCCCGATAGCGCCAGCATCGATGGCAGCATGCTAGACCATCAGACCATGCTCGAGGGCAAGTTGGACGACAAGTTCTTTGGGGATTGGTACCATAACACCGGTGTCATCATCTTTGCCTGTTTGTCCTCGTGGGTCGTCGCTGTGCTGGGTGGAGGTCTTGGTTGGCTATTCATCGTCATGGCCATTTGCGGCACCTACTACCGCACCTCGATTCGCAGAGTGCGCCGTAACTTCCGCGACGACGTCCATCGCGAAATGGCAAAGGCCCGTATCGAGACTGATGTCGAGTCTCTGGAGTGGATCAACAGCTTCATGGCTAAATTCTGGCCCATCGTCGCTCCCGTCATTTGCGGCACCATCGTCAGCTCTGTTGACCAAGTTTTGTCTACGTCGACTCCAGCATTCCTTGACAGCATGCGCATGAAATTCTTCACCCTCGGTACAAAGCCTCCTCGTCTTGAACATGTCAAGACTTATCCCAAAGCTGAAGATGACATTGTTCTCATGGACTGGAAGTTTAGCTTTACTCCCAACGATACTGCAGATTTGACCGCTCGCCAAATCAAGAACAAGATCAATCCAAAGATTATCCTTGAAGTCCGTCTCGGTAAGGGTATGGTCAGCAAGGGCATGGACATCATTGTCGAAGACATGGCTTTCTCTGGTCTGATGCGTGTCAAGATGAAGCTCCAAATTCCATTCCCGCATGTTGAGAAGGTTGAGATCTGCTTCCTCGAACGTCCTACCATCGACTATGTCTGCAAGCCTCTTGGTGGTGACACTTTTGGCTTTGACATCAACTTCATTCCTGGTCTCGAGACATTCATTCAAGAGCAAATCCACGCCAACCTTGGTCCCATGATGTACAATCCCAACGTTTTCCCCATCGAAATTGCGAAGATGCTTGCCGGAAATCCTGTTGATCAGGCCATTGGTGTCTTGCAAATCACTTTCCACGGTGCTCAAGGCCTCCGGAACCCTGACAAATTCTCTGGTACTCCTGATCCGTACTGTACTGTCTCGGTCAACAACCGCGACGTACTTGGCAAGACTCAGACTGTGCATGAGAATGCTAATCCTCGCTGGAACGAGACTATCAATGTCGTTCTTACAAGTCTCAAGGATGCCCTCACTCTACAGGTCTACGACTACAACGAGTTCCGCAAGGACAAGGAACTCGGTTCTGCTACCTTCGCCCTTGATCAGCTAGAGAATCAAACTGAATTTGAAGCTCAACATCTCGAAGTCATGGCCAATGGACGTGCTCGTGGCGTTATTCAAGCTGACATTCGCTTCTTCCCTGTCCTCGAGGGTGACAAACTCCCTGACGGTACTGTTCAGCCTCCACCCGAGAGCAACACTGGTATCGCCAAGTTCACCATTGAAAGCGCAAAGGAGCTTGATGGTAGCAAGAGCATGATTGGTCAACTCAACCCCTATCCTGTCCTGCTTCTCAATGGAAAGGAAATCCACATTGGCAAGAAGCTCAAGAGAACCAACAACCCAGTCTTCCCCGATGCTACTAAAGAACTACTCATCACTGATCGCAAGAAGGCAAAGCTTGGTCTTGTCATCAAAGACGATCGAGACATGGCCGCTGATCCCATCATTGGTACCTACCAGCTAAAACTTGACGATATGCTCGAACTCACGAGCAGAGGTCAAGAATGGTACAATCTAGCTGGCGTCAAGACTGGTCGCGCCAAGATGTTGTTACAATGGAAACCTGTCGCTCTCAAGGGTGCTCTTGGTGGCTCTGGAGGTTACGTTACACCTATCGGCGTTATGCGTCTTCACTTCCAGAATGCTCGCGACTTGCGCAATCTCGAAACTCTCGGCAAATCGGATCCCTACATTCGTGTCATGCTTTCTGGGGTCCTCAAGGCCAGAACCGTGACCTGGAAGAACAACCTTAATCCCGACTTTGACGAGGTCTTGTATGTTCCTGTGCATTCAACTCGCGAGAGGCTCAGCTTCGAGGTCATGGATGAGGAAAAGATCGGTAAAGATAGATTGCTTGGCATGGTCGAGCTTGCTGTTTCGGACTATGCTCAGCAAGACGAATCTGGCGAGTACCTTGTCGATGACACCAAGAAGCCTCTGTCTCGTAGTCTCCGACTTGGTGCAACTGGTCAGCCCAAGGGTCTTTTGAACTTTACAGCATCCTTCTTCCCAACATTGAATGTCATCGATCCTGAAGATGAAGACAAAGATGACAAGTCGAATTTAGCAGTACCCGATCCTACAGCAGAGCCTTCAACTCCTACTCTTGAGGTCACGCCTGCGACTGGTCGTGCTCGTAGTAACACAGCTGGCACTATTGGGTCCCTCAAATCTAGTCCCGCCGCTGCTGAGATGCGTCAACAGCTTGCTGCCAATGAGAACGCCCAAGATGATGGTCTGCCTATCAAGAAGGAAGTGCCGAAAGTCCGCATTAGTGCGGAGGATCTTGCAAACTATGGTGAGTGTATGCTGTATATAACTCATATTCACGAACTAACTTGTGTCTCAGAATCTGGTCTGCTCGTCTTCAAGATTCTTGACGGTGAACTTGCCTCGGCTGGTTGCCATCTTGAAGTCATCATGGACGACATGCTCTTCGCCTCATACACCTCATCCAAGACCCGCTCAAAACACTATACTTTCAATGAAACTGGTGATGCCATGGTCCGCGAACTTGATCTGTCCAGGATCACGCTTCGTCTTGTGGAAGAGGTTGATTCCAAGGGAGATGACGACCACGATAAACATATCAAAGCCAAGCTCACTGGCCAGACGTTGGAAGTCCTCAAGTCTGCTTTGTACACACCTACTCAACTCACACTCAAGGATAGTCAAGGCCGTGACAGCAAGGTCACTGTCAGCTTGAAATACCTGCCTGTCAAGATGAAGTTGGATGCCTCTGAGAGCATCAACAACCAAGGAAACCTCCGTGTCGAGGTTCTTGACGCTGCTGACCTTCCTGCCGCTGACCGTAATGGTTACTCTGACCCATACGCCAAGTTTACACTCAACGGCAAGGAGATATTCAAGAGCAAGACCCAGAAGAAAACCCTCCATCCTGCTTGGAACGAGTTCTTCGAAGTTCCTATCCGATCTAGGACCGGAGACAAGTTCCAAGTCGACGTATACGACTGGGACTTTGGTGACAAGGCCGACTTCCTTGGCAAAGCTGCCATCAATCTTGATATCCTTGAACCTTTCCGTAGACAAGAAGTCACTCTAGGTCTTGATGGTAAGAGTGGAAGCATCAGGCTGGGTATGCTCTTTAAGCCAGACTATGTCACCAGATCTCGTCAAGGCTCGTCCACCTTCCACGGCACTTTTGCCGCGCCCGGAAAGATTGTCGGCGCGCCAGTCAAGGGTGTTGGCAAGGGCGCTGTATTCGTCGGTGGCAATGTTGTCCGTGGTGCCTCTTTCCTCGGCCGTGGCTTCCGCCGCAGAAAGTCGAATGCTGAGCAAGATGGCGATGAAGTCGTCACTGACGATACACCCACGCCTGGAGCAGCTCTGACTGAACAACAATCTCCTGAATACTCAGTCAACGTCGAGGGACCCGGTACACCACACTCGCGCACCCGCAGCTTTGGCGCTAATGCTACCACTTCTCCACCCTCCTCTTCCGAGACTGGCACAGCATCCATCTCTGTTCTCTCGGCTTCTGGGTTCCCTGCTGGCACGAAGGTCGAAGTCAAGATCTTGCATGATGGACCTGGTGGATTAAAGGAGATTATCAAGACCAAACCCATCAAGACAAAGGGTGAAGAGGTTTCGTGGTCTGAGCTGAGACTTGAGAAGAAGATCTCTTGTACACCAGACTCTGGCTTCCGTATCATCGTTTCTGATCACCATACCTTTGGCAATGGAGCTGAGCTAGGAGAAGCACAGTTCTTCATCGACGATCAAGGACAAGGCGGTGAAAAGGAAGTCAAAGTCGGTCCAGGCTCTGTCGTTGTAAGATCTTCTTGGCGACCGTCTACTGCTGATTCTGCTTCTATGCTGGGATCTATCCGCGGTAGTCCCGGCGGCGCAGCGAATCTTGGTGGCTCGATCGGTCGCAGAAGTTTCATGGGCAGGAGGGAAAGAAGTGTCACCCCCATCGCTCCTGGACAGGCGCCACAGTCTTAGGAAGAAGGATTATTACGAGGGAGAAAAGGCAGTTTCTCGGGCTTCGGCAGGAAGAGCATTGGTAGTATGAGAAGTATTCTTGACGAACGCGAGAGCAAGGACAGAGCGGTCGAGTTGGAGAGGAGACGGAAAGTCAGGGAGTGGGTTGGAAGGGGGAGAAGTCATGCGTCCAGAGCAAGCAGTGTCGGAGATGCACTTTGACTCCTGCTGATGAGCGCGCGCGCATTTGTGTTTTTTCCTTCTTATTCTATGATACCTTAGTTCATTCGCATAATCCTTCTTACTACGATCTCTCATCCTGTTCCATGACGGTTTTGTAGTATTTCTAGCTTGGCGGTTTGCTGATAGACGATTCAGCGAGCGAGAAGAAAGATAGCGGTTCTTGATGTTGGGGGTCATATCGCGTGGACTGATCTACAATGAGGGTCGTCCTTGTTGCCTGCGTGTAAACTCGGGACAACGTTGAGGAAGAGGGTCAGCATGCGGTCTCAGGCATGTGTAGCTGCGCACAGACAAGTTGCGATATCAAAAGGCGTGAAGTGATGGATGATGTGGGTCAATCATGGTGGTTTGACCTGTAAGACCAGCATAGATTGATCATCGCGCGGCATCCGGCCGTACGCGCGACTCGACGATCAACGTTAGCGTAGTCTGGTATCCACTCCCGAAGAACCAGGGTCTCGTATTGACCACAACATCCCTCGGTCTGCGCGGAGACATAAGTCCATGGCTGAGCCGCCGCATATAACACGAACATGTGGGAATGATAAGGACAAACTGACTTGGTTACCTTGGACTTGATTAAAATCGTTGTGGTAGGCACCCCGCCTTCACACCTTCCTTCTGTGAGATAGCGTCGGGTATCTTGTCTCTTATCTACAGCAGAACAGTCGCTAACAGTGGCTTGGAGTGCACGATAAACAAGCAATTACTCCAAACCTAGATGTGACGCCTAAAGGTACTTTTTGACGCATAGCTGTTCAGAGCACTCAAAACAGCAACTGTCACCACCCATTCCCAACTATCATCTCGCCAAAATGAACCATGTAAACTATCAACAGCGCCTTGACTTCGTCAAAAAATTGTTGCAAGAGCGGTTTGCACTGAAGGTATCGACGGAACATCTCTGATCCACACACGTGACCGTCATTGACTCCGCTCAGGTTCACAACATCGAGCCAATCGAGTATGATGCGGACTGCCCCTTTGAGTACAACAACTTTATCTACAAGGTACAGATTGATTGCCAGGAGTGCCAGTGGCTGCATGCACAATCTGGAACCTCACCCTTGAATTCAGACACGTCGCAGATCATCATGCGTCTCTCCAATGCAGCTTCAGGTATGCCAGATCACAATCGAGTGGAGAATGAGGTTGGTATGATGTTCCTATTTCGAAGGGCTCTCGCGAACCGTGACCTTGGACATCTTGTTCCACAGGTTCATGCTTGGGGCAGTGCAGAAGGCGGTCAAGGTTGGATCCTAGAAGAATTTGTACAGGGATCGCAGCTCGACAGGGTCTTTGAAACTGCGTCTGGTGACTTGAAGCAATCAGTCTTGGATCAGATGGCAGACATTGTCGCTGCAATGCAGAGCTTCGCTGTGCCACACACCATCACCCAGTATGGAGGCGTCTCGTTCTCCCCTACTGGAGATGTCATCAGTGGACCTATGACCACGCTCTCGGAGGGACCCTTCCAAACCCGTGCCTGTCTCTATCAGACCTTTCTCACGCAGCAATTATCTTCTGCGGATCGGAGCCCAGTCTTGCAGGGCTGGCGAGACGACGGGCTTCGTGCTCGTTTGGAACGCTTTTGTGCGGATGAACTGCCAGAACTGGCCCTCACTTCTGAGAATTCGAACAAGACCATCGTACACAGCGACTTTAGTAAGCCATTTTGACCCTGTTGTGGATTTGACGATCAACTGACGAAATGGTAGCCATGAACAACGTCCTGATAGACGAAAGCACAGGAAAATTGGTCGCCTTGCTGGACTTTGACTGGTCCTACATTGGTAGCGCCCATGATGAATTCTTGAGGTCATTTTGCGATCTTGGGATGATCCCAGGACCTCAGTCCGAAGGTCATGAGCTTGATCTTCGTCAAGAGCTTCTATCTGGTCAAAGTGATCAGTTCAGATCGAAGGAGACCGCCAACGCCCTCCAGAATTGGTATCAGGTACTCAAGTCCCGAGGCAGCAAGGTACCATCTGACTTGACCGGCATGGAAGAAATTTCAAGACTGCATTGGTTCATCAATCAGATCAGCCCATGGCTGCTGACTCATCCAGTACCGCTGAAAAGGAGATCCAAAGTGCAGCTCGGAACCGTCAGAGAGAGCACGAGACAAAGCATTCTTGCCTTCTTGCAACACACGGCAGATCCCTCCTCAGGCGTTGCAACACCATAGGACGAGTGTGGAACTATTGAGGAAGAGCGTTGATCAGCATGTTTCCAACTGGCCCGTAATATCTTCCTTCCAGCATATGATCATTTGTTGTATTTCGAAAATTGAGGAATGCGATCCTCGCAGAAACTTCGACGATATGATATATAGAAGATATCAAGAGATCAAACTTTTGTGGTGTCCACACAGTCGGGATATGGAAGCATCGATACATTCGAGTTTCTAATCGAGAGAGACCCCCTTGTTGTTGCAGTCATCTGCAGCTTATTGTTGATATGTTAAGTCGGAATCACGATGTACAAATTCTCATATGATATTCATATCAGTTCGATTTCGGATATTCACAAGGAGACAGAAGATCAATAGGTGAAAATAACGAGCAAGTAGCAACGAGATCACGATCTAGTGATATGAGCTCGATCTCGATTTCATGAGTAACTACGCCAAGATGATGATTGAGGGCAGGTATAATATCACAGGAATACCGAGCTGATTCTCCCTTTTCCTTGGCCGCCTAACGATATGATCAACATCTACGGAAGAGGTTGCTGACGGCTTTGGCGGACCATACAGAGCGGGTAGAGTAGCAATCAACGGTCTGTGAACTTAGTCAGCTGCGAGCACATACATCTTGATTGTTTCAATCCTACGGCATCAACAGGGTTGGCTTCACGCTCGTCGTGCTTGGTGCCAGTAGCCACGCTCTTGGTAGCAGACCAGGCCGAGCGGGTCGAGTAAGAGTCGACTCCATTGGGCTAAAGGAGTGCTTTGTCAGTATTTGCTAGTCGTCCGAGCATGTCCACTTACAAGAATCTCGATAGGTGCGGCTGATGAGAACATGGTTGTGATACCGAGGATCACAGCAAAGGTCGAGAAGCTCCTCATTGTGAAGATATAAGTGGTATTTGTGAAAGTGAGTGAGTGAGTGTTGATCAATCCAAGGACGATACGAGCCTGTATTTATGTCTGCCCCTTCGTAGCCCGGGACTGACGAATATGGTTGGCCGGTTGTTAAGGTTCGACACGACCTCGCCATCAGACGCGCGAGCTCATTTGCGAAGGAAGAAGGCCCACACCGCCAAGGTCACAAGGCGATAGTCGCAGGAGTACCAAATACATGTTACGGCCGACTGCAGCCACGAACACTAGCGTCCAAAAGACCAAAAAGTGTTGAGAGACTGAACGTCCCGCTCCCTCCTTCCCCTTGATTATCGGATAGACCTTACTATGATATATGGCGAGTTCAGCCGCATTAGGTTTCTCTGTTCAACTTCAAGTTCCAAATTTCCTGATCAAAGCATGTATCGTCTCCTCAACATCTCGTCGAACGATGACTTGGTGGAGCAGCAACGACGGAGCTCCACGAACCGCCTCGCAATCTCGATCACCATTCTCTTCTCGTCGGGAATTGGGGTTCTGATTGGGATCCTGATTGCTAGAGGAAGCTTGTATACACACTCGCCACTTTCAGAAATATACTGTGAGAAATCATCTGCGAGTGAGCCGGAGATACATGACTAATAGATCGAAGCACCCGCAGCGACGGCCATCGGAGAGCGACAAGTTGTTTTCGCGGGAGGTTTTGGTTTGAACTCGACGAAGTTTTCCGGTTATCCTTCGCAACATATCAACGAACAGTGGGAAGCGCTTTACAACTGTGAGACACAATCGACACAAACTATGTTATACAAGTAGCAGCTGAAGCTTAGCAGTTGGTATTTCGAGAATACCCGCGAAAGAGGCGCGACTGATGCGGAACAAAACTCTGCCTATCCCGGACGACGACAGTCACTACATTGTGTCGCTTTCTGTATTCCATCAACTCCATTGCCTGGTAAGTCGCCATCGAACATATCTCCTTGTTACAGATTGACTGAGTCGACCCGCCCTTCCGAAGAATAGACTTAGACTTGCCATATACGGCGGAGTGGATTGGACCGACGAAGATGATAGTCTGGGAATAACTCATATTGACCATTGTATCAACGCTTTACGACAAAGTCTCATGGTCAGATTAATCGTTCGAGCGAATCATAACCCACACTGATCTCATCTAGTGCTCGGCTGACCTGACACCTCTAACCTGGAGGAGAGATTTGGAGGACGGGGTAGCCAAGGAAGTCATGGAGGTGGTGCACACTTGTAGAGATTTCGACGCTGTGATTGAATGGGGTCGTGACCGACAGCTCCAGAAGGCGTTCAACTTCACCAAGATGGTTGAAAGTGATCCTCTGGGGTGGAATACATACGCTGCTTAAACTTCTGGTCTGGATGGGTGTCTCAATACGGAATCGTGGCTCCTTGGAAGTTTGTACGTTATGTGGAAAATCCCGTCGGCAGCGGAGTCATTGCGGAGGTCCAGGATTCCAGATGACAGCGAATTTATCTGGGCGAGTCACACTCCGCTTCTTAAGATAGAAAGCTGTGTGGTATCGCCAGCCGGTAATTTCCCGAAGTCAGTTTAATAGCATCGTCGAGTAACGTGTTCATGCACGCCGCGATCAGTGTACGCTCTAGGTACCGCTTGTACTGACTTTGGCAAGCGCGTCGTCGATCAGATGCGCTAGACTATCACGCGCGCCGTGGAATAGGTTCTCTTGAGGACAGTGGACGATCTCGCGAAGTTGGCTCGTCGCTTCCGCAGAGTGTGGATACAGTCGTTACATGGTGCGCGGGCTGTAGGTCTGTACAGCCAAGGAGAGATGTAAGTCGGTGTCTAACAAGTTTGGAGCGGGCAGCATGCAAGCCACAAACTATCCAATCGAGGCGGAGATCCCTCGCGTATATACTCTTTAACGCTCGATAGCACATGCATCAAGGAAGGAGCCTGATTGTGTTTGTCGCTCAACATATCTATCGACACCAAGCGTAAAGATATAGCTTGCTTATCAGAGACATGTCTAAGCTTTGCTAAGCTGATTAGCTTTCGCGGATCGCCTGCCCAATGCGGCAAGCGAGAAGTACATCCCCACAGAAGGAAGTTTGGCGCCCAGATTACGCAGTACGCCATTTCGTGTGGTCTCTCGTATCGTCTTTGTTGAATCATCTGCTTCGCACCTTCCATATGTCAGCCGGCTATCAGTAGCTACGATAGAAGACGTCCGATAGTGTCTGGCGCTCAGACGTGCGGGGTACTGTACGGGTACGGAGTGCCAGTGATCCGAATGAGACCCCCTAGGATAATCGTGAGAGGACTTTATCTGGACAGCTGTTTATTGCTGGTCATCTCACTCACTCGCTTTAATCTTGATCGTCTTTGTATCAACACTGCAGAATCGATGTGCTCCAAGGATTACAAACCGCTCTTTGACCATGATCTCTTCGATGATTCGATTCCCGAGCCTAGTATACGTAGGGCAAGCGTTCTTCGATACCTCTCGTGGGCCACGCATCTCGCGGTAGTAGTTTCGCTCATTGCTTTGTACTCTGGTGGTTACCGTTTGACCAAGCCAGTCAGCAAATCCGAACAGGTACCTGACGATGTCAGCTACAGGAGATTATATTGCAAGTATGACTGCCTAAGTTGTTGAGCGAGGATGCTGACCAAGAAAGCCCCAATATGGGAAGCAGTCCAGTACCAGAAGAAAGTCTTCTACGCAGGCCATAATGGTTCCTCTCCATACATGGGACTACCGAGTCCAGGTCTTGACGAAGCTTGGGCCAATATAACTGAGGGTAAACATGTAGCTACAAAACAAGTCTGCTCCCGTGTTAATTGTGGTAGGTCATCTCATACTCATAAACAGCACCGGCGTCGAAGCTCTTGGATTTTCGACGACGAATGCAACTAATGTCGATGGGCTATATTTCGCAGTCCCTGAGTATTATCACCAAATGCACTGCCTCGACAATATCCGAAAATATATCTTCCGCGATTCCTACCCAGACTTTTTACCTTTCCATGGAACAGACGAGCAAGTTTGGGGACATGTCGGTCAGTCACGTACTTTTGGCTGCGAGCAAAGCACACGAGCTGACTGTTTCGTCATTTAGATCATTGCATTGACCTGCTTCGTCAAAGAATCATGTGTACTGCCGATGTGGGCCTCATCATATATTACTGGGAAGGGCCTGAGCGCATTCCCAAGGCGAACTTTGCTACGGAGCACATGTGCAGAAATTTGGACGCCATAGATGGATGGGTACGGGATCATTCTTGGGAGGAAGGAAAGCAATTGAAAGATCTGGTGTATCCACAGCAAAGACATGCAGGAACTTAGAACGACAGGGTCTGAGTTGGTAGGAAGAGAAGATTAAGCTTGATACGACGGAAAGGAAGGCCATGCGTCGAGAGAGTGTGAGAAGACGTTATTAGCTATACGCACGGCTAGATTCCCGAGGTGGCTTAACTAGATCTGAGGCAATTCTTGGCGAGTAGTGGCAAGTCGCCGGGCCCCGCTTGTGAGAATTGTATATAAACCTGGCATCTTTTGCTTCCGATCTTCATCCTTGTCCTGCCGTTCTCACATATTTATATTACGATAGACAGAAGCTGACAGCATGGAAGAGGCGGCTGGGATACCGTTGTTGCAGACTAATTCCTGTGGGGAAGACTTTGCCGAGGAGAAGAATCCCATCACGCAAATGTCACGAGGGACGCTGAAGGAAAGATACTGGGTCATTCTCTGGATGTTCATCAGCATGTTGATGACAAGCGTCCTATGGGCAATCGTACTGGCTGTGTATTTACACCCAGCACGATCAAATCAGACCATATACGAACAATGTGGGTAAAAAAAAGTCACAAGTTTCTCAGCTTAACAGAGACTGACTTGAGCCTGCAGCCCCCGTCGCGAAGCTAGCATCGCTAAAGCAACATGAACATCTCATCGACGGATCTCTCTACTCAGTTTATGAGTCTACATACAAGAGCTACATCAATGCTCCCTCGCGCGATGTCGACGCCTTATGGGATGGCTTATCTGCGGAAGGGTCAGAAGTCGTGCTTATGGATGGCGAGAGTGTCAAATTCGCCGGGTTCGATCTTGCGAAATTGGTGAAAGCCCCGGCCAACTGGACCACTCGTACAGGTGATCTTTACCCTGTACAGATCGATGTCTTCCATCAAATTCATTGTCTGGACGAGGTTCGGAAGCAGATGCATGCTTGGCACTACTATCCCGAGCTGAATAGCTCCGGCTTCGCACAGAAGACCAGCCCGACATTTCAGCACTGGCAGCATAAGAACCACTGTCTATCCATCCTACTTCAGAACATCATCTGTCATGCGGACCTTGATATGGTGCCTCATCGATGGACCGAGTGGTCTAAGCTTCCCTTCGCTCAGTTCAGCATCAAGAAGAGATGCACAAATCTGGACGCTTTACTCTCATGGAACAAAGAAAACGCGCTCAGTGACATCAAGCAAAAGTGGAGCACGATACAGCGACCCGAGAGTGCCTACGTATGGCCCGGATATGGCGAGATCCATCCCGACAATTGAGTCATGATGCTTCCTGGACCCTCAAAGCGAGCGCAGCCAGCTAGCAACACCTTTGAACAAATTTCTCCGCCCGCTGTCCTTTGCTTTCCTCGAATCGTGACCCCTGGGAGCCAGGCGCTTGGGACGGCGATGGTCAAGTGCCACGGGAAAACTTCCACAGAGTCAGATGGAAAGCACCAGGTGTTTATAAGTAGATTCATAATATCTTTGACACTCGTCCGAAACAAAGATTGACTCAGCAGCCCCTATCGTGAGAATGACTAGGCTCTCAAGTTATCTGTGCATACACTGCGTGACACGAAACGTTTCCACTTGCCACACTTTACCTTGAACTTCTCGATAATTGTATACTGCAAGTGTCAAGGTCTGCCATCGCAGGTTGCTGGCTCGTGATGAAGAAGGCACAAGAGCCATCAGTCAGATCAAAGACAGCAAAAGCATATCGAGGAAACCTCTCTGGTTGGAAACTCGTGAAGTGAAGGCATGGGTCCATACAAGTGGTCTAGTAGATCGGACCTTGGTCGTTATGACTTCGTAGAAGGTACGGTCAGTTTAAACAGCAATACGAGGGATTGCTGAAGCCATTGGATAGGTGTAGTGACTTGTAGCAGTACCAATCCGGTCCGTGATCTGCAAGCTGCTGAGTGAAGGGTACTGTCAGTGATCCACTCCTCCTCATCGCTCCGACTCAGACTCCGACCCGTGCTCGTAAGATAAGATGGGTTTTGTCAACATAGACTAAAAGGGGTGAGCGATAACCTCAGAATGGCCCATTTGCTAGACACCATAGGCCACTGTGTCATTAATCTTCCAGACAGACGCTCAAGAGCTTTTGCTATAACAGCTAGTAGACTAATCAAGAAGGTACTTGCCGTGTTATGATAGTCCTTCCAGTCAGTGATATCTCTCTTCTTATTGCCTTTCTGCGTCCGATAGAACGTGCTTTAGACTGAACACATAAGGCTCCCTTCGCGCATCCGGATCGGCATAACATCACCGTTATCATGCGTTTGACCCGAAGCACTTCCCTTACTATAGTGAAAGTCAGAGATTGGGACTCGAAGCACCAACAGCGGAGCACGCAGGCTTGAAGTATCAGTATATCCTCAATCCTGTATGAGACAAGGCCCAGCATTCAATTTCAACAGTCCCCAACGCAGGTAGTGGTTAGCCATGGGGGTAGCATTATCGATCTGAGATGTCTCTCCCAGGTCTTTCTGCTCTGCGCATTCTGCTGATAGCACTCGCAATGCCTTTTGACCGAAAGAGGGAATTGGCCTGACTTTACAATCTCAAGTGATCGGGATGACATGATTTCGGTCTGAGGAGTCAGTGAGCGCAATGTTCGCTCAGTGTAATCGGTATTGGGACACAGGTTGCCGTGGAGATACAACGCTTGGTCATTGACATTACGTTACGAAGCCACGTGCAGAGGATCTTCATCTGTTGGTCATGCTTGATGGTAGCACTTCGTGATATGTTATGCTCCAAGCTCTTAATAGTGTCCTCCGGGTAAGTAGACACCGGCAAGGATGGGTAGCCGTATGGTCGATCGGTCAGGCTGAGATCACGTCCTGGTGAGGATGTGTAACGGGTTCTACGAGTGGCATTTCAGGATACGAGAGGACGAAATTGAAGTGTCCGGAACAAATGGCATACTTTTGAGCAGGTAGAAGTATGCGCGAGCAAGGTAAGAGCGATAGTTGGGACGAACAGCGAGCGGCGCAGACGAGACTACGGACTAAATCGAATGAAACAGTCAGGCAGAGCTATGCGGTGGGATGAGCAGGTAGTAATGAGCAAGAATCTAGAGGCTCAATGGCTATACACTGTATTAGTAGGGCGGTAGAGCACTGCGTCCGATGCTGACTGCCTCTTACGACATCTTGGCCCCGGGACAACCGACTTATGGGACTCGGGCTTTGTATCTGACCATCCGCGTCAAGAAGAGTATCGGCAACGTAGTAGCCCCACTGTAACGGTGGTCCCTGTTCTAAAAAGAGACAACCAGGTATGACCAAACACCTTGAGAGCCTCACTGCGAAGAGTCATCTCTGTGTAGCCCTAACGATCGTGAACGGATACGGGTAAATCTTGAATGATGCCTTGCATGCTCCTCTCCGTCCATTTTTACCAGTACTCTGACCAATGGTTGGAACACTCATCTTCATGCATCCGTGACGAGCCATGATCATAAGTAGCGGCAGAGATTCGGTACTCCAGTGTGTCCTCTGTCTTGGGAGCCACCGGCTCAAATCCCGAGAGGCAAAAAGCTTCGGGTCGCAGTTATTAAGGCTCTAAACTCAAGGGACGAGGAAAAATGTATGTCAGAACGTGAATTTTACAACGATAGACTGTGCCAGCAAGTCTTGGTATCCACTGTGACTGCCTCATTTTTCTCGAGTCATTCCCACAGCAATGTGTTGTTGTCTTGATCCACCAGTAAAACGCTCTCCTCCACGCTGACTATGGCTACAATTATGTCCCCGAGTCTGAGTCGAGCCAGAATCAGACTGGCTCGTTGATCGCTGTCTCATCGATGAGCTTCTCAAAGACGTGAACCCTAGACTCCAGAATGTACCCCCTGTGTTTTAGTGCTTCAACTCGTGATAGACCTTCGACAAAGTCGTATGTGCACGTCTTTCCCCTCCTTGAACACGTGTAACATATCGGTCGCAGCCCGTCGCACTGAAGCAAGGATAAGATCAGTATTGCACACGTCAAGCTGAATGGCAATTAATCTCACCTTCCGCTTCATCCTTCGACAGTCAAAACACGCAACTCCTGTCAAATTTTCCCGCTCGCCCGGGCGTTGACTCGGAGCACGAGTCGTGGAAGCTGGGTCTGATTGATCACCACTCTCCTGAGACGAGATTGAGGCTCGTCGACGGCCCATAAATGATTTGTGTTCTTGAGACTGAATGAGACGGCAAGGAACTCTCGAGGAGGTAGTCAGCGAGAGTTGATTATTAGTGATCAGCAATATGTGCTTCTCTTGAGAGATGTAATGAGTGGGAGCGCAGTGGCAATATGCGGAGACGGAGATGCTCGGGTAATGACTGATGTCCGCCGCAAACGTGGAGGCTCAATACCACGTGTGTTATGTAGGGTTGTACTTGTTTCATCTTGCAAAGAAAACTCCTTCGCCACATCTGCACATTGCAATTCTGAGATGAACAACAGGAATTCAGGACTCATGCAAGCGGATCACTGAACGAGAAGCTAACAAACCTGGTTCAATCAGGATGAAAAGCTCCGTGTTGCCTAAGATGAATGAGTACCGGCCATGAAGATTTCTCTCGGTGAAACATCTTGTCATGCGAACAGTACCTGTGATTGGTTTCCCAATTCGACAGTTCAAACCGATCTCGACAAGCCAAGGACGCTTTCTACTCAAGATCGTGTGCTATGTAAAAGCCAAGACCAGAAATCCTCATCATCTGAAAGTGACATGGCCATAACGAGCTTCAAGCGGACAAATCCGTATGGCACGCACCCTCCACGTAACGGGGTCCTTCCATTCAACAGGATCTGATGCAAGACCTTTTTCACGCCATTGTGTTGTAAGTATCAGGTAAAAGCGTGTGGTCGGAACGCAACATACTGTCTGCACAGACGTCGACTTGCGTTACACTTATAAGCCGGGAGGACGAACCCTTCGCGATGACGTCTCGGATGTTGCCTGCCCCGTGACCGAGACAGACAAGAGACCTATTACCAAGCGCCACAGCGGATGGTGAGATGGTGGTGCGTAGCCACTATTCGTCTCTCGAGACATGCGATTTGGTGGAGCCCATGACAGGAGTGAAAATTCGGCGGCGGCAAAACTCTCGTTCATGCATGTATGTGTTCAGCCGAACGATTTAAGGGCAAGAGATCGATTGTTTGTTAGTTCGACGTGCTTGTTAAGCAACCTATTGAACAACTCGCCCGAGTTGTGGGCGATGCTGGAAAAGAGTGGGTGCTCATATCGTCGTTAAGTTCGCTAGAGGCGTAAACAGTGGTCTCGGTCCGATGTCCAATGAGAGCTGTCGTTCGGCAGATAGTTCTATCTAAGCGATTTTCCGAGTAATAGTCTTAAGCTAACGGAACGAGCCTTCTACATCAGCTAAGCCACGTCGGAAGCAGGTCCGAGAATGATGTGGCGATGGCTTCCTTCTGCTGGACAGCACAAGCATGATGCAATTGCGACGTTTCGGAAGATGTCTCTCAGGGAACATGTCGATTCAGAGCCAATGGAGGAGACTTCGTTGTCGTACAGCCTCAAACCACGTCAGCTTCCGAATACTGTCTTCTCGCTCGGTGGAAGACGAGAGTAAGCTCGCTCGATCGTCTCGACTGGTTGAAGTGAGTCATCTCGACAGCAGCAAAAGTGCAAAACCGCCCCAACCTAAGACTTTCCCCATGAAAGCAAGGTTGATGCAATCTGGGATTATGTTGGAAGTCGCCCGAAGGTCCACAATTTGTCGATTGTATGGCAACAAAAACCAGGAACATCGGGTCGGTAGACGGAGCATTATTGCGAACATCAAAAACTTCGGTGAAGCGTACCATCGGGGCACAGGATCACCGCCAATGACCACAGCATTTTTGTCAGTCGGCAATTTCGGAAACAGTCGAAGGGTAGGACGTCACAGACAAGGTCCCCGAGGTCAAGTGAAGTGCGATAAGTCGTGACAATCGGTGAGCGTAGATGGTGGGCTTATGGGGTAGAAATGGAAGGAAAGGGCGTTGGGGTAGAAATTCGGCGACATTGCACCCCACGACCTTCCACGGCGGTGCATATCGCTAGGCGATCATGATATCTGTTCGAGGCCGTCAAAGATACGGCACTCTATCACGATCAATCAGAGGTTCATGACGTGATCCTGTGCGGTCGCTGATTTAAGCGGTGTCGATATATAACACACGTGGTTCCCGCCTTGCCCGTGTACCCAACATCTCGAATTATCACACTCCAACGCTCATCTCAGTAGGTATTGCTCCATGGAAATGATGAAATAATCCGGTCTCACTAGCCATTGCGAGTAGATCAGAACAATTCACACGACATAGTCTCGACATATTCGTAACAATGCCGAACATCAAGCCTGTCGCAACTGCAGAATACGATGCAGTCATCGCATCGGTCCAAAAATACGTGGAGGGTCTCCGGGTGGGCGACAACAAGATCATCGCCCAAGCATTCAACAAGGACGCGACCATGTACGGATTTGCTCCAGACGGCAAACTGCTTGGTGGTCCAATCTCGAACCTGTACACTTATGTCGACCAGTTTGGTGCTGCTCCTGAGATCAAGACCCGCTTGGACATCTTGTCTATCACGCCTAGTACTGCTGTCGTGAGAGTGGACATGGAGGGTGACGGTGCCGGTGTGTCATACACCGATTTTCACACGTTGCTGAAGTTTGGAGAGAAGTGGGAGATCATCGCAAAGGTCTTCCATGCCTACGAGTAAACTGGTAGAATATGTCTCTCACTGTGTTACCCACTGCGTTACGCGTGCAAGTGACGATGGATCAATTGAGCTGTATACTCTCGACTTGTAATGATAATATTCAAGCTGTTTTGCTTCGCATCCATTCCATGATTCTACCGTCCACAGGTACGTGACGATCGATAGAGCTTTGTTGTCGCACGTCATACTTACACGATATCGTGACTTGGGTGGAGTCAACTCCTGTGGATGTTGGAGTAGAAAAGGGTTACTTGAGAAAGTCGCGGCCGAGCGCCGTGTTTTATGGGAAAAATTGACGCAAACATAGGAACCGTTGGACATAGACTGAGTTTATGCTCATTCATCGTTAAATACGTCTCCAAGACTAGCGCCTTTGAGGATATGGCGTCATGTCATACTGTTCGAGTCCGGAAGTCTTAATATGCTGTCTCCTCGACGATGCGATGTCCTCTCAAGCCCGCAGCAATCCACTTACACAGACCCCCTACAGAGACCCAAGATATCCATAACACACAATGTCGAAAATTGGTGTCGGCGTGATCGGTTTATCTCAAGGAGGAGGTTGGGCATCCGCAGCTCATCTCCCCTACCTGAAGCAGAGCGACAAATTCGAGATCGTCGCACTCACCAACTCGTCCAAAGAGAGTGCTCACAAAGCCATGTCGAAGTATGGTCTGGAAGATGCCGAGGCTTATGATTCGGTGGAGGAGATGGTCAAGAATCCTCGTGTCAAACTGGTCGTTTGTGCGGTCGCCGTCTTCTCGCATTACAAACTCGTTAAGCCCGCTCTAGAGGCTGGCAAAGATGTTTACGTGGAGTGGCCTCTGGGAGCTACCACTAAGGAAGCGGAGGAGCTCACAACGCTGGCACAGAAGAAGGGAGTTAGGACGTTCGTTGGCCTTCAGGGAAGAGCTTCCCATCTGGTCAGTTCGCTTCAAAGACTGGTCAGCAACGGCAGCGTTGGCAAACTCCTCGTATCTCAGGTGTCCGGAAATGCCGGCACACCCGAGACGGGCACCAAGTTGCCTCCAAGATACTCCTACTTCAAGGATCGCGAAGCCGAAGGCACGACCGGACAAGTGATGTTGAACATCTACATTGGACATACTGTGGATTACATGGCTACCGTGACTGGAGAGTTTGCTACCGTTTCGGCTGAATCCAAGACGACATGGCCGACGGTCGACCTTGTGGAAGGCGACAAAGTCCTCGAATCGCAGATCCCCAAGACTGCTGATGACTATGTCACTCTCCATGGTACCACCACCAACGGCGCTATCTACGCCTACACCATGCGCGGTGGCGATGCCTTTGCACCTGGGGAGGGATTCGTCTGGGACATCATTGGCGATAAAGGACAAATCCGTGTGACGGGATCAACCATCATGGCTAATCTTGGTGCTGAAGATTACAAGATTAGACTGAAGGACTATGCTACCGGCGATGTCAGCGATGTTGAGTTGGACAGTCATCTCGACGTTCCTCTAGCTGCACAAAATGTTGGCAAGCTGTATGAAAGCTATGCTTCTGGTCAACCCCTTTGTACTTTCGAGAGCGCTGTCCAGAGACACCAGTTCTTGGACGGCATGTTCGAGTCCATCAATCAGCAAAGGGTCGTAACTCTGTAGTGTCTCAGAAGTAGTGTTCAAATCTCAAATTAATTAGACTCGAATCGTTGCAGAAAAGACATGTCCGAATAAGATTTTAATTCAATAAAGTACTGATGATATCTTATTATCTGGCTACACCCTGCTCAGCACTTCCAATTGAGTGATCTTGTTTTGCCATATTAGCAGGAATCTGTCTGCCAGATACTATCCAGATTTTCTCAAAGCAAGAGCGATTTCCGTCACGAATTGCTGCCCAAAGTAAAAGACTTCCTCATACTGGATCGGATAGTAAGACTGCAGGACCACACTAGCGTTGAGCTTAGGAATGACATAGATAGCCTGTCCGTACATCCCCAGCGCGGCGAAGGCTTCATCGTCTCCCAAAGCATAAGTACCAACGCTACCACGAGGCAAAGTCCACCAGCCAGTCTGGTAGCCGAAGCCAGGCACTTCTGTGATGTTCCCTGGTGCTCGAATTCCGGTACTACTGTTTGCTGATGCTATCGCTTCAAACCAGCCAGATGGAACAGCAGGGCCGCCACGTCCTTGGATGTTGTCGAGGACGAAAAGACCGAAGCGTGACATGTCTCCCAGTGTGATTGCAAGGCCGCCATGACCGTCGACTTGATGTGCTGCTGTTGTACGCATGTAGCCATCGTATTGCATTTCAGCAGGAGTCCAGATGTGTCTCGTGACGAAGTCTTGCAATGTCTCGCCTATGGCTCGCTGCAACGCAATGGCAGTGACAGCATAATTCTGGTCCATGTAGTTGTATACCGCGCCCGGACTAGCAACCCTCTCATATGTCTTGAACAAGTCCAACACAGCCTTTGGATTAGATTCTTTGTAGACTTCAAAATAGTCGGTCGCGTTGGCTGGTGCTGCAACCCCTGCTGTCATGTCCATGATGCTATCCAGCGATACCATTCCATACGGCGTATTGGCAAGTTCTGGGATCCACTTTCCAGCCAGATCATGAATGTTGATCTTTCCCTGCTTGACGGCAATACCGAAAGCAGTTGACGTGAAGGACTTTGTACAAGACTGAATGGAGTTTCGAGATTGCTTTTGGTTGCCAAGTTTGTACTTCTTTAGCCTGATGACACCGTCCTTGACGACCATCATACCACCGAGACCCATGTTGTGCATGAAGGAGTCGATGGACACAAGAGACCCGTTCACTTGTGCCGAGACATTCAGGGGCGTGCCTGAAGGAAGGATGCGGGAACCTGAACCATGGCGGACCTGCACAGTTCCGTTCGGTAGTATTTCATCCTCGTGTCGGGTAATGATCGCGCTGTTGGCAGGGTCGGTGGAATTCAGGGCTGTCAAGCGAAATGTCCTGATTTGGTTGGTGTCAACGTAAGGAGTGCCGGAGATATTGGCTGCAGTACATATATGGGCGAGGATGACTGTTCTGAGTACCAGAGTCTGTGTAAAACGCATCTCGAATAGTTGTTACTAGCACAGATTGGCTAAAGACTGATCCGACTTTGAGCAGCCCAGAGTACAAGAAGCTGAATGGATCATGTTTTATATCAAGGTCCAGCCATGCTCCTAACCAATGCCGTACACCGTGAGTGGGGTGTAGCTTGATAGGGCATTACAGGGTACGTAGTGTCTCATGGAGATAATTTACCAGCCCCAATGACCAAATCCAAGGCGCATATCAGTGACTGGATATCGATATCTGAGTCCCTCGTGCTTATCGGTAAGTAAATGGCAGATAGCAAAAAGTAGAATAGACTTCCTAAAGTGAAGTTTGATAAGGTTGAAGTAGCGATTTTCTACCCCAACATGGAGTTGGAATGCCAACCGCGGAGAGTTATGCCTCGGCTTCGTACCGACTTGCGCAGCGGACGTGAATACTGACGGGGGTGGACCGTCGAAGTCTGCGAAAATACAGAAAGTACAATGTGCAGGCTGATCCATCCAGAGATGTAGCAGGCGAGATAAGCATTCGACCCGCCGCCACTAAAGATATTGTGTGCTGTACATGTGCTCTCCTACCTGGTGTAAGAAATCTGGCGGTCTTATCTTGAGACTCATGGACATGGCTTGTCCTCGATGATAGGATGTAGACGTTCGACTGGATCAGATCTGAGTTTTCTGTATCATCAATGTTTGCTCTCTGTGGCCAGATAAGATAGCTGTTCACGATATCCTATCAGCGCCATGGCATAGATCTCGAGGACCCCATAGCGAAATGCTAAAGTAAATATGTCCAAGACTCTGCTATACTAGCAAGTTTCATCCTGAACCGAAACTCCGTTACACGCTCTGATCGTGCTTCATTCTACCTCTGATGGCTTTTTCTGGTATGGATCCCGAGAGGCATGAAAGGGAAGGTGTTGAGCGGACGGCAGATGAAGGGCAGTTGCAGGCTCAAGGCCATGAGACCGATCTCCCGCGCGCCTTCTCCTTCTTCTCGACTTTGGCCCTTGCTTTTTCAATTACGAACACTTGGATCGGCTATTCAGAAACATTCGTGACGCCCCTGCTTGCTGGATCGGGCAAGGCTGTTTTTTGGTGCCTTGTGTTGGCTTGCATTGCCTGTACAATCATAGCGGCTGGATTGGCCGAGTTGGCATCCGCGTTCCCCTCTAGTGGAGGCCAATACCAGTAGGACGCGGTATTGTATCACTTGATGCTTGTGCGCTAACACGGCTTCACAGTTACGCATTCATGGTTGCTCCGAAAGCCTATCGAGCGCCAATTGCCTTTGTCACCGGATGGCTGAGCTGTTTAGGTTGGAAGCTCCTGGCAGCAGTCATGTAATTTTGCTGACACTCCGCCATAGGGTGGCTTTTCACTACGGCCAGCACAGGAGTATTCTGTAGCCAAGCGTCCGTGTCCTTGGCGGCACTCTACCATCCGGCTTACGTCTGGACCCAGTGGCAGGTCTGGTGTATTTATGCCTTGATTATGATCATCGCTTGCGCCATAATCTGCCTTCTCCCGGCATGGATCCCGAGAGCTGAGCAGTGCTTTCTTGGGATTTCCATCCTTGGCTTCCTAGTCTCCCTGATAACTGACCTGGTAGCAAGTCCGACAAAACAGCCTGCGAAGGTCGTATTCAGTGATTGGAACAACACCACAGGATGGCCAGATGGTTTGGCTTTTCTCGTGGCAACTGGTCAAGCCATGTATGGTTTTCTTGGACTGGACGCGGCCACACACATCGCTGAGGAATTACCAGATCCGGGGCGTGATGTCCCGCGCGTACTCATGCTGATCATGATCATGGGCTCGGCGACGACGATACCGTGGGCCATTGCTTTCATGTTCAGTACGAATGATCTTGGATCAGTAGCTTCGTCCTTCCTACCGATCTGGGAGGTATATCACCAAGCCACAAAGTCTCAAAGTGCTGCAACCTTCTTCGCGGTATGGATTGTCTTCATCTACTTCGGCGCTCTTGTCAGCTGCTTCCTCACATCTGGTCGGCTCTTGTGGGCGTTTTCGCGTGATGGAGGACTGCCCTATTCGAAGACTTTCGCGTTCATTCATTCGAGTCTACGGGCGCCGGTGAACGCAACTCTGCTGGCCAGTATATTCATCGTGCTCCTCGGATTACTGAACATCGCATCTACCACAGCCTTCAACAGTATCGTAAGTCTGGCGATACTCGCTAGTAACGCAACGAGTACGATACCCCAAACAATGGTCCTGTTGCGTGGACGTTCAGTACTGCCCCCGAGATCTTTCAACCTGGGCACAATCGTTGGCCCATTCGCCAATGGATTCTCGACCGTTTATGTTGCTCTGTACATCGTTGTCTTCTGTATCCCAGTCTACAGAGATGTGACTTCGAGCTCGATGAATTACGTGTCAGCAGTGCTCGTCGGGATCCTGATATTGGTTGCAATATTGTGGTTCAGTGGCAAAAGCAGAACATTTAGTGGCCCCCAGGTCGATTTTGTGCATGGTATAGATCCTGTTGCTGGGCAAGGGCCGTTGGATAATGTCTTGGTTTGTGAAGCGTCAAAGGAAACAGCAGTGCTCAAGACCGAGTGACGCGGTTAATTGGTTGCGGCGCACGCACAAGTCGCACGTAGACTCGACATTACCACCATCTCATTGTGCGAGTGTTGGCTCTGTTTTTCCCCCAGGAGACGCTCTGCGTCACTGATAGTCTGTTTTAGAACAAAATTAGTCGTGGAACGATGCTGGAGAGAGCGCAGACGAGGGCAGACGGCTGCATCGTTTTCTGTTGCCAAGACTTTGAATGACATAATCAACCCTCGAGTCCGCGCACGTACCCGATCGCATCGCTCTGAATCAGTTGACTTGAACTTCCACCTTCACATCGTTCGGCCACTACATCGACCAAGGATCGCGGAGCTTTACTGATAGTGGCACTACAATGTGACTACGTGATGACGAGAGGACGTCCCAAATCACAGGTGGCACCATGTCAATATTGTAACAGACAGTTCAAGCGACACGAACATCTACGGCGTCACGAGCGTACTCGTACTGTCTCCCTTCGAAATCTCAAGCAGCACATTGTGTGACTGATGACTTCGAAATAGATACCCGCGAAAAGCCGTTTTCTTGCCAATGCGGCCAGTGTTTTGCTCGAAAAGATCTGCTCGTGCGACATCAACGTTTAGAGCATCCGACACTGCACATTCCATCAGGCGAGAACATCATGGTACAAGACGATGGACCAGATAATTTACCCACCAGCAATGGGACCCTGAACTTCAACTTCGACAATGTGGCGGTCACGGAACCCAGTCATCTCCTTGCGACATCAGGTGAGATGTCTTGCTTGCCCATGCCTACGAGTGGAATTGGTTCCACGTTTGACTTTCAATCTACCAGCGGCCTGGATTTTCTCTGGGACGAAAGCACCGCCAATTTTGACTTTCTGCCTTCCATGTTCCTTGACACCGATCTCTCGTTATCGCATCTTACACAAAGTAGAGCAGATCCGCATGCGCAATCTGCGACAATCTCCAACGAGAATAATGCTTGCGAGACAAACCATGTTAATCCGGAGACTAGCCCTCATCTTACTGGAAGTCAGGCCTCGCTCTCTGATATTAATGAGGCTTTGTTGCGACGGGCCCTTGTCGCCACAGATGATGTATCGTCTTCCTCGCTCTGGACCGTGACCGCTGCTGTCCACGCCAGCTTGTCTCAGGTCGTACAGGCAAAGGCACAGATACTATCCAAGGATTTTTGTCTTCCCTCACGTCATGCTTTATCAAGGTATCTTGAGAGTTATTTTCGAGGGTTTGATATACATCTGCCGTTTATTCATCGACCCACATTCACCTTGACCGCTGCCGCTCCCGAGTTGATGTTTGCGATGGCAGCAGTTGGCGCTCTGTACCGATTCGAACATCCTCGCGGATACTCACTTTATTTTGCGGCAAAGTCCCTCGCTGATGACCAAATCGTACAACGCAGCCTTCACGCTTCTTCTCACCTTGCTCACAGATCACCTGGTGATACCAACCCCATACCAAGCATGAACTCACCTACGATTCACATTCCGAAGCCTATACTCCAAACAGTACAGTCACTTCTGATACTTCTCGCCATGTCTTCGTGGGCTGAGAGTCCGATCGTACGCGACTCGATGTCTACGGCCGGTAAATTGGCAATGTTGGTCCGCGAAGCTGCCCTCTCGGTTGATGACGAGCGCCCCGATGGTCTCACCTGGGCAGAGTGGGTACGCAACGAAGAGCGACGAAGGACACTGTTCGTTTCCTACGTACTCTTCAATCTGCAAAGTATTGCTTTCAACGTGCCACCAATGGTACTCAGTCATGAAGTTGTTCTATGTTTACCCAGCACAGAAATCGAGTGGACCGCCAAAAGCGCAGCACAATGGAATCAGCTTCGTTTCACGAACGTGGGCGCTTTTGAAGAACGATGCTTCCAGGAGACTCTTTCTCACCTACTCGCTGGCAAGAACATTTTCCGGCACAAGACTGTATCGGCCTTTGGAAATTACGTCCTCATTCATGGATGTTATCAGCAGATCTTCTTCGAGAGACAAGCCGCGGGTGGATTCCTGCCCTTCCACAAATCGACCTTGAGGCCGGATGTGGTCAAAGTCTTCGAAGCTGGATTGCGCGCATGGCAGAATTCGTGGGAGGCGACGGTCGAGTCCACTCTCGATCCCTGTTCTCCAAAGGGCCCTTTGGGCTTCAATGCCACCGCTTTGTTGCGTTTGGCTTACATCAGATTGAACTCCAATCTGCCGCCTTTGAGAAAGTTTGACGACAAAACCTCACCAGGAATGGCTGTCATGTTCGCAAGTTCAGCGGCTCCCGGTATCGAACGATCTGTCAGTGTGGACAGAGCTGTCCTACAATGCATACATGCACTAAGTATTCCTATCAGAGCCGGTGTCGCCTATGTTGCCAGAACACAGACTCTCGAGTGGAGTATTCAACATTCGTTGTGTAACTTCGAGTGCGCCTTGCTTCTTTGCAGCTGGCTTGAGTGCATAGCTTGCGCTGTCGAATGTGCTGACATGGATACTCTGCGTGACGATGAAAAAGAGTTACTAGCGGCTCTCTCGGGTCTTATCAATGAGTCAGAATTGTTGGACAATGTGCCTGATGTTCAGGACAGCCACGCCTCACGGATTCGACGCTTGTCTTGGTGCGCGACGAAACTTTGGGCAGAAATCTTTGGTGGCGGCTACGTTTTCGAGGTCAGCCGGCTTGTTGGAACTACACTGTCCGGTATAGCAGACGTCTTGGAGCAGCGCATAGTTGTGGTTTGAAGAGGCATATTCAGATAGATAAACATAAAACACGTTTTCTCTCAAGAACGGCCAGGGCGCGGACCGGCTGATCATCGGTCCCGGGTCTCGCGCGTCATCCATCTCCATGCTCTGCATCAAATCAGCGTACCACACATTTCTCATCATTACCATCTGAAACACAGACTTTGTGACTAATACACGTGTCTCCATATGCCAAGAAGCTCATCACGTACTCGGCGCGCCGCTAACGCGTAAGTTGCGATCTACCTATTCGAAGCCGTCCATAAAGAACAGGACCGCTCTAAAGCTTGACGTTCAGGTGCGATGAGTGCCATCAAAGGAAGATCAAATGCATCGGTGGTCACCCCTGTCGGAACTGTGCGAGACACACGCGGGATTGTACTTTCAGCAAGGACGGCAGGGGCCGGTACTCAGAAGCGTGGGCAGCCCTCCTTTGCCTTAGCGTATTTACTTGACTGATGTACCTGATTAGTTACATTCGTGAACTTGAGGCTCAGATCCAGTCTTACAAAGCTCAGACTGAGAACACAACAAAGGGTATATTCACTGACTTACTCTGTCATTCGCGACGACGCTTTGTTGACTAGTTTACTAGATCATTCTCGAGCATCTTCTATTGTACCGAACGACGTGACTGCAATTATCGGCGACGAGCAGCGTACAAACAGCACTCCGGTTCAAGAAATCCCGACGACGAGCACATGCACGTCCAAAAGCTGTGCGGCCGCCCATCACAATGCTCTACTGACATTAATGCATAGATGGCGAAATTCCTGCAGGACCAGCGTTTGTGACTCAGGTCAGAACATTATTGAGCGCTCATTCGACCCCAGACCACCTGTACAACCAAGACATCCCGGCAAAAAGTGCTGAGCAGTCTAGCGCCCTCAGTGATATGCTTGCTAGCACCACACTATTTACACAACCATCCCAAGAAGAGTCTTACCGACTACTGGAGCTATTTCTCGTCTACCTGGGTGTCAGCCAACACTTCTTGGATCCGCGAGTGTTCTCCGATAACATCACGCTGCTTTTCCTAGGCGGCACGCCTAGCGCGCACAGGATGGACAGCCTTTGGTACGTTCAATATCTACTAGTTATGGCAATGGGCAGACTTCTGGACCATCAAAGTGAGCGTCGTGGCAATGCTCTACCCCCTGGCTGGGACTACTTTGCAGAGGCGATGCGACGACTGCCTTCATTGACTCAGCTTCGCGAGTGCGGAGTTCTCGCTGTTGAGATACTTGCCGTGGCAACCACCTATCTTCAGTGGACCGATTGGCCGGATGAGGCCTACCTCTACGTTCGTCTTTCTCCAACTGGTACTACAACAAGGCTAATGTACTTTGTAGATTGGCATGTCTATCAGATTAGCCATGGCTCTTGGCTGCTTCCGTCCATGCACAGAGCAGAAGTGCCTGCCTTCTGAGGCGAATCATCGCCTGAGATTATGGTGGACAGTCTATATGCTATGTAACATCCACCAGGTTTTGAATGTTAACACTGATCAAGATATAGACGACTTTCGTCGTCTCTGGGACTACCACCCGGAGTTGATGACCGTAATCTGGATCTTGAGTTACCTGGTCCATCTGTGGCCTTCCAATCACCAGTCGCTCTGACGATCAACATTAGGATTGCGAGGACCACCGGACAGATCATGACTAGTTAGCCTCCCTTGTATCTCTATGATAGTATGCAGCTGATTGTGTGAGCAACAAACTAGCTCTTTACAATTCTACCAGGGCAACACAGACAGAGCTAGTACAGAACATACAGGATATTTTGCGAACGCTGTTTGACGTCGGATCATCGTATCCCCTCGATATGGCTATCGACTTCACGAACACCCCTTTGCGGCTGACTAGGACGAGTGCATCCCTACATCTGATGCTGTACCAGGTCAGTGCACGCTTACATGGGGTCCATTAATTCCGTAAGCTCACCTTACCCAGGCTATTCTACTTTGTATCAGACCAGTGGTACTACAACAAGTACATCACAAACTACAGGTCACAAACTTCGAGCAGCAAACATCAGCGGTCATCCAAAGACTTTCGAAAACATGCGAAGAAGCGGCCATGAAAAGCCTAGCCATTCTCTCGAAGCTCAAACAGGATAGAACGATAGGCAGGTCAACTTTGAACTGCAGCTTAGTACAGTCTCCACTAATGACAAGACAGCACGCTTCGGCTTCTTCGACTTGGACGCTACTTTCTCAGCGGCCTTCGTGTTGATAATGCTACGAATTAGCGATGAGACGGGAGACGCACCCCCTCCGAAGATCTTGGAAGCATGTCAGGTACTCGAGTACCTCTCTGTGGTGGGAAACCAGATGGCAACACGACGACTCAACGATATCAAGGAATTTTGCTATCATGTCTGGCCGAATTTTACACTCCATAACCAGGCTTCGCACGTTTTGCTTGAACAGTCTTTGCAGGCAGGCTCTCTACCTGCCCACCAAGATATTTCGGCGCCATCTCAAGCTCAAGGCGACTTTATGGACCACTCAGTCTTGGCTGATCTTGACTTACGACCATATGCGGCGGATGGAGCACTAAGCACTGACTTCTTCAATGGAGCGGGTGATATCTACTCTTGTTTCAATGATCCAAGTCTATCACTTACAGGTAGAGATCTTGATGATTGGATGGAGATGAGCAGGATTTTAAATACTCAGTAACGCTACTTTCACATCTAGTTGTGTACTTCATCTTGCTTATAGACTATCCGTCTCTCCACACGATGCTTTCTGCCGCCGCTCTATTACCCCAATTGGGCCTCTATACACGAACATCCTTGCTTGACCTCAAGCATTTTATGATGCAGGAAGCCACGTATTCGACGTTGGTAGGATTCAAGCCAGCGATGGAGATGCGCGAGCTGTCAGCCATGTAAATATGATGAGTTTCTGTCAATGTGAATCAATACACCTTCAATGTCAGGAAGAGAAGACGCCATACCTCTCAGCTCTCTCACTACATCAAGAGTCAGGCCAAGGAACCCGAACATTCCTGATTGTCGAATTACATGCGACCAATCCAACTCCGCGGGGATAGATTAACAAACACTCATTTGAATCGATCAGAAAGCGCTTACAGAGTTTACTCAAAGCATCATAAAGAGCTCTCCTCATCCCCAAGATTCTGGAGCTCATGGTGAGTAGATCTTCATGCCATTGCGCCAACAGATCTTCATCTTCGAGTATCTTTGTTGCAATCTTCGCTCCGTACGCGGGCGGATTGGAGATCTCGGAGCGTGTGAGTGATTCCAGACAGGACTGTGAGTTCTTTGCCGCAGTCTCTGAGGCTGTGGCTAGTAGTACGCAACCCACTCGTTCACCTGATGTAGTATGATTATCAGCCGGACTTTCGGTTCGAATCCAAAGAGCGATAGGTATCATACCGTAAAGTCCCATGTTTTTCGCAAAAGAAACGCAAACAATGGCTTCGAGCTCCAAAGTGTTGACAAAATGGCGTATCGCGAAAGCATCCTTGTCGATATTCCCAGAATTGAAGCCTAGGTATGCTGCATCGAAAAGCGGAAACAGTTTCTTCCTCATCATCAGCTCTCCAATTTGGCGCCATTGTTCGGGACCGGGATCGCAACCAGTAGGATTGTGTGCGCAGGCATGTAAAATCACTATCGAGCCAGCTTTCGCGGAATTGAGCGTGTCGATGACAGATTCAAAGTCGAGTGCTTGAGTTAGAGGGTCGTAATAGCGGTAGGCGAGGCAGTTGAAGCCCAGAGAATCGAACACTGCGTGTGGTTGGACCAGGTGGGTTCGCTGATGTAGATGTCGCGTGTTAGGCCGCTGAATTTTTTGAGGAGCAGACCAGCTAGGTGCAAAGCACCTGTTCCTGAAATAGATTGACAACTTGCGATCTGTAGGCGTGTTAGCGAAGTAGAATACATCTTCGGAGGATACAACATACCTTACTCGCGCGGGCATTGTACCTATCCTCTCCCATCACCAGTTTCGCAACTCCATTTCGAAATTTGGTAGTACCCAAGATGGGCAGATACTCATGGAACAACCCTTCCTTTGCAATTTTCTCGCGACTCATGGCCACAGAAGGAAGGGTCCATGATTGTCCGGACTCATCGCGATAGGTTCCCTGGCCTAGGTTGACCTTACTCGAACTCTGGTCAAGATTGTATTGCGCAGTGAGAGCAAAGTTTGCATCTGCTGGGATGAATGGAGCAGCTTGGAAGACAGAGTCGGAGGCTCTGGAGGACGCCATTATCGTCTTGGTGGGTGGAGGTGATACTGACAGTCAAAGAGGTGTGCGAAAGGTACTCGACGCAGCATAGGAACCACAAATTCCACACGTCAATAAATCACTGAAGAGCTTTTCAATAAGCAGGGTTAACTAGGCGGAGATTACTGGTGTCCGCAATACTTGGATGGATGAGTTTATCTCGCAAAAGGCTTCTCGGCTTCTTGCCGCACGTTCGCAAATCTGTTCACGTCGCTGGTATCGGCTTCGGCTCGATGCCGAGAATGTTTGATAGTCTCACTAATTCGGCGGATCGACAACACACCGGGCTGCTAGCTGGGAGATTATCGTCCATGATGCTTTCTATCGGCTTGGGACCGACGTAACCGATTTATCAAGCCTTGCTCAGAATCTACGCAGAAGCTATATGTTTGGCATAACCGCCGCAAGCACTCCGAGCCAGTTCTGCTGTATCAAAGCACACAAGCACACAAGCACACAAGCACCCTGCCATTCCTCCAAGGTACGCGACAGAACATGGTCACTCCACCGCCTCCTGGTATCTGGTCCCCAGCGGTCACATTCTACCACCCCACAACTGGCCAACTAGATCTCGAAGCTCAAGAAAAATATAACGCCTACCTCTCCAGAAGCGGCCTCTCCGGCCTCGTCATTCTTGGCACAAACGCTGAAGCATTCCTACTCACCCGCGACGAACGCTTCCAACTCATATCGTCCGCACGCGAAGCCGTAGGTCCGCAATTTCCTCTGATGGCCAGCGTCTCCGGATTCTCCACCATTCAAGTTCTCGAATACATCGACGACGCCTTTAGAGCAGGAGCGAACTATGCTCTCCTTCTTCCACCTTGCTACTACGGAAAAGCCACCACACCAGCGGTAATCAAGGACTTTTTCGCCGAAGTGGCTGAGAAGTCGCCACTGCCCATTGTCATCTACAATGCCCCTGCTGTGTGCAATGGCATAGATCTTGACTCTGAGACAATCACTTCCATTACCAAGGCCGCGGCAGGAAAGATTGTTGGCGTAAAACTTACCTGTGGAAGTGTCGGCAAGATCTCCCGTCTCTCTGCCTCTTTACCTTCTTCCAAATTCAGCATCTTTGGCGGACAATCTGATTTCCTGATTGGTGGACTCGCCACCGGGGCAGCTGGTTGTATCTCGGCCTTTGCAAATGTGTTTCCAAAGACTGTTGTGCAGATCTACAGGTTGTTCGGTGAGGGTAAACATGTAGAGGCACTGGCGCTACAGAGGAAAGCGGCATTGGCGGAGAGTCCCTGCAAGGCCGGCATCGCGAGTACGAAGTATGCTGTTGCTGTATACTCGGCAGTAGAAGCTGGAATTGAACATGCGACAGACAAACTGAAGCCGAGAAAGCCATACACAGAAGCCTCCGAGGCGGTCAAACAAGGCATTAGAAGTGTCATGGATGAGATTGTCGAGATCGAGGCAACGTTGTAGTGTCCTTGCTGTAAGGTGGTAAGGGGGGGGGG